CTCTATGCTCTATGCTCTATGCTCTATGCTCTATGCTCTATGCTCTATGCTCTATGCTCTATGCTCTATGCTCTATGCTCTATGCTCTATGCTCTGTGCTCTATGCTCTCCTCCGGATCAGGTGCTGTACCAATTTCTATTTCTATACTACGTATTACTACTCTATATCCCGGTCTACCACTAGCCTCGTAGTGTTTGAAGTCTTGGAGAGAAGGACAGACCATACATAAGGTAGGTAGGTAGAGCAGACCAGTCAGTACTTAGGTATCGATAGTGAACGACCGGCCTAAGCTGTCGGGGAACAGGGGGTAACGAGCGCACGGGCACGAGCACATCAGGTAGGTACCGGAACGCCAGAGAGATAGTACATACCTAGGTACATACAGTGCATGCATTATGAATGTAGTACTAGTAGTGACCAAGAGACTCCACGAGGCAAAGCTCGAGCTTGAGCTCGGACTCTGGACGTAAAAAGGGTATCTGTACCTAGGTACCACGGTGACGCGAAAAAGGTGCGTAGGGAAAGGGATGCGGGAGACTACCTAGGTACCTAAGTAGTTGGTGATTTCAACTTCCGCCGAGTCTCTTTCCTCGGATACCTGACTATTCTTTGGTCTGAGGGACCCAAACCTGATCAGATGCATGTAATGTGCCCAAGGTATGATGGAAATGTGTAATGGATGGATGTAGTAGAAGTACCTAAGACATATCAAGGCTACCACCCACAGCAGCTTCAAGGGACGGTACTACTACTCTATACTACTAGGTACGTAGTATTTCCAGAGCAGTCCACACTTGCAGCCCAGCAAAGCCTGATGTCAGTCGGCTCTTTAGCATCTTGGAGGCTCTTCTTTGGTGGTGCTTCATTCTCATACAGCCACCCATCCATGCCTATGACCATAGGTCTTTCCTTTTCCTCCTGACTTTTTTCCTTCTTTTCCTCTTTTGAGGAAGAGGTGGGCCTTGACATATGAAATCCCAAGACACGAAACCTCATGCTTGCTGTAACCCGACAATAATAAATCCTGCCACCCATGAACAGCGAACACAGAAAACGAACACCCAATGCTATGCCCACGGAAAGAGAGAAAACCCACTCCACAGAGTCGAAACCCGAAGCCAAAAGAGTGCACCTACAAAAAAGAAGCATACAAAAAGCAGGACAAGACTTCTTCAATCAACGCTGTTCAACAAGGCTAATGACAATCATAACTTCATCTCCGATGAGGAGCCGGCGTCCACAGCGCGGTCTGTCTCTTGGACCGTTGCGAGCTGCCCGTCGAGTTGGCCGACACGGTAGGACTGTCGTGGTCGGAGTTGTAAATGTATTCGCCGTCGACGTATTGCGCGTCCGTGGCGTAAGTGGTGCGGTTCTTGCGACGGGTATATCTCTGCTCGAGACGATATATTTCGAGTTCTAACGAAACGAGTTAGATCTCGGGGACAGTCCTGTGGAAATGACACTTCGATATAGGAATCGACTTGGGGGAACTTACTCGCTTGGAGCTTGTCGATCAAACCCATCTTGACGGGATGGCAGAAAAGAACCGCTGGCGTCTTGCGCTGAGAGTACTTGGGGAGTTGGAGTTGGAGAAGAGAGAAAGTCGCTGAGATATGATAATACTTTTTCTTTTTGGGTATATCTTCACCTCTCCTCCACGAATACTCTGTACTGTAGTGGTGGTGGTAGTGGTGGTGGACGCGGTGAGATCACGCGTGTTTTAATCGATCGCGATTCCTGCGCGCTTTTCTCTTCGGCTCCGGGCGGATGGGGATGTGATCCTTTTGGCTGGATGGAGTGTGGGAGCGGAGTATATGTGGCAATTGCGTATGCTGTAGAACACGCAGGCGGGAGTTGAGGTCAGATGGAACACTCTACTCTGCTCTTCTCTGCGTTGATCTGTTTCTGATCCAGGGTCTCGACGGAGGTGGTCTGGTTGTTGTATATGTGTTCTTCTCTCTGTCTGAAATGACCGGTCGTTGCGAGTGCGCAGCAACACTGAGATTGGACGGTGTGAGAGAGTGAGGGCGTTCGACGACTACACTTTTCCGCGGATGGAGAGAGAGTCGGCGGAACAGATGAAAAGGAACGGTAGGTATATCAGATCCAACGTCTTGAGAGCCAGAGCCTGAGGAGGAGCGAAAAGGGTATACCCTTCAACTGAAGTTCATCACGAAATCGCGCGAAAAGAGGGTCGTGGTTCCGCACTCTGAGTTAAGAGGATCCAGTAGATGGGGACGAAATGAGAGACAACGAGTGAGTTGAGGGAGTGAGTGAATGAGTGAATGAGTGAGTGGGCTGGATTCCACTGGGGAAGGGAAAAAGGAGGAATACTTCCACTTCCTGTCCCCAATTTCTCGGGACATTTGGGGCTTCGGGGCTTAGCAAGTCTTAGTTTGGTTGCGTTCCCAGGGGTGATGAGGCTTTTGGAAGGGGCTAGGGAGGCTAAGGGCCCCTAGGAAGCTATGCTGAGCTGCTTGAACGTTAGGCAGAGATACTAGGCTCCTTAGGCCTGCTGGAGCTTAAGGAGCCTAGAGCTAGCCTCTAGAGCCGCTGGAACCGTTGGCCCAACGGTTGTCTCTTCAGGTGAGAATCCTGGCGCCACAAGTCCTCCAGACTCGCGACCAAATACAGAGTACAACCACATAACGAACGGGATGAGCTTTCTGAACCTCGATGGTCAATGCAAAATATGCCAGTGTGTGCTATCCTGCATACATGGACATCCATACACTGAGGTGATTCTTGCGCCCTGATTCATACCATTCCCAGTACTCTCTTACCCCTCGACGAGCCCCTCCCGAAACCAGTCCATGCAAGGCACCGCGGCCGAAGCTCATGTATCCAGTTCACGTCAGTCTCTAGTCTACTAGCATCTGATGGCCGTCCCCCCGTCCGTTGTAACCAGCGTGCGCCACGTGCGGAACTAAAGCTGTGACCTCTTTGACCCCTGTCCCTCACCAGTCGACGCACTCGTCTGCCATCTGCTCGGTAACCAGACGACCAGACAGACGGAGAAGCTATACTACGTACGCACTCGTCTGTACAGAGTACAGAGTGATACGTACCCCTGAACTTTTGGTCGAGTCGATCAGGACAGTTCCATCTTAAAGAGGTGGACGTCGGCTCCTCGCTTCGTCGTCATTATGAATAATGGGCTTGGTGAGGCGAGAATAGACCAGGCTTGTCTTCTCGAAACGCCGATTCCTCTTGTCCTCCAACGGCAGTAGATGGTATCCAAATCCAGAAGTCGGACAGTTGGTTTATGGCCTCCTCGCGGGAATTGGACGTGCCAACGCTGAAGGCATTTGGTGTTGTCGTGTTCCAGAACCACCCTCCTCCGTCATACAAACGCGGCGACCGGGGCAGTAAGCATTCATTCATGAAGCTGGATCACTTCTCTTTTTCGTTCTTTTCCTTCTCTTCAATCTCCCGCTCTTCTACCAGTTCGCGCTCCAGAGTCATGTCTTGTCCAACCGACACCTCTTGTGCGGTCCAGAGATCGGAATAGAGTCCTCCTAAAGCCAGCAGTTCCGTATGGGTGCCTTGCTCAACCACCCGGCCCTCGCTGAGCACAAAGATGATATCGCTGTCATAGATGGTGCGCAGGCGATGCGCCACAAACACACTGGTGCGGGCCTTTTCCTTCAGGATACTGTTGATGTTCTGGAGCAGCGTCTGCTCCGTATACGTGTCCAATGCCGATGTCGCTTCGTCAAAGAACAACAGAGGAGGATCCTTCAAGATAAGTCGGGCAATGGCAAGCCGTTGCTTTTCGCCCCCGGATATCATCATACCTCTTTCACCCACCATGGTGTTCCAGCCGGCCGGCAGACCCTCGACGAGATCAAGGATTCGGGCTCGTTGAGCTGCCTTTTTGACTTCCTCAAACGACGCATCAATCTTGCCGTATCGGATGTTATGCTCGATCGTGTTGTTGAACAACGGCGTGTCTTGTGGTACCACCCCGATACTTTCTCGTAGACTGTCCAGGCTGAGTTCCCTGATGTCTTGTCCGTCGATCATGATTCGGCCCGTCGGAGCGTCATAGAAGCGGAACAACAGGCGAAGAATGGTCGACTTCCCACATCCACTGGGTCCTACAATGGCCACCTTCTTCCCAGCCGGGATCGTCATGGTCAGATTCCGCAATATAGGCCGATCCGGATGATACCAGAAGGTGACGTTTTCGAATTTGATCTCTCCTCCTTTGGTCAAAGCAAGCGGTCTCGGATGCGCGACCTCCTTCACCGTCACATTGACCTTCTGCAGATTGAACAGAGTCTCCATGTCAAGCAGCGACTGTCGGAGTTCTCGGTAGACCGAGCCCAAGAAATTCAGGGGCACCGACAACTGAAAGACAAGTTGGTTGACCATGACCAAGTCTCCGACTGTCAATTCACCAGCTGCCACCCCGGTTGCCGCCATGTACATCATGCCAGCCAGGGCCGAGGAAAATATGACATTTTGCCCCGTATTGAGGAAGGCCAGCGACGTCGTCACTTTAATGGATGCGTCCTCGTATTTCTTCAGCGCCTTATCGTATCGATCGACCTCGAATTTTTCGTTGTTGAAATATTTCACTGCCTCGTAGTTAATGAGGGTGTCCACCGCCACGGTCGCACCTTGGTTGTCTGCCGCGTTGGCTTGCTTTCGGAACTTCGTTCTCCAAGATGTCGTGGCGATCGTGAATGCCGAATATGCAACCATCGTTGCTGCCGTGATGGCAGCAAACGAGGCACCATATTTGTATGTCAAGATGCCGCATACCATAGATATCTCCAAAATTGTAGGGAAGATATGGAATAACATGGACGTCAACAAGAAGCTGATGCCTTTTGTTCCTCGATCCAATGCTCTCGTAAGACCACCAGTCTGTCTCGATAGATGGAAATTCAGGTCCAACCGCAACAGATGCTGGAAGACATTTCGGGCCACATTGCGGATCGCCTTCTGTGCCACACTGGCGAAAACGGCATTGCGTAGTTCTTGAAACAGCGTCGCGCCGATTCTGGTCACCCCATACGCCACAATCATGGACCCGGCCACGGTCCACGCCGTGCCGCCAACCGCCAGGAAATCAATGTTCATCGAGTCGACAATGTTCTTGAAATAGAAGGGCACGTTGACATTCAGGATCTTGGCTGACACCAGCAGACCCAGGGCGGTGCTGACGCGTAGCTTAGTTCCCCAATCCCCTTTTGGCCACAGGTACTGCACCATTTCCTTCATGATGGCCAAGTCCACTTTCCGCTGCTCCTTGTTGGAGACGACTTTTTCCGAAAGAAGGCCATCCTTCTTCGGGTCTGGGTTGACCTTGACAGGCTCTGCCTTTTGGATCGACTCTGGTGTGACAAGGTCTGCGGTTACCGGCTTGCTTGAACCCTGATCGGCGCCTTTTCCTGACTGTGTTGGTCTCTTCGTCTCAACCTGGCGTTTTAAGAAGGCTGACTGGGTGAAGATGCGAACACCAGGTCTCACAGCAATCGCCGGGTTGGATCGCCATGTCCTCAAAGCTGGACAGGTTGAGCTGAAGAGTTTTCGGTTCCCGCAGCTGTAGACTGTCCTAGACAGCATATTGGGCGCAGAGGCTCGATAGCTGGCTGCTCCTCGCGACAACAGTCTGTCGGGAAACAACTACTCACCTTCTCATCCCCTCCCTAGTAGCATATAGGAGCCAGAGAGAGGAAGGTCACTCCGCACAAGAGTCGGCTTGATCGAGAAGGGTAGAGCTAGACAGGTCGGAGAGGATCGAAAATGCTATCAGCCTGACAACATTCAAGATTGAGCCATTTGTGCTCGATGTGATGCCATCGGACACGCCGTTCATCGGAGAAAACGTTGATGCGGCCGAGACACGCGCTTCGAGTTGGTATGTTTCTCCGTAATTCGCTGAGGTAATCTGACGAGGCTGAGACACAAGGACTACAGGGAGCACAGCCTTGTTCACGAGCAGAGCAGCCTACGTACTCTCCACCAACCCTTCAGATATCACAAAATTGAACCATATCGGCTTTTTGGTCATATACGAAGCTCCTCAAATAGCCTTCTGAATGGATGGTGGTACGTATATCTATCCACCTTCTACGTACTATCTCGAAGCTCGAAGCTGTCACGTGGATGGACTGTAATCTAATCACTTGGCATGTTTGGCGTGGAAACTCACGACCTGAAGGCAGCTGCCACCGCGCAGTTGCAGCTGCCCATTCTAGCTGCCATCGAGCTCCGCAGGTTTGACGAAGCTTCGTCCTCGAAAGAACTTTTTGACGTTGCCTGCATTCGGCAATTGGACACTGTGAGAAAGCTGGTCTTCTCAGCAGTATTGCTTCCTACCTGCAAGACACCAGCACTTGTCCATAACACAGTGTCAAGATGCCTTTGGTCGCCGCTCAAAACTTACGCCGCCTGACCGGCTTCCCCCGAAAACGAGTGTTTCCAGCGCACCTTGTTGCTGGAAGAAGAGTAGGCGGCTACAAGTACATCTCCGTGCAAGCAACGCCAGCTACAGACATCACTAAAATTGACGTGGTGGGCAAATCAGTGTCAGCTTCGTCACCAGGTCAGTTCGAACCACTCGCAGGTGGGACATCTGCTCACAGTTTAGATGCCTCATTCGAAGTACTGGGAAGCCCCTATTCCTTACTTTCCGTCACATTGTCTCCGTCTCAAGACCTTTACACGCGTCGGGGAACCTTAGTTAGCTTCGCCGGGGACCCAGATGGGACAGTCTCGACCCTACGACTGCTCAACCCCATACGTCGCGCCTTGATTGGGATACCGTTTCTCTACCAGAAAATCACGTCGACGTCCTCAGTCAATGCACTCATAGCCACCAGGTCGCCTCTGACCACTTTCGCAGTACTGCAATTGGACGGCAGGACGGACTGGAAACTGGCTCAGAGAAAAGCTTTGTTGGCCTGGACTGGAAATACCTTGTCGGTCAAGCCAACTCTGAGCACCAAACTATCAGTGGCACACTGGGGAAGCTCTGATGTGACAGGAAGAGGTCTCCTGGCCTTGGCCGGTCAGGGTCAGGTCTATTCAATCGAGCTTGCTGAGGGGGAGACATACATTGTTCACCCTTCGAATATCCTGGCATACTCAACATCATCGCCTTCTCCACCACCGCGGCCATACCGTTTCAAGTCCACAAATGTACGATTTCAGATTCCACTTCAACTCGGAAATTTCTTCCCCTCATCGAAATTCGTGGAGACGCTGAAGACAAGTAATACCTACAAAATCCTGGCCAATTCTTTGCTTCGGATTCGGACATGGAGTCGAAGGACTATCTGGGGTGACAGGTTGTTCTTGCAATTTCGAGGCCCAACCACACTATTGATTCAAAGTCGTGCAGCGAGAGTGAATGATGTCTTGACGGCACAAGAAGTCAACGAGATCGCGGATGCTCCTGCTGGTGTTGTCAAGGAGATGATAAGCGACTCACAATTATCCAAAAACAGTGATGCTTCCCGGAAGATTGCAGGAGGGTCATCATCATCCGCACCCGCACAGTCGCAACCAAAAGTGTCCTTTGCAAGCGTCAATAAGGACGGCAAAGTGACATTCGACAGAAACTAGGACTTTTGCGAATAAAAAAGTCGAGGTCAGCTCCTCCACGAGCGAGTGTACAATACAACTTTCAGCAGACGTTTCTCGCCATTAAAACTTTCATTCTGTCTGGGGATCTCTAACAGCATGCGTGTCTTCTATGGGCTCGACCGAACTCAAGGAACAACATCCACAATCGCGAGTTCCCAACCCGGTGACAGATTATCGTACAGTTTGGTCAACTTCCCGGTTTGCTGATAACTTGAACACTCCCGCCCACACTCCTGCCGGTATGCAGTTTGGTCTCAATCCAAGGTGTCTCTCTCATGTGATAGGGGAACAAACGGGTCCTTCACGTCCTCAACTGGCCTCATGTTTTGCAAGCTTCCGTGGCGATTCCTGCGCAAGGGCCACTAGCCGTGTCCTGTGTGACATCGCCTATTCTTTCTCGCTTGGCTTTTCAGCGCCTAGCATTTCTCTTCATCACTTCTTCTGTGGCGGTTGGCACTTGACTGAGCGATGATGCAGATGATATTTGCATGGAAACTTCACTGGCCGATCGACTTCGTCTTGATCTGTCTCAATGGCGTACCAGAGTACTTGTTCAGGGAATCTTCCAGTGGCGAGTAGCTCCTTCATTCCTTCAGCAGCCCGCGTTCCGCCCACAAGCACCCTGTAACGGGCGTCTGACAGGTCCCATGCGAACTGATCCATCACCATCTTGAAGAGCATGCTTGCCTCATCGACATTGCTGACCACCCAATTGATGGTGGCTGGGTATACGGGTACTTCATTCCACCACTTTGCCAAAGCGTCAATGACTTTGTTTTGCCAGACCTCCATGTCGAATTTGTCTGCAAGGACCCAGGCCTGCACCAATGGAAGGAGCTGCTTGGAACCATGTTTTGTATCGTCGTCTTTCTCTTTCTCAATGGAACGGACCTTACCGTGGTAGATCCAGGTGATGAAGAGATCAAAAGCTTGGACATGGTCCTCGGGCAATTCTACCATGCTTGTTAGAGCCTCTTTCATTCCGACAGCTAGGCATCGCGCAAAAAACGGAGAGCGCAATTGCAGTAGGATTTTGTGGGCTGTGTATTTGCATTTTTTTCTGCCAACGAGAATGGTGATGATGGGGGAAATCGCAAAGCTGGCCGCAAGTCAGTGACGATAACCATGAGACGCTTGTCGTTATGAACGAAGCCTTACCTTGTGGAAACACCGATGTCAGAGTCGGACTCACCATCAAGGGTCAAAGTGGTGTTCAGGACAGTGCATATTTCGGTGTCGTCGTCCATTTGGACTTCTGATGGAGGAAGAATTATCGAGCGAGTTCTCTAATGAATCTACAATCAGGGTGATTCAAGCCACGAAGCAGAGAAGGCGAGCTGTTGTCAAGTTTGGGCCCTGGGAAAAATCAGAAGCGACTATGATGAAGAGGTGCCTCTGATGAAGAGAGACTGCAAGAGAAAAGAAATAAAGAGAGAGGCTCGTGGTGAAGTCCTTGTGCCTGTATGTTTTGACGGCTTCATTCACTGCAAAGTGAGGCAGTCACATCTGGACTGCTCATTGAACTTCACTGCCATGGACCTACACCAACTGCCTAAGTCTTCCGGGTCATAGACTCTCCTTGCATGGATGCCCAGGGCACTCTTCTTTCCAAGCGTCGAGTCGTGTCAATTTATCTTCCAGATCGACCTTCAACCCAGCAGTTGCATCAGTAATGCACAACAAGCAGTGGACATTCAATGGGCAAATATCTCGACCGTCTTCTCAAACCAGGGTCGCATCACTACTACTATGGCGATGGGAGATCTATATAGCGTCTACAGTTACTGTCATGCCTTCGGAATTTTCCCCTTGTTCTTCCAACATCCGAAGGATTCATTGCTGTTCGATATAGAATGGTTGATCGGCTTTTCTCACGGCTGGCTGGCTATACTACTCTTCCTCCAACTCAATCAATACCTCTGAAATACGGATAAGGAGGAAGGTTCATAGCACCTTTTCCTGCGACCATCCAAGTGCCACGGAACAATACCTGGATACCACAGTAACTCACCGCCGACTCTGGACCTCATCAAAGTCCATTTCCGATTTTGAACATGAGAGACCCGTCCCTTACGTGCGACCCATGACTAAGCCATGACTAGGCAAATATGAGATGTGGCGGTGCAATTTTGAGGCGCGCCCAATAGAGGAGCAGAACCCCTGAGCCTTGTGAAAGCCCCGTTCGGATTCTCGCACTTCATCCCAACATTCATCAAGACACAACCACCACATCTAGCGATGCTAATATGGCGACTACGCCCCAGTCATTGCCTCGCAGATGCTGGAAGACTGTAAAACCCTCCGGAGCATGATAGGAGCCGTCGGGCCGACCAGCACCAGCACCAGCACCACGATCGTAATACAAATACATCCGTCACTTCATTGAACGATGCTCTATCCACCCTAGCCTCTATACGGTGTATTTGCCTCCCTGCGCCATTCAAAAAGAAAAGGACAAAACGATTCCAAGGCTTATTACCGCCGACGAGGACCATGTGGTCCGTCCTGGGCCCCTTCGTCTCACTCTTCTCCCTCCTGAGGACGCTGTACGTCAAATGCCTCGAGAGACTTCTTCAGCGCCCCAACGTCGATTTTATCTCATTTGACGAATTACAATTCCTTGCCGCCGGAAAAAGCGGAATCGTCTACGTGATCGACGAAAAAAGAGTTTATCAAGAGAGCGAGCGAGGCGAGGTTGAGCGGCGAGCATATCGCCGTCTTGGCTCGCATCCCAACATTACCAAACTACTGTGCACCCGAAACGACGGGTCTCTCGTGCTCGAGTGAGGCCAGGTCGTTCGCACAGTCTGTCGATCTCCGACTGCAACTGAAATTGGGATTCCTATCCAGACCAAAGTCAGCTGGCTGAGGCAACTTGCAAGCTGCGAAGGGCTACCAGCATTGCCATGACCGTGGTATTATGTAACAACATGATTCTGACGGGAGAGGGTTCTGGTTCCCTCAAGATCATCGAGTTTGAAGGCTGCAGTGTCGACGGTGAACCGGCAGACTCGTGTTACGAATGGTTCAGTTACCGTCCGCCCATGCCTAGGGTGAGTCGGCAGACGGATGTTTTTGCATTTGGTTGTGCAGTCTACGAAGTCGTGACGGGACGGCCACCATACCATGAGCTCGAGGGATCGGATGATCGATATCAGGAGGTTGAACACCTCTATGCAACCAACCGCTATCCCGATGTTACCTGTTTGCCGGCGCCGTTGGGTGCGTTGATCAAGGGGTATTGGTATGGCGACTTCAGCTCGATGGGGGAGGTCCTGAGAGAGCTACAAGTGTTTGTCTCTTTGTCTTTTTGAGATTTGAACAACGTTTCTTAGTCTCGGGCTGGACGGTTACCTTTTTCCTTTCCTTCCTTTTGTCGTTTCCGTGGTTCAAGGTAAGTCTGGTATAATATTCTGTGAGTGAGCTCGACTCTCGAGCGAGCTGACATCATTGATATCTTCCGATCTGTCCGTGTTATGGAGTTGACTATGCTGCTGGGCATATACCCTTCTTTCATGCACGGGGGTTGATCTAGGCTTGGGTCGTGCCGTGCCGTGCCTACGGTAGGTCTATCGCAAGTAGGGTCTGGCTGGGCTGAGGGAAAGTTGAACGAAGACACGTTTTGCGGACGCCATGTACTCTCTCCTCGAACATCCCATGTTATTCTGTAAGTACAAATGACGACGTCATGCTCGATCCGCAGGGGGCTTTGTTGACAGGTGAGTTCGACGAGGCTTAACTAAGATTGGTTATATAAGAGAGGATGTGGCATTGTGGTATGAGACTGAATCTAGTTCGAATGGTTGATGACTGAAATCCGAGATATCTTCGGAAAGATATCAGGCAGACTTGTGCCGACACAGGTTGTACATCAAGTAGAATCCTCTAGTGGTTTGCATATCCTCTCCTTGAATCATGATATACTCACTCCACCGACGAGGCTGAAGAATCTTTTTACCATTTTATACGGGTTACCGGTCACAAAATCCCACCAGAATGCACGACTATTGAGTTCTCTACGAGTTTGGCCATTCCAGGAACATCTACAACCTGGGCATACATTGCAATGATATATTAAAAGACCGGGACATGGAACTTCCAAGAAAGGACTGTACGTGTACGCTCGATTACTCCTTGTGCTGGAAAGCATTTCTTGAAGACATAAAACGTCTTGTCGTGGCATGCAAAGGGGACAAACATCACAAACTCGGAAGAGACCAGGGAATTAATTGTATCTGACTTGGAGACCCCTGTCACGTAATAGCAGTGGATTGTTTGTTTGGCTGTTGACTACTGCTCAGTCTGCTCCCCCCAGTAGTGACCTCCCAGCACTCATGATCCAGAGATACCTTCTGGCCGAGATAGAAAGGCTCAGTGAAGTTGAATGTTTGTGACATCTTCTCCTGATTTCCTGGCCCAAGCCTGATGCAGGTGCCGGTGTGTGTGTATGCCTCCGATCGGTTGGTGTCATCGTGGTTGGTACATGCAAACAACTCTGATCAACACCCCCCTTGAAGTCTCGCTAAACCAGCAAACAGCACGTCCGTGTCCATGCCCCCATCCTCGTCCATAGGAATCATCATTCGGCAGCTCGCCGAAGATCTCATCCAGCTCGTGCGCGAAAAAACGTTCACAGCTCTCCATTTTGCTGTAAGGCGAAGGGGTTGATACCGAAGCAACCAGTCAAGTCAGTCTGAGGACCGTGTGTGCCAGGTCAAGGCTGTTGCTTAGTCCTAAACTCTCAGTCTACCAGTAAGGTCCGACAGTCGTTGAATCGGAGTGAAAGGACGCTCACGACTCCCCCCACCCTAAGGTGGTAGAGTACATCGCACTGCATCTCTTCTCGGGGAGGTGGACATGATAGTGGCAGCCGGTCTTAGATGCAGGACTGGTGGGAACCGTCCAAGAGGGGTTACTGAGATCGACGGCCATCCAAAACATCTTGCTTGCCACGTCCGGGTTTTCGAGTAAGATCTCTAGAAACATAACGGACCTAAATCCAGGTCTCCACTCCGAGTCGTTGACATTGCGTCTGAAGAGATTCGGCCATGTCGTCGTCTCCCAATACAGCTGATCGATGGCAAATCCGCGTAGTATACAGGTATCCGTGGCGTCCGCAAAAATCAAGCTTATGAGAGGCATCAGAATGAGTGAGTCTTTACATGTGTTGTATTTGATCCATGACCGCATTCTGGAGATCGGTCATGCAGAACTTTCTTGCAAGGTGGTAGGCATGAACGAGGACCGATGGCTGAAACTCGTTCGGCACGCTGTTGCTGTACATCCATTTGGCCACCACTTCAAATGCCTCAGGGTCATCCTCTGGGAGATGCACAGCTTTTTCGTGGTGTTCCTTCATTCCCGACGAAGACAACTCTTGAAGAAGGGGCACGTAGACACCAAGATGCTCTCGTGCATGCGATACACCATTTCTGTTTTGCCGACGGTCACAGTGATGATGTCGGAGCCGAACGCGGACCTAGATGAGACAGAGTATCAGCTTCCCGTCTGAGAGGACCAACGGACAGAGTATGGGATGCCGTACGTTACAGAGTCCTCTTCGGACGCGACAGAAGGCGTTTCGGACATGATGAGGATTCGATCTATAACCGATCAGTCACAGTCACCCACAGCGCAATTTCGGATCTGTCGAAACCACTTAGCAAGAAGGCGGGATTCCGAGAAGTATGGCAAAAAGGAGAGAAGATGTCGAGGCTCGCTGACTGTGCTGGACAAATAGTTATCCAGGATGACTTCGAGGACGATGGCAAGTTTGACTTTTCTTGGGAAAGAAGAGAGGAAGACCACAGAGAAAGGAAGCGGGCATGTCACCTGAGTTTCATGACAATAGCGAGGAACAACTTCAGATGCTTGTCAGTTGTTCCTCAGTTGTTTCTCACTTGAAATGGTGCCGGGTTCAGGGGTAAGAAGGCAAACACACGTGCATTGGAAAGTAGAGCCGTGCTTCAAGGAACCATTACAGATAAGATGACCCAGTCAAAACCCTTGATCCGCTGTGGAAAATTGTTGTATGCGCAGAAAGCTTCCTTGTTTGCTACTGCTGCTTATATTGTTCATCGGCGTGACGGACGTGGTAAGAGAATGCCCGAAAGCATGAAGGTAGCACTGTTCGATCTCGCAGAAGAAGATGTGGATGGTAATTCGGATGTTCATACATGGACATATCATGCCAAACAGTCATTAGGGAGTACATGTCCGCTCCCATCATTTTCCATATCGTGCTTTTAGACCGCTAAAGAAACAACATAGGAGCGCTGCTCACGAGTGCTCTTCGTGCTTCTGGAAGGTAGAACTGCGGGTACTTCAGGAGGTAACATCTAGATAAGATGCTTGGACCTGCAAAGAGAAAGAGAAGAACTCGAGTCAGTACCGACCAACCCAACATATCTCTGCAATGGAAGCGACGACCCTCAGACATCGAGAGTCCGATGCACACCATGACCGAGAAAAGAATCTTGAAGCACATACCTGAAATAAGCCCTCAGATAGACGACCTGCCACGCCCCCAACCCGACCAGCATGCCCATCGTGCCCAACGCGAACCATTTGACCCGTTCATTCGTGCTCTCATTAGTATCGCGCAGCTTCTGCTCCCGTATCCGCAGATATTCCATCTCCTGCACGATTTCGTTCACCGTCTCTCCTATGCGCTTCAGCTCCGTCTCGACGGGCCTCAGCTTCTCCGAGGCCTGGATCGCAGACCAGTCACGGGCATCTGCACCAATGTCGATGTCCAATTCGACGAACCGGGAAGGATTGGGTGTGCTGGCTATTAAGTCCGTCAGTCCCAAGACTCCCAAAACTCCAAAAGTCTAGCTCCAAGTTTGCAACATACCTCGCCCAGTCAATGTGTTTTCGAAGCACACATCGAATGCCGTGTCTGCGAGACTGGTAAAGGCCATTCTCTTTTCTCCGGCGACGTCTTTCGGCCGGCCATAGTCGTTTCCGACCGCGTCTTTGATCTATACGACACGTGTTTGATTAGCATACTAGTAATGCAGAAGTGATACCCCCTATCTCTTTGTTTTCTTTCTTTCTCGCAAGTGCCGCCGCCGTCGCCGCCAGAGTGTGAAGAACACATCACGTACATGCATGTTGACCATCTGGCCATCTCCTCTGCTTCCGCTAACGATGGCGGTAACCACCACCAGAGTATCCTTCGTCACAAAGTTTCGTATGCATCGTTCGTTCTTCGCACTGTGACCTGGCGCCGCGACGAGTTCGAATTTCAAGGCATAGGACAAGGGTAGGAGGAAGAGAAGGACGGTCAGGTTGAAGAACGACTTCATGGTGGTCGAGGGATAGGAGTTGAAGACCACTAAGAACCGTCTTCAGAAGTAAACAAAAGCCGACACTCGGCTGGGAAGCTTTACAATGTGGTCTTGGGCAATGATTGCTTCCATGCGCGGGCGTCTCGAGGATTGGGATGAATTCAGGAGTCTGGCAGAATACGTGTTGAATCTCCCGGTCACGTGGGCGGTGAGAATCGAGCCCCTTTTCCTCGACTGCAATCTGGTCAACAACCACGATGTAATTGAACCATGGGGAACCACTTGGGCGGGAATATAGCAACAGAAAAGCAGAGACAACTTTACATTAGCGACCGTCTCGATTCAGCCCCCCTATTACCGCCGATAGACGTTCGACACGCCGACTACATATCTAACACATTCAGCCAAAAGTGTTCAGCTCCCGCGCTTGCTCTAGAATTCATTGGGACCCTGACTGAAAAGAAAAATCATTCATCCGTCATCCGTCTTGCGAGGCAGGCATCACTCCTCATTGCTTTCTTATACTGCCTCTTTTCTGGAAGAACCTCAGGAAACCCACTTGATCTCTTCCGGAAAGACTGAATTTCTGCGGTGAAACATCTGTCCCCAGAGCTGGTCCTGAAGTCTTGAGATACTCAGCAAGATCCGACGTGTCACTTCCATTAGTAACAGAAGCATCCCTTGGTTCTGCACGCATCTTCTGCCGGTTCCGTTCAACATGCGCCGCATGTGTAGGCTGAGTCGGCCGATACTTGTCCAACTTGGAACCCACTTGGGTGAGATGAGGCGATTCAGCACGAGGCCCATTACTCGGTTTAGCCGTAGGGCCATTTCTACTGGAAGTCGTGCCTTGGAGATAGTCTCTCAGCCTCGAGTTGCTCGCTGATCTCTCGACCGTGGCAGAAGTTTCTTCTTCGGCTGGATCCGGCACTGCTGCTAGAATCGGCTGCGTCGTCATGCCAGGCGGAGGAGCGGTGTTTCTGAGGAAGTCGACCAAGGACTCCTCCTCCGCCCGTCGTTGTTCCGGGCCGGAGGCCTCCTCCATGTCGTCGTCCTCATCACTGAGATCAATGGCATACGGATCGCGGACTTTTCGTCGATTCTTCTTGGGTATATCTCCCGATTCGGGAATGACAGGCTGTCTGGTGATCGCGTGTACAGAAGTTCCGACCCCGTTTGAGTATTTATTAGAGGCACGGTTGCTCGAATCCAGAAGGCCTGTGCGCGAATTCATCGACGAAGGCATGGACTTGATTGTGACTGAGCTCTCCTGAGCACTGCCGATGGAGTTTCGACCTCGGGAGTCCATATCGAGTGGAGGGGCAAGCGCATTGAGATCATCCGAATCCATGGTCGTGCGGAAGGGTGCCACATTTCGGTCGATTCGATGATCACCTGGTGGCCGGGGAGGACCTTCCCTGATGAAGTCAATAAGATCGGAACTCTCGGCAGTTCGAGGGCCTCTAGCGTCTCGTGCCTGGTACTTCAGTCGGTGGACAGGTTTTCCCGAAGTTGTCGCTGGTCGTTGCTCGTCCTTGATCGCTTCGGAAAGAGCGGCTCCCTTAGTGCCCGTCCCCGCCCCCTGAGCTGTGCCCGGTCGGGGTGATAGCGGTTTGGGAAGTTGCATTTCATTCTCCGGTCCAGTCGAGCGGGCATAATCAGCAAGATCTCTGGTGGAAATCTTCGCCATTCTAGGGTCGCGCGGTTCTCCCAGAGGATTTTTAGACCTCGAGGGCGAGCTCACAGGTCGCTGAGTATTCGACTGAGCAGGACTGGATTTGATGTTGTTAGGCAATGGTATTTTGGTGGCCGTCTGAGGATTTGATCGGAGACCATTGATGCTGCCTTTCGCCGAGCGAGACGACCTTGGCCGACTCACGTCTTCTCCTGGCGGGGCAGTGTTTCGGAAGAAGTCTGCCAGTTCTTGCGTCTGACTTTTGACTTTGGGCTTCTAGAAATAAGTTAGCGATGCTCTGTTCACGGGATGCAGTCAAAATACCTCATTAGTCGCTCTGGCAGTCTTTGGGGTGAGCGTAATATGGAGCGTTTCATCGCTATCGATGAGGACATCAAGGCTCTTCTTTGCTCGGTCCATCTCGGTTGGAGGAGCAATCCGACGTTGTCCATCATCAGCCTCAGACCGAAGCCGGACATGGGGCCGTCCAGCTGTTGAAGCCCTGAAGTCTTTACCTTCGCTGGGATCTTGCGTTTGAGGTGTCTGGAAAATGCCATTTTCGTCCCGACTGGCAGCGAAGGATGAGGTGGCATATCGTGGCGCTCGATCCTGCGAAACTTGGCCCATGTCTTCCTGAGTGGCTTCACGCTGTTTTGGAAAGTATTGAGGATGTTTGGACTGAGTTGAGGTTCGAGCAGAGGTTGTGCCCTCGCGAGATGATGTCCGCTCTTGAATAACCACAGGCCATGCTAAGGTCTCGGTTGCTCCTGCTTGGTCTGCGCTGGTATGTGCGGAGGCTGGTACGGAAACCTCATGCTGTCGTGACGGCATGTGAGGTACGGACTCAGGATATTGTGTATCGTGGCTTCCAGGTGGTCCCTGGTAGAAAATGGCAGCTGTCCCCAGAGCACCATCGTCCGTCTCGTCAGTCGCACTTTGTCTTCGAACAGGGTCATGATCACGCATGCCCGCTTCATGAGCGTCAGCGGTCACTGAACCCGCTTCAATGGAGGCAGATTGTTGATCATGTGTTAGAATCTCTTGCTCCGCTGCAGACACGCCAAATCCAGAATCCCTAAGATTTGTATGTTCATCTACAGAGGCTTCTCTTTCGACCTCAGAGCTCAATGCAAGGTCTTCTGGATCAGTATCATTTTCATTTCCTGCCTCAGCGAGGGGCGCAGCACGAGCGCTCTCACTGCTTGCAGAGGGCTCAACGTCTTCAGTTGCGCTATTATTTGGACTCGCCTGTAGAGTATCTGTGTTCGAAGCCTCGACTGATTTGAGATGCTTTGGTTGTTCTTTCCGGAATGCTCTGGACGCTTCAACGCTTAATGCTCCAGCAATGGTAGCGACAGTGCTGCTGATGCTGTTAGATGTCACACTGTGATTGCTCTCTTTCTCTACAGATCGAGACGTGGAGCCGGTAAGGTCTTCGGAGCTTGCCGAGGGGTTCAATGAATCGTCCCTGCTTTTACCATATGTCGCGCCTACTGCGTCGTGTCTCGACGGCACATCTGAAGCGGATTGGGGCGATGTTGGGACCGAATGTGGTCGTCTTCGCGTCAACAAGGATCTATCGTCGTTGTGTTCTTGGCCAGCGGGTGGAGACACTGCGTCTGGAAAGTTGCCGGGCATGATCAGCATGCTCGACGGTCTCCGTCTATCCAGTCCAGGGCGCTCATAGAACATTCTGTCGTCTGCGTGATCGGTCGAGGGGGAGAGACCTGGCACTTCGATCTCTTCCACATCGTTGTCCGACATTGGAAGTGGAACCTCAGTCGGTAACGGACTGGGCACCGGACGGATGGATGGGCTATGCTCTTCGTGAATGGTCGAGAATGGGGGAACAGAGGGAAACTTCCATTCATACGCGGGAGATTCTGGAGACCCAGGAGACATTACAAGCGGTGTCGTCGGGCGAGAAGACATGCTGACGCTGCCGCGGATGCTGCCCTTCCAGGAGCGCCAAAGCCGAATCAGTGGTCCTTCCTTACCAACACCTGACATGTCTATCTCCTCCAACACAATGATGTCCTGGTCTGAGGTTCGATTCGGGCCTGCGGATTGATCTGTGCTCTGGGTCTTGTTGACCGACTGACGCCTTCTCGCATGTTGGGCCGCAATGCAGAGAGCTTGCTCACCCAAGAATTCAAGGACCGTGGTCAGGAAGATGGCGGCGGACGGTGTGACTGCTGCAGCCGTTCTGACCGACTCCTTCACCCGGCCGATGTGTTCCCTTAAGTCGTCATCATCGAGGTATTCTTCTTCATCCTCTTCTTCCATGTCTCCAAGCTTCGCATAGACCATACAACGGAGTCTCGTGAGTTTCCAGGTGAGGTCGATGTCAAAGTCTGCTCTTGGATCCAAGACGGCTACTGTAGATTGTACTTCCTCCAACTCATCTTCATCCAGATAGTCTTGCAACTCTTCGTCGGCGGCTCTCAAAGCACTTTGTCCCAGCCTTTGTTTCAGGACGACCGGAACTGCCGATCTGATGGCGCTCAAGGTCACCGAATGCGATTTCGCGATAATGTCATAGAGGATCTGATCGAGGAAGCCATTGACCAAATGAAGTGCGTTTTGCGCGATTCTGGCAGGCCGCTCAATTTCCGCGTAAACCAATTTCTCCGCCTCACCATCCGAAATATAAGCTGGCTGTGGCCTCGCATGAGGGAGTGTGGCTTTTGTAGACTTCGCAGACATCGAGAGAACGTCGGTCCCTGAGCCCATACTGCGCAGAGCCCTCACAGTGCCAGTGTCCTGAGTATCATGTCTCGCGTTGCGTTGCGCCATCTTGCCCTGGAGGGTCTTGAAGGCCAGAGATTGTCTACCAGGTCTTCACAGCTCCCCACGAAACAGGGTACCCCGTCGCACCCACTAGATATCCATGAGGCGTACTTGAGTGATGCTAAGGTGAGGTTGTGGTGACTGTCCGAACCACGGGAGGCTGTCGGACGGCAGCAGACTCAAGAACAGTGACTGTACTGTCAGCGCCCTGATAATCTGGCCTTGGACGCAGTTTGTCCTCTTCGCAGATAGAGACTGTGACCGATCGCTGAAATACGAGGGTCCGCTGAATACGAAGGAAATCGGATACGAGGTGGCTGCGCACACCTCACCGTCGGTCGGTGGACGCAAGAACCAGGTAATCGAAAGGAGAGAATAGACTGAAGGAGGTTTACATGGCTGAGAGTATGGAGGTGTTTGTCTCTTGGACCTTGCAAATGGTGGGAGCGTAACAGGCAGCTGGGCACTTTCAAGTTTGGGGCTGGTGTTTCAAGCATGAATTGGAACACGGGGGGCTGTAGGCACCATCGCAGTGGATGCATCCAACTACGACGAATCCGCACCTGGTGGACCTCGATTGCGGGTGTGTCTCCCCATCCGTTCACCCTCCTTTCCCTATGCTTTCAAGTGGGCAACCTCTCGACGGTAGCTTCACGGCTCTACACGAAGATCTTTCCGCCATTGGCTTTGGTGTGTCTGTATCACCTGCGCCAGCCTCAGATTGGATGTTCGTGGGTGAGAAGGGCAAGCTCCATCCCCTTTTCACTACGAGATAAGCTAACAGACCCCAGGCTCTGATCCAAACCATGATCCGTCCTCAGAGCCTGAAGAAGCCAACCACCTGTTTGCACGGCGCTGACCCCTGATCACTCTGGCAATAGATCCATACCGTTTCTCTCTCTTCTCCGAACCTTGTGCGTCTTAGGGCGGAGTCAAGTCTATAAATTTAGGTGCACTAGCCTTTCGTAGACGTTGGTGCAGCAGGCGGTACCTCGGTATTGTAGGCAAGAAGATCATAGCGAGACTGGTTCGCGCATAGTTCTGCGCAGACATATTCAGACTCTATGAAGAACGAGTACTGTGACAATTTGTGTGAGGATGATGTGCGGCTCCTATCACAAGCGATCAAGGTTGTAATCGGGCCTGAGGACCTTGCTGCTTCAACAGTGTCTTGTGTATTCCTCTGGCATTGTCTGCGATGAATCGACCTGACTTGCACTGTGGGGCCATTCGCAGAAGGGCTTGACATCTGTGGCTACACATGGCTCGTAGGGAAAGGGTAGAAGCCTACTCTTCGGCTTTCATTGTGACTGTCCACTCTAGTCGGACACCAGGGGCCGTATTTTCACGCACCCATTGGGAGTCGGCGATAAGTTGACTCTGAACGGAATGTTTTCACAGATATTGGTCTGTGAGACGAGATCCCTGCAAACCGAGATTGGCGCTTAGCTCCCTCGCTCGCCTATGGGCTTCCTCGTCGTCGTGTGGCATAGGCGACACCGAATGCGACTCTCCGGTATTCTTGGGACTGCTGTCCTGTCATTGCTCACAAGAGACCATGTGTCCGTATGCGTCCGCAATATTCGCACAGGCGCTGACGTCTGGCAAACCAGGGCTAAGAAGTCTCCGAGTGAAGGTGCCTAGCTGAGTGCCATGGAAGGGCCTCTTTGATGTAATCGCCAAAGGCAGAGATCGCAAGCCAAGGCCAGACTCGTCCCAGTACAAGATGCCAGCTTCGTGCTGGGACGTATGACGACGGTTGAGGAGATCAGCATAGCCGAGTGATTATCTAGGTCTGCATCCCGTCATGATCGGCTCTCGCAACGCTTTTGCTGCTTGTACGTGAGGCGTCCATAGAGGGTGGGAGCAGTCGACAAAGGGTGAATGCTGGCAGCTGATGGAGATTCCAATATACCACCATCTTTACTGCGCCAAGCGAGAAAGAGGAGCTTCATCAGTGCCGTGACCAGGGAATAGACTCAGGACCTGTCGGGGAGTGATCCTCCATCTTGTCATCTTAGAAGGCCGCCGAGGTCTTTCTCTATGCCTGAGACACGAGCTTCCAGGGCTCTTTTCCTAGCTTCCAATTCTTTGATTTCATCTTCTTCGAACTGGAAGTCCTGGTCCGTAAGTCCCACGAACTTATCCTTGTTATCTGGTTGCTTTTCCAATGCGTTTGCCTCCCATTCTTCATCATGGTTTTGTCCTTTGTTGCGGCGCTCCAGCAGCGATTGTTGCTCATACACCCTCTCCTCCAGCGCCGAAATCGATGCTGAAATCTGTCCGTAGCGGTTGTGAAGCACCTGAATCTTATCATCCGCTCCAGCGACATTGTATATCTGACAAAGTCTTTGTGCACCCTGAAGTAGCGCTTCGACATTGACACCATCCTTGGATCGAGCAGTGTTGCTGCTTGATTTTCGGATCTCCTGAAGCATTTCGTTACCCAATAACCTGGTAATCACAGACTGTTTGACGGGCGGTGCACTTGGGAAAAGAAATTCGCGCCCATGCAGCCCAGACTCTGCGCCTGTAGACCGAATCCCATTTTGTTGCCGTGTTCTAATCAAAGCGCTCGGGTCAAGAGAAAAGAGGGCCCGCTCGTGGGGTTCAGTATCGCGAATCAGTGTGGTGATCTCATGATCTTTGAGAAGCGCGCTGGTAAAGATCTTTTGCGGAGGGAACCTAGAGGCGGTGAGAAGAGTCATGTGTCGTTTTCTGGTGTAGAACCTACTCCAGCTCTGCTATAGATTTGGCAGACGTTGATATCTGCTCCAAATGGCTTGCCAGAAGAGCCATGTTGGTAGAGAAATACAGGCACGTGTAAGATGTGTGGGTGTCTTCACCAAATGGCCTTGCCACCAATGCAGCACCCGTACGTCGGCTCCTTTCCAGTGCACATCAGAGGAGGACTCTATGGCGTCGACATCGAAGCGCCTTAAGTAAGTCGCGGGGGAAATGGTTATTGCAGGACGTTTGTTGATGCGGCTCCTCCTGTAATAATAGTGCGGAAGGAAACGCGTTTGTCGTGCCTGGCCTGCGCTTTTGCTCTATGACCGACCGAAGCCAGAAATGCGCATCTCCAACCTCAACCAACGGCACCTGACCTCATCACCACTTCCATCTTTGCTTCATTATTGCATCCATCCTCGCACCAGTACCAATCATCCACTGCCAAACCACGCCTGCTTGGACGCAATAGTCGTGGGTTCAGAACCGCAAGCTCAAATTCGCAGACTGTGACGGCTGATAGGCGCAACTCGTGATCAAACAAGGCCAGCCGGGCCCCTTCCAGAGAAAGACGAAAGATCAGGGACTGCTCCTCGAACTACGACCACCTATTGGGTCTCTGCTCGCCAGCGCGATCTACATCGTCCGGAACTAACTCAGTCCTTGACCAGCATACTCAAGCTCCGCCGAAGATATGAGCGGCGACAAACCCCATCTCAATGGCAGTGATCCGGCTGAGAAAGGCATCGATGGCTCGGAAGATGTTGAGATGAAGGAAGGATCACAAAACCCTAAGAAGGCTCTCAAGCTCAACAAGGACAAGGATGGTGATGACGAGATGACTGTCGTCGTTCCACCCGCAAAGGGTTCGAACTCCCCTAGCGCTCCTGAGAAACCGACCGAGGCGGACCTCAAAAACGGCGCTGTGAATGGCGACGCAGCAAATGAATCTGAAGCGCAAGTTGATCCTCAAGAAAAAGTCATCTTGGGTGAGTCGCTCCAGAATTTGATGGATCCTATTACATTTACTGACCTCTAGACAGAAATCAAAGCCAATCTCCCACTACTCGAACGAGGTGTAATCCAGTTTGATCCGCGATTCAGCTTGAGAGTGCTTCGTTCAATACCTTCCACCAGGAAACAGCTTTCTGCCTATGTTGTGGCTACTGTAGTCACCGACACCTACCCAATTCCCACGGCAACTGCGATATCTCTTCTGACGGCCGTCAAGGATGACCCATCCTTCCCTACCCAAAAGGTTGAAGATTGGCACAGCAAGAAGGATACATCTCTGCAAAAGAACTCCCAGAAAGAAATACTGCCGGAGATTGACATCTATCTCTCGATTCTGGTTCAGGTGTACCTTTACGATAAAAAGTCTATCGACGCCGGTGCTCAGTTCTCTAGCGCTCTCGTGGATCACCTGCGCACATTGAATCGTCGCACCCTGGACCCGCTGTCTGCACGCGTCTACTTCTACTATGCACTCTTTTTCGAAGAGCTGGCCCCGTTGCCACCATCTCCTGCAGCGGCAGTGATCTCAATTCGGAAGAATCTTCTGGATGCACTGAGGACGGCCACCTTGCGGAAAGATCAAGACATCCAGGCTGCTGTCACCACTCTTCTCTTGCGAAACTATCTGTCTACATCGCACATCACCCAAGCCGACCTGCTGATATCTCGTACCAAGTTTCCTGCGGCAGCGGCAAACAATCAATTTGCTCGTTATCTCTACTATCTTGGGCGCATTCGAGCAATACAGCTCTCTTATACAGAAGCCCATGAGCATCTCACGGGTGCGACTCGCAAATCACCGACCGCCTACAAGGCGAGTGGCTTCTATCAGGCATCGACCAAACTGCTCGTTGTGGTGGAGCTGTTGTTGGGGGATATCCCAGACCGCGCAATCTTCCGGCAACCAAGTCTGGAGCAGGCTCTGCGGCCGTACCTTCAACTCGTCGAAGCCGTCAGCTCCGGTGACATTATCGCCTTCCAAAATCTCGTTCAGCGATACAACTCGACTTTCCGAAAAGATGACACCTACACTCTCATCCTGAGACTGAGGCAGAACGTGATCAGAATGGGAATTCGCATGATGTCTCTTTCTTACGCCAGAATCTCGTTGCGCGACATGTGCCTGCGGTTGGGCCTGGATAGCGAGGAATCCGCCGAATATATGGTTGCAAAGGCGATTCGTGACGGAGTCATTGAAGCGAGTCTTGACCATGAACGTGGCTTCATGAAGAGTAAGGAGGTGGGTGACATCTACGCAACCAGAGAACCCGGTGACGTCTTCCACGAACGTATCCAGGCTTGTTTGGCTTTGCACGATGAGAGTGTCAAGGTATGTAATATCGCATCTCGATCTTGGAACCATTCTGACTCTTTCACAGGCCATGCGTTTTCCAATGAACCAGCATCGACTAGAGCTCAAGAATGCCCAGGAAGCACGCGATCGCGAGCGCGAGTTAGCCAAAGAAATAGTGGACGGAGACATGGACGACGATGACGCACCAGGCGGCGATTTCGAAGGGTTGTGAAGAAACCGAACTTGTTGTGTATCATAAGCGTGGACGGATCCGGCCAGCACAGAATCTTGCTTCCATTAGGCTCTCTCTGTGAGTGACCGCGGCTGGTAGGGAAGTCGGTTTCCCTGCAAAAATGGATTGCATGACCTCCGGGTTGGGATTGAACTCGATGCATTGGGGGGCATGTCGCTCAAGGCCACGTTCAACTGGAGTCACCGATGTCTAGACAGTGTTGTCGGTTACCGTGGCTGACCCATATAGACGAGCGACAGAAGTAATATCCCGTTACACTATGCTCATTCGATTGTAGACTTCCTCCAGGTGTTTTGCTTGAACAGCCGGCCTTGTTGCTCGTCTTGACTCTGTCGTCCTCTACCCACGGCACGTGACAACAATGTTCTTCGTCCGAAAGCGGTGATATCTCGGATGATGTTTGTCCGAAGCCCCGACGTCATTTTGTTTGCAACGCCTAAGACGCGTTTGTTTCGTATCTCTGTATAACAAACAACCTGAAGGAAGGGCCTTGCTGCATATTGCATTCTGCTTCCTGCACAGTCTGATCATTCACAACAAACCAGCAGCCCTGAATCAATCGATCCAAAAATGTCCCAGCCTCATACATCGTCCCAGACACGTCTGCCGACCAGGACCAGGTCTCGTTCTCCCGGATCTCGACCGACGACTCCCCTTCGCGCATCTTCTCGGTCCTCATTCCGGACGTCGCAAAGCCATGCTTTCGGGGGAGCGTCGCCTCTTGACAACTTTGAGCCACAGTTCGCAGAGTTGAGCGACTCAATGGCAGACCTTGAGGCGAACCTGATGCATCTGCAACTCATGCATGAGAGCCTAAGCCGATTTGCAGAGAGCTTTGCCAGTTTCTTGTATGGGTTGAACATGAATGCCTTTGTCGTGGACTTTCCCGAAGTAAGTCGTCTCTCTTGGATATATTTCTTTGCCCCAGAACTAACGCTCCCTGTCAGGCTCCGTTACCTGAATCTTTTAAGCGCTTCCAGAAACGCCAGGGTCAAGGGGATATGGACGAACAGACCATCTTGCCGAACAATAGCATTGACAGTCGGTTGGGAGAGGGTGAGGCGAGCATGTTGAATGCAGACGCCAGCTTCACGAGCTTGAAAGCTACACCACGTCGGAAGACAATGGCACCGTCAGTCACTCCTAGCACGATGTCAACATCAACGTCGACATCAAAACAAAGCCATATACCAGGTCGTGGAGGGATGGCAGGGAGAGCGAGCAGAGCCACTGGTCGTGGAGCAAGAGGGAGCGGTCTACCACGCGGGAAAGGAAGAGGTGCAAGATAGGCACGATGTCATAGAACAGCTATTCCCAGGCGCTGTAAAGGGCAACAGGGTGGTGATATTGTTTACGTGCCCGCGACCTCACCGTCAACTTCTTCTCTCAATCATCTCACTCAGTTCAGCTCGCTGTCGACAAGATCCTGATCAGATCACCTTCCAAAGAGACTTCAGAGCCAAACAGAATCACTCAGAGATTGCCTCAAAGCCACCGGATACCTCCTTGCCCCTCGAGTACGATCAACCGCCTCAGGATTCACCCGATTCGCTTTTCACGAAAGCCAGAGATCCGCCGCAGAAGAGACGGGCCGAAAGTACAAGCCAGCGGATCTAAGAGAAATTCTACAGACTCTCCTACCGGCAAGATGTCCAATACTCCTCCTTATGCCCGTAAGTGTTACAGTGTCGTTGCTTTACACTAGATTAGTCGAGTATTAACTGCTACAGAAACCATGCTGTCACTCGCCCCAACGATGCCCGAGCTGCGCGGCTACATAAACCTCTGGTTTATGCTGGTCTTGCGATCCTCCACATTGAAGTGGGCGATCGAGAAGATCGAGCGCCGGGCCGTCAGCCTCGGGGGCCGCCTGCGCCGCCCACCCCTGCCGACGCAGGAGCAGCTGGGTGCGCTGCTGGAGGAGGTGGGGGCGCTGCAGCGGACGCTGGCCTCAGCGGAGACGGCCTGGTACCGGACGTCGAGGATCGTCGAGGTCTGTGTCGGGGTCACCACCAGTATGGGCAGCATCTGGTTTGAGAATGGGGATTGGCGGTCGGCGCGAGGCGTCAGCCTGGGGATGGTGGTCGCCGGTCTGCATACCTTGCGGCAGCTGTACGAGGAGGATTCGGTGACGGTCGCCCGGTTCAATGAGATCCCGTTGGAGTTCTTTGATTGAGTAAACCTAGGCTCGCGATGCGAGCGGTCGCCGCTGTGACGGCAAGACCATGATAACAGAGGGAAGCTTGACGACCTGTTGACTGTGCTCTTTGTTCTGTCTCTTGTGCAAGACGTTTGCCAGTCGCTAACATCGTTACAGCCTGGACTGAGATGGTGTTATGTCTGTCCCTATCGTGCCCTGTTTCACGGTAGCAGTGGTTCGCACCGCATCAATATTGTAGATCAGTGACCTTACTGTACTGTCGCCCACCGTGACTGTTGATAAAATACCTATGTTGATATAGGTAGTCGCCCACGCTGTATAATTCATACTATCTACTATCAGGCTGCTGTCTTTACTCAGAGGTATTGATAATGCAGGCTCGATGCTCACAAGACTCCTCCCGACCATATCGACGAGGTCTGTTTAATGACCTCTGTGACATACTGTTACCCACCTGTATCGTCGATAACCTATAGTAGATGACTGAAACGTCCTCCTGAGATGCTCAACCATGAATATCTCCGACAATACAAGGCTGTCAATGTGTTTGATATCTGATGGCGTGCAATATCCGGTGTCGTCAGGGCAAACGGTGCATTTACCCGATTGGGCGACGAAGCCTCATTCAACTTCGTCCAGAACTTTTGAAATCTCGCTGTGTTTCTTTTCTGCCAGAACCACCCAACGCAACACGCGCTCGATGCTATTGTCTCTTGAATCGACTATTGTCCATGCTTCTGTACCTCCCACAATAGCCACTTGAGGCTATTCAACCATTCAAGCCATCGGCGAACGAGCAAACTCTTGCCCATAGAGATCGATTCGCCTCCTCCTCTCCTGAACTCGGATTTCACAACCTATCCACCACTCCTCTACTTCTACACACAGATCGTCTTCTCTGTTCAGATAGACTCCATCACTTCTACCCAACATGGCTCTCACCGTTTCTATGCCGACAGCAGGCTGCGAGCATCTAGACACCGAGACCATCGAGAAGATTCGTCACTTCCGGCAATCGCCGCCGCCCGGCATGGATGCCAACTTCGCCCAGTACGCGTGTCTGCAATGCTCGACGCCAGGCAGCTTCCCAAGTCTAGACGAGCATTTCGCCGAAAGCAAGCACACGTTCGCGGTCAGCCAGAAGTCGGTGTATTGCGGGCGCTGCCATGACCTGGTCTACGACCCAGCCTTGCTGGGCAACGGCAAGAAACGCAAACTGACCGAGAGCAACGACGAAGACGACTCTTATCTGACTTCCAACACGTCGCAACGACCGTGTGGCCGCAGCGGCGTGCGAGGCCTGTTCAACCTCGGCGAGACATGCTACATGAACGCCGTGCTGCAGATGATGGTGCACAATCCGCTGCTGGCCAGCTATTTTCTCGGCATGGGCCATTCCATGCACACGTGTCCGATCTCCAAGGAACCGGAGAAGAAGGCTGAGTCGTCGGACGACGAAGACGAAGCTTCCGAAGATGTCAACGGCAGCCAGAGCCAAAAGAAAGAAATGCAGGTCTGCGTCGCCTGTGGTATGACCGATCTCTTCTCCGACGTCACCATGGTCGACCAACCCCTTCCTGCACACGCGGTTAATCTCCTGTTCGCTTCTTGGAAGAACATTCCTGTAAGTCGACGACTTGTCTCTTTCAAGCTTCTCTCCAACACCTCTTCTCTCTCTCTCTCTCTTTTGTTTGCGCATTACTAATTCCATGGTGTCCATGACTGCAGCAAATGTCCGGCAAAGGCCAACAAGACGCGCAAGAATGGTTCATGTACATCATCGACCGGCTGCACGAGGCTGTGGCGCAGTACGCGACCCCAGACAAAACCAACAGCGTCAACGCGGCCAACGGCATCGCGCCGATCGACAAGCAATGCGTCTGTTTCTTCCACAAGGTCTTCTACGGCCGCTACCACAGCCAGATCACATGCGACACGTGCCACACCGTGTCGGCGCGCGAAGACGAGTTCTCCAGCATCAGCCTGGACTTCAAGAAACAAGTCAAGCGGAAGCGGAAGGCTGCCAAGGACGCCGCCGCCGCCGCTGCGACCAGCAGTACCGGTGCTGTCACCACCACGACTAACAAAAAGGACGCCGACAAGGACAAGCCGCCGCTCAAAATCGCCATCCCCAACCTGCACGAGTGTCTGCGCAGCTATACCGCCCCGGAGCCGCTGAGCCCGGAACAGTACAGCTGCACGACCTGCAACGCGCGGCGCTCCGCCAGCAAGCAGACGCGCCTGCGCAAGCTGCCGGCCATCCTGTGCGTGCATGTCAAGCGCTTCGGCATGAAACAGCTGGGCACCGGCGTCTGGGTCCCCGAAAAGTACGAGGGCAAGCTGGACTTCCCGCTGCATCTCGACATGGGCCCTTACACCACCAAGCCGCCGTCGAGGACGACCACAACTCCGCAGAACGGCACGGCGCGGACCACCGCCGCCGGCACCTCACCCGCCGAACGAAAGCCCGACGCCTACATGTACGACCTCGACTGCGTGGTCGTGCACCAGGGCGACCACGCCCAGAACGGCCACTACTTCGCCTTCTGCCGGCAGGACAACAAGTGGTTCCGCTTCGACGACGAGATCGTCTCCGCCACCACCACCGAGGACGTCTTGAGGCAGGAAGCCTACCTTTTGTTCTACTCGTTGAGGAGCCTGGAACAGGTCTAGATTTGCGTGCTGCAGGTCCTTAGGGGGAGGCAAGAAGGCAATGTTGGAGCGGGCCACAGCAGGGACGGCCGGTGGACAGCACTGAGCAGAACAGCGCAGAATAGAAGAATTATCTAATATCATTTTTGGGCGGCGATATACAGGGAGCTTTCCTACTACCCCGGAACATTTGCTTCGCTTTGAGTCTCATCCGCGCCCGGGTTACGATGCCCCGGCTCGAGAGAGGTGCCGAATCCCTTGGACGACATTGGCAGCCCCTATTCGCCCGTATGTCAGAGCTAACATGATAACAATATATTCAAGTCGGCTCCTCGAGACACCGGCGGACTCCTTTCAGAGACGGCTGTGTTCTACACAATGGCAACAGCATCAGTCAACGCCTGCCGGCTTCGCTTTCTTCTGGGGGAGGCCATGGGATCAAGTTGGCTTCTGACCGGAGCCCCGCGTCATTGCATCGGCCAGCGATTCTCCATATGTGCTTGCAGATTTCCCCGGATAGAGAAATCTTGGTCTTGGATGGAAATAATGACTGCATCAGTAAGTTATGCATCATGTCGGCGGCATTATCCAGTTGTGCAACTATGGTGGCCACGCGAGCCACGACTCTGTCTATTACTCACCTTCACGCAACGAACGGTACGGTGTCGACGAGACTTGTCAGTAGGAGTTCGTCTCAGCCAGTAGAGCAGTATCAGCCAGTGGGGCGGGCCAGGGGCGGACGAGACCGCCAATGCAGAGAGATACCTGTAGTACGTACTTGAAGGCAACAATCGAAGCAGAGCCTTGTCACCAGCGGCATAGCTAATGGAGCTAACAACTGGTGGGGTACACAAACGGTGCATCGCAGCGCGCCGGCGGCGGGTCAACCCAAGAGTCAACCGCAAGAGTATATCCTCTGAGTATCGTGTAGGTTGATTGAGATTGATACCTGGACCTAGTATTGTGTAGGAATTCGCAGGACAGTCAACAGCCCATGAGATCGATGGTATGCAAAGAGTTAAGCAGAGCAGAACGGCCCGGGCGAAAGATCGACAGGGGGTAACAGTAACTGGCCATCGCAGAGGTTGACTCGCTATCCCGTATTCTTGTCGTCGGTTTAGTAGTACGTGCGGATTGTTCCCGTTATCTGAATTGCGGCGCCGTCGGGGTTGTGGACAAGACGCGTCGGTTGAGTCGGCAGTGATAAGAGAAGAATAATATGATCTTGGTCCATTTTTTGTCGACCGCGAAAACCTAATAAAAGTTGAAGTGGCAGTCATCCCCAAGCCTCTTGAGAGAAATTTTTGCCTGGCTCCGCAGCTAACAGGGAGTTGCCCGGCATCCTGCAAGTGGCTAAATCGAAGATCGAGATGCAGGCACCCGGATGGAGTACTGGGTCACAATGGAACAAGGGGCGTTTTCGGCGCCGGCAGTATCAAACTTCTTAGTGGGCGGCTTCCGGCTTCGGCGGATACCAATGATGGACTGAAGGCGATTCGTGCGTATGGATCAGAAAATGTGACGGTACTGCTGTCGTTCATCACGCCGCGGGTGTCTCGAGAAGTGACTTGAGGTGAACAGGTTGCGTACACGAGCTCAGACAAGCCCGACAACCCCCGTCTCGAAGGTGTGGGCGGCATGGCGATGCCGTCACGAGAGGGCCATATTCCACTGCAGTGTGTTACATGTCTGAGTTGGCAAGCGGGGATGTTCGGGGTCGGGTAGACGCGAACAAGAGAGGCTCGATGTCCGAAAGGGGTATGATGTTGCGAGAAAGACCACCGTAGATGTTCACATAGAGTCTCACATTCAGGCCAAAGCAGAACGGATCGGACGATGTCATGTTGTCGTTTTGACCAGTGGCTCTTGTGGCTCCAGGAAAGCCATACCCTCAAGTATCCTATTGGCACAAATAATGATGAGTCTCAGGGAGGAGGAGGAGAAGAGGAGAGGATCGATGGTAAGCGAATAGACTGGGGAACAAATCGGCCGATCATCGTATGTGAGGTAGGTAGGTATGTAGGCAGCTTAGTTGTACTGGGGGATGTATGCGGAGGTCTCTGTAAAGTGCAACTGGGTGAGACCGCTGCCCCCATATCATTGCTCATATTACAAAGAATAACACCTAGCTGGAGATGCAGTGGTGGAGGACTCGGGGTGATCGTGCCAGTGGGTTGTCATGATAAACGAGCGCAGGCGCAGGCAGACACAACGCTGCCAGATTCTGCAAACTGCATTTTGTACAGAGAAGGTGCGGTTTCCACCAGTCAGTCCACTACTAGCTACTACTACTTGTGTTTCTCTCCGCGATCGTGATGAAGGAATATCAACAAATACTGCGTATTTTACTGGGCTATCGTTTTCTCGCACACTGACACTTGATACTACTTTTCATCAGTCATCTAGGTATCCGCACCCATGCGGCAAGCGAGGCCCGTTCCCAGCCCCCCGGCCTTTAGAGAGATACACTATGCCACCGTGCGTGATATTTCTTAGGCAACAGCAGTCCCCACACGAGATCGACGATCACCCTTGTGGAAGCTTCTTCGATGCTGTTGTCCTCAGACCACCACAAACAAAAACAGTGGTTTCGGCCAGTTCGTGAAGCCCATACTACGTACTAGTGGGCGCGGTCTTAGGGCTCGGAGGTAAAAGGATATAGCATCGGGGGCGTACAGAATGACTAGCAGTGGTAGTACAAGCAATATGGGAGGGGCACTGGCACCTTACCCGCACTACAGGTATCTATGCCATATAGCTGCAATGCATAGATATACATACCTTATGCATCAAGGTACTGGGAGGCACTTCATAAGCCAATACTGAACGTGGCATACATGTCTACCTAGGTACCTGTAGGTAGCTAGGGACACAACACATCTTACATTGACGATCCTACTACTGCTATACCAATGCACGGTGTTCTCTGTGATTGGGGTTTGTATTCAATCAATAATAGGTATCTATACATGCCAATAAGGCGACATGTGATGTCCCAATATCAAATGATAGTCAAGCACTGGCATATTAATCACAATGCTAGTACCTATTATGTGTTTTGCTCTGCATTCGGTGCATTGACATCATTTTATCCAGTTGCGCACCCGGATCCTTGGGCCGGATGGGTTGTGCCGGGAGGTCATGAGATGCCACTTCCAAGTGGTAGCATGCGAAAGGACAGTACCGTCTAGTAACAAATTGTGGTACGCCGTGGTCATCATCCATTGCAACAGTGCAGCTCCCTGCAAAATATGTCTGGACTAAATGAATAACCCGGCGTAATAACGGGGAATAATATATTAACAAGGAATAATAATGGCTGATGGTGGCAACTTAGTGCCATCAACCCACCGCTCTTGGTCAGCATTATTGCCTGAGTGAGTGCAGGTGTGTAGTGCACCTGTGCAAACTGTACTCCGAGTCTGTCACTGTTCGCCGTCAAACCCCATTAATACTGTCAATCGATGTGCCTGCGGAGGCTTTGTACGATGCATTTTTTTCCCATTTCGAATGCAATGGAAGAGCGTGGACCGCCCGTTGCCGTCGGTTCACGCGCTTTGCCTTTCGCTTGGGCCGAGTTATCCACCTCCGCTTCCAGTAGGTACTATACTACTATACTTACTACTAGTGCACCATCAGCCTTGGGCTCCCACACACTAGTAGTAGTCGAGCAGCCGGAGCCTGAGGGCTCCTGTTCCCTTAGCTCGAGGCTCTACGACACTACAATCCCTGCCACGAGTCGCTTTGTCTCCTGTCCGACTGACGTGCCCTCTACAGTTGGCGCCCGTTCCTCATCCGGTCCGCCCAATCAGTCCACCCGTGCCACGGCCTCGTCCCCTCTGTCCAGCGCCTTGCTCACCCGACACCGCGACAACAGATCTTGACCGACACATGCACTACCTATAGCGCATCCGAGCACTCCGGCTGCCTATGGAGAACTAGAATGTCCTTCGCGACTTCTAGTATCCTATACGTCTGTTCGCTGTCGCGCCTCCGCCCTCGCGCTCGCGCCCGATGGGTCGATGCCGATGACTCGATCGATCCAAAGCTGGCAGGCTCTGATTTTTACTAATATTGCCGGCCATGCTTCCTGCGATATGCGCTCACTCCTGCGATTTGCGCTCATACTAGTACCTGCGATTTGTTTCCTTGTCCCCGTCTCTCTCTCCGACGTATAATTCAGTATTGCCTCTGTGCAAGATATCTTTACCCTCCCCCTCGCCTCGCCGTCGTGACCATCGTAACCAAACTACCGCAGCAGAATACCCCGACTTCCCACTGACAGAATTCTTCTCTGTCTCTCCAGTGGAATACCGTCCTGTCGTTCTGGAAGATAGAACTTCCTTTCGTCCAAGTCAACATTCGGTCGGTTGAAGCCAGTGCCACCGGTTGTTGTGGAGGCATCATTGGTGTAACAGAAGGACCTGTTGATATACCCCGGGGGAGTGCTCAGACCTGATGTTGCCGTCAAGACACACCATAGCAGCTGTGCTGCTCCACCTGGCGTGGTTGACTGCAGCCCATGGCGGCGACGAGCATGCGGCCATGGACATGGGCGATGGCGACGCCCACGAGAAAAAGCCCCTAGATGACAATGATCAGTACAGCCTGCCGAGCTATGCTGGGTTGGGGATGCATGGGAATATGATCATGGCGCACATCGTTCTCATGGTGCTGGCGTGGTTTTTTATCCTGCCTATTGGTATGTCAGCCAGCAACGTTCATGGACTCGAACACTAACATTGTCAGGTGTGGTTTTCAGCGTTTCTCGCTCAAGATTTGCGCTTCCAGTCCAGTTCCTTTTCCTCATTTTGAATGGTCTGGGAGTCTTGTTCGGGACTGTGTACAATATCAATACTCCGGATCTGTATGAAAACAACGCCCATCACAAGATTGGCTGGATTGCAACTTGGGTGGTAGCCGCCCAGGTCATCATGAGCCTCTTGTTCACCTATTCGGGCAGAGGAAAGGCCAACCAGGTGTCCGCTGCTGAGCGAGCCGCATTTTTGCCCGTCTCAATTGAGAACATGGCTCACCATGACACCACCCCATACACCGATCACCGCTGGTCAGGGGATAGTGGCCAGGGTACGGAGCAGTCATCAACCCTCCATAGCCGTGACGGATCCCTCTCCACTCCTCACCGCGACGGCTTCGATGACTTCGAGAAACCGGAGCCTGAGCCAGAACCGGAATCCGAGGATGACGAGCCCGCCATTCCACAATCGCACCCGAGCCCGCGATGGCGCCGCTTCAATGTCTTGGACAAGTACCTGTCCGCTCGAGTCCCGAACCTCCTCTCGGCCAAGCTTCTGCGCATCTTCGAAATCGCATACGAAGTCATTGACCGAACAATTCTGGTCCTTGGTTTCATTGCCCTGGTCACAGGAGGGGTAACCTACGCCGGGATTTTCGTAAGTCTCCAGTCCCGCGCAGCCGCAAGGCTGGGCGCAGTTTGAGAAAAGAACACTACTGACCATTGACAGCGAGCGAACAACATTTTCAACGGACTCGCACACTTTATCAAAGGAGGAATCTTCTTCTGGTACGGATTGCTGACACTTGGACGTTGGATGGGCTGCTTTGCCGATCTGGGGTGGGCCTGGAATGTCAAACCCACCCGCAGCGAGGTTGGCCAATGGAAAGCCGCCGTACCATCAGCCGAGTTCGTCGAGTCCGCCGTCATTTTCCTCTACGGCAGCAGCAACGTCTTCCTTGAACATCTGGCTGCTTGGGGTGGTGCTTGGACGGCGCAGGATCTGGAGCATGTGTCCATCTCCATCATGTTCTTCGGTGGTGGCCTGGTAAGCGCCCTCCCCGTACAAAGCCCATATTATCCAGACCTTTTCTAACCATGACATAGTGCGGCATGCTCGTCGAATCCAAGTTCGTTCGGAGATGTCTCAACGCCGTTGTCGAGAACATGCCAGCCAGAACCGAGGTGCACCCCAGTGACGCCATTGAAGTGCGCACTCCGCCCAAGCAATATACCACCTCTCTGAACCCGATGCCGGCATTGATCATCATGCTCCTGGGTGTGATGATGTCTGCTCACCATCAAAATTCGATGGTCTCGACCATGGTTCACAAACAATGGGGCACCATGCTCGTCGGCTTCTCCGTGGCCCGGTTCTTCACCTACATCGTCAACTATATCTCGCCACCGACCTCAATCTACCCATCTCGCCCACCCACTGAACTGGTCTCCTCATTCTGTCTGATCTCCGGCGGCCTGATCTTCATGGCTAGCACGAGAGATATCATCCACTACATGGAGAGGGCCGACCTGATGGCCATGTTCGTCTTCACCGTCACCATGGGTTTTACGGCTTTCATCATGTCCTACGAAGTCATTGTGCTCTCCTTGAAGGGCTGGGCCACTCGAAAGGAGCTCCGAGCCGCTGAAAGATCCGTCAGCTATTGACTGACATCCTGTTGACTGTGTCAGTGGACGGCTACCAACCGACAACAAGAACAAACGAAAAGGCAGTCATGCCACATTTACAGGTTTCTCTTCTCGCATTCATTTACTGGCTGGCTAGCTGAGGCGACTCGATGCTTGATTCGCGAGCGATACCCCTTTGACGATGTTTGATGAAGGCTTCTTTGGACATGGGGGTCAGGGAATGGAGTTATTGGTTATTGCACGATACCCCGGACGCCGTCGCGTCGGCTGCTTTGGCACTGGGTAATATACCCAGGCTTGCATTATTATAGAGAGTCCTTAGCGACTGCCTGGCTGCATGTTGATAAGGCAACTAACTAATAAGAACAGCATAGAATCATATCTTTAATCCCAGTCCGCTCTAATCTTGAGGTATTTTGCTGCATTTCCTATGCCCACCTAGTCCTGGCTATACCCTTCAAGCCACTACAATTACTACGGTATCGGGTGAGGTATTGTAGAGTGATTTGGTCGACGGGCAGAGCAGGAGAGTTCTACATACTCACGCGGGACAAATAATGCGCTTCTCCGCAATCTGGGAGACAGTCGACAGAATGTCCAAAACAACTCGCAACTCGACGCCTCGACCTTTCAGCTTTTAGTGATACGGTGCGCATCTTCACATTCACACATATTTGACCACAATGGCGTATGAGAGCAGGGCTTCTACTATAATCTCCTGAGCCCAACTTTGATTGCGGTCTATCCCCAAGTTCCTCCAACGAAGCAGACCTCGACCTCGCAAGTCTCAACGACCACTCCACGAGATCCTTTCGCTTCGCCACGACCGTCCCGACCATGGCACCACCGAGGATAACTACCAATGGTCTGAATCTGCCGTTACCGACGCGCCTCATCAACATCTCCCGCTTACGGTCCTACCTGCTCCGACTCCCGCTGTTCACACGTCTAATTCTGCTGGCCATTGTCGCGTTTTGGGTCCTCGATCTTCAGACCGTATGGAGTGTGATCCAATGGGGCTCTCTGACCCCCAAGGAGGTGGGATTTGGAAGCATGTACCGGCTCAACACGTTCCCTCTGATACACATGGGCTTTTGGCATATGTTGTTGGACACGGCTTGCCTTATACCTCTGCTCGAAAGGTTCGAGGCCGAATGGGGGACCTTGAACAGCCTGGCACTTTTTATGGGCCGTAAGTTGATGCCCGCATCTGTTCATTAAAAGAAAAGAACACAGAAGAAACAGAAGAGAGCGCACTGCATATCGCAAGAGAACGGTACTAACAGCCTACACAGCGCTGGGCCAAATACCTGCGGCGTTATATCTGTTGGTGGATGGCGTAATTCTTCGAGACAACACTCCGGTGCTGGGTGCCAGGTATGGAAACAATTGCTTGCCCTCAGGCGGGCCACCCGGGCCATAACTGACTGTTCGGAATAGTATATGGGTCTTCCTCCTGCTGGCATCAGAGGCGATCAAAACATACAAGGTCCATCCTTTCATCGAGTATGCAACTCCTCGACTTGTGATTGCTTTCCTATGAAATCCGGCTCCAATGCGAGACTCTCTGACTGACCACTCTCCATAGGATCGCTGGCTACAATATACCCACCTGGATCTCGCCGTTAGCCCTCTTGGTGGTCACCTCGGTGCTGATCCCGAACACGTCGTTCCTTGGCCATTTGTGCGGCTGCGTTACAGGGTATCTATGTATGTGCATCTCTCCATTCCTTCGTCTCCTCCCAGCAGCTTTTCCATCCTGGACTTTTATGGTAAACCAGCCTGACAACCAAAAAGGGGGCCTAGGATACATTCGCTTCCTCGCGCCTCCCGAGAAAGTCCTTCGCTGGATTGAAGGGAAGTTCAACCTGTTGGGCCGACTGCCACACTACGTCTCGGTGGATCAACAGACCTACGGACGATATGGTGTTCTGCCGTCCAGTTCAACCACCAGCCCTGGTGAGCATGCGAGTCCCATCGGATTAGGCTGGGTCGGAGGAGGCAGTGGGCAAAGGCTCGGGCCTTGAGCCTCAAGCCATACTACAACGACTTTGTACCTTCAACTTAGCATTGGATGTGGCATTGCACTCGATCAACCCGGCTTAGCCAAGTGCAGAGACTGAAATGACACGGATCCTGCAATGTCCATGCCCGAAGAGCTTTGATGTATATAGACTGCTCCATGTATTTTACGCTAACGATACAACGAAAAGAATTGTTCTCCCGATTTTAAAGCACTTTGATTATGATACCACTGCAAAAAGAGGCTTCAATTCGTTTTCATGGCGAGTTCAGTGTACTGGTAATGTAGTGGCCAGTGACGAGTAGTAGTAGTAAGCACCAAGGCTGCCGCGGGAGATCTTCGGAAGATCGCGTAGAGTCCAAATCCATCCATCCATAAATGGTCCCACGGTATTTTTGAGCGCCATCGGTAAACAAGGGCCTTGCAGTGAAGCGTGAACTCTGGCCGAGCAAGGCCAAGATGGGACTGATACGTGAGTACGCTGACCACCAGTATTGTCTATCAGGCGTACTGCTGCCAGCAAGCGAGCGCTGACTTGGGCATCAGGAAACTCCATCTCCCGACTGCGCAAGGACGATCCGCGTCTGTTACGAATTCCTCCTTACTTGTCCGCCCTCTGCATTCTAGGAGGCATTATCTGGATCCTCCTCTTGCCGCTGAACGAATACTCCCGACAAACATACATCTCGGAAAACGCGCTTTTGCCTGGTCAAGTGCATACCTACTTCGGTGGTAGCGAGCAGAACGTGTTCAGAGCATACCGGCACGAGTTAGCGACGGTTTCGGGGTCTACACTGTCTCCTGGCGGAAATGAAACATCGTCGATTGAAGAAGAGCGAGCGTGGGCAGACAAGAGAAACGCGAAGATACAGGAATTGTTCCGCAATGCTGGCTTGAAGACCGCCAGACAACGTTACTCCTACACCTCTTCCGGGCAGACTTTCGAGGGCGAGAATGTCTACGCCGTACTGCACGCTCCTCGAGGCGATGGAACGGAGGCGATCGTGCTGCTTGCACCGCTGAAGAACATCGACGATGCCCTGAATGTCAACGGGGTACCCCTCTTAATCTCGCTTGCCAGATACTTCAAACGATGGTCGCTCTGGTCGAAGGACATCATCTTCCTGGTCACCCCGGACAGTTTCGCGGGACCTCAGGCCTGGATCGATGCGTACCATTCCACACACGATCCCCGAGCGGTTGAAGACTTGTCGTTGAAGTCCGGGGCTCTCCAGGCAGCCGTGTGCATCGACTACCCATTCGAACACCGGTTTGAGACTCTCCACATTGCATATGATGGAGTTAACGGCGCGCTGCCCAACCTTGACCTTTTCAACACCGCCGTGACGATTGCGTCCGGACAAATGGGAATTGGCACCTCTATTCAATTCCAACATACCTATACCGACCGCGACAGCCAGAGTGCATATCCATCCCGGCTTCAAATCCTCGTGCGTGGAATGGCGTCTCAAGCACTCGGCCAGGCCACGGGCCCGCATTCTAGTTTCATGACATACCACATCGATGCCATCACTTTGACTGCCATTGGGCAGGGGTGGCAGGACGAAATGGCTTTTGGCAGGACAGTCGAAAGCATCTGTCGCAGTCTGAATAATCTGCTGGAGAAGCTTCATCAGAGCTTTTTCTTCTACCTTCTGATGCAGTCCAATCGTTTCGTGAGCATTGGAACATATCTGCCCAGCGCCATGATCATCGCCGCGGCTTATACGTTCATGGCAATCTATCTCTGGGTTCTGAGTGGTTATCGGCTGAAAGAGAAGACCGCTGTCACGGTGGATGGCACCGCCGAGCAGGAAGCAAAAGAAAAGGATCGCGCTGCCGATAAGCAGACACCAACGAGTATTGAGCAGGTCCCAAAGGTTGAGTTTATCTCCATCGACAGGAACCTCATACTTCCCATCGCTCTGCTGGCTGGCATCCATCTGGCGTCGCTCATCCCCCTATATCTACTCACTTCACTTACTCTCAAGGTCATGCCGTCGACCTTCTTCCTGCTGGCACTCTTCTCTATCGTTCTACCTATCGTCTTGGCATCAGCCTTGCCCGAAATGCCAAACAACACGACCCTGCCAGCCTTTGCTGCACCGACCAATGAACAATATGTCCTGATCAAATCCTTGAGTCTGTTACTATTAGGCTTGTTCCTGACAGTGTTGGCAACTTTGAACTTCAGTCTCAGCATGTTCCTTGGCATCGCCTGTGTGCCTCTGGCGTTTGTGGATCGGATGCCTGGCAAGAAGCGACTTGCTGTGCTTCAGTATTTGCTTCTCCTGATCTTCAGTCCGATGGGCTTGGCTGCCGGACTGGGTGTGTACGAGTATTTCGTCAGCGGACAGAATCATGTGCTTGTCGCTTGGCTTCAGAGACTGGCGTTTGGGTGGAATGTCTGGTCAAGTTGGGGCGTGCCGGTCGGAGTGTTGTGTATTTGGTTGCCGGCGTGGATCGTGGGTGCGACTTTGGTGGCAAGTTCGTGGTTCTCAGGGGTGAACAACACGACGTCGCAGTCGCCGGCGGCGGCACAGGGTCGGCGTGGGGTGGTCAAGCATTCCATCTGAGAAGGATAATGATTAAAATGCCCGGTTGTGGAAGGCAAAAAGTGGATGGATTTGGCACTTGCCGCAGCTTCTGCCGTTACAGCATTACAAAGGCCTCTCACGGGAGTGGCCTCGTCATCCGGCGATCATCATAATTTGCTCTTCTCCGTCTTGTTTCTAGCCTCCCAGTTCTTCTCCTTCATCTTGATCAGGGCATACAGACTCTGCATCCTCGGCATCTCGTAGCCCTTTTCCCGAGCCAAGCGAATAGGATTGCCCAGGATGACCTCCAGCTCCATGGGCTTCCCACTTTCCCAATCCAGCAGCATGCTCGGCTTACTGCCGCTTTTGTTCCTCAGCGTCGATCTCAGAATACCTTCAGAGGAAGCAAACGACGACGGGAACGGAGTGCCGACGACCTTGGGCCCAGTGGAGAGAACTTCGTCCATGACGCCTTTGAGATGGACATACAGCTCCGCGTCGGAAGCCATGGCTTCATTATGACTGCCCCCGGAGAGCACGGCGGACGGGTTGAACGCGGCGTTGATGGCGATCTTGTGCCAGCGAACCAACTGCAATTTCTCGTGCGTGTCGGCAATTGCATCCTTGATACCTCCTTTCAGCAGTAATTCGACGAACCGTTGGTTTTGGGCTGTAGCTGTTACTTTCGCCTTCGGGTTCTGTTGATTCGACTCATTTGAGTCATCGAAGAATGGTCCTATATTGATCCGCGTCCATCGATTATGCCTGATATGGCCATTCGTAGGCTGTGCGGCCGACGCAACCGTCACGGCGCTCAAGATGGAAGCACTGGGAAACCGTCGAGCGTATGGTTGTTCAACGCCCAATCCGTTCTGGATCAACACGATGGCCGTGGTCGGACTGGTCACTAGACCCTCCAGCTGTTTCGAGTCATCTGAGATGTTGGGGAGCGCTTTGGTGCTGACCACGACGTAGTCCCATTGCACGCCGCTCTTTCTGGCCGACTCGGCCGAATCGAACGTCCGGGTCGGTGTCCATTGGTAGTCGCCGTACTGAGGCGATGTCACGCGAAACCCTTGGCTTTTCACCGCCGCGTAGTTGGACCGGCATACGACCGAGACGTTGGTGTCGGCATTGGTGGCGATGCGGGAGGCATAGAATGCCCCGATCGCACCGGCTCCGAAGAAGAGGATCTCGAGAGGCATATTTCTCTTCCAATATCTTGAGGTTTAGTCGGTGATGGGCCTCAGGGGATGGTGGAAGGAGATGTTTCTGTGAGAACAGAGAGCCGGGGGTTGATTGAGGTTATCAGGTACCGTATGTATGTTCTACTAGTACTGGCACTGGTAGCTCCTCACGATGGCTTGATGTCTTCGAAGTGAACTTCAAGTTGAATGATGCCATGCTGCCGAGGCTGCAATGGACAAGCAGTGGTGGAGATGGAGGACGAAGTCAGCCACGATGGTTTTGTGCACCGCCTCAATACGTCAGCCACATGTTTTGCTCCAGTGCACCACTGCACTGGCACTGCATCTAACAGCGGCGTGCGACTGCATCACTCCGGTACATTCCTGCACGTCTGGGTACCTCAGTCATACGTACCGTAGTAGTACAGGCAGACGTCGTTCAAGGTGAGACAAACAATCACGGTTTAGTCGACCTTTGGTCACTCAGCCTCAGCCTCACTCTAATATCAACCAACGGGGCTTGATGGCTTAGATGCTTCTTGAGTATTAAAGCCTCTTCCTCTGTCGGTCCCCCTTCCAATTTCGAATGCCAGCATTCTCCATTGTAACTCTACTCTTGGTTTTGTTCTTACACCTCTCTCCCTCGCTGACACAGTTCGTTCCCCAACTGACCTTCGACGAAACCAATCTCGCCATGATGGGTGGCGGTCACGGTATCCGCTCGGTAGTGTACTACGTCAACTGGGCGCCCTATGGCCGCAATCATCATCCGCAGGACCTGCCCGCGGAACATCTCACCCACGTCCTCTATGCCTTTGCCAACGTCAGGCCGGAAAGCGGTGAAGTCTATCTGACCGACGCCTGGTCAGACACGGACAAGCACTACGATGGCGACAGTTGGAACGACACGGGTACCAATGTATATGGATGTGTGAAACAGCTGTTTCTGCAGAAGAAGAGAAACCGCAATCTCAAAGTCTTGCTGAGTATCGGTGGCTGGACCTACTCTTCCAATTTCGCCCAACCCGCCAGCACCGAAAGCGGACGGAGACGATTTGCAGAAAGCGCCGTCAAGATCGTGGAGGATCTGGGATTCGATGGTCTCGACGTGGACTGGGAATACCCGAAGAACCAGCACGAGGCTGAAGACTTTGTCAAACTCCTGGACGAGACCAGAAGGGCTCTGGACGATGCTGCCGCTGCTACCGCTACCACGGAACATCAACACCCTCGATTCTACTTGACCGTTGCATGTCCCGCTGGGCCGTCGAATTTTGAGAAGTTGAAGATCGCAGAGATGGACCATCTGCTGGATTTCTGGAATCTCATGGCCTACGACTATGCAGGGTCATGGGACCAGCGGGCAGGTCATCAGGCGAATCTGTTCCCTTCGCGCTCCCATCCCGAGACTACACCGTTCAACACGATCGCCGCTGTCGAGCATTATACCCGGCATGGAGTCCACCCATCTAAAATCGTTCTGGGAATGCCCTTGTACGGTCGAGCGTTCACGTCTACCGAGGGACTGGGATATCCATATAACGGGGTCGGCGAGGGTAGTTGGGAGCAGGGGGTCTGGGACTACAAGGCTCTTCCCAAACCGGACAGTTCTGAGCACCATGACCCTGAGATCGGTGCGAGTTGGAGTTACACGCCGTCGACCAAGACGATGATCAGCTACGACACGCCTGCCGTGGTGGCCCAGAAGGCGGCCTTCGTCCGAGACTATGGCCTCGGTGGAGGGATGTGGTGGGAATCGAGTGGAGATAAACCTATCGGTCAGGGTAGCCTTGTTGAGACGTTTGTGACACACAGCGGCGGCAAGGGTCGCTTGGAGGAAGTCGGGAATTGTCTCGATTACCCGGAGAGCAAATATGACAATCTCCGGAACAAGTTTGAATAGGGGAGAGCCATGGTGACGTTGGTACAACCTCATTGAAGCATCTTGCGGCTCTTTCCTAAGAGCAGACCGCGGAACTGAGTGCCAGGGTCATATGATCTTGACTCCTAATTGGGAGGAGTCTGCCTCCTCCTTCCAAGTGGATTCGAGCTCGTGCTCGACGGCGAACCCTATATCATCTGCCAAAGACGTGGTGCCGCTCGATCGAACAACCGGTCAAGAAACTGGCGATATCTGCAGCTAGACACCAGGTAGATGGACGGACAACCGACTGCAGCTGTTGCTGAGCGAGATCACCGCCGAAGGTTTTATTGACATATCCGGTTTACCTCGTTGGCCTTGACAGAGTCTACCGCTGTCTGTAGTAGACTACAGAGTTATAAAGCTGTCATAAAGGAGATGTACGAACTTCACCGCGTACAAACAGCGACCACCGCTACAGACTAGACACCTATGTATCTGGAAGACGCCGGGAGTTACCATGCGAGCGGACAAGTGATGATTCGTTTGAGAGGTGCTCCTGCCATATCCCTTGACCACAAGGAAACTTGAAGCTTTGAGACGGACACCATGACCACTAAATGAATCCTGTCGACACTGAGTCAGCATGCCTACAACTTGAAGCCATTATTCAAACGCACCTGGAAAAGCTCCACCAGCTACCAGAGCCATGTAATAAATATCATGACGGCACGACTGCCTGGAGATCTAACAGATGTCAACTTCGTGTCAGATAGAAGACTCCTCCTTTGTCGCCACGTCTGACCTATCAGGGCTCAGGAGTAGTATCAGAGTACATGTCCCTCTCAAGCAGCGGCTGGAATCCGGACTTGAGGGTGTAAGCCACTACGAAATCCCAGATCGACCGTTTTTGAACGAGTGGAAGCGCTCTGCATAGGTAGGTAGGTGAGCAAGAGGTGGAACAGACAGGCGAAGTCGGTTGGTTGGTTGATTCATTCATTCACGAGTCATGACACGGTCAATATCATTTGCGGCCACGCCTCCTCTTCGTCTTGCCTCTCGCTAGAGAATCTTGACCGGTTCTTTGAGACTTGAGACCGGGTACTAGCAGGGGAACGAACTTCTCCTTGCATGTCACGGTGTCCTGACGTTAATGAGCAGAATATGGTTTCGAGGAATAAAGAAAATTGCATGCCGGCCAGACTGGAATGCGCGAGATTGCCCAGTTTTCAGGGCGCCCGTCAGGCTGAGAGGCCTGGTCCCGGACGCAACATACGAGGAAGACAAAAGGAGGGGAAGAAGGATACGAGGAGCGGGACGGATAAGAAGAAGAATCATGCTGGATTTGTATTTGCCTGAGTCTGGAGCCGTTGAACCTGAAGAGAGCGCAGTTCCGGTAGTAGGCCACTGACCAGTTATTGCCGGCTGGAAGATCCCGCAAGGATAACCGGTTTCCGGTATCTAAGGAGCGTCAACATGTAACGGCACCAGGCGGTGGTTGTTGACATTGTTATGCTGGCCATCATGTATGTACAGAGTATTGCCTTATTGTCCAGAGTCACAATGGGAACAAACATGTACCTTACGCATCCATCCGCCTGCGGCTTGATAAAGTAAGGTCGGTGATGCCACACGGGTGATACTATCTGTGGTACTAGGTGTAAGTAGGCAGTTTGTCACCAAGCTGCCAGCTGTCAGTTGCCAGCTGAAACTCGAGCACTACCAGCTAGTGAACCGATTTACCCCTGAAGCCGCACCTCCCTCACGCCCGTAGCCGCGCCCGCGCATCCACCATTACCCACCATCATCCACCCTCCCGAGTCGCATGTTTAGGCATCAGGCACCAGGCACTGCAGGTTAAGGCTAGGGAGGACTCCCAGTGTGAGATGTTTATAGAGAAAATACTGGACTCAAGAGTGTCCACTCACACTGCACAAGATGTCCGTCCGCTTTACCGCCCATCGCCATCGCCAACCCCAATCAACAACCATCCCTCTCCTATCTTCTCCTTGTTCTGCTGCCACCACCACCACCTCCTCCTCCTCCTCTGTCCCATGCCGGATCAGATGGCCGTTGGACAACCCCTGTCAACTGGTCCTCCCACGGATGCGTCTCACCGAACCTGAGGGTTGACACTCCCCCTCCGACCCATCCAGCCATATCCTCCCTATCATTGCGCACCACCGCCTTCTCCCACCTCATTCGTTCATTGCTGTTCCTGGTTCCTGACTTTCTGATCTCTCTGCTCGCTGTTCGACTTCAGCGTCGTTCCTCTGCCTTGTTCTCTTTGTCCCTCTTATCTTCCTCATCCCTGGCTCAGGCCAACCAGTACTCCACCGCTGCTACCTACGACTTTGTCCTGAACGAACCGCGTTGCGCACCACTCCCGTCGGCACGTCTATACCTTTGGCTTTGAATAGCATCCACACCAGTTCTTGAAACCGCTATCTTCCCGCGCCCGTCCGGTGTCAGGAAGAGGAAGAGGAAGAGGAAGAGACCGCCATCATACTATTTGGGGTGGAGCGTCTACTGCCCTTTGTTGTCGAGGCGTTGTCGCGAGGGCAAATATAATCTGATCTACCATCGCGCTGGTCGCAACAGCCTGCATTCCCGGCCGAACCAACATATCAAATCTGCGAACCCTGTTGGGAACCGGGCTGCCTCCATCCTGGAGGGAAGCATTGTGCGTCCGTCGCTGCACCCGATGAGCTGCGGCCGGTTCTGAAACACGTCCAACACTACAGTCACCCAACCCCCGAGGCTGCAACAACACATAATTTGCCCTTGAGCTGTCACCTGGTGCCCCGAATAAATGAGCTCTTCAATCCGCTCCGAGGTTCCTAGACGTGTCTCCAGTGCGAAAGATCGCCCAAAGGCACGGCGCAGCAAGACAAGCGAGATGTCTGTCGCAACCATGCTTCAACCCGCCTCGCGAGGCTCGACCTCGACCAACTCCTCCTTCGAACCCGTCAGCCGTCAAAACACCTTCTCGAGCCACGATGGCGCGCGGTCTTTGCGCCAAAGTAAACGTGTTAGCATGACGGCCCTGTATGCCAGCATGAGCGCAAAAGACAAGGATCTGGAGATTAGTGATGATCTCGCCCGAGCACAACGCACCTTAAGGGACCTGAAAGTCAAGATCTCAAATCAGTCAAAGAAAAACTTCGTTCTCGAGAAGGATGTCCGGTACTTGGACTCGAGAATTGCCCTCCTGATCCAGAACCGCATGGCTTTAGAAGAGGTATGCGATAATCTTTCCAAGCCGACGAAGAGCCTAGCTAACATCTTACAGCAAAATGAGGTCGCCAGTCATCTAGATGACGCTGCTGAACTGCAGGAAGGCTCGTTTCCAAACGACGACAAGACGCAGAAGTACGGCAATCTTCTTTTCATGCTACAATCGGAACCTCGACACATCGCCCACCTGTGTCGCTTGGTCACCATGGCCGAAATAGATTCCCTCTTGCAGACGGTGATGTTCACCATTTACGGAAATCAGTACGAAAGTCGAGAGGAACATCTGCTCTTGACCATGTTTCAATCAGTCCTGACACACCAGTTCGAGACGACCCCTGAATACTCGTCCTTACTGCGGCAGAATACGCCCGTCTCAAGAATGATGACGACCTACACCAGACGCGGTCCAGGCCAGAGCTTTCTGAAGGAGGTCCTTGCGGAGAAGATCAACTCCCTGACGGAGCTAAACGATGTGGACCTCGAAATTAATCCGCTGAAAGTTTATGAGGCCATGGTTAAACAGATCGAACAAGATACCGGTTCGCTACCAGATGATCTGCCGAGGTCTGTGACGGCCGAATTTGCGGCCGAGAACGTGCAAGTTCAAGCGATCATTGCGCCCCGGCTCAAAATGCTGACCGAGGTCGCGGAGGGGTTCCTGTCCGCGATCATTGATTGTTTGGAGGACACCCCGTACGGGATCCGCTGGATCTGCAAACAGATCCGGAATCTCTCTCGTCGCAAGTATCCCGAAGCTCAAGATCAATCAATCTGCACCTTGATTGGCGGATTCTTCTTCTTGCGGTTCATCAATCCCGCCATCGTCACACCGAAGTCATACATGCTGATAGAACGAGTACCGGATGAAAAGCCAAAACGGACGCTTACTTACATTGCCAAGATGCTCCAGAATCTGGCGAACAAGCCTTCATATGCAAAGGAACCATATATGGCCAAGTTGCAACCTTTTATCCAGCGGAACAAGGATCGTTGCAACAAATTCTTGCTTGATCTTTGCGAGGTCCAAGATTTCTATGAGAGCTTGGAGATGGACAACTACGTTGCACTGTCCAAGCGTGACCTCGAGCTGCAGATCAGCTTGAACGAGGTCTATGCCACTCATGCTTTGCTCGAAAAGCACAGCGCCGAGTTGGCCAAAGATCCCTCCTCTCACCTCGGTATCTTGCTCCAGGAACTTGGCCCGGCCCCTCCCCAACTGCCTAGGAAGGAGAACAGGGCAATCACTCTTCCGCTCTTCAGCAAGTGGGAAGCGTCGTTCGATGACCTCACTCATGCGCTCGACATCACTCAGGAAGAAATCTTCTTCATGGAAGCCAAGAGCACCTTTGTGCAGATCATGCGGACTCTGCCATCAAGCGCGGCTGTTATGCGGCGACCGTTACGCCTTGACCGCATCGCAGAGGCGGCGGGGACCTTGAAGAACGACGCGGTCATGGTGCGCAAGGGCATCCGCTGCATGGAGCTGCTATCACAACTGTCTGCAATGGGTGTGATTGATCCCGCAGACGACTACGCCATCCTGCGCGACGAGGTGGAGCAAGAACTTGCCCACCTTGGTTCCATGAAAGAGAAAGTGCTTGAAGAGACGATCAAATTGGAAGATGTCTACAAGACGATTCGGGACCACAACGCCTACTTGCTTTCTCAGCTCGATACGTACAAGAACTACTTGCACAATGTCCGAAGCCAGTCAGAGGGAGCAAGGAGAGGCAAGGCCGAAAAGGTTCGGGAATTGGGCCCGTACAAGTTTACCCACGCCCAGCTGGAGAAGGACGGGGTCATTACGAGAAGCAATGTGCCAGAAAATCGACGGGGCAACATCTACTTCATGTTCCGGAGCCCTCTTGCGGGCACCTTTGTCATCAGCCTGCATTACAAAGGTGAGTTTCAACGTTCCAACCTGCCACTGTCGAGTTTTGCGGCTAACAGCCAGACAGGGCGTGCTCGGGGTCTGCTTGAACTAGACCTGAAGTTGGACGATTTGCTCGAAATGCAAAAGGATGGTCAGGATGACCTCGACCTGGAGTACGTCCAATTCGACGTTTCAAAAGTCCTCGCTCTCCTCAACAAGAGGTTTGCGAGGAAGAAGTAAAGACAGCCCATCACGATCTATGTCATCTACGCCCACAGGACAGGAACCATGGCGGCCGAGAGAGCCTCCTGAGATTATGACGACGAAAAACGACGCGCACCCGACCGGAGCAATCGAAGTGAAGCATTGCTCGAGTTATCCGGCACTTCGCTGGCAAGGGCCATGGCCTTGTCCACCATTGTTTTGTTACGCAACCCAGTTGATCTTGGAATTGTAATATACCGGCGGACAGGGATGACGGTTGAAGGAATTGTTTGCTTGTTATTGGACGCGCTTGAGGAGAGTTGATTTACATAGGGTGTAATCTGGAAGGCGATGCGGGCGCGGCGGCTGCATTGAACGAGCCAGATGAATTCGGAAGGATACCACTGTACTAGTAGTAGGAAGCATTTCGTGGGGGATTGGTGCAAATTGATCTGAATGGAATCACCCGCCCCTTGTAGTTGAGAGATCTTTGTTACTGGAAGAAAGTAAAGTAGACTTGAAGATTCTACACGCAGGTGCGCAGGAGATGTAGATCGCCAGGATCTAGGTGTCGAGGTGTCTCGGTATGAAGTGGAACACAGGGTGGATAGCAGGCATCATCAGGCCTGAGCCCCATTTCACATGATTATCACCATCATCATCCACACCGGGAACGATGCCTGCCTGAAAGTGCGGGGTGAGAGGCTAGAGGCGTGTGTCGGCGTTGATCCTCCTGTGTCCGCGTCCGCAGGCCAAACCTGCTGCCTGCTATCCACGTTACTCGAGTTTCACGGCAGCCTCGTTTCTCACCCATTCATCCTTCTCGACTCCTCCTCTTTGGCAAGAGTATCTCTTGAATCCTCCCTCTCCCTCTCTCTAGTCCACCTTATGAGATCTCCTCGACTTCTGGATTGATCGATATCCTTTCTTGATCGTACAGGGCGATTCGTCATGGCCGACTCGTGCCCTCAGCCGTTGCTCCCGGCATTTGCCATACGAGACTTGAACGGTGCTGAGACGCCTCCAGCCGTCGTCCAGATCACAGCCCATCAGTACGATTCCACCGTCCAGACCGAGCCTGATGTCGTTCTCTCCTACATGGACGATGATGATGGCGAGCTCATCACAGTCGGAAGTTCGTTCGAGCTGGAACAACGTCTCGATGAACCTGCCCGACATTCAACCATGCCCATCCCCATGCCACTGAAGACCAGCCCGGATGCCGAAGATAGCATGATGCATATCTTTGATATTCAGCACAACGGCAAGAGCTTGACTACGTGGAAGAACTACGAGGCATACACGAGCAAGAAGATGACCAGTGGTGGTCCGCCTGCAACTGCTGGGAAAGTCAACCAATATGAGTCGACCTCACCCCAATCTCAGTCCGCCCCCAAAGCATCCGCACACGAAGCCAGCATGGGCCAGGTCATTGTCAAGCCAGATCAATCGACGAAAGATTCTCTCTTGAGCAACCTGAACGCACCTCCAGCAATGTCGGAGCATGCCACCAGTGGTGCCACCCCAACTGCACCGAAGTCAGGCCGGTCCTCGGACAAAGGCTCAAGCTGGTCCGACAACCAACTGTTCGAACTCTTCGATAACTTGGGCTTGAGTCTCGCCCCCATAGCAAACATGCTCGACACAGCCGCCGTTGGTCTGCGGCAGGTCGCCGACAAGACGGCCAAGGCAGAACCTGTCCCGGTGGAGGATCTCCTGAGCGGGTTGAAAGCGATCATAGCAGATGTTGGTGAACTTGGGCGCGAAGTTTTGGCCACACTTGATCTTGGGCTCGATCACTACAAGGCCAACAGAGAAAACGACAAGATTGAAACATCTGTCTCCAAGCCCGTAGCGCAACCATCACCCTTCGTACCAAGCCATGTCTCTGGCAAGGCTGAAGCACCACTCAAGGCCGAGGCTAGCGCGAAGAAAGTCTACTTCATCGACACAACTCCTTTTTCGGCAGAGCAGAAGGCAGACTCAGTCAATGCGCCAGCTCCTCCGGCTCGAAGATGCTCCGGCTCGAAGATCTCGTTCCATCTCCCTGGCACTCAGAAGCCGATGTTGTCCGAGCGATCACAGCACAACCCTCTGCACTCAGTCGGGTCGTATTTAACCGAGACTGAGGCACTGCGTCCCTCAAATACGAAAGCGTCGATCCTCGATTTGGAACCGTCCGAACCTGACTTCTCTGCTAGATACCCTCCATTGCTGTCGCTCCGAAAAGCAAAGAGTGTTGGAGGGTTGCATAATAAGTCTCAGGTCCCTTCTTCCCTCAATCACACTGGTATGAACGCGGCTTCGGCTTCCACCCGTTATCCTACTATCGGACAGTTTGAGCAACAGACCCGCTTGAAGCCGGTAGCCACTTTCGATGAGAAGCAGGACAGTAGGTACAACGCCGCTGTCGGTGTGACATCACCTGGAGATGTGCCCAAGTCCAGAAAGACCGAGGTTTACAAGAAGCCTTCGGTGGAGGACGATCTCGTCTTAGAACAAGCAGGAAAGAAGAGCAAAGGAGCCATGCCAGACATCAAGAACAACACCGCATTGCCACCGACGTCTGTCCCAGGAGCCTGGCCGGAGCACAAGGCAGAAGAACTGCATCCTGTCGGTGCCGCGACCACCCAATCCTACTTGGACTCAATCATTAGTGTTGCTCCTAATATTTCGGCTGCATCCACTCGCGCCGAGATATCAGAAGGTCTTTCGCAGCGCGCCTATGGTCCTATCAGCGACATGTACCACCGTGCAGAAACAGCTTCTCTTCCACGCAGATACCATACTGTGGGCGGCACCAATCCTGCTGCAAGACTCAACGGACCATTTGACCCACTGGTGCCACTCATTTCCCATCACTCTGACCGCCCTGCCGGAGGACGATCTGCTGCCTACACTCCTACCTGGATGACTTCGAATGACTACCCAGCTCTTGACAAGAGACGTCCGACCCATTCCACATTGACCGCAGAAGATCGTCGACCCAATGGCCAGCCCGAGGATTTCACATATCCCTACGCACCTGGTAATGGCGACTGGTCTTGCTCTCCACCAATCTCTGCCGCACGTCATGCTGATGCTCTTTCTAGAGCCCAGAGCACAAGTGCCCGTTACCGACACGTGGCTGGACATTCTCCCCAATTCAGTCGCCTGCGAGCCCGCCATGCAGATTTCTTCCGACCCAGTTTCGACGGCTTGACCACGAAACCATCTGTGGTTCGCCCAAGCAGCGACTCCACGACTGTTGGCCTTGCCCCACCGGTTCCGACCCAGACTCGTCTCTCGTCATTGACAATTCCCATCGATACTCAAGTCCGCTACAAAGACTCCAGTCCCGAAGCTGGACGCCCGGCACTCTCAACCACCTCGTCCCGTATGGCACGTCCAAGTCTGACTCTGTCACCAATCATTACTCCGACCCCGTACACCCGACCAAGAGGTCGATCTGGCGCCTCCGCACCTGCCCCGACCTCTACCGCCTTGGTTGACTTATGTGTCAAAAATCTCAAAGCAATGGGCTACGGCGTCGAGGACTGCAACGAGATGTCACGACTGACCATCTATGCCAGTGCCGCAGCGGGTGATATCGCCACTGCCATCGAGATGATCGAGGAGGACCGTGAAGCTGCCAAGGAACTCACTGAACGTTGAGACTGAGGACAGCGAGCCGTCAAGGCCATTCGAAAGGATCTGATGGTGCCATCCCAAACCTTCTGTGTCGTTCTCACTTGAGGCATCATCTTACGGTCGACAAGAAGTCGAAATCAACACGCCCCTTTGTCAATCCCACCACACTCTTGCTTAATTTGCTGCACTTGCGCTTTTCGGAACTAGCTGGAGAGTTAGATCATTGCGCGCACGACGAATCAGTTCTTGCTGGACTTGATACCTGACCTGATATGCTTTCTGTACCTTGCCTTATCCATCAACATGGGGCAAACATTCGGCATCTTCCTTGTGACATGACGGGTTCTCTCTTTCGGCCGTGAGTCGAATCATGATCCGCCATGACGGAGTGGTGTCTGCCGTAGGGGCAAGGTGGAGACTCTGGCGCTGCTCGAGTGCCATGTTCTGCCTTCGTTCGAGTGGGACGGGGGCCAATGCAGAGCATGTTGCTGTTAGCCGAGTCTTCACCCACCAACCGATCCTTGATTGCTTCCTTTGTGGTTCTCGTAATCTCAGCGAGAAGACAGAGTGAAACCGATCGAGGCATTGCACGGTACCGACTTCGCACCGATGTGCACTAATTTCTGGGATGAAGCCTACCCTGTTTGCGAATGTGAAATGGATAATTGAGCTACGCCTGAATGGAAGGTCTGTCTGCCAACATATGGTCGGAAATGGAAAAAAAGAAGATTCCAAGGGACAAAGGCGAGGGCATATTACGAGCTGACAGGTTGCACTGACAGGTTGCAAGAAACAATTAATTGTGCTCGAGATCCAGCAATGAGACTAATAATGCGAAAAATAATAATTCCATGAAACCCAGTTCTGTTTCTGTTTCTCTCTATCTCTTTCCAGCTATAGTCTGCCTGAAAGGTGCGGAAAGGCGTTCATAGGAAGCATGATTAGTATCACAAGCGACCTGGATTCAAGCAAAGGACGAATAGTTTGAGTCCCACCACTGACTGTACTACTGCGAGCAACTGATGAACGGGACAGCGTAGCAAGGGGAGATGGTAGGACTCAAGTAACCTATAAGCCGACAGACTACAGCTAGTAAGTCTTTCAAGAAGGATCATTGATTGTCCCACGTCAACTCCAAGCATCTTTTAAGATATGTGCCACACAATATGAATATGTGGTGGAGCAAAACACGAGCAAGGCTATATACGGCACGCACGCGCAGGGGGGAACGGGGGTTGCTGATTGAATCAGTCAGTCCCATGGCCTCGTCGTCCCCAGTACTAGTAGTAGTAGTCCCAGCAGAGCCATCCCTTCCGGTGTCGCTTTTCGATCTTCCAAGGATTGCCTGTCCTGATGAACTCCGATCATGCCACTGCCAATAAGTACGCGGGTTGGAGCTGATAGTAGGTAGTCCCAATCGTCTTGGTCGTCAGCTTTTTTTGTTGGATCGAATTGAGAGACGCCTCCAAAGCTGGAGGGAATATAGCAAGCAAATCACCCCGCGGTCCAGCATTCGAGGACAGGGGGTTGTATGTAAGGGGGTTTTCAGATAAGAGCATGTCTTGGTCGGCTTCGGGCTGGGGGGCTGTCCGTTTTCGGGCGGACTTCTCTCACGGTCATACCGAGAAGTAGCTCTTCCAACGTGCGGTGAATGCAATTGGACACGGCACTTTCCATGGCTAGATCTAGAAAGTCTTGAGATCGGCGGCGACCTCGAACGGCGCTTCGGTCTTGGACTTGATCTCGTCGACGGTCACGCCTTCGGCGATCTCGATGAGAGTCAGGCCCTTGGTGAAGTCGATGTCGAAGACGGCCTAGATAGAAAGAAGAAAATATCGTTAGTCAAAGAACAGCAGACGCAGTCAAGACGCGTCAGGAACAGCAGGGAACGGGATTTGATGATTGCAGACGCGTTTCGTCTGTGGTTTTTGTTTGTAACAGGGGTATTTCTGTAAGAACTTACCAACTCGGTGATGATGCGACTGACACAGGCTCTACCGGTGAGAGGGAATTCGCACTGTTTCAGGATCTTCGGGTTGCCCCTCTTGTCGGTGTGTTCCATGAGGACGACGACCTTTGTCTTCTCCGGGTTGGAGACGAGATCCATGGCGCCGCCGAAGCCCTTGACCTTACCGGGCAACATCCAGTTGGCGAGGTCGCCGCGGGCGGAGACCTGCATGGCGCCCAACATGGACATGTTGATGCGGCCGGAGCGGATCATGCCGAAGGACTCTTCGGAGCCGAAGCACGAGGCGCCTGGCAGCAGGGTGACGGTCTCCTTGCCGGCGTTGATCAGATCCGGGTCCTCCTCGCCTTTCCTGGGGTAGGGGCCCAAGCCCAAAATGCCGTTCTCCGACTGCAGCTGGACCTCGACCGAGGGGTCGACGAAGGACGGGGCCAGCATGGGCATGCCGATGCCCAGGTTGGCGTACATGCCGTTCTGGAACTCCTTTGCGGCGCGCTTGACGATGCGCTCGCGCTTGGACGCGGTGTCGCCCTTGCCCAGGCTGTCCTTGACGGCGTCGGCGCCTTCTTCTTTACGATGGACGTACTTTTCAATCTTCTTTTCTGTGGTCGACTGGATGACTTTTTTGACGTAGATGCCCGGCAGGTGCACGGCGACGGGGTCGATTTCGCCTACCTCGACAATGTGCTCGGCCTCGACGATGGTGACCTTGGCGTTGCGGCCCATGGCGCCGTTGAAGTTGTGCGCCGCCAGCCGGAACTGGCAGTTGCCCAGCTTGTCGGCCCGGTAGGCCTTGACGAAGGCGTAGTCGCCCGGGATGGCCTCCTCCATCACGTAGCTCTTGCCGTTGAACACCTTGACGTCACGCGGCTTGCCGAACGCCGCCACGGTGCCGTCGGCGTTGTGCCGCAGCGGGATCTCGCCCGTCTGCACCACAGTGCCGAACGCCGCCGGCGTGTAGAAGGCCGGAATTCCCTTGCCGCCCGCCGCACACCGCTCTGCCAGCGTGCCCTGCGGCGTGAGTTCGAGCTCACATTCGCCCGTCAGATACATGCGCTCCAGCACCTTGTTTTCGCCCACGTAGCTGGCAATCATCTTCTTGACCTGTCGGCTCTCCAGCAACTGCCCGAGCCCGGCCCCGGGGATCCCGGCATTGTTCGACACCGCCGTCAGCCCAGTGATCGACGGCGTCTTGGCCACCTCGTTGATCAACGTGTCGGGGACACCGCAAAGACCAAACCCTCCACAGAGCACGATGCTGTCGGATTTCATGTCCTTGATGGCCTCCGCCGCCGACGGCACCACCTTGTTGATTTCATTGCGGCCGAGGGTCGATGAGAAGGACCGTGCCAGCAGGAGATTTTGCTGTATTCATCAATGTTGTCCGTCAGCCACAGTCACAGTCACAGTTGTTGTTTCAGGGAGAACCAATGAATCACTGGCTAGTTACCTTTCGCTGGTTGCGTATAAAGTATCGTGCTGTCCGCCAACACCTCGATGCCTGCGTAGGGACGCGCATGGTAGAGTCAAGGAAAGACATGGTGACCCTTGGTTTCAGTCTCGGGAGTGATGGATGGCCTCTGGTCGACCTCAAGAAGAGAAGGGAATACAACGACAGCCAGGGACGAAGGCGGGCGAGAGGATTGGAGCTATAGAAGAAGAGAGGACAACGTCCAAGGGCAGTGTAAGTGGATGATATGAGTGTGGGGAAGCCGTGGAAGGGAACCTCGACGACAACAGAAAGTAGAAAGGGCTATCCGAGCATCCATCGGCCTGTGCAAACTTGAACGTGGAGGCGAGCTTGTCGGTATCGGCGGGGAGGGCGTGCCATCCGGCAAACAGCTCGGAATTATTCCTCCTGAGCCTAGCAATAATAGGAATAGAAAGAAATACACCATACCAAACCGTAGCTGTGAAGGCCTTGGGGCCTGTGGCCGGGCGGTACACATCCGATGGGGCACGAGAACCAGAGGCGCAGACGGATAAGGCACTGCGGAACGTGGGGGACGCACAACCACCTACAGTGTACAACCTTCTTACCTGCTCCATTCGAATACCTCCCAACGGTATTAATTCATTTCATTCATTCATTCATTCTCTACCAATAATGATACGGACCATGCGCGGCGCCAGATGTGGCATTCTCGGTCGTTTCCTGTTCCTGAAATCCGATGACTTGACTGCATTCTATCAGATTGATCTTCCACATACCCCTAACGCAAAGGGCTTCTAAGACATCCAAGCCTGAGAGCCTGTCTCCTCCGAGCCTCACCCGGCTATACCCGTGTACGGCTCTCCCTCGGACATTGCACGCATCCGATGCAACACGACTTTGTAGTCCACAGCGAATTGCCACGTACAAGACTAGAGGGAGGGATTAACATGACTCAAGAGCACTAGGTCAATCTGGTCGAAGGAATGAAAGTTTGGTCGAGGATTGTACGGTACCCAGGCACCGTGTCATATAGTATTTCATAACCCTGACTTAGTGATAATATATGGTCACCCTAGTCATCAAGAGTGATTCAGCCTCAGGGCAAAGCTGTGACAAGTGAGGGTATCGTCTCGTTTCGTGGTTTCTCCAGAAAACCGAATTACACCGTCGCCATGCTATCCGCGTGTGGAAAAAAAAGGGCCCAAGATGATAAGGGGTATCTCAATAACATATACGTGAGAAACTGCCATGTCGTCCAACCCGGCGACTTCACTCGAAATCCATGCCGCTGAGCGACACCTCTCCCCCACCAACCCGCTCGGCATCGGCCAGCGAGGCCGCGCTGTAGCTTGCACCTGCTGTCGCTGCAAGACTGCCATTCACGGTGGCTCCCGTTTGGGTGGTGAGAATATCCAGATCTTCCGCACGTCCGCCTTCGGCATTCGCGCTCCTCGCCCGCGCTGCCTGCAAGGCACCCAGCGAGCTGTCCTCGGAAAGATCCTCGCCAGCTCGCCGCTCGTTGGACGAGCTTGACGACCACTTCCACAAGTAGCCTGCCAGCGCAGGAGACTCATCGGCGTCAGAGGTCTCACTAGAGGCATCGGCCTCCAGATAATCCTGTTCCCCGCTGGACGACGAGCTCGTGAAGAAAACATAGCTTGGCGGCGGAAGGCGGGGTGGCTGGAGCTCCAGCTTCGTGCATTGGATAACCCGGTAAGCGTAAAGAGATGGCTTCCGCGTTCCCGTAATCCCGGTTGCCGGACACTGAAGCCTTACTCTTTCGATCTTTACGTCCAACGCGAAGTTGTCTTCCGGGATAACGCCACCGATCCCAGAGGCAGGCAATTCGATGGGTTGCGTCTCATCTTCACCCGCTGCGGTGATCGGTGAGATATGCCAATGGAGATCAGGACAACGAAATTGCGCGACGAGGTTGTCGGACTGTCCTCCGTCGCTCTGCTGGATAAAATAGCAAGCTGATGCATCTCGAAGGGTGTCATCTACACCCGCCGGCTGTTCCGGAGTCCCCAAGAAGCCTTCCGAGCAAGAGTGAACGTCAGACTTGGACGCCGCGGGGGTTTTATCCCCGCTCAAATCGACGAAGAAGTACGGATTGCTGAAAAAGGTGAGAAACCCTGGACGAAACTCTGTACTCTGTCCCAATGTTGGCCGGCCCAACACATGGGCCAGACCAGTCGAATCGGGTGACAAGTCACCAGACGAACTGGACGAATCTAAGTACGACTTCTGAGGGATGAGCGAGTTCGAGTTCCTCGTCTTCTTGTGATACACCAATGGCCGGTAGTCAAACGATGACGGGGTCTTGGACAGCGTCGAAGGTTTCCCCACGGCCAGGTTGGACGATGAGGTCGTCGAGTCTTGCCGCTTCGATGTCGTGCTCATCATTTCCTGCGGCCCTCTGTCGTCGGTCAGCGACACCGGTGTACCATCGTTGACTGTGCTCGTGGCGCTCCTGCCGCCTCGCTGCGTGCCGCCGTCTTCGCCCATGGCATCCAAGTTCCGTGCCAGCAGAGCCATTGGACTCCCAGGGGCTGGCCACGCGCCGCCTGTTGACGCATCGCCCTTCCAGCGAATCTTGTGTCCATCTTTGGAGAGTTCAAATTTGGTACTCATCGACTGGACCGCTTTCCGAACGAAAGCTGGGGTGACGTTGAGTGTGTGGAGCTGGGCCATGCTGACCAGTAGATTCAGGTACATCCATGGCTGTGCGTGACCAGCGGCGCCGGAGCCAACCTGCGGCGACGAGAAACCCAAATGCTGGATGTACCGAATGTTATCCGACGCAACTTGTGCCCGATGTATGTCGAGGTCCAGGGGCCGGGTGGGTCGTTGGTCCGGAGTCCCAGGAACGTCCGTGTTGGATTTGGGAGTCCCAGAAGAGGAAGCCGCGTAGCCACCTTGATGACCCAGCCGCTGAGGATCGATTGCGTCGAGGTTGATCTTCGAATCCGGTGGGAAGACGTGCGCCTCACGGGTGCCTTCAGCTCTGGAGGCCCGATTCATCTTCTCATCTTCTCGGCGATCTGCCTTGGCAGCTGAGCGAGAAATCTTCTGTTGTTGATCCGGTAGACTGTGGTCGCCGGGGAGGGCCAATTTACCGGTGAAAAGCTGCTCTAGCCTCTGCACCACCATGTCCATCTTCGCGCTGTCGCTTACGGAGAGGGATTTCTGTGGGAAGAGGGAATCCGGGATGTCGTGCAGGTAATTCTTGATATCTGTGTCCTTCTTACTCTTCGAGTCGGTGTCGTTCGGGACCCCGGAGTAGGACGTCGAGTTGAGAGCCGAGTTGGACATGGATGCATAACCAGAGTCGGTGTGGTGCGTGAGATCCATGTGTGGTAGTTTGGCGGCTGAGGCGCCGCCGTTACCGCTGCTTGTTGCGGATTCGTCAACAGGCGTGGAGTGGCTTTGACGAGCCGGCTTGTCGCCAGTGAGGCTGGTGCTGAAGTTTTTCAGAAGCTCTTCCAACTCTCTCTTCTTCTCGGGCGGGAGGCCATGCGTGCGCACTTCGATGACGCGTTCGGAATCACTGCTGCCAGGACTTTCTTGAGGCTGCCGGGTCCGGAGGAGAGTCTTCAATTTTTTGTTTTGCACCGTGAGATCATCAATGACTTCACGCAGCTCATCAGCCACGGTGTCGTCCTTGGCCAGATAGCCGCCAAAACTCTCGGCATTGACGGAGCGCAGGTGGTTCGGAGGCTGGTATCTGTTCTGGCGTGACATATAAAAAGGCGACTCATCTAACCCATCATTAGCATACCAGAGGGCTGAGGAAGGATAGTGCCTTCCACCTTCACGCTTCTCTGGTTTCTTCGCCGGACCATTGACGTTCTCGTTCGCTCGCTTGAACCACTTTTCGGCACTCTGGTCGCTGCTCGACTCCCTCTCCACCGCAGCAGGGGCCGTGGAAGATGTCTCTGCCACGGCCTCGGGTTGGACGGGGCCTGCAATTGATCCATCTGAGCCGTGTGCGGTCTTGACTTTCTTATGTCTCGGGAGAGACTTGGACTGCGAGGGGGAAGTACGGCGCGGGTTGTCGCTGATCTCGACGAAAGACCTCTTAGGTGACGGTGCAATTGAGGTTGGCTCGTCGACCATGCTGTCGCATGGCTTTGGAGGCCTGACCCTTTCGAGAGGATGAGCTGGGACGGTGGGCAGGACGTGAAGAGGACGAGGTCGGTGGATGGGTGACGTCGAGTTAGGCGGGGGTTTCGTGGTTAGGGGGCTGAGGAAGGATGCTGTGTTCCCTCCCGATTTTGCGTGGTTAATTCGATCAATAATGGACAGATTAGGATGTCAGGGACCTGCGGTGGTTTTATTCAGGTTGTGGCAGTCTCCGCGCAGTCGTGGAACGACGAAGCAGTGTCGCGGAAGATGAGCAGGGCGAAGCGGCTGTGGCATTCTGCGGACCTGGCCATTCTCGCTCCCTACAGAGCACGCCCACCGCAGGGGGCGTCGAAGGAGAATGGTAGCAGGTATGTGTTTGGTCCGATCGTCGAAGCCTTGGGAAGAAGGGCAAAAAAAGAGCACACAGATCGGCCATCAGGCTGCGGGATCGCAATTGCGGTAAAAGGAAGCCAGACATGCTGGCTCCCAATGGTCACATCCTCCTGGGCTTGGCGGGGCGGATGGGCCAGTTGACCCTGGCGTTAAGCCAGAATAGGTGTCGGTTGCACCAAGCCATGTCAATGCCCTCTGCTGGCCATCATGGTCCCTGGCCATGATCTGCCAATTGCCTTCTACGCCACCAGATACATCGTCGATGGTCTGTCATGTCTCGACCCATGATTTACACGTGATCGTCGCGGTCTAGAACTGGCCATGGTCATCCCAGGCTGTCTCACCCAGAACCCAAGTGTCTGTAACTTGACGCAATCCCCAGATCGAGACTCCTATAAGGATCCGGAATGTTCCCAGAACACATCGCCGGTGACACTTCGGTGTAGAGGATACGCCTGGTCATCTAGATACAGTACCACAGCACAACTGTTTGGCTGCTGGGCACCTGCTCCATCAACGCATGAAAAGATACCTTAATAATCATTCTCACCGCCATGCCGTCAATAACAATAACAACATGGAGGCTGTCCGCACTGCTGAGGGTGTATGATTTTACCCACCTACCTAAGTACCTTAGGTAGGTGCTCCGCATCCCTACTACAGACCAGAAGCCGCCGGTGGTCTCGCTCTACTGATTATCAATAATGGCAGGCGTGCCGGACGCATCCTTCCATCGAACATGTACTGCGAGAAACCTTTAGAAGCAAATGACGTCACGTCTTATTATCAAGGTCGTGACAAACTCTGTACACGTGACTGTGAAGTATCACGTGATATTGATTTCAAGGTATTTTGGCAGTGACGATAATGACAATGGAAGATTTATCCTCGTCACCAATCAACAATCGTCTGAATGTCAACACTCTACTACCAATCTCTATAACCCCAGCAATGATGATAATGACCTTTTAGCTTGACAAATGCGCACATTTCAACCTCTTCATGCTGATTGATCCCTGACCTTATCAAAAATGCAGCAGCAACTACTAACGGATCCTCTACTTTGCCCAATGCCTGGCGCCCCTGATGAAGTGTACGAATGCAGTGAATGTAACCTGCACCACTGACGTTACAGATCGACCACCAATTGCCCGCGACTAACTGGACATGGGCAAATTTTGCGGTGGACTCCGGATCGTTCATGGTGCAATCGTTCAGATGGACACGGCTGTTGGCTGAATACCCAGCTCTTGCCATACAATCCACCTCCTTATCAGCAACGGAACCGACAATAATGGCGCAGGGTTGTTGCACTTCTCCGCCTCTTCTGGGGATTTTAGTCCCTGTGAGCTTAGCAAAAGTCAAAGGATACCCCAGGTAATAATGGCTCTCCTTTCCCACACAGCTACCTGTCTATCTCAAGCAATCGACATGCAGAAGTAGGCGTCGGTACTCGCCCAGCGCCCCAAAAGACCATGTCTGTTGCAAATGCAGGCTTGGCCGCAGCTGCAACCGCCCCCGAGGCGACAGATGCAAGGAAAGATAGTGAACAGCTGGGTCTCGACGTCGTCGACCAGGACCGTCCCGTGGCGCCCGACCAATTCGACCCAAATTACGAGACCACAAGATGGGAACGCTGGGCGTATTACTGCTATTACATTGGAAACAACGGGTTGACCCTGTTCAACTTCGCGCCTACCTCTTTCCAGGATCTCTTATATGAGGCTGCCGGCGATAGTGGCCGGCTTCAATTCCTGGGGGCCTCCCGAACCATTAACAGTATCGTCTTGCTGGCCAACGGAATATCGTTCGCCATCCAAGTTGTGCTGTTCCTTCTGCTTGGTAGCATGGCAGATTATGGCCGATGGCGGCCTTGGATCCTGGTGTTTTGGTCTGTCGTGGCCTTCGCCCTGGGCTTCGGGTGGCTAGGAGTTCACACGGAAGACAAATGGCCCGTTGCGACCGGGCTGTACATGGTCGGCTTGATCGCCTATCAAATGTGTATCACCTTCTGGACAGCGGCATTCCCTGGATTGGCGAGAAACATGCCAGACATGCGACGGAAGGCAGAACAATATGAGAATGGAGAAACGACTCGAGAAGACTACGACTTTGCCGACATGATGGCCCGCAACCGTATCTACAACGTTGCTTTCATCATGCAAAGTGCGGGAGAAATCATTATTCTCGCCGTGCTTGTAGGCATTCTTTTTGCTTTGGATGTCAATGCAAGTGCCGCCAACAATCTCTGGGGCCTGTCCGTCCTGATCGCCTACGCCACCGGCGTCTGGGTTCTGCTGTCTATCCCCTGGTTCATCCTGGAGAAACGAAGACCGGGACAAAAGTTGCCAGCTGGCATGAACATCATCAGCGTTGGTTTCTGGAACCTTTACCGTGCATTTACGCAGATCTGGGAGTTGAAGCAGAGTTTGCTATATCTCATTGGTAAGGCACTCGTCCGTCGCAGTCATATCCCATCACAAGCTCTGACTCATAGACAGGGTATTTCTTACTCGGCGACTCTTTGAACACCACTGTGACCGTGATTGGAACCCTTCAAAACTCGGTAGTCTCTTACAATACGTTGACATTGACATATTTGCTCATTGTGGGTATCGCAGCTCAATTAATTGGCATCTTTGGTTTTTGGACGATCCAGAAACGATATGGTCTCAGCACCAAGAACATGTTCGATGCGGTTATGATCGGCATCGTTCTGCTCGACGGTTGGGGGATGGTTGGCATATGGCAATCTAACTTCGGTTTCCATCACGCCTGGGAGTTTTGGCTCTACCAGGTCTTTTATGGGTTGTTCGTCTGCCAGTGGTATGCCTATAGCCAGACGATGATCAGCGAGGTAACGCCACGTGGCAAGGAGTTCCTCTTCTTCAGTCTATACTCGGTTATGGGCAAGGTATGTTGGACATTCACATCCCTCCATACTTGATAAATGATCAACTGATTCTTCTTCTTCTGTTCCTTCAAGACATCTGCGTTTGTTGGACCTCTGATCTCCAGCGCAATCATCGACGCGGATCCGAAAGGGAACAACAGTCTGCCTTTCTACTTTCTCTTTGGTCTCAGCCTCTTGAGCTTTGGTCTGCTGTTCTTCTTCGTGGACTTGAAGAAGAGTCGACGGGAACAAGAACGGTTCTTGGCCAAAGAACAAGCTGCAAAAGAGCGTCGAGCGAGCGTTATCAGTCAAGGTCGGCCCATTGATGATGCTAGTACAAGTGAGAGTCCAGAGAGGCCGAAAGTCGATAAGGTCAAGGCGGGAGAGTAGAGCATGGTTTGGATGTGGCCAAGCATGAGATGGTATCTCAGCCTCGCCGGACGGATGGAGCTCCGGCCTTCGACGGGTTCATATCATCAAGACTGGAGGGATCGTGTCGGGACCACCAGGAAGATGTGTGGAAAGAAGGCCCATTTCTGTTTCTTCGACACTACGTATTTCCCTTTTTGTCCAGACCCACCTACCTTCATATCATCATCCCATGGGCTGGGGTGGCATTCATTGTCTGGTCTGCGGAGGACAAGGGAGCGTTTCGAAAGGAGCCATATCAAAAATCCCAGCATACCCTGTTATGTCCAAGACGTGAGAACGCATGTCGATCGTAAGGCTGAAGTAGGGTAGTTATGGCGTGAAAACCTTCCACACACCCACAGTCCACCGGCGTAGATGCCTAGGTACTATATATATATACTGTATACACAGTAGTAAGGAAGATATACTCTGTACTCTGAGAATACGTACTCAGCAACCCACCCCCGGATGACCCACCAACTCCATTCATCCACGGCCACGCTTCTACCCGCAGGACACAACAGCCACTCTACAAACTCTGTTCTGCTAGCAGCAACCTATCTCATACCCATGGCACCAAAAGAGACCTCTCATTTACCGGTCATCCTCGTATGTCATCCTCGGAATCACTCTCTTCCGGAGTGTCAGACTGGGAAGCATTGCCAAGCACTGGCATGTCAACGGACCCGACAACTTCAACGGGCCTACTTCAACACCTCGGGTGCTGGACCTGACCGAAGCCGCAGACCGGGGTTACGAGAGCGACGGAGCAAGAAGCCAATAGCTTTGTGGTAGAATAGGCGACTGGTTGAGACAGCGACAACGCTGCCATGCCAACTGACATGCTGTTCGTCGACCATGTTCATGATAACGACCATCGATTTAAGAGGAGCAAAAGAGACGCCCAAGACCACCCGTCAACTCACCGCTTACTCCAGGGTATGTGCTGTGTACGGTACCTCTGTACTAGGGCGCAGAGGACACGGGTTATATGTTTAAACCGCGCAAAATGACCGGCACGGCAAGAGACGGACCTGGACGATGAGTCAGTGCCCAATGTGGGTTTCGATCACATTTGACAGCGCCATCGGCCCAGTCAGAAGAGACTGATGCCACGGATCCAGTTTATCTCCGGCCCATGGCTTGTGTTCTGGGCGGTGAGAAGTGTCAAGACTCCCAGAAAAGAGACTTCCTGAGCCTATGGGTTGCCCACCGGCTTCGATCTTGCCGGCCGGACCAACACGAACTCGATTCAATCCTTCATCCCCTACGACTAGCGTCTTGACATTTACATGTGGCGCCTTGAGGCTTTACCCGTGCAGCCAATCTCGCCCACGACTGCCATATCTGGGTTTCCTAGAGCGTGAGTCAAGAGGGCCTGCTGATTCGGTGAGGATTTCGAGACCCGACACGGGTCTTTGCTGGCGCCCTAGGACTCGGTCGCTCGTACGCATCTCTTGCGCCCTATAGCAATTTGACTGCTTCGACGCGCCCAGCCGGCGTTTAGTGGACGAACTCGTACTTACGACCCGGCTGACGGACAAGTGTCCAATTCCCATCCCGTCGGACCATGGCTCCTAGCATTACCATTTTTGATTAGACCGGTATATTATTGTGACTCAGGCATCCACCCAGAAAATCTCTCCTGACTGATCAAGGATCCATATGTACGACTGCCTACAACTATAACATCAAGCGCGTGTCGTCAGGGAAAATTTTTCCTAACACTCGCACAACAATCACAGACCTTTTGATCCTCCTGTACGGACTGACGCGCTGGTTGTTCGCTTCGCTATTCGCTGGAAAAGTTTCTGCCGTCGCCTCGCAGTACGAGCTATGTACGAAACCATCGGGGGTGGGGAAATCTTACGGACTCGTGATCTCACTATTCACCAAGAAAAAAGGGGTCCACCGAACTTTTCAGCCTTTGCGCGCTCGCGCTCGCATGTGAAAGGCGAGGCTGTTCGGTTCCCTTTCTGAATATTGAAGTTGTCACTTCAAGTCTACTACTATTATACCCGTCCCACCGCCATCTTCAAAAAGATATTTTCCTCTCTGACATTGTATCCACTTGGAACGTATTCCAGAACAACAAAAAGCCAACACATCCGCTGCGGCTTGTTCCTCTTCCTACAAAGTACACCATCGATACACAACTAGACATCAATCGCTCGCCCAAACAACACGAACGACAAGATGCCGCTTTCCATGATGACACCACTCACCAGGCCGCCTTCACGTGACCTGGACGCCAACACCATCGGTCGTTCTCTGTCGCGTGAAGAGGCGTACCATCTGGCCGACACAGCCCGAAGAAAGTCGTCGAACAGAGTAGTGTGCGACGATCTTCGGCTCAAACTCAGCCATGTCCACCTGCTAGACATGCTGCTGCAGGATCTCGCCCGAACAGAGCGGGAACTTCAAACATCCCCCACCGAGGAGAAGTACTTGTTGCCAGAGGAGAGGAAGAGATCGAAGAGGACGCCGCATACGACATCTTCGTCATCTTCATCTTCATCGTCACCGTCACCGTCAAGGTCACCGTCGCCTTCAGCAGAGGTGGACGAATATGGGTTTCCTCTCGAAGAGGAAGACAGCGAGGAGGACCTCGGTGGTCTAGCGCTGATGAGGACGGAGTCGAGACGACCCATGAGATGAATCTGCCCGAAATGCAACGCAATGCAATGCAGCGCTTCGCAGCATCTCGACCATGGACGAATCGACACGACCTGATACGACACGCACACGACTTACTCTACTTTAGCGACACGACATTGATTTATGTCTTTTTTTTTGCAACATGATACCCAAACCTAATACATACTCTCTCGCCGATGATGCTGCCTCGCAGAGTTGAAGAGGCGGGAAACCAATCACGGCTGAGGCGTGCGGAAGAGACCCCGTCAATTCAACGATCGGGTCGAATCGGAATAATATCATATCATATTACGGACTCAGACCCCTCGGGGCTGTCCAATATATTCACGGACACAGACCTCGACAGATGGCTGCTCGGAAAATGACGAATGGAATAGAGTGGATATTCGGACAGGGAAGGATTGGCTTGAACTGGGATGGGATTCAGACCGTTCATGCCGTGGAAGCAGCAACATTAAGACACATGATTCAAAGACACCAGGAATTCGGATTTCACAACGACGACAGCAACACTGACATCGACAATGACAAAGCGACAACTCGACGGGCTCGAGACTCGACAGGGGGCCCATCAGAGAGAAGCGTTCGCACACAGGCTATTGGATGAGGCTTCGCACTCTACACCTGCGGTCCGCGTTTTCTCTCTTCCGACACCCTATGTCGCTACTCTCTTGCTACGAGATCACTATTGTCGTCGTTGTTTGCACTGTTTTTTTCTCGACACAGTGCAACACTTGGTTGTCACGGTCTTCTTTTAAGTCGACAGCTGTGGATTCCCAGACAGGGACAGGGACACAGTATATTTTATTAATGTCCAGCAGCTTCTCTGCATCTAGATAGATGATATAGAAGAACGAACGAGAAAAGGATGGACTGATTCTTTACTCCATGTCGATTACCTACCTAAATACGTATTTTCCTCTCTTTCGTAACATTGATCGCTGTCGTTTCTTTGGCAAGACTGACGGCCAAGGTGCATCACCAACGGATTTTCCTTGAATGATAGGAATCTGCAATATCATTGTCTAATAGGTAGAACTCCATGACATCGATCTCCCGACCAGTTAGCCGTGGATTACTAAAATTCGTACGAAAGCATGGAGTGTTGTATTGATTGTGTACACAGTACCTAGTTAACTCAATTTCACATGTTCCGAAAAGTTCGAATGGATCCAATTGCCGGAAGAGGGAACCAAACCAATCCATCTTTTTTGGCAGTGGTCTGGATGTGTCTCCGGGTGGGCCAGAACAAAACTATAATGGAGAGCGAATAATACCAGGAAAGAAGTTTTTTCTCCCTATTCAATATTCCTATTCTGTCAGTAGCCTTGGTAATACTGGATCAGTGGATCTTAGATGCTACTTTTATCCCACTGGGGCTCCACTCTGTTGCGGGCCGGGCCAGAAAACTTGAAATCGCGTTCGAACATCTTGAACTGAGATCTGTGGGAAATTGTATTGAAAGGACCACGTGGGTCCATCGCACTGCAACGCGCTGAAGAGAGGCTTTTTGATAGTATACAGGAAAAGGATTTCCTCCCGGAGGAATAACCAGTGGTGGACGCCGTACAGCGTAGCGCGTAAGGCAGTAATGATGAGTTGTGGGGTCGGACAGGAGGCAAAGAGTTTGAATGATTTTGGCAGGCATCAAGGGAGTTTGGACAAAAGAACTCTTCTGGACCTCGCTACTGTGTAAATGCTGGAAGTGTCCCATAACCGGGAGGAGGATACATTTGCCTCTGGTTTGAGAGGTTTGAGAGGAAGCCTTGCTCTCGTGGCGAGGCTGTGGTGGAAAAAAAGTTTGCTCTTACCTAAGATATAATGCAAGTGCATGCCACAGTGCCACCAGACTGTACGTACTGCCTCACAGCCACAGGACACCCGAGTGGAACGGATCCCCCCGAGGGACCCAGACTCCACCAGTGACTGATCCAGTCCTTCGGTAGAAGCAGGTAAGCATTCCTTGTCCGAGCATGCTTCCACTGGGCTGCGGTGCTTGATATAGATGGGGTCGTGAAAGTGGAATAACACGTTCCAGGGTTCGCCCTCGGCCAAGTCGTTTGAGCGTGGCCTCTGATATCGCCCAATGACTTCGCCCCCGATGTAGTCGACGGCAGCAGCTTGAACCAGTTGGCACGTCCAGTTGACCGTGGCCAGCCGTGTCAGGATCATCCATTGGTCGGACATCTCTTGAAAAGCCCAACCATGATTTGAGATTCGACCTAGGTTGGTAGGCACGGTGTTGGCAAGTAACTTAACTTATCTGTAGTTGACAGCCCATTAGGAGATCGTATACGCCATACTCCCAGGTGCTAGTACAATCATATTGTGTCTGCTTGGGAGCTTCAAGACGACCGGGGATTAGGATTAGGATTTGAGATGTTTGATACGTTTTATTTACGGCTAATGATCGGCAAAACTCCTCTTCACGTGATGATTTCCCCGCGTCCTCGGTTGACCTGCCTAGTATGACCTCCAGTATCACGCCCCGGGTAAACTTCGTCACTTTTTCCAGGCGCAGCTGCGCTCATCTTGGATGCCACAATGTGTGAATAGACTGCTCTCTTCCCTCACACTGCAACGTTTCACAAAATGGCCTGCCAGCACCGTTGAATGCTTTGACTGCCAGAATGGGAATGGGATGCGCGCCGTACAGAACTAGCAGAGGAGCAGCACGGCTTTCCTCACTTCCGGCATGCCTCGACGTCGTCCGTTATATGAATGCTTGGATTCATGCTGTGCAATGAACCCTTTCTTCGGACGATCACTGAACTGACCTGCTTCAAGACTCTCTAAGCAATGCCTTTTGTACGCAGCTACCGGGCTTCGGATGAAGATGATATGGTCCACATCGTGTGTTGACTTTGCTATACTTTCTGCCCTCCGCCGCCTAACATGACGTTAGTTTCGGGAGACTGCCGCCACAGAACTGCGTGATGCAGGTGATCCTGTCCTTCATTACGCCTCCTACATCTGGTGTCGACCGTACCTGATGTTGCGACCGGAGACGTGCCTGGTCCTTGACGACGGCACCGGCCGTGCAGTGGGATACTTGCTCGGAGCGGCTGATACAGCTTCGTTTGTGGACAGCTATGAAACCACTTATCTACCATACCTGCAGTCTCTGGGCTTTGAGAAGCCCATCCCCGATGATCCGGCCGCCTGGGAAACGGACTTGCCAACCGCTTTGAAGCAGATCATGTTCACTCCGGAAGGGATGCTTCATCGGGAACACCATGAACTGCTCGCGCAATGGCCGGCACATCTGCACGTTGATATTCTGCCGCCATATCAGAAGCAAGGTTACGGTCGACAATTGATCAAGCACTATTGCACAATGGCCCGTGTAAGTGGGGCAATCGGTATCCATCTATTAATGGCGACATCGAACGAAGAGGCTCAGATGTTTTACGATCGTGTGGGATTCAAAAGGTTCCCTTATGTGCTTGATGATGGCAACAGTGGCCAGCACGGCAGAGACCGAACCACTATATGGCTGGTGAAAGATCTGTAAGCATAAAACTAATCCCCCTCAGCGATCGCCCATCCATGAACCTTTATGTACGGGAATGCAATCAGCTCCTTTGTCTTGTCGGAAACGGTGGGTATGAAGGCATCATATCCAGGACGCGCGTCTCTAGCCGATTCAGCCCGTCGAAAGCTGCTCCTTGCTGTATAAAACTTTGCAGAGCGCACCCCCGCCTTTTGCAAATTACTCCAACCTCTCTCTTATTGCCGGGCAAATAGCTACAAGAGTATAAACTTCAGCTCCCCAAAACTACATCAGACCTTCTTCAGGGAGGAAGTCGGCTCTATCTGTCACAAAGTGTCGACGTCAGTGGAAGAGCGCAGACTGACACCCCTGAGACAGGGATCCACAAGATAAGACTCGTTAAATGATGGACATGGGTCAATTCTATTGGTGTTCTCAGGACTCCATGCTCGCTTCCACACCAGGTACGCTGCCTAAGGTTTTTCTGGAGCTCGCACTAATCCGCTTCTTATATCCGTGTCGACAACAGCAGAAGCGCATCTGTCGACTGCAAGATTTGCTGTATCCGGCGCCATGATTCTCTCCCTAGCGGCACGGGAGCCCACCCGTCCACGGATCCAAGACTTCCAACAATGCATGCCCGTGTTCAGATCATGATCGAGGAGGGACGGCTCAAACCTTGAATGAGCCAGCATGCAGAGCGATTCCAGAACTGGTGCACAGGCGAAACATTGATGCTGGCGATACCAGGTGTTTGCGTGTATCATCCGACCCATAGAGAGCACCCTTCCCTGACTTGCATAGGCCCTATCGAGCAAGGGTGCCGGGAGTCGTTATCGAGCGGATGCTGTGTCAACTGACCAATGACTCTCGACGCCTGTTCCCCTCTTCTGTGGGCCGAATAAAGTGGGTTTGGACCGCGACGGTTTCTTCTACGTCGGACAACATCGCGCACTGGGATAGCCCATTGAGACACGCCGTATACCCGTATACGGCGCCGCCGCAGAAGGCAATGACAGCGATTCCGCAGCTTTCACCGATTTTTCCCCTCGAAACGGAGTGTGCCTTACCCGCTCACTGGCTCAAATACTCGAGGCCATTGTGGTTGACATTTCGATCGTCTGCGGGATGGGCGATAAAAGTGCTTTGACGGTCTTCACACACCTGGTATGGTAACCAGCACCTCCTAGGCCAAGTCCGATGCCAGCGACTTCTGCGGGTAAGTTTTCTGGCTGAGTAAAAGCGTCGCGGACGACAGTGTGCGCTGGTCGAGATCAAACTCAAGAATAGTTCTGGGATACCCTCAAGTGAACACTGAAGAAGTTGGCTGGAGAGAGAGCGCAACAATCAAAACACCGACCAAGCTGAATGAAACCATCTTTGTCGCGGGGTTGGGCCACCCAAGCGGCTGGAGATGAGGATCTTTTCGAAAGGGTTCCTGGAAGGTCCACTCCAATCCAGTGGATGCGTATGTCGTCTTGTCCGGGGCTTGCAACAGATCTGGCACAGGAGATGTGATATATATGGATAATTCAATGGCGGGAGGTGGGAATTGCGGGCCGCCGAAAGCAAGTGGCACCTTGACAGGGCCGACCTGTCTTATTGTGTGTTTGCAGAAATGGCGTGTTGGATGAAGCGGCAATCGCAAAAGCTGTGACGTAAAACCTCGTTCCGAAGGGAGACGACCTCGTCATGCAAGGCGTGGACGAGCGAGGTTTGAATATGCATTTTCTGTTCCTCCCGCCGGCAACGCTCCTGCAAGTTCTCGACGAACGCCTTCTGCCGGTTGCGGCACTTTGTGGCAGCTTTCCGGTTAAGCTCGAGTTCACGAGCGTGCTTGTCGTCACGAGGCTTGATTCGCGTGGTCGTCGCCCTCCTGGGCCGCAGCGGGCTGCTGCGAGGTCGGTAGGAGTCGCCAGCGTCAGCATCCAGGGTGGCAAGAGACAGCCGCCGCAGCACCTCTCGGCGGTCTGGAGACAGATAGCTGGATGTCGAGGAGTCGATGGAGTTGTGTCTGCTACTCGGCGAATGTGATGTCTCGGACGACGGCGACGGCCCGTGAAGATTTCGCGGTTGCACGGTAGAAGGGACACCATGGTCGTGAAACATGGGCGAGATGCTGCTGGCACCACTGGAGTCTGATGGCCGAGAAAAGATGGCCTGTTCATCGAACAGTGCCATGTCTTTGAACTCGGGGTCCTCCTGAGACTGGAAGTCGTCTGTCGCCATGGGAAACTGCCACATATTGGAATCATCCAACATAGGGAAGTGAGGTACAAGGCCAGCACTGTTCAGGGCCATGGGGAAGGCAGCGGGAGCCAAATCGTAGGACAATGCAGTGTCGTCCACCGTGAAGATTGCTTAATCTTTGTTGGGCTAGCAACGTTCGTTCGCCTGGTTAAAATTCCTGCTGCTTGTTCGTGTTGCTTTCGCTGTCACTGTGTTATCGCCATTTGTCTTTCCAGTCGTGCAGGGCCGTTCAGGGTAATAAATAACAATCACAATCGTAACTCTTGGGGACACCTGGACTTTCGGAGAGGGGATTGTCTCCAAAATGTCCTAATCAGCATGCTGGAAGCGAGATGTCGTCATGTCCGGGACCTGTCTCCGGAGTCATCAATCCTTATCATCACCGCGGAGCTGCAGTCGCTGATATGAAAGGGACCGAGGGTGGAAGTATGTTCCGGGCCATGGCGCATATGGAGAACGACAACAAGTCGATCCTAATTGTGGTGGGGTGGGGATGTGTTCTCCCATCAAGGGAACATCAACGACATGCTCTTTTGTGCAGAGGATCCCTGGCAGTGGCTGCATTCGCTTAAACTTTGTGGTATGTACAGCTGCAGGAGGACTTTTGACCCGGAGAGCAGATTAGAGCTCCGGCACACGCACAGTACTAGTGCGCAGGTAGCTCTGTACGGCCTCAGGGGGCGGAAGCGCCGGTAGAGAGGATCGTTGACTGACCTCCGCAGCTGAGACGTGTGCCGCTTCAGGTAGAGCTTCACATGCAACCGCGAAGGCCAGAATACCAACGGGCGCCGCTTGCGTGGATGATGAGCCGCAGAGTGAAAGGAAAGAGGTGGCAATGGCGGTGAGGACCCATTCAAGTTGCACCTACTTGGAAATAGCTGGTGCTGGCGGAAATCGTTCTCCGGCCAGCACAGGGAATGGCGGGAGGTGGAAAGAAACTTGGAGGTGACAGCGCCAAGAATGGGCGCGGAATTGACATGGGTTCGCGTCGTCAAGTTTACTAGTATCCACTAGTAGTACTAGTTGGTACCTGCCAGCTAAGGGCTTTCCTTCGAGTTTCGGCGTCTTTTTCTGCAAAGTTACTACCGGTAGTACTACCTACAGCCTCGTTTCATGTAGGTACTTACCTTCAGGTATCTGCCTACCTTAACGTGCCTTAGGTAGATACATGAATAGGTAGGTAGGTACCTAGTAGGTACGTACCTTTGAGTTGACATCACCTACAGCTCTTGGTACCCAATACTAATGAGGGAGGCAATTCAACAACATCATAACAAAGAGGTGTAGGGGTCAAATGACATTACCGTTCCGTATCGTAAACGTAACTAGCAGAGGCAGCAACGATGTTCCAGGCACTCAGTCTTTCATGTGTATCTCGGATTTCTCTCTGCGCTTGACAGGGTCTGATCTTAATGGTCGAGCCATGTCACGAGAAACTTCAACAGCCCGTCAGGGCGCTATCAAGCCAGCCAACGTACCAGTCTCTGAACCGCATAAGCTTTCCCGGTCCTGACCTCACGAATGGGCCACCATGGTCTTTGCAGCCAGAGGCGACAACCTGTATGTCTTTGCGCCTGCCCAGCCGCGATCTCCTGTGCTGGAGGACGTTCTTATCATGAACTGTCCTGGATCCCGATCCATGAATGCGTGGGCCTGTCAGCCATCTCTTTCAAAATTCTTCCCTAGGCGGCCCTCCACCTCTCGAGCACCTAGAACTCAAACGAGACCGCAAGATCGTGCCTGACCCGACTGCTCTGGCCTGATCGACAGCAGACCCCATAGTGACTTGCCATACCTGCCAACGAGTGCAGGGGCAGTGGTCAAGAAGAAGGATGGACGGAACAGAGCCGCGCAACAAGAGTAGGGGGTTAAACGGCGACAAAACAGGCGCAAGGGTTTCTCGTGCATGTGATCGATGCAGGGTCAAGAAGGCAAAGGTAGGTATACAGTCGAACCGGTTCGGGTACAGCCAAGGGTTGTACTGACCGTACATGTATACAGTGCGATGGCAAGCCTCGATGCAGGACGTGTGAGCTCAGTGGGAGCAGCTGCAACTACAAGACGAGGAGAGGCAGAGAAGTCAGGAGCTAGTGAGTCCCTCGACCCAACTCCATGGCCGCAGCGAAAATGGAACCGCCCTGACTATCATTCTGTGCAGTTACGCGCAGCTCTGTCAAGTGACAGAGGAGGCTCTCCAACGGCTCTACTGGGCTTGTCGAAGAGGAACAGGGTTTCCTGGCACTGTATGCGATGAATCCAAAGGCTATGTCACTGCAAACGAGATCCTCCTCGGCCTAGGCTTGGTCGGCCCCGACCTGGACGAATTTGGCTTCCCACGAGAACTCTTCCCAACCACCAACGCTTCTTATCCACCGGTGTGGATTCGGGCCGTGTCTCATGCCCCCACATCCAAATTTCTGTACGCTCAAGGCTCTTGTCACATGCCTGTCTTGATGCCTGACCAAAGCTTGAGCTCCAGCAACGCGACTTATGCAAGATCGATGACTCCAGATGAGATGACCATGCAAGAGCAGTCTATGCATGCCTCATCTCCTACCTTGCCCCACGAGGAGGCTTCTCATTTGTCGTGGAAATACCATCATCGACAGGGAGACGACCGAGGTAATGGCCATCAGCCGTACATGGACGTCGATGTCTGTTCGGACACCGGACCCTGCCTCGTATCCTGCTCATCCCACTCATCGAGTGACTTTCGTGTGCCGTGGGAAGACGACATGCAGGCATTCAGCAACCCGACCATTTCGCCCTCAGAAAACCATCCAATCTCACAACCTCTGTTGTGCGATGGTTATCTACTACACTGGCCGGAGACTCTGGCAGCCGCTCAGCAGTCCGTCACCACTGTACAATAAGGCTTGTCCCTAAGACAGCGTCGTGAAGAGAAGAGGTCAGGTTCTGGCAAGGAATGAATCAATCGTCAATTGATTCGATGCAGCAACGCTGGTGAATTTCTGAACGTTCTTTCTCAAGTCTGCTTACTCCTAGTCTCCTATCAAGGTTAAACTTCTTCTGCTCACCGTTCCTTGTGTGGTCGGTGGTACCGCCCACTTCAGAGATGGTTGAACTGTGACGTTTCTTCCCATCATTGCTTCAGTCCATCCGCCGATTGGGTGCCCCTTGTTCAATTGCGTGCGAGATTAGACCGCGACGTCGCACCCATGAGCAACAATCGATTGATGGTACACAAGAACTACATTCCTAACAAGCAGCTAACGATGGGTGCTCGTCGCCGTATCCACAACTTGCAGAATCCCATGGCGCATACTATGACATGAGGGTCTTGTGCTCCTGAGAAGGAATGGAATGGGTAATAGGTCCGCGCCCCGCCACCGTGCAGACGAAGCCGCCCTACTACCCTAGGATCGGCCTCTGCTGTTGTCTGTTGAGCACAAAACGTTCGCAATGTCTATGCCAGCGGATGTAATTGTAGCGGACCCGCTAGTTAGCATCCTTGTCTCTCTAACACATGGTAGCCACCACGCGCTGCGTGCTGCGATGTCTGTGATTGTCGAGGCGCCTTCGAGGCGTCAAGGCTTGTAAAGACTTCGATACAGCTACGTACCTAGGTACAGGTAGTGCTTGCATCGCAAGTCGAAACTTGAAAAGGTTATCTCGCGTTACGGCGCACAGGCTAGTACCTGCCAAGCATGCTAGATACCTACCACTAGTGACCTAGTATATCAGATAGCCTGACGAGGCTCCCGGCCGTCATCGAAATAGGACATGTCCTCCGTTAAATCACATGTCCTACCATAACACTTCCCGATGCTCATGATGATCGGACAGCAAGCGTAGGTACTAGTATATCGGGGTTATTTGGAATGGAAATGTCCACAAGAGATCAACAAGAGGCTATGGAGATTTGAAGTCATGCATTAGGTCGACGGGTCTGTTCAGCACCACGATCGACCTGGTCATCTTGCCTCCTCGGTCGCGGCCGCTACTGATTACTGATCCCCGCCTCGTCCGAACAGGCCAACGTTCACTTTAATTCCGGTACGGGGAGTTATGATCAACGATCCTTGCGGTCCACCGTCTTCATGGGAATTACCTATCCATGTTGAAAAAGGTGGTGAAGAGCTGAGGCGGAAACTTCTCCCATGATCAGTGGCGATCCGTCGTCAAAGCCTGCTACGTTACCGCGACTATGGTCGAAGATTCGGAACCGAAACCCTCCATGCTCCAGTTCTGCCGCTTCTCTACCCGGTGGAGTGAAATTGACATTGAACTCGGCCGACTCCTGTGCCTAGGTACCTGGAGTCGAGAATGAAAGATTAATGATACGATGGGTACGCGGCCGCATATCCTGAGGGACTGTCTCAGGGCACCAACTTCAACACCAAGTTGTTCATGCCTCTACAGAGTACATCATTGCCTCGCCACGGGGCTCGATCATACGAGGCTTCATTGTATTCATTATGCGTGCCAAGGGCCGCGTGCCGCTGCTAGTTTTTTCATAACAGTCGAGGTGTTGCTCTAAGCATGATCAACCTGGCAGCAATGGTTACCATTTCTTTGGAGCCGAGACTACTATCCGCGAGAACGAGGCACTCGCCAGCTCCAGCTTCTTCTGTCGCTCTCGTGCCATGATGCCCGTTCGGTCTGTGACTGGCGTGGCGTTTGCAATCTGGTCGAAATCGTCGTAGTCTTCCTCAGCTGAACCGGACTCGGCGTCAGAATCCATCAGCTGCGGTGGTTCTGTGCTTAACATGGCTGTCGACTCGGCAGGTCCTTCGCGACCTTGCTGAGCCTCTTTCCTGCGTGCTTCCATAGATATGGAATCACTGAAGGGCTTGGACGCCAGTATCTTGCGCCTGATCTCTGCCATTTCCGCCTCCTCGTCTTCGTCGTCTTCATTGGGCGGCAGATCCAGCGAAACGCCTTGTTGCATGGGTAACGCAGCGTCCTCGTCACCTGAAGCCTCAGAGCTGTCGTCTGCGTCTTCGTCGTCTTCGCCTTCGTCACCATCCTCGTCTTCATCCGAGTCTAGAACATCTCGTCGATTCGTGTTCCCCCCCGCCCAGACATCGTCACCCTCGGCATTGAGACGGCTGTTGGAGTACTCCTTCTCCAGCTTGGCGAGCCACGTCTCTTCGGCCTTTTTGACCTCTTCTTCGTTCTGACATGCGGCGTACCGCTTGAAAAGCTGCGAGTTGATTTCCATAAACGGCTTGCCGTAGGGGAAGTGTTGCAGTGCAATCTCCGCCCAATCCTCGTGGCCGCAGATGGCAAAACACGCAGCCAGAGCCTCAACGCAGTTGAGCCGCCATGGTTTCCCGTAGTTAACAGGGTTCGCCGCCACAAGGTACGGCAGAAGCCTTTCACATTTCCCGCCAATCTTCGACCAGGGAACCTCCTGTATCCTGACCCAGGAGCATTCAACCACTGCGGCACCATATTGCTCCAGCAGCTCCCGATCAGCAGGCGACACGACTCGCTTCGCATTGGGCCTGAATGGTATGTCAGCTCGTGACCGCCGCCGAACAGCTTAGTCAGCCCCAACTTACGAGATCACCACGCCGGGCCACTTCTGACCGATGGGCAACTCGCGCATCATTCCAAAGCGCATGAGCCGCTTCCCGCTGCATCGTTTGGCGTCGCAATGTCCGAAATCCCAGCAGGCTGCTTTGAACGGGGGCCGTTCAGCCACGCTGCCCTCTTCGCCGCCTTCTCGTGGAGCCCGGGGTGTGTGCCGCGTCTTCCCTGAGAATCGTTTCGCTTTGGAGGAGCCGCCCTCTTTCTTGTGTCGTACCATAATTGATGTGATTGATATAGAAGGAGATGTAATAGGGTCCGGGTAGGCGCAGAGTCGGGGAACTCGTCGTTCAAATGAATGGGTATCTTTATAAAGTACGAAGAGTCAGGTGTTGCCCATCATTCCGATGACCTCAGGGCAGTTTTTCCGGCGCGGCCGATAACAACCGCCAAGACTCTTATCGCCACGTGAATACCCGAAATTCTGCCAGCAACTTGGACTGAACGTCCGTCTGCGCTGGGTTTCCAGTTGATCAAGAAATCAACTACAGTCGCATTCGAGATTCGATCGCAGCGTGTGTTTCTGCCGCCGATCGCAACAATGGGCCTCGCTGTACTTCCCCCTGATGTTGAAGACGAATTGGTGCAGCCCGATACTCGCAAATATGACGAATACCAGGAAGACAGCGACATGTCGATGGACGACACGGACGGCCGACCCTCGAAAAGACCTCGATTGTCCGCTCTGACGTCTAGTCACATAGTACTCCCCGGCGAGGCAATCACAGATGACAGTCAATGGATGAGGTAGGTACGCACAGTGTGCTGCTCATTCAAGATGGCCATCAGGCTGATCCGTGGTAACAGAGGCCACGGGACCTACATGACCGAAGCGTCAACAACCATCATCGCCACACTCGCCGGTCTTCTGAAGACGACCAACAAACTGCTGTCAGTTGCCCCTTTACGGGCAAGATACACTCCCGAGATCGGTGACCTCGTGGTTGGGCGGATTGTCGAGGTGCAGAAGAATCGGTGGAAGGTGGATGTTGCGGCCCCGTTACTGGCGCAGTTGCCTCTGTCGTCAATCAATCTTCCAGGAGGTGTTTTAAGGCGACGGACAACGGCAGATGAGCTGCAGATGCGCAATTACTTCCAAGAAGGGGATTTGGTGGTCGCCGAAGTCCAGCAGATCGGTAGCACCGACGGCACCGCAAGCTTGCATACCCGAAGTCTGAAATACGGCAAGTTACGCAACGGAACTTTCCTGGCCGTATCTGGCACCGGTGGTGGAGGTGGTGTGGTCCGCAGTCGGAGGCAGGTCTTCACCATCAACAGTGGTGCTCAGGGGGGCGGAGATGTTGACGTGATCCTCGGAGTGAATGGTTACATCTGGCTAAGCAAGCATGCGGAACAAGCCCAGGACCAGGGAAGGCTGAGTGGAGGGGTCAGCATCTCGAATCTGGATGATGTCGTCAGTACTGTCATCTATTCGAGCCAGAACGACGACATTTCCGAAGGGACTAGACGCGAGATTGCGCGCATCTCAGAGTGCATCAAGATCCTGGCCGAGGATGGGGTCCGAGTGGACGAAGACAGTGTCATCAAAGCTTATGAGGCTGCTGTTGATGCTGAGATGAGTGTCATGGACCAGGCGGGGACTGGTACTCGTGTCAGTGATGAGGTGCGAAGAAGGATTGTCGATGCTGCAATTCATTGAACACGATACACGTCCTACGCGTACTCGTTGACATTATGGTTACCTACGCCTACCGACAACAAGTCAAAGTATGGACCGGCCGCAGAACTTACAAAGCTTGCGACATCTGATGCATCGCAAGGGATATGAGCTGGCCAAGTCCAGTGTCTTGCGAAGAGAAGGCCCTTATCCGCATCCATCTCCTGGCACATGAGGACACTGTACAGAGAAGATGTTTCCATTGTTTCAACCGCGCTACTAATCATACCAACCGCTGGTCTCTACATATCTACCCTCGGCGTTGGCAACCTTCTTGCTCGGCTTTTCTCTGCCATGTGTTCCGACCTTCACGGCTGGGTTGGTGGGAGCATCCCGCAACGTACCTTTTGCCAGCCAATGCCCTTCACGTTTGTGTTTTCGCGTCGTCCCCGGCAAAGTCCGCACAATTGTTCGAGCGGCATACCTTCTACCAAGGCCAGCGATCATCAAATTCGGAAGGAAACCGTCTCTGTGAGGATATGGTTGTGAGACGTCAATTGGAGCTGGATGCAAGCCAGAGCCCTCATAACGAAGCGATTGGGAGCGTGACCGGACTGACCAATCCGTGGAATAATGCGAAGAAGAGACCGGCGACCATTCAGCCTGGCCATGCGACCTAATGAATGCAGCCAGTTGATCAGTCGTCTTCACAGACAGCGGCAAACCTTGGTCTCGGACAAGTCGAGGATCTAGCCTCCCTGTCCCGTTATCATACATGAAGCTAGCCGCAGTAGACGTGGTGCTTCGGTCTGGTAGATATTGAGGCGGCGGTTGAGGCCGGTGCGGCATACCGTTGTAACTTGGGGCAGTTGCAGGCCTTACCGGAGTAAATTCGGAATGCGAATGTCTTTCGGACCTACCGGTCGACGTCAAATCAGACAGTCTGAAACGCATATCGGTGTGCGATGTGATCAAGGGTCTTGGTTGAGTTGGTTCGATGTTCGTTTCTGCGTGCAGAATGAGAAAAGATACGAGGAAGCAAGCAACAGGGCTGTCCGGGAATCACAAGAATAATAAGGCAGATACTGCGGCAGTGTGGTCGCACCTGCTTCCAACAATGCACTCTTTGTGTTCTTTCACCCCCGAGATATTTACGTATAAAGAAAGGAATCTGGCATCTTGCCCTTGTTCCTCAACAAAGACGCTGTCTCCTTGTTTCATTCAGCAGCAGAAACTATCGAAATAGCGTAGTGCTAGCGCAGCCTCGCGCCGTCAACATTACTCTTTTGGGACATTAGTCTGGGCTTCCACAGTACCTACCAAAATACTCTACTATTATCCACGTCTCCCCATCAAGCTGCCAAGGCGGGGATCTGCCGTGACAAGCCTCAAAGCTTAATAGCCAAATCCCACGACCCGCTGATTGGCAACATCGAACTCATGGCAGGCAGCCATTTCAACCCTTGTCGCCGATGCGACCTTATCAGCAGCCACAGACACGCCCAAGCTTGTTAGATTGCTGCGACAAAGTGTCAGCTACGCCTGCTAGTTGCTTGTTTGACGTCCGTGGTCGAAGCGTGGCGCAACGACGATCAATGATCGGCTGTTCAAACAATGCTTAGCGGTTTCACGAACTACTGCTTCCGCATGGCCAGATATCATGGGAGGCCGATAGCGCGCGCGCACACACACCTCTTGCAGAGTGAGTGAAGCTTGTGGACCACGTAAGCTTCTTGCCGTTCGCTTCAATCGGGACAAGCCTTGCATGAACCTTAGTCTGATGCTTGAGAGTTCCACTATCAGGTACAATCTGTTTTCTTACACAAAGGGTTTCGGGTCGCCTCTACTCTCATGACTTGTCGAAGGTGGACAGTCGCAACATTCACTGGTGTGTGTGCGCTAATGCCTTTTGCTCTGACTACAGAGGAAAAGAAAGTCGGCCTTCTCGGCTTCAGGATGGTCCAGCTCCCGAACGTGGGGGACATCTGAAAAGGGGTATACGCGGGACGGATCACTTGGTGTGTTCGAACTTCGTCCCCAGCTTATCTCCATGCTACAGTGACCATCCCACACCCCTGTGCATCCTTCTCGGAGGTCTCAGGGCATGCCGGACTAGCGCACACCTCAACTGCATCTTGCTTGTCCAGGCCACGCTTTCTTCGGCCTAAGGAGCCCCCCTCTTCCAGCTTGCGCGGCAGACTATCGGACGGAACTAATTAGCCCGTCGCGTCCTGCAGGCGCCCCAAAATCAAATTGATTTGTTTAGGGTCTCTGCCTCAGATTCGGGTCCTGGTCAAGTCCGGGACGAGGCGAGATGTTCTGAAGAAGCATTGCGTCTGGGCTGGGGAGTTCATGTCATGACATCGGCTTCTGCCACAGGCGTGGCTGTTACTTGGATCGTAGCGATAAGAGCCATGCAGGTACAACAATAGATGGTTCACCCTCGGAACTGGATCTGGACGGCATTCTCGAGTCTTGTCCTTCCACCGACAACATGGAGCCGGAGAAACCACTGGGAGTGATATCCCCCGACAATCAGTCAGGTCTGATTCTCATTCTGACTGCGCTGAGTCTATCTTTCGTCGTTGTCTCGTTCATCATCCGACTCTATATCCGAGTACCCCAACGACTGTGGAAGTGGGACGACAACACCTTGACAGCTGCGACAGTAAGCAAGCTCCAAACCACGTCTGGGCTTGTTGGAAATCAGCCTAACCATCTCTCTTTAAGGTTCTGTCTTGTATTCAGACCTCGCTCGTATTCTACGAAGTACACATAGGTCTGGGCGACAGGAAGGTCGTTGAAAGCAATGACGAGGTCGGGAACCGAGTCAAAAAGGTATGTTATTTGTTGTTGTCATCATCGAGTGCGCTGCCGTTGCTGACAGAGTCCTAGTACTATTATGCCAACGATTTCCTGTACCTTGCAGTCCTCGTCTTTTCCAAAGCCGCCGTGGGCTGTCTATTTCTGCGATTGACTCGCCAGCGAGCACATATAAGGGCGATATGGGCTATTCTGGGCTCGTGTGCCGCTTGGTTCGTGCTTTCTATTCTCCTGATCAGTATTGGGTCTTCTTGGACGAGAGCATACAGTCTGCCGGTAAGTTTCTCCTTACCAGAATTCATATATCCAACCCACACGAGAGAAGTTGAGCTGACTCGCCCGGACAGTTTGGCCGATGGCTTGCAGTAGGCATTACCGACGCGCTCACTGAGCTTTTTCTTGTCCTGATGGCAGCGTTCCTGGTCCACGGCCTCCGCATGAGCCGAGTGCAAAAAGGCACAGTCGTGTTCGCCTTCGGTCTCCGTCTTCTGTAAGTCTTTCGAAATTACACAACCCAGAGTATCCATATGTATAGATACACACTATAAATCCAGCAAACCCCCTCACTTCATATACTGACCCAGCTTGACCGTCCAGGGCGATCCCAGCGCTCGCCATCCGCCTCTACTACCTCAACCCCACGACACTATCGGACAACCGCAGCCTCGCCCGCTCCCTAGTGGTGGTGTGCACGCAGATCCAGCTCGGGTACGGAATCATGGCCGCCTCAGTGACGGTGCTGAAGCCGTTCATGGTCGTCTACGAGAAACCCACGGGCTCCTCGAACTACACGGCCGGACGGAGCAAGCAGTACGGCGTCGGCACGAACAATAGCGAACATCTATCGTTCAAAATGAAGTCCCTCGCCCGCTCGACTGAGGTTGGAGACAACAAAAGACCCGCAGCGGGCGCGGATCCCACGCAGCCATATAACTCGTACAACGTCACCGCGGCGGCAGCTGGCCATGAAAAGGACGATAGCATTCACAGCCAGGACAGCAGGCGGTTGATCATTGAGCGCAAAACAGATTGGTCCGTGAGATATGAAGAGGCAGAGAGCCATAAGAGCAATGTCAGCGAGGCGGGGGGTTCTGTCTGAGTCCTGACAGTCTGAGGGGAACGCCAAGGACGACGACGGACGGCTGCTATCTCCCGCACTGCAAAGAAAGAAAGTGTATCAGTCAGACTCTGACTCTGACTTGCTGTCACGTTTTGTCAACCTTGTTCGAGATATATACGTACGACAAAGGTCGTTGGCAATGGGATACTGGTACTACAGTACTATGCTCTACCACCGCTGGTGAGGGTGGGAATCGGATGGGCTATACTACTACTCCGTTGTGTCATAAAGAATTGGTGCTGCTGCTACAGTGTACACTGATATGTCTGAAGTTTACTCCTCCCAGAGAAAGAGAGAGAAAATTTGCCACGAGACACCTACTTGAGCAATCCCTGTAGTTCCAAGTCCATTTTGAATATGAATTCGAATAAGACAGTTGTAGTATTGGTATGCGTTCACGATAACGAGATCTCCAGGTAGCCACCGAGATAACCGGATGGCTAGATGTGTTTCGCGTATTGTCGGCCCCCCTTGCTCGAGATAGGTATCTAGCTGGTCTGCGAGGTCTGTTGAGGTCGTATTACACACACACTACTAGTACATTATAGATTGCACAAAGGTTTTATCGGGCAAGCCAGACCCATGGTCAAGCGGCATTGCCATCATGGGCGATGTTCTTGACACAAAGAGTCGGCGGTAGCGTGGTAGGTGTCTTCTGAGAAGGTTACCAACGGGCAGTGAGTGCTACTAGTGTGTTGGTCTGCTGTGTGGGCTAGGCCTCAGAGTTGTTTGTGCGCCTACATTATGCCTCCATAGTAGTCTGGTGATCGTGGTGGACTTGAAGGTTTTCCGCGAATATGCGCCTCCGTCCCAATGCGGCAAGCGAGAACGACGAGGCGGGATCCACTCCGAGATGCGAGAGACGCTGCAAGGCTGCGATGGAGATGGAAGGGAACGAACATAAAACGGCCTCCCAGATGTGGCCATCATCCACTGCAGTATGTATCGAGAACCCCTTTGCCGTCTGAAGCTGGACCTTTCGTTTTCGTTTCCTTTCCCATCTCCTGCTCATCGAATTCAGACCAGAATTCAAATCGAGGAATTGAACAGAAGGAAAAAAAGGACTGACTGTGCTGTGCGACCATGTCGCAACACACCATCAAGGAGGCAGAGGCGCCGTTTGGGACCTGGGAGAGTCCCATCTCCGCTGACCTGGTCTCCAATGCAGTTCTCCGGTTCGACGCAGTGACTGCACATGTACGTGAACTCCTCCAATCATCCTCCCCGGATTCAGGATCATGGGGGAAACGGTCGAGTGTGGCAGACCTTCCGCCCGAGCCCTTCCTGTTTGTCTTGTTGACCTAGTGTTTTTCTAGGAGTCAACTGGGAAAATCTATCTCACGGAGATGCGGCCGATGGAGCATGGCCGAGTGTGCATCGTGGAGTTGGACGCTGCGACGGGCGCCTGTCGAGACATTCTCCCTTCGCAGTACGGCGCCAGATCCCACGTCCACGGCTACGGGGGCGGCGCGATGACCATCGACCAGACATCCGGCCGAGTGATCTTTGTCGACTCCAAGAGTCACGGCATCTTCTCGATTGAACCCGCCTCGGGAGAGGTGCAAGCACTGAGTGATCCGGACGAGGCAGTCCTGTTTGGTGATTTCGACGTCAACCGGAAGGACGGCGCTTGGATTCTGGCCATTCAGGAAGACCATATGGGTTCTCCCGTGCAGAACAGCATGGTTGCGATCCATGGGCCGAGCAAGAAGATTGTGACCGTTGCCCAGGGAGCCGACTTCTACACCCATCCCAGGTTCAGCCCGGACGGGACTCGGGTCTGCTGGCTGCAGTGGAACTTTCCAAACATGCCTTGGGACAGTGTCGAGCTGCACGTCGCGCTCTGGAGAGAGGGAGAGGTCGTGGAGGAATACGTGGTGGCCGGTGGCCAAGGTGGAGAGAGTGTCCAGCAGCCGCGGTGGAATCTCGACGGCTCGCTGCTGTTCTGCAGTGATCGAACGGGCTTTTGGCAGCTGTACCGATACGACCCACGCAGCAACCAGACCGCTCACATCAATCTGCGTCCACTCGAGAAAGCCGAGTTCGCGTGGGCGGAGGTGTTTTTGGGAAGGTACGTCGGAAGAAGGATATCGCTGGCACAGATTGGGATACTGACTCCGTGACCCTTTCAGCAAAACGTATGCGTGCCTCACATCCAGCCTCGTGGTTGCCATGTACATACTGAACGGCCGGTTCGGCATGTGCCTGATCGACCTGGACCGACACACTTGCTCCGACCTCGCCTGCGATTATGCAGCGCCAAATTTCCAGACCGACACTCTTCACCGCCTCTCCGCAACCGAGTTCGTTACCATCGTCTGTAAAGAGGACGGTCCGATGAATGTTGCCACCCATCGAGTGGGCCCCCTTGGCGCTCTCGCTGCTGCTGCCGCTGCCACTGCCCTCACCGTGGAAGTAGACGTTCGGGTCTTGAAGAGCGTGGTCGCTCCCGACAGACTGCCACCCGCGGAATGGTTGTCTAGACCCCAGTTCATCTCGTTTCCTCGCATCGGATCGCCCTTTACCGGCGAATCCCACGCCATATTCTGGCCGCCAAGGAACCCATGCCACCACGGGCCACCTGGCTCCTTACCTCCGGTGATCGTGTCGGTCCACGGTGGTCCAACCCATGATGCGAGGGCGGCGCTCTCGATGGAGATCCAGTTCTGGACCACGCGAGGCTTCGCTTGGGTAGATGTGAACTATGCAGGCTCGACGGGGTTCGGCCGTGAATATCGCGAACTTCTCAAGGGCAACTGGGGGGTTATCGACGTCCAGGACATCGTCAGCTGTGTGGAATACTTGGTATCTCAATCCCTCGTTGACCCGTCCCGTGTCGGGATTCGAGGTGGCAGCGCCGGTGGCTATGCTGTACTCCAGTGTATGACGGTCTATCCGGAGATCTGGGCCGGCGGGGTCTCGCTTTTCGGCGTAAGCTGCCTCAGCACGATGGAGAAGGCCACTCACAAGTTCGAGTCGAGATACCTTGAAGGCCTTCTACTCCCTTCGATGCCTGTAAGTGAGGAGGACAAAGAACGAATATATCGCGAGCGCAGCCCGTTGTACCGCGTCCAAAATATCAAGGCACCGGTCCTGCTGCTGCAGGGCCGAGACGATATAGTGGTGCCGCCTGATCAGGCAACAATGATGGAGAGCGCCATCAAAGATGCTGTCAAGGGCAGAGGCAGTTCACAAAGTCCTGAATACATGGTCAAGGTGGTCATTTTCGAAGGAGAAGGCCATGGATTTTCCAAGGCCGAGACGTTGAGCAGACAGAAAGCAGAAGAGGTCGCGTGGTGGAGGAGGACGTTGCTCAGACTGGACTAGACAAGTATCGTATAGACAGCGGGCTATTAATTGTCGTCAAAATGAAAGGACCGATGCCCGGTTCCACAAATGGCCCGTCTTACGGTCCTTGCCACACATGGCAGTCCAAAAGTGTTCTCCCTTGGAGTAGATGTCGTCTCGATCCAGGTCTTTTGGCTCCAAGAGACTGACCAAGTAAAAATCCCGATCTTGCCTTTTCTCGTCCAGAATCTCCTGCAGAAGCCTTCTCACCACCGTATTGGGGAAGTTATTATCGAGCGCCAGGTCGTGGTGCTCAACTTCCTGCACCCTTTTGTCGACCCAGTCAGCGACTCGCAGGTCGGGGCACCACCCAGCACAGAACGTGAGAAGCGAGGTCATGCTGATGGCAAGCGGCGACTGATGGGCGCAATTCGAGGGGGAAATCCCTGCTGCGATGCGTAGGATGAGCATTTCCCAGCGACTCATTGAAGGCGGGCCGCCGCCGCCAGACGAGGTGGACTGAGATGTATTGGTTGTTACTCTCAGCCAGAATTCCATCGAACAGAGGAGTTGGGCGGCGACGTAGTAAGCATAGTTCATGGCAGATCTCTGGGTGTGGAACTTCAAGGGATGCACCACCAGGCCACCTGCAGGATCCCTTGCGTCGCCTCCGGATTGGGAGAGAAACGACTCCACGGGCAGCTCAAAGTCGTCTAAACCCGAGTGCCAGTGGTCCAATCGAATTCTTTGCTCCCGCAATGAAGCCTGATAGGCGTCGTCAATCACAGCCAATTCGGAAGGAGACGACTGCGCTCTCGACGAGGGTAGAGAGACATGGTCCAGCATCGGGTCAAAGATCGGGTGTCGGTCTCCCTGCTTGTAAGCCCGATTCCTACAGACGGCGAAGTCGAGAATGATGGTCCGCACCAAGTGTAGACCCTTGCACAAGAGGACGGTCATGGAATCGGAGGCTGACTGGAGATCTCCCAGACAGTCATCGACGATATCTGCGGTGCTCAGCCTCCAGAGGGCCGGTGTCTCTCGACTCCTGTCTGAAATCGCCAGGGCAAGTCTTCGATTCACTACCAGCGATCGACAGCTAAGCCACGTGGACAACAGCCTCTTGCCTGCCGGCGAGGAGATCAGTGGCTCTCGGATAGACGGGAGCAGCTTGTCCATCCCCTCCATGTGCACAAGCACTCCGGAAAATGATCCGAGCTCCAGCTCAAAGAAATGGAGCAGAAGGAGGGTGGCGAGTATATCTTGTGCTTGGCTCGATGAAGACGACGCGGATGTCTCCTGCGTGATGAGTGTCACGGCGTCGCTGTAGTAGCTCAACCCGTGGTGCCGGGGCCCGTTCGTGGTGAGTAGCGGCATGCGCTGCTGCGATCGATAACCTCCGACGGCAGGTGACTTGAAGTGAGCAAGGTGTGCGCACGAAACGGCCAGCACGGCATTTCGGAGGGGAAGAAATCGTGGTGGCTTCGCCACGATATCGCGGAATACTGGGGGAAGGGTTTCAACGACAGTCGACCTCCAATATTCGAAATAAAACCCATCCAAAGATGTCTTACTGTCCGATTCAAATGAAGAAGGCAGAGATGCTTCGGAGGATGGGGTTAGTAGCGCATGCTGATCGTCACTTTGTCGTGCCTCGATTATCCATTCATTCGTGGCTGTCAAGGCCGACTCAAAGATGGAGGCGACGGTTCTGGGACCCTGAGACTCGCCTTCGTCGCTCTGCGCAGAACTCATAGAACCTGGAAACGAATAGTCATCCAGGATATCGGAACAGAACGTCCAGGGCGTGGGCGTGGCGGACGACGGCGGGGAAGTCAATGGCATCGTCTCCGGGCCTCCTGAGGACAAGGATGCGGTGGTCGACGGTGTGACATGGTCTTCCGGTGGTCTGGGGACGTAGATAGGGCCCCATTCAGCAAACTTGACTGTTTGAGCGACATTCGGCACCGATTGAGGAGGCTGGTTGAATCTCAGACGGGTGCTGTATCCCTCACATTCCAGTTGGAGACGGGTGCAGGCACCGCAGCCAGGCCGGGCTTGGTCGCACTGAAGAGGTTGAGTACTTAGTAGGCCGTCCACGTAGCAGAGGAAACGAACAGCTCACCTTGACACGCCGGCGGCGACAAGTGTGACAGCCACCGCGACTGCGGACGATGTTTGTCTTCTTGGGCCGCGTGCTAATACTGGCCATCATTCCAGGATGTCAGTAGAGGGAGGACGGAGGGAGTCATCTAAACTCATCGTGGACCGCAGGCTTGAAGTTGGTAGAGTGAGGTGGCAAAGACCAAAGAAGTAGCGAGACAAATGGTAGTAGATAAGGTTAGTGGGTTAGTAGATACGCGAGATCTGCCACTGCCAATTCTCTTATCTCTTGCTCCCGGGGGTGGATCAGGCCAAAGAGGGTAGGGGGCTAGGCTGGTCGGGTACTTTAGATAAAGCATATCCGCCTAGAGATAGAGGTGGTTCTAGGCGCCATAGCGCACCCGTCCCCTAGAGAACACCCCTAAAGTCCCCTAACTTCTAGGTAGCTACGGCTATACCTACACCTATAACTTGGTGTCCATTGTCTTCGTCTCCGTCTCTTGTCTACTCGTGGTACTCATTCTTCTCACCTCTCCCGTTGTATATAACAAACACATCCCCAGTTCCTCGCGCGTAGAAGAACTCAATGCTACAATAATTTTCATTTCAATCACTGACAAGAGTGCTAATTCCATACCATCTACCACAGGTTCCTCGGTCTCGTGCTATCCCTCTGCCTCCGAAAGTCAAGCTTTGTCACATCGCTTGAACCAGATCATCTTGCCTCCCCCGGACAAAAAGTCCAGTTCGGCTCCAAATTCGTTCACTCGGCCCTGAACGTCCAGCTGGAACTGGGCCTTGAGAGCTGCAACTGGCTCTGTGCCATGCGTAAATAAGATGAGGTTCGCTACGAAGTACTCTCCCGTCACATGCCTCAGGTTAAGAACTACTTTCACCAGACCTTCTGCCACGGCTCGGAGAGCTGATTGGGGGCCGGTTGACGGAGTGATCACAAATGGGCGGTACGCAGGATGGCTATATGTCCCGCTATATTCAGACAGCGGCAGTGAAAGTGGTAGAGGAGGATTCGGAGCTGACGGGTAAAGACGGCCTGGAGCATCGGCAATCTGCCTTTTCGCTTCGGCCAGAGCCTTTGCGTTCCTGGTAGCTTTTGTCAGCCCTCACAATTCCCTGAAGTCAAACCTGTTCGGAGAGAATCAACTGACCACTCGAAAAGATCGAGGCGCTCTTCCTCTGGCACCCCGAGAAGATTGTCGATCAAGAACCATGCCGGCACTTCCGTCCCACGAGTCTGGCCATTCGCGAAGATGACGACTCCAAATTCCCTGTCCGGAAGGTACATCATGACCGAGGAGAAGCCATCAAGGCCGCCGCCGTGGGTGACGACACTCTCTCCGTGATAGATGCCATTGATCCAGCCCAGGCTGTACAGCAGAGGCTGGCGGAAGTGCGGATCGAAAGGCGGCATGATGGACCGGGGAGTTGCCAGGTCTAAGTACGCCTGTTTGGGCAGCGGCCCAGATTGATGGATCATGGATCGGACGTATTTTGCATAATCGACAACGTTGGATATGATGGCCCCGGCTCCGGAGACAACGGCGTCTCGCCACAAGGGCACGGGTCTGGCAGCCGCACTCTGCTCATCCCATGAGTACCCAATGGCCAGATTACAGTCTTGTTCCTGGCCCTGTTCGAGATACTTTTCGGCATCGCTCAGTCGGAAGAAGGTCTGTTTCATCCCAAGAGGCTCCCAGATCTTCTCCCTCAGAAAGTCGCCCAGCCATGTGCGCGTCACCACCTCCATCATGTGAGAGACTGCCATGTACATGAGGTTGCAGTATTGCCAAGTCGTCCTGATCGCCTTGTTGAGGTACAAATGGCGCAGGCTGCGCACTGATTCTTTCAGTGTGTCGCCGCCGAAGGTGAGCGTGTGTCCTGGCATGCCCGTGCGATGAGAGAGGGCATCCTCAATGGTCACTCGAGAGGTCGCATACTCATCCTCGAGCACGAAATCCTCACGAATGAGCTCACTGATTGGTGTATCCCATTGCACATGGCCATACTTGTCGTTGTCATGGACCACCAGCGATACCGCCGCGGCCAGGAAGGATTTGGTGGTGCTTCCCGTGTGGAACAATGTAGAAGCGCGAACAGGGACGTCAGGAAGGGTCGCAAAGCCGTAGCCCTGGATGGGGTCAGAGGAGCATTCAGAGCAGGCGTTTTCGAAACAGGAAGAGGCGGAGAACCTACTGACCTCTGTCCAGATGTCTTCACCTTCAATGACCGCCACGGACATGCCTTGGATGTGCCATTTCTCCAGTGTGTCACGGACAATGTTCTCGAAGCTCGAGTTCAAGGGCGACTTCTTGACTACAGCAGGCTTCTCCTCATGGTGTCCATTGACAGAGGGTTTATGGCTGCTCGGGACCGACATATCCTCGATGACTTGGGAAGACTCTCCTGGAGGTGCCATCTGCGTTCAACGACAGCCGGTAGACAATTGAATTGATGAGCTGAGAAGGCGCGATCTTGGCTGGGGACTCATCTGTGTATGTATCGCGCCAACACTGTTGGCAACTACCTCTCGTGCCGACATCTGTGTACACACCCTCAGGGGGAGACGGCGCAATCGCCTCGATTCACGCACGGCATGGGAGACAAGCCCCAACCATCCTTGTGCCAACGGATATTCGAATGGTCAATAGCCAAAGCTCGGCCCATATCAATGGCTCCATATGGAGGAGACGCTGGAGACAAAGGACGGCGCTAGACCGAAGTGGAAAGCGAGAACGACGGATGGCAGACGACACACGAGACACGACATTCTTATCACTTCTGGTCCTGGCTAGCGAGAGGCTACACTCGACATCAGTGCATCTCATCTCCTGAGGATGGTCAAGTCAAGCAGATAATGGCGGCCGACAGAGATAAGGGATCGCTGCACATCGCGTGGTATGAGTTAGGAGCTTTTGGCTAGGCGATGGTATAAGAAGTCATCAATCCTTCGAAGCATTGAGCACTCAGCATTCAGCCTTCTGTCCGAGTTTGTTCCATCTGCCATACAATCTGGGCCTTGTATTGTCAGGTATAAGAAAGTCTGGGACAAAGACCTTCAACTTCAAGAGGTTCCCAGCATGACAGGCACACGCAGCGACGACACCAAAAAGACGATGGTGGCAGTACCAGTACCCGAGGATGCTCTAGAGATGCAGCCTTCCAATCCAGCAGCAGCAGCAGCGGAGCAGCAACTTGCCGGCCTTGCTACCATCGAGACCATCAAAAAGTCATGGAACCTGCGAAGCATTGTCTTGACCTGGATTGGCGCTGCCCTCGTCAGCTTTGCTGTCAGCTATGACCAGCAAACCTACTCAACCTATCAGCCATACGCCACCAGCGAGTTTGGATCGCTGTCGCTTCTCAGTACCATTGCCGTCGTGCAGAATGTGGTGTCAAGTAAGTGGGCTTGAATTCTCCCAGGCCTCAATCCAAGCTGGCACGTTGTTGCTCTCTGACTGACCATCAACCACGCTTGCAGTCATCCAACAGCCTGTCGCAAAGCTTGCAGATGTCTACGGGTGAGTCGGCCACTCAGCGGCTGTGTCCTAGGATGCATAGTTGCCAACCTGACTTGTCTAACGTCTCACTAATCTCTAGCCGCCTTCCCTTGCTCGTTGCATGCGTGGTCATCGTGACCATCGGAGAAATACTGCTAGCATCAGCCAAAAACATCCAGACCTTTGCGGGAGCACAAGTCTTCTTCACTGTCGGCGTTGTGGGTAAGAAAAGATTGCAACGCCTGGTTGTTTTCTTCTGCACAGCACACTAATCACATTTATCTTGGTAACTAGGACTTCATTTACTTCTTGTCATCCTCGCGGGAGGTAGGCCTTCCCCTTCCGGTCTCTTATCTGACCCCTAGCAAGGCCATATTGACGTGACATAGATTCCAGCGATCTCCGCCATCGAGCGCTCATGAACGTGGTTCCATATGCTCCCGGTCTCATTACTGCTTGGGTAAGTCGGAGCACCTTCACTTTTTTGGGACTCACTCTAAACAAAGACAAAGACGGCTAGCTATGTCACCTCAGCCGTGCTTAAGGATACATCGTGGCGCTGGGGCTATGGGGTGTTTGCCATCATTGTAAGACTAAACTCTCCTTTCCTCGTCTTCCTTCCCAAATTTACGATCTGACAATGTGTTGTTGATGGGATGTCCAGGTCCCCATCATCTCCATTCCCTTGCTCGCGACGCTCTATTACCACCAGCGCAAAGCTCGGAAGCAGTACCCGGTGGAAACTGGTCCGTCTCTTGGATTGAAGCATCACTGTTTGGTGATCCAGCAGCTGGACCCGATCGGGTTGATTCTGTTCTGCGCCGGAATGGCGCTGATCCTGGTCCCAATCACACTGGCTTCTACATCCACAAACACTTGGAAGAGCGGACATATCATTGCGATGATTGTCGTCGGGGTTGTCTGCTTCGTTGGCTTTGTGCTCTGGGAGTGGAAATGGGCCCAATGGCCCGTCATCCCACTGACCATCCTCAAAGGCCGCACGGGATCCTTCGGCATCATTGGTATGTTACAAATGCAGTCTGGACGACTCGTCGGGCTCCGCACGAGCGTCAATCTAGTCTCGCTGAAATGCATCCTTGTGTCCATTGCCAATTGTGCAGCTGCTGACCAGTGCCCACTCACTGCCCAGCTGCGATTCTCGATTACGCCTCGTGGTACACGACCTCCCCTTATCTCTACACGTATCTCCTCGTCGTTCGCAACCTGAGCGTCAAGGCCGCGACCAATATCTCGATCATTATACCCTTCACAGCAGTTCTGGGCCAACTCGGGGCGGGAGTCGTCGCCAAATACGCCGGACGCTACAAATGGATCACCGCCGCCGGCATCGGTCTTAAAGTCCTCGGGCTAGGGCTGATGTTGCGCTACCGCCATGCAGACTCTTCCCTTGGATCGTTCGCCGTCGCCCAGGTCCTCCAGGGTCTCGGAGAAGGGATTTTCAACACGGTCATTGCCGGCATGCAGGGCGCTGTTTCGGAGAGTCGTAAGTAGCAGCTATTCTTCTTGTTGACCATAACGACGGCACTTTCTAACACTCGGTATCTCAATCACAGTTCTGGCCTCTATCGTCGCCTTATTCGTTTCCTCGTGTGGAGTCGGAGGAGCAATCGGTGCGGCTGTCGCGGGAGGAATCTGGACGAGTACGGACTTCAAACCCTCTATTCTTTCTGTGCTAACAAGACGTTTTGTTTCAGATGTCCTTCCACGCCAACTACACACAAACTTGCCGGCAAGCCTGCAGGCCCAGCTCGCCGAGATTTACGGTTCCGTGGTCGTGGCCATCCAGTTCCCATGGGGGACCACCGAACGGAACGACATCAACCGCTCGTACGATGCCACCATGCGCATCCTCATCATTGTCGCGCTGGTGCTGGCCAGCCTCGAGTTTCTGGCCGTGCTCATGCTGCAGGATTTCAACTTGAAGGTTGTCGATCAGGGGCGGGACTATGGCGGCGCCGTCATTGGCAAAACTACCGCCAAAGCCGCCGCTGTTCCGCCGACCGACTTCGATGGCATGGCTAAGCTGGATCATACCGACACTCCGCTGGAGCAGTTCGATGTCGACCGCGAAACTTGATCGGGAGTCTCGTATTGTGTCGACGCCTGTTCTGAATCTTCACCGCCGTACCCATCCTCCGACGAAAGTGAACGGACCTAGTCAAGACTCAAGGTCGGCCTCGCTGGTGACGCCGGATAGATGTATAGTCAGATAGAAAATCCCCTCTGGGGGCCCTTCGACTGTTGAACAAGCCCTGCGAAGCACCGCGCAAGAACCTGGGTAAGCGTTTGCTTCTTCAAGTTGTTATGCTTAATTGCTGGACGAAAATTTCTCCGGTGCATTAGATCATGGTTGCGGATTCTATCTCCTATTACTGGCAGTGGGTTTCTGGCTACCTTGTCTTACCTTCAAAAGGGTTTCGGGGGTCGGCACCATATGATGCTAAAGTTGACTGGAGGGAGACCATAGGCTCTTTCAAGGAAATATCGGTTGACGCCTCCTGGGAGAGAATGTACCTTGGCTTTTTGGGTGTATATACTGTACCCACATAGGCTATTTGCTAGAGAGATATATAAAATGTCCGGCGGCTGCATGGCTGTAGAAGGACCCATGACATAAGCCACATGACGGTTCAGGGAGGTCGACCACTCCAGGTGATTTGACCGTCCCTCCTTTGTGCCCACCCATCGCTTTCAACTGGGTGGTTACCCTAACGGACGCAACGCTGGCTCATAACGGCGGAAGACTGCGATTAGGTGCAAGTGGTGAACCAAACATGCGCCGAAGGAATTGGACGGGGATATTTCGATCTATATATATTGGTCCCCGCGACGATCGAATTCAGTTTCCACGTTCGACAGTCATGACCGGACCAGTGTAGACTTTCCTGCCGCGGATGGCGTACAAAGTCCCGCAGATAATCATGGTGCCGAAGAACAGGACAATGGCCCAATTGAAGGAGTTGGCGTCGACGGGGGTCTCGTTGGGCCAGAAACTCCAGAAGAAGGCGAAGATCGAGTAGACGATTCCCACGGCGTTGATGGGCACTCCCCACTTGCCCAAGCTCCAGCGTGCCTTGGGGAGGAGTTCGGGGTGGTAGACGCGGCGGAACAGGACGCAGGAGATTGAGATGGTGTAGCTGAACATCAGCGCACAGACCTGCAGGGAGATGATGGCGTTGAAGGCCGTCGCGCTGCCAATGTTGATGAGCGCCAGAAGACAACTGCAGATACAGGTCACGGCCACGGCGTTGGCAGGGATATGGAGCTTGGGGTTGACGGCGCCGATCCAGTTGGAGAACGGCAGGCCCTTGTCACGCGCAAAGGCGAAGGTCTGTCTCGAGGTCGAGGCATTGAACGAGATGTTGGATGCAATGACCAGGATGAGGATGATGATGGTCAGTGCGTTAACGCCGCCGGTAGACACGGCTTGACGGAACAGCCAGATGAAGGGATATTCCGTGGGGTCGTCGAGGGCGGCGTCAACGTCAGTCATGGTGAAATTGTAGGTGATGATCAGGACGAAGCCGAGGATGCCGTTCGAGACATAAGCCCAGAACATGGCGTTGGGGACGTTCCGCCCGGCGTCCTTGACTTCTTCGGCCATATGAGCGGTGCAGTCGGAGCAGAGGGAGCCGTAGATGGCGGAGATTTGGCCGACCATCAAGGCGAGACCCATGCTGGACCATCCGCCTTCATTGGTGAACTGGGTGAAGGCAACCTTGGCCGAGTTTCGAGGCGCCATGACCCAGAGGACAATAATGGTCGCCAAGAAGGCAAAGACGTGGACGATCAGAAGAACGTTCTGGATCAGTGGCAAGTCACGAGCACCCCAGGTGTTGGCAATCCAGAGCACAAGAACCATGGCGAAAACCAACAAAGTACCTTGCCATGCTGTCGGTTCGTAGTCGGGGTTGTTGATCTGAATGAGTGCTTGGATGATAGTGCCCGTCAGAAACGACCCTGAAGCTGTACCCGCCTGCCACGACAAGGTGGACATCCATCCCGTAAGGTAGCTTAGACCCTTCTGATATTGAGGGGGAGCAAACTCGGACACCCAGTGATATTGGCCTCCACTCGTCGGGCACCTTTTTTCACGTCAGTAAGGAGAAGAGAAGTGAGAGCTCCAACATGTGTCTACTTACATCGAAGCCATTTCCGCAAGAGATGTCATGACAATGCCGAACCCGAAGAACGTCCAGACATAGGTCCAGAAGAAACCAGCCAGGCCGCCACATACCAGCACTTGGGTGTTTGCGCTGGAGGCCTGTTAGCGGGAACAAGATGAAAACGACAGAACTCAAAACTCACATCAGAAGAAATTCCCACGTCGCTTGCAGCAAAGCAGTGAAGGCCAAAGCAGAAATCGGACGGAAATTGCGGATCAACTCTTGACGCTTGCCCATACGTTGCATATCCTTTTGATCTTTGGCGGTATAACCTTTATCGAGGAAACCGACATCATTGTAGTTACCTCCATCCTCGATGCCGTCAAAAGAGGCCAGTTCTCGAGCCGTCAGCGACGACTCTTGAGCCTTCGCAGCATCCATCACTTTTGGTATATTTTTCCCTTCGGGTTGAAAGAAGGGCACAAACAAAAGCAATGAACAAGGTCAAACGTCCGCAAATTGCCTATACCATCAAATGTCAAGGAGGAAACAGGGAAAGAAACTTGCAGAAGTGATCTCTGGACTTGGAGAGCTGGCACATGTAATAGCTCAGTTGAAAATGGTTTCTCGCTAAAAGCCATTGGTGAGAACTTGAACCACGCCCTGATACCTTAGCCAGGGAGTTTGACCGGACCACTGCATGTGAACAGGGATCACTCGCCGCTAAAGGTCTGCGACGCCACGACAAGATACTGTCATTTAGACCGGACTTAGTTTCGGAGGAGTTGCAACAGTGGGAGTGGATCGAGGGTCGGATACGCTGAACTGCTGTATCATGCCGATCGACTCTCCTTGCGAGTTGCAGGCCGCAGCTCAAGCTCCCAGACACTGTTCTTCTCCTGACGCAGGAGGTGTACGTGATATGCTCACCTCAACAAGTCATTGGGTTTTAAGCGGCCAGAAAAGCGACCAGCAAGGCTCGCTCTCCATATTCAACCCAAGTTCATCTTCAAGTTCTTCCACACCCAAAGGGGATGGCTATGGGCCGCTCCGAATCAGCCCGTACGGCTTGTCACTGACATGGATTGTCATCTTGGTCTGTGCATACGACCTTAGCGTTGGGAAGGACCTGTCAATAGTCTGTTATTTGCTTTTGGTCAGGACAAGGATGTTGGCCAGCTGTATGGTCCAATCATGGACTGTGATCGAGGCAGACCAGCAAGGCAGGCCTCTTTCAGGGTCTTGAAGTGACAACGCTAACACTGGGGGAAACACGGAGGTTTGAGGTGCTCGAGGGCTTATCTCGAGCGAGCGAGCCATGTCCTTGTCTCCGCGATAGTGGAAGTGCGAGTGGAAGTGAAAGGGTCGGTGGATGCTTTGCCGTCAGTGGGGACGCGGACTTGAAGCTTGCAAGGCATAGCAGTATAGCGCTTTGAGTTGAGGTCAGGCCCCATTTTGACAATAGGGAGATTTGGAGAGTCAAGTTCATATGATCGCTAAGGGCTAGTGCCAAGCCTCTAATTGGCACCGTGTCTTGCCAAAGACTCGACTCTATGACCGTCGTGCTAAAGTTTCAAATTGGAGGGTCAAGTTCAAACTGCGGAGTATGAAATTTATTAATTGCAACGTTGAACATCACTCCTCCCCGTGCTGTGTGCTGTGTTGTGCCTAACATTGCTATCAGCCCAAGGCTATCTCTGCAGACTCTGCAACAACTACAGCCATGGCTCAAGGTCTGATCAAGAAACCGTCCAAAACCACCGCGTCCAAATCTTCGTCTGCGATCACAAAGAAAGGTTCACGAACCATCACGCCTAAGAAAACCAAACTGTTGAAACAGGCCAAGCTCAACAAGAAACTAACGTCAGGCTTGACAGCGAAAACCGAAGCTATGCTTGGTGAGCGCGCCGGCCACCTGGAAATGCTAGGTCATGGTAGAAAAAAGGGTGTGGCAGGCGGTAAAGCAGGCAGTGGCAAGAATAGTGGCAAGAAGTCCTAAAGAGACTGCGGATGTGGGAGACACATGATCATAGGATACGGAGATAGTTGCAGTGCCGAAGAACACAAAGTCTCAATGCGGACATGGGATGAGATGGCATGCTAAGGGCCTGGTGAAAACTCCTCACGGGCCAGAGTCTGTTGATACACGGCAGACTACACCATATCCCACACCACCTACCCTGTGCCTTCGATTTGCGGGAGCATACCTAGGCACCCCCCAGGGCAATTCAATGGCAGACCATCTCTACGCGACGTATGAACCGGGGCTGGCCGGACAAACAAGTGGACATGGTGGGATATCGAATATCAAACTTCTGTACGGGCAGGGTCTGCGGTGCAACGAATCATGCAACATTGGGGTGATATGGAAGAACATTTCGATTTGGTATTCCTATGATACCAAACGCGAGTCTGCGGCAACCGAGGCCAACTCCAAAACCCAACGCCGACCGTGGTATATCGGACCTGAACCTCTCCATCAAAACACCAAAACAGACGACTTTCATATCGCCCTAGCGGCCTCACCGCCACCGCTTTCCATCATGGCCTCTTGGTTCAAGTCAGCCTTTAGCTTGCCCTTCTTTGCACCACCTTCTCCGACACCCATTCTCTTGGCAACATATCTTTGGGCCACCACGCCGACCGCCAGAGTCAAACTCTCCTCAACCCATTCACTGACCCATTCTCTGGGATCGATGCCTCCACTTGCGATGATCTCCTCAATGCTTTCTGGCAAGGTGCCTTCACCGCCGCTGGGAGCGTCAAGCCAGTCAATCCACTGTCCGGGAAGAGCCTGGGAGATTGCCTGGAAGGCGATGCCATGGATCGGGTCGTGCAGATAGATCGCGAATACAATCTCTTCGTTGTCGTCGTCCTCTACTTCCTTGACTTGCCCTTCTTTCTCAGAGCTGGACGGGGCGGCAAACATCTCTTTTGACACGGCTTGCGAGACTGCCTGGATGGCGAGAAAGATTTCGCTGTCTCGGGTGGGGTTCGAGTCAGAGAGCGTCTCTGTTGCACGTTTCGCGGCCTCCTCTACCCCTCCTCTGCTGGAGAAGTACTCATCGGCATAGCCTTCCGCTGATGCTCTTGCCAATTTGCTTCCCTCGACGAGGCCTTTGACTGCGTTGATGCTGCGTCTCTCGCCGCTCCTCCACCACGGCCCATCGTGCCAGGATCCCAAGGGGCGGGACATGTCCTTGGAGTCGCGCTTCGGCCCAGCTTCGTGACCACGCTGGATGACCATGAGATCTCCGCCCTCCACCTGTGCCATGACACGACTGAAGACCTGGTAGATGATCGGGTCCAGGGTAGGATAGTTAGATAGGTCGTGAGTGATATGGATCTGTAGACGTTCGTGGGAGGAAATAGGAGGCGCGATGGTCTGCAAAATGTTCTGGAACGTCGGCATGGCAATAGATCTGAGTTCACCACCTACAACACACGGTTAGCAAACCATCTAGGCAGCAGACCTGAACAGATGGGATATATCTCCCCCCTTACCAAAGCCCTTGAGCAACCCCACGTTGCCTCGAACCTGTTCCGCCCATTTCTGTGCTTCCTCGTTCTTCTGAATCTCTTTCACGGCTGCTTGTGCTTGGGTCAGGGCCGTGGACGCTGTCGATAGTATCCCTCCCCACCATCCACCGCTTTTGGCAGGAGTTCGCTCGGGTTGCGGCTCGGGCTCTGCTGACTCCTCCGTGGTCGTGGTCGCGGGTGTGAAGCTCTGACGGAACGAGTGCGTGCTGTCACCGGACTTCCTCTGGCCATTGCTCGACTTCTCTTCACTGGTCCGTCCCGGGGGAGGTGTGGCTGCGGATGGCGGTTTGGGTGATCGAGTTCCGCCGGCGGTGGCTGTGTTCGGTCGTAAAGAAGGCGTCGCAGGTCTGCTGGCGGGTCGTTGAGCCAGATTGCCCAGCTCGGCAAGCAGGTCTTGTTCGGATTGTGACGATTGTGCGGGTTGCCCTTGTCTCGCTGTTCGCGTCGTGGGTTTGGGTGGTCGCGCCGTGGCCTGGGTGCTTAGATTGTCGAGCTGGGCCAGTAACTCGTCATCTGTGGGTGCCGTCTTCTTCGTAGCCATGGTCATTGAAAAGGTACCCCGGGGGTTTTGCTGCAGTGTATCAATCCAGGAGGTCGGTTGGAGGGCGGGTAGGTTGGCAAATGCCGGAGATGGGGTGTTGACGTCTATCTATCCACCGACTATTGAATCTGGGGTTCAAGTTCAATTGGGTCGACGAGCGATTCTCCATTCCGCCCCTTGGTACGAGAACAGAGACAGCACGTGATGAATAATACGTTAATCACGTGATAGCGACTTGACAGGCACTCGCCAGCTATTTACTGATTCTTACAGAACCCTCATGCCATCTGCTCTCTTCAAACGGAGGGTTGGATGTGCCACAGGGAGCTCATCGATGTATGCAGCGCAATGTCCGGCACCGCGAGAACTCTCGACTTCATTAAGCTGAAGGCTTCATCGAGGGGCTCATATAATGCACAACCCGTTTCGTTATGATGTGTCCACCTCGATCCTCACGATCAACCTACTATCCATCAGAAGAAGACTTCAAACTTTCGGCAAAGAAACCTTGTTCTGAGAAGAGGCAGGAGTATCAGTGCGGACTCCGGTGCTGGTCCCGCTCAAAAGAGAACGGAAGGACCAACTCTACCAGACAAATACATTCAAGAAATGCTTAGTGTCGGCACAATGAAGTTCCATAGAATGTTCAGACGTGTGTGATAGACTGGCACTCCGAAGGTTTGAAATCTGAAATCTTGCTGGAGCAATATTTGATCCTCAGACCCTTAAAGAGGACCTGCAGTAATCCCCATGACTTCTTCCCCGGCTGATTTCTTCAGTCTACCTGCGCTGCAATTACCGCACCGCACTCTCCCTAGGTTTTCATTCTTCTCTCACAGAATCCTCCCTGTGTACCTAGGTACTACTTACAGCGTGACATCCAGCAGCCTTTAGAGAGACGACAACATACCCCCTTCATCCACCGAAACCTGGGCAATTCCATCAAGACGTGAGAATGTTTCGTCCCTCCTTTGATACACTGCTAACATACTGTAGTCTTCCTCCACCGCGTCTTCAAGATGCTATCCAGAATCCGCCTACCTTTGACCGCTTGCTTGCTCGTCCTTCTCTCAACCATTTTTCCACTGGTTGCGAGTGCTCCTTTGGCCACCCCCGAAACTTTCAAGGCCATAGAAGGACTCTGCCGCGAGGGCTATCACTGGTCGGACGTGGAGCCTGTTGCATCAGTAGGCGCCACCTGCTGTCTGATAGGGTACCAAGCCAGGTCGGCAAAGTCGAGCGAGGAATCGGACTTGCAGACTGTCTTTTGCTGTCCAGCCAAGGATCAGACCGTGTCTTGTGAGGGCGGCCATCGAACACTTCCTAGCAAGCCTTTGACATGCCCCAAACCGGGCTGGTTTGCTGGAGCGATGTGCCAGGGATATTTCTGATGGGAACAAATCAGCCAACCCTAAATTCACAACCAGTGAATCTACGCCATGACCGCACCCCGACTCTGCGATCGACAATCCCAAGAAGGATATGACAGTCTTGAGGATCCTGCTGAGGTTCAGAAGTCTCAGCTCCGGTAGGAGGAGGGTGTTCAAGCATAGGAGGATGAGCAAGCATGGACCTCAACGTCATTTTACAGGCGCGCGGCCCATCAGGAACTGAAGTGATATCCTTCCTGAAAGGAAAGCCATATGATTATTCATGGCAGTCATAGTCGAACTCGGGTAGAACTCTTTTATCCTCAATTACCCTAGCTCTTCATGTTTCTTTTCTTTTTAGCTCCTCTGAGAGACTCATCCGCTTGGGGCAAGCATGTCTCTCCAACCCCTAAGACCACTTCGGCTGTCACGGCTGGTGCCAGTATCAGCCAGACCTACCATGCCATTGTGTTGGTCTTGGTGACATGATTGCTCGCCCGAATGTGATATTTGCCTTCATGGCCACTCGGGACAGCCATTTAACGGCATCGACGACGCCCTTTGCAACCTGGCCGTTGGTTGGCAAGGGGCACCAAGAGAGAGAGGCATGGGCAGACATGCCTGCCCAGACATGAGGCATTACCAGGATGGACTATGGAGATGGTCCAAGGCTAACTTCAAAAGCTGCAACAGTGAAGGTGGACACTCGATCATCCTCAGATCAACCAGCGGTTGCAGCCTTCTCTTCTTCTTGTGCTTCTTCTTTGTCGTCATCAAAATGACTCGAATGAAGCTCGGCAAGATTGAATCTCTTCAATGTCTCGAAATCATTCCCTACCACGCTCATGCCGACCACATTTCTATAGACGTCGACAAGCACGAGCTTATCATATCCCTTGAGGTCGACGGTGTGCTTGCCCTGACCCAACGCTGTGATCTTGTCCGCCACTGTTCGTATGACTATATCCCGGTTTAGTTTGTTGTTGTTCCGGATCGTTGGACGGATGGCGAATTTGACGGGTCTGGGCTGGTTGCTGTCTTCAGTCGCAGACTCTGGGTCCTGCGTCTCTGGAGCATCGGGCTTGATGAGGAAGTGTTGGGGAAGAATCTGGTCGCAGAGGGACTCGAGCCCGTCGTTCATTGTCTTCCGTATCAAGCTCACTGGAGTCAGCCTCTTGATGTACCGGCTTCTCGGCCCGGAATAGTCCTTTTGTGCAGCATTGATACAGATCCGGTGCACGATATCGACAGGGTCATGCCGGGATTCTGCAGTCGTCGTGCGGGGGAATCGGACGAACGACACACAAGGTATGTCTAGCATGATCAAGGAAAGTTTCTGCGACGATGAACCTTTTGTCGGTTTGGGCCGTAGCTCGTCCAACTCGGCAAGGATGTCGGCTTCGATATCGTTATCTTCGCCCAGGTCGTTGGCATGCCCGTTGTCTGTGTCTTGCTGTCCAGGCTGAGGGTCGTCCGTGATGTACTGGAGGTCGCGGTGAGTAGATACGCACGTGGTCAGACATGTTGGCTCGTACCTCGCCCAAGAGATCCGAGAGCTCCTCCAGGCATTTCCTCTCCTGCCCCTTGTCGCATGTGACAAATATGCCAACATCATCACTGTGGATGCCAGACGCACTGACTTGTGTTATCTGCCGATTGCCGCTCTTGCCTTGGGTCTGACTTGGATCTCTGGCGCTCTGTGCGCGGTATTTGCTTTTGTTTTTGCTAGCCTTTTGAAACGTCTGCGTATCAAAGTTTAGTCTCTGTGTACGACGGACAGGGAGCAATGTTCGGAAATGGGAACAACATGCAGAGATAATGTTGTTTAGCAATGTAGAGAATAGCCCCCGCATTTCTGCGGACAAGGTTCGACTTACCGCATGAATGCCTTCGCCCATCTTTAGCCGCTTGGATGGTCTTCCTGCTGAGCCTTCAGGACTCATGCCTTTCTCGTGCCCTGTGGATGGCCAGGCAAGAAAGTTCAACGGGGAACTTGGATGTGAGGTCGGGACGGCAGCAGGTCTTTCGGTTCAGTCTCATTCCCACCTGTCTTGGTTGACTGATTTCCTATTGTTCTCGACTCTTTCCCTTCTCAGACTGGTTTGCTTGGACATTGGAGGGAGGTTTCTATAGGTGGAAATGTCTCTTTCGTCGCGAGGCGAAGTCTGCAATCTGATCACGTGATATGGATGACTGTTGTATGACTAAGCGAGTTCAGAAGGCTCAAACGGGAAAAGGGGGAAAGGGGGCAGAGTTCTCTCCTTTTTGTGTTCTCTGCTTTCTCGACCTTCTATTCTTGCATGCTTACTGCACATTTTCCTGCCCGTCCTGTTGCCGCGGAGAGCTTCTTGATGATAACTCTCGTCTGCAACCTCCGTGTGACAGTGCTTCAGAAGCCGACTTGGCCAATGGCCGTCTCACTTTGACATTATATTCGGCAGCGTCAAAGCAAGAAAGCGTCTGGAGGCGACCTCGTGATGACCCATCTAAGCGCTTCCACGCTTGCTGAAGCACGATTCCCCCGATCTAATTGCCATCGAAGCCCCACTGTCCCCGATTCTTTGACCATAGACACTCGAATGTACATTGGTTGCGCAGCCAGATCTGGCGCTGGTCAAGCTCGAAGCATCGACATCGTGCGACCCCTTCTGCTTCAGGTTATGCAATGTCCACTATAGCAGTATGGCTGTTCCTGGATGAAATCTCATGTAGGTCTTCTAGAGTAAGTAGAGTGCGCTCTCCATTCTTTCTTCTCTCCGACATTGTGCTTGCTTTGCCCGCTCGTTCACTCTATACATACCTGTAATGGCGTCGTTCTTTACCATGAAGCCATCGGACAAAAAGAGATCCGTCCCTAATGGGGGACTGGGCGGGTTGGTCCTACCACAACTGGGAGCTGGTGGTCGAGAAGTGGCGGATGTTGCTTCACAACCACCCTCGAAGAAGTCCGAGTCTCGACGACGTCCACCTCCGATCCGAATCTTCTGCGGCGGTGACAATGATCCAACATGGCCTGCTCCTGCTTACGGAGGGTCGAGCATTGGATTGGGCGGCCTCTGGACTCCCAACACGCCTACCGATCGCCTCGGGCTGTCGTATCTGGCGGAACGCGACTTGAGTCCCGGGTCGGCACCATGGACATCGCACCATGAGTCTGCGGCACCTCGCGCACCATGCTGCTCACTGCCAGAGACACCGATCAGTCCGCTCAATTCACCGCCTGTCGAGTTACCTGGGTCACTTCTCCAACCCAGTCAAGGCTTCCCGCAAACAACTCCGATTTCACCTCCGCCTTCACTTCGGATTGTGCGCAGAGACACGGAGGACTCAACCGTAAGCTCTGTACCAACGTTGTCCACATCACTTTCTTCGGATGTAGACACGATGGAGACTTTCCGCAACCTAACCACCCCCTTGAGAAAGCACGACCGCACTCCCGACAGCACGATGCCTGGATATGTGATTGGAAGTCGCGCCGACGAGGGCGATTCTTCGATTACCAAACCGCTCTCTGCCATGTCTATCGACGAGTTACTAGATTCTCTACCTGAATGCAATCCTTCCGTGGTCACTCAACTCTGGCTACCTGCCGTCCGAGCGCAGTTTCAGAAGATGATAGATCTGCTGAACGACGTGGGCGAGCTCAAGATCGAGTCTAGTCTGAACCAAATAGCATTTCAGAAGGTGAGTCTCGTCTCGACCGCCTACACAGCGGCCATACTGATCGGTCGTAGGATCTGAAAAGCTTCTCCGACGAAATCCGCCTCATCGCCACGTCTTACCACAAAGTCCTCGAGTCAGCAGAGTCGCTCGTGGAGCGCGATACAAAAGTCTGTCATGAGCGTCTTAAAGAGCTGGAGGCACAGGTGGAAGAAGCCTTGAACAAGATGGAGGCGAAAGACGAGGAGATTGCGGAACAGGCCAGAACGAATGCCGATTTGACGCATACCATCCGTGACATTGTACACATCCTAGGATCGTTCATCCACGACTACGTCTCAAGCTGGGTGGGTTCGATCAACGAGCCGAGAACCGAACAAGTCCTGGAGATCATCTCCGATTATGCCCGCTACTCGGACTGCAAGAACGAGTCGATCCCATATGTTCGAGTCCCGAAGTCTACCATTGCGCAGTACACGAAAGAGGTCCGAGAGTCCCAGGCAGTTGCTAAGGAATATCGAGAGCTCTTGCACGAACAGAGTGCAATGATCCACGAACACTCTCGCAATTTGGACGTGTACACGAACAAATACGAGGTCGCCGTCAGAGTGATCAAGGAACGCGAGCATGAGGTATTGCTTCTCGTGCAAAACACCGACACCCTGACTAGCCGACTGGAGGAATGTGAAGCTGCACTAGCACAAAGTCAGGAGTCGATTGCAGAATTGGAAAGCAGTGCAGGCCGCTACGACGAGCTGCGCGGGAACATGGAGAGCCTGAAGATCGCACACACGCTGGAAATCGGGCAACGCGACGAAGAAATCGCCAGATTGCGACAGATGTTGGGCAGCGCTCGGGAAGAAGTGTTTGCGCGACGAGCAGACGTGAAGAACATCATCTCTCAGACCCAAGCCGGCCTTGCCGTGCCGGACATGCCTTCAGCAGCGACGGCGAGAGCCGGTCCCACCTCCAAAGCCCTGAGATTCTTTGGCATGGACCGAGACAAGGAGAGAGGGCGGAGACCTGCATTGCCTTCAAGCCAGAGCATGATTGGCTTCACGTCGTCCCATCATGATGCCACCACCCAGCCCTTGGACACCAGATACTCGTCAAAGGAGGTCGCACCGGTGAAAAGCAAATCGTTTCTTCGAAACGTCTCGCCGCTGGGGAGGCGTCGACAGGCGCAGACAACCCCCAACACTCCGGTCGATAGCTCCGACAGTGGCAGCGGCTCGATGGCTTCGTTGCCGGTACATGTAGGCATCAGCCCGCGGTCTGATTCCCTAGGCGCCACGCAGCGTCATGGCGTGCTCGCGTCCCCGATCAACACGCGTAAAGCTCTTCCACAACCTCCTGCCCGTCCACAGCCACAGTTCGCCTCGGCGGCTAGGCTGGCCGCCATCACACAGGCTGTCGAGAGCCCAAATGCCATGCAGATCGCTTCGGATTATCTAGAGCACAGTATCCTGGGACAGACCCAGACCGTGGCTCGACGGGTTCTCAGCAAAATCCCCGAATTGTCTATCCACAGTCCATCCCAGGCAGGAGATGCTACCGATGACAGACTGTCGGGCTCGGACAACGACAACGTCGACGACGACGAGGCGGAGAGCGTTGCCAGCAGTGATCGTGAAGTTTACCGCAAGAGCGTGTGTGCTCTGGACATGTTGAACGCTTCCACCCTCCCTTGCAGTGAGACCGAGACTGAGACTGAATTTGAGAGGATCCTTCGCGGAGTCGGAGTCGGAGTCACGGGCAAGCGAGGCGGAAACGAGCAGCAAGAGCGTGAGTACCGCGGTCATCATCATGACGAAGAAGACGGTTACGTTGATGGTGATGATGACGAACTCCAGACTGGTGTCGCGCGTGTCTTGCATTTGCGACGCGGAAACCATGATCTGAGAGCGCTGAGGGACAGAGAGCAGGATGGCAGTGGTAGTGATCGTGACCGTGACCGTGATCACGATCGACGGGAGAGATACAGATACAGTTTTCTGTCGGATGCTTCGGGCGAGCGATCTGAAGGCTCGGAGCCCAAGACTGTTGCGCAGTTGTATCATCAGGGAGGACATCGCCATATTTGAGGCTGAGCAGAGCAGGTTCCAAGGGCGGGTTTGTGTATCGAGAAACATCATCACATCAAACTCACATGTCAGGTTACGAGGCTGGGATTAGGGACGGGGAGTCAAGGTGCTCATTGTGAAGTTTGTACGAGTTCATTGCAGCAAAGCACGGGACGGACTTGGAAAGGAAAGCCTCAGCTACCTGGTGTCTATGTACCTGGGTCGCTGGGTATGGACGCGGACATCATGCTGCTTGGGTCTGCCGTTCAGGAAAGGTATCACAGCAAGTTCGTCTGGCTCAATAGGTAGTAACCCCAAAGAGAACATCGCTGGCATCTCCGATAGTGCCGCCCTTGCAGCCAACTCAATCAGTCCATACACGTACAAAGTCAATCGCCGAAGTTGTCCACAGAAATCCTTATTCTGTGCAGAGATTGAGAGATTGCACTGGAGTAGACGCTCAAGATAAAGCCTCGGAGGCGATGACAGCTGCAAGATCCACGTGATAGGGCTGGTGTCTTTCGCGATCTCGTCGCCGAGTACGGTTCCATGGTGGTAGCAGACCCTCCCAGGGGTCGTGCTAACAGAGTGTGTTGTGCTCGATGGCTTTTGACATCATTGCATCCTATCCCACAAATTGATTTTGTCAGACCGCCATTTGTTTTTTCATTTGGTGAAGAAATTCTGCTGTCGACTACACCTTTTGCCAAGGGATCCCATTTTCACTCGGCAAGCCAGGAATGGATCGTTGGCGGAGTTCGCTTTAGAGCAGATGTAGTTCGGGTGCGGTACCCCAAGATGGTTTCCTGTCGTTGGAGACAACTTCTCCCGGCGCTGTGTAGTTGGCGGTGTCTACGATTGAGATTGAGGGTAAAAGAGCATGCCCACCATCTTACTCTTGTATCTGGACGCTGTAGGAGCGGTTCAGAGCATTTGTCTCTTGCCGCGTCGAGCGCTGCTTCATAATGGGTCGTTTGTTCAGTTGTTCGTTCAATCTCACAGCTGGGCCGCGCTTTACGCTTCGTGCTCTCATTCCCCTTGTTCAATCCGTCGACCCGTTGATCCGTCATTAGTCATTTCCTTCGTTCCTCCAATTCGTAATCTCATCCATTCATCAAACCCTTCATGGGCTCCTGTTCCCTATTCATCCATTCATTCCTTCGTTCATCGACCTCTCTGTGTTCAGCCACACAAGACATATATAATGGCTCTCCTTAGCATTCTGCTCATTGTTGTCTTTTGAGTCGTTATGCGTTCTTGTTTGCTCCTGCTCCTGCTCCTCCAGTCTGTTTAGGCTTCATAGATTGCAATTCGATCTCCTTGCCAACACGGCTGGTATTAGCGGTCAAGCTGTCGGCGAGGCTTCGGATCTGAGGCTGGAAGACGCGTGAGATGTTGTGGTATCCGTGCTGGGGGACTTGGATTAGGAGCGCGTGGAGGTATCCGAGGAAAATGGAAATTTTGGCCATGGGTGACAATATTTGTCAAAGGACAGAAACTAATAAGGAATCAATTGATGCGCTTGTTCGTTGTTCGTTGTTCTGGTTTGTTGTGGTTGGGAACGAGGCGTGCTGGACCGGGGAAAAGGGGTATGCGACGCTTTGATGGGCTTCTGGGTAGTTCAGGGTGTTGGGATCGTAGAATCAAGGTGGAAAGATCCAGGGCAAAGACGCAGGTTACTACGTATCTGTGACTTGAAGTACCAGTACTTGGTAGAGGGGTGATGTAGCTTGCAATCGCTGATATAGAATGTTAGTACCAACCACCTACTATCATTCGACGAGAGTTAAGATAAAGAAGGCTGGCTGATGGAATGTATGATTGGTTGATTTGTGGTTGGTGGAGAAACGGAGCCGGTCGGAGTCGGAGAAAACGCGACGGAGTCCCGGGGCAGCATAGGATTCTGTCAGACCGCACTTTTTATGCCATTACGGTGCTGCCAGGGTCCGGGAATTGCAACTCTGGTACATACATGAGCGTCTGACGATAACATATCCACCATCATCTCCACTCCATCTGTTGAGGTCGCGGCTCCGCCGTGGATAAAAGGCTTGCTGGAAAGGAATCGAAATGCCTTTCTTTAATCAAAGTTGGCGGAGTACTATCCGGAGTACAGCCGGAGTAGAGCCGACATCGTCGTCAAAATCGCTGTCCATGCCCATCCCCCGGATGTCGTTTCTAGCAGATATCTCAGGCTCTACAAGTCTTTAGGTAAATTGCAAATATGGCCTCCGAAAAGCCAACCTGCCGATGGGGCATAGTCTGTAAGATGGAGTGATCCAACCGAAACGAAACAACAAATCCTGTTCATACTGACACTGTCTAGCAACCGGGTTCATCGCATCGTGGTTTGTCGACGACCTGGCGCTTGACCGGCCAGACGCGAACGTCAAGCATGTCATCCAATGCATCGGCTCGTCGTCTCTGGAAAAGGGCGAGGCGTTTGCAGCAAAGCACTGTCCCAACTCCAAGCCCGCCATATATTCGTCGTATGCCGAAGTGTACGCCGACCCCGACGTCGACTGTGTCTACATCGGCACGCCGCACTCGTTCCACAAGCAGAACTGCCTCGACGCCATCGCGGCCGGCAAGAACGTCTTGTGCGAGAAGGCCTTCACCATCAACGCCCGAGAAGCGCGGGAGGTCTTTGAAGCCGCGGCCAAGAAAGGCGTCTATGTCCATGAAGCCATGTGGCTCCGGCACCGACCGCTCGTCGCGGATCTGACGAAGCTGCTGCACCAAGACAAAGTCATTGGCGACGTGTTTCGCATGTCGTCCGACTTCGGCTTCTACATGGACATTGCGGGACTGCCGGAGACGTCGCGACTCAAGGATCCCAAGCTCGGCGCCGGCACATTGCTCGACATCGGTGTGTATTCGCTCACCTGGGCCATTCTGGCTCTCGACCCGGACTCGCCGAAGAACTCGCAAACCCCTAAACTCCTCGCCGCTCAGACCCAGAAGAACGGAGTTGAGGTGTTGTCGAGCGTGATCTTGCATTATCCATCGTCCGGACGACAGGGGATGATCACCTCCACGACCTTGTCGGATGCCCCCTCCGACGTCGTCTGTCGCATTCTGGGAACCGAGGGCTACATCGATGTCACAGGCTTGGCTCCGTCACACCCTGCGTCTTTCACAGTGTATACCAAGAAAAAGGACGGCGGCGGGTTCGAAGAAGCCAGTAGATCGAACTACACCGACATTGGCCATGGCTTCGTCCACGAGGCCGACGACACTGCCCTAGACATTGCCGCTGGACGAAAAGAGAGTCCGATCATGCCTTGGAAGGAGACCATTCGAGTCATGGAAATGATGGACGAGATTCGAAAGCAGGGCGGCACAAAATATCCCCAGGATGACGAATAGATAGGAACTACAAAAATGAGGAGACACATTGACCAAAACCTGTCCTTGAATGGAGTATTGTCATATGAAATAAAGAAGAGAGCAAGGCTGCGACCCTGACACCTTGAAGGATGGAAATAATGCATTACATCATCGATGCAGCTCTCAGCCTTGACACGTGCCGTAGCCTCGTCGATGTCATTCCTCAACGTCTTCCCCCTTGTTGTCAACCATACTAGTAACACTGTCACCTCCGTTGATGTACTTTTCGTCCATGATGGCTTAGAATGTCTAGAACCGATATTTATATACCTTGCCGCATCTCCTGACTCTACGATGCCTTCTCTATTTCAAAGTCTCTCTCAGCTTCCCCTACTTTCCTCACTCTTCAATCTCTCTCCAAACAGGAACAATAACATCAACAACCACAATGGCCAATCACTCAATCCACACCCTGTTCCATTCACCCAACAATGTCCATACCCATCAGTCCGATCATGTCCCTTCCCTCCGCCGCGGGACATCAACACCTGCTGCGTCAACCACCCATCCGGCCATTTCTTGCAGACCCAGTTCTGGGACACCTCGCCGGCCCTGGGCGCGCCAGATTCATGGACCATCCACGGTCTCTGGCCGGACCTGTGCACAGGCGGGTTCGATCAGTTTTGCGACTCCTCGCGACGCCACGACGATATCCCCGCAGCATTGAAAGCCGCGGCGCCGCCGGAATTGAGTGGTCCCCTACTCGCCTTTATGAATGAATACTGGCTCTCGTTGGACGGGGATAACGCGCATCTCTGGGCTCACGAGTGGAACAAGCATGGCACTTGTATCTCGACTTTGGAACCGACCTGTTATGCTGATGATGATGACGATGATGACGATGCTAGTGCTACCGGTCATGATCATCGTCATGGTCAAACATCTGGTCATTCCACCGTGGATCGCAACTACCCCGACGTCCTGGACTACATCATCCAAACGACCTCTCTATTTAAGACTCTTGACACGTACACTCTCCTCGCCGACGCGGGAATCGTGCCCTCCACCACGGCGACCTATACCCTCCGCGAACTGGAAGATGCCATGGAAACATCTGCGCACGGCGTGCCCGTGACGTTTCGCTGTAACCGATTCGGCGAACTCGATGAAGTATGGTATCACTTCGCAGTGATGGGGTCTCTCAGAACAGAATTGAGACGCGGTGACGGCGGAAAAGGCAGTAGGGTCAAAGACGTGGTATCAGCACCTCTGTCCGATTCAACAACTTATTCTCCATTCCTGAATGAATCCGCCATCCGCGAGATCTTCATCCCAACAGCCCCCGATGGAGTGATTTCAAACTGTCCAAGACAGGGGATCAAATATCGGCCGAAATCTACGGGTCACAAGCCTGGGTGGCCTCCCGCTCCCACCGGCACGAGAAGCTTATCAACTACAGCTACAGCCACTGCAACAGCGGCGCCATTCTCAGGAAAAGGGCATCTCAAAGTCCATGTGCTTGACGATCCTGCTGTGGCCTCCTCTCCCTCTGGCTCAACCCCCACGTCTACCTCTCCCAGCTTAGATGCCCTGGCAGACAAAGATGAAGGCTGTCTAATCCGCCTCGGCGACTGGTATACCTCTGGCACATGCGCCACCTTCAAGGCGCAAAGGGACATCGTCGACCCGGGCCACGCTGCCTTATTCTCCCTTTCGTCGAGCTACTCCCCGTGTCTCATCGACGGGGTTACGGGGAAATTCGAATGTACCAAGTCCAGTGCCGTGCAGAGCATCTTCTCTTCCGACCCGGAAAGGCCGGTGGTCTTGTCTTATCGGAATAGCACCGTCTTCTACGCGAGCCACAATCCCCGAAGGTTCGAAAAGGTGGGTATCTATGCCGACCAGGGCGATGACGGATCAAGGAAGATCCCATTGGAGATACATTGGATACCTACCTGAGACCATATAACTGCTGCCTGAATGTTAGTACTCCTATGAGGATTCTTTGCGTACGAGGCTGGGTGCTTTGTCCGACTCGATCGTAGTTCGGTCTTGTACAAGGATGCTCTGTATCCATGTCAGCCCTCCATTCAAGCCCATTCCTACTTGTAATCTGGCAGCAACAAGTCCTCGCTACTACCTCCCCACCCACCGACTCTGCGCCCCATCTTCTTCACTTCTCTCATTCCCGCCCCGAGAAAATTCCTCACAATCTCTCCGCTGATCTGGCGGTCGACCTTACGCCGAGACTTGACGAGCTTTTCTCTACCTCCACCTGGCACCTTGACAACGTGTACTCGAGGAGACCCAGTGTCTCGAGTTGGAAGGGGAGGTAGTGGATGCCCACTTTCAAGCATTGCGCAGTCCAAGGATCCAACCACTGAGTCGAAAGCGTTGACCTTCCTAATCTTGCTTTCACACCGGTCCTGCTCTGGTCGGACAGCAATTCGAGAAGATGACAGCAGCCTGGTTTGGCTTTCGCTCTTGGGGAACCCGAAAGACGAGAAACGAGGAGTTGACCTCCTGGATGCCTCAACTGCCCTCGGTGCGGCCTGATCTTTTCGACATTTCAGTGACTCGTTCAGGGTCTCGGGAGAGCGGTCAAAGAAAGATGTCCTTCTCCTGAGCGAAGTCTTCACTTCAGTACTCGGCATCGTCGCAGAGCTGGACGTAGAAACGGGTTGCTTCTTTGGTATGGTTGGAAGAAGAGAAGCCAGATTGCCAGTTGTCTTGCTCTTCGCAAAACCGCCGTTGCCATAAAACTTGCTTGATCGAAGACTCATGACAGCTTCGGCATTGACACTCGAGATTCTACTCGTGGTTGCCGAACTATTTCGTGGCGATTGCGGTGCATTCGATCCCGTCACAGGCTTCAACCCAGCGCGACCTGGAATTTTCTCCTTCCTGTCATGATTGATATCGCCAACTGAGAAGTTACCAGTTCGGTGGAGTGTTTGACGTGATACTCCGAACTTCTTGAGCAACTGTATCTCAAAGTCCTCGAAGCTGTCGACCGCTTCCTTTGTCCTACAGGACCCTTTAAGCTCGTTGAGGGCAGTCCTCATTCGATCCTTCTCCCTGTTATCGAGAAGATGTTCCGCTTTCCGGTTGGTCGTGTCCAACGGCGACAGGCTCTTCGCCTGGCTCATCTCTTCCGTTCGAAGATGATCGCATAGCGACACATAACGACCGGTCCAGTATTGTGAGTTCTCCGCCGAATAGACCTGCTCTGTTGTCAGCTACGGGACGGTAAATGCAACATCGGAGAGAGTTTGGCTCTCTGACCTGGTTGATATGGTTCATTCCTTCGCTTTGGCATGAGCTGGCGGTGCTGCCGACGGTGGTTGTAGTGGGTGGGCCGTCGTCAGGACCATTCGAATTCGCCATGGTCGAATTGACAAACAGAAAAGGTCCATGATGTGAACTCCTCTGGAAGCCTCCAAGATGCCTAGCGTTACCACTATCATTGGCCGGCAGCCTGATGGTAGCGATATCCTCGATTCCCTTTGAGGTCGGAGGGCCTGAGATCTGGCTGCGGTCAGGACCAGAATTGCCCTTTTGCGGAGAGTTGCCGAAAGAGTTTCTCAGACGAGTACGATTTGCAGCAGCCTCTCTTTGCACCTGTTTCATCATTTGCACCTCTTTCTCCGTCATCCTACTTTCCTGCAAAGCGTCTGTCATGTTTATCTCGCTAGTGTCATGGCGCCGATGGAATGAAGGCATTGCAACGTAGGGGGCTTTCCTAGGCGAGGGTGTCAAGCTTGCAGGGCCGAAGCATGATAAGCTGCCCAAGGTCTGAGTTCTCGGAAGCGGTGGGCCAAGAGGCTGAAGCAGGCGTCTTCTAGGCGTCGCAACGCGTGGAGAGGACAGTAGACTGCTCATGGTCTTGGACTTGGGAATACCCATGGGGTGGCCCACAGATCTGTCCCTGGCAGGTGCGGAAAGCCCTTCAGGCCTATCCAGAGACTGCGTGGAGAGTTCCTGCAAATGAAACTGCTGTTGGATGCCTGAAAGATCTCTCATACCCCTGTCTTTGTATGGCAACAGACATTCCGAGCTCGTCGAAGACGGCTGGGACATGTGGAACGAGGTGGGAGGAGCACCATCATTGGGATGCCACGACTTTCTGTGCAGATGTGAGGGGTTGAAGCTATTTGCATCCGAGTGAATAGTGGCGCCGGCTCTTCGACTGCTGGTGGGAGTAGCATGGCGCGAAGTGCCGGATGCCGGGCGCGGGATTGCAGACACAGAGGAACGGCGGCTCAGAGCACTGAGGGATGCAACGTCGATTGTTGCCGCTGGTTGAGACATGGTGTTCCCAGGTGAGGATGTGATAGCACGATAGAATGTACATGATGTTGTTGGCTCTTCTTTTGGGGATCGCAGGAAAATCAAAGCTGCGTGACCAGGGAATGGTAAAGGCTCGCAGAACGTAGAGGGAAAGGCCGGCATACCGGATGCAGCTGCGACTTCCTCTTCTCCCAGGGAGTGAAAGTATTGCAAAAGATTGGCCAGGGGTCTTGACAAGATGCCAGTGGGCAACAACTCTCGACGGCTTACCTCCCGACACGACCCTGACTACGGCTGGGGGCGAGGATGGCCTTGATCGTAGCAAGGAAGTCAATCGGGAGGCTTTGGCAGAACTCGAAATCACCGGGGCACTATAGAAGGAACAGAGTCACCGCAGGGATGCAGAGCGTTCACGGTGCAGGTTTTGCACCACACATCAGCATTATTCATTTGCACCTCACCTTGAAGCATTGCACTCCATGTGTTGTTTCCGGTGGCCATGACAGGTGCTAGCAAGTCAACTCAGCGCTGTGAACTGAGGGAGTGTGTATATTTTGTAACGAATGTGTGAGGGGACACTTCCTCTTTGTGAATGAACTGCGCATCGCAGGCATCAACCAGGTCAGCCTTGTTCTATTCCTAGAAGAGTCTACCCGATGTCATGATATTAGTAGCGCTGTGCTTCCCCGTATTGAATTATAGCATATTGCGCGTTGAATGATGATGATTCTCCGTAAATGGATCCTACCTCGTACCCTTTACTCGCACCTTACTGTTTACAGACTTAGCATGGTTCCTCTATGACGTGAACCAATGACATCACTAGTCCTCCACCATGACATTACATCGATATAGGCGAAGTATACAAATGCTTCTCGTTTCGACGACTCTCTTACATCTATCTATATTCTCCTCCCAACAAGACCTCCTCAAAGCAGAACCAACACTCAATTCCAAGAACCAACTTCTCTCGCACTAAACGAACTTTCAAGCATCCAAATACCTCAAACACAGCTTTCACACCACAGCCATGTCTGAGCAATACAAGGGTCAAGATCTCCTCGACATCGCCGCCAAAGCAGAACAAGACCTCGCAAACCCAAAGCTGAAGCATGGAGCACAAGACGGCGGGTTCGGTGGCAAGACCGTCCCCGGAGGTAGTGTCAGCAGTATGCTCACCCACCCTTACACATGAGATTCCTTTGATCGACATGCTGACCAGTGACTAGCCGTTGAATCTGGTATCGACCAGTCAGTAACAAATAAATTCCCCGGGAGCACGGCCGAGTACGGCAGCAAAGTGTCCGGCGCAGGCAACAACCGCGAGATCCCCCCGGAAGAAGGTGGTGGCATTCAGAAGGGAACAGGGAGGCCGACAAAGGCAGGAGACTTCGATCAAGGCGAGGCTGGCGAAGGTCCTGAAGACATCTCCGCCAAGTATGCCGCAGAAAACCCCGGGAATGACGATGTGAGGTCGAACATCCGCTGAGGTCGGAGCACTGGAAATAGTCATGCGGTTTGAACAAGCATAAAAGGAGTATTCTGTATAGTACAGAGGTAACATATTGCCACCTTGGATCTGGCAATCTAGCAGCAAAAAGTCTGCCATGAAAGGTTTCTTCCACACCAAACCGACCTGTAACAACACCATGCACTCTTTTTCTGATGTTGCGACAATGACTCCCAAACTCCCCGCTCAGGACCAACGCCTAACCCGTCGAAATCTGTTCAAACATCCATTGCCTCACAATACTTGGACGGACTGGAAGTATCGGTTGGCGGTGAGCTTCTCGTCACTCTTGACCAGATCTCTCATCACCTGGAGCTTCTCATCCTTGCTCATGTCCTGTCCTTCAACCTGGTCTTTCCACTTCTTCAGGATAGCTTTGAGTAGACGACTGCCCTCCTCCGCTTCCTCTTTGGAATATTGTGCTTGCTTCTGTTCTCCTTTGACTGCGGTGAAGTCTTCCAGTTCTTCCGCCTTTTGCCTCGCCATCTTGACCACCTTCTCCGGAAATCTGACGAGCTCGGCAACATGAATTCCAAAACTTTGGTCGCTGATTCCAGGTTCGACTCTGTACAGCAGCGTGACTTCTTGCCGCTTGGGTGCCGCCTCACTGTCGCCGTTGACCGCGGTCGTTGCTTGCTCACCCACAAACGCCACCACATGTAGGTTCTTGACAGCGTTAGGATATTTGTCCGCGAGGGCGGTCAATTCATGGAAATGAGTCGCAAAGCAGCCGAAAGCTCCAATGTTGGCCACGATTTCTTCACTTATTGCCCATGCGAGACCAAAGCCGTCGTATGTACTGGTACCTCGACCTAGCTCGTCAATGATGATCAACGAGTCCCGTGTCGCGCTCTTCAGGATATTTGCTGTCTCCAACATTTCGGCCATGAAGGTTGAAACGCCCTTCAGCTGTGAGTCCGAAGCACCTACACGGGCCAGGATGCAGTCGAAGATGGTCAATTCGGCTTCACTGCAGGGCACAAAGCATCCAATCTGAGCCATCAGGGCTATGCATCCAATGGTACGGATGTAGGTCGACTTGCCACCCATATTGGGGCCGGTTATGATCAAGAACCTCGAACTGTCACGTTTCAGTTCCACGTCGTTGGTGATAAAGTTGATGTCGTCCTGAGCTTCCATACATGGATGACGGGCCTCTTTCAATATCGTATCTCCACTGCCCCGTTCGTGGATCTTTGGCCGCACATACGCTGTGGGAGCATGCACGGAAACGTGGGCCAGACTGACCACCACATCCAGGTGAGCAATGATGGCTGCAAGTTGTTCGATCACGGGAGTATAAGAGGAGGCGACAGTGACAACTTCCGACACAAGTGATGACTGCTGCCGATTGTATGAACTGGAAAGCTGGTCGTATTCTCTCCTCAGTTCCTGCAGTGTTTGGGTTGTGAAATAGACACCATTCTTTTGGGTCGAGATTTCTTTATATTGACTCTTGTTGCGGATGCAACCCGCTTCATTGCGGGTCAACCTGAAGCAATATCCATGGACTCGGTGGTTTTCCAGGTAGAGTTTCTTGTCGAGCTCCTGGTTGAGATCTCTGCCTACACGGCGGTGCTCGTCGTTCATGCCGTGTTTCACCTTGTCGAGTTTCGTCTTGATGATGCGCAGTTTGTCATCGAATTCCGGTTTGATGATGAACTCATGACGATCCAGTGCATCGAGATCGATGGTCGTCTCGACCATCTCCGCGAGCTTGCCTAGAAAATTGGACAGCTCCTTCAACCTGGATGTGTACTGTGCTGCGAGCGGGACTTGATATTGCTCATCAACCACCGTTTCAAGGGCTTCAAGGAAGCCAGGCAGCCGTATGATGACTTGATAGGCGCGCACCACATCCTCCAAGGTGGCAGCTTTGCGCTGGAACTTTTTAGCTAGGCGATACAGATCGGGGATGGAACGGAGATGCTCTTCTTGCATGGTCTGACGCAGTTCTGTATCGTTGATGAAAGCCTCCACCAGCTGTTGTCGTTTCTCGATTTCAGAACGGTTCATCAATGGCTGCTTCAGCCACTGCGCCAATAAACGGCCACCAATGGGAGTCTTGCAGTGATTCAAGAGGCCGAACAAGCTCATGTTCTTCGATCCGTCCCTGGGTCCTGGCATGAGGTTAAGCGCCCTCAATGCAGCCGCGTCCAACTTCATGTACTGGCTCAAGTCATGCTGATATAGTCGAAACTGGCCGAAGTTGCTAGGATCTGTCAGCACCCCCAGGTACTTGATCAAGGCTGCTGCACTGCCCATAGCCAGCTTGAGCTCTGTTTGAGGCAACATGCCGATTGCATTCTCGCCCTTCAGGAGTCTGGCGAGATCTTGTTCAATGTCCCTGGTGCCATAGTCGGCTGCGGGTCTCTCCGAGATGGCGATCCCACATGAGTCAATGACTTGTTTGATCTTTGCCAGCTCGGGGTCCTTTTTGGAGCTGTCGCTGGACACGATGCACTCTTTGACCCCCAACTGAATGAGTAGACTCTCAAAGTTCGAGTAGAGGTCATTGTCGAGGAACTCGCTGACGCCAAGTTCCCGAACGCTGGCGTCTGCAAAACAGACCCCGACTGTTCTGGCTTCGCCTGCTCTCGCGCTGACCTTCACCGCCAGAATTATTGGAGCACTATCGCCCTGACTGTCCAGCCCAGATCCCAGCTCTTCCTCAACCGCCTGCAGATTGCCAGGACTGGCTTGGCGAGCCAATGTCCATTGTCCTCTTCCACTCGCCTCCCAGATCTCAACTCGTTTGCCCAGTTTGAAAAGTGCTTCTCGAAGAAGGTTGCGGAAAACCGTGGTCGACATGGTGACGCTGGGAAGGGCATTGTCGCTGCGTCCAAGATTCCTCAGCACCGCAGTGGTCTTGTAGACCGTTCTTGCGATGAACTCGGCATCTTCCCCATGTGCAGAATACCAGTCTGTCCGGTCAAAGACACGGATGGTGTTGTCCCCGTCAGGCTTGGGGGGTAGCGAGCGAAAGTTGCGGATGAAACCACCCTCATCGTCGACCTTATGGATAGTGTCAGAACTGGACAGGTTAAGGGATGAGGAGCAAAGCAGCGGCTATTTACCTTGAGTTCCGGCCTCGAAGCCATCTTTGAATAGCTTGTTGGTTGCTTCGGTGAGTGTAGCACTCAAAATACCCTCCTGCAGTGTATCGCAGGTCGACGCGCTATCAAAGTCGCAGGACACACGCTTAAAACTCGACGCGTAAAGTGCCACTCGCCGCTTGACGCGATTTCTTGGCAATTTAGGTCAGCTTCAAGTTCAAATTGAACTTCGACCTTTGGTTTCACTCCATAGAAGAGACAACCCCCGTCATACGCAAAAGAACAAGACTGGCATACTAGTATACGGTCATCATTCATTTTCTTAACCGAGCTATATCAGCTAGGTAAGCCTTTCCACAACTACGGCGGTTCAACAAGAGGTAGGTAAAAGGGAGCATATGCTATAACTTGTTCCTCCGAAAGCTCCCTATCAATCACTTAAAAGACACGAGATCTCCCTTCAAAGACTTTGAGATCATCGAAAGGTGGTGAGACAATGTTTTGGAAGACCAGCTGTTGGAACTCGTCGCCAATGTTTGACTTTCTGGTTTCGGTCCAAAAGAGGCACTTGGCCACTATATCGCCGTAGTGGCCGCCGCTCTCCAAGTAGACATCGTCAAGAACCCGGACGGCAGTTTTCAGGTTTGCGTTTGCTTCCACGGGGTCATCGTCTGCGGGAATCCTCAGAGCGGAAATGGTCTGGCAAAGAGAGAGTTCGACCAATGCCAGTCCAAGCGGAAACAAGACTTCATTGCGAATGAGCGCGCTTGTCGAAGTGCTTGTGGTCGGCACCGTCGCACCGAAGGGGGCTATCTGGTGACCGGACAGGTAAGGTTGTTCGATCACGGATTTACCGTTTCCCATCTTTTTTGGAAACAGGATATCCCGGCTCCTCCATTCGGGTTTGAGCCAGCTTCCGTGGAAACGAAGCACGGTTGAGGCAAGAGTCGCAGCCAGGAACAAGCGATTCCGTCCTCTCAACATACAGCCTGCGCGGGCCATGCGAGATCCGACAGTCCCCAAAGAAGAACCTAATATGTCCTCCAACGACTGCGTCTCCGGACTGTCATCAAGTTTCTCCACAAGATAGAGATAATATTGGTTCGACGGATCGCTATCCATCCGAGATGGAACCAATATATTCCTTGACGAGTTAGTCCATTTTGGCTTTGACCAAGGTGGAACATATGTCTGAAATCGGCAGGGATGGAGGCAGATTCTCCAGTTTGGGCCAGGGCAGGCTGTTCAAGGACGGCATGACAATTGCGAATCGGACTTTTCCTGCAGCCGTTGTTTGAGGAGTAATGGAGAGGGAGGAGGGCAACGAATGTGTCGTCACAGCACGCGTGTCCGTCATCATTGGAATTGTCTCGACTTCATGCCATTGCCAGGCCGCCACATTTCCTGCGGTAGGTGTCTTTGAGCTGAAGGCTATCCGCAGCTTTGACATCGCTGGTTTCGCCTCGTGGTCCTCATCCGTGTCCAACGCCAGCGGCTCGATGCGAAGATGTACGCAGTGAGAATCTCTGCATGGGCATTTCCAGTATTTGCCTCGCACGACGGCATTGTAAAGGTTCATGGCGTGTCTCCTCGCTGCCTTGTGCTTCAACAACGGCTTTTTGGAGACTGGATGCTTCCGCCGACTTTCCTGGAGCTGGCGCGACTGTTCGAAGAGCGTCCTGAGCGCCGTATTTGCCTTTTCGATGTCTCTGAGCAAGTTTGCATACACGGATTGCGAGAGAACGTCCTTGAGCTTTTTGATCTCCCGTTCAACCACTGAAGCGTCGTTCCAGTATATCTGGCGACATGTTGTCAACAAATCGACATCTCTCTGAACCGAGAACCAGGAGAAGCTGAAAAGAGAAGACATCCATCATCCTCCGTGCACGAAAAACCTACCTTTGAAGAATCTCCAGCCTCAAGACCGAGTTTTTTTTTCCCAGATCCTCCAACGAAGCCGACAGCTCAATCATCGTTCTGATAAAAGCATCATAGTTCCGGTCGAGCTTGTTCGCCAACTTCTTTTGGAACACAGGATCCCTCCACAACGGACCCCGAGGATTCTCGATAAGCTCGGCAACCTCGTGTTCGTAGTCCACAATGCCTTCTAACGCCTGGTCAAGCGTGTTGAGGAGAATCACATGTTGCGTCCCCAGCTGTGTTGAATATTGCTCCAAACGTCGGCGATATCGCTTGGTCCGAAACCCTTTCAACGTCTCGATGCCCTGGACGTACGCATCAAGTTAATTCACGACCAATGGAAGAATGGCGAGCACGACGCCTGCTGTCTCGATGCCAGTCATCGTGGCGGTTTCTTGCCCTACGATCTCTTGCTGTGGTGGACCCGAGGGTGAGAAGAAGCGAGGGTTTTGCGCGCTGAGACTGTGTACTCATTTCCCGTACCCCTCCTTGCCCTCTCTTCTGGAAAAGACCGAGGACAATCCCTGCTTCGCGCCCAATCTCATTGGGGGAGAGATTGGTGAGTGTGCAGCCTCAGCTTACACGACAACTGATGGGCGAAACCCCAGTTTCCTCTACTAGCTATATCGGCTGCGAGGTGTCCAGACGCGGTGCCACCCTTTGCCTTATTCAAGGTGTTGCAAAAGGAAGTTGGTTTGTGGATACTAGAATAAAAGGGCGCGACGGACCTTCCCGCGCCTGAAAGCCTCTACGGCGGGACGAAGCAGGATTGGACTCTTCTGACAATGGCGAATCCCAATTTCATCTCGTCTCTGCTTGTGGACAGTCTGAAGCTCTTCGATACTCTTATATCCCGCGCCGAATTGGGAGCTTATGCGGCTGAAGTACCCACGAACTTGTGGACCGATGAACTTGGCAGGTTGCGTCTCTGGGCGGCCAATATCGGCGCTCATCAAACCGGGCAGTCATCCCTTGATTATCGACTGAGAGATGCATCGCATATCAAAGGCCAGACCATTAAGCTCCTGGAGCGACTGCGACAGAATCTTCAAGACTTGGATGAGTTGTTGAATGGTGTTGACTATGGAGTGGAAGACCTCTCACTTCAAGAGGACGACGAGACCGAAGCACAGCAGATATACACTGGTCTTGTCACCACTGTCGATTGCCTCTTCCAGATCAGCATGATTATCCGCTGCCCGGCACAACACGACAGGCTTATAGGTACCAAGAAGTTGGACACTACAGCCTTTGAGCCTTATGACAAACAGCACGTCGCTCACAAGTATCCTCAGGCCCCCGCATTGTCGCCGACCGCCTGGGAGCAGCCAATTCACGACGCAGAGCAGCATTGAAATATCGTGAAAGACACCATGCGAAGCTCGGAAAAGGTATCGATCAATCCGATGCTGTTTCTACACGTCTCTCGGAAACAATTGCCACCGAGTTTCAGAACACCGATATTGATTTCGCCGAGACGGGCTTGAATGCAGGTCTTTCCCAAACCTCGTACGCCCCCAGCCTCTGGGAAGGTGGTGATCGGCTCACGGTTCCACGCCCTCCCAAAGAATCGAGCGGCGGGAAGCCATTTGAATGTCCATACTGTTACTATCTCATAACAGTGGCAGACAGACGTGCGTGGATTCGGCATGTTTTCAAGGATCTGATGCCTTACATATGCGCGTTTTCTGACTGCCCCACTTCGAATCGACTATATGATAGTCGTCGCGAATGGTCTCAACATCTTCAGACAAGATTTTTGTCAGGATTCGCTCCAGGTGACAATATTGATTGCTTGTTGCGCTGTGGAGCTAGGCTACCTGTCATGTCGCTTGAACGGCACCTTGGGAAACACCTGGAAGAGTTAGCATTGTTTGCTCTTCGGGGATTCGAAGAAGACGAGGAGCAAGATGAAGAGGAATATACAAAGCAGAGTCACAGCTCAATTGCAGATGCCACATCTGAGGACAGGGTCGGCAACAATTCGTGTGAAGACGAACGTGAGAGTGAAGCCAAGTTCACAGGACTCGCGAGAGAACTAGAACTGTACCTGCTGCAACTTGGAGAGTTGAACGAGAAGAGGTGGAAGAGCGCATCAAGGAACATAGAATAGTAGAAAGAGGGCCGTGGAATTGGAAGAAGCGGATTTTCAGCGCAGGGTGATAGAGAAGTTCAAGAAGGCTGGTAGGTCTAAAGTTAAGGGGTCTTCCTTTGAGAGCTTTGCTATGTCGCTTTACGATACATGGTCGATCCAGTCTCCCAATCTCTACTTATCCTCCAATGAGTATCTACTAACAACGTGCTCCCTTTTGGGGAAACCTTAGGCTATGATGAGGAGGTAATCAAAGAAGTGATATCCAAGAAACGGGATAGAGCGTGACCTTGAGATCAATCTGCACCGTCCGAACTCCTAGTACTTCAAGGTCAACCGAAAGTACTTACACCCGGACAATCTAGGGCGATCATGAAATGGACATTATCTTCCCTCGCCTGCCAATGCACACAATCTCTTCAGTCTCCACGTGGTGCTTGTGTGGTCTGCTCCTGCCTACTGACGGCGCTGTCAGTATCGTGGCTACTGGAACAGCGTTCGGCACCTTCTGCGGCCAGCGACCATGGATTACCTGCTTTTCTCAAGATCTTCTTCTGTTGACTCTCCATCTCATCTATCAGTCGATCCTCATCACCCTCCATCGGATCCTTTGTATTACATTCTCCCTATATCATTATTAGCACGACCATACTGCCACTCGACTCATTGATATCTCTTCAAGCCTACCGGTATTTCACTATTCCATCCATCATGCCCAGAACATGGACTTCGTCAAAACGCGCCAACCGTGTCGAACCAAAGGCGAGTGAATCTCTCCTTGAAGCTCAATCTCGCAAAGATGCAAACTTCTCGGAAGTCGAAGCCAGACTGCCGAAACGTTATGCCAGGTCGGAGATGGGCTTCATTGACAAGAGAATGAGTAAGACTCCATGTCATCGCCAAAGGCCAACAGTTGATTTCGAGAACAGGTTTTCTAGGCTCGCACAACCCCTTTGGCAGGAAGGCCTGTCCTAGGGACAACACAGTATGGGTCCTTGACAACACCGCATACAAACCTACCCGACAAGGGGATGATACGGCTCAGCCATGGGAAGCCGAATTTGTCTCTTATTTCTTTGGCTCGGGAGGTAGAGACCAAACAAAGTCTCTCAATGGCCTTGCAGAAGTTATGGGACTTGGCGACAACACCGCTCGGGACCCCGAGACCCGGAAGAGGATGGAGGAACGTCTCAAGCCCCTGTTGATGACCATCGCACCAGCACGTACGGTGGAAATTCTCATTCCTTCGCCCGATGCAGATGGAAGCCCTCAGACACGAGTGCTCGGGCCCTCCGGCTCCGATGGTATCAGTAGCCAAACTGTGGCGGTCGGAGGCTCTGATGAAGCTGACGGCAAGACTATCACCTGCACGAGTGAGGGTGAGCAATTTCCAGGCCTGAGTTGCAAAACACGCTATGTTGGTCCTGAGGGTTGGGCCATCATCTCCGACATCGACGATACGGTCAAAACCACCCAGACCCCTAGCCCTGCGGGAATCCTGCGATTCACGTTCACCGACACGCCCAAGACGGTTGCTGGAATGGAGGAATTCTACAAAGTACTTGCAGAGTCCTTCAGATCACCCGCTTGGTTCTACCTGTCGGCGTCACCTTACAACCTGTATCCGTTCCTCCGCGAGTTCCTCATCGAGCACTATCCGCCTGGGACGATTATCCTTCGTGATGCCCGATGGCTGCACTTTGGTGGCCTGCTACAATCCTTCACTGCTGGCGTGCAAGAGTACAAGACAAGCCGGATTGAGAAGATACGATCCTGGCTTCCAGACCGGCAGTTCATCTGCGTTGGTAATTCAACGCAATCAGATCCAGAGGCGTACGCCCAGATGTATGCCAAGTATCCTGGCTGGATCAAGGCGATATACATCAGGAAGGTGCTCGATGCGCCGCACATGGAGGAGCGAAACAAGAATCAGAGGTTCATCGAGGCATTCAAAGATGTCCCAGACCACGTCTGGAGAGTATTTATCCAGCCGCAGGAACTTTCCGACCATATCAAGCATCTCGCCGGTCAAGCGCACCCAGGAATGATCGGCACCCTATTGGGTCGGTGGTGCCAAACCGAACACGATATGAAAGCCATACCTCGTAAAGGGCAGCTAGCACTTCCTCCGCTGTCCCCTACTGCTGGAACCGCAATGGATGCTCCGAGTCCTCTGCCAGCGGACGACGCCACGGTCGGTACGGGAACAGCATAACCAGGACAGGAGTTCTCAGGCAACCAGACGGCGACTTTGGTCCCTTGATCCAAGGCACGTCCATATGGATGGGTAGCACAACTCCTTGATTGGGGGGATCGGGATCGGGATGTAATCGATCGACCGGCAGGTTGAGAGGAATGCGCATTGGAGAAGAGCAGGATTGAGGACGATTGACCTAAAACGAGGCTGCCTTTATATGAAGATGGCCTCGACCAAGTTACTCCCTATTTGGATGGAAGAACGACAGTGGCCGCAAGCACAGGAGTTCACGTCACACCGCCGGGCCCTGAGTAGGTATCCATAAAGACCAACAATGCTTCTAGACCATCCCTGAAGGACTCCCATTTTCCATGCCTTTCATCCAGTAGGCCGCTATCTCGCCATGCTCGGTGGTCGTCGGCACCCAGCCCTTTGTTGAGGCCATCTATCGCACTGATGAGAGGTAGATCCGATCTCGACGTTGCGAGGGTTGCTCACGGAGGAATTTGGCAGTACAAAGACACTACCTACCTAGACTCATGTATACCACAGTACCTGTAGGTACGTAACATATGAAGGGCACTCGATGTAGTTGATGGGAAAAGGAGCGTCACGTGCCGATAAAGGTATCAAGCCTTGGCAGATCTTTCCCACGTGACCTGAGCCCCAAACTCCAACAAGATCTTGAAGATGTCTGAAACCCGATGCGCGCATTCATTATTCTACAAACTACATTTCGCAAGCAAGCGTATCGACTGACTGTTCTCCCCTTCCCTAGAAGTCAGCGGAAGACCTGGTGGTACTGAGACGCAGACCATACACACAGCCATACAAGCCTTCAAGATGCCGCAAGCCTTCGACAAGTGCAAAGAGCGACCGGCGCACATTGAGGAAATCCTCAACGGCCTCAACCGATACAACCCCGAGACGACGACGACATTCCAAGAATACGTCACCCAACAATGCGAGGAGAAATTTTTTGATGCCTATGCGTGTCTGGCACTGCTGAAGCTGTGAGTGAAGGGCGCCCCAGTACAGGATGTGATGCTGTTCAAGTGTTATGATGAAGAGAATTTTCATACCACGTTTCCTATTACCTGACGTTCCCAAGGGGAAACATGGAGATTTGAATTATTAGCTCTATCTGACACACGGATCGCACTGCTTTGTGTGCATGACATTCAAGTTGGGTTTCACGGTTGGCGAACATACACTGACATGCTCGATTCCAACAGGTACCAATTCAATCCACAATTACTGCACCCGGAAACGGTGACCAACATCCTGGTCAAGGCGCTGACCGTGTTCCCTTCGCCCGCGTTTTCTCTCTGTCTCGCCCTCCTCCCTCCCTCGACGATCCCCTACCAACCGGGAAACACGTCGGTGCCCACCACCGATTTCACCGAATCGATACAAAAGCTCACCCGTCTGAACACGCTGCTCGAGTCGGCGCAGTACGATGTGTTCTGGTCCACGCTCGAGTCCGATGATCTGTATGCCGACCTCTACGCGGATGTGGCGGGATTCGAAGATCTGGTGCGCATCCGGATTGCAGGCGAGGTGGGAAAGACGTTTCGCCAGATCGACCTGGGCGTCCTCAGCGCGTGGCTCGATCTGCGGGCAGATCCCTTGGTCAAATTCGCCCAGACCGCTTGTGGCTGGAGGGTGAATGGCCAACAAGTCGATATTCCGGCGAACGCGGAGAACGAGGCCAAGAGCGAGGTAAAGGGCGAAAGAGTGGCCGTGGACATGTTTGGCCGTGTGTTTAGGAGAGCCTACGAGGCACCTGCGTGAGATGGAAATGAACTTGGCGCGGCTGTGTCCATATCGATATCACCCTTGAGCCAGCTCCCTTTATCTTTCGGAGGCTCGTCGAGGAGGACGCGCTTCCGTCCACGGGTGAGACCGGGCTCCAAATCCTCAAGACCGGACCGCGACGAAATCAATCGTGGGATGAGATTGAAACCAACACTGCTGCTTCAATTAGCTTAGCCACCATCCCAAGCAGCTGCGCAGCGCAGTTCTGCTGTAGTATCATGGTGGCTTGAATATTCAAGGTCCCGCTTCTGGCGTGGGTCTGTTCTTCTGTTCTGGCAGTGCTTACAGCGTGCCAGCTTATCTCCGGATGGGCAGCATGTGTTTGTCAGGTTGTGATGAATCTACCACGGACAAGGGGTTAGAAGATGGTGAAAAAGGAAAAGCAACTAGTGCTTCAATGATCAGGTCTACAAAATAGCAGATGCAATCAAACCCGCGTGTCATGCCGTGTCTTTGCACAATTGACTGGTTTCCGTATACATATACACACGATAAGGCTGAAGCTGAAGCAGTCAGTGATAAGGTGCGGAATATGCCTCTTAAAAGACTATAGGTAGAAAGGCAAGCTATTCTAGCCTTTTTGGGAGAACATTCGGAGGCTCTCTATATTCTTCATCTGCACACCATATACTTTTTGTAGATGCCCAACCCCGTCGTCCATTGGCATATAACGGCTTGTGACAATGTTACCCGAGCGAATGGACGTGCATGGAGCAGTCAGCCTTGCCCCTCGAACCATAAATTCACACCTATACCAAAGCACCCAGACATAGCGGTGACAGGTATGCCGGCTAGCAGCACTTCGCTATACTCCTCGACGTCTATGCCCTCGTCGTCTATTGTTTTGTGGGTGTCGCGACTCTCTCGGTTGAGGTCTATTTTCTTGCTGAAGTATATGCGTGTCCAGTCGAGCATTCACCAAAGCTATGTTCTGCGTTGTCAAGACTCTAGTGCAGATTGCGAAAGGTGTTCGAGGATGCTATTCCTCAGCCTCGGGGTTCAGCGTGCTAGCCTTTCGTCTATTCTCGTGTCTCATCAGCTCATGTCTCTAGGTACTACAACGCTCGCAATCTTGGTCCAATGACGCCGTGCCTGGCTAAAGATATTGCCGAGAATACCTCGGCCTCAACTTGGTCCACTTACTTCTTGATCAGCAAACTCGTCCCCGTCATCTCTTCAGGTTGGTCCAGGCCCATGGCCGCCAGGACTGTTGGTGCCACATCCCCAAGGACGCCGTTCTCTTTCTTCAAGGTCCATCCTTCCGGTGCATTGGCCATCACGAACGGCACCTTGTTGGTAGTATGGGAGGTCTTGGGGGTGCCCTCCTCGGTCAGCATTTCCTCGGCATTGCCGTGATCAGCGGTGACGAAGAGGATGTAGCCCTCCTTCTTGCAGGTTTCATACACAGTCTTAATGGCGGCGTCTGTGGCGGTAACAGCTTTGATGGCGGCTTCATAGACCCCCGTGTGGCCGACCATGTCCGGAGGGGCAAAGTTGTTCATGAGGAACTCGAACTTCTTGGTGGATATCCTCTCACTAAGCTTGTCCGCCACTTTCTGGGCACTCATAGGAGGTTCCAAGTCGTAAGTTGCCACCCTGGGGCTGGGAATCATCTCCCGTTCTTCTCCTTCGAACTGCTTCTCGACTCCACCGTTGAAAAAGAAGGTCACGTGTGCATACTTCTCGGTCTCGGCGACGTGACACTGCTTGACACCTTTCTTGCCTAGCCATTCAGCCAAGACATTGCCCATGTGCTGGGGTGGGAAGGCGACGGGGAAGGGATAGTCGGTCTTGTATTGGGTCATGGTCGTGATCTGGATATCCTTTGGGTAGGGGAAGTCGGGCTTGGGCGATCGGTCGTAGTCTCCTAGGAGTTGGGTGATCTCTCTGACCCGGTCAGAGCGGTAGTTGAAGAAGAACAGAGTGTCGCCATCCTTGACTCTTCGTTCGTCCCCACCTACGATGATTGGCTTCAGGAACTCGTCGTTTTCCCCCTTCTCGTAGCGGGCCTTGATCGTGGCGACGGGGTCGGATGACTCCTCTCCTTCGCCTGTGACTACACCCTTCATGCCAATCTCCACACGATCCCACCTCTTGTCACGATCCATGATGTAGTAGCGACCAACGACCGTAGCCAATTCGCCCACTCCTAGCTCTTGCAACTTGTCTAGCAGTTGTTGCATGTAGACGGCGGCACTCTTGGGGTCGGTATCTCTGCCATCACCGAAGAAGTGTATGAACACCTTTGGGACTTTGAGCTCTTTGGCGACCTCGAGCAGAGAGAAGAGATGGTTGATGTGGCTGTGGACACCTCCATCACTAACCAGACCGAGAAGATGGAGCCTTCCATTGCCGTCGACAGCTCTCTTAAAGGACTTGACCACGTTTTCGACCTTGTTCATTTTCCCATTCTTGATTGTCTGGTCAATCCGGACCACATCTTGCCAGACCACTCTGCCTGCGCCAATATTGAGATGGCCGACCTCAGAATTGCCCATGAGACCCTCGGGTAAGCCGACCGCGAGCCCAGAGGCGTCCAGTTCGGTATAACCTTGCGCGGTCTGAGAACCCTCTTTTGCAAAACCATCCATGACAGGAGTCTCGGCTGCGGCGATGGCATCGCCTTCTGGAGGCGACTTTTCAGAAGGAATGCCCCATCCGTCAATGACGACTGGCAGTGGCTGTTAATGCCCATCCCTCTTCAGAGCGACATCGAGGTGGGTGACTTACTCAGAACAGCCTTCTGGTCGACCTTCGCCATGTTGAACCGGGATTTATAGGAATCGGGGAGACTGGCAGCGAATAAAGAAAGAATTCAGAGAGCGACGATTGAGAAGTAATAAGCTGCTTTCTACCTTATGTGGATATGCTGCAGCGATTTCCTTGCACCAAGGTTTGGATTAATCAATGAATCGTTTGGAATAGTAACTTAGGAGAGAACACAGCTGTTGGCGGGGTCGAAATCGAGTTGGTGCCAGTGCCAGTGGGTGTTTTCTTTTCGAAGCTGCCAGACTGGAGCCCAATTGAAGGTGAATGAACGTCACAGGCTGCAAACTGCGCCTGCGCCTGCGCCTGCCTGCAGTCGCAGTCAACTCCCACAGCCATAGCGAAATGACTTCTATGCTCTATGCTCTATACTATGGTACTGTTAGGTGTCTATCCAATTTATCATTCAGCTCACCGTTGTGCTGACCGTGCGAGTCGTCGATCTCTCTGATCTCACCGTCGGCCTTTGCTCTTAGTTACCTGCATTCCCGAAACCACTGTCTTTGCTTCGAAGCACCTAGGTACCATATCGCTTGTACGTGGTCCGGAAAAACATCACACCACTTGAAGCTACGTCTCCTCGCTTCTACCCCAACTAACGCCATGATTACACGTACCAAAACCTTGTAAAAGAAGCCCTGACGAACATCAAGCATAGAAAAGACGTCTTCAAAAATGTCCCGGTCGACCATACGTATCGGCCATGGGGTTTCGCGCCTCGCAGATACACTCGATGCTGTCAGGCTGTCAGGGATTCCAGGGACTTGCCGTGCGTCACCGACAGAAAAGGCCACCAGAGATGAATAAAAATGCCCAGGGTTCCCCCTAAGGAGCTCAACGGACACGGTTAGGCCAGAACCACGTTTGCAAGCCACCATCGCCGACGGCCTACTACGTACCTGCTTGCTATTTTACCTGACTATAGGCTGTGCAGGTAACCTCGGCGGTGATCGCTCCAGACCAGACTTGGACCATCGAGATCTGTTGACCCCGCCTTCACCACAGATGGTTGGGTGTCGACCTTACACTGTGCTTTGGCCGCCCCTACAATCTTGTTAGTCGTGAACAACCCTGGACACCGGACAGTGGATACAAGCCCTGGCGCGGGAATGGACTCTGGAATCACAAATTTGTGCTCCGTCAGAGTTTTAAAAACACCATCGCCGCCTTTCGAATTCGCATGCATCGCCAGGTCACTGAATCATTCAGGGGTGGTGCAACGAGGCATCAATGGCCCGATGCCAGATACAAGCACTCGAGGAGCGAGGAGCGAAAAAAATGAGACGATGGGCCTTTTCAGACCTGTTGATCATGCCTTGCGCATCTTTCTACTTAGGTCCCTAGGCCTGACATCGCCCGGAAATAGTTTCCATGGAAAGATGGGAATGCTCTTGAGTCCACCCCAGGACGATCTCCCTGCTTGTTCGTCCTTCCTGAAGTCGAAGCCCTCACTCCTGATATATTGATATTCCCTATGATTATTATCGAAGCATATTCCGCAAAATCTAGCTGTTGTTCACTTTGTCCACTGTCGTGCGTACAACTCAACGGTGCTCATTGGCGGTGTCCAGCCATCGCGTATGTGGACGTACATGACCAAGCCACTCCCTCGATTACCCTACGAATTAAGAAAGACACGACATAGGTCTGACCATGGAGAAGATTCCGAGCCATTCTTCCTGGCGTCGGCCTGCACCGCCGCCGTCGCCGCACAGCTCTGGCTTCGGAAAGGTCCGTACGTCGCACGCCTGTGACCGTTGTCGGTTGATGAGGACAAAGTGTTCGGGAGGAGATCGATGCGTCAAGTGTACCAAAGACAATGCGGCCTGTTTCTACGGGGACCGTAAGCGGGAACGCAACAAAAAGTACTTTCCCCCCTTTCTGGATCTCAATCGCACTTGTACTAATCAACAGCTATGCAGGGACTTGGTGGAAAGCATTGGTCGTATCCAGGAGCTGGAAGGACAGAACACGCGCCTGCTCTCCACTCTTCGTTCGCTGGTCGAGAGACCGGACTTTCCCCTTGACCAGCATGCCAACGTCCTGGATCTTTTGACTAAGGTGACTTCCCTAGACACTTGTCAAACGCCCAGACTGTTACTAAAGTTGCGTTCCAGTATTCGCCGAAAGATTATTCCGATGATCCTCAAGACCAAGGTTTAAGGTCTCCAAGCATGACCAGCACGTCCAAGGAATGGCAGTCCATGACTGATTCTGGTGGAAAATCCAAGGAGCAAGGCACCGGACCGTCCGGCGAGAACAAGACAGCTTCCAGTGCTGGATCTCCTGGGCGCCAAGGGGAATTGACCGAAGTCGTTGACCTGGACCATGGCTCGGGGGCGACAGGCTTCGTGGGCAAAATGTCCGAGATGTCGTGGATCCGGCGCGCTTTTGAGTGTGTCCGCTCTGGAGGCGACCAGACGGTTCCAGACATTGGTGTGTCGGAGATCAGTCATCAGCTTACCACCGTGCCCGACTACAGTTATTTCATGGACAACACGGATGTGCTGGCCATTGACGAAGACCACGTCGAGCAGTACGAATGGCCGCCTGGCGACTCGGCCGTGGTGCTGGTCGAAGCATACTTCCACGCGATGCAAGGCGCTTTCCAATTCGTCCTTCGCGAACCCTTCCTTCGGGAATTGGTTGACTTTCCACGGCACAAGATGCCATCATGGAGCGAACGGCGCTGGCTGGCCATGGCCAACCTGGTCTGGGCGGTCGGATCTTTGTGGCTCCAGATCACCAAATTGGACCCCTCGGACAAGCCAGACGGCCACCTTGTATACTATGCGCGAGCGCGCGCCCTTGGAATCGACCACAGGATCTTGTTCGACCACCCGGACATTGAAAGGGTGCAGGGCATCGGTTTACTCACATTCTACCTACTAGTCAATGGATCGGTGACCAGGTGAGTTACGGGTAGTGCTTTCAATGCGACCTCCCTCTAACAACCATTCTAGGGCTTGGAATATTCTAGGGCAGGCCATCCGTCATGCGACAGCACTCGGCCTGCACTTGCGAGTGTCCGATCCCAGTGTCAGCCGAGAGGATCGAGAACGCCGAGCGCGAACGTGGTATTCCCTGTACAGTCTGGAAATCCTGCTATGTGAAATCGTGGGGCGGCCCAAGGCCATTTGTTCCGCGGATATGACCGTGGATGTCGAGCTACTGAAGGAATCATACGTAGAGCGCGAGAGCTCTGTACACGGAAGCGAGCCCCAGCTTCTGGAAAGATCAAGGAAGCTTTGGCTCGACTTCTTGAGGGCCAGCCGGAACATCCCGCAGAGTATGGGCGCCGGAGCGCTGCCGTGGAAGAGTCTGGCGTCTGTGGGACAGAACATATCACCGGCATACCTTCCCGAAAGACTGAAACTCTGTCGTCTCAGTGATAAGATAGCGGCGAAGTTGTACAGTGGATCGTCGGCGGATTCGTGGTCGGAGACGCAACGCAAGATCGGTGAACTGCAGACGGAGATGAGGAGATGGGCGGACAATCTCCCCGAGGAGCTGGCCATGCAGAGCTCCATCTCCACCAACACGGACCCCAGGGTCAAGGTCGAACTGGCCTTGTACTATCACAGCCTACAGATGATTCTATATCGACCGTGTTTGTGTGAGGTGAAGATTGAGAACGAGTCCGTTCGGTCGCAGGACTTCAATCGAAGTACTGCGAGGGCCTGTGTGCACGCCGCGATGTCATTGTTGGCCATCATCCCTGACAATCCCAGCGCCCACGAAGCGTACCAGCTCCTTCCCTGGTGGGCGCTTCTCCATTATGTGGCACAGGCGACGGCAGTACTGTTGTTGGAGCTGTCTATTGACGCCGCCCACTTCAAAAACGAAGTGGGCGATTTGGCCGACCATTTGCGCAAGGCGATGGCCTACCTGTGGTGCATGGCCGAAGGGTCTCTGTCGGCGTACCGGGCGTGGAGAATTTTCCGGCACTTGTTGTCAGAGGTGACCAGCCGATGTGGCGACGACCTGGGTCTCACTGATGTCCCGGTACACGCACCACAGCCTCATGGATGGAGAGGAGAGCACGAGATGGGGGTCAAGAGGGCTTTTGGTTGAATGGGTAGGACGACAGCCGGAGGATATCGACTTGAGTAGGAAGCGTGTCCAAGTAGGAGGGGATGTATCGGCGACGAATACTGATCAGAGCGAGGATGCTCCGGATCAAAATCCGGCGTTATCATTAATGACTCGTGTGCTGGAATAAGACAAAAGTGCATAGTTGACGTTGCGACGAGGCTGAATCCACAATACTACTACGTAGTAAGGAACTTGAAGGGGGAAAGAAGTTGGGGATTTGATGGAGAGAGATAGAGAAAAGTTGTGCAGGCATTTCGCTCCAATCATCATCAGCAACTAACAAATTGCCTGCCTGCCTAATATTGTAGTCTCTACACACATCACTTCGTTGTAGAATCAACTGTGAGATATCTCAACTGGTTCTTCTTAGCACGACGGTTGCTCTTGCTCTTGCTTCGACTTGTGCCGACAAGACTCTACTCTCTACCGCCTTAGCAGCCGCTCCTTCCACCACTGACTGCCCGATGCGCCTGCCACCATCACTTCGATTCATCTCCTTCGCTCCCCGCGGCAGATGACCAGCATTGTCGTCAGCCCGATCGTTCTCATCCTTTCGCCTTGTATTGTATTCCTCGGCGCGCCCACTCACCATGAAGTCGACATATTCCCTCGTCAGCCTCAAGCGCTGGTCATGCAAGAGCAAGGATATTCCAGGCATATCCGCTGTCAAGGCCATCCACGTCTACGACTTCGACAACACCCTTTTCAGCAGTCCTCTCCCAAACCCTCAGATATGGAGTCCGCCTGCGATCGGAATGCTTCAGGCTTATGAGACACTGGCATATGGAGGATGGTGGCATGACGCTAGCATCCTCGCTGCAACAGGAGAGGGCATCGAAAAGGAAGAGCCTCGTGCTTGGGAGGGATGGTGGAATGAGACCATCGTACAACTCGTCGAGATGAGCGTGGAGTCCAAAGACGTGGTCACTGTACTGCTGACCGGGAGGTCAGAAACCAATTTCGCCGACCTGATCAACCGAATAGTCAATTCCAAAAAGCTCGACTTCGACTTGGTCGTGCTGAAGCCGGAAGTAGGTCCTTCTGGCCAGCGGTTCGAGTCGACCATGAGCTTCAAACAAGAATTCTTGAAGGAGTTGGTCTTCACATACAAACAGGCGGAGGAGATTCGAATTTACGAAGATCGCCCGAAACATGTCAAGGGTTTCCGCGACTACTTTGAGCGCCTGAACAAGTCGTTACTTTCCCATCCTACAGACCAGCCACCTCCTCCTCGAAAACCGATCAACACCGAAGTCATTCATGTATGTGAACTGAGATCGGCCCTCAACCCCGAGACCGAGGTCGAGGTCGTGCAACGAGCCATCAACCGTCACAATCATGCCATTGCCACCGGTGGCCCGAATCCGACCAAAAGTGTCCGGAAACAATTGAAGATTGTCGAGCAATTTTCATACTTTGGGTACCTGATCAACCAAAGCGATTCCGCCCGTCTCATCACCCTGTGCAACGCGTCACCGCACCAGATCGATTCGGGCGAGGTGCGCCTGCTCGCTTCCAGCATCCTCATTACTCCATACTACCCTCGTAAAGACACCCTTAAGAAGGTTGGCGGGCGCGGGAAAAAGGTGACCTGGCAAGTGACTGGCATTGCCAAATTCGAAGATCGTATCTGGGCAGCTCGAGTGGCCCCTGTGACCGAAACCCAGATCTACACCCAAGATCCCACGCCTCTCGTTGTCCTTGCCATTCGAAAAGGTTCCCGACAAGTGGATGCGGCGAGGATTCAGAACTGGCAACCGGTCGCTCCGGAGAAGGCATTCATGTTTGAAACCACTGTCGGCGACAAGGTCATGTTGAGGATTGAGGAGGTCGATTACCCCGTACATCAGTCTGCTTCTGTTGGAGCACGAAAGAATCAAAACAGCTTTGAGGCCGATGGTGGTCACAAGCGCAAATACGTCCCAGACGATTCGGACAACAGAAACAAGGAGAATTACGCTCGTGTTGCTGGTGGTGGCGGGGATCGGGCCGATGGAGCTGCTTGGCCTGCCAAACACGGAGCCAACGCTGGAGGCGGAAAGTTCTCACAGCGGAACTACATCAGTAAGAGTCAGTTCAACAATCGTGGTAACCCGAACGCGTCTGGTGGAGGTCGAAATAGCCACAACAACAACAATAATCAGGGTCAGAACGCCAACCCGAGACAACGTGGTGGTGGTGCCGGCGGAGGTTCAGGACCAGCCACTCGAGGAAGGGGCGGCGGCGGTGGAGGCGGCGGCAATCGAGGCCCAGGAGGTTACAAGAGTCTAGATGACTACGGAACGGGCAATTATGACGGGACGAATGATATGAAGCCTGGGTCGGGCGAGATGGTGATGAACTATTGACGGGTGACCATCATCTACCACTATGACCAAAGGAGAGTGCAGAAGGTGACCATCACCGACGGGTTCGTTTTCTCTCTGTGTGCATGTATCGAGTATCAAAAGCGACAGGGAAAGGGCGTGAATTGGGCTGGACAGGTCGAGCAGGTCGGGTCAGGTGGGTTAGGTGACAACAAATGAAACTTCCACACCAGGCCGGTGGGAAACTGTTTCGTGCGTGTTGTTTTATGGGAGTAGCATTTCTGAACGAAACAAGGCAAAATGGGCCGCGGCGTGTTGGTGTTCCGGGTCATGTTCCTCTAGACACTCTATGTCAGGTAGAACTACGAGGTCAGTAATACTATTTATTACACGACACCTGCTTGTCGTTACCCATGAAATGCATATCATGAACTGTTCAATTTTGCGATAACATGATTCGATCATCCTGATATAGATGCGTCCAGGATCGCGGCTCTCGTGGTGGACAAGCAAGAAAAGCGCCATTTCTCTCGTGCAATCGCTCTCATCCAGACCTGATGCGCTTTTTCGATGTGGCCGGCCGAAACAGGACTTGGGAGCTGCCGGTGCGGGTGTCGAGCCCGCCGTGACGACTATACAGCCCTCCAAGACCAAGATCGAGACCAAGACGAGATCGTGTCCCCCGAAGTTGAGGTCGAATGTAACCGTGTCGTGTCCTGAAGTTGTTGAAGCCAAGAGGATCGCCAGCTCCCACTGCATTGTCAAACAACGTTGCTAACCCGACACGGTATCAAAAGAATAGACCCCTCAAAGTCAATGTTGGTATGACTAGAATCCATCCCCCTCATGCCATTCACGACCACATTCCTCGGCCCTCGTTTTCGGATCGAAGCCCCTCCGCAGAGCCTGCTCACGCATACTGTCCAACAAGTCGGCGAGATGCTTCCTGTCCCGGGCGAGACGCTTATACTTCTCCGCGGCGAAGTTGCCGCCATGATCCCAGACGCCGACGAGCTTGCGGTCGATGTTCTCCTTCTCCTTGACGGTGTCCAGCCAAGTCTGCAAGCCGCGCTCGCCGTCAAAGCAGATGCCGTAGCCGTCGCAATAGCATCTGTGCTGGGACGGGCAGAACTCGAACTTGCCCGTGAAGATATACTGCCACGAGTACTCCATGATGCGGCCGGACGTGCGGTCGTCCAGGTCCGTGGCCAACAGCCAGTCGCGGTAGCGGACATAGTCGGCGCGGGGACGCTGGCGGATGCGCTCGCCCGAGACGGCGAACTGGGCACAGCACGGCTGCGAGATGGCTTTTGGAATGGGCACGTCGGCGCCGTGCAGGGCGTGGAACAGCGCGCTCGTCCACGCCGGCTCCTCGGGCTTGTGTTTCAGGTCGTGCCGCCACCACGGCCGGTCGACGTGCAGCCAGTCCGGACAGCCCGGGTCCAGGTGGCAGCGCGTGTTGAAGTAGCCTTGCCGCACGACGTGCGCGTCGCTGAGCAGCTTGATCGTCGTCGCGCTGTCGACATCTAACAAAATGTTGTTGTGCCATGTCTTGCGGTGTGGGTGGAAGAACAGCACCACATCCGGGAGCGCGTCGTAGTGCTCGATGATGTAGGTTAGGTAGACCATTGCTTCGTGACCTTTGTTGGCTGGCAAGCCGGAGGGAGAACCAGATCCAGATCCAGAGTCAGAAGTAGAAGTAGAAGCCGATTCTTCGTTCGCATCCTCCTCTGCGTCCACGGTGTAGATCTTGGTCGGTAGATCAGGCAGCTCGGTCGCTACCCAGCTCACGTCTTCGCTGCGGAGGTGGCCCATGACCAGCACGCGCGAGTAGTTCTGACCGGCCGGTTTGACTGTCCCGGGCGAGAAGAGGTCAGGGTTGTAGAGAAGCCCATCTTGGCCGTAGAGATATCTGGGGCCTGACACCAGGTAGACATGTCTGATTAGGTAGATCGCGGCCAGTAGGACCAGGGCTAGAGAGATGAGGCTTGTCTTGCGGAGTAGGGGCATAGTAGAAGCAACAATAGACCAAGAGTAGTAGCCGCACCACAGAGAAAACGATCAGAACATTTCATCCCTTGCTTCCATCGTATGTTGTATTATAAATCTGGCCAACCGAGAAAAGGGGGCAAGAAAAGGCTGGCTTGATAAAAACAAAGGTGTTGATTTTGTTCACCGACCCCCTCAAGCGGATCGCACGCAAATGCAGCACTGGGGATCTAGATAGACAGACAGATATGTGACCGAGATGATATGATGGGACAGGCAACAAACACGCAACAGCACAACAGACCACACAAAGGGAGAAATCACGAGCGAAGAATGAGGTGGAGCGATACGATACGACGGCTTCTGGTGGATCAATTCCTAGTTCGTTTCGCTTCCTCTTTGGGACTCTTCTATACGCCTCTTTAGGCTTTGATGATGCTAATGGTATTTTAGTCCATTTTAGTCTGCGAGTTAGTGGTGTTCTTTACCCTTTTCGTGCCTTACTTAGTATTCTATATTTCTACGACGCCTACTTACTCTATTTCTCTCAAATGCCTTATATCCTCTTTATACCCTCGAGAGGATGAGAGGTGTGGCCACTTGACGAACAGCCTTCGAGGCCCAATTGTGACATACTCAGAGAGCTGGAAAACTGACTACTGATGTGACCAGATGCCCTGTTGAGTCCAACGAAAGTCACAGTTGCCGCCATTCATTATATACAAACCTGTATCTTATACCCGATATAAAAAAGTCTGGTCTGCCAGCACCATGAGAGGAGATGCGCTATCGCTGATGCTGCCATGTATGAAGTACCTTCCACAAGGCAAATGACCCCAAGTCTAATCCAACCAATGCAATTTCTCTTTCTTCGTTTTGAGAGGGGGGTATCATCCATTTCAATCCAGACCGTGACACTTCTTTTCTTGTGTCTTTCTGTTCATACACATCCATCCAGCCATCGGTTACCCGTATGCAAAGCATTATTCACCCTTATCTTCAGCCTCTCAATCGCACCTCCCATCCTTCCAGCCATCCTTCCATCTCTGCTTCCACAGTGTACAGTCGAACTCGGATTTGCCCAGTTTGACATTGACCGCGTTATGAGCCTGACACATCCACATGCCCAGTTCATCCTGGCCCTTGACTTTCGGCTCATTGCCCGGCTGGGCGAGCCAGCTGCGGAAGTCCTCGGCGCAGACCCAGCACGGATATAGTTTCGAGAAAGTCGACAGAAACTGCTGCATGACGGATTGCGTCTCGGGCGGCGCATTCGCCGGGTATGTGGCCGCCATGCTGTGCAGGAGCGTCCAGGTCGAGCGGCCGAGTTCTTCGACGTCCGGAGGACAGTCTGATCGTGGGGCGGCGGCAACAGATGTGGTCTTGGGTTTTTTGCCGGCCGACTTCATCATCGTCACCCACGCCGCGGAGGATGTGCATGTTCGACACCTGTTGGCCGGACTCGTAAGTATATACATGGGATTGACACTGCAGCCACTCCATAGTGCAGTGCAGTGCAGTGCAGTGGTTGGTGAGAACTCACGGCTTTCCATCTGGACCCAACACCACTCCGGGAGGAGCGGCGGGTTTGGGTGATGCCGGTGCATCGTGAGTGCTCGAGTTGTCTTTGCTGCCGGATGCCTGTGCCTGAATGAAATCGGAGAGGGACATCTCTGTGCGGCTCGATCGGAGACCTGGCCACCAGCACTTCTTCCCCTGATCTCCAGCGCGCCAACAAAATGTGTAAACACCTTGGTGGAAAGAGGTGGGATGCTTATGAATACAATTGAATGAATGGAATCTGTGGAGCGTGGACCTGCCTGGTGGCGGACTGGCGACAAATCCGATATGTCCGATGCAGGTTCGGCTAAGTTGTTTTAAACCACTTTATCAGATGCGATAGAGTACTCACTAACTACGTAGTACTAATACCTGGAGTGTGCTAGTAGTACGTAGTACTAGGTAGTACTATTGTTAGACTAAGGTATCTCCTAGCATGTTTACTACTGTAAGGTACTAAAAGTGTATCACCAAATACTGTTGTTTTGCGGGGAATCTTGTTGTTGGATCACACTGGCTGTGTGCAGTATGCAAATCGCATCCCCGGCGATCGTCACACCAGACCAAAGCGATCGACGCGTCTTGGGATTCGCAGCGCAGAACACACCCCGACCCGTGTGTTATACTCGCTCTTCGCAGCAGACAATAGTCCAATACACGTAGCGCGCGGCGCGTTCGCCGGTCCCTACACACTGCGCAAAATGTCCGACTCTGAACTCTCCGAGGCTTCGGCCACGCCTCTCCCGCCCGATCACGAACTCGAGAAGAGTCTACGCCGCGAAGTGGTCAAGGCGCAGAAAGACGGGGTGGACTTTTCCTACAACTACATCCGCGCAGCTTCGGAGAAGAGTCTAGGTTTGGCTCAAGGCTTCTACAAGAGCCACTCGGATTGGAAACAGCGGAGTAAAGAAGTGATAGACACGCAATTGGTATAATGAAATCTTGGACACATACGTTTTTTGCGCTGTAATTGACATTGGTGAAGGAGGAGGAGACAGAGGAAGAACCACAGAGTTCGCCTCCCAAACCGACCAAATCCAAGCCTGCCCCGAAGCCCAAAGCCAAGTCCCAACCCAAGCAAAAGGAACCACCAGCACAGCTTCCGAAAAAGCGCGCTTCAGCAGAGAAAGAGCCGGTGCCCAGGAAAAGACAGAAAACAGCCGACAAGGACAGCGACAGCGATGATTCGGAAGATCTGTCTTCGTCTTTGAGCGATCTCGACTCCGAAACGGACCAGGAACCACCCAAGAAGAAGCAGACGCAACGCAAACCCGGCGAGAAACCGGGCGCGACCAAACCGAAACCGAAGCCGACCAAAAAGGCAAAGGCTGCCAAGTCAAAGTCTGATGAAGAGGAGGACGAGGATGTTGACGAAGCAAATGAGGCTTCGTCAGACGTTGGTGATGGGGATGCAGATGGAGCACGTCCAGCGGCGGCCGACGACGCCGAAGATGGTTCTGAAAGCGAGTTATCGGTCCTCCTAGACGAGGCTCCTGCGCCGACAAAGAATCGGAAACCGAAAAGCCCTTCGCAATCAGGCCAGAAATCCAAAGCGAAAAAGCCGGCGGCCAAAGGTAAAGCCGATGCAGACGCAGACCCCGACCAAGTCGAGATCAAACGTCTTCAAGGCTGGCTGGTCAAATGCGGCATTCGCAAGCTGTGGGGCAAAGAGCTCAAGCCGTACGAGACGCCCAAGGCCAAGATCAAACATCTCAAGGAGATGCTGGCGGATGTCGGCATGACGGGCCGCTATTCGATCGAAAAGGCCAACCAGATCAGAGAGGCGCGGGAGTTGGCCGCAGACATTGAAGCGGTGCAGGAAGGTGCTGAGCGATGGGGTGCTGATGAGGACGGCAGCCAGGATGAGAAGCAGGCTGGCCGTGGTGCTGGCGCGGGTGCGGGTGCAGCTCCCCGACGGCTGGTGAGAGGTGCAAAGAATTATGATTTTCTGAGCAGTGATGGTGAAGAGACTGATTGACCGATCGGGAAGAGATGAGATGCGATGGCGAAGAGACTGACTGACCGATCGGTGTGAGATGAGATGAGATGGTCTGAGATTCGAGAGGGGAGCCGGTGTCTGCTGCAGGATGGGGAATATTGCTGTAGACTGGGAGATATCGTTACCGTCCACCGTCCACCGTCCACCGTCGTAGACAATAAAGGTCCATAATATCAATAGCAATGCCGACAGAAAGACTGAAGCATAGCCTGATACCCAGCCCAGCCTTGCACCATATCAAAGCATGATACCTTCCTTTCATCCCTTTCATTCAATATCCATACTCCTCCAAGTTCTTCACGATCATCATTTCATCGTCTTGCCCGTATTCCCACTCATCCGCTGCGCCACGAGACTGAACACCGCCACCGACGAGATGAAGAGAACAAGATTATAGAACTGGGTGCCAACACACAACATTCAAGTCAGTCAGACAATCAATCAATCGTTCATTTAAGTAAGTCAGACAATCAATCAATCGTTTTGGTTTTGATAACTCCAGATCTCCAGACCTCCATCAACAACAGGAATCAAGAACCTCAACAAGACAAGACAAGACCATAATGTATAAACATACCGCGTTGCGAGAGTATTCATTCTCTTCAGCCTCGGTGCGTGCCTCGACGAAGAGACGACGGAGATTGGGGAGGGCCATTCTTGTCTTGTCGTACTAAGTGAAATGAATCACCACCGCGGAACCCCTTACTTCTCACTTCGAGGTTCTGTCGACGGGTCAGGGGGTTTCCACTTGAGTCGAAGTAAATCGTGTACGAGTGATCATGGTCATAGGATAGTAGGGACTGTGCGTAGTAGTGGTTGTAGAGAGTGAGTGAGTGGTAAAGGGGAAATATACATACCTGTATAAATATACCTTATACATATATGTAGTTAGAGCTTGGCGCTCCACCACCACCACCAAGATAGTACCTAGGTACTCTCACATAAAGGAGATATTGACATGCCAAAAGCTGATCAGCGGGACAAATCAAAAGTATGTAGGTACAGGTAGGTATCACGGATCACACATAGCTCCTTCATATAAATCAATACCTTACTGCATACTTATCTGCAAGTTGTGCTCTAACCTTCATGCTGTTTATTGCTTTCGCTCCCACAAGGCTGAGAATCAAGGAGGGAGGCACTTCCTTCCGACCTCGTACGTCAAAACTGGCCTATTCTCCAAAGACACGTAGCAAGCAGCATCCGCACTCCATGCTGTGCCGAAGTGCCACACTTCCAATCGAACATGGCGCTGTTTGAAGTTCGTTGCTCAACAGTTGGTACAGTCTAGATCTCTATTGGTACCATACATGTAGGTATCTAGGTATCTCCCGCCACGCCAATGTTTTTGTTTCTGTTCCCATTTCATAGCTCGTCCCGTCTCCTCTCTTCTTCCACCACATGCTGATCGGGGCCTTGTTGTGATTCTGTCGTCGAATGCTCTCTCTCTTCTCCTCTTGCCGCTTCAATAACAGCTGCAACCTCCTCATCATACTCCGTCCACTCCGGAACCTGTCGTCTGGCCCGGTCCAGCTTCGGCTCCTTGGTCAAAGGGTTATTGCACAGATCGATTGTCTTGGCCGAACTCAGACTCTCGTCACTACACCACGTCTCGCACCAAAGCCACTCCTGGCTCAGACTGTAGATGGGTAGGGTATGTTGCATGTGGTTGGGCAAGTCCTGGTCGAGATTGCTGAGACTGTTGGGATCGGACGAGAGAGACTGATACTGTTGTCTCAATCGATCACCGGCCGCCAACTGTCGGAATCTTTTGAGGTCCACCACGTAAAGAGCCGAGATGTGGTACGGTTTGCCCTTGAGGTATGACTCCCAGTATCCTTGTTTCCAAAACCGGAAGCCTTCCATTTCCGTCCGCGAGTCGCACATGGGCGTGAACCCGTACGGGGCGCCTTTCAAGTCGACCTTGACCAGTTCCATCATGTCGGTCCGCACGATCTGGTCGGCATCGACGAAAATGACTTTATCCAGGTCGAGAGGAAATAAGACATCCAAAAATAGGATCTTGTATCCCCAGATCTCTCGTTGTTTCTCCTTTTGTCCTCGCAACCAATGAGGCCATTTGTATGTGACCATCTCATATTCAAATCCGTAATGCTCGGCGAGGATGGGCACCGTGGCCTTGAAGGAAGGGGACAAGAACTGTTCGATGAACCAGAATTTGACGCTGTGCTGGGTGTGTTTCATCACCGACACCATCATGATGTTCAACATCCGTTCGTACAGATGTCCAGACGCGACAGAAAAGATGTTGATCTCGGCGTTGCTGCCGGACGTCTTTTTCAGTCCGAGAGACGAGAGCGCCGACGAAGCAAATGATGCTCCCTTGCTGATGTAGTCCAGCGCTCCACCGTGACCCGAAGACTCCAACACATCTTCTTCTTCCATACCGGGTCGCCGCGACAAACGAGGGAACAATGTCAGGCCTTGGAATGACAAAAGTGCCACGGACGTGGTCTCATCACCCGGCTGAGGAGCATATCCATTTGGTCCGACACTGTCCAGTTGGAAGATTTTGGAAGATCTGCCGGGTTTCAGTGAGATCTGCCAATGTCCCGGCTTCGCCTTAAATTGGAAATATCCCAGATTGGCCATCACGATGGTGTCGGTGAAATGTGGTTCCTGCTCCGTTCCAAGCAATAACTGAACACCGCGCGGTGGTGGGCCAACGGTCACGTCTCGAGCATGACCTTCAATCAAAATATATTCCAATTCGTACAGTGCATCGATGTTCTCCCCGTCGGCTAGATTGCTGAGCTTGATGTTGTCGAGGTCATGGATTGACTCTTTCGGTGCCACCAGCCATGACGGAGGCACAATCATCCCGAGGTTGAACAACGTGTCTTTCGGCACACCCGAAAATGATGCGGTCGGAATCGCCAGTGACCCATCCTCTTGGAAACTGGGTTCTGAATTGATGACTTGACGATAAAAGCGCTTGACGGGAAGTTCAGACAACCTGTCCTTGGGATTCAAAAAGATCTGGACACTGACACCATGGAGTTGCGACAAGGTCTCCAATATTGGCACCCACTGTTGCACAATTTCAGAGGCCGGGTCGACCACAGCAACAACTTGGATACTGGGATCATCCGTGTTGGACACCTTGATCGAGGTGTGAGTGCCGTTCCAGATCTTGAACCGATCCATTCGGATTAGAGGTACTGATTCCCTCAACCCTTCGGGTAGATCGGATTTCAAGGCTCTAGCCACAAGCGAGGTGACTTTGGCGAGATCTAGGGCATCGGAAAATCGATCTTCTAACCCTAGTGAAGTGATTGCGGTCGTTACAGGCGCAATTCTTTCTCTCCGTTCCGACTCAAGCAGCGATGCCATATCATCGAGCGTGAACTCTTGCTTCAAAGGTCCGACTACTCGACCATTCAGCCATAGTCCACTTTGGCCAGGTAAGAAACCCAGACTACGCGTCAAGGCTACCTTGGAGCTCCAAAAAGCAGCACATGCATCATCTCCGGGAGTTCCATCCGCCAGGCTGGAGTCACTTTCGAGGATCAATTGCAATTCTTCCGGAGCGAAATCTCGACCGTTGTCTTGCGTCAGCATATAGACGGCACACGCCAGTTTGGACGGTTGTGATGCTGACGCAGGGTTATGCAGGATCAACACGTCTGTTTCCGGACGCTGTTGCCGAAATGCAAGAACATCCCCCAGAAGTTTCCTGCCATCTTCGGATTCCAAGTCTGTCACAATCAAAAGATGAGCGCGATCACTCAACAAAGTCGCTTCCGAGCCACGTATCCGGGGTAAAGTGTCAAGCTCGGTTGAAAAGTCGGCAGCCAGACGGCTTATGTCCTCGATTCTAACGTCCTTGGGGTCATGGGGAAAGACTATCTCATTCCGTCGGGGAGAAGCTTCCAGGAGGAAGAACTGAGGAATCCAGCCGTCCTCTGGGACGATGCCTTGGTAAACAGCCTGCTGCAATAGTTGAAGGTCGGCGAACAGCCGCGAGCTCATAGGTTCGAACCAGTTGTCAGTCCGAGGCAGAACCACGCCATTGATGATGAACGGAGGATCCGATTTGTTCAGAGCTAGCCGGCTCAGATAATCGTTTCGAGCTTGGATCCTCTGCGTCAGATCTTCCGAACTTAATATGTCGTGGTAGCTCAACGGTTGTTTGCCCTCCCGTACAGGACGACCTTTGACAGCTTTCTGGAAGCTCTTCTCTGGACTCGACGGTAACTTCTTGGCTGCGGCAAGATCTGAGTAGAACGCCATCAGTGGTGCCAGACCGTATGTATCCAAGAGATGATACGACACACGGGCATAGATGTCTGCGGTCGCGCCAGTTCCAGCCGGAACCAGAGCCACTCTAAGCGGCACCAGTCTTCTGACGAGGCCCTGTAAGGACGTGGCAGTAAGTTCGATGTCTTTGATGTTGCTCATGTCTATTGGCACAACGAGATTGTGTATATCGCGGCGCAGTTGGGGCAATTGTCCCGGATAGACCCTTTGAAATAGATGTCGCAAATCTGTTGGCCAGGCTGCATATCGTCTGTCGTGTTCCAAATCATTCAGCCACATCAACACGTTGTCTTCCTCAATGGCATCTCGCCAGTCAAATCTCTGAGGCATGTCATTCGCCTGTGCTTCGGCAATCACCTCACTTGACAGCAGGTTGATGGCTTCCGAAGATGTAAGTCCGATGTCTTTGAGGTCACCGATGATGCGTCTTTCGCGTCGCAAGTGATCGAGAAGCGAGTACGCGTTGATCTGACGAGGCTCAATCTGGACGCCGTTGATCCAAAAGACACTGTAGCCGGATGGCAAGAATCGTTCGCGATTTGATTTGTGCTCCAATAGAAATTCTTTGCTAGCATTGGTAGATGCGAGGAGGGATGAGTATCGAGGAAAGTCTGAGGTGATCTGTATCAGGCTTTGCAACGGGTCAGAGCTCGATGCTATAAAACTGGCAGCGTTCAGACCGAGATTGACCACCTCTGAGGTGGTCAGCGGTTTCAGATCTGAGATATCGTCGTCTTTTGCCTTCTGCAGGGATATATCGTCCGCATTGGGTGATTCAGGTGTTGAAGAATCCCGATCATCGATCACGATATAGTCTGTCCGCTTGAGCACCAGTTCCACTCCATACCCGCTGACAAACAGAGGTTTGCTGTCGGCAACAGCCGAAGGTCTGTAGCGGAGTCTGTACGTGGACCTTCCTTCGCGGGCGGTCTGGCTAACGACATGGTGGAATTGGCCAAAGAGTGGATGTGTGATGTCCGCATAAAGGATCGAAGCCGGGCCACCAGGGTTCGAACCAAGGACACGATCGAAAGGGAGTTGTTCGGTACCGTCTGGGAGGGACACTGCCTGCTGAGCACGATCCAGCTCGGGCGAACAGTACTGCTGGCCATCCAAATAGACCCACACTGGACAAACAGCGTCCTGCGCCGCCATTAGACGTGGTTGCACCGAAGTATTGTAGTATTGGAAATGAGCCTCGACTCGAGGAGCGGCGGCATGCAGGGCGAGGGCGAACTTGAAGGAAGAAAGGGATTCGGGACGGGAAATGTGTCCATCTTGTTGTAACACGTCTATGAATGTATTGTACAGCTCTTGCTCAGTTTGAAAATCCGAAAAGGCGCCATCTGCAATGCGATCGAGGAGAGGGTAATAAGCCGACGAGTTCTCGAGAGCCGCTGTCTCCCTGGAGTTGCGTTAGCGGTGGAGGACAGTCTGGGAGGATGCTGGCCGGCGTACAGTAGTTCCACCAAGTATGGCCCTGCGGCGAAAGATGCTTCGAGGGCGACATTGACCGTAGGACCACACAGAGCCGGAGACGTGAAGAGACCCAGAGCCCAAAGAGTGAACGCTGCGATCCCCCAAGGAGCGACGGAGGGACGCATGCTGACGAGGCTGGATGGAAAAGGAGTTCAAAGAGGAAGACGGAGCAGCAGCATAGCCACAGGAGCCAATTCAACGCATGGTTTGAAAGTACAAGTCGACGAGGCGCTCAAAGACAAGAGTGAAAGCAGACAACAACCCTCATGAGACAGTGAACAGGAGATCAGATCGACTTGGAATGTGAGACTGAAGCAGTGGAAAGATGATAGAGGCCAGATGTAGCAAAAAGTGTCTCTACATCTCTATCTCCATTTCCATCTTCTCCATTTACAGCATCGAATCGATTGCGGAGAAGACGCGATACTAGTAATTAAACAAAATATCCTGGTCTATCGATCATCATCATCATGACATGTCCATAAAATTTATTTTCTATTAGACGTGCAACGTCTGGAGCTGCGCAATCTTTGCTCTCTATCTAGGTCTCATACTCCAGCAACCTCCTCCAGATCAGGCGACACATCCTCGTCCACCTCCTGCGACCAAGACTACTTTACTCTCGCCCTCGAGGCATGTCCACGAACTTCCTGCAGTGTCGAAGAGCCGCGACTTTTCCACACCGAAAGCCCAAGCACTACTGCATTGGACCCAATGCCTCCTTGTCAGCCACCCTGTTGAGGCGCCAGAATTCAACATCAACTCAACCCTCACGGTCAGGCGGACAGAACCCAGGAAAACGACTGGAAGAGCTTTTCCCCGAACTCTTCTCACCTAAACCGCGGCACAAAGGTCTCAACCTCTCACCCGAGAACCCACGAAATGGATTCCCCTCAGACCTGTCCTGTCTAAGACCACCAGTCCTGGAATATGTGGAAGACCCAACCCCTGGACCAGATGGCAGCATCCCCATTGCCCAGCGGTTGAAGTACTGGCAACGTCTAGCGAAGACACACTACCGGTTCTACAAAGAAGGCGTGATCAAAGTGTGGCACAACCAGAAAGAAAGACGGAAGATCCTACAGCGTCTAGGACCAACATGGGGAAAGCCGCAGCTGTTGCACGTCTGTGCCATGCTGGGCAGAGAACGGGAGCCCAAGGATGGCGCTCCTCCCAAGCTCACGCGGAAAGAATATCATCTATGTCTTCGCACAAGGAGCGATATTCACAGATTGATCCCCTTTTCCGTTGTCCTGGTTATCTTTGGCGAATGGACTCCGTTGGTGATGTGAGTTTGCTTGAGAAACAACCCTCCCTTTTGCATATCACAAGGATCGCATCTAGCCCTTCCCTGTCCACACATTACCGATGGTATTGCCCAGGTTCTTCTTCCTCTCCTTCACTCTCACCCTCACCGAGTATTCACTATTCGTCTGCTTCGAGGCTAATCATACTTGACCAGACCTCTAGCATTCATCCCCGAGACGTGCCACCGACCAAAAGACCAGATCAAGATCGTCAGCAGATGGTGCAAACGCAGTGAACACTTCATCTCGAAATTCGACGACAAGATCGACCACGCCGTAGCCGACAAAAGTGACAAGGACCCCGCGCCGTGGGCGCAGACATTGTTCTACCGCTACCTTCTCTGGGGCTACACGGCAAACGCGACCTTTTCCATCAAACTCCTCCCCTACATCCCCATCAAATGGAGCGCGTGGCTAGCGTCGCGTGGGCAGACTTTCATCCCACGCCACAATGAAATCCTCGCCGACACCGTCATGATCATGCGCGAGGGTGGCTTCCGCAAGCTCAGCGCCGAAGACATTGTCGAATACTGCATGAAATGCGGCTCCACTCAGTTTCTGGCCCAGGCCAGACTCGCCCTGAGCAATGGGGTCCATCCCGCCAACGAGGCTATGAGGAAACACATGGTGCCTATCCTCGAGGCGCATGCCCGCCGAATGCTGGATGTCGACTGGACCAGGTTGGATCCGGGCTTCTGGTGGCTTCAGGAGAGACATGTTCGGTCGGGAGGTGACCCGTCTGCCCCGGATGCGTGGGCTATTGAGCCTATCAAGAAGCAGCACCCTGCATGATGATTCTAGTCTGATACAACCCCAGTCAACAGCCGGCTCTCAATCGGACATATGACTGATGGCCTCACCTCGAGTTTGAAGGATTGAAGACAGCGCCGCACGCATTGAGTGAGTGAGTGGCATGGCATGGCATGGTCGAGCCATTCATCCTTCTTTTGGCCCATGGCCGGTAGAATATCTGCCTGCCCACCGCGCCATGCCTCAGCTCATGAAGCCCTCTTCACACGTCTGGCACGTCGACCAGTCCTCTCCCGATTGAAACAAGAAGAATCGATCACTTGCCACTGGCCTGCCGCATCAACGACGTGGCTGTGGTGCAAGAAACATGTTTACCCACAAACACAAACCTACCTGTGGAATGAGTCCTTCTATTACTGTTACGACTGGAAGTGAACAGGTCTCACCAGATGTTGAACTAGAGTCCTCCTATCCTCCAATTCCCCATACCAAGGACAGATCATGTCGTCTCTTATTAATGTATCACTATAATCCAACGATGCACTATCCGTATCGTCGAACTTGATGGGCCAAAAAGCATTGGAAATACATGGGTGTCGATTAATTCAGCAGCATCAGCATCAGCATCAGCATTATGAACTTCAACATGGATATGAGCAGCAGCAGCAGCGTTAAATCTAGGGACCTTCTCTTCCATCACAGACAAAGTCCACCTAGTACTTGTAGCAATATGATATCCTGCCCCTCTCCACTTCTGAACGCCTGTCTGTCTCCGTGTTCATCGGAGAAACACTGCCTTCCCAGCAGTCATATAGAACCAGGTAACAAGCAGTGATCAGACACCCAGGCAGTCCAGTCGTACTCTGTCTCCTCACCCTCATTCTTCAGACTGACCAGATCTGATCTGCTTCGCTTCTTCGCCATCCCCATCTCCATCCTCGCTTTCATCTTCATCTTCACTCCGGTTCCGGTTCCACTGCATCTTCAACCCTCCTCGAAGACCCTGCGAGCCAGACACAGAGCCAGACACAGAGCCAGACCCATTCGTTCTGCGTGACAGCCAATTGCTCTTGGCCCGACGCGCGGATTCGTTGATACTCTCCATAAAGTTGTTCATAATAGCACCTCTCCCTTTGGCTTTGGCTTTCGTGTTCGCTTTTGGTGTCGTTTTTCCATTCACGCTCAGCATGTTCTCGTCTGGTGTTGTCGATGATGATGATGACGATGACGATGACGATGATGACGATGACGATGATGTTGTATCGTCGTCGTCGTCGTCATCATCTCCATCATCGCCGGTTCCCTCTACTTCTTCTTCTTCTTCTTCTTCTTCTTCTGTCGCGTCTTGATTTTCGTCGTGATCGGCCCCTTCCTCCTCGGCGACTTCGACATCTTCACCGACTTGCAAATCGGACGCATCACCCTCATCTTCATTCTCGTCCGCGTCTTCAACGTCCGCGGGGTCGTCAGACTCATCTCCTCCCACAGGATCCTCTGCCTCTGCCTCATCCTCGTCGTCACTATCGAGGTGTAGATCGCCGTTTTCTTTGACCCTGATCTCCTGCAATGGAGACCGAGACGACATGACGCGCCGCTGGATAGGGATTTCGGGCGATGGTCGATCATCATCGCCATCCATATCCACTCCCAGTTCGGCCTCGAGGTGTCCTGCTCCATTTCTTTGCGAAGAAGCCTTGAGGGCGGACGTGTTGGCTTGAGTCTGTGCGAACAGTTGACTCGACCCGAGTGTCTTGCCGGGTGTTTTCGCGGTCAGAGGATTGCGACGGCCTTTTTGACGGGAGGTCTTTGCTGCCGATTCAGTCTCTTCCTCCGCCACTGAGGATGTTTGTTCGTTGAGGATTGAAGCTTGTACGTCTTTTCCGTTCTCTTCTTCATCGTCTCTATCCTCTTCTCCCTGCTGGCCATCCTTTTCGTCAGCCGAGTCTTCGTGATCGTCAGCCCCATCATCCTCGTGTTCTGCTCCACCTTCATCTTCTTCATCTTCATCTTCATCATCCTCATCCTCATCGTCCTCACGTACAAATTGTTCCGAAAGACTTTTTCGATCTCCCGATCTCAAAGCTTCCCCCTTCAACCGGCGCTCCATCTTGGACGGGGTCAAGATCCTACTGGATCCAGGCGTCCTCTCCAGCCCAGGAACCTTGTACCACCTGCCTCGGTTCTTCACACTGTGAAGGGAGCGCCAATGGTTCGAACATTGCTGGGCCGTCCTGGTGCCCATCCTCTCGCTGACTTGTTTCCAGGGAATGCGCCATTCGTCCAAGTCCGCGGTGGTGCCCGAATCGCGGCGCACCTGCTCCAGCACCTCCTTGAACTTGATCTGTTCAGCCTCCGACCATACACCCTGTTCGACGCGTCCGAATTGCAACTTGTGTCGCCACCGTTGGGTGACCGCATCGACCGTCCTCGTCAGTCTCCGAGCAATCTCCGACCATTTCGGACCGAGCTCTTTATGCAGCCGTATCAGGTCCTTGTCGTCCTCCGCCGTCCAGTCCCGGGAACCTGCGAGATTCTGGAAATTGCGTTCGCGGTAACGCAGCATCGACCGTTTGTTGCGGTGAGGGAGCACACCGCAGTATTCTTGGAGGAATTCGGATTTGCTGATAAACGGCCAATCCCACAGCTCGCCTGCCTTTCGCTGCAAGGTGTCGGTCATCATCTGGTTGAATTGTTCATGGGTGATGTTATGGTCTTCGCAGAACATGTCTCTCCAGTCGTACAGCTTCCGGACCTCCCTTTCGCTGAATGCACCAGTGGCGCCCTGTAGGCCGTTTCCTTTGCCATGCCCCGTGTCTCTTTCATGATTGGCCAGAGCGGTGATCGCGAAGAATTGCTCGGAGCAAGAATGGCACTTGTACAGGTTGGAATGAGAAGATGGGTTGCCGAGATGCCTCCGAAGACTGTTCTCGTTCGAAAAGGTACGATGACACCTGCGACACTCATGAGAACCCTTGTCGGTTGTGCCATTGGACCGAGTGCGTTTACGAGCGCGTTTACTTGGTCTCTCCTCTTCAGTGTGGTCGGCCTCTTCCTCTGCGAAGTCTGACCCGGACTCTTCCTCCTGTTCTGGCGGCTGTGGCTTTGAATTGACTGCTATGAAGGACCTTCTCGCCACTGTCGTTGCAAAGTTGGTCGGCTCGGATTCATGGCCGTCAGAAACATCGTTGGCTTTGTCGGTTTGCCCTTGAGAGGGAGTAGAGTAATCGATCCCGGATTCGGCCCGATTCTTGCCTTTCGGAGTCGTGTACGTTGATATCCGAGACTTGCCTTTCCTCAGTCCAATAGCCTCGAGCTGGTCGGTGTTGAGTTCGTTGTTACTGACAGCGCGGTCGGAATCCAGGGGCAGGTCATTGGCTGGATTGGTGCTGGAAGGTCCTCCTTGACTTGTTCTTGGAACGACCACTTCAACCCGTCGCGCGGTCGTGGATGTCGGCGACTTGGGATTGAATGCAGGGTGTCTGAGCTTAGATCCAGGAGTGTATTTCTGCGCCCAACCATCGATGCTACCTTGTCGGCTCTTCTGTAGCTTAGGTACAATCTTCTGAGTATCTTGCTGGCGACGTGGTCCCTGTGTGTCCTCCGCCGAATCGGACCTGCCCAAGTCCAACGACTGAGCGGATGTCGGAGGAGATTTAGAAGCTCTTTTTGCTTTCTTTCTAGGGTTGTCAATCCTCTGTTGAGAGGTGTCGGCCGTATCCACGGCATCACGTTTGCGCTTGAGTCCACCCTTCGGCATGGGTGTCTCCTTCACAATCGCCTCATCGGCCTCGTCGAAGATACTGGGTGGTGTAGGTGAATCATGTTCGGAAGGTTCCTGTCCAGCCTCACCATTTTGAGCTTCTGTACCGTTGACCTCGGCTTCGGCCGGCAGTTCTGGAAGCTCCTCGTGTCCATCTTGCTGGTCGGCCGCTTGGTCTTGAGAAGTCTCTTGCGGAGTTGCAAACTCAGCAGGACTTTCTTCGTGTTGTTCCTCTAATTGACCCGGAACAGGAGTCGTGCGTCTCTCGACTTTGTTCTTGTCTCCGCGACTGCGCTTGTCCTGACCCTCTTCCGCAGCCGCTTTATCTCCTGCTTCGGCAGAAGCGATCTCCAGCGCCGTATGTTTGCCCATATGCGCATTTAGCGTATCCGGCCGGCTCAACTTCTTACCGCAAACAGAGCAAGCAAAGCTCGAAGTGTGGATTGCACCATGTCGAATTGCCCCCTTCTTGTTAGCGAAAGTGATCTCGCATCCGTACTCTTCTGCGAATGGACATCGAAATCGACCCTCGCTGGTAACCTCCGGCCTAGGCACGGCGCCATTGGTCTTAGCAGCGGGGACTGCACCATCCACTTGAGTGGCCAACACAGAGACATCTTCCTCTTGCTGAACTTCCTCCGGTACTGGACTCGGGGCCAGAACGGCATGTGCATCCTCGAGGGAATGGTGTGACCTTTCGTCAGAACTCTCTTCGCCGTCTGCATCGTCGGCTGTAGCCACAGTCTTGGGCTTCGGCCTAGCATTGTCCGCTTCAGCATCACTGTCGTCAGAACTAGCATAGATGTGGTATGTCTCAGGCTCTCTTTCTCTCAGCGACCGAGTATCCTGTGCAGACTGCCCCCTCAGCGCCTTGGCCTCGTCTGGAAGCACTTCGCTTGGGGCTGGATTGCCCATGCTCGACGAAGACTTGCGAGACCTCTTGCGCTTCCGCTTCTTGCTGTGATGTGAATTCTCGCTTGGGGAGGAGACGCGCTGACTGGATTTGGCCATGCTAGCATCAGAATCGGGTGCGACGTCTCTGTCGTCGGGAATTTCAGAGATATCGAAGTCTAAAGTCGCGGTTAATAAGATGATGACCAGATGAGGGGCCGAAAAGGAAGTAAACTTCCGTTTACCTACGTTCTTCTGGCTCTGCCTGAGGAGCAGATTCTTGACTCTGCTCGTTTCCCATAACAGTATGGTGGATGTGAGAAGGTCATAGTAGATTGGCGGGACAAGCGTTCGCGAGTGAAATTCATCAACTGCAATGATGACTGAGGGAACGCGACCAGTCGATTTCTGGCCGACAGCAGCTTCGCAGGAGGACTGCTACGTTTGGAAGAGACCTATTGCAAGATAGAGTATAGGGTAAAAGGCGCGTTGCGCATTCAAATGTCAAACTAATTAAATCAAGCGGGCAGATGCGGCGGGCAACAAGTGAGTGGAGGAGGAGCACGAAACTATTCTCACTTGAGGTTGGGCGAGCCTTGCGACTGACAATAGTAGATCTAGTAGCCTTGGTACGTAGTAGTCAGTACTAAACTATCATTTGCAAGGCTGCCTCCTCTTCACTGCGACCGATACACCTACCTGGCCTACTTACTTCAGGTAGGTGAGGTATATACACCCAACACCTCAATCAATCGTCCATCAATCTCACTCCAGCACAACCCTCAAGCGACATGGTCCTCCTAGTAACAACCCCCCGCATCCTCGATGCCATCTCGTCGCTTTCCTCCTCCGATCGGTCCTCGCTCCCGCCTCTACCCACCACCCCCGGAGCTCCAATAGAGCATTCCGCAGTCATTGCTCTCTCCCGTCTGACAATATCGCAGGCTAGACGATATACTCTGAACACCCTACTCCTGGGCACACATGTCTACGTTCCGCCTCCAGCGCCCAAGCCACAGCCATCGCCGGAATATGTGGCCCTCATGGACCGGCTGCGCAAAGAGCAGGAGCAACGGGACTACGCGCACATGGTCTCAAAGCGAGCGTCAGTCTACGGAGGAGTAGAAGAAGGAGAAGGAGAAGAGCGAGATGATATTAGTCCTTCATTGGTGTTGAACATCCTTCTCAGCATTGTCCTGTGTGCCATCGCCATGTTCTACTTGACCCGATGGTGGCCCAATGATGGCTTACGGGTGTTGGTGTCGCTGTCGACGGGGATGGTGGTGGGTGTCGCCGAGGTCACTGTGTACGCGGGCTACTTGAGAAAGGTGCGACTGAGCAAAGAGAAAGAGAGGGCGAAACGAGAGAAGAAGCAGTTTATTGGCGAGTATCGGGGTGAAGCTATCCCGGAATCGGTCCTGTCCGTTCCAGCGGAGAAAGAAGAGATCTGGGGTCGTGGCGCCAACGGAGGCATGAGAAGAAGAGTCAGAGATAAATGGGAGAAGGACCAAGACCGGAACATATCGTGAAATATGGCCAGAATTCGATTGTTTCAAAGGGTATCCTGTGTTGCAGCTTTTGCTCAAAGTCTCGTGGACATTTTTCTATATCGGTGGTACCATCGATTCATCGATATCTCTGCCCCGTCTTTCCACCCCATCTCTATCTTCAGAAGTCGTAAATCCATCGCTTGAACCAACTCTTGACCTTCTTTAATTCTTTCTGACGTGGTTCCAACAGTAATTGCCCTGAACACTCCTTGCCGACAAACCCGTTGTTGGGCCCATCCCGGACAAAGACCTGTCGCCCTCGGAGCAAAGTCTCCTTCACTTGCCCTTTCATTGTTTTGCCCTGGTACGGGCTGCACTTGTTCCGGAACAACATGGTGCTTGGCTCCACGACCCATTCTGCCGTGTCGTCGAAGACGCAGATGTCGGCATCAAAGCCGACAGCAATGTCCCCTTTTTGCTTCTCCAGACCCACTTGAGTGGCGGTGTTGATACAGCACCACTTGACGACGTCAGTAATGGCGGAGTCGGTGCCGGTCAGCCCTCTTCTTGTCATCTCTGTCCACAAGATGGGGAGACCCAACCCGACAGAGGAGATACCGCCCCACGCCGAGAAGAAATCACCAGCATCGGTCTCGAGCGGCAGGTCCTTGACACTATCTTTTGGCAAACAGGCATGTCCGGGGAAGTGCGACGGGAGATGCTTGAGATCTGGGGTACAGGGAGAATGATCCGAAACCACCGTCTTAATAACACCTTCCTCACCATGTTGTCGTAACTCGTCCCAGAGCACGTCCTGATTCGATTGACTTCGAATGGGAGGACAGCATTTGTGACGCGTGTCACCCACGGCAACCTGTTCGGCTGCAAGGGATAGGTAGTGAGGACAAGTCTCGGCGGTAATGTTGATGCCTTGAGAGCGGGCTTTCCTCAAGAGTGGAATGGCTTCCATGGCGGACAAGTGGACAATATGTAAGGGCAAGTTAGGCGCCAGATGCGCCAGTGACAGAATCTCTTCGATCGCGTAAGTCTCGAACGACGGCGGCCTTGATTCCAAGAAAGTGCTGTATGCATCCAACGGTCCGTGTGGTTGGAGAGGGGGTAGTGAGGTCTGGACATCGTCACCCACTGAATCCGCAATGGGAGGAATCATCTCGGCATGAAACATGACTGTGGTAGGTTCATCCGCAAGTTCCTCGAATACTTTTTTAATATCTGTCGAGGAGACCGCCGGAAATTCTTCCACACCACTGTCGATCAGGAACCCTTTGAAGCCTCGTACTCCTTCTCTGACGAGAGGCCTGAGTTCCGCCTCGTTGCCGGGGACGATGCCACCATAGAAGCCAACGTCGACCCAGCATTTACCTTGCGCTGCTTTGATCTTCTCCTGCAGTCCTGCCACAGTTGTTGTCGGCGGTATAGCATTCAGTGGCATGTCCACCACTGTGGTGACTCCCCCAAAGGCCGCAGCCTGTGTGCCGGTGTAGAAGCCTTCCCATTCTGTTCGGCCAGGCTCATTGAGGTGTACATGAGCGTCTACCAGGCCCGGGAGCAAGATATGCGGGGAGTAATCGGTATATGGGGTGTTAGGGGGAAAGTCGGAGGGTGGGAGGATTGAATCGAAGGTCGCAGTTATCTTGCCAGTGGCATTTGATATAACAATTGTGGCCGCAGTAAGCTGTCCAGACCTGATGGCTCGAGAGGAAGCGATTACCGTGATGGGCGACTCCCCTGTGGCGTCTGATTGGCCATTGGGAGGAGACCGAGGAGGTGTGGGATAAGAATGGAAGGTGTTCGTCGTCCCGTCCATTGTTAAAGCGATGGTCACGACCGACGCCTAGGCCTTGATATGAGATAGAGAGTACCCGGGCACCAGGAAAGCGATAGATATGAGAGTGATGGGCTTGTGGAAGGGGTATGTAGTCCTTATCAAATGGAGATAAGCGAAATGGGCATTGAGCATCAGCAACAATGGAGAACAACACCAGGGGCCAGCAATTGCAGGGATAACAACAAAGAAGAGCCGAACAAAAGCAGATATACTCCCTCTCCGGTTCCTCGATTCGACCAGGCCATCGCTTCAACTTGCGGGCTATCGTAACCGTCGCGCCGGAGCACTCAGGATATTCGGAGCCCCGTCGACTCTAGAGTCCAGGGAGGTGTCGGGGACTCTGCAACGAGGTCCAGGCGGGCGATTCCGATGGGCCCTTGAGAGGCTCCTGGCATTCTGACGTTTGATTGGGGAGCGCATAGCGTGGGTAGGTACTGCTGCGGTCAGAGAGGGCTATCTGTTACTCGATCATATCGAGCAGAGATAAGAGGAGACAAATTTGGCCGTATGCGGACAAAGTGGGTTGGGGGAGAAGAGTCAGGGAGGCGCATTCGTGGGCTGACGCCTCCCGGTATCGTTGGGAACAGACACCGTGCGGCGCATAGTATTGCGGTGTCTTCAGCGACTCAGCGTGTCCCACGGCTTCCATTTCCACAATATCCCGGCGACTTCGGCATCGCTAAGACTCCTCGATGCGCCTAAGCCATCTTGGGCCTGGTGGAGTTCTTGTAGACTTCTCTTCATTACTCGATCTGAATGTTCTTTTACTCGATCAAAACTCCTGACTGGCACTGCTTGTGTACGTGTTTCCGTCTCGTCTCATCCACCGGCGGTGTTTATTGCTCATGTCTGCAAAAATTTGCCGGCGGCCTGTGCGAGGTTTGCAGGGCATCTCCCTGGAGTTGACCGCTTTCTCCCCAGTGGTGACGATGGCGTCGTAGTCACGAAGTCATTTATGATTGAGTCTCGCAAGAGCGGCAGAGCAGCTGTCATGAGGTTCGTCGATCGCAGTTCAGACAGGACAAGAGGCAGGAAGCGATCAGGCCAACCCCTGAGTACTCGTACATCGTCGTGGAAGAGGGAGGTAAAACGGGTTCCAGTCGTAGAAGCGGATCCAGGAACCGCTCGATCGGGGTTCGCCGACACACTGCAGAATGTTCATCGGGGCCATTGACAAAATGCAGCGGACTTGAGTTTCCGCTCAGAACGACAACGACATCATCTTAGCAGAGAACCGATTGGTAACAGGTGAAGAAGCATCTGGGGCAACGGTGGAAAGAGCACGAGTCTGGCTGAGATTTACTCTCAGGCTTCTGTGCTACTGCAGTGAGAGGCGAGAGCATCCAACTTGGAGCCTGCAGTGTGTTGCAATAATGACTTGGCGTGCGGAGGGGAGAAAACACACTGTGGTGGTAGGGCGGCCTGTAGGCTCTTATTAACATAGTACGTAGCACTGTGCAGGTAGGTACATGCTATAGTATACTACCTAGGTGCCTATCTACATGATGAAACTATTGTGAGATCTGCTTCTTCTCACATTCTGCAAGAGTCTTCCTTGAGTGTTATCGGGATGGTCTGCTTTGTGACTATGCTCTAGTACTGAAAAGCCACTGTGTCTGAATGATCCAGCTGCTTGGGTACATGGCTGAGGCAATAGTAGGGACTGGGACCAGTTGAATAGAATACACCTAGCTGAGTCGGTATGTTCTTTCCACATCGTTTCATTTGTCAGTGACCTCAATCACGTGACTAGCATCAACTACTACTAACCTGATTCTTGCTCTATACTAGCATCCGTATTGGGTTAGTAGCAACATCTACTTACTAATAGACCACACTGACACACCATTGGCTGCACCCAAACATGAAAATCCATGCCAAGATTTCGTCGAGACTGCGCCCTTCTCCACACTGCAGTCCCAGCCTGTGGCCCGTCAGTTAGTGAGCGGACGCCTCATCAGGAACTTTTTTGTCGCTGAGCTTGACCGACATACCAGTACTGTGACCAGCGTGCCGTCCGAGTTGTTCGATTGTCCAGTTGTTGAGATACCGTGCAACCAAGATGCCTGATGAATTGGAGGTCTGTCTCAACCGTACTGAATTCCATTTCAGACTTTTCGAAACTGACCAGAATCAGGAACGGCTGAAAAGCCATGCACGTGCCTTTGACAGTCTGTTGTCTCTCATCCCAGCAAACCTCTACTATGGAGGAGACGTCAGCGTATGTATTGGAGTCCTCACAATCAATGCAGACCGCTGATCGAGTCAGGATCAATGGCAGCGCAAAAAGCAAACCCCAGAGCAAAAGAAGGCGGCGAAAATGGCCAAATTGGACCCCGACAATTGGAAGAGTGCAAAAGACGTGATGGAAGAGAGGGCTGCCGCTGCCCTAAAGCGAAAACGGACCGACGATGAAGAATTACAAGACGACGAGCCCCCAGTAGACGAGACACTTGGGTTAGAGGTACCCAAGGCCCTTCAAGATGCCGAAGCCGTTGTGTCTAAAAAGCGGAAAATCGAAGCCAAAACCACGACTGACACCAATACCAATACTGCACAACCCAAGGAAGAATCAGCGGAGGACAAAAAACGTCGCAGAGCCGAGCAGAAGGCGGCGAAAAGGGAACGGAAACGAGACCAGAAATTAAAAGCCAAAGAGAAGCTGGAAAGACAAAAGGCCAGAAAGGCGGGAGTACAGCCTGGCGAAAGCCCTGCGACTACGGCTACGGCGCCTAGAAAGACCAAGAAAGAAGTACATCTGAAAGAGCCCATCAATCTGGATGTGGAGGAGCCAATGCCCGAGACGGCAGCTGATGACCATGAATCAACTGCCTCATCCGAGGCCGACCAGGCTGAGGAAGTCTTTTCCCCACAACACGAGTCCGCTACATCATCCACATCTTCCATCCAGCCCGCCACGATCGACGAGACACTCGAATCACAACAACCAGAACAAAAGCCTCACCAACAACCACCTCAACAAGCATCTTCAGACATCGACGCTGCTCAGCCAACATCCTCCAACTCCAACCCGTCTCACACATCCCAGACCCCCCGAGAACGTCTGCAAGCAGCGATCTCACAACTCCGCGCCTCCCGAAAAGCCGATGGAGGCGACGGCCGCGTCGCGCCCAAGAACCGCCAGGAACTACTGGAACAGCGCCGCCGCAAAGAAGAAGAGAGGAAAGCAGCGAAGAAAGAACAGAAACGACGAGAAAAGGAAGAAGAAGCCCGGCGCCAGGACGAGGAAATAGCACGCCGCTTCTCGCCCGGCGGGTCCGGCTCTCTCCTCGCATCCCCTCGATCCCCTATTCTCGGCGACAACGCCTCTGCATCTGGATCCGGATCCAACGCCAACAATAACTACAACTTCAATTTCAGCTACGGGCGGATCGCCTTTGAAGACGGATCCAAATTCGACCCCACGACCGCCGAGATCGTGGAAGAACACAAGAAAAAGGGACCGCGGGACCCTGCGAGCGCGCTCAAAGCCGCATTGGCCAAGAAGGAGCGTCTGACCAGCTTGGACGAGCAGAAACGCCAGGAAATCGAGCAGAAGGATATGTGGCTCAACGCCAAGAAACGCGCTCATGGCGAACACGTTCGCGACGACACGAGTCTGTTGAAAAAGGCCCTGAAGAGACAACAGGGCCAGAAGAGGAAGAGCGAGCGCGAGTGGAGTGAGCGCCTGCAGGGTGTGCAGAAGGCACAGGATGCAAGGCAGAAGAAACGCACCGAGAATCTGGCCCGGAGGAAGGACGAGAAGAAGTCTTCCGGTGGCGGTGTTAAAAAGGACAAGAAAGTCAAGAGACCTGGCTTTGAAGGCAGTTTCAAGGGCCGGACTGGTGGGAAACGCAAGTCATGAATCTGAACCTGAAGGCTTCCCTCCATAATGAGTTAAAAAAGTATGTCTGTCCACCACTTCGCCTGGAGACCTGTTGGATGAAGTGTGGTGGTTCATTGAAATGAAAAAGGAAGATAACAACTTTCGTACATTACGTGACTTGAGTTGACTTGAGCTGGGAGATGCCCTAATAGCCTCTTCGTGCCCAATCCCCTCAAAGACAACATAGCAATGCATAATCCGCGATCGACGTGGTCAACGTGTGACATGCCAAAATGCACCAAACACCCTCCCATATCGAGACTGACAAACCCGAGATACCGACCGCCCAAATGTGTTCTATCCATCTATCCGAAGAAACACTGTCCCTGTATCAAAGAACTCATCTGAAACGAGAGATATCCACCCTCAACCGCATCTTGACTTTCACTTTACATTCGAGCTCCGGACCTGCGTCCACAACAAACATCTGTAACGCAGACAAGTCACTCAGTCCGAACACTGATCCCTTGTGTGCGAACCATTAGTTCTTCGAATGTGTGTAAGCGCTCTTCTGCCGAATCTTCGGGCCGTACTTGTACAGCACCCACGGAAGCGGAAGGAGCGCAACCGTCACGAATGCCAGCAGGCTGGTGGCCCAGCCGACGCCCATGCCACGATACCTGTTCCCAAACAAAACCCCAGAAGTTAGCAACCAGCCCATCATATCGAACAAACAGCCCAGCCTATTCGCACAAAAGAATAGGAAAGGAAAGACACTCTTACTCACATCTGAACCGTGAACAGCGGAAACACGGCGCCGATAAGATATCTCAGAAATCCATTCGCCGCGACGGCACTCGCCCCGGCCAACGGCCCATACGTATCGATGAGATACAAGACACAAGAACAAAAGACGAGCAGATTGCCCGTGCCGAACGGGATGGTCGCCAACACCGGCGAGATCCAGTGGACATCGGCCCTCGCGGACCAGGCGAACCAGAACAGGCCGACAGGGAGCAAGAACGAGCCGAGCATGGCCGCCCACAACCGTTCCTCGGGCGGCAGCGGCACGAAATCACCCACGGCATGTCGTTTCAGCGTCTTCTTGCGATACACCAAGCGGTCGATGAGGATGAAGATCAGCGTCGCCAGGAACGTGCCGATGCCGATGCCCAAAAATACCAGGCCTGATTCGCCCGTGTTGAAGTGGTAGATCTGGATCTCGGGGTACGGGGATTGGAAGACGATCGGGAAGGCCGCGAAGAAGCCGAACAGCACGCTGAAGTTGAAGGCCGTGTAGAAGCTGAAGGCGGCTACGATCGTCTCGGTTGTGAGCATGGTCAGGGGTCGCAGGATGGTGACGACCACCAAGAAATGCACTTTCGACATTCCAGGCGGGAGTGGATTCGGGGGTGGGGCGAGACCCAGTTTCGCGGCCCGGTTCTTGAGGATGATCTTCTTGTATGTCTCCTTTTGTGGGATGCTGACTGCGTAAGCGATGATGCCCCAGAACAGGATCAGCCATTGTGTCCAGCGCCAGCCTTTCTTCATGGCGACGTAGCCGCCGATTGCGGGGCCAAGGGCCGGACCGAAGAACGGTGCGAGGAGGAACACGGCGCTGGCCACGGCCCGGTGGAGAGGTGAGAAGAGGTCTGAGTTGGTGCCAGCTCCGACGGCAAGACAGCCCGATCCAAGGAGTCCGGCTAGGAACCGACAGACCACGAGGGTGGCGAATGTTTTGGAAAACCCGGCCCCGAGCGTGAAGAGAAGAGACGGCGGAAAGAATATCAGATATACTGCGCGACGGCCGTACGTCTCGGACAGCGGTGCACTGATGACTGGACCAAACCCGAGGCCGAGAACGTACACGGTCAAAGGGACAATGGCAGCTGTGGAGCTGATACCAAAGTGGCGCGAAACTTCAGGGATACCTGTAAGAGTCATTAAAACCGCACAACCGCATATCAGAGCTGGATGATCCTACTAGGTGAATAGACGGAAGAGCCGAATGTGCTGTGATGGTTAGTACAGGTGTACACTCCAAGAGCCTGAGCACAATTCCACGTACATGGTGAAGCACTGGAGTGCCGGGATTAGAGTGTGATACGTCTTCTTTAGCAGCGGCCAGTTCAGCGGGTTGTCTGGATCGTCTGGTCCAACCCAATCTTGAGCTGTCGTAATCGTCCGATCGGAACGACGACTGCGCCTCGACGTCTGAGTGGTTCTGCTGATAGTCTTTTCAATCTCCTGTTCTGGAGGCGCGATAGGCACAGGCATTGATCGGGATGAGGAGCTGTCTGATTCGTACTGTGTCGACATGTTCTCGGTCTGAGCCTCGACCTTGGTCTCTGCCATGGCTGTGGAACTGTGAATGTATGTCATAGTCGAATGACGATGGGTATCAACCAGCAACGAGTCGAAGATCGGACTGAGGAGAGGGGTGAGTAGAGGAGGACCAAAGGAACCATTGCACATTCAAGTGTGATTTCGCGTTTATATTTAAACGCCTGGGCTGCGAGAGTAGCTCGCGGCAAAGGACCCAAGGCTGTCTTTCAAATACATTGCTCAACCTTGCCGTCCAGATTGCTCGCTCACCTTCTCAGCAGTTTCGACCAGATATCCGTGTGTGATCACAAACGTCGGACTCCCTGAAAGTTTGATGCTGCCGAGTAGCCGAAAAGCTGTTAGGAACTCAGAAAGCGAAGTTATCTGGTTAGTGAACGTCGCCCGAACTAGAGAGTGACTCCTCGGAAAGAGCATACACGGGCAGCCAGCAGGACCGGGTGACTAACTCCCCCTTCAGACGGCAATAGATTGCAGAGGAAAGGTCATTCAAGGGCTCACGTCCCCTTGCTACTGGCCTAGAGACAGCTGCCGCTTGTAACAGGAGGTCGACTAGCCAATCAGACTTGTGATGCTCGATCAGTAATCGAAGCACTCCTGAGATCGACCCGTCGGTTTTACGGCCGCAAAGGCGACGGGAGACCGCGCAAAGACGAGCACATCGAAGTCTGTACGTCCGGAGCATCTTGGCACCATGGGAACGAAGAGTTGGCAGGAGTTCGATGGTGGAACGGGATATATATCTCGCTCTTTCCTTCTCTCCCTCTCTCTGATACAATAATAGTCAGTCAGCCTTGACAAGAAAGGAGGTTGAATTGAAGTCCGGCGAGATCTCTATTGATACCCCGAACTGGCAACTCAGCCGAAAGTTACGGAACGGAGATGTGTGATTGGTCGAGTTATTGTACCGAGGCAATTTGCGTGTGCTCACGTGACTGTGCTGAATATGACGGTCACATGATCGTGGTGTTGGTTGCCGTCAACATGCGGCAGGACAGAGTACAGAGTGGTGAGTGTTAGCACCAGTTCAAGTTTACCTATGTATGTAGAGGGTTCTCCATCATGCGCTTGGAAACGAAAATGGAGCGACCAGGATCACACTTCACCAAGTAGCTTGCGTGGCGCCGATAGGTGGCATTTGAAGCAATAGCTGAGACATAGGATGCAGAACACGCCATAAACATGGACCACCACCAGCAATTCGAATTAGAACGATGACCATGTCCATTCAGCCATTCAGTCAACCCCAACAAAGACAAACGTGTTCAATACTCATAAATCTGCCCTGGTATAATGTTTGTGCGTTTCTGTCTTCGGGCTCCAACCATCCGCCGATCGAGAATTCCCGGTAGCCATAAAATCATCAATTCCTCAACTGGATCATTACACCTTAGGTCACCGTCCTGTGCTGGCTCAGAGGATCCAGTGACTCTCCAGCGTCATACTCCTCGCGTCTCATGATACTCTCCACCGGCCCTAAGAGCCGCTTGAATCCGTCCCGGCCCAGCCTGGCCACTTTCACATTGGTCTTCGCCACCACGCTCGCGGCACGAGGCTTGTCATCGAGCAAGGCCAGCTCACCAAAGAAATCCCCCCTCTTATACTCTTTGACCGGCTTATCAACGCCATGCTTGTATGCAACAGCCTCGCCCGATTCCAGAAGATAAAACGAGTCCCCGGGTTCTCCTTCAGTAATGATGTTTGTGCCGGCTTCGAACTTGGAAGTCTCAAGTGCATCGGCAATCTTGGCTCGTTCATATGGCTTCAGGGAGGATAGAAGCGGCACTTCTTCCAGGAAGCTTTCGTACATCTTGCGTTTTTGAAAGGCGTTGTCCATCAAGATTCTGCGGAACGTGACACGATCCAGGGCCCAGAGCAGCCCGCCTTTGGATGCACTGACGATAGTGGCCGCTCGGGGAGCGTTGTACATCAAGGCCAATTCACCGAAGCTGCCACCAGGACCAATCGTGCCGACTTTGTTGCCCAAGCCCTCGGGTCCCGACTCGACGTAACCACTGGGATTGATGTAGATGTCGAAGTCACCCGATTCGACGATGTAGAAGTAGTCACCTTCATCGCCCTGAGTGATGACTTTGATGTTGGCGGCAGGAATGGACTTCTCCATGAGGGCGTCCAGCACCAGCTGGAATGACTCTTCATCTAGACTCGAGAACAAGAAATTGCCGGCTACGGCGTGCCTGAGTCTGTCCAGCTGGTCAGGAGCCTTCGTATGTTTGGGAGCCTTCCAGTTGCCCGAGTTGGCGTCCGGTTGCATAGACTCGGCAGAGACCGAAGTCCGGCGAGAACTTGCATAGTTGTTTGGCAGAGGTTGAGCTGGTGTCTCTGACTCTGTCGAAGGGCTCCCTTGACCACCCAGCCAGTTTCCAAACGGCCCATCACTAGCGGTAGCACCAGCTACGGCGCCGAAACCCGAACCGCCAAAGGGAGAGCGTTCTGAGCCTCGAGACTTGAAGGTGGGATCAGTCGGCGAGCCGAAATTATCGCGTTCTTCATCCTCCTCTTCTATGCTATTGACGTTCTTCGCTCCAAAGGGATTGCGGTTGTCGAAAGGGCCTGCGGTGTCTGTCATGTTCGCTTTTGCGGCGGTGGCTGGCTTGGCTGCTTTTCTCTCGGAGGCCCGCTCGAGTTCGAGCTTGCGGCAGAAGTAATTCGCACAGTACTGAATAGGGTCGTCGGGGTTGGCTTGCAGGAGGTCTTTGATCAGGGCATCAACGATAGCTTGATGAGGAGGAGGGAGGGACATTGGCAGCGAAGGTTGCAGGTGTGGGGGTGGGAAGATTGGGACTCGCCTGCTGATGTAGGCCTTAGGATATTGTGCAATAGCAGACTGGGAAGAGGGACAAAGGAGGATCCCCTTGGGTGAGGCAGGGCCACAGAAGGCCTATGTGGTCCGTGGTCCGTGGTCCAGGTGGATTCTAGCGGTTCGAGAAGGGGCAGGGAAGGCGAGTTGTCGGAGTGTCAGACCCAGAATCAGTCTTCTGCGTAGCTTTTGCTCACTGGCGCTGTCCACTCAGTAGTGGTTAAGACTGCAACGGGTGCTGGTCTCTTCTTGCTGCGGAGCGAGCAGGGCCTGGGGTGGGGCGATACCAGAGTGTATACCTAGGCCGGTCTGTGAATCACTAGATGACGCACTTGGAGGGGAAGTCGAAGGGTTGCTGCAAGTGGTCGATATTGGTTTGTACGGTGACAGGCCCGGAGAAGATAAGAAACCACAGGAGAGGAGAAACCGGTGTGGAGGAAGACAGAAGAAGAGAAGAGTCTGGATGGGCCAGCAAGAGCAGAAGTCGGTCTCGAGAAGTACCAGGACAGATTGTTGTAGGGTATCTTACCTGGTAGATTGGAGGGTAGGAGCAGCCACAGCCCGCCGGTAGCTAGCAGAAATAACTATCGCTAGGTAGCAGTAGAGTAGTATTGCTTCTATTAGGCCTCTTCAACTGTGAACTGTGTCTGCGCAGTTCTTTACTTTCCAAATTCTTCTGGCCCGCTGGTTCATTCCATTTACACGGTTAACTTTGTCTATCTATATCTGCAGGGAGGTGAGTTGCTAACAATGTGGAAGCTACCGACTTACCTTTCTTCGACTGATATTATTATTGTTCCATCATGCTTCCTTGCTCACGGATCACAGTCGCTGTACCCCTCAGATCAGCTACGTATGACCACGATCTGCAGCCATTGACGATGGAGCAGCAGGCACCAGGCCCTGTCAACTCCATTGATTTCTAGCGGTCAGGGCAACCCGATAGACACCACGATTGGCCTTCCTAGGCCACCCAAGCCGCCACCAGCTTACCCAGAAGCCCTAGAACGAATAGGCATGAGGACCCTCCTTAGCCCCAAGCTACAGACCTCGGACCAGTGGAGAGAGGGCGGTTCAGGTTGCAGCAACGTGATCCAAGGCCAAACGCAGGATGCGAGGAGACTGAACAAATATTCGAATACGAGGATCTGCTTGATATCCTAAGGATCTAGGGTCAAAATAGGGGCCTTTAAAGGTGTAAGACCACAAGACATGCCTGCTGGGTGCCGATTGTCGACACGCCAGTTGCATCCAACTGCTGCTGCCTTTGCTTGGAGGATCTGGATCGACCGCAAGCTTCCACGCCCTCCACACCTTCGACAGCTTCGAGAATGCTTCTAGAAAACCAAGAGAATACATGCGTTATCGATCCACAAATAAGGTAACCACTTGATCTGTATTAATAGTATTATCGAACAAGCTATGCAGCCTCCGTCCTGTGAATCAAACACAACTGAAGGGGATATCTACAAGCAAACACCCAGAGCAAACGAAGTCGCTATCCTCCCAAGCAATGCGCCAACCTCTGCAATGCAGTCTCCACATCCCGTCTCCAGAACACATCCTTCACCCCAGATATGCAGTGTACCTTTTGCCAAGTATGCTGCGATTAGTCGAAGATCTTCTTGAACAGTGAGCTAATTCTGTTCTTCTTCTTCTTGTCTTTCGTTGCCGGACTGCTGGTGGGAGTGGTATCCGACTTCTTCGTGGGGGTGGACGTGGCACTAGAGGGAGTGGCTGGAGTGACTGCAGCCGTTTTCTTGGGCGCAGGAGATGCTGGTGTGGCAGCTTCAACTTTCGGGGCTGCACTCGTGGGTGGCAGAGTGGTGGCGGCAGCTGGTGTGGTCTCTGTTGCCGGAGGGATTGTCTCCTGCTTAGTGGTGGCCTCGTTCTGGTTCATCATTCGTACGGCAGGCTCATCGGCCAGAGTAGGATCTTCGGCAATCGTTGGCGCTGGCTCTCCCGCCTCGTTGGCGGTGGTAATCTTCTTCAACAATTCCTGCTCCACTTCAGCCTTCTCCTCCACAGCCTCAGCAGAAACTGTAGCTTCCGGAGAAACGTGTGCCTCTTCGATGGACTCTTTCACAACCTCGGGAACTCCAGATTCATCGGACGGCGCCAGGGTCGCCGAGGGAGCGGTAGCAGAAGTGGCTGCGGCAATCGTTGGCGCTGGCTCTCCCGCCTCCTCGGCGGTGGGAACCTTCTTCAACAATTCCTGCTCCACTTCAGCCTTCTCCTGCACAGCCTCAGCAGAAGTTGTAGCTTCCGGAGAAACGTGTGCCTCTTCTATGGACTCTTTCACAACCTCGGGAACCCCAGATTCAGGCTCGATGACCGTGGCTTCTTTCCTCTCCTCGAGAGGCACCTTGCCAGCCAGGTCAGCTGTTGTGGAAGTTGGTCCAGCCGAAGAGATTGTGGGACCTGCGTCAAGTGTCTCCCCAGCCGCCGAGCCCATTGGGAGAGAAGACTCCGGAATCAAGTTTTCCTTCTTCTCCGATGTGCCAAATCCCAGGGCTCCGGCTATCCCAGCGCCGAGGCCCGCCACTCCGCCGACGAGAGGCAGGCTCAGGCCTCCGGCGCTTTCATAATCCTTCTGGGATGTGGTGACACTGGAATGGATTGTGTTTGAAGTAACTTCGCTAGGAGGAGGAACCTTTTCGCCTGCTGGAAGATTAATCGGATTTCCTGTTCCGCTAGTGGCTGGAAGAGGATCGACGCTGACGCTGGTGTCAGGTGCGTGGTTCAAAGGCTCAGAAGCCTCATGCTGTGGTGTTTCTGGGAATGCGCCTGGTAAACTGTTCTTAGTTGTGTCTCTACGAAGGGTGTAACCATCATCCGTACCAGGTGTCACTAAGTGAAGTTGGCGTCAGCAGTGAGTCCGCCAGCAATTACTAGTCATTGGAGAACATTGACATACCTTCAGTGGCCTCTTTCCGAGGTTCGAGCGGCACTTGACCAGCCAATGTAGCGGTGGTGCTCACCGGCGCAGCACTTGACGTGGTCACTGCCTCAGGAACCATAGCCTGTTTGGGCTTGATTCGATCCGGATACAGCACATTATTAATGTTGCCATGGCCATCGTCCTCCTGCGGTGCCTGAGGGTCGATCACCCAGTTGTCATTTACAACAAACTTGTAGAGAATCTTCTTGTCCGCCTCGGGTAGTTCAACTTCTTTCTCCCACACGTCGCCGACTTTATTCAGCTTCTCGGTCTTTCCCCAGTCATCGAAGGTGCCGGTGACGTGGACGTCCGAAGCATCAGGGTGCGGCCTGTGAGCTGGTATTAGCGATTTCCGCGGTAGACGTCGCATAATACTAGTAGTTTAGGGGTTGCGCCAGCACGACCTGGCGCTATGTAACACGAAGCGTTCACTCACCATCTAAACAGGAAGCTTCCCATGACTGTAGTACCAGTAAGATAGACGTGCGAAGTTCGAGGTTCGACTTTTGGGTGATGTAGGCAAGGAGGGCAGGGTGAGCGCAATCAGGCGACAGCGTTCAGAAAGCTTGGGACGGTGTGAGATTCCAGAGGGCCGATCGGCGGCAGAGTCCAAGCTGACAGTACCAATGCGCGCGTATGGAAAAGTAGCAGAGGAATATGGATCCTGCTAGAAGGACTTTTGTGAAAGAGCTGCAGTCTGTGTGATTTTTGACGTTCAGGTTGGTAAAGAGCCTGAGACAGATGGAGATTGTTCGACTAATAACGGACGGGGGCTGCAGCGCGGCAGTGGTGGAGTTTGTTGGAGGCTGGGAACCTTGAACTGCTTACCGATTTTGGTATTTAGGCCTCAATCGCTAGTAGTAGGTATTGCTCACTAGCATTTTCGCCCGTCCCGAGATCAACGCCGCCAGAATCAGCTCCTTCAATTGAATTTTTACACTCCTCTCTCTGACTGGTGACGGTCTGTTAGCTTCCATCCATTTCTAATTTCAAGTCCGTCGTCCATATACGGCACGTCTACTTGCATGCACAGTGGGCGTGCGATAGATTGCTCTACATGAGGAGTCGGGACGTCAATCCACATAGTATACTGGAAGATCCTGTACCAGTGAATTCCAATGGCCATGAGCGGCTTCGGTGTAGACAGATAGTACTGCGGGCGTGGAACGCAGGCGAGCCTCACTAAAGAAGCTCTCTAGGTACATTAGTGAAGCTCCAGTGGGCAGTGATAAGATAAGGCTGATCAGGCTGGCTAAAGCTCCGCGTATGTCACTGCGGAGACCACCTCAAGTAAGGTATTCTACCTAAAGGTACGTGCCATATTGAATCCACCAATTTCGGTACACACTTCGCTGCTTCAACGAGACAGAACGTGTATGTCCTTGCAGGCCGACTTGGGCTGCCACTCACCTCTATTTCTCTTCCCTCAACACATTCTTCGTTGTCGCACTAAGTGCGACCTTCCACAATGCGCTTAATCAAGCGCCATATCGACGATGACGGCACTGGAAGTGTCACATTATGCCCCGAAGAGCCTGAGGACATGGTATAAGTGCTTCTCGCCATGCTTCCTTCCGGTCACGACTCACCTCGGTGTCCTAGTGGCATGCTTACAACCTGATACGACCTAGAGACCTTCTCACCGCTTCCGCGATACGTCGAGTAACCACAGAATCGGCCTCTACCGGCTCTACTGCCTCCCAGCGGGTCCATACCAACCTGACTATTCGGGTCAAATCAGTCGACTTCGACCCGCAGGCTGGACAGTTACACGTGTCTGGACAGATCGCTCGGGAAAACCGGTATACGAAGATCGGACAGTTTCACACGCTTGACCTTGAGTTGCAACGAAACTTCACGTTAGAAAAACAAGTTGGCGGAATCGATGGCGGCGAGGGCTGGGACAGTGTTGCTCGCGCGCAACTTGAAGAGGCAATCGACCCGGCAAGAGGCACAGAGGCGGTCGCGGTCGTTATGCAGGAAGGTCTTGCGAACATTTGTTTCATCACTCAACATCAGACCGTCCTGAGGCAAAGGATCGAGGTTTCGGTGCCCCGAAAACGTTCAGGAGCCGGTAGATCGGCCGATCATGACAAAGGCTTGGAGAAGTTCTTTGCCACGGTATTGGATACGTTGACGAGGCAAATTGAAGGGCTCATGGAAGGCAAAGACAGCAGCACCAACTTTCCCATTCTGCTTGCAAGTCCCGGATTCACTGCTGCCGGGTTCCTGAAATATATCACCGAGACTGCGGCCTCCAAAGGCAGCAAACTGTTGCAGGACATGGTCAAGCGGAAGGCATTCGTGGTTATTCACAGTAGCTCGGGTCATCTGCACAGTCTCAACGAGGTTCTCAACAGCCCCGAAGTGCTGGCCAGACTCCAAAATACCAAATACGCGAGGGAAACTGCATTGATGGACGAGTTTTTCGCTCTACTACGAAAAGACGACGGACGGGCATGGTATGGGCCGAAAGAGGTCGAGACAGCCGTGGAGAAAGGTGCCGTAGGTCGCGGTGGCGGAGTCCTTCTCATCAGCAATTCGTTGTTCAGGAGTCAAGATATAGCCACCCGAAGACGATGGGTGAGATTGGTAGACAGGGTAAGAGAAGTTGAGGGCGGCGAAGTCAGGGTCCTCAGCGGTGACCATGAGAGTGGGAAACGCTTGGAAGGACTTGGTGGCATTGCAGCCATACTGACATTTCCCATTGAGGAGATGGAGTCTGACGGTGAAGAGTCTAACGGCTCCGATAATGGTAGTGAAGCATCATGACATTTACTATCATCACCTGTAATTTATGTCCTACGTCAATTCTCCCTGGCTAATCTTAATATACACAACCCGCATCGTCATGTTCGCTTGTTTCTTTTGTCTCTCTTGACAAGAGTAGGGAGCATTCAGCCTCGTCAAAAGGGGCGGAGGATGGATGACTAAGCGAGACCTCCGCCTGCGGTGCCTGCGGCCTGGTTACTCACGTCAGTGGCTGGACTTGGTTTGTTTGGACGATCCAGAGTTATACACCACGAACGCTGTAAATCCCAACCCATCCAACCCGCACCATGCCTCAGCCTGCTAAACCTCCCATGACCCTGCGGGAGGCGAAGCGGGCATACAAAAAAGATGGTGCCCCGTTTCAATTCACCGCGTCGCAGATGGCGCGTGCAGACCGACAGGACGTACGGGAGGAACAACGCAAGAAAGCGATCGACAGGGAAAAGCAACGGCAAGAGAACAAACGCAAACGAGACGAAAAGCTAGAGCGAGAACGCACCGTCAAGCAAAAGATGCTGGACGAGGGCAGGATCAAACTTGAGGATACTTGGGGGAAAGTCACCGCAAGCCAGCCACGATTGAGCAGGTTCTTCGTACCGCGCCCGGCCCTGGTGCCTGCGAAGCGAAGTATCCGAGATGAAATGATAGAGGACCAGGAATCAGCTCTTAATGAGAAGCCTCACAGCCAGGAACAAAGAGAACATGTTGACAGGGTTCGGGAGGAGCAAGTAACGAAGGAGTCAGACAGGATTTTCTCTGTTGCTCACACAATGGCCGACACTGACGGTCATAACAAGACATCTCCAACACAAAATCCGTCGGCATCCCTCTCATCCCTCTCGCGCATTTTCTGTCAACCTCATCGACCTAGTAGGTCTCAAGGTGGGGAGGAGAGGCAAAATCTCCGGAGCCAGCCAGCGGCCCTACAGGAACTCAGCACATCGCAGACAAATGTGCGTTCGAGGGTGAAGCAACGGCCATCCCAGTCACTCAAGAGTGGAAGCAATCCAAGCTTCGCGGAAAGAAGTTTGGAGGGAAACAATCAAGCTATCCCTCTGTCATCACAGGCTGCAAGCAGATCTTCGACAGGCGTGTTGGCATTCCCTGAGAGCAGCCCAATTTCAGACTCTCTGCCTTCCCAGTTGGACAATCCAGGAGTACTAGATAACTCAAAGGATGGGGAGGGTACACAAAAGACCTATCACAGCCCGACAGGTTCCGAAGTCAACGCAGAAACCTGCAATGCCAACCCATCAACATCAGGCCTCGACACGGACGAGGAAGACGACTTCACAGACGGCATGGATGATGAGACATTCCTGATGCTCTGCTCGACGCAAAAGCCTACAGAAGCCGGAGTGACTGCGGAGCATATATGTTCAGCGATAGAGCAGGGAGAAGCTCGCTTGACTGACATCTCAGCCGCACCGGTATCTGCACCTCCAAAGAAAGAAGGAGATCAAGCCTGCCTTGATTCAAAGCCTCCAGCAGATGCGGCGGTGGCTCCCACGCCTATCATCGTATACGAAAGTTTCAGTGCTGAATTCAATGAGATCGAAGACGACGACCTGATTGCTCTTGCGGAGCAAGTCGAGGCTGATATTGCCACTCAACCAACCCACATGGGTACTCCATCCGTCCCTGTAATTAGCAATTCTCCGCCGAGACGAGAACCTGCATCAGACCCATTTCTGAAGCCAGCACACAAGTCCGACTTCAGACGAAAGATAGAGACAGATGTTGCGCCGGAAGATTTCGACGCACCTGGCCCCTCGACGCAGGCGTTGATGGTCGAACTGGCCGAGCAAGCTGAAGCGGCGCTTGGACAATGAGTTGGGCGATTACATCTCACGGCACTCCTATGAAACGCTATACTTGCATTGGCATAGCGGCAGAGTTGGACACTGTCCTGCTCGCCGTTTGAATACTGCGGCGCCCGAACGATATCATATCATGAATGAATGAATGAATGACTGAATGGCTGTTTGGTTAACACCGGCCATAGCAACGATACTAATTACGACCATAAGCATGGCACGAGCGACGGAGCATTTGAATTCACTAGATCAACAGGATCACTGGGCATCGAAGTCGGTATTGCATTGAGCAGCTGGACCCAGACCGGCTTTTTCATGGCTCCTCCTTTCTTCTGGTTCATTCCAGCCCAGCACAGCACAGCAAGAGATTGGATCTGGGTCCGAGGAGCATGGCTTCATGACTGTCTTTTGTTTTGGAAAAGCACGGCAGCAAGATACGTGATCAAGTGCATGGGCAGCCCAGCGACTCGATCAGCTCTGGTCTAGCTCCTAACATGTCGGAATACCGAAATGTGGACAACGTGACTTATGACCTGGTAGCCGTAAAACTGTTGGCTAGCTTTCTGTATTCTCTCTTGCCTGGAAGAAAGCCGAATACACCCGCCTTCCCGATAAAGGGGCAAGGCTGTGGTGACCCTTATGTTAATGACACGGGCCCCTAATTCAATTCCGATGTAGACGACGTTATGCTAACATTCCTATACCTGATGTGTCTGAGGACGCTATCTTTTGGTCGGTTGCACGAGAGGTGAAAGACAGTGGCTGCTGCCTGTCCACTAAAGGAGAATGCTAAGTCCTAGTAGACACTATCCGGTATTCATATGGCGGGCAGGCTTGCCAGGGACAATTCAATATATCCATATCAAGAGAGACCCTATAAACACTGCACCGAATAGAACCAACCTCTTTGTCTCCCTGGTGGTTCTACCTCATGTTACGTGTTTTGTGTCTATAAGGCCATGCCTACTAACCAGCCCATCAGTCTGTGGCAGCCTGATTCCTCTTGCTCTATCTACTCCTCTCCCAGTCACCCTCCCACCGCTCGTGGCACCCTGTTAGATGTCCCTGTCCTCACCCCAAGCACTTCTCAAGTCTGATGGCGAATGAAGCAGCAATTGAGTCTTACGCCCAGATGTACAGAGGACAAGGGATCACCTTCCTCTACCTCGGCATCCGGTGATAGGAACGCTCAATATCCCGTTCCTCTGCAACGAGCAATACGACGGTGGCCCCTTTCTTACCTATCCCGCTCGGGCAGGCTGGAATGTGACAGAAGACGATTGGCCCGAATCACTCCGTCACGGAGACAAAGAAATCAAGGATGAAGATGAAGATGAAATCATCTCGTTTCTACAGACGTGGCTCTACCTTGGCCTGCTCTGCGAGATCACCGGTCAAACGATCGACGCAGCCGCCTTCAAAGCACGGGGACGCACAAGGGGTACTCAGCGATTCGCATCTGAGCGTCTTGTGGACATTGTAGGTAAGTGGTCTGTCGAGGCAGTGAGCATGACTTGCAACGAGGATGAAGCTCTCCTGGAAAGACTCGGCGAGGACGCCGAATATCTGGGAGACCCGTTCAACACGTGGCCCTCGAATCGTCAAGATATCCTCGACGTTGCGGAGGATATATGGCAACGCGTCGCTGAGAGATATAGTGGCAGCTCAAGCACCAGGCTCAATCTCGTCTGTCTCAGCATCGCAGCTTTGGGAGACTACCTGAGCCAGGCTCTTGCCGATATTGCACGCGCGAGAGGTGTCGACGACGACGCTCGAAGCGCCATCTGGCTATTACCGGAAAGCGTCTGCCGACCTCTCTTGTGCTCCATGAAGAACTGGTGTCCGAACAGACTACATGGCTTTCTGAATGCCCAGAGCTGTACCGTTGGAGTCTTGTGGTACCTGGCGAATCTGAAGCCGCCATCTGTACATGATGGCCACCGTACCTGCACTGCTGAGCAATGTTCCTCTTTACACGTGGACTGGCATGACTATACCATCAACCATATCTCCAGAGGCTGTCGTTGCGCTCTGATAGGGCCATCGACGGAGGAAATGGCACGGATAGTGCGCCGAGGCTCGATCGCCCTGTTCAATGTGCAGCATGATTCAGGGAGAGCCAGGGTTACTGTCCAAGATGAAACCCGTGCAGGGGAGTACGTGGCGGTATCTCATGTTTGGGCAGACGGACATGGCAATCTGACGGAGAACTCTCTGCCGACCTGTGTGCTCGAGAAACTGCAGAAAGAGGTCGACGCACTAGGAGTCTCATCGACGAAGACTCATCGACGAAGACTCATACTCCGATATGGATGGACACCATATGCTTGCCTCGATATCCACTGGACATAAGGAGGGAGGCAATACTACGTCTCAGCGATGTCTTCCGCAATGCTACTGGCGTTCTGGTCCTCGACTCCTATCTACAGGCTCTGGAATGCTCCGACATGCCTCCCATGGAGGTTCTTGCTCGGATTTCCATCTCAGGCTGGACTTCGAGACTGTGGACATTCTCTGAAGGCTACCTGGCGAGACGGATCTGGTTTCAATTTTATGACAAGGCAATCTATCTACATGATCTCATGAGCCACTGGCAGGAAGCGCTGACATTGCGAATTCCTGCCAATCCCCTGACTGGTGTATCTTATGAAATGACGACTTTATACTCAGCTACCAGTCTCCTAGGTAGCCACCAGGAAGAGCAGCAGCAACAACCAGGACTTGGCAATATCAAGGTGGCTCTGACATCCAGGCAAAACAGCTGGCCCAGTGACGAAGCCTTGTGTCTTGGAGCCATCCTGGACCTTGACCTTTCCAAGATCGTTTACGCCGACGACAACAAGAAGATGGCCGCTTTCTGGCGACAGAGGGAAGCTGTGCCAATCGAGATTCTCTTCTTCAGGTGCCTACCCAAGATCGAAGATTCTGGTTGTTGATGGGCACCGGCTACAATGTTGGGCGGCGCAAATCACGATCTTGGAAAGCTGTTTCTCGAAATGGGTGGCTACGCCACGCCCACGGACACCGGGCTGGCATTCACCATGGACATGATACTTCCAGTTTCCACGATCACTCCGGTCTCCGACGATGCTGCAGACTCGCTCGGGTCAAAGCGCAACTTCATAGATATTTGCAGCCAGCCGTTCAAGCCCATGGCTGGCGAAGACATCATGCTCAAAGACGAAGCTGGAACATGGGGCAGTTGTCGTGTCAGGGATCTCTGGCATCAGACACCTGCAACCCCAGACTACGAACATGATAGACCTATGATATTCCTTCGCGTGAAGAACAGGATTGAAAACTTGAGGGAGCAGGACCAAGACGAATGGACGCGGAATCTGGGGATTTTTGCGACCTACAAGCCCTCTGACGAACCCCTTCTCGCCAAAGCTCACACGCTCGTCGTGGTCAATGAGCTTGTCGAAGAAACGTGGCAGTATTTCGATGAGCTGGCACAGTATGCTGTCGATTTCTTGGAACAGCAGCAGCGAGTTGAACTGAAAACAGTGAGTGATGAGGATGAGATGCTAGACAGCATCATCGCGTGGTTGGAAAGTCACCATCCCGACGTAGCACTGGTTGACCTCACAACAGGTGTTGTCTCCCCTGAGCTGATCGAGGCAGATGTCAAATCTAGGCTGATGGTGTGCGCTCGGTATGTTCGCTATTTCTGCCTAGTGGGCGAGTGGCACAAGGTCAAGATTGCAGATTCTCTTGAGGGGACTAGTTGGTGTGTTGATTGAAGGACGGATATGTTGAGTATGGCCCATGCTGTGCCTTGAACCTCAGGGTATAACAATGGGCTTGAGGTCTGTAAGTCTGTGGACGATACCACAAATACTTTGGGTGTTTATCAACTCCACTAACTCCCACACGCTAATTTAAACTAGTCGTTATCTAAGCTTCTTAGTACGGCAGATAAGCCTAAGGAGGTCTTTATCCCAGTACTAGTACAAGCTTCGGTCTAGTGCCATCATAGTCCCGTAGTGATACTACTAGTATGGAATCCCCCATCTCCAACTTCAAGTTGAATATGTCAGTCTGCTTCATCCCATACAAGATCCGAATTCTCCTTTCTTCAACCAGAGAATGATGTGATCCCAACCCGAGTAGAGGACATGGCGTCCTCCTACTGACACCTATACCTACGCACCCGCGAGACTGGCCTTTACGTTGCCGCGGCTACCACGACTGCGCGACCGCACCGCTGCTAGAAAATGTCCATCAAAGCCATTTTCTACAGCAAATTCGATCCCCATGAAGGTATGCCTGAAGCACTCTCACGAATCTACCTTCTACCAATCCAGCACTAACACGCTCTCTATCCAGGCCCGAAGATCGTGCACCAAGTCCCCGAGGGATGCATCTTGACGAGCGGCGACAATGCAGCGTCCAACGGCGACGGGCCGACCACGACGACTCCGTCACCATCCAGCCCGCTGCTATCGTTCTCGACGATCTCGCGCTTCGTGATCCCTCGCCAGTCCCTATGCGGGAACCTGATGACGCTGACGCCGCCGCCGCTGACGCCGAACACGCCTCCGACGCTGGTGCTCTCGTACCCACTATGCCTGACGTCGGCGCACTACCCGCGCAACGAATTCATCTTCAACTTCGCGCTGGTGCTCAGCGACCCGGCGACGATCGACGTGACCTCGTACAAGTCGGTGGTGAAGAAACTGGCGCACCTGATGCGCAGTCTGGAAGAGCAGTCGTATTTTCTGAGCGATGACACGGCGCCCGCGAATTCCGGCAAGATCTACAGTCTCTGCGAGATGCTGATGGAGGACCTGAACGACTACTGCGAGTGCATGGTGCCGATCGACGAGCTGAACACGCTGAACATCAAGCTGTTCCCGACGCTGCCGAACCCGGTCGGCGTCAAGCCGTGGTACGTGCCGCTGTTCACCGTGCGCATCGAGACCATGGTCGACGAGAACTGGGACCTGACCATGCTGCGCATCCTGCCCTACATCAACGGCGTCAACAGCGTCACGCGCATCGCCGCCCTGGCCGACGCCGACATCAAGCTCACCAAGAAATGTGTCAAGCATTTACTCTATTACGGCTGCGTCTTGCTGCTCGACATCTTCAGCTTCAACGCCATCTATGCGCCCACCGCCGACTTTGCCAACATGATCGCCAAGGATGTCGACATGCAGAAGGAGTGCGCGCGCTACGTCAACACCGCGTTCGCCCCGGGCGCTCAGGAGGAGGCCATCATTGATGGCGGTGGTGGTGCAGGCGGCGGCGCGGCTGATCGCCGGACGAGTCAGGGGGGCCTGATGACCACCGCTGCGTCGCTCACGTTGGGTGACGATAGAGAAGATGACGAGATCTGGCCGTTGACGGCTAAAGGCGAGCCCATCGACGGCGTGGCGATTGTCCAACTGTTCGCGTCGCTGCGACAGGGCTTGACCGTGAGGGAGTGGTATGCTCAGAACGCGAATATGCTGGCCAACATCGACATGCGCCGCTTCGTGACTTTTGGCGTCATCAAGGGCTTCTTGTACCGGGTCCATCGCTATGCCATTCGGACACGGAAGGGAGGTCCACACGCCCTGCACGGTCAATATGTCGATGCCGATGCAGAACATGTCGACTATTTGTCCCGGAGCATGTCCAGCGAGCGCGATCTGGCCGAAGACTCTTTGCGGAGTAGAAAGAAACAGGCTCGGGATCGTCCCGGTGCAGGCAAATCACATGACAGCAATCTCTTGAATTCCAAGATCGTCGAGTACTTGGATGGCACCCACTGCTTCGATGAAATCTGTACAGACCTGGAAATCAGCGAGAAAGAACTCATCGACCGGCTGAAGAGTCGAGAGATTGGCGAGGTGACCATTATCTGCAGATAGGTAGACCTGAGAACCTACCTCCTTTGCGACGTACCCAACTTGAACGAGGTCCCATCTTATCATCTGGATTTACGAGAATTCCGCCGCATCCGTGCAGACTTCAACGAGACACTCTCCCAAACCTGTGCCGGAAGGGTCTGAAGACGCAACCACTCCCGTATTGCGTTATGGCTTGATCAACCCAGTCTAATCAAGATACCTCGAATAGTAGACATGGTCTCATCTGCATGTCTCAAGAGGAAGAGAAATCTACCACCAGTAAGGAGTAGCAACAGCAAGCTTGGCCCCGTACTTGTGACAAGGACGTATCGGGAACATACATACATAACATATTCATTCGGTTTCGCAATATCCTTTCAGGTCCAGCCCACCACACTCCCACATCAGAGCAAAGGGCCCCCAAATACTCCGGTATCATGAGCACCCCCTCTGTATCAAACCCAGCCAGGTGTTGCTCGTCCAAAGATACTCATAGCTCACGTTCATCCATAGTCCATGTCATTGTCGTCAACATCGATACAATTGCATTACCGCTTCATTCATCAAGTTCATCTCGTCGTACGCAACATCTCTCTCAGAATCAACATGTCTCTTTGGCTCCCGCGAGCCCAAGTTGGCCAGATCTAGTTGCACAAATGCTTTGCGTCTGTGGCATATCGAGGGTCAGTTCCGCGCATAGGGTTTATTCATGGCAGCGATTTCTCTGGCCACTGTCGCCCACTCGAGTTCTCGCCTAGCCGGGACGCCTCGCTTCTCTTGTTGATATTCATCCCACTTCATCAATTCATACACAAACTTCAGATGTGGCTGAATGATGACATTCAGGCGCCGGGCCCGCACAAAGCAACTGCGCAGGTCAGTCAATACACTTTTTGAGGCGTAAAAGAGGTACCTACTATGCTCGAGGGAAGCTTAACCCTAGACGGGCCATGACTTCTGCAATGCAGATGGTGGCAGATCGGCTGACTCCCACACGACAATGCACCAGCGTCGCTGTGCCATCGGAACGACCCCTGCCTTCACAAGCGTGAGTCTTTGCATACGGTTGGTCTTGGTGGGAGTTCGCTTACCAATAAACTCCAAACAACGCTCCATCTCAAGAGTAAGTTCATCGATTCCATTATCTTGCACCCGGTCAACCATAAGGAGGTTTTCACGACCCCAAGACTGCATTTCCATTTCTGACCATGACACCGGTTCTCCGACACTGAGGATACGACGGATCCCCAACAGTCGAAGCATTTCTGGGTTATTTGCATGGTTGAGATTCCCCAAGTACATATAGGGCAGGATGCGGCTTGGGAGGCTACCATCGAATTTCGATACCCAGGATGGCGCCACTATTGACGGAGGTTTTGCGTCGATAAACTTTGGACTTTCCCGCAGGAGGCGGTCTTGGATAGCAGTCAACAGAGCAACATCGGAAGGGTAGGCGAAGAAGTTTCGCTTCTTCTCAGAGTGCAGCCGTATCCATGCCTCGTGGACAGAAACGCCTTCCGCATACATGAAGTACGCGACCGCCAACATGGACGTCTCAGTGTACCCATCTGCACAATGCAACAAGACCCGACGTGACCGAGGCGTTAATTCAGACATCCGAATGTCGCCATCTTTGTCTTTCGTACTCTGGACTGGCTCGGTGGCATGTGTCAACTTGTACAGCCATCGACACATGCGGAGTATCCCGGCAACTTCAGCATAAGACCAAGAAGGGGGCAAAACACTTCCGGAACTTGGAAAGACAAGATGGACAGGTTCGTCATCATCGCGATCGTGCAGCTCGCTTGATTTGGCATCCAGCAACTTATCGTCCGGAAGCGATGCATGGTCGCTGGCTTCCACGTAAAGATCATAGGTGGGATCATCAATGGTCGACGGTGGGTCTGTGGAGGCTCCAGGAGTCGGACCTTGGAATACACCCTGAGAAATCTCCGATGCTTTGGACATGGCGCACATTTCTCGCCTCTCTTGTTGGACAAAGTCTAAGGTATGATCTGTAAACTTTCCCTGGGAGTCGATGGCCACCAGCTCGGGATATCGGCGTTCAAAATCTTCAAAGGGTACAGTCAGGACGAAGGTATGGTACGTCTCAGGACATTGCCCCATATTCTCCAACTCCTTCCGCCATCGTCTTTGGACAGACGCGGTCCGCTCAGCGATAGATTTGATGATGCGGTGGTCGGTATCTTCGTCGCCGTATATAACAATGTCGGATACCAAAGCCATTTTGGCAGCTTGGATGTGGAAGTTGCGCACAGAGAAACCCTCTCGAGGGTCGCATTCCAAAAAGCCATGTCCATTGCTGTCGGATAGGTTGAGGATCTCGTCGGGCGCCACAGCACCTTTTATCCGCGACCGAGTGAGGTCTCCCCCTGCTTTTATGATGGTTATGCCCCGGAAACACTTTGGAATCCTTCGCAACGACTTCTTCCTTGCCACAAAGAAGGCCAACTGGATGTGGTTCTCGGGGTGGAGCCCGTGCAGCCACGGGAACACTGCAGATGGATTGGGGAGGGGCTGAGAAGCATAGTGCTCAAGGGCTTCGGCTAGGCTCTGTGCATTGATGCCATAGATGGGTGGGGAATTGCATAGCTTTGGATAGTCGTGAGGAGGATGAAGGAGCGACGTCGGCTTCGAAGCGACCTGTCTGAGCGGAGGGGAGTTGGGGGGAGTGATTTGGGACTGTGCAGGGACCGGTCCTGGAGGACAGTAAGGGAGATGTTTGTTAGGAACGGGTGTTGATGGTCGAGGTTGATGCAATGGTATTGTCGGGGCAAGTGGCGGGGGAGTTGGCTGTCGAACCGGGGATTGTTGCTGAACGACAATAGTTGCCATTTTCCTCAAGGCTATCAGTCGACAGAAGGGGTTTTGATCAGATGTCGCCAGCGATGTCTCGGAGGCTCATCCTGCGTGGACAGGAGTTCTTGCCAGACTTGCTGGATGACCGGTATATAGGAGGGGCCCTCTTGGGAGGTACGTGAAGTGAGCCGCCAGCAGTATTATGGAAGGCTGAGTGCAGGACCTGGGGCCCAAAGAAATGGCAGAAGTTCTGGGGAAGCAACCTCAAGAGTGTCCAAGTGCTTTGATCACCAAGGGTAGAGACAAATACTTGGGACAACTGCAGAGGAATGCTTTGCTTTGCAAGATACCACAAGTCCTCGCCCGTTGACAGTCACGACCAGTTGTAGACGGCAGGCTCGATCGTCGGAGGCTGGGAAAGGGATTCTGATGGCGTAGTATGCCACAAGATGAACCGAGCTGGCTGGTTTCGCGGAGAAGTGTATCAGATAGAAAAGCAATGGACGTCAGTATTGTTCACCACCGCTCGACGTCTGGAGAGGGACCAGAGTAGGTCCACCGACGAGACTCTGGAGGAGGGATGGATGGATGGTGGGGCAGGCACTTGTTCGAAGGTCGAGCCTAGGCCAGAAGGAGGCCCAAGCAAAGGGCTCAATCGTGCCGGGGGACCAGAGCCAGGGCCAGGGCTGTGGTATGAGCTCCATCAAGGCGGCTCGGGTGGTTGAACAAGGGCGACGAGGTGTAGGTGGTGTGGACCATGGGAGTGGTCGAGCTGGATAGAAGTGGAGGGGTCGTGGCCATGGTGTGCATGTAGTAGCAGGCCGGGGATGTCAAACGCCTGCAATTGAATGCAGTAGCGCGGGCGTTAACATGAGGAGGACGAGGAGGACGAGGAGATAGAGGGCGGCGATGGCGTGTTCGGATATGCAAAGTACAGTTGACATGGACAGAGGGTGCTAATGTGGACTCGCAGAAGCGTTGGTATAGAGAGAGAGACAGAGAGAGTCAACGGTGGGAGAGATGTTGGAGGGACGATGGAGGGGCAGAACGGGACGAGCGCAGTCTGCAGTCTGCAGTCTGCAGTTGGTCAGTGTTGATGCAGGCTGGCGACCGGCATGGACAGTAGGACAGTAGTTGGGCAGTTGGAGCGAGATGACGGGTAGGCGAGCAGGGGCTGATACGGGCTGATGCGGGCTAAGGCTGGTGGGTAGCGGCATGGTTGAAGCCTTAGCTGCTTCCTCTGGTCAACAGCTGCGGCGGCGATGATGATGGTGATGGTGTTGACGGTGGGTGGCTACATGCATACTTTGTATTTAGCATCCTGACAAACACACACACACACACACACACACACACACACACACACATACACACCTATCGCATCGAGACAGAGCTGCATAAGGGGCAGTGCCGCTCAACATCAACACCCATGATCTTGACGCCCTACAGCTCAAGGGTATAGTACTGTCTATACAGCACCTACTCTTCTCATCCTCAGCATCTGCGATAACATGCCTCAGCCACCCTGATTAACCGATCTTTAGGCCCTACGCCTCCCGAGCCTCTGACACGCTCCACCCAGAACTCTACCTCTTGATCTTCGATCCCTCGCTGATCGACCTGCCGTCCACGAGCCTCCCGTATCTCGACATGGATCCATATCAGCTACCGTTCCAAGCTCCAAGCCTAGAACCCCTCTGATAGACGCTTGACAGCGTCGTCCGGACTAATGCCAACCCCAGGCACCGTGCCGTTCTGCACCATCCTGCGGCCATGCCAGGGATCTTATGTCGAGCAAGCAACTGCACTCATACACCAACAGTTATTTTGGCTGTAGAAACAGTCGGCTGTTGCTCTACGTGGAGAATACAATACTGCAAGATCTCTTGCATCCTGCTTTGACCGCAACAGACGTTCGTCTTAGAAGCTCAATGTATCTCAAGAGGTGAAATACAAAACCCACATATTAGCCCCCTCCAGCATCGTCCCTTCTCAGCCGGTCTCGCTGAGATCTAGGCAGAACAACGACTCCACGTTGTCGTTCTCTTTCTTGGTGGGATCATAATGGGCACATCCCCCAACGGACGCTGCAAAATCTTCGGCAAATTTCCACGAGGCTGTCCGCGATTCTTCCCAGCCGACCCTTTGCCCGTCAAACGATATTAATGGTATGTCCGACGCCTCTGTAGAGCCCTCTTTTGGCTGTCCGACACTCATCGCGGCGAGCAACGGAGCGACGATGGAATCGATATACACCTGTTTCTCTTTTTGCATCAGCCGTTCGATCTCGTCGGCCGCGGTAAGTGGTTGGTCTTCTGCCAGAATGCCGCTTGGCTTTTGTTGCATCAAGGACTCATCCGAGTCTTGCACGTCATTCATATATTCTTCCGGCAGTTGATGCAGCTCACGATGGACCGTCACAGGCGACAGCCCTTCTTTGAGGGCGAACGCGGGATACATCATGTAGTAGTTGCGGGTTTGCATCAACTCTAGGACATTCTGAAGCCACGCGGGATATTCGCGGGAAAGACGCGGGGTTGATTTCGCCCTCTGGGTGAAAGCCGAATCGACCTGGACTCGATGAGACAAGAAAGTGTGCAGCTCCACCCACCGATCACCAAAATACAGCCCTGCATTTGATGATGGTGCTTGCCAAAGCACGAGTGGCTCTGAAACAGGGCCTGACTCCCAGGGCGCCTTGGTCTCCATATCAGGAGCATAGGTTGGCAACTCCAACGAGATGCCGCAAAGATGCTGCCCCAGCTCACCGTGCCCTGATGCAAATCTGTATTCGAGTATGGTATGCATCAAAAACTGGAAATAACCCGAGGACAATTCCACCCTAGGCGACAGCACCAAGACATAGGATTCACTGGGCGACAAAGGATAGAACGATTCCACGGTCTGCAGAGCGGCCCGTTCAGGTGAGATGAAGTTGGCATCGATTCTATGCCGGATGATAAGCCTAGAATCGCTTCCTCTAGCATCGGGGGGCCATCGAAATTTGGATAGATATTCGCCGAGGAATGGGTCGACATGCGCAGGGAGTTCGATGATGATCCGCGGTAATTTCCAGCTAGTATAGTCGGCATCCTTGATGGACCGCAAGAGCCTGATCAAGGAGGCTGAAGATTCAGGCGGAGCCTGGATGATGATGTCGACATTGACCTTGTTTGACTGCTTGAGCGCGGGCGCATCCAAGTTCGAGATCCACGAAACGGCCCCGAGACCACCCGCAGGAAGAGGAATAAGCGACAGATCTAGTGCATTGATCTTGTCCCTCAGTCCCTCCAAGAGCCATGCATCCTCATAGTCAGTGTCTCCAGCGAGCACTGCCTGCAAGGTCATGGTAGCGTGAATGTGTCCCAAGCTTGCGCCAGCACTGACGCGCAGCCTCTTTTCTGACGACTGCGCTGAGAGGTCGGGCCGCGCATCATGGACCGTTATACCACACTCATTCTCGGGTATTCCATTGAATTTCCTGATGTCCTCCATCTCTGCATACTGGCGGCCCATAAAAGCGAGATGGACGTGAGTACGGTTGTGATGTGCCATAGAACAGGCCACAGGGAGGATTCGCGCGATGCTTTCCAACCTCGAGACGGCGAACAAGACGTTTCCTTTCGAGTCGGGAATATAGACTCTGCCGCGCAATGTCTTGGGCAGGCCGTAGAACTTGATGGGTCCATCATAGGTGTGAGAACTCGCGCCAGTTCCTTCTGTGTGCTGTTCTTGAGATCCCCATGCTTTCGGCCCAGGTAGTCCTGGATGCAGTCGTCCGTAGCGGAGATCATAACGCTCGGAGGTAGGAGGCAGGTCCGTCGGTATGTGTTTGAAAAACAGGTAGAGCGCCCATACTGCCAGCAGTAGAAGGACCACACGCCTGCGACGAAAGGGTTTCAGGCGACTGAGAAACGAACGTGGATTCGAGCGCCGGGGGATGAAAGCATCGTCTTTCTTGTCATGTTCTCTGCCCTCACCGAGGATTCGGCTCCTGGCAGCCATTCATATTACGTATAGATAGCTCGCATCTGGTGACAGAAGCAAGCTGGCACTCAGAAGAGTAGACAGTAGGTACCTAGGTAGATAATGGAACAACTTGGGTTTCAACCAAGTATGACTTCAGTGTAGTATTAGTACTAGTAGTACTGGGTGTCTGGGGTCAGTAATAGCGCTACCCAAAATGTATCTCGTCTGACCCAGATGTGCAGTTACAACTGGGACTTGTAAATGGTGGAATTGAGTAATCCCTCTTGTCAGACCAAATCCATATTTCGCATCCCTGATCACGTGATAGCTTCCAAGCTTTCAAAGCGCGTCCAATTGAACTGGGATCATTCCACCACGGCGATACCTACCAAGGTAATGGTTTGCAAACTTCATTCTTTATTCTCTGCATTTGTGAACTCCATGGTCGCTCGTCGGGTGGAGGGTTGTTGCTCGAGGAAATGAGAGCGTTATGGTCTCAAATCCCTCGACCAAGATTGAGCGGCTCTCCCTCTTTCTCGTCAACTGATTCAATCGCTTCTGCACTGATTCGGAAAACCACCACGGCACCCTTGAGAAGACGCCCGACCTTCAACGATGCCTTTACAATTTTGTTAGCGCCGGTCCTTGCCGCCGCCCTCATCGTGGATACGAGTTGGAAGGCGAAGCAGCGGAGAGACTGGGATGAGAAGCTTGAAACCATCAAAGAAGAGATAGACGAACTCAAGCAACGGGAGATGCAGGCATGGCGGTCACTTCAGCTACGGTCCATTGGAAGCGCGATATCCCAGCAGAGGAGAGGCTATGCAACGGCCGTCCACGTGCAAGAACCACAGGAAGAGACGGAATTTGATATTGACATGCCGATGTGGGAGGATCGAGAAACCAGCCCGTTAAGCCACAAGGAGTCCTCCAAAGATGTGACAAACCCCAGCGGTGCACAACAGAAGTCAAAACTATCCGAAGAGCGCATGTACTCACCCGAAGACATGGCCAACTTCCACCGGTATCATCGCCTGAATGCGATAATGCTCGCCATCAAGATGCTTCTTCACCTCCGAATTGGACCAAGTCCGTTCTTTGAAATGTTCCCGGATGACGATGGGTTAGACAGGACAGATCTGCAGTTCCCTCAAGATACCAACCAACTGGTCGACTTGTTGAAAATGACGCGCAAAGAGATCCGACCTCTCAAGAAATGGGACGATCTCTTCATTGTTGCGCCACAGATCGAAGCGCAGGCCAAAAAGGGAGCTCTCACCAAGGACATAAGGAAGCTGACGCACAGTTTCGACGAAGGCAAAATCCCACTGACAGACCTGATCGATGGATTTGGAAAGGCACTCATGCAGTCAGACGAGATTCCTTCCGTTTGGGCCTATACTGGACTCATTCGAAGCCTTTCCAAAATCGGAAGTTTCAGTCTGGCTTACCATGTGACGGCTGCGCTGAAGAACAGCACTCTCCCTCTGTCGGATGATGCCATTTTCCATATGATCTTCCAAATTGGCAAGGCATGCGACTCGCGGTCACTGAACCATATTCTGCAAGTCATTGCAAGATCAGACAGGCAGATGAATTTAGAGACCAAGTGGGAGAAGGTCTACGCCAACGGATTGGATCTCCCGGTCCCAGTGTCGTTACACCCAGGCATCCTGCAGGTCTTGATCTATGCCGCTCTCCGATGCGAACAGCCAGAGCGAGCCGAAGGCTGGTTGACATTGCTGCAGGAGGCCGACTACAGCACCATGTGGAAGGACCATCTGTTCAGAAGCTTTCTCTCGTACTACAGCTCGCACACCAACTGGGACCGAGGGAAGATCTGGCTCCGGCGGTCAGTTCAACACGCGTTGTCCATTGCGACCCAAAACATGGACGGCCTCGCCCGGGTAATATTTCGAATGCTGGATCTGTGTGTGCGGTGCCGCAGACTCCCCGAGTATACCATGATCCTCGATGCGGCAGTCAACGCAGGCATCACACCACCGATCGTCGCGAAGAACCGCAACAATCGGAAACCATTTCATGCCCGAGGTCGTAGCATTCTACTCGAGTGGGAGTCACTGCCATTTCCAGACGATGCAAACTCATTGTCGACCGAGGAGAAAGTGCGAAGATTTCAAGCATCGTGTAGACCTCTGATGGAGGAGAAACCCGGCCAGACCAATGAGATCAAAAGACCTTCTCAAGTCGACGACAGCAGTGAACTGGTCCTCATGCCTGCAACGACGCACTTCCTGCGTTATTCTGTGCGCCGGAAGCCTAAAGAAGAGCCCGGCAACGCAACGCAGACCCAGACCCAGTTCAGCGACGCCAGTCTCAACGATATCATCAATCTCCAAGGGAAGATCGCAACACAGGATGCTGCCATTGCCACGCTCAAGGGACAATTGGCCATTGCAGAACAGAAGCAGGCCACTTCTCAGCAGCAGGAACAAGAAAGGATGGCAAGGGAGGAAGAGTTGCAGAAGACCTCCGCCGAGTTGCAGGCTGCTCTGCGGGAATCAAAGGCCGCGCTGGTACAGTTACAATCCCAGAACCAGACCTACGCGAAGGAGCACGCCGAGCTTCGCGAGGAGATATCCGATCTGAAAGAGATGGCTCGACGACTGATGCAGCAACAGCAGTTGGCAAACGCCGTTCAACGCAGCATGCAGTCGCAGCTTCAGGAAACCGGTGCCGCAGCGCCCGCGGCACCGGCATCAAAATTGTCGTCCGGTCCAACCGCGCCGCCGGAGGATGCGAAACTCGCATCTTCTGAAGTCCACGCCCCAGTGGCGAGGCTACCTGCAGGCGATGCGGTGTCGAAGAAGAAGAGCGGAGCCGCCCCGGGCAAGTCCCTCTACAATGTCAAGACTCAACCAGTGCAAGTCGGAACGGATGACGTCGACGTGAAGATTCGAATGCACGGCTGTCGCGAGCCGTTCTATCCTCCCCGTGCGAAGGGATGGCATCGAGTCGATTTTCGGACATGACATGCCAGTGACATGCATCTCAGGCCGCAGTGCGATATGACTTCAAACAAGGTGGCTGACACCGCGTCGCAGTCCGGCGTTGGGCTTGCCGTTCTCTACAAACCTCAAGAACGTGCCGGACGACAATGCAGGACTTCCGCGGTCTACTACTGCCAGCCAGCCGGTAGGTAATACACCGACCTGACCGATCGAAAGAGGAAGTCAAAGCCAGCGGCGGGTTTGACAACCTACTCATCAGTCATTCTTCCATCCAGGAGCACTGGATCGCAGACAATTTGCCTAGTCAGTACAGACTGCCATGGAGAGCAAGCAGCTGCAGTACCATGACACCTCGCTCTTGTGGGAGCACTAATTCAACTGCATCTCTTTCGCAGCCACACTCAGACTCGGAACTCCTGCAGAGGCAAGCTATCTAACCGTGCAGATGAAGACTCCCACAAACAGAAAAATGGAGTACTTGCCCACGTGGTCGATCGGTTGAGTGATTCGTTGTTCAAGGGCAGTCATGATTGAAACTGACAGCCCGCCTGGAACTGAACCTTGATGGTCTCACAATGCCGTCCAAGAATATCTATGTCTGATGGTCTCGGAATGCTGTCCAACAATACCTATGTCTGACGAGTCTGACTGTTGCTGAGATATATACACCCAGATACCCACACCCGTGCACGCCCGCTGCCAGTTTAGTCCCGTCTGTAGGGAGAGACCGGACATGACGAGCCGGAGAACAAGACACGATAGGGGGATCGAAAGTCGAGATCCTGAAGGAGAATGGGTGAATGAATCGATGTCCTGTATACACAAATAGAGATTTAGATCCCAAGGGGTTGCCTTAAACCATCACAATCTGAGGATGCTGGAACGAAATCCGCCCCCTGAATCGAACTCTTGATGAGCAGTATATGACATTTGAAGTCGAAAGAAAGATTTAAACTCCTCGATTCTTGACTCTCTGTACGCTATTGCTATTCGATGTGCACCATGCACCATAACTCCAAAGCTCCAAGATGACAATGTCTTTGATCCATTGGTTTCCGAACACGCATCTTTGTAAACAGTCATTCCGATTTAGGTGTAACAAACGGCAGACAGAATTGGATAAAGGCATGGAAATAGCTCTCGTCCTGATAAACCCAGACACTGAAGTCCAATGCACTTCATCCATTCACATAGTACCTTTTCTCCATGTCCGTGTCCATGTAAACTCCGAAGAGATGCAAAAAAAAAAAAAAAAAAGCGAATTCTTCGTAACAGCATATGGCGGCGTGGCATACTTTTCTCTATTACCGTCACAATCTTCATAAGGGCGTGGTTCTCTGGTGATGGCTTCTCTCTTCTGAGTGCCGACCGCAGTCCGGATACACAAGGTCATTATTCTTCATTGTTTCTTGGTACCGACCAAGACTTTGAGCGCGTCAACGCCGATCTGCAACAACGCCGGGTCTTTCGTCTTCTTCAGCGCCGTCTTCAGCTTCTCCGCGGCACCATTCTTGATCAACGCTTCTTTCGCTCTGTTGACGAGTTCCACATCATCATGTTCACATAACAGATTTCTCACAACGACCAATCCCCTGTGAACCACGGCTGGGTCATCATCTTGACACAGATCCAAAAGAATCTCTGGAGCACGGGCGAGGTCGAGCAGAGCAGAGACCACGGAGGGATACTGTTCCGTGAGCATGGCTAAAGCGCCACCGGCCGCTCGTCGGGTCGGTAGGTCGTCCACGTCAGCCATGGCGACGAGAAGATGGAGTCTCGTGTTGGCACGTTTGGAGCCATCCGCGAATTTCTCCGCCCCGGTGGGTATGACTGTCAAATTGCAAATCAGTTCACAGGCGGCACGTCGGATCATCTTGTTGTTTCCCATCAAAAGATCTTCAATCTCGTCCCAGGCCGACTTGATGATACTGTTGGCCGCATATGGCTCCGGGGCTGTGGCGAGATTGGTCAGCGCGAGGAGACTTTCGAAGACCGGGAGTAAATCGCGTGGTTGATCATTACTTAGACCTTCACTCCGAACCGATTTCAGTAGTGCCACCAGTGGTGGTACCGCCTCAGTGACGTCTGGCCTGGCTCCGGCTGCAAATAAATGCGCTGGATTAAGTGAAATTAGAATCCTGGCGAGCGCATGAGCGGCGTCGGTATTGTCGCTCTCCGATGACTCCAGGTTTTGCTGGGCGTGAGAGATTAAGAGTTTCACTGCCCCCTGCTGAGCGATCTTGCCTCTGTCTTTCGAATTCCTGGACAGGGCCAGGAGAATTCGATCCGTCAGCTGGGCGGCAGCTGGAGATCTGCCCTTGTTCAATTTGGTCAACAGGGCCACGGTTCCTGCCTCGACTACGGCAGTACACCGGGCTCGGACGTGGTCATCGTTCTCCAGAGGACTTGGATCGGCCGGTTTCGTGGCGTTGGCATATGCCTTGAGCTGGGAGATTTTCTTCTGTTCTTCTGAGAGGACTGGGGCGTACTGGGTAAGGTTTGAGATGATGCTCAACCCCCCAACGACGATCTCTGGAGAGTCGGGATTTGCTTCGAGAGCACCGAGCAAAGACTTGAGAAAGGCAGGATCTTTGGCTAGGGCTTCCTTGACCTCGGGTTTCAGAGATGTATACGCAAGGCCTTCAATCGAGTCAGATACGTTCCGTCCTTCTTCAACAGCTAGAGTGTTTTTAAAGAGATCAACGAGTTCACTAACATCATCATCCGCCCGGTTGGCTCTCTGATCTCCGGTCTTGACGCCCGAAGTCCTCAATTTTGCCAGGACGGTGGCTGCCACTGCCGGCTGTTTGCCTGTGCCGTTGCCGACTTTTTGTGATAACCAAGCCGAGCAATACTGGGCGATCGCCGTGCGGCATGCACCGTCTATGCATGCGGCGTTGAGGAGAAGAAGGAAAGCATCGTGCACAGCATTGCTGCTGAAATGTTTTTCTAGGAGAGGCATGATGGAGCTGAGGAAGCCGTCGGTTAAGAATAATTCGGCCACCATGGTGGGAATGACGGGGAAGAGACTTGCGGCAGCAGAGAAAGCAAGGACCAGATCGTCGCCTTTCTGGCGTTGAACATGGGTAGTGATATACTTGTAGAGAAATTCTTGCCCGGTGGCGTTGGCGACTTCAAAATATTTGGAGAGCACGAGCGTGGCTTGACCTCGAACGTCGGCGGGTAGTCTCAAGTCCAAGGAGCCCATGAGAGCCTCGAATGCTTCCTCGTCGACGAAGGACTGTAATCGATGCATATCGGCCATGAGTAGGAGGGCGATGCCTTTGAGAGCTCTCCCATCATGGTCGTGGCCACTCTCCATCAGTTTGGCCAGGAACAGCTGGAACAGGTCGTCTTCCACGCGAAGTCTAACCTCTTCAGACGGCCAGAGTTTGTCATCGAGGACGACGGATCGAAGGCAGTTAGCCGCATCGTCCCCACGGTCATAGACATTGTCGAAGAATTTGGTCGTGGATTCTTGGAGTTCCGAGGCGAAATACTCGCGCACAGCTGGAAATTGTCTTGCAAGCTCGGCGATGATGAAATTTTGGGCGTTGGACATGGAGGGCACCGGCTGGTTCTCGAGGATCGTTCGGAGACATTCCAACGCTGCCGGAGCAGCATTTGAGGCTTCCGGGCTGGTCAAGTATTTGACGGCTTCATCTCCGGCACGATTATCCCGGTACAGTGCGTATTTTCGACACAAGTCTAGAAGTGGCGAATTGAGCTGGTCGTTGTGGATGGCCAGAAAGGCCGCTTGAACGTCCGTATTGTCATGAGTCAGAGCGGCGGCCTCTCTGAGCTTTCTCGAAGCTTGCTGTTGGGTGTTAGAGAATGGATGATCTTGAAGAGTCACAACGTCTAGACATACTGTTTTGTCACCTGCCAGAGACAATTCAACGGCTTCTTTGGCCAAGACCGAGGCACGCTCTTCAGACAGTTTCCGGGTCATCCGCTGAACTGCCGCCATGGTCGACATTGAGGAGACCTGGCAGAAGATGGGCGAACAGAAGTTTGCCCGAGACTCGACAAGTCGTGTAAAGGAGGGAACCCCCGGTGGTAACGAAGGAGGTCGAGGGAACAAAGTCGCCACGAGCGTGAGTCGAAGTTTATGAGGCGAAGGACATGCTTAGTTATATGGTCGAGCTGAGGAAGCAGGCCTGTGAGGAAGATAGGTGGATGGCGAAGGCGCGTAAACGAGGGCAAAAAATGTCCAAAGGCAGTAAATGTGAGTGAAGGCGACACTGGACAAGGAAGTTGTACTGCCGTGTAGGTGGAGATCAAAAGTCGAGCTGATGATTACTGGCGGTCAGACGATGTGGTGTTGTTGGATGTGCAAGTGACACAACAACTTGAGTTGTGGTCACGGTGTATCGTCGAATCTGTGAGGCTGAGGAGGCGAGGAGGACAAGCAGATGCGGGCACAGAGGCGACCGACCGGTGTGGTCGTAGTAATCGAGTGGATTGAACGGGAGAAGTCGAAAGAGACAGGTAAGAAGGTCGAGTACTATCGAGTGTCTTCTCTAGTTATTCCTCAAGTTCCGCAGAGACGAATGGCGGTGATTGTGATTGTTTTGTTTTGCACAAGAAGGAAAAGAAAAGTAGAGTCTTGGTGGTTTGAGGTTGAAGGATGCAACAGCGAAAGCGACAGCGACAGCGACAGCGACAGCGCCCACCACCGATTTGACGGAGACTAAATGATGATGACTGCTAGCAACTTGGACCACACGGGATGGGATGCCGATATCGATCCGAGAAGAGGACGAAGGGCGAAGGGCGAAGGGCGACAGGGAGGTATTTTCTTCTCTTGTGTTTCTTCTCTTTTCTTTTGAGCTGGCGGGACGTAAAATCAGGTCGGAGGCGAGGATGAGAAAAATTGAATAGTATGGCTGAAGAAAAAGAAATGGTTTGTAGCGAATGGAATGGCTACAGTACTACGCAGGGAACTGAAGTATAAGGAGCACTGAGCATCTCTTTCGCAGTCAACAGTAAACGCAGGGCAGTCAATCAATGAGCCTTGCAGAGCAATATACAATCTATTTCCTACCTAGTATCGAGACGAGCGACAAGATTTGTTGTTCCAAGGTTCATGCATCCGTCGCCTTCAATTGTTGTACTCTGTAACTAGTATTTGGAGGAGTCAATTCCCATCCATTCAATCCCGCCACGTTGGCCGCTGGCTGGCTGGTTGGTTCAAGTTGGTATCTGACAGCGCCCAAGAACAGCAAATCCCGGGCCTTAGGCTCACAGAAAACACCTTATTAGGCAACCATCTAACCGAAGGGGCCGGTGCCTTAAATCCCAAGGCGGGTAAGCCTGAACTGGCGCCTAATCTTACTTGTTTAGGCTATGCTTTTGGCGGCCGCTTAGGTATCGATTATTACTAGTAGGTAAAGTGGCACCGCCAGATCTTGGTAGGGGCGCCCTTCAAACATTCAAGAGGCGGTAGGTACACCCACGTTGAAGGAGAACGCCTATTGTATCAACCTTCAGGAGTGCTTACCTACCAGGTACCTTAGGCACCTATAACCGTTATGCGGTGCGAACTTATGTTGTAGGGTGGCTTGGTAGGTAGAGAGGACCTACCTTAGGTAGAGGCTCATGGTTGGGGTACCAGGGCTGGTGAGGCTGATGATGAGGCTGACGGCTAGTAGGCCCGGTGCCTTTGATGCCAGTGCAGTGCTTCAACAAAATCGGCGCAGCGCAGCGCAGGCACCAGCCTCAGTGGCTGATGCAGTCAGTGGCTTGAAACGGCCGCACTCCGGGGTCAAGGACTAGCAGCATCGACTATCCTACTAGTAGTACTGCATGAGTAGAGCATCTCATCATTCATTTCCACCTCATCTCCTTCCAAACTGTCCTTCATCACGACTCTCCAACATGAACGCTGTCGATGGTTCTGACCATTTCGGCAGAGCCTCCCATGGTACGTTTGTCCTATCTGCTTGAATCGCCGCACGCCTAACATGCTACTCTGCACTACACTCCCTACTCAGCCCATCCCATCACGAGCTATTGCACAAGGCTCTACAACTCAACAAGGCTGTACTCTTCAGAACACTCATCCAATAAGCCTTGTGGTCTATGACCACTAACTACCACTATCATCGACCTCAGTCTTTTCTTTTTCAATCAATCAATCACTGACATGCCTTAACTACTATAGACCAAGCCCCGTCCCTACTCACCATCATCCTCGACACCAACCCAGCAGCCTGGTCTCTCCTCTCTTCCACTCTCCCATTCTCCTCCGCCATCGCCAACATCCTGGTCTTCATCAACGCCCACCTGGCAGGAAATTACACCAATAAAGTCGCCGTGATCGCCTCCCACTGCGACAGAGCGACATGGCTCTACCCTACGCCGACCGAACAGAAACCACCTCCACCTCGCTCATCTTCTTCTTCCGCAGACCCCAACAACCGCACCGCCGACGGTGCTAGCGGTGTGCGTCACGACTTATCCGAATCCACGAAACGACTGAAACTCAACCCCCACGACGCAAACAACGACCATGACTCTTCCAAGACGCCGCTCAACCTCGACTCTTCATCCCCCTCATCTCTCGAAACAGGCAACAAGTACCGCCCCTTCCGCCTCGTCGAGGAGGAAGTCCTGCAGAACCTGACCGCCCTCCTCTCCAGCACCACGCCCGACGCCGTTTCGCGAAGTCCGACCACGATGATCGCAGGAGCATTGACTTTAGCACTGAGCTACATCAACCGCGAATCCATCGCGTACGCCGAATCGCTGATCGGCATGACCGCCGCGGTCGCGGAAACTTCCACCACCGGCGCAACGGGTGGTGGAGGAGGTGGTGTTTCATCGTCGACGACGACCACAGGGGACGCGAGTACCAATTCATCCCTGCAGTCGCGGATACTGTTGGTCTCGGTGTCGCCCTCGACGGATCTGGCGCACCAGTACATTCCCATCATGAATGCCATTTTCGCCTGTCAGAGATTGGCTATTCCAATTGATATTATGCAGTTACCTCTTCCGACGCAACAGGGGCAGCAACCACAGCCACCAAAACAACCTACCAATAACAACACCTCGACAACGAACACTACGACATCCAATTCACAATCTACATCGTCGTCGTCGTCATCGAATTCAACAGTCTTTCTTCAACAAGCAGCCGACGCCACACACGGGATCTTCATCGCTGTACAACTCCCGTCCCCATCCCCGTCTCTCTCTGGCTCTACGTCAACATCAGATACTCCATCAACGTCTCCCTCTTCGACAACAACGACAAAGGCATCACAGGCCTTTCTGTCCTATCTTCTCGCCTCCTTGCTCCCGTCTCCCTCCACCCGGGCCGCGCATCTGATCCTGCCCACCCGCATCGACGTCGACTTCCGCGCCGCCTGCTTCTGCCACCGCAACGTCGTGAGCATCGGCTTCGTGTGCAGCATCTGTCTGAGTATCTTCTGCTCCGTGCCCGACAATGGCGATTGCCTGACGTGCGGCACACACTTGTCGCTGGGCCGCTACGGCGCCAGACCGGTTGTGGTGGCCAAGAAATCCAAAAAGAAACAGCACTCGGCTGCTGCAAAGTGACACGACAGAGTTGAAAGAGATTGGTTAGAAAACGATAGTTAGTCGAGCTTCGAGTCTCGATTGTCATCTATCTAGGTCGGTATCCTCTTCTAGGGCCACGAGAGAGTCTCTAAAGACCCATGGATAGTTAAAGATATGCCCTTCACCCTTGGGGTCCTCTTGTCGGTGTCCCAGCCTCGTTTGCGCCCCCTTCAGGCTCAGTAGCACGTTTGTTGTTCTATCACAGGTTCCTGTCATCTTCATGCGCCTCCTCGCCCTGCATGCAACGTTCTTTCTCCGTGGCACGCAGCTTCGGTTCGATTTCTGTTTACGCGATGCACGGTCAGACACCTTTTCCCCAGTCTGAGCCATCGATCCCCAGCACAGACTGCCTGGCCATGTCAGCCACGGAGGCGACCGCTCTTGATTCGAGTAGATCGCCCTCCCTGCGCAATCGACCCATGACCTTTGCTGCGTGACATGGTACACACCGGTTTCCGTTCTTCCGAGTGCATCGATGCCAAGGCGAACGAATCCGTGTTGTGACCAAAGTAAAAGTGAATGCCGTCGCGGGACTTCTTCACCGCCAGGATGCCAATGGCGCCTGCGCAGTGGCTGTTGCTGACTCCAGGGTGGGTCATGAAGTCGTGCTGGATGACGGAATACATGGCTTCATCCTCGTTACACGGCTTCAGCTTCCCGTTCTCCTTGCGCACCGAACTGTAGATCCGATCGGCCGCCGTGGCCGCCGCCGTGGTCGTGACCATGTGTTCTCCCGTACCACTTGTGACAGTGGCAACGCAGGTTTGTGCTGGATCTTGTGGATCGGCAGGGATCACAGAGGTCCCGATTCCGACTAGAGCGGCCGGGCCACAACGTCCTTTGTGCTTCATACCGATGCCTCCGGAAGACGAACCGGCTGCGATTCGACCAAAGCAATCCACCGCTATTGCTCCGACTGTGTCGGTGATGTTGTCTTCTCGTTCCTCGGTTATCTCACAACTTGCCTGTGTGCCCACCAGGAGCTGATCTTTGGGATCCTCGTCCTCGTCGCTCATTCCCATTGGGCCGTCGAAAGATCCATTTAATCTCTGTCGTTTAGAGGCCGAGGTCATCCACGGCATGTTGTCATCAATCGCAGTTTCAGATTCATCGGTTGAGCCAGGCTCGGTGGAACCGGGTAGCTCTGGTGTAAAGTTGGGCGACGTCTTCATGGGCGATGGGAGCCTGGGGGTTCTGTCATCTCCGACCCGTGCCAAAGTCGGTATGTCCGCAGTAGAAGCGACCAGGGGTCGAACCATGGCAGGTAACTTTGACAGGGTTGGAGGCTGCCCAAGAGCTGAAGGGGAAGATGAAGGACTGGCGAAGACTGATGCAGAAGGGATGGAGGAAAATCCATGGGCGACCATGGAAGCTTGTCCGTGAGTTTGTTCTTGCTCCTGGGCCTCAGCTTCTTTCAACCGGGCATCTTCAAGATCTATTTTCCATCTGACCCAACGTTGACGTGCATTTGACGAGACTAGGAAATCAGGAGGCAGGATAGGTACACCTTTGTCAGCTGCAAAGTCGGTTGCTCCGGGCCCGACAAGAAGATTCGGTGGTACGCGTTGTAGAGACAGAGGTTTCGTGGATTCCTCGAGAACCAGGCGAGCCACGGCAATTGGATTTTTGACCTGTGAGATTGCCCCGACTGCACCGCTGCGACCCAGGTGGTCCATCATGGTAGCATCACATTCAACCTGTCCTTGCATGGTCAAATTGCTCCCGTATCCTGCATTGGTAATCTCCTTGTCTTCCAGTAACCGAATTGCCATCTCGACCGCATCAGCGGCATCGCCTCCATTCTTCAAGACAGCCATAGCAACTTTGGCCGCATCATTTACAGCAGTTAGGTGCATTCGTTCGTTCTGGTGACTATGATACCCGGCTCCTGCATGGATGAATACGGCACAAAGGTCGCCACTATCGTGGGATCGACGCGGCATTGGATTATGTCAATTGGCGAAGACATGAAATAGAATGATGTCAAGGGAAGACAAGGTGGCTCTCAGGCTTGTTCTTTTGAAGCTCGATGTTCCAGATCGAGCTCTTCCAGATCATTGGCCGAGAGAACCGGGAGCGAAAGAGAGGTTGTGTCCCAGCCGAAAGGGCAGCTTGCGGGTGAGAATCAGTCAAAGAAGAATCAGTGTAGAGATTAGGAGGGGTGCAAGCAGCACATCGAAGCCAGTGTCACTTGAAAGGAAGAAGAGGACCGCTCGAGGTAGCAAGTAGTGAGGAGTGAGTAGTGACTTGACAAAAGAATGAAGAGTGAAGAAGGCTCAAAGCCTACAAGCTGTAAAAGCTGTGCTGGGCATAAAGGTGCTTGAAGAGACAAGATGAAAGATAAAGATCATCTGCTGTACTGGTAGTAGTAATACTAAATGATGGTGGTGGTCACGGTGGCCGCAGGCTGTGCCAAAGGTGAACAGGACGAGGAAGAGGCAGATGGAGAGGCGGCGTCACCATCGACGACCTGCACTGCGTTGGTATTTTAATGCACTGGCAGTGTTCCTTAAACCTCAGCAACAGGCGCAAGCTTGGCATGGACTGATGAACTCACTGCAGGCTGCAGGCTGCAGTGCAGTGAAGTGTCCTTCACAGTGCAGCTACGAGTGTGTCATGTTCAATATTTTCATCGTGCCTTGATACCTAAGATACTTTTGGTCTGATTGAGAGTATCAAAGAAGAGCGAGTGAATAGCGGCAGGAAGAAAAGGGGGAGCGGCACTTAGTAATACATGCTCACGTGATATATATCACGTGCATCCCACTTTGCCCCTAGTAACATTAGGTACCTAACCTGTTAGTAGGTGCTACGTACTCCAAGCAATGCGCCCACCTTGTAACATTGGTCGTCGTCTCACTCACTGTCTGCTGGTATAAGGTAACGAAGCTGCCTGCGACCAGCATTATATTGGCCAACACCAGTTGCCAGCCATACTCTGACCTGTACTCAGTTCTTGCTTCTCTCTGCGATGAGCATACACAAGACTCGTGCTTTCTCCTAGCGACCTCTCCCGAACTTTGTCGAGCCGCACCCTCACTACCGCTCGAGGCCGCCTAATTGCTGATCCTACAAAATGGCCTCTCAAACCCCAGCCGTTGTCATGGACAAGTATGTACAGCTACAAACCGCTGCTGGAATCCCTGCTAACAGATCGCCAGCGGAACTGGGTTCTCCAAACTCGGTGCGCTCACTGTCCCTCATCTTCATTCCCCCACCATCCTGTTCTGACCGGCCGAATATTAGGGTTTGCCGGCAATGATGCTCCTTCTTGGGTGTTTCCCACGGCCATCGCGATGAAGGGACCTGGAAGTGGTGCAGGATCAGGCTCAGGAAGACCATCCGTGGCCAACAAGCCGTCATACCTAACAGGCGGCGCGGGTGCCAGCTCGAATCTGGCAGGGAAACGTGGCACTGAAGATCTGGACTTCTTTATCGGCGACGAAGCACTTGCTGCTGCGAATGGACCCGGCTACAGTATACATTATCCCATCAGACACGGTCAGGTCGACAATTGGGACTACATGGAACGCTTTTGGTCCAACTCGATATTCAAGTACTTGAGAGTCGAGCCGGAAGACCATTACTTCCTCCTCACGGAGCCGGTAAGTGGTGCAGGCGTTTTCGGGGGCCAGCTGCTGATAGTGTCTACAGCCCTTGAACCCTCCCGAGAACCGTGAGAACACCGCCGAAATCATGTTCGAATCGTTCAACTGTGCTGGTCTATACATTGCGGTTCAAGCCGTGCTTGCTCTGGCTGCCTCGTGGACATCTTCGAAAGTCGTGGACCGGTCTCTTACAGGAACGGTGATCGACTCCGGGGACGGTGTCACTCATGTCATTCCCGTCGCCGAAGGTTACGTTATTGGATCGTCGATCAAGAGTATTCCGATAGCCGGACGAGACATCACCTATTTCGTGCAGAGCCTGCTGCGAGATCGAGGAGAACCCGATAGCAGTCTGAAGACGGCCGAACGGGTCAAGGAAGAATACTGTTACGTGTGTCCAGATATCGTCAAAGAATTTGCCCGCTACGACAAGGAGCCCGACCGATTCCTCAAACATACCGTCACCTCTCCCAATGGAAGATCCGTGACGATCGACGTCGGTTACGAACGATTCCTGGCCCCCGAAATCTTCTTCAACCCCGAAATCTACTCTTCGGATTTCCTCACCCCGCTACCCACCGTCGTCGATGGAGTCATTCAATCTTCGCCTATAGACGTGCGCAGAGGTCTGTACAAAAACATTGTCTTGTCCGGTGGCTCGACACTGTACAAGGACTTTGGCCGCCGATTACAGCGAGACATTCGACACTTGGTAGACGCACGCATCCGAGCATCCGAGGCTCGAAGTGGTGGAGCCAAGAGTGGTGGCCTGGATGTGCAAGTGGTCACACACAAGCGACAACGACATGGACCATGGTTCGGTGGTAGTTTGCTCGGTCAGACCCCCGAGTTTCGAAGTTACTGCCACACCAAGGCCGAGTATGAAGAGATAGGACCTAGCATTGTGAGAAGATTTGCCTTGTTGGGTGGTCCAGGCAGTACGTAGAGCTGCAAAGGAAAGTTTGGCAATCAAAACAGAGATATTTATCAACGTCCATCCCACTTGGTCCTGGTTCGAGCTCCAGTCTTGCCTTGAACCCATGACGTTCCCGTTGTATATGGTGAAACACAAGTGATGGATCAATAAAGGGCACCTCAATCACGAGAGAGTCGTCCACCTTATTCCTTATGACTTGATGTTACGGTTCCTTTTGCATATAAGCGATGACGCCGGCGCCGTTGCACAGAGACTGGCATATGGTCGGGAGACAAGAACGACTATCATCATATTTACCGCCTATTGTGACTATTCCTCCCTTCCAGGCTCGGCGTCGACCACACAAGTAGGTATTGTTTCTAATTTGCGCCAATAGTGATGACCATATAACATACATACCTGGTAGCGAGAGGAAAGGGAACGGGAAAGGGAAAGGGAAAGGGAGCAGCTCTTGAAGAATAGCTAGGTAGCTGTCCAGTTCTAGAACATCAGGTAAATATCCATTCTCTTGCTATCCCCTGTATTAATACATCCACCCTCACCCGAGTTTGATATAAGGTAATTTATCTACCTGCCTCTACTATCCATGGCCACCTGGGATCCAGCTGATCCAGTTTTTCGGTCGGTTCAATTCGGCACCCGATTCAAGAAACACACTCCCTCGACATGTCCCGTCTGTGGAAAGAAATCGAACCCTCTCAGACTCTCAATCTCGTATCTCCATTGAGGTCTAGGTCTAGCGGTGGCACCACCAAGAATCTTCCCATGTCCTCCGGGTTGTTTCTCATCTCCACCTCCTTGGGGTTTGACTTCATCAAACCCCGAAACCAACATGCCTACATCCCTCGCCTGGGTGTGCACATTGCAACTGACATAGACGACGCGCCGGGCGCCAAAGACACACAGCTGGCGGAGGAAATCCACACTGGCGCCCTTGCGCGGCGGGTCGATCACGACGGCCGTCTGGTCCGGCGGAAAGGGGACGTCGGCGAAGATGTATTCGGCGTCCGCGGCGATGAAGCCGGCGTTGGGGATGGCGTTGGCGGTGGCGTTGTGGCGCGCGGCTTCGACGCCTTGGACGTCGATGTCGATGCCGAGCACGGACGAGAAGAGCGGCGACAGACATACTGCGAAGAGGCCGCTGCCGCAGTAGGCGTCGAGGAGATATTTGATGGGTGGGGTTTTGGTAGAAGGAGTGCTGGGAGAGGTGGTGGGAGAGGTTATTGTAGGATTCTTGTTGGCCGTCTCAGTGTCATTGCTGTTGCTGTTGTTATTGTCATTGCTAGTAGTGTCGTCCTCCTCTCGTGGCAGACAATTCTCCCGCACATAGCGGATGAAGGAAAGCAGGATGGAATTGTTGTTCTGGAAGAAGGAATTGGCGCGACTCTCAAACACAAATTCCCCGACGTGTTCGGTCGTCCAGTCCGTCCCGGTCGACGTGTATGTTTTGATGTCCTTGTATGTGTCGTAGGTGTAGATGATCTCGGGCGAACCGCTGCTTCGTCTGCGACGTCGGACCGAGAGCGGTTTGGGGGCGGGTAGGGTCAGGGGCGAAGGAGCCGAATTGTGAGAGGCGATGTAGGCTTCTAGTCGTGACACGGAGTTCAAGTCCTCGTTCTTTGATGCCACTGACTCGCTGTTCGGTTCGGTCTGAACGGTCTGATCTGGCTTGCTGGTCAGACCAGCATCACGATTCGCTGCTGAATCACCGATATTCTGAGCCATAGTATCATCGTTTCGAGTAGCTTCACTCCCATTCTTCTCTGTATCGGACTGGATCGGTTTCCGTGACGTCGACTCGCGCAGCAGAATCGTCGCACCAGCCTTCCTCTTCCGAAACGTCTGATACACCTTCTTGCGCTCAATAGGGAATCCCTCATTCAAGATCGGCGTGCCGATCGGACACTGCTCGATATCCAGCACGCGGCGAGTCCCCTTCATCCCAAACCCGATGGCAGGTAGGGTCTTGTCGTCGGCCCCCTTGGGCGGCTTGTCGTAATGCGGCGTCAGTTTCGTGCGGTAGCCATACTGCAGCGGCGACCCGACCGTCTCACCGACGGGCGGGATACGCGACGGATCCAGGTTGGAGAAATACTTGAACGCCTTCTCCACGATCGTCTTCTTGTGTCGCAGCTGGTCCTCGTACGACATCATCTGGAGTTGACAGCCGGAGCAGACGGTGAAATACTTGCAGCCCGGCGTCACGCCTTCACGTTGGGCAGACGGCCGAAGGACCTGGATGAAATCCAGGTGCGTGAACAGAGGATTGGGCTTTTGCGGAAATGTCTTGGCCAGAACCCGGTCTCCGGGGATGGAGAAGGGCACGACGTAGACATGGTTCTTGTCGGCCGAGTAGGCCAGGCCGTCGCCGGTGGAGGAAAGCTGTTCGATTTCGAGTTCTAGTTCGGTCTGGGGCGGAGGGGGAGTATATTGAGATTGCTCTTCAGGAGGTTGGGTTGATTGTGGATTTGGGGTTTGTTCTGCTGATCTGTCGCCATTGGTTACGTCCGTGTCTGCTTCGTGTTGGTGTTGGTGTTGGTGTTCCTGTCGTTGGCCCAGGAGTGACAGTGCTTCGAACGTCAAGACTTCGGTCGGCGTGCCTTCGCTCAACAGCTTTTGAGCAGCCAGTTTCTGGCGCTTGGATGGAACGGCGGTCATCCTCATCTTTTGCATTATGTGGTTTGCTATCGCAACGGCATTGTAGTCCGTGAAGGGTAGGAACTTTTTTAATGAAAACCCTGTCGTTGGTTGTCGTCGACCATGGAAGAGTCGTGAATGAAAACTTGCTTTCAAGGGGCAGGTCGAGAAAACAGGAAAAACCGAGATTCGCTTGCAAAGTGGCCGGCTATACAACATCGGGCGCTGTCGACTAGCTGCTCATGGTATCACTCGGGGTCGTGTTCTAAACAGTCTCTTCTACAAACACAAGGCGAGTTTCATTACAGAAAATATACGGTCACGTGGAGACATGTCGTTGTTCTGTCCAATCAGATAAGGTCGATTAGACTAGATCAAAGAGATCTGGCAGATTAGATCTTGAAGATTAGATCTGGCGGTATGAAACCCCCTGTCTCTCAAGTAGTATTACTCTGTAGGCTCATCATGTCCAAGAAAGTGCCTCGATCCTATCTACCACTCAAACCTCCGAATCCCTAGATCCAGTCGATGTCCTAGATGGACTCCTGGAAAGCTGTGTTCTTAGATGCCCCATTCGTGGACTATTCCGGAGTCGCGATGTTCGATTAGTATGATTCATCTTCGCCTGATCCGACCTCGACTCCAAGAGCGGACTTGTAGCTCCCACATCAGGTGCACCCATAGACAGGCGTTCAGACGACGCCAGCTCGACAGGACGACCATCAAGAAGCTGAAACGGGGTCCTCGACTTGCTGCGCCGATTGAACTGTTCTGGCGTCAAGCCCAGGCCCATGATCTCTTGTGGTTCCGTGGTCTCTTGGTTCTGTTGGGTCCCCACCGAGGTATATGTAGGTGCAGGGGACGACGGGCTGTGCGAAGAGGATGACAGATGTGCGGCCATCTTGGTGTAGTTCGGCACAGGGGTCAAGACTGTCAAGTGGTTCAGCAATTAGTGATAACGTTCTTCATTCATTCGCAATCCTTCCGTATCAATGTTTTGGATGGATGACTCACCAGTCGCACCACCGGCGTCTTGGTAATAGCCTTTATGTTCGTGCGAGGGTGTTGCGTCGTTCGCGGCGGCACGCTTTGCTCTCCGTCGTCGGAGACAGCAATACAAAGCGAACCCGATGACTGCCATCAACAAAACTCCGCCGCCAACAGTGCCGCCTGCTATGGCTGCTGTGTTCGGCTTGGAAGTCGTTATCTGCTGGACGGGCTTCGCAGCGGTCGATGTCGTTGAGGCAGCGCCAGAGACGCCGGTCGGAGCGGCCGTCGCCACGGACGATGGGACCGTGAATGTCGAGCTTCCGGCAACAGCGACGGTGTGAAGCGCAGCCGCTCGTAGATCAGAGGCAGGGCAGCCTTGGCCGTTGCATGGATTGCTCTCGCAACAGCCTTGGAAGGCGATCGAGTTGTCGGCACAGGTATACCATAAGCCTCCGTAGGGACAAGAATGGTTCGGATAGTCGGGAGCTGGGGTCGTGATGGAGCCAAAGCCCATGGGATAGAGATTGTCTGCTGGGCACATCTGGCCGGAGCATGGATTGCTGGAACAGCATCCTATGAAAGTGGGATAGTTGATGTCCTGGCACTTCCACCACTCGCCTCCGACCGGACACGACTCGTAGTCCGAGTCATCGAAGGTATCTTGTCGTCGTAAGTGAACCATGTCGAGGTTTGTTGTTTGTTTCTTGTTCAGCTCGATACCCGACACTGACAGTCTGACTCGAGTTCAAGCCGCTGTCGCTCACAATCAATCAAAGCGATTCGATGGGAGAAGAGGGCGATCCAATCTCCGCCGAGATTGTGTGCAAGAAGACAAGACAAGCACAAGTACAAGTCTCCACGGCTCGAGAAAGAAGAAACGGACTTGGTCGCAGAACAGAATGGTCCTATACTCGTAAAAGCACCACCAACCGAAGCGTATCACTCAACGTTTCGATCGACAAGCAAACAATATCTTTGCGACGAGCAAACAACGTGCAGTGTGCAGATGCCAGAGGATACTAGCAGCAGCCGAACTTGGAGATTGGAATCAGAGTGAATTCCGTGCAAAGCTCACCAGAATAAGCTACAAGACAGAAGGAGAAGGATAAGAGAGGAAGAACCCCACAACCAAGCCCAACCCTTACCATCATCGAAAGACAACTCTTCAGGCCCCATGGCCATCGTGGGAGACGTGGTGGCGATGCCGTCGGGCCTGAAAGACAAGTCCCATGCCAAGGTCGACGAACATGTCGGCTGTAAGCTGGATTCAGGCTTGCACCTACCTGAGGCTAGGGTTATAGACCCTGGGAAGATGCCCGACATCCTGGATTGAGAACCGGGGCGTAGGCTAGATTTAGACCTGTATCACACAGATGTGTACAGAAACCCTGTCGTGAGAATCGGTCTCACTTCGGACTCCGTGGTCGGGCAGGCCAGTGCGTGGGCTGGTCTGGTCTGGTTTTGTTGATTCGTAGACCTGTGTGTGTGTGTGTGTCTGAATAGGATAGATAGAGATACCTGTTAGTAGGTCAAGTACTAGGTAAGTAGGTAGATAGATAGATAAGCCAGCCATGTCGGACTGGACGCCTCCCGACGCTGAAGCCCAACGGCTGAAATGAACCTGAACGAAAACCTCTAGACTTGGAGCTTGGCAAGACATGCTAGTGGTATTAGGTTCCGGGCCGAAAATGAACACAGGGATGGTAAGTGTAATAGTAGCGAAAGCCTGAGAGAGGCTGAAGAGGCTGAGCAAAAGGGTGTGGGCGGGAGAAAAGAGACAAGATAAAGACAAGAGGATCCAATAAGGATATATGTATGTGCTTCACTGACCAATAAAGGGGCCATGCAACAAGTTAGCGTCTGGTCCGTTTTAGAATCGTGTCTGTGATACTGAGGTACTTGTCAAGATATGTCTTTGAAGTGGTGATCGGAGAGGAGTAGTAGTAGTAAGAAGAGAGGTAGTAGTAAGAGAAGCTGATGCAATGTTTGAAATGCTCTACCACTCACAGTATGGAGGAGATGACATCCTCGGAATAATACTATTGAAGGTACTAGGAGTAGGATGCCATCATGAGCAGAACCCATCCATACTCTAGGAGTCTGTCTATCTCCATCCATTCCACCAGCATGATCTGGGACCGGGATGGGTCGAACGAATCCTTTCCAGGCCCCCTTCGCCTTGTGGCCCCTCAACATCCATCGAACTGATCCTCGTCTAGCCTGGGGACTAACCTGGGGACTGCTGACCGACGCGGACCGGGACACAGACAGGCAAGGACACCTGCTCTCCTGCGGTGACAGCTGTTCGCGAGGACCGGTGTACGGGTTCGAGAAGACCGCGACCAGGACATGTGCCGGCCTCGATTGGAATTTGAAACCCCATGAACGGTTGCTCCCCACATGCAGAAAGATGCCACTCTCCCATTCCATACTAGTTATGTGGACGCTCGTATCCCAGCCCTCACAGAGACAGAACAGAACTAGACACCCAAAATCTAGGTAGTCCGGCCTCTCCCGTCCAGACCAGACTAGACTTATCGGGCCCCCTTCATCTTCTGTCGTCGAGCCATTCTCTCCACTATTCGCTGCAACGCGGTCCTGACTTCGCCCTTGGGGAAACTGTCAATGTCGTAATATCCCGGCGCAATGTCGAACAACCACTCGCCGCGCACCGCGGTGACGGTGCGGATGTAATTTTTGCTGGTGAGCACAAACTCGTTGTACAGCACCCACTCACTCTCCTGGCCCAGGACCGTGCTCGGGTGCAGAAGAACGGTCTGGTTGTCTTTGACGGTCGTGTAGGTCTTGCCGTTGGCCTCCTTCTTGGCCACTTGCATGAAGAAGCCCGACACCAGGGCGCGTCGGATGTTGTCGTAGTACTTCTTGTCCTCGAAAGGTGTTGACATCAGCTCCAGTTCTTCGCGCTCCATGATGCGTTTGAGCTGCAGACGCACATTGTCGGCCGACTGTAGAGCCCGCAGACTGAGGAAGTGATCGTGACACCATTGTCTCGGATTCGCCTGCGCTTCGGGTCCCTTGAAGGCGTGATACACGTTGAGCAAGGTCAGATGATCGCCGTCCGGATGGGCGAACAGATTCTTCATCTCGTCTGCACGCTTACGCGCCGATGCCGGGCGGACAAAGACTTGAGGCACCGAAAGCAAAGCTGTCAAGCTCAGAATCTCGTTCGAGCAGTAGAACTCCGGGGACGAGATCAGCATCACCGCCAGTGCAGGATCCAGAGGGAACTCGGACGCCAATCGGCCCATGGTCGTCAAGTTGCCGTCGTCGTCTAAACAGGCAAGGTAGTTCAATTCTTCCAGCGCCCGCATCAACGTTTCTGGAGCGGGAGGATCCATCAGGTCGAAATGCACCAGATCGTCAACGCCCAGTTTCTTCAACTCCAAGACCGTGGATGACAGATTGGACCGCAGAATCTCGGGATAGGTTTGCTCGATTAGTTCTTTCTTGAATGCTCCTTCGGTGTACAGTCTGAAACACTTTCCGGGCCGGGTACGGCCCGCACGACCGGCTCTCTGTTGCGCCGAAGCCTTGGAGATTGGCGACACAAGTAAAGACTCGACACGGATGCGAGGGTTGTAGACCTTCTGTTTGGAGAATCCCGGGTCGACCACGTAGACGATTCCGTCGATGGTCAAAGACGTCTCGGCGATGTTGGTGGCAACGATACATTTCCGTCCCGGTCTACCGCCAGGTCGTCGCGGAGGTGGTGCGGGCTCGAAGATCTTTTGCTGCTGAGCAGGAGGCAAAGTTCCGTACAGAGGATAGACTTTCATCGGCCCAGCATCAGCTTCACGGATCATCTCATCTGCCTCGAGAGAGATCTTGCGGCATGCGTCCTCGATCTCTTCTTCTCCCGTCAAAAACAACAGAATATCACCCTCCGCCTCGGTCGCGTGTATCTGAAGAACAGTCCTGATGGCCGCTTCGACGTAGTCTCGCTCCGGTTCTGGAGTGTAGAAGATCTCGACGGGATGAGTGCGTCCAGGCACTGCCAACAGTGGCGCGTCGTTGAAGTAGCGCTGGAACTTCTGAGCATCCAACGTTGCAGACATGATGATCAATTTCAAGTCCGGTCTGCGTAGTACCACCTCCTTCAGAAGCGCCATCAGCACATCCGTGGCCAGGGTCCGCTCGTGGGCCTCGTCCAGGATGATGGTGCTGTATCTCTTCAACTCGTGGTCGTTCATGGCCTCTCTCAGAAGCATTCCATCCGTCATGTATTTGAGGACTGTCTTTTGGCTCGTCATGTCCTCGAATCGAATGCTGTACCCGACTTCCTCGCCGAGTTTGACGTCCATCTCTTGCGCAACACGCTCGGCTACCGACATGGCAGCCACTCGTCGGGGTTGGGTACATGCAACTATCTTGCCTGCCTGCTGCGGCAAGTCGTCGTACAGCACGAACTGGGGAATCTGGGTGGTCTTTCCGGAACCCGTTTCTCCGACGAAGACGAGAATCTGCGATTTCTGGTACAATCGGAGGAATTCGTCTCGCTGTGCATGCACAGGGAGGTCTCGTCTGGATCGCAGAATTGAAAAGTATCGCTCGGATAGAGGCCGTCCTGTGAACGGATTAACCTTGCCATCTTCGGCGGCTTGGGCCATGGCAGCAGTCGTCTGGTGGCGGGGGAATTTCGCCAGAGGGCTATCACTCTGGTTGGGAGGCGTGGCATAACCGTTCGCATAGCCATTCGACTCGTTGTCATGCCAGTGAGCGAGGTAGGGATTGTCTTGAGGATTCATATCGCCAGTCGTCTTCTGGCGCTTTGCTGGCGCACCGTCGGGATTCTCTGAATGTTTGCCTGCCATGCCGTGCAAAGGCGGATGATGAAATGATATGAGTTGAGGAGCAGCGCCCGCCAAGCAAACCTGCTGCGAGAAGTGGTCTGTCTGTGACCGCGCCGCGGACGCGAAAGGCGCAGAATGAATTAGACGCCGGTCTTGTCTATGTTGTTGTAGAACGTGAACACTTGAAGCGCTCTGTCAATGAACGTTCAACTCGCAGACGAAAAAAATATCGGACTCGATTTCGGCCGTCCATGGTGTCTGCTCCACCCTATGAAACCGGCGAATCATTCTAACGTGATATGCACTATCAACAACGAGGCTGGCAAGGTGGTTACACATTTCTCAGGGGAAGTCATAGCATACCTAGGTATCTTCATCATCGTTATAGGACTACTCAAATGGATTTGGCTCCAGCTTCTCCTTACAGACCGTCTTCCCATCAACAACATAAAGACGTGGAATACCTGTCGGCGGCGGCTTCGCTTCCGGCTCCTGTCTTCTCGGTCGCCACGTCGCTGCTCGTTGCTTGTCCAGATCCCCTCCGCCCATACCACTGAACGGACATTTGCTCTGTTCATTGCTCAAACTGATCTGCTCAATCGACCGGCCGAGACTCGTGGTGCTTTTCTCCGAAGTCATGGATGAAGCGTCGACTAAACCACTGTCCTCGCTTCCACTGCCCAACACTCTCCTGCCGTGCATGTACCCTTCCGGTTCGCGTGCTTCAGCTTGAATCTCCTCGTCGTCAACCGCGTCGGCAAATTCTTTGCCGTCATCGACATGCCATTTGGCCATCAGATCATTCTGAATCCAAATGACCTTGCCGATTGCTCTGACGATGGCGATCTTCTGCGTCAGGTCGAGTCGCGGATGGGAGAGGATCGCTTCGGTCATGGCGTCCTGGATATACCCCAGACAGGCACCCAGGAAGATATAGTCCACGTGTAGCGGGTTTCGACGACCTTGGCCAACGTGCATTAACCTATTCATTTGTTGATTGTCAGTCTCTCTCCTTTGTTTCGGCAGTCGATGAGAAGAGGCCACTTCCACCTACCCAACTTTATCCAAGTACTGCCAATATTCCATCTTGCTGGGATCGGAGTTGAGTTTCGTGAGGTACCACCTCAGGAACATCTTCCGGTGTCTGATCTGTGCATCGTCTTCTTTGATCCACCGGTCTGGATTCTCCTCGTTGCGGCTGTCTCGTGTGCTGAAGACTCGGGCAGTGATGTCGTGTTTCAGCAGTTTTTTGTAGACCATGTTGACGATGGCCGGGATGATGGCTTTGATGTATTTCTGTCCATCGATCAGAGCGACAACGTCGTCTGGAACACTTGCACGTCAGTATAACTGTCATCTGGTAACACTGACAAAAACATTAGTAGGCTGGAAGGGACTACTAACCTGCTCCAAACTCGAGGAATTGTTGAAGATACCGGATCCTGACGGGGAGCGAAGTATAAAGCTCTTTCCGGTCCACATGTTCCATTCCCTTTGGTACGTCCGCCATTTTGGCCGTCTGGTCTTCGATTTGTTCATGCAAGGGGTGGTGATCAGGGCTGTGTATCCTCTGGTGCCGTACGACTCCGTCCAAGCCAGGATGATTTCCGCGAACTCGATTTGCTCTGACTCGATGTCAGTACCAACCAGCTCAGACACCAACAGCAGCAGTGACCACTCCACACATGAGTCGAGGATGGTTCTGAAATATAGTCCGTGCCAGACCCAGCAGTTCCCGAATACCCTGCTGGACCCTCTTGTAACAAAGACCAAGACGACGCCATCATCAGGACCCTATCCTCCCTGACCTGACCTAGCCGGGATGTTGTTTGGGGGCGTAGTCCCACTCTCCCCGTGTAAAGTGGTCTGACCATCGTGATCTGCCTTGTATGAAACATGTTTCGGTACGCGAATCCCGCCGCCTCGAAGCTCAAGCATGACACCACCCTCGAGAAGATCATCGGCACCATCCCCGTCGTTCCGATACTTTTTTTTTCGTTGGGCTTGCCTCTAGCGAACAACGAATCCATCAAGCCAGGCTAGCGGTCCGCAGATGGAGGCCAGAAGGTTCCGACGATGGCGTTTGAGTGATCTTTTGTGGACTATCGGTCAAGCCCAGTGGTGGCTCTGGCTCGCCATACCACGTTTGCAATGCAGCCATACTATATTGATTGTTCTTCTTGGAAAATAAAGTGTGCAGTTAGAACTATCGTTTTCTCCCAAGCGTGCAATCTCCCTCCCCAAAGCCCAGATTCGTCGGAACAGGTTGTGGCTTCTTTTCTGCTTAGGTGACTATTGTAGCTACCCATCACAGCATGGGGATAAATAAGACAGTCTAAGAGCCTGTCAGATTCACGGTTCACGGCCCGGCCAGCTGCCGATCCCAGAAGGGACTGATGGATCGATCCATCGACTCGGAGGTCACCCGAACAGCCATTATGAACAGGTTGACTGCCTACCTACCTGTTTACAGGTGCAGTACGTACTCTGTAGCGTCTTGCCTTGCCGGGTGGTTTATGGAAGGGTCTCTGGCCGGGCTCAAGCATCTGCTTCTGCTGCGATGCTTGTTGCTGGCCAACTTACTCGACGGCGGCTTCAGATGGCAATGACCTACGAATCCAGTCTACCACACCAAGCCATTGAGAGCAAAGTAGCACTTTTGCAGATTTGATTCTTGTTTATTGAACGCATTCAGGACTGGTCTTCTTCCGAGACTCCGGGGTATCGTATGCTGCACGTGTGGTTGTTGGCCACTGTCCCTGGACCCAATCTCTGCAAAATCGTGGAAAAGCACCGCTTGAAACGCCTTGCTATGCTCTGATTTATGCATCGAGGTCGGGGCCTTGGAAACCTGTTTGCTTCATTCATCTAACATCCGTGCCGCTCCCATCCTTGGTTCAGCTGTGTCTGCAATTCTGCTGTGTGTCGTTTCTCATCCGATCATTTTGGTGGGAGTGCCGCCTTTGCATGGAACGTTCACTCCCCTGTCTCAATAAAGCGAGACCGCCACGGGCCATGGAACCAAGACTTCTTCTCGCCCCAGCCCCAGGTGCCTTGTGTGGCCGATTTTAGATCATCGACGTTCAGATAATCAACGCCTTCTTGAACCAATGTCCGCCACAGGTAGTCTCTCATTCCTCGGGGCCAGCTGGGCACCCCCCAGTATCGCACCTTCAGGCCTCGGGAGTGTGCTCCTGCAATCTGTTTGCGCATTCTGTCAATCTGGCCGTTTGACAATCGGCCTCGCCAAGGCCACCCAATACTGTCCTGGAAGGAGACCGATGCATAATATGAGTTGGCACGGGAATAGATGGCGGGGTTCAAGGGAGCTGACCCTGACAGACCTTGACCCTGATCCTCACAGTGCCGCTTGGTGGGAACAGAGCGAGTGCCCTGAAGTGAGGTGTCTTGTGAAGATGCAGGTGGATGTGCTCCTGGCGGAACCATGTCGGATAGTTTCTCCATGAGGGCCAAAGGAGCATCGAAGAACATATCCCGGTAATGTGGGCTCGCAACCACGGCGTGGAAAGGGGCATTTCCCGTGACCACGACGGTGATCGGCCCGTCGACTACATCGCTACCGTTGAAATAGGTGAGATAGCCCCTCTCCCGTAGAGGTTCGATTTCCGCAGAGACATATGGCCAAATGGCATGGCCCTCGTTCTTGAAATCGATCAGCAGGACGAGGGTCTCGGCTGGCTTCGTATCGAAGACACCGTTTGGAGGGGTGTCGATAGACGGATGGAATGAAGTGACAGGATTCTGGTGGTCCAAAATCTTCATCAGGGGGTCGATGTAGAGACTACGAAGAGTCCGTTCCGGAGCCAGAGCGGCCATGGAATGTCCGACATACAATTCTTCACCAACCAGCCACACATCAGCCTCGACCCCGGTGCAGCCGGCGTGCAGTGCAGAAAACAGAGGCTCTTTGCGCCAATAGTCATTGTGAGAATGGCAAGCGACAGGATGAACGTCAGCGGAGAAATCAGTGGGCCAGTGAGTTAGGTTGTCCGAGACACTTTCAGAGGCAGTCCAGGAACCCAATACGTCGTCCACTTCATCGGGAAAGAATGAAAGCAGGAGGCCGCATGACAAGGCAATGAATTCGAGAAGTCCCCTGCAGAGGTGTTAGCAGAAGTGTCGCACAATTGAAGCATGTCTGCTCACAGAAGCATCAGCGACAAGGCCAAAAGGCGTAGAACCTTCTTCAATGGGACGGTCCGGCGCGATTCGTATGAACTGCTGTCTCTGATATGCTCTGTGTACAGCACAATGCGTCCCCGTCTGTCCAAAGATGTCCACGAAGGGAGACTCTGTGTCCAGCGCCATGTAGGAAGAATAGCAGTTGCGATACGGTCAAAGGACGTGTCAGGGACAGTGTCAGGATTAGAGGCGATGGGTGATTTGGCAGTATCGAAATCGGCTTTGACGGCACATAGGTCATTGTAGGCTCCATTTTCGACGTCCGGGCTCTTGACATAGATCCGTTCCTGCGTCAAAAAAGGGACTGATTCGTGGCCATGAGGGGCTGCTCGGTCGACATTATTGCGGAGGTATTGGATAGCAGAGGACAAAAGACGAGGCATATCTTTTGGTGGCGCGGAGCCTGGAGCGCAGGCTGGTGAGGCTGGTGAGGCGGATGAGGCTTGACCGATTAGGGCGTATGATCGTGGTAGCGAGGGGCCGGGACCCGCGAGATGGAGATGGCGATGGTGTCGGACGGCTAAGGAGGCGTAATAGGGAGCGGGAGGGTCTCGCCTAGAGATCGGTTCCACCGGGCGCAGGCTGGAGGGTCAGGGTACAGACAGAACGACAGCGTCAGGAACTTCCTGTGTAACGCTGGCAACTTGAGTGATACTTTGGGTGTGCTCGTCTTTGGCGTCTACTATGGCACAACCGGTGATTGATTGTCGACCAGTGTGTCCATGTGTAGGTATTCGCGACGAGGGTATTGATCGGTTAAGTGGTTTTGCAACAGGCTGCGGAGGAGGGGCACTGATAGACGCGATACTGGTAGGTTGGGGGGTAGACGGCGACACAGTTCAGGCTGGCATGATGAACGAGACGTGACAATGCTGCGACAATGGTGGCTGACCAGGTTGATGAGCGATTGATCAAGTGAAAGAGAAGTGAAAGAATCAGAAGGATGCTGGATTGAGGCCAGCGTCCTCCCGCAGGATCTGTCACAGTCGACGAGGGATGCTGGTGAAGAGAGCGTCATGAGCAACGGAGACCAGCAACAGGCCTCGAGATGGACGGCAGAGTATATTTGAACATTTCCAGAAGCCTGCAATGGAAATGCTCTGTCACAGTCGTCGGCAACGGGAACTGTAAGGGATGGATGCATTGATTGATTGATCTTTCTCTTCCACCTCCATCACCACCACTACTATCGCACTAGGTTCAAGTTGTCTATTCAAAAAGTACCACGTCTAGCAAAGGAACTACTACCGAAGTGGTGGTCTCTGGACACCTGTATACACATTTTAAGTTCGGCTCCAAAATCTTGGTGAGCCCTGGAGGTCCCTAGGCTGCAAATGATGGGAGCAGGGGCCTTAATAGCGTCTTTAGACCCTTAAGAAGTCGGCTCATCGGGTGCTTGTTTTATTCAAGTTTAGGCGGGAGAGGCCTGGAGATGCCTCATTAGCTCCCCAAACCGCTCCCGCAGGTGCCCCTCCAAGTGCACTTCCAAGTTTTCCCACTTGAGATTGGTACCTCTATCTGTACTGGTTACCTGTCACTACTGTCATCCACTTCGTCTATCCCACATTCCCACCCGCTTATTTGCATCTTCGTCCTTTTCCCATTCATCCACCCACGGGTTGCTTCCACATGGGCTTCGCTCTCGCGTCTATTGGATTACTTGCATCCTCAGATCCCTGTCTTGTGCCCCGATGACCACCAACCCTGTGGCTTGAACAAGTGTCCGACTAACAAGACTAGGTGCTCATGGTTGTGATAGCAGAACCAACCACTTTATCACGCATATTGTTTGCCAGTCTAGCGACAAGCACTGACAAGATGCATCAGGACACCAGCGATAGACACTCCTCTCACCTCGTGTCCCCGTCCCAGGCTCATCGCCTCGCTCTGCTCTCTCTGTGTTCCATGGCTTGATCACTGCTATCGCCGCAACCTCTTCGATCCTGCTCGAGACTGCAAACGCCAAGGAAAACCCGGTCAGTATCTGCGTGGGAGAATGTAAAAGAGCACTGATCCATCGGCCTGGAGGACAAACACGGCATTGCATACCTAGTCTGCTGAAAAACTTGGAAGCTCACGACTGCCGAAGTTGGCTGTCGCTCGAGGCTCCATGTTCGGGTATCGGCGATTCAACGTGCGTCATTCAACCACGATTCGCGTCGGTGTAGCCCAGTTCTAACCACACCTTCTTCTGTCTATTCACCGTTGTCGTTCGTCCACATTGGGCAGTCTCTCATACCCGCTCCCCTGCACATGGCCTTCTGTCTCATCGACAGCGTCCGGTTGCAGCTCGCCGGTGTCTACAATGCCCCCAGGCTTCTCAGGCCTTACCATTTGGTCTTGTTGACCAAGCAAAGGTGAGATTCGGAGCCCTGCATCACGATCTCGAGGGCCTTCGTGCAAACCACTAGGTCTCCTGCCGACACGTGCAATCCATTCCTTAGTCGGAGCTAAACTGTCACCTTCATCTGGATATTGGATTGACCCGAGCAGTCGTCCCGATGACAAATGATAGAGGTAGTGTTGCACTCGTGCTGGCAGTCCTCTCCCAGAAAGGACAGAGACCAGAGCCGCCATCAAGACGACAAGAAACAGAAACAGGGCGAGGAATGCCGGGATCGCAAAGAGCCAATGGTATCGTATCTGCCGCTGATACACTGTCACAGGGACGACCGCGGAATTGCCGTCAGAGCCATTTGCAGTGTCGGCACGCTTCTGAAGGTTGGCTGGCAATGCAGAGCCGGAAGTCCAGCTTCGCGTGCCTATCAGCATGTTTGCCGCAAGATCGGTCCATATCAGATTTGGAATTTTCTTCATCGTCGCAGCCGAACTGGCCAGATCTCTCCACGTCGCGTACATGGCCATGTTTGTTGTACCTGTATAGTCCGCCATGTCACCGGCGCCCAATGTGTCTTGATACACGCCGGCCAGGACATCAGTCAAACCATCTGCTGCAGGCAAATTTTCTTGACCGGGGCTACTGCCCGACAGCAACCCTCCGTAACCAGGCAGATATAGATGAGGTGCTCGAATCGTGGAAAGATTGACCGAACTCTCAAGCTCTGGCGAGATAAGCCCCCAGAGTTGGGGTACATCAGCCAGTTCCATGTCTGGCGATTCCACACCCCAGAGCGGCATGGATTTGTTGTCTGAGTACGGCTTGTCGGTTACGTTGACCACTGTCAGCGCTTTCAGAGTATTTCCCGTCAAGCCAGTGGCGTTGTACCGGAACCGGACTTCTTTGATACTCGCCTTCATCGCAGAGGCACAACTGTACACCGACTGCGTCCACCAGGTCTCAGGTTCAAAGACGAGGCTCTTGGACCCATCCTTGCGCCGCGCAGCTCCAAAGATCATGCCGCACGCGACGTGGATGTTGGTGAGGTTGGCGAGATCCTTGCCTCCTGCACCGGCACAGATCAATGAGATGTCGCTGTAGTTGGCCGACGTGATGCCAAACGGATTGGAGTAGTTTGCCCCGGGGGTATCTGCCAGTGTGTAATTGGACAGGTATGCGTCAGGATCCAGCAACGACGACCACAAGCTGGTGATGTGGATGCCGTTCAGCTGCGCGCTTGACACTTGGTTTGTGGTGACCGGGTATCTGTCCCCTATCTTGGAATTGAGGTATCCAAAAGCATTTGGACTGGGCCGGGTGATGTTCATGACCAGCATGGTGTAAGCATTGACCATCCAGGCGGCCTTGTATGCTCGGCCTTGAAGATTCGGCTCCATTTGCGCATTGGTCACATCGACGAGCGGATATTCCGTGACCACGTTGGCAAAGCCGCCGTTATCAACCAGAGAGATGTTCGCCAGCTCTTTGCTATACAGACCCTGGTAGGGAATGCGGAACTCGATCGAGACATTGGTATCAACGCACGCCGTCTCGGGCTCGACCCAGAGGAGATCCTCCGTCCATTCCGCGCCGAGCGCCACGTCGCCCACTGGGACGGTATGATTGCGGAAGGCGATGCCCCCTGTGACAGTATCAACCACCAGCCCTTCGACGGGCTCTACAGCGGCATTCAAAACCATGTTCATCAGATATCGAAAGGCGTCGACAATGTATTTCCCGCCCAGAGTCCCTTGCTGTGTCTGAAACGAATACTGACGGGATTGGATATCGAAGAAACTCGACACCGGCTGTGGATGTTGCAAAAGACCGCTTTGGTACAGTTCGGCCAGCACGTGTGGGATACGCATGTCGTAGTCGTCATTGGTGATGTTCGCTTCCATGTAAGTGTCGTTGCCGGCGTATGAGATGGCGACCGTGGTCCCAGGACACTGCACGGGCAACAAGGCCCCGCACGTGCGTGTGAATCCAAGATCACTGCGCGGCGGTGTCCCGTAGCCCATTGGACCCGGGTCTTGCATGTACACGAATGCGACGGGTTGCGGTGTTTTTGAAGGCACTATCTCGTCGTGGAGTCCCAGGGGAGTCACCACGGCCGCCACGGTCACCACGCCCAGAGCAAGTGGCCGAATCCAGGTCAGCAGCCTGATTCGACGGTCGACTCCTGTGCCGGCAGCCGAGTCTGTGCGGAGGAAGAGTGGCCTGGAATTGTGGTGGCATGTTATATATGCTTGAGAAACTTGGGAGAGCCTGCATGCAATGATGGACGTGGCAGTCCTCGACATGGACTGGGGCTTGAGCAGAGACATACCACATGGAACTCAAGAGATTACGCTCCACCACTGACCAAGTGACTGTGCTGTGTTCATTCTGGAGAAGGCCGACCAGAACAACGATCATCGCATTGGGAATCAGGAACTGAAGCAAGAAGACCGCCGCGGCAATGATGCCAGAGATGTAGCCGATGGTCAGAGATGACATGTTGTGTTCGGATTGCCGACCCAACCCTCTGAATGGTTTGTCTCGTTTCGCGAACTCCCGAACTCGAATTTCGGGGCAACGATGATATTTGAGGTATACCTTTTCCGACGCCCACGGACGAGACGCAAAAGAAAGGCTATCACACAGAGACGATAGCCAGAATAAAACGAGGGAAGTAGGAAAGGAAGACCATGACCTTTGCACAACATAAATGTACAGAGTCAAAACATGTCCTCTGTATGCATTGGCCTCCAGTCACTTGCCATATCTGTCCAAGCACGATCAGGCATTGATTTCGAGTTTTCTCGACTGAGATGCAAAAGGCCGGTCGGTCTACGGCCTGTGGTTGCAAGGGACGAGCTCTGACGGCAAGGACTGGCTTGGATTGCTTGTGTGACAGGGCGGAAAAAAACCCCAAACACGTTGAAAGAGCGTCCAGTGCTCACAATGATGATTTGCCAATAGACCATTCATGCATGGTAGAGATGAGCCATACTTCGACGTTGCTTCGCCCAAGCCTTGGCCTTTTGGGGGCCAAACAGACCGTTGAAACCAAGGGGAAGATGGATGGTCACAGCATGGGCCACGTCGCGGGGAGAGCCAATCGAGGCCCAGACTTGTGTCTCTGTTGGCCAGACTGGCTGGTCGGGCAATCTGGGGGCCAGGAATGGGACGTTGATTGTGAAACTCGACCAGTGCGTATGACCTTCTTCCCCGGATCTGACTTGTCTTCGTCCTGGGCACACCTGATGCATCTTACACTGCTGCGGTCAAGCAAACGTGTCCTTGGTTTTCATGAAGAGCACGTCGTCAACTCGATATTATTGCTTCAGTCCGATGGAGGTTGAATGTCAACAACGCCTACCTGACCATCATGGCATGGCCATATCAGTGCCCGGAGCACTCGCGGTAGGTGGGTACCACCAGTAGGTCGAGTTACACAAGACATGAACGCTATTGTTCCACATCAAAAGTCGAACTTGTAACTTGGATGTCGAGTTGAAGTCTGGACTCAAGTTTGAATGGAGGTGATAACAGGCCAAGCCTCGACTGGCCAATCAGAACCCTGACAATTCAGCCTCGAGCAGCCCCTTTTTTACATTTCGTGGTGAATCCGAATACGAGCCCCCGGCGGCAAGCAACAACCACAAAGGTCACCCACCACTGGCAGAGCCGTTTTCAACCGTGTGGGAGGCAGGCCCGTAGCCGGCTATCTGTTGCGTTCTGGTCTATCATACATAATCTGCGGCCAGACCTTTGCTGGACACGAGTTCAATACAGTGCGCAGTCCAGGCACCTAAGGCAACATTGAGAACCTTGGTTTGATCTGACCTTTTGCATGGGGAAATATCGCTACGGTCAAGCAGCTACCGAGATATTAGGCCAAACCCAGGCCAAACCTGGACTGACTGTAGTCAACCACACGGTGCAGGAGTATCGAGTACGACTGTATAGAGAAAGAGAAAAGAATGGCTCCCTGGGCTCAGCTTGGTTCATTTGTGTTCCATACATGCATACAAACTTAGATTTGCAGCTAATAAATACCACCTTTTCCATCTCCACCGCACTCAAAAGCCGAAGGTCACCATTTCGGGTTGTAAAGCCCCTCCTAGGTTGGTATGTATATGGACAGATACAAACCCCTACAACGGCCCATTAGGATGAATCAAGACCTTAGTATATCCATCAATCCTCTTGTCGAACTTCTCATACGCAGTCTCTGCATCGTCGATGCCGATTTCATGACTGACCACAAACGACGGCTTGGCTTTGCCAGCGATGATCAAGTCCCTCAAGTATCTGTTATACTGCTTGACATTGCATTGACCCGTGGCGAGGGAGAGACCCTATACAAACAAGTCAGTTAGATGGTGTTTCTTTTTGATACTTCGCAGTCGTCTTGGAGCAACGGCAACGGCAACAGCACCCCGACCACCAGACCTTCCATCCATCTATGCAGACTCCAGATTTCAGATACCAGAGCCTGCAAACAGACTATGCCCTGATCCCCACCGAAACCCACACCACTTCAAGAACGGTCCGAGCAAGAATATCACGTACCTTTTCAAACAACTTCCCAAAACTCAAACTGATCATCCCCTTCCCACTGGCCTCGTCGGGCGCCCCGGGGTCAGTGGGAACATAAAGACCAGGTATGCCAAGTCCTCCACAAGGCCTCGTTGCTCTTATCATGGCCTCCAGCACTATATTAGGCTGTTCCTTCTTCCCGCCCGTGTCAACGGCTTGATACCCCACGGCGTCCACCGCGCGGTCAACCATATCGCCACCATTGGCTTTCAGGATCAGATCAACCGCATCTCCCTTGGAGAAGTCGATGGGCGTACATCCAATCTTCTCGGCCGCCGCTAGTCGCTCGGGAACTCTGTCCACCACAAACACGCGGCTCGCACCTCTCAGGACGGCCGAGTACGCTGCCATCAAGCCGACAGGGCCAGCACCCCAGACGGCGATGCTTTCACCTGGCTTGAAGCCGCTGAGAGTGACTCCGTGCCAGCCAGTTGGTAGAATGTCCGCCAGCAGAATAAAGTCGCTCTCGTGTTCTGTTCCGGGTGGGAGCTTGAGGGCGTTGAAGTCGGCGTAGGGGACGCGAATATATTGCGCCTGTCCGCCTGCAAAGGGGATATGATATGTTGTTAGCCATTTCAAGTCCTCCTCTCTTGAGAACTGAAGAGCTTCGTAGAGGGGGAGCATCATGGACGTTGGTGGTTTGGCTCGATTTGGAAAGAGAGTGGGTCGGGGTGGGGCGGAGCGGAGTGGAGCGCCAGAAAGGGAAGTGAAGATTGAAGGAAAGTCCTTCAACGGGTGTCCGTTCAAGAAGAGAAGTGTAAGGGGCAACCTCTTCAAAGGGTTCCGACGCCGGTAATAAAATCAGAACCGCTGTTTCTGTTCCTCTCACTTACCTCGATAAGGCCCCATGGCAACATATCCATACGCACCGCCCGCAAAGCCCGGGTTAACGCCTGTGCAGAACGCAGTCTTGCCTTCTTCACAGTTGCGGCAGCGGCCATCCGCAACGTTGAACGGCATGACTACTCGATCGCCCTTTTTGAGCAGGGTGACTCCAGCGCCGGTTTCTTCGACGATGCCCATGTTTTCGTGGCCTATCCGCGTTGCAGAGCAAGTAATGTCAGCAGCCAGCCTGAAGGGCTATTGCCATCAAGCATGGACATGGATTAGGCAAACCCCTAGACGAATTCATTTGAATTGCTCCATGAGGAAAGAAAGGTAGACCGGAGACCGTAGACGTACCAAAGGTGATTCCAGGTTCGGCTCCAGTTCGTCCTTCATACTGTATCACATTCACATGTTAGCACCGCCTTGAGGAAGTTTGTATTGGTAATGATGAGCGAAAGGAATCGTGATTCGGTAATCAGGCCAAAAGGGCGTGACAGGGAACCAGTCGAGCCATTTGACTCAGGAGAGCCCAAAGGCTCTGAGCAAGAGGAGAAGACCCGAAATTTGGGAACTCACCATATGCAAATCCGAACCACAGATAGCTATATCAATGCATATCACACGATCAGTCAGCCTTTCAAACCCTTCTGGATAAACACTCTGTTGCGCAGATGCCAGGACTGTGAAAGACGACAGATGTCCGAGATACCAGATTGCCATAATTGGCATCCTGACAGCCTTTATATCACCATGCTCACGCTGCTCGCATGGGACTCGAACTGGGGTTCAGACTCAAACTCACCAGCCGTTGTGACCTTGACCACCACATCATCAGGATGCTCGATAGCCGGCTTCGGCACCTCCTCGATCTTGACCTTGAACGGGCCCTGGTAGTTGACCGCCTTCATCTTGGTCGATCCTGATTCCGAACCATTCTGCGCAACTCGGACTTCGGTGGCGGACATTTTGCAAAGGTAGACAAATAGAAGATAACAACAAGTGTCTCTTGCCTCTGGTGGTCCTTCAGTGATAGTATTCGGTTATCACACAAATGTGCCAGGGCTTCAATTCAATGCTGAGATATCAAACACACAGGTGACAGCAGTCAACGTCGACCTGAGGTACGTAAAGAATCCTGAGGCTTGAGTATTCGATACCGGCAACAACACACACAAAAGTCTCGACTTGTTGTATGTATTCCTTATGATATGGATGGATTGGGGAAAACGGATTCAGTCAAAAAAAACCCAAAGCCAACGGACACTCCGTTCCTCTCACTTACTCTTTATATAGGCAAGGCAGTTGAGCTATCCGTCCGCTTCCATCCCATCCCATCCCGTCCGACCAGGCCTTGGGTCTGACCGGCACTTGTAGGTCCAAGCATCCCCGCTCATCTCAATCAATGATGACGGATTACAACCCGGCTTCGAGAGGAGAAAGGAGAGGAGAGGGGTTCAGCATGTCCGTGGTCCATTCAGGTGCTCTGTTGCTGGCCTCCGAATCATCCACCATCCATAATACCTACCGACAGTTACCTAGGTACCTAACGTAGTAGGTGCCATGATTTCTCATCCCATGGCAAACTAACGACTCCCCAAGATTGGATTGCGGGGTACGAGGAATACATGACGGCCATAGAAGAAGCGGATGCATGGGATACGGCTTTGCCGGGATGCGCCGATAGGTACAATGTACATCATCGTCCACGTGAATGTGAGGAGGTGCCTCTCTCATTGCTGTTTCTCATCCTAACTTGCAATTGTCCAGGGCAGTCCAGTCCTTAACCTACTAGGTGGTATGCACCTTAGCCATGCAGTATAGTAAGTAGAGGATACGACAGGAGCCCTCCTCACTAGCACAGGGCCGTAGATTGCCTTGAGGCTTGGTGTTACCAGCCCACCACTTTCCCGTGGCTTCCTGATACCGTACCTTCCTTGCCTTGCTGAGGTCTCCACCGTGACTGCCACGATACTGTGGACACTGGGTAGATGGATTATTACCTTCTCTTTCCTGGTAGAAAGATAGAGAATACCATACGCAAGTCATGCCCACGCTTGCGCTGCCTTCACACTTGGGGCCAGCCCTTTGAGAAAGTTGAAACATATGGCAATGGATCAATACATGGAAGACATGGACAGCAAGACAGAGGAAGATGCCTGCCAATGGCCCTGATGCCGAAACCTTTATTAGGTTTCTCGAAGAAAGGCTGATCCATACCTCTCCGCGACACCACGATAAGACTATCGTCTCCGAGACCACTATGCTCGGCGGCATTGTCAACCTCAGCATATACCTCACAGACGAATAGAGAACTAGGGGTTCACGCCGTATATGCGAAGCAAGGTATGGAGCTGGTTGAATGAGAAGGTCAACCAAGGTCGACTTATCAGAGGAGTATGGAGACCTCGTCTTTTCGTCACCTTCACTATCGTGCGAAAACTCGTTGCTTCCTGGTTTCAGGATATCTTTCGATACGGCTGGCCGGGATTTGATGTCTCCATCCCTCATGTTCTCCCGGTCTTGATGATGGTTGCAGCAACTGTCGGATTGGAGATTTTCTCTCTCAGGACAAGCATCACGCGGGTTTAGGCTTCTTCATGAAGCTCGAGGATATCCAGTTGACTCTGGACGGTGGCGAGTGTATACCAGAGATTGTTTCTGCTCTTGTCACACTGAAGTACGAGAAGGGGGAGAAGTAAGTATTGTCTGGAACGTTTCCTCTCCTACTTCGTCGCTAATCATCTCCTTAGGAAGTCTCGGGATCACCGGACTCGACGGGTTGAGTCGTTCAAAGAACCAAGCCTCAAGACCGTCGATCTCGTCCTAATCCTCCTCGCCCACGGCCTCCGTTATGGCTTGTTCAAAGACGGCGCTACATTGGACAAAATCCTTACAGCGGCCAAAGCCCGTGGTGACCGAACTCTTCGATGGAAACATCCTGAATACCCCTTCATTCCCACCATGACTCGCCCAAGGGCTGGAATATGGATACTGTCAAGCCCGGCAAGTTATGAACAGATATGGAGTACTATCCGCAATATGGGTAACAATTCTGGATACCTACCACCCATCCTATTCTCCTAACATTTGCCGAGGTGCTGCGAAGGATCTTGTTCGACTCCAGAAGGACATCATCACTATAGCAGACGGTGGTGCCTCGAGAGCTCTAGGACATGGCGATCCGCGGTCCACTAGATGTTACAACGGACAAGAGGATGAGGCACTCGGCAAGCACAAGACTAAGCTACCAACCACGGCCATTGACAAACGGATTGTTCAGTCGGGCAATGCGTACCGAAAGCTCACCCGGCCCGATATAAAACTGTCGATCAACGGCTACTTGATACAGAACTCCGACGATGTTTATAAGGTGTTACCGCCTTCCTGCTTGCGCACCTTCCCTACAGGCACGGTGCCACCTGCCTACCATGGATTCATGGTAGCTGGATAGATTAAATAGCTTACCCCTCCTCTCCTGGTAAAGGAGAAGAGGACATACACAATTCATGCTACTACTTGCGCTGCCTTCACATAAGGGGACGACAAGACCTCTCAGTTTCTTCCTCTCACCCAAGCCAGGCAAAGAGAACGATGGAAACCACGAATGGAAGGCAGTACGAGTCCGCTACGCGGTGTCTGCATTGAGGCAACATCGCCAACAATGGGAAAAGACACAAAACGGTCCAAAAGACCAACAGTCGGATATCTACAAGCGGTTCAAAGGAAAGGATTGGGTTCCATCGACCAGACTATTATCTTCTTCTACTACTCGACCATCCTCTTCCATCCAACTCAATGATGACAACAGCAATCTCGACCTTGACGGGGATACCCTTATCCCTGACGTTCTGGACCCTGCCCTCTTCGAACCATTCGATCCTGATGTTGACGATGAAGATGAGAAGTCTTGCGAACTCTGGGATACACTGGAGTCGGCGAACATCAAGGAGTCGGCTACTAGTACATTGGCCCACGACGAGCAAGGGGAAGACCTTACTATGCAGAGTTTGGAGATGCTCTTGACGGATTTGCAACACTATCTTGCTGCTATGGAGAAGGAGGAGGTTGATCCTCTGAACCTCTCACCTGTCGAATTTGTCCACTACTTCTCTCGCTACAACATCGTTGTCAACAATCGGATCAAAGGGGGCAAAAGTGCTCCTCTCGAGAATTTCAAAGGCAGGGTCGAATAGGGTACTCCGAGGGACATACTATCGTTGTTCAAGATGATATACTTGTCGACTACAAGCGACTTTTACGGCGCGGGCGTGCACCCCTCGCATAACCAAGGTAGATATCAACTACAGGTCCAGGACTCCCAGGCTCGAGTGCATGGATTTCAAATCTTCTTGGAGGCGGCCACCCTAGCAAGCGTGGACCTACTCGTCACATTATTCCAGGCACTTGTACCGGGTGTGCTCTGAGATCCTATCGTGGGACGTGGATACCTTGGGGCTGGAGGCCGCTACGTGGCTACGGGGCTACCCACGTAGAGCGAGAGTTTGACCCCGGCAAGAGACTCAGGTTCTCCGAGGTCATGATTCGAACGGTTATGAGAGAGGGGCATGGATTACATATGGAAAATGGGAGGTGGGAGGTGAGAGGTGGCAACAGAGCATATACCAGTAAGCAGATAGTGAATATAGCCATATCACAATGATTGGGACAGAAAGATCCAAATGCAAAACTGTGTCCTTAGTGCGAGGCAAAAGAAAAGAAAAAAGAATAGAAACGGACGGGGTGAACTTGCTCGTATTTGACTAGGAAGCAGTCGACATACACTTGCAGCGGCATTGGCTTCGGCTCACTGCAATTCAAGGACTTGGTCGGACGAGACTATCCTGCCTAATTCCTCATGATCTTGTCGTGTCCCTATCTTCTTTCTCCTTCCTCCTATCTGCGCTTCATCTCCCTGCATCCGTGACGAGCCTAGAAAAGGAAGCCTGCAAATTCTCTGCCGAAAAAAACCTCTATCGCATGCTGGATCGGGGGTGAGGTGCTATGTCGAAATGTGTTGGGGGTATACATGATGGTGCATCTGGTTTGGGTCGTGGATGGTGTGGCGATCAGGATAATGGCTGGTGAATATGGTGCCGGAAACTGGGTCAAGGGGTTGCAAGGACAGGGTGGTGGCAGTGATGGTGGTGGTGGTGGTGGTGGTGGTGATTGCTGGTGTTGTGGTACATTGCAAGCAAGGTGGTGGATGTCTCACAACTGGGAAACGCTTGACCGACCGTTGCAGGTAGCCCTTAGTTGCCTGGGATCATTTCAAGGCTTGGTGACGTGCCCCGTCGGAGTGCGAACATGGGTGGCCGTGGTGGGTGTGTTGGGTTGCCGGTTCTGGATCATTTACATATCCATGGAATCATTGCCATTGGCAAAGTTGAACTGGCCTTGAGGTTGGTTCGCACCAAGTGTGAACCCGCTGGCATTGGCTTGTGGTGCGAGCTCTTCAATATCAGCGCCAGCATCCTCTTCATCCGAGAAATACCGCTCAATGATGTTGTAGGCCTTCATGTAGATCTCCTCGTTGGCATTGTTCTGGCAGTCATGGATCTTCTCCATACCACCGGCCTCTTCGATGAACAAAGCATATCGGTTGACCTGGGCCTCAGGGGCGCGTGCATCAGCCGCCTCCTTGTCCATCTCCCCAACCTTGAGAATGTTCTCCAAACCGTCCAAGGCGACTTGGATAATCTTATTATCAGGGCAAGCCAGCAGGTCGCAGAGCGGCTTGATACAGCCCTGTGACACAAGATATCTGATCTGATCCGGCTTCTGGAGACCCCCAGAGGTGGCATTGGAGATGGCCCAGCACGCTTCCTTACGGGTCTTGAAGTCTCCATTAGACAGCAGATGGATCAGAGGAGGAATGATGCCGGCATCGATGACACTCTGGATCTGAGTACTGTTGCCAGCAGTAATGTTGGAGATGGTCCAGCATGCTTCCTTGCGAATTCCATCCTTCTGGGAGCTGAGCAGAGACAGAAGCGCAGGCAATGCACCACAGTTGATAATCACTTGTGTCTGGACGTCATCGCCAGTAACAATGTTTCCAACGGAACGCAATGCAGGGGTTTGGACGGACGTCGAGGCGTGCATGAGAAGTTCGACGAGGCGTCGAGGAATGCCGGCATCAATCACAGCCTGGATCTTGTCGTTGGAACCGTCGGATAAATAGGAGATGGCCCAGCACGCATCGATGAGGACTTCGTCGTCGAGCATGTACACAAGTTTCGCGAGAACAGGGAGAGCGGGGGAAATCTAGACGTTCTGTTAGCCAACCACTCGTTCTGACTACGTCTCGAACTGTACGTACCGTATTCCAGTCTGGCTGCGGAGTCTTGCCACGACAGAAGTTGCTCAAAGTCCAGGTGGCGTTACGGAGCATGCTCAGCTTACGCCCATCAGCGATCAAGTTGAGAAGAGGCTTCAAGGCCCCTTGGCTAAGAACATAATCGCGGCAAGCCGGGCTGTCACCAGCAATGTTACCCAAAGCCCAGACCGCCTGTTCCCTAACATCCGGTTCATGACTGCTCAAGAGTTCAACAAAAATGGGCACTGCACCGGCCTCAATAACCACCTGTGTCTGTGCTGCGGAGCCGGAGGCAATGTTTGTCAAGGCCCAGGCTGCCTCAAATTGGACAAGAGTGTGAGGAGAACGGAGGAATTCGACGAAGCGACTAACGACGCCGGTTTCGATGACTTTCTCAATAGGCGGGTTGCGTTCTTTGGACAGGAGTTTTCGGAATTTGGTGGTGGCTTGGATCTGGGCGTCAATCTGATCTGAGAAAACCCCCTTGACCATTTCAGGCAGTTCTGTGCTGAGCTGATGGGAAAAGGTCAGAAGCGGCTACAGAGGAAATAGGGATGTTAAAAGATCGACTCACCTCGCTCTCAATGTTGCCGGCTTCATCGTCGCTGTCCGCCTCCGTAAGGCCGCCGATTCCGATCTCGCCATTTCCACGCTGAACCCCTCTTCGTTTGGCTAGATTCTCCTCTCTCTTCTGACGACGGATTTCGACCTGCTGTTCCTCACGTCGGCGACGCAACTCATCGGGCTTGAAGGTGTTTTTGGCCTTGAACTGGGTGCGACGATGTTCTGGGATGTATCTGTCCGCCATGACGAAAGATGATTCAGGGAAACAGACACAATCTGGTCTCAAATGGCCGATGTGGAGAGTGCAACTTGTCCCTAAGCGATGCTAGATAGGACAAGGACTGCAAATGCGAATGGAGGAGGAGTGACTGCGCAGGCTGTCAGTGATAAACAGAGCGCCAGGGTGGATAAAATGGGCAAATTGATGAAGGTGCAACTTCAACTTCAACTTCAACCTGCAGTGAGTGCAAACCGTCGTAGCGGCGGGTTCAAGTTTTGGGCGCATGCCACCAGGCTTGGCGCAAGGTCACGTGCCTGCGCGTTCCTCTCGCTCCTCGTATCGCCGTTCATTGTCTCATCAACGCGTCTAAGCGCGACCGTGCGTTCTCTACTCTGTCTGTACACCAACCATCGTCGTACACCACGCTGGAGACCATTTCTGTAACGTGCGGAGAAGATGAAGTCGCTCTGCTGCGCGTGATACCCGTGCATAGCATCTCCCGAAGACGACGAAATGGACTCAGTCCCTATTCCGACGGGTTGCATCCCCTTAAACGATGCCTTCGATCATGCCGAATTCTACAGTGTCATCGGTGTCTGCGTGGACTATTTCGAGGTGACGAAATCCAGGGGCACCGACTACATGACGACGCTCAAGTTGCACGATGCGACGTGGAACAGAGAAAATGGGTCGGGTATGAATTTCCGCCTTTTCAACGGGAACCCTTCGAACCTACCTGTCATCGGCGACCAAGGAGACGTGGTTATCTTCCGCAATTTCAAGAACATCAATCGCGGCGAGACCATGGGCATCTCCAACCGCGGCTCGAAATGGGTTGTCCTGCCAGCCACGGCGTTGGCCTCCTGTGATAATTTGCAGGATATGCACCGCCGTGCTACATGGTCCGGGAAAAACAATCCCAGCATTCCGTGGGAATTTGATATATTCAGCGAAGACGAGTTGCGGTATGCGAAATGGCTAGCAGACCAAGAAGATCCTAGTCAATGGCGCCCAGTGCTTGCCTCTACAGCGCTGCAGCGTGAGCATATCATGTCCACCAATGGAGGCAACCCGCCGCCTCGCGGCCAGAAATTCCGCTTGATAAAGGACCTTGAGGTGTCTTACAACAGGACTGGAACATATGCGGACCTTCTAGGGGAAGTGCGACACATTTACTCCGACGACTATAAAACTGACTTGCGTTTGACTGACTACACGACAAACGAGGGTCTATACGAGTTTCGCTTCGGTGACCCTGAGGCCGGCCGGGATGGTGATCTTTACGGCTACACAGACGATTCTAACAAGAAGTGGCCTGGTCCATGGGGGAGGATGACCATGACTCTGACTCTGTGGGATGCTCACCATAATTACGCCCGAGCCAATGTCAAAGAGGGCACTTTTGTGTACCTGCGCAACGTGCAGATCAAATTGGGCAGGAACGGGTCAAATTTGGAAGGATTCTGTCGAGGAGACAAAGATAATCCCAGCAGATCAAACGTCGAGGTGAGGAAGCCGCATGAGGCGCAAAGCGATGACCACATGAAATCCCTCCTAATCCGGAAACGAGAGTATGAAGAAAAGGCGAAGGCAGAAAACATTCGCTTCATACGGAATGCTCAGGCGGTGCAAAAGAGGCAAGTCGAGGAAGCAGACGAGCCAAAGAGTAAGAAGGCTCGCCTGAGAAACCGCAAGAAGAGGGAGAATAAAGTAAAGCATGATACTGGACAACGACCGGAAGGATCTGCGGCCGACACTGGGAAGTCTGTGGCCAAGTTGAATGGCAACGTCCGCTGTGAAAATGTCAATGTGCCTTGCAAAACGGTTATAGACATCCTCGATGACGATAACCTGGTACGCACAACGGCCCAGGGCACCACCTTCAAGCTTCCATTTCAGAACTGCAGGTACAGGGCGAACGTCAGGGTGGTGGATTTCTTCCCGGATGACATCGCCGACTTTGCTGCACCTCGAGAATACTCGGAGTACGATTACTTATCGGACGGCGACAACGGCCGCGACTCAGACATCGACCTCAACCAGGGTGGTGGAAATGATGTGAGTTGGGAATGGCGTTTCTTTCTGCTCGTCGAGGATGCTCGGCAGCAGCAGGCATCGCGAGACGGCCGGCCTGCGCGCATGGAACTGCTGGTTGCCAACACTGACGGCGACTACCTCCTCAACATGGAGGCCTGCGATTTGAGGAGTGATGAAAATGCGCGTGAGCTTGCGAAAGTGAAAGAGAAGCTGTTCCATCTATGGGGCGACCTTCAGGAAAAAAAGGAAGAAACCGCCATGGCCGGAGGGTCGAGTTGGAAACCTAGCGCCAGGCCTTTCCAGTGCCTGATAAAGGAGTATGGAGTGCCAACACGGACTGCCGGTGGACGGTCCAGGGACAGCTTGTCGTATGAAAGAGTATTCGGGTTGTTCGGAACGACAATCTGAGAGAGCGCTTTGGACACAAATCGATCAGATGAAAGACGGTGAATACCGCAACACCCTCAAGGATCGGAACGCCTGCTCATCTCCTGTGCCAACGCTTTCCTCCTCGCCACAAAGCAAGAATCGACGATCAACACATTGCGACAAAGTCCCATCACAGACCTGGAAAATGCGAGTGTTTGAGCGAGGACCATGTCGGCCTACGCTTATGTTGAGCCCTCTAGACTCTCTGTCTTAGTAAGAAGGAAGTTATCAGAGGCGAATGACTGCCAAAAAGGGACGCTGTCTGAGTTCGGTCAACCGATGGCGATCTGAACATTTTTGGGACAGCCAACGGGCCTAGTCGCGGCTTGGGTTGACTCGCAGGATCCATGGCATCCTGGGAGCACACTGTTGTGGAGCCGGTGCGCAAGTACATTCTTGGGCATCCCGTCAGCGGCGCGACCCACGCTCATGATGCGAAAGATATTGAATGCATTCACTTGCAGAGGTTCCACCAACCACCAACCATTCGAGCCAGTATCAGCGGCTGAGCAGAGAAAATCTGGGTGGTCTGCATCGTCGCAGCTATAGCTGCATCAGGTTATGTGTCGCATCGTCTAAGACCCCGAGCCTCAGACCTAGTGGCACAATCCATCGAGGGTGTGAAACTGCAGCGACGTGACCTACTCTACTGCATGCGAAGGTTGCAAACTCACCATGTGGTGTATGCCATCGTCATCCTGGAAGGGAAGGTCCTATTGTTTTACCGGCGAAAACGATGTCATGATGCCGCATGATGGAGACAAAACTCGCGTTACGAAACGCTGAATGCTACCCACTTTGAAGTCGCGAAGTTTTCCCAACAAATTGCAACGCAAATGAACACGAGGATCGAGTAAATGCTTCGCCTAGGGCACGTTCATGTTGCAATGTCGTTCGATTTGGATATGCCATTACGTGACTTGTACGACAAGGACACTGGACGTCGGCGTTGAGACCGTTCCCTCGTTGAGGTGTGGTGTGTTCGTTCTCAGGGGCATATGGCTTACTTGCTTCCTCCCAATGGCTAAGCTCAGCATCAATGCTGCCAGGATAGCCTGATGGCTGCAGATGCATGCTTAGAGAGGAGAGCGGGCTGGGCCTGGCATAACGACCGTCGTCGTCGAACCAAGGCCTGGAGGACTTGCGAAGTCGCATGCCCGGCCTTATCGTTTGTACGATTTGTACGGCAGACAAACTGTTCAGGAATGCCGCACATCCAATCACGAACCCGGAGACTTGGGAGCGGCTCAGCCGCTAGGTGCGTCCGATTCTCGTACTTCCACCACGCCCGGACAAAGGACGGCGGCTGCAATCGGCTAAAGCTGGACATTGGGCTGTACTGCAGTTCAATGAAGTACTTGCCAGCTTTATGAGCGCGGACTCCACTCGCCTTCTCAGGCTCGGGCGTTGTCCGATTCACAGCTTCTGGTTGCGTGCATTGTGTTCTCATGGAGCCACAACAGGGTGGGGTTACTGCAGAAGAGCTGCCTCAAGCATCATGATCAATTGGGAACGTGGATGTCCACTTGATCTGCAAAAATTCTAATCCCTCGATGCTCGGTCGAGTCAGTCAAAATAGCCCCTCAGTTGACCCTCGCCACAGATCTGTGGTCCTCTAGCCTTTGGCAGACTCTAGACTCTGCGGATCAGTCGCCAGTCATCTTGAAGCCCGCACCCTCCGAGGAATGCTCAAGGGTATCTTGTTTGGCTCCGTCAGTGGTCTTGAAGCACAAGAACGACCCTCAGCCGCTGATGTAATGCGCCTGATCATCGACTTCGTTGACGGCGTGCGAAAGGTCCATGCCGGTCTGGAGGATCAATACTGTGTATGTAGTTGCCTATGAGTCTGGGCGAAATGATCACCCAATTGCATTCGGACGACAGACCTCAACTTCGAATGTTGCCGGCACCTGGGGAATATGCAGGGAGGAGCATCGATCGAAGAACTTTGACGGCCAGGATCAGAGTGCCTTTCTTCCCGTCCCGACCGCCCTAGCTATGTGGCCATGCAATGTTTGTGGCCTGCTGGACATTCAATCCAATCAGCCACACAAGACACAATCGAGCTAAACAGCGAGGCCAGCCTCCGTTCGGCGCCAATTTGAGTTGTCGGATGCCGCTGGTCGTTACGGCTCAGAAAGTTAAGCGTACCTCGTGGAGTCCCAAGGCCAACGTGGAGGGTCAGGTGTTCACATCGAAAGATCGTTTCAAGCCACGGCTATTGGCCGAGCCTTGAAATCTTGTGGCGGCCTTTTGTGTACATCTTCCTAAGGTCTTGCTCCAGAGTACTCCGAGTCCCTGTGGCCACTTGCCAAGGACTGGTCGCTATGTCCACGTCGTGAGACTGTACGACTCGTGTACAGAGCCACGACGCCGCCACCAGGATCTGTCTAGACTCTTCACCGGACAGTACTTCCAGTCAGGACGCCCAAAGATCAAGCAGTCATGTTGGCCCTTCACCATGAGCGGGACCCTGTATGACAACGCTCAGGCTCATACTATGGCAGTCATACAATGGGACAAGGTGTTGTCCTTGAAAACATCCGCAGCCAGCAGAAGTTTGACTGCCTCAACTTCTGATGCATTCTCCAGGAAGGACACGAGGCCATTTTCTCTCTGCCGCGTGGTAAGAGCATCTACCCAGCAGATTGTGCAGTGAGCAGTGACATAGGACTCAACGTAAGCGATGGACACTTGTTAGGCCTGATAGAGTTAGGCTAAGGAGGACCATTCATGGTCACTTTAGCCTTGGGGCTGGAGACCGCCGATCGTGGGAATGGCGCCGCGCCTTGTCTGTGTTGGCTACAGCACATCCATCCCCGAGCCGTCTCATGACCACCCCAGATTTGCACTCGGTTTCAGGAATAGAACAGACACACGGACTAACTTCTTGACAAGGGGGGGTGCACTGGTGCAGGAGTGACTTCTCTTCTTCACATACAGAGTCGAGATGGTTTGTGTACACACAGAAGGCTTTGCCATCTTTCCAGTGCCCGATGCAGGAAGGTGGATGGTGGAAGAAGGCAAGATGATCCCAGTCAAAGTCAGGCTAGCTATGTTGGATGTCGCATGCGCGGATAATCTTCCTTTCCCTGGAGGTCGCTGTGGCTGTGGAAGCTATGGACGCCGGATGTTGCGGACCTTGTTGAGCACGTATGGCGTCAACAGGCATCCATCCCCGTAAGACATAATTTGACTGAGCACTTTTGTGAACGGTGTGGAGAGAATGAGCTACCATACTCGGCTCTCTTTTGATATCTCATCTCGTGCGTGAATTCTAGCTCTTCGAGCGCGGCATGATCGTTGGCAGGACCTGGAGACATGACTGCGCAGTTCGCCTCCGGGTTGTTTGTGACAGGCAGGGTCAAGGATGAGTATGTGACAGCCGCCAACGGCAGAGTAGCTTCAAGATTTGGAACGGAGCCGCCGCAGTGGGTGCACAAGGATCATCGAAGGAGCAACTCATGAGGGAGCATTTCGGACTAACGTGCACCGGGGTCAAGGACGGGCAGCCCTCGAAAGATGTGACCACTGCGAAAGTGTATCGTGAGGTTGTAGCTGTAGACGGACTCGGCCTCCGATTCCTCAATCTGCACGACCGGCTGAGAGGACAGTTGTGGATGTGGATGCGAACGAGAACAAGACCTGGGAATTGAAACTGTCCACTGCAGTTCGGCGCTCATCATTGCCATTGGTGTACTCCCAGCTAGATGTGCCACCGAAGGAAACGGGAAGTCTGCTTGAGGTACCTTGGGTAGGAGACAGGCAGAGAGAGACAGGCCACGAGCGTTGATCTCAGAACCCCGGAGATGAGCTGCATACGTTAGGGAGGGTTACCTGCGTTAGCCTGAGAACAGTCTGGAGCATGGAAAGCACCTGGGGAAATCCCTGACTACTCTCCAAAAGTCAAGCTGCTTGACCAGGGCGGCTTTGCACTTGGTCTATCCTGTATGCGGTATACTATTAGGTGGCTAGACACCTTTGAAGATTAAGTGGTAGGGTCGGAGTCGAGCGTTGGTTGGCAGAGGCGGCACCTTGTAGGCGAGCAGGACGCTGGCAAGGGCCGTGGAAACCCGCTAGATGGATGACCGACCAGAGCATCAACGTGGCTCGCAACAGCCAGCGAAGGGATTTTGTTCTGTTTCTGTTTCTGTTCCTGTTCTGTCGTGTTCGCGCAGCTCAGCTGTCACGTCACGGTTTGGAAAATGCTGGGAAGGCAGATGATTCGCAGCAAAAAATTCAACAGGCGAGCAAGTTTATTGGGTGGTGGATCTCCACTTGGAGTTGATTGCTTCTGTCTTGGTTCCTGCCTGGTTAGGTGAACTCGCTGCCTAGGGGCCCAAGTCTCAGGTACCTCAGCTTGAGAGCCTGCTGAATCCGAACCTGGGGTCCTACCTACCTCTTGAGGTACCTACGGTGGGTTCCTAGGTTGACTTGCAGGGGACATTTTGGCAGGAAAGGTTAGATGGGCAGGTAGGAATGTCGTCCGTTGTGTTAGATTTCGGGGTCCAACCCCCTGTGGCCTGGGGGATCTGCTCCCCACTCAGTGGGCAGTGTTCTGACAAGTTTGGACTTCAGATCTGTGGAGCTGGGAAGTCGTCCTGTGACCATGACCAGCCCCACGGCTACCCATCGGGGCTGCGAACCACTGGCACCCAGCTATCACTGCCATCATTGTCCAGAGCACGGATATGGAACTCCCACAGTCTCACGACTCGATATACGCAGCAACAGTGAACAACATCTATCTACCTAATGAAGACGTCGGCCGACGAGAGACCTATTCGTAGCGGCCTTTTGGATATTGTCATACTAGTAATCAGTACTATGGAGCTGGACGAACTTGATGTAGACGTAGTTACAAATTGATACATTATCATTTGCTCGTCTTTCAGCAGACACGAAAGAAAACTGCAATTGAGCTGCGTACCTACCAACTAACCTACAGAGGAGACTATTTCTTACCCTACAATAGTACTACTGTCACTCAATAGCCGTTCCTGGAAGTACTCGGATGCTGCTAGTGGTGGTACCTCCGGTGCAAAAATTTGGACGGTGCACGGCACCAGTCCAGCATGGCAGTGCTCGGACTGGCTCACCTAGAGTTGCGAAATTGTGAAGCTGAAGCTGCAGGATGCAGTCACTGTACTCTCTGGTGGTGGGGAGGCGACGTACGCTAACCCACATTTAGGGGTCCTTAGGGCTCTTGAGGCCTATAAGGAGCCGACCAGGATTCAATTTAGCCTGCCTGGGGTTTGTGCCTGGGGTAAATGAACGGCAAGAGTCCGCTGTGGGTTTGTGCCGCTGTGGTGCGCCAATTATCATCAATCCACTCACTACCACTGCCACTGCCCATCCAATCCGCCTGGAGCCAGCACCCGGAGGCGGACGGCGACCCTCAAGAATCCACCTAAAGGTGCCGCCAGAGAGCGAACAACCGCGACGACTATCACCGCCACTACAACCGAACGCTTGCTTCAATTCATTCACGTTCAAGTGGTCGACCGCACTGCACCCCTCCATCCCTCATTTCATTCTATCACGACCTCGAAACTGGTGCATTTTGTAAGAGAAGACCTGCTTCCTTCACACTGTGCTCGCTCATCACTACCGCACCAGACAGCCGCCGGTGCTGCAACCTCGGAAAGCCCACGAACTTGTGGCCCAAGTTGAGCCACTCACGTCGAGTCTTCTCCTGCAAACCGTTTGTCTTGAAGACCCCTCCGCAGGCATAGCTTCTACCCCAGACTTACCTTGTCCATCATACCTACTACTACGCAACGATCCTCGGTCTGAACGACCCTGCATTTGACCGGCGTCCTTCAAAGGCGCGGCGACCGTCCAGCCCACTACGATTCCATAACAAACGGTTTCCTGCCTGACACGACAGTCTACCAATCCTACCGCTCGTCGTTACGGTGCAGACGCAACGCCGCTGCTAACCACTCTCAATTCCCATCCCACCTACCACCTCCAAACTCTGAAAAGGCTGGTCGACCTGCTTTGCCCGTACCATACTCTCAGAAATTCCGCCAGTCTCCCCGGAATATCTGTCTCTCTGGTGTATCATACTTACCTCTGTACCTCTTAGGTGAGTCTATTGATAGCCCAAGTGAGGGTGCCTCAGATCTGTCCATGGGCCTAGCCTAGCTCAATACTCGCTTCAAACGCTGATATCGCTCGCAGGGAAAATTCTGGTCCATGTTATCTGGGCTTTGGCGATTGAACTTCACGACTTTCTCCTTCTGGCTTGTTGTATAGTTTTACTTGGACCGCGATCTGAGATTCCGTTCTCTGGCGTTGCCGTGTGACACTACGAAATTTGTGAATTTGTGCCGCTACCAGTCGACGGCATCCTCCCGTCATCGCCAGCCGCGATCGATTCCCTCTCTTGCTGCACGACAGCGAGTACATGGCACGCTGAGTTCAGAACTCGAGACGTCTCCCAATCAATAGGACAATCAGCTGTCAGGATCTAGCATATGTTAACCGATCAAACGTGCCAGTGTCTCCTGTGGTCTGCGTGATTATCGGGACGAGAAGACTGAAGAGCTTGGGCTTTGTACAAGACTTACTATACAGTCAGCAAGCTTAAAGGCCTCCTGAGCAGATGGCAGCTGCTTTTAAGGATACAAGGCCGGATATGGCTGTCATGACCGCAACTTCGCCTGAAGTCGGCTCGGCCGAGAATATGGATGTCAACGAGCCTGGAATGGGTAAGTTAACACAGATCGTTATCCTCTTACTTTCTCTAAACCTATGCCAGTTCCCCCTGAGAGCACAGCTCCCTCCACGAGCGAATTCGTCGCCCCCATTCAGTCATCGAAGTCAAGGTTCCCTCCTCCCAAAACGGACAAACCCCGCCCACACGTGTGTACCACCTGCATGCGGTCTTTCGCTCGTCTGGAGCACTTGAAACGTCACGAGCGATCCCATACGAAGGAGAAACCATTTCAATGTCCAGAATGTGCGCGATGCTTTGCCAGGCGGGATCTGCTGCTGAGGCATCAACAAAAGCTCCACTCGTCCACCACTCCGTCCTCGCGTCCCCGGGCTGGCCGGCGAGAAAGTGCTGCTGGAGTGGCCACCGGGCGTGTGCGCAAGAATTCCACGGCAAATGGGGCACCTTCGATGAGGCCCAGGGCAAATACTCTCAGTCACGTGGACTCTTCTACCATCGGCATGCTGGGTGACTCGACTCGAAGCCTAGGTCGCACGTTCGCACCTGGCCAGGATCATCACAACAGTGTGGGCAGCTTGTCTTCGCCTTCGGGTTACGCCTACCGAGGTGGAATTGCCAATAGCCAAAACTTCCATCTTCCCAAGCTAGACACCCAGGGGCTTCCCGTCGATCTTTCCAGCGGCTTGCGTACAGCGCCACCTTTTGGGGGCTTTGGTGCTGAGTTTGGTATGAACTTGGATTCGGACCAGGGGGATACTATCAACCCACACGCGCTCCATATGACCGGCCTACATGGTCTAGGGTTGGATCCCTCATCCGTATCCTTCCAACAAATGTTACATGGGATGGCAGCTTCTCATGCTATTGCTGACGATGACACGAGCTTTGACTGGATAGCACAAGGGTTCGAAAACCAGATGTCCTTTGTGCAGGCCAATGAGAATGCAATAGACGACTCTTCCCCTTCGGCAATGAGTACCAACAGCCCGCCGGGTATGAACGATTTCACAAACGACCCAACCCTTACAGCAATGCAACAAACTGCAGCTTCCAGTAATACTCTGTGGCCTAACACCCTCACAACGCAGGGACCTATGGTGAACAGTCCTCTCAGCATGGATCTGATGTCCAACTTCACAGAGATGATGCATGGCCCAGTCGAGACCATCTCCCCAAAATCATTGTTGCCCCATGGGACAACATTGGACATGAACCTACCAACTCCTCCCGAATTTGGATCCCTAGACCTGTCGGCAATGCAGGCTGGGATGCACTTCAACGGGTTTCAATTACCACTCATGACGGATGGCCCCCTTTCCAGCTCATCGACTGCATCCATGGATAGCAGCCTTCATCAAAGTTCGGTGACTACGATGTCTTCGGAGTTGGTGAGTGACCATGTTCGGAACGTTCTGATCGCTGGGCTTTCCCAGGATGCCGGCTTCGGACAGCGGAGGTACTCGCAGTCAGCAACCAACCCGCGGCTGTCTCCTGGCTCTGGCTCTCGCACGACAGGGTTCAATGCGAGCACATTCCCGAGCACCTACGACCTTCAGCGGTACGTAACGGCGTACATGAAATACTTCCATCCTCACCTTCCGTTTCTCCATGTTGCTTCTCTCAACTTCGAATCCCCGGAATATTCAACTCCTATCCGGTTGGTATCAAGCCAATCGCAGTTCGGCAAAACAACCGTCGCCGGCGGAGGTAGCTGTCTCATATTATCGATTGCAGCTATCGGCGCGCTGTACGAACACGAGGTTTCGCAGTCCAAAGGCCTATTTGAAGGTGCGAAGCGTCTCATCAGCAGCTACCTGGAAGAACGGCGCAAATCCAACATGACCAAGACACAATTTGCCCCACGACATTCTACCGAAAGAGACGACACACCGCTTTGGCTAGTCCAGGCTATGTTATTGAACGTGATATACGGCCACAATTGTGGTGACAAGACTGCCGCCGAGTTGGCGAGCAATCATTGTGCAGCCCTGGTCAGCCTTGCACGTGGTGCCGAACTTGCGCGGCCTTCGCAATCGGAGGCCGGGCATCAAGGCCCCTCCGCCGGCAACTATACGACTGGAATGCTGCACAACGGGTGGAATACCATGCTCATTGAGACGGACGACTCTGACTGGCTGGAGTGGAAAGGTACAGAGGAACGCAAACGGACACTGTATGCTGTCTTCATCCTCTCAAGCATGCTGGTGACAGCATACAACCACCCTCCAGCCCTCACGAATTCCGAGATCCGCCTCAACTTGCCATGCGACGAAGAGCTCTGGGCAGCCGAGTCAGCTCAGGCGTGGCGGAATCTGGGAGGGACCGCAACCGCAGAGGCCAGCTGTGCCACCTTCGCCGATTCGTTGACCCACCTTCTCATGGCTGCTCAGCGGCAGAGGCAGCATAGCAGCGGCCACGGTTCACACGGACCTGCCAATGAGCCACAGCTCAAGCCCAGTACGTTTGGCTGCCTGATCTTGGTCAACGCTTTGCACAACTATATTTGGGAAACTCGTCAACGACATCTGGGACGGCAATGGAACACCAGCGAGACCGAACAAATGCACGCTCATATTGAACCAGCACTCCGTGCATGGCAAGCTGCGTGGGCGAGCAATCCTAGCCACAGTCTTGAGCGCCCAAATCCTTTTGGGGCAGGCCCTTTGTCTGCTGATTGTATCCCTTTGCTCGACCTTGCATACGTGCGCCTCTTTGTCAATTTTGGAAGGTCGAAGGAAGCCTTCTGGCAGCGTGACTACGATGCAATGGCCGAAGAACTTGCCAAGGGTCCGGAGTCCAGTCATGGCTCTGAAACATCGGCCGGGGCAAAGAGCCATGCTTCTCCGGTCAGCAAACTGGAGGATAAGGGCGAGGGCCAGACAATATCATCTACGCAGGCTGAGGCTGACCCGGACATCCTTCGAAACCTCGGAGCGGAAGTTGGAACGTCTCAGCAGTCGCGGCGCGAGCGGTATCTCCGAAAAGCAGGCTTCTACGCAGCGGATTCGCTGTCAATGTCCGACCGACTGGGCCTCGGCTTTGTAGAGCATACTTCTCGGGAGCTGCCAACGCAGTCAGCCATGTGCGCATTTGACTGTGCGCAGGTGCTGGCTGAGTGGGTTGCGACTGTGCAGGAGCGGGTAGGGAAGTATCTTGGAGTCATTGGTCGAGATGAAGTGAACCTGATGGAGGTGCCTGGTATCCTACTCCTGGAGGACGAAGATAGGAAACTGATTCACAAGATCACGGAGATCCTGAGCAGTGCTGAGGCGAAGCTTGAATCACGAGGCGGTTTCGACCTTGGAGGTGCTCGAGAAGGCGGACACGGAAGCAGGATACTGGTGCTAACAGCACGTCTACTTGAAAGAGATGCTGTTTGGCCAGGTGAGTGCCGCCATTATATCGTCCTGGATGGCAACCTATACTAACCCCAACATGCAGTTTTCAAGCTCATGGCCCGTTCGCTCGAGACTCAAGCCGGGCACATCAAAGAACGAGCATTGGCCTCTGTGGCTCATCCCTGACGCTACGAATCATCTGCAGCAGATGGCACAGGGCGGCTTTCGGCTGCACTTTTCGGTTTCGGGAACGAGCTCGACTCAAAATGATGTGGCGGTACATATGAGTTGTGAGGACATACGATTGCAACATACCCCTTCACATACGATAACTACGAGAACAAATTTCGGATGCGATCAGTGGCCTGGGTTTGCAAAAGTGCGGTATTGTTGATATTTCCATGGAGGTACCATCGAGCAGGACGGAAAAAATTACATGCGATCGCTACACGAGATTCTTTTTTGAATCACTGCGGTGAGGCGATCGCGGGACCTGATGGTACAGGTAGAAAGTAGGTACAGACGCCCGAAGACAGGCCATCAGCTTGTCCAAGAATGGCTCGCTATAACCATCTGGATGACTCCAAGAGCATCGCCACTAGCCGAGATGACCGGTGGAAAGAGAGTCAGGCTTGGATATGCCATGAATGAAAGATCAAGGGACGGCGCGTGTGCTGGTGGGCTCTTTGAAGGCCGAGACTATCAGACTCAAAGCTCCAAGACGATGTTCCTCGGTAGATGAACAGTGCTTGCGTCCCGTCAATGACTTTCCATCAAGACCTGCAGATAGGTATACAGTGCGTGCGTAGCTTCAACCTTGTTCCAGCGTTGGAAGCGGCCACATCTGGGTGCAAAAAGTACGTGGGATTCGTAGCGAGAGAAGGACCTTGGTTAGGTTCTTTCGGTGGTCGACGGACGGTAGGGGGTTAGGAGGCAGCCATCTAGCTAAGGTAGGACCAGCAGCTCAGTGTCAAGATGAAGCGAGTTGGAATAGGAGAGAGCACGAAGCCTACAGTCATTAAATTGCGAGATAGAAAGGTACATGTAGGCTCTTCGGCCGAATATCAGAATGATGAGGTCGACGCAGCTGTCAACCGTCGAGGTCGTCCCACTGCACTGTATCATGGCGCGTCAGTTCCAAGGATGCCAAGCCCCGTCGGTGTCTTGGATCGGGCGAATTTGGGAGGCTGCGGCACCCACGATTATTCTTACTAGTATGATTGGGCGGCGCAGCCGTGGACAGGCATCTCCAGGCGTCTCCAGGCAATCTTCAGCCTCTTAGCCATCACCGCTTCACCTATTTGATGCCTAGGTACGGAGTTATGACCTATAACCCCAGCTTGTCTCGCTGTTTGATTCCACCACTGCCGCCTGTCACGACGTACTACCACTACAGAGTACTGTCTGGGCCTTCGACCAGGTGCTCTATCACTCTACCACAGGCCGAATACACACGGGTATCCTTGTGAGGCTTCATCTTGTTGAACTGGCCGTGAAAAGACCCCAAAAAGCGAACACGTCTTACTACGCACCTCCCACTTCCCCCCTCCCTCCCCCCACAGGCTTCGACTACTTCCGCAGCCGGCCGGCTACACAAGGACACTATAGAACTTTCGACACTACTCCATAGTCACCAATCACCCCCAAGAGACGACAGGCTGTGCCTAAGGAGCCTTCCGAGAATCTGGCTTGCGGTGGAGTGGGGTTGGTTCGCACGCCGGAGACGGAGACGAGAATCCTCAGCCCAGGCCCGTGACAGGGATCTCTTAATCTCTGATCAACACGCCGAGTCCTTCAACTTCGACACTTGCTCGCTTCTCTCGCTTTGCTTTTCCTCTCGCCGCAACTTGGCAGACAGTCTTTGCTTTTCTTTTTCTTTTCTTGAGGGCATCAAGCTCTCCTTGGCCTGAGCGAGCTTCGATCACTACTCCTCTGGTGCATCCAACTTGATCCTCGTACGAGTCTGTCGCGCTCCTCCGTTCGTCCATTGCAACTATCCTGTTCGCTTGCAAAATCCGCTTTTATCGGTCCTTACTTCCTCTTCACCGAGGACGAAGCCAGAGCCTTTGTCTGCCTCCGGTCTTTCACTCTTACACGGCTTCTCGGGCCGCTGTCCTTGAGCTTCGGCTTTGCAGCTATTGCACGGCCTCACCGTTTCTCGAATGCGGCGGATAATACACTACGACCTTAACCCCAGAGAAACCAGTGATTGGGGATAACAATTACACTTTCGAAAATAAGGGTGGTCTTTTGCGGATTTAAAAGAGCGGCCTATTTTATACCAGATCTTTCGGAGGAGTCTGTCACCCTGTCCGAGTTTGGAATCTAGCCACTGGACCTCAGCACGATCGACGCGCAATCAGTCGCCGTGGGCTTGACACCCAGACCCAAAGTCAGCCGGCCCCAAGATGGCGTGGGATCATTTGTCCATCAACAAGCCGCATCTGGTCTACATCATCCTAGGCGGGTTTACCAGCATTTTCATGCTCTGCTCGTTGTTCATCAAGGAAAAACTGTACATCGGCGAAGCCTCGGTCGCGACCTTGTGCGGTGTTATCTTCGGTCCACATGCTGCCAACCTGATCAATCCCTTGTCCTGGGGAAATACTGATATGATCACTCTCGAGTTCTCCCGCATAGTACTCGTGGTGCAATGTTTTGCCGTCGGCGTCGAGTTGCCCAAGGCCTACATGGAGAGGCATTGGAAATCTGTCGTCTTCCTGCTCGTCCCGGTCATGACCTTTGGTTGGCTCGTCACCAGTCTGTTTGTCTGGTGGATGATAGAGCCACTCACCTGGTTGGAGTCTTTGGTGGTGGCAGCCTGCGTCACAGCCACGGACCCGGTCCTGGCCTCGTCCGTCGTGGGAAAGGGCAAGTTTGCCAAACGTGTCCCCAAGCATCTTCGAGACCTGTTGTCTGCCGAGTCGGGCTGCAATGACGGGATGGCCTTTCCTTTCATCTATCTTTCTTTGTATCTATTGAGGTATGATCTGGGTGCTCGAGAAGTGGTCTTTCACTGGATCGTGATCACCGTTCTCTACGAATGTATCTTCGGGGCCTTCTACGGTGTCATGGTGGGCTACATTGGTCGTCATGCCATCAAGATGGCCGAACGACGGGGCCTGATCGACAGAGAAAGCTTTCTCGTGTTCTACTTCGTCCTGGCATTGTTCTGCGCGGGTTCGGGTAGCTTGCTGGGCATGGACGACCTTCTGATCGGGTTTGCGGCTGGAGTTGGATTTTCCAACGATGGCTGGTTCACCGAGAAGACCGAGGAGTCGCACGTCTCCAATGTTATTGACTTGCTCATCAACTTGACCTATTTCGTCTACTTTGGCACTATAGTACCCTGGGATCAATACAACTCTCCCGAGCACGGTCTGGTTCCTTGGAGGCTGGTCGTCATCTCGCTTTTTGTCATCTTCTTCCGTCGGATTCCCGCCATGTTGGCGTTGAAACCGTTCATACCAGACGTCAAAACGTGGCGAGAAGCTCTCTTTGCCGGCCACTTCGGGCCCATTGGTGTGGGAGCCATCTTTGTGGCCATTCTAGCTCGTGCAGAACTTGAGAGCGATTCCACCGAACCTCTGGCCAAGCTTCCGGCACCAGGTTCCAAGGACTACGACTTGATCTATCTTGTATGGCCAGTCACAACCTTCTTGGTCATCTCGTCAATCTTGGTGCATGGCTCGTCAATTGCCGTCTTCACCCTGGGTAAACGCATCAACACTCTGACAATAACACTGTCATACACTCAAGACAACGAGAAGGGGCCGGCTTGGATGAGTCGCCTCCCAAGGATTTCCTCTCAGTCGAGATCAATGGCCCGTATGGATAGCTCCGAGTTGGAGGCCGAAGAAAAGCTGGACATCCCTCCTGGCGAACTGCCTCCTGTCGGGATCCCCAAGCTTCATCTCCGACGGCAGCGCGAAGATGAGTATGAAAAGAAGCCGGGCTCTAGATCATCCAGTCTTGGACGATCAAGGAGACGGAAACGTCAGACTAGGGATCTTGAGGATCGCCGCCTAGGTGGCCCTATCAGTCAGAGTGCCATTGCACCGGTAAGGCACTCAGAACCAACCGCTTCTCAGCCGGGTTCTGCGTCGGATACATTGTTTGAGAAGTCCGGAGAGCCATCGCCAGAAAGCCCTCAGGACCGCCTGGTGACCGGATCTCCAACCTCTTCCCCGGAACGTGATCAGATTGAAGTGGAACACGAGGCCGAAGCCGTGGCCTCAATGAAACGACGGAAAAGAGAGAGGGAGCCGTCACCAGAGAAACCCGCAGAGGTGGAAGTCTACGAAGAAGGCCATAACCTCGTTGTTGAAGATGAAGAAGGCAATGTTGTCGAGACTATTGACTCGGCTCACATGAACCCGGCCAAGAAGGCCGAAGCCGTTGAGAAGGCACGCAATCGTTTGGCCCGGGATGAATCCGGAGAATTTACCAAACACAAACATCAGCCCCACCCAAAGACCGAAGGCGCAGAGATCGAACATCTTGTGGGGGACACTATTGGCCAACCGCAGAAAAGCATGCGGCAGAGATTCGATCAGTGGAAAGGGTTTGGCAGACGGAAAGAGGAGCAAGAAGAGCCCGTCACGCCTGGTCCGTCAAAGAAGGCAGAACTGAAGAAAGCAGAACGAAAGAGAGGTCCCGCCCATGCCTATCAGTTCGGCAACACCATCATCGTCGAAGATGAAGATGGCGAAGTCATCAAAACGTATACCATCCCTAGCGACGCGAGCGCGGGGGACAGGCATCGTCTGCGCCGTATGAGCACCTGGGTGGGCCTAGGCCGACAAGCGGAAGCCGCTGAAGTGGACAGCTCGGAGGCGGCCCTCACAGAGACGAAAGACGGCACTGAACTGCTCAAGGAGAAAAAGCCAACTCTCAAAAGACGTGGCTCCGATGCGTCAGTCGATGATGGCCTGAGGATGATAATTTCCAGTACCGATCAGTATGGATTGACGGGGCAGAAGAAAAAGGCTCGGGATGCTCCTGGTGCCATTGCCCTGGGTTCTGGAAGGCGGTTGTCGACAAAAGACTTTATCAAACAAATGCAGCAGCTCGATGCCAGAGGTAAGATCCAAGAGGTTGAAGAGAGTGATGCCCCGGAAGACTTCAAACGCGAGGTGCGTAAAGCTGTCGAGGCCTCGCAGCAGAACGAGCGGAACAAAGCCACCGCCTCTGATGAGAGGCCGGGGCGGTCTCGAGCAAAGACAACTCCAGGCGGCGACTCTGACGATGCTAGCCGAAGGATGCAAGCCAGCAATCCGGACGACAGCGAAGACTATTTCAGTCCGCAGCGTCGGCCATTACCTGAGCGCTTGACCACTGCCGAACGCAACCGGAACTCCATCGAGGAAGAAAGCCAAGAAGAAGATGAGGATGATGACGATGACGATGACGAGGAAGAAGACGACGACGATAGTGGCTCCAACGTTGTTCCTGTCCATAACGTCGCATCCATTCTGGCCAGACACAGTCAAGGCCAGACGGCGGCCGACTTCCGCAGGCGCCAACTTGCACGAATTCGCTCGGAGGAGGAAGAAGAGGACGAGGAGGAAGCGGATCCCACCGAGGGCGAGACCGCTGCGGAGAAGCGCCGGCGAATGGCTGCCCTGGGCATCGGTGCTCGGGAGGAAGAGTCGAGCAGTGACAGCGAGGAAGGCGAGGAACAGCCGCGTCGGGCCGCCGAGACTGCCGTGCCGGAACCCAGCGAGGGAGGCCCGTCCACGACGCAACAACGGACTCGAATCCAATGGGGCGGAGAAAGTGGCCGAGAGAAGGATCCTACCGACATCTATGCCGGCGACCCCATCGTCGGGGCGGCGAGAAAGCTGAGGAAAATGATGAAGAAGCGGCACGAAACTTGAAAATGTCACACCCATCATGCTTCATGCATCATGCATCATGATATGACGCCGGCACTGAACTGACTTGACGGTCGACATTTGACCATACCACCTCATCTCATCCCATCAATCAGAGATGACTAGTAGTTTAGTCGTCAGGCTTGGGCTGAATGAAGCCAGAGAATCACTTTGTTTTGTGCGAGATCATGACTTTTTTTATTCTCTTGGGAGGTTATGCTGCGTGTATCTGAAGCCGGCCAGCTTTTCTGTTTTCTGCTCTCTACTGTATACTGTTTATTGCTTAGTGTTTAAATCAAAAGGAACTTGTGGAATGCTTGTTCGACGGGTGGCTGTCTGTATATTACGTATATACATGTGGTTCATGTGCAATACATACTAGTATCCCAACCTACCTACCTACCACGTAACTAGTAAATAGTAAGTACTTCAATACCTACCTCAGGTACATGTTCGCGGATGCTGATGTTGGGTCTGGGTCTGGGTCTGGGTCTGCTGGTCGAAGATGGCTTTGTTCTTCTCTATATAGATAGTAAAGCAAAGTCTAGCATCATTGTCATTCATTAAGCCATCATCATATATACATATACATCCAGCCAGCCAATCCATAATGCGTAAGAACCCCCGGGTCCCAGTAGTCTGACTTATTCTTAGTCAGTCCATTCGGCAGTCCGGACCCAAAGACCGCACCTGCTTGCCCATCTTCCCAGGCAAGTCGCTGCAACGCAAGGCAAAACAAGGAAGCCAGAAGCCTAGGTTGGATCATATCAAGCCAGGGTTTACAAGGAATAGGTCTTGGGGTTTCCGAAAACTTGAAACTTGTTCAAACTTGAAAAGCTACAACTGGATCAAGTCGACTTCACTAAAGTCTGGCGGCGCGCCGCTGTAGACGCAGCGGCCCTTGGAATCCAGGCCCTGGCGCACATTGCTGACCCAGAGATGGGCACTGAAACGACCCATGCGGTGGACCTCTTCGTCACTAACGCCCAGGTCGTCGCGCGGCAGCCAGATGACGGGCCGGCGGGCCCGGAGCGCGCTGTGCTGGAACGCCCGCTGGACCAGCCGGTCGCGCTCTTCGGGGGTCAGATCCTCCAGCTCGTCGTGCACGCCGCCGAACAGCGCGTCGGCCAGCTCCTTACGGGCGGCGCGCTGGGCCTCCACGTCCTTCTCGTTGCCCGTCAGCGGGTTGAAGTTGTTGAGTTTGTCCAGCACATCGCGCGGCGGGGAGAGGTGGCGCTTGTGCGAGCGACGTCCGCCGCCGCGTTGGGCTTCAGTGGCTGGGTCATCGTCACCCGAGACATAAGTGTCTTGATTCAGGTCCGGCTGTAGCTGCTGTTGCTGTCGTCGTCGTCCTGTTGGCGATTGTGGCGATTGTGGTGATGTTCCATCTGGCAAGCTGCTGTTGAAACTGGACGATCTGTGATTGCGCGGGTCGTCTCGGGCGGCCCAGGACTTGCGCAGTCCGGTTCGTGGCTTGCTTCCTGGCACGAGGTTCTTGGTCGTGTCCGCTGTCTTTGCCGCTGCGGATCGCACCATTCGAAGGCCTCTGCTCTCCTTGTCTAGGTCCAGTGTAATCTCCGGATTCTGGACCTGCACCGGCTGCGGTTCACGCGATTGCTGTCGTGCCTGGCGCTCCTGCCTGTCCCGCTCGATTTGCTCCCGCTCCCGCTCCCGAGCCTGTCGGTCTTCTTCCAATTCCTGGCGCTCGTTACGCTCCAGTTGGTCCTCGAGAGGCTCTTCTTCGTCCTCGTTGTCGATGATCCCGTGCTTCTTCCGCATCGCTCTGGCGAATTCCTCGTCTCGGCGAGCTGCATCGTCTTCGAGAGTGATGGGCAGGTAGCGGAACAACGGGCTAAAGGCGTTGTTCAGCAGATATTGGTATCCGGCCGTCAATATAAGGATGACGATCATGCCGATGGCCTGCCCTGAACATGCAACGCTGTTGTTCTCGTCTCGGACGAGGAAAAACATGCCGATCAAAGCCACCTCCATCACGTAGACACCGACAAAAGTAAAGTTGATCGCGTTCGGATACAGCAACCCGCCGGTGTCGCGGGTGAACCGAGTGACGTACAGCGTGTTGTACCGGTAGACGAACCAGAACAGAGAGAAAGTGATGATGTTGAACACCAGAATCAGCGGCGCAATGACTGAGTAGATCAAGCCGATGCAGGCCAAGTTGGTGTAGACAGGGAAGAACGTGCCCCATTGGATGTTGGACAAATTCGTTTGTCGCTTGAATTTGGCTCGGGCCGTGCTATCCAGGATCGGAGCCAGGATGAACCACCCGATAAGTGATCCTACCTGGAGGAGTGCTCCGGCACTCACTGACATGGCCTGCAGAAGCATGTATGAGAAGAAATAGTTGCTGGCTTTGGGGATATTCGTGCCCAGCAGATTCGGAACGTTCGTCCAGCCATCGACACTGGTGAACAGGGAGAAGAACTGTGTCAAGGCAGACGCAATCGAGACGACCAAGAACAGTTGGACGAACAGAAAGAAGAAGTAGTATTTCTGGACCGATAGCTCCACAAGCATACCGGACTGGGTCCCTTGAGTTTTGACCAGGAATCGCAAGATCATAGGGAGGAGGGCGGTCAGGATACCCAGTAGAGCGGCCGGCAGCACACCCTGGAGAACACTCCTGAACCAGGCGGGAATGCTCAGAACCCAGTGGAGCCATTCGAACGTTTTGGCCGCCGTTTCGAGCTGCGACAGCGCAGAGGTGAAGGCGACAGGGATTGCCCAGAGGATGATCATGCCCACCACAAGAACCACGACACCAAAAGTCCGGATGTAGGCTGACCACCACTGGATCGACATATTGTCCCAAAGGACATCCTTTGGATCGATCTCCACCAAACGAGGCGCCATCTGCTTGGGCAGATGATGACTGACAGCCTGGCAAGCCATATGGGCGGCTACTTGATGGTTGAACTGGATGAACGCAGAGTTCATGAGAGGGAATCGTTCCGGATGAGCTTGGTCGTCTTCAATCTCGACATTGAGCCGGGCCACTTCTTCGCGGCAGTAGCGAATGGTGTCGACTTTCTGGCCCATCAAAGGGAGTGCAGGCATCCAGCCAAAGACAGGAAGTCTCATCGTGTCACGATCTTTGTCGGACAGATAGCGCCTCCAGATTGCATCGTCAGGATCGTGTTTGAACTCCGACTCAAAGGCCGCAGGGTAGTCAACGGGTTCCTTTTCCTCACCCGCACCAAGACCAATTGCTTTCTTGACCTTTTGAAAGGTGCTGACCCGTTTTTCAGGCTTGGTCTTTTCATCTTTCACTGTACTAGATTGAGAGATGGGACTGTTGAGCTCATACTCGCCATCAGACCTCTCCAACGTCGGTCCACGGCCTTTTGCAAATACATCTTTTGCGTCAGGACTTCGTTTGCCAGTGGGTCTTCTGGTTGGTGTGCTGGGAACCTCAACGTGGGGTTGAGGCTGGTCACCAGAACTTCTATGGGGTGTTTGATTCTGTTCAGCATCTGCAGGAACAAAGCCATTGGTGGTGTCGATAGTCTCGTTAAGCCCCTTGTTGACACCTCGGATGCCTCCTATCATGCGGTTGCCAACCTTGCCCAAGCCATGCGTAACTGCCGAGATACCTTCCCCGAGTATAGGAACGGGAAGGACATATCTTTGACGCTCTTGGTCCTCCTCGGGGTCGGCGTCAGAAGATGCAGTAGAGGAAGAACCATCCTCAGCATGACCTTCAAGCACTTCACGCAGATTATGGTTCACTTGATGGGGGTTTCCGATGGTGACACCGTGCCCGTGAGCTGCTTGATCGCCGGCTTCATTCCTAATGGTGTCCCGGAGCTCCTTTTCTTGCTTGGAGGGTTTCTTGCCCGCTGCTTTCTCGGCTTTGGCAATGTTTTCCTCGTTCTTCTTGAAACATTTCCGGATGAGATCCGTTTCGGCCGACTCCAGCTTTGCCGCGAGCTTATCGCGTCGCTTGATTTTGTCACTGAGTTCGTCGAGATTCCGATTGATCCAAATGTTCCGGACGCCGCCAGGGAATACGTCGTAGAGACCATCCAGGGCTTCGACGGTGCACCATTTTCGAGGTATCGAACTGACCAGGACCGTGGTGGCCGACGCCCGTAGCCGATGTTGTGGCGAGGTCAGATATGCCTGACGCATACGGATGTAGTTGCGCAACTCATCGAACGAGACAAAGCACACCCAGATGATCAATATCAGGGCCAGGAGCCAGTGAGCCCAGTAGCGTCCAGTGTGAGTAGGTGCGACGTTACCCCAGGCCAATTTGTCCAGACCAGTAACATTGGTGGCATTCTCGTGTGGGCCAACTGCCCAGTGAGCACCTCGCCCATCGACCATGTTCAGAGGTATCAAGATGGGCAGGATAACCATGGCCGCCGGCACGAAGATCTTCAGAAGCGTGCGCAGGTATCGCAGAAAGAAGTAGGCGTCCAGGCCACATTTTCGCACGAACTCGGAATTGCTGGTGCTCAGGACGGGCTTCATCCATTTCCACCACCCGGGTGGGGTTGGTTTCGTCCGTTCTCTTTCCGGTACCAGATAGGTTCGGGGCTGGTATATTCGGGCAAACCGATCTTTTATCAGGAGGAAGGCACCGACTTCGATGACGAAGACAGCAATGGCGGTGACCAGAGAGGCGGCGAACTGACCGGCGCTCTGGCCATTCTTCTGGCCGGCGGCGGTACTATTGCCGCCGAGGTTGAAGGTCTCGTTCAAAGACATCTTGGTCTGTTAGGAGAAGAGAGGGAGAGGGGAGGAGGGTATGGTCAAGGTCCAGAATGGCGCGGTGGGCGCAGAAACATGACGGATCGCTGCGTGAAGGAGTCGCGTTGGTAGCCTCGACAAGTGGTACTAGGATATCTGTCTTGAGGTGAGGCAAAGCTTTGGGCAGCGAGTCCAACGAGGCTTCTCTCTGTCCAGTGATGACCCGAAATAGACAGACAGACGGGACAAAGCGATAGCAAGATATGACAAGTTTATGTCTTAAACTAAGCACTCCCCTTAACAGAAAGAAAGAGGTGCAAGAGGTTGTTTGTTCCCTAGGGTAAAGTGATTGTAGGTGAATGCGGTGAACGATAAAGGGCACAACAAGATCAAACCGGCCAAAGCCTTGAACTTGGATCAAGGACAAAGAACAAAAGACGTTGGCAGTGGCAGTGAGTGACTGGGCTCAGCTTGCCGCCTATGACGTGGATGGCGCCTACGGACAGATGCCAAGCAGTCATCGATGCATTGTGGTCCAATCAATGCGGGCAAACAAGCTCCATTCCAATCACCCCCTAATCCTAGTATGGCCTAGTCGCCGGCATAGGCGCGCAGACGACATTCTTGATCTAACCGCATTCCTCCGACGCGTTTCCACTTCGAATCTCTCTACAGAGCTAAACCCCCAGCTATTCTTGTATCTCCTTTTAGTGATCTACTCTCTCCTACGCAACCCAGAGCTCTCTCCAAGAAACCCCCCCTGTGCCCTTGTGATGGCGGTCGATCAACCAAGAAATACACCGCGGCATGCAAACTGAATCCCATGTGCCAAACTGACATCGGCCGTCTTCCTGAAATAACTTTCCAGCCGTGACACCTTCGTGAAACATCGCAATCTCACTGACCGAACGACTGACCCGAGTGACTGGTGATGGGACATGTACCCTCTCCCATGCCTGCAACGCTGTGGAGTCTGCAACAAGGCCACAAAAGTATCATCTGCTCCTCATGATTCTGGCCCCCGGAGAATCCAAGGCGAGTCATGCGCAGTGACTGTGGGCGCGATGACACTGCTACTATGGAGGCCACCGACCACAGTGAAATATAGCAAGATACTGAGACACCACTGTGATATCCTGGTTGATCCAGTAGCTGCTCCATACGGATGATGGGTGGTTACTCTACCACAATGTCACTCACTCAGCAACAAGCACCCAGTTTTGTCCCGTGATGGCTGGCGATTGCGGAAATGCTTCCAACAATATTTAAGTTGACTAGGCCGAGGCTGAACCCCCGAATCGTGGGGTAGGTTAGGCATGCATGTACGTACTTTGGTAAAGCATCAGGCAAGGCTGCATCCAACCCAACGCAGTATTTGACAGGACTAGTAGACCAAGACCTCGAATGTGACTGACAAGAAATATCCCAGGATGATAAACATACTAACATTCACACGGAGACAATCCAATTCAATCCTAACCCCATCAAGCCTACGACCCAGGCACTTACCATGGGCAACTTGAACAGCACACCTATCCAAATTACCATGCATGCGTACGGCTTGACTTGGGGCGGGTGGGTATCTAGATAGGAGGAGGAGTAGGTAGTCGAATTCTCGCTTTCTGTTGACTAGTTGACTATCTGATTTAATAGTAGTCGGCGTCTACTTCGAATTCAACATGCTGTGCGATGCGAGCTGTCTTGTTCTTCCTTTCTGGTCACTTCCCTGTCAGAACACTCTGCGTCGCGCATTGGCACTTTTGGATGTATCTTCTCAACGGCCTCCATAGTACCCTGAACTCTGACCTCCTCCGTACTGTCCCTGTCCCTGACTCTGGTATGGGTCTTCGTAGGATGTCTGGTACTGATAACTCTGACCCTGTTGGAAATACTCATTCCCGCTCGACGCACTGTATTGTTCGTATCCAGCAGGTGGTGCCATGGGCATGGGACTGGGAGATCTCATGTCACCAGCATATTGACTGCCGTGCACTGCGGCCTCGTGCAGCTCTTGTGATCCTCCGAGTTCGCTACCGCCCGGAGTCAAGCCCATACCGGCACCGGCATCGGCACCAATATCATCATCGTTGAGCCCACGGGTGCCGCTCATGAATTTGGTGTATTTGGTGTACTTGTTGATCGAGCTTGTGACGTTTTGGACTCCTGGAATCGGCAGCTTGCTGGCCATGTTCAGCACATCACCAAACCCGCCTCCGCTGCTGGCCTGATGCTGCTGCTGCGACGATTGTTGTGGACGACCTCCATGACCAGTAAAATTGCCTATCATATCACCCACCATTCCGAGAGGATTGTTTGCGTGGCCACCACCGCCACCAGCATGTTGCTGACCAGGAAGAAAGCTGGCGAAGCCCCCCAGTCCACCAGAGCTGGGTTGGTGTGCTGCACCGGCGGGTGGATGTTGGACATGTGCATGGTCGTTGACGCCCGCCTTGTGATTCCTGCCTGTGCGCACCGCTTCGGAGCTCAGAGTGGTGTCGAGGCTTCGGCCCCGCTCCGGCAAACTATCAACCCACCGTCGAACAGCGGCAAACATATTTCGGTGCACCTCGACATGCTCGTTTCGGATGGCGGGATGGTGGAAAATGCTCTCCACATCATGCATGACTTGCTGGACAGGGACATCAGGGTGCTCCCAAGCGTACAGCACTCGGGGTGCAATGAACTTGAGGATCTCCGCAGCCACATATCCCGCCGGTCCATTGAGGATGTTGCTGAAGTGATCTTTGCTGAGCATCGAATGGGTGGGATCCGAACAGTGAGGGTTGGTCCAGACTTCAAACTGGTGCTTCCCGGAAGAGTTGATGACGCCCTCGCTGCCCGTCTGTAGCGTCTTGGACATCGCATTCAGGACGGGTCGCACAAACGGAGCCAGCAAGGACAAAATGAAAACAGTGAGGGTTTCAGTGATGCGGTCGACGAGAGCTTCAAGGCCGGGGATCTTCTCAATAATGGAACTGATTGTTCGCACAACCTTATCCCGGAACGCCAGAATTGGATATATCTGGGCAATGGTCTTGGACGGATCGAAGTTCGGCATCCCCTCCAGACCGCTTGGTGCAGACGACTGTTGCTGTGGAGATTGACCAGGTACATTTCCGGGGATCGCTTGCTGATGACTCTGCTGTGGTGCCGGCTGACCTGACTGATTTTGCCATGGTTGTTGCACTCCTGGATATTGAGATTGCTGCCCGAAACCGTGCTGTGCACCTTGATCGTGCCACTGGGGCGGTTGTTGCTGGTCGAAGCCCGGCTGTCGACCCTGACCGGGCCATTGAGATTGATGCGGAGGCTCACCCCACTGAGGTTGAGGCTGCTGATACCCTTGTTGAGGTGGTTGATTCCAGGACTCCGCACCGTATCCTTGACCTTGCGAAGGGAAGCCGGCATAAGAAGCACGGCTGGTTTCCCAGTCATCGACACCCCGAGCAGAACTGCCAAAGTCATCCATGCCCCTATAACCGCCTTGAGCGCCGAAACCTTGCTGGTTCCCTCGAGCCTGCGCTTGAGAATTTGCTTGCAATCTCTCAGCTTCGTCACAGAGATCTTTAGTGCCCGGAACCTTCGACAATAGTTTCACCAGCGACATCAAAGGATTCGACGACTGCGCGGCTTGTTCAGCGGTCCCGAGAGCATTGTCCATCTCATTCACTTCACTTTGAGTGAAGTGGTCGGTGGCCTCACCAAGGACCGAGTGATAGAAATCCACCATGCCGAAAGTACCCGTCACGAGGGGAAAGACATGCTTTCCATGGAGGGTAATTGCGGTAGCTGTGCCAACGTGAGGAAACACGTTGTGGAAGCCCATTTCTCGAAGTGCCAGCTCAACGTAATTGGTGTGAGCACCGAAGTCTTCGAGTGTATGAAGGCCCTGGCCCAGGCATCGAAGAGCCTCTGCGAGATCTTCATCCTTGCCCTGGAACATCCCGTGCCCATTGCAGTAGAGTCGACCATGGTGAATGCTGCGCTCGAAGCTATACTTCACGAAAGCAGCACTAGTGGCCCAATCCCCCTTACCATTGGCAATGTAGTTCTTCATTCCGGTTTCCGTATCGATCTGCAACTCGATGTCACGTACTGGAGCGCGCAGACGAGGATCATACTTCCGGGCATCTTCATTGTCGTTGTAATCTTTGGGGTTACTATGGCAGTCAGCAACATCAAGAGGGTCTGCATGAGAGGGTTGAGGCCTACTCAATATGCTCTTCTGGTCGATAAACACCAAGTCTCTCAGAAGTGACTTCAAATTCTGCCGTAGCATAACCGAAAGCCAGGAAGGAGAGCAGCCAGACCAGGATACGAATCGTCTCTGGCTGGGCCTTTTTGAGCGCCCCAGTATCCATGGCCTGAGAATAATCACGGAGCCAGTTGCTGTAGATAGCTGGTTAGGACTGCACGCCTGGAAATGTACACGGTAGCATACCCAAAGTAGACTCGTTTGATCATCATCGAGGTCCATTTGTGATGGCGGATGCAGGCCACTGTCTTCAAGACATCTTCGATATCTCCATGACGCCAATTCTTGCCCTCGACAGCCGAGATCGAGGCGATGTCTGATTGAGGGTCAGCACGAATAGACAGCCGAACTCCTGGATGACATACTTCCAGCACCAAAGGCATGGGCTCGACTGGTGAAGAGGACCAGCCCGAGGATTAGGATGGGCAGGAGATTCCGTGTTGTCGAAGCCATCCTGGCGATGTTTCAGTCCGCAACCAACTACGTCGTGTGACCGCTAAACCCAGGCTCTGAGGCAGAGGTCGTCTTCTAACACCGAAGTCAACGTCAGTAAGTTGGTACCGTGTAAGACGAGGTTCAGTGCCAAGAGGGCAATACATACTTGCCTAGGCACTGTGTATATGGTGCCAGTGGTAGAGCGGACGGTCTCAAGCTGGCTCTTCGATGTGTACACCGGTCACTACCAGGCCAGATGAAAGTCAGAGCAGTCTCGGGGGTGTTCTTGCTTGTAGCGAACAAGTCGGGGCTGTTGATCTCACATTCTCTGCAAGAAGGAACGTCAACGCTCTCAATTGTTTATAGTTGCAGCCATACTCGGTCCTGCGGTTGATGGCGCTCAACAGCACTGCCACATAGTGGGGGATCAAGAACAATCCTTCAACTCAGCCACATTTGCGATGGCACTCACTGGCAGTGCAGCGCAGTGCAGAGTCACTGGTGACTGATCGGATTGGGTGAATCTAACTAGAGTTAACATCCTCTTACAGAGCTGAACTTCGTACCATTAAATGGAAGATGTGTGTCACGTGCGGTTCCAATATAAGATGCAAGCGAAGGTCAGACTGGCTTCAGAGCTCACACTCAATAGGGCGTTTCAGGATATTAGGGACGTGAAAACACAATAAATTAAAGAAGAAATACTCGTAATTTTCGGCATCTATCAACTAGACATACATCTCATGAACGGTGGTGGTATCGTCAACTCACCAACCACATCCGCAATAGTGACCTTAGTGACACCCAAATATCGTTTTGAAAGCCAACCGTCACCCATGAGATATGCTCTTGATTTCATCATATAAAGCACCATATCCAACCAGGAAACCCCCTTCCTCGTCATTCATCTGGTATCTTTATATGGCTCATCCCCCCATTCCGAAGCATTGCTCAGCGTGCATAAAGTAAGAACTCCAAATGATTCAAATATGTCCATCGATAACACCCCCCAATGAAGACGATCGTGTTCTATCATGATCTCCCAACCGTTGGAATGCTCGATAACTCCATGCTAAACCGAGTCTGTCTTTTCGAAATCGCTGTGCCGCCATACTCCCTCCCCGGACCTTTATCTTCAAGAGATGGCTGGTATCATGATGTCAACTTCGTCAAATCGCTATGCCTTATGAACAAAACCAGTTTTTTCATGTCGTGAGATACATATGTACAAAATAAAAGGGTGAGTTGATAGTGGAGAAATCGTCGGAAATCATGAGGCAAAAGGCAAGTGACATCACAACATCAGCCAGAAATGAATACAGCGACACAACGACGGCAAGCACGGGGCGTGAGCATTCCAAAAGGCGGGCTCATTACCACCGGCGAGCAGAAGTCGTCTGCTGCATCATGCCTGGAGAGATGGATGATGGAGGACTTGCAATGCGAGTGCCAGTAGAGGGGTTGACGATGGGAATGGCGTTGTTGCGGTTACGGAGCGCCGAGGGTTGATGAATTTTGAGGTGGTTGTTATTGTTGTTTGCGAAAGTGGAAGGTGACATGTATGCAGAGGTTGCGGCGGAAGAGATCGAGAGCGAAGGGGTGATCTGTTGAGGTTGGATTTGAGATTGCATGGGAGAGGATTCAGGCGAGCCGCTTGACAACGAGGAACGGTCGGAGGATCCTGATGTGACGGACTGTCGCTTCGCGAAGTCAGTAAAGCTCGAAGTCAGGAAAAGGGGTGAGCCACAAACCTCATCGAAGGACAGGAGGTTCGGGCAGAACTCCAAGTCGTCGTCGAGGTCAAAGGACCGTCCCGCCTCAAACCTCGCTCTATATGTTGCCAGACTGGGGACTTCTGGAACAACAGATTCTTTTACGATCTTTGGGGCGCGGAATTGTCGGTGGGAGTTGTGAGCCGCAGGTAAGCGAGGGGCTCTTCGAGAGCGGCCAGAGTGGTTGTGAGACTGCGACATGGGATGAAGTGCTTGAGCTTGATGGTGCTGATGACCACCGTAATAGAAAGTCGACATGATTGCAGATGTTCGGGGTTGCAAGTTGTTGATTGATCGGAAGGGTGAGCTGTAGTAGCAAGGAGGATGAGAGGCGCAGTTGAGTCGGGAAGGCACCGGGGGACAGCTAATCAAACCCAGTGGCAAAACAATTGGCGGATGCCAGCTGACCAATCTCCCGAGGGGTCGTGAAGGAATTGATTGTTGTTTTCTGAGGAATGTGGAAGCTGCGTCGAGTTGTTGTAGAAGAGGCTCTGGTCAATAGAAGAATAGTAAAGAGGAGAGAAGGTGGCAGGTGGTAGGCAGGAGTGTTGGTTGTAGAAATGGCGGTGATGTACCACGGTAGTACTACTAATCGGAAAGGCAGCAGGTGAGAGGCGAGAAAGGCAGAACCTAAGACGGGCTGCAGTGGGCTGGGAAGCAGATATACTGGCGGGCGGGCTCTTAGGTCCTTTGCACCTGGGGGAGATGCAGCGCCAGGTGCAACTAGTGGAGGGTAAGTTCAGTGGACTGGCGTCAGTCTCAAGGCAATTGGCCGCCGCACACGGCCCATCAGTCGCAATACCTCTGCCACAGACCTTATACTAAGCTGGTTGAGGTCAAGCGTCGAAGCGCTTTGTGTATCTCTGGGCACGTCGGGTGGGCGAAGCAGGCAGAACAAGCCAAACAAAACCACGCACTGTAGTACGCCAGTACTGTACAGGCCGGCAGCGGCAACATGGGCAGATGGAGATGGCTCGATTATCCCTCACCCATCCTTGCTCTTTCCATCCTGCATCCATGGAAGCACCTATTCTTGCACACACCAGTCACAAGTCACGGCAGTATCTCACCACCCGTACACCGCTCATGCCTTGACGTTGTCCCCCCCTCCACGAGAATCACCACCTGGCTCTGGACCTGCAGATCCTGACTTCCCTCGGTCACCACAACTCCGGAACTGTGCATAACATCCCAGTCAAATTCTCCTACGCCATATGGCACACAACTACTAGTTACCTAGTGGTGGATGTGAAAAGTTGGAGCTTCGAGGACCTGCGTTCTTCCACCGTTTCAATGTTCTAGAAAGATTGATGGCCCGCACCTGAGATATGTTCGTCTATTGCTGTGCAGTAGCATAGGACCAGGTAGTCGTCCTGTGATACCGTGGGTGTCTCAGCAATCAAAGAGAGCCCCCCACTTCACATTGTTCAATGCACGTCTCCTGGGGTGGCCACCACTGATTAAACCTCTCATCTCCTCCTGTCTGGGGCAACTCGTGGGGCGGTTGACCGTGCCATGGTACTTCTCCTATATCAAAGATACCCAACGATGTTGATAGAAACCACGGTGCTTCGTCTGTGCTCTATCTGTTTGTCGATCCCGGGGTCTCGCCTCGAAGGGATTAACAGTGAGCATGGGCTGGGCCAGGGGTCGGTGACATGAGGCGAACAATAATAATGAATCAGATTTAGCGTTGAGGAGCCGACCAAACAAGCTGCAACTGCTATGACGAAAGGGTCTCTTCGACAACCAATCAAACCCTGAGGCCCCTAGCCTCTATGATTGACTAATCTTGGGGACTCTCTCACGGAGCTCAGCTTGCGTAGTCCGTAGCACGGATCATTGTTTCCCCGCCTGCTATTCTCTGACGTATCGTAGTATCGTAACTGTGCCTCCCCCTGGTGCTCCAACACGTGACTCTGCGAGAATTTCTGCATTAAACTAGGCTTCCCGTCCTTCTCATCAGCAAGACACAAGCCTCGAAGGAGAACAGGCCGCTACAATCGATATTGCGGTCAACGCCCTAGAAACAAGAGAGGGCCTGTCTCACAGGGAGCGAAGCGGCGTGGAGGAAGTAGCGCGATGGTCGCTGTAACACTCCCACTCCAGATATTTTCTGTTTTCGGTGTTCGGAGTGGTTGATGGTGGACAAGCTATGCCCAATGTTGGCAGCCTTGCTCTGCGAGCCTCCTGGTCGACTGTGCTGGAGATGGAGCGCTGGCACGACTTCTCGCTTGGCGCCTCGTATGTAACGACCCTCGAGGCCGCGGGAAGAGCGTCTGTTTGCAAAGTTCCCAGAGCACAAAGAGTGTTGTTTTAGACATGCATGCAAAGGTCGTAAACGTACTAAACGTGGTCTTTCATATCGGATCATCCGCATCTTCCCCCTTCCTCAATCTGCGATGGTCTTCACTCGACCTCGCCCGAAGATGTGTATCCGCGGCGGCCTCATCATCCAATTCAATGTCTCTCCCTCTTTCAGGGCCACTGACCCCAAGTAGACCTTCAGCCTCCTCAGCCTCTCTGGCCGACTCGTCCAGCCCGATGGTACCACCAGGTTTCTGGCCTTCCTCTCTCATCCCAATAAACACATTGCCTGCGGCCAAAAGACTCGCGCCGCCCCACCACGTGCCATTCAATTTCTCATTGAAGATCATCCAGCCTAGGATTGCCGTGACCATGAAATTCGCGCTGACGTTGACGATGCTCACGCGCGTCGTGCTGTCCGCTCGAGTGAGGGCCGCGGTGAATAACGCCCACATGGCGGCGTTGAAGGCCAGGTTGAGGAGGAAGAATGTTCCTCGCACGAGGAATTCGACGATTGTATTCGTGGGAGACAAGGAGAACAGTGTTGCTATGTGTGACGCGAGTGTTGACGTGAGGGCCGTCGTTGTTCTGTAATCATCGGTCAGTGGTGTACCTTATATTAGGCAGGTATTGCAGATGCTTTAAGCCAGTAATGGAGCTTTGAGGCCCAGGACAGTCAATTGGCACATAGATCCAGAAAAGAAGTGGGCATTATTGATTTGATTTGATATAGAACTTACAACTTCGCAAAGACCCCGTTGAACGCTGCGCATGCACCGCTCGACACGGCGAGTATCACCCAGACGGGTTGGCGCCGTAGCGCGGCTAGTAAGGACGATGTGTCCATGTCCGTAGTCACAACAGCTTGAACCTCGTCAGGAGAGCCGGCGTCAGGTTTTCGGCCTACTAGTCGCTGCCGTGCTTGGGACATACTGAGGACGGATCGGAGAAGCAAGGCTTCTGGATCCGGGAAATATTATGCCACCACCAGCACCAGCACCGGGCACTAAAAAGGAGCTCACGAGGCTGGCTTTTGTGGAGCTGCGGCTTCAAGGAGTTCGGTTGGCTCCGGCTTATCGCTTCTGTATACCTTAGGCAGGTCAGTATTCTCTACAGAGTATACTCCCTACTATTATTCATGTATCGTATTGGTCTTTGACAAGTCCGCCCACTGCATATAGTATAGGGCAATGGCATATGGCTGCGTCTCTTCAGCTACCTGCTCCCTACCTATGCCTACTGTGATACAGACAACCAGACTCGCCCAAGCCATACCAGTAACGCCTCATGTGCGCCGGGCTACCTTGGAAAAATTGCATTAGAAAGACTCCTACCTCGCCTTCCCGTTCGCTGCTGTCGCCGTCCGAGGTTTGGCACCTTCGGTTGTGTTCTCCTCCATCTTTTGCTTTTCTTTGGCTTCCGCCCCGTCCCCTATATTCGGCGGCGCGCTTTGCCGATTTAGCGAGCCTTGTTCGAAGCCCAGGGACTTGACAATGCCCAAGCCCTTCGTCCTTCCCTCCCGGAAGAGGATCCGTTCTCCGACGGTGAGAAATTCTGGTCGCTGCACAAAGCGGAAAGCCACCGTGGCCCGGTCGCCGGTGCGGATATACTCGCGGTCAATCTCAATAATGGCGCATGTTTGGCTGACAGGGCCGACATGGAGCATTGCTTGATACTTTGGCCGGATAGTGGTGGCATGAGACAGAATCAGCACCTCGGCAACAAACTCCCTGTAGACCATGGGAGGAGTTTCGAGTTTCGGAAGCACAACCATGCCTTTGCGTACGTCTTTTCGCCGTATCCGTTTCAGTGCGAATGAGGCCGACTGGCCAGCGCTGCATGCGGGGACTTGAATCCGCTTGCGCTCGATAGACCGAATACTCGTTGTCTGGAATTGACCAAGTGAATCAGGACCTACGAGGACAGTGTCCCCAGCATGTACGACTCCCGACTTGACCACTCCAGACACCACCGTGCCAACGAAAGGAACCGAAAATGTATCGTTGATGTGGAACTCGAAGGGCGCTTCACTGTCATAATGGCCATGGTGAGGTAGAATGTTGAGGAAGGTCCGGACAAGGTCCAAGCATTCTCCGGTGACGTTGGAAACCTGGAAGATGGGGCATATCCGTTGAGAGACAAACTGCGTGGCTGTCAACACGGTCTCTTCATGATTCTTGATGAAGATTGGGATCTTCCGCGCGCCTGGAGACTTGAGGATCCTCGTCAATTGCGTGATCGTCTCTTGGAGAATTTGAGGAGGACAGATGTCGATCTTAGTGATGACGACCATGACAGGGACGTTCAAGGCAAGCGCAATACCGAGATGCTCCTTGGACATTCCAATCAGGCCATTGTTCGCTGCCACCATCAGAAGGCAGTAGTTGGGCGCCGAAGAGAGTAAGCCGAAGACCGTGGTCCGCAGATACTTTTCGTGACCAGCCAGATCAGTAAAAGTAATGACCTTCGCTGCCCGAGTGCCGATTTCGCCCCAAGTCAGCTTGCGGCCTGGAACGGTGGACGTGATGACCTCGCCCTGGGTGTCGAACCCCATTATCTCCATACCCACCGAGGACGTCCGCCCGGACTCTATCTCGTGCTTGTGGCGGAATAGATTGACTCGAGCTTTGCCTCGACCATCGTCCAGGTTACCCTTCACAAGCACGCCCAGCATGGTGGATTTTCCGGCGTCCACATTGCCCACCACGGCGATCCGAGTCTCGATCACCTCCTCTGCCGTCGGTGGTGTCTGCCGGATCAGTAACTTGCCATGGCTTGTCTTATCCTTTATGTTCTTCGTGTTCGCTTCTTCAGGGCCCCCAACGTTGTACGTGAGTAATACCCGGACCGCGGCTTTGGTCAAGTTCGCCGCTTCGGTGATTCTTCGAAGCGCAAGCTCCCATTGCAGTTTCGTGAGCTCCATCGACTCGCCATTGTCTTCAAGACCTAAATCAAATAGTGTTTCTCCATGGCCCTCGTCAATCCTCGATTGAATGAGTCCAGCCAGCTGTTGGAGAGTGCTATCCGCGTCTTCAGACGTATCGAGCAGCCAGTCTTTCAACTTCACCTGGCTCGGGCCATCGGATAGACCTAATTGATCAAGAATATCGAGCTCTGCGTGGTCTTCGGTGATGGAGGAGTGACCGCCGGTGGAGTAGCCACTGTCGCTCGCAATGGACTTGGAGCGGTTCTTTGCCTGTTGCTTCTCGACGTAGTCGGCGAAGTCGGAGAGAGCCTGTGTCGCTGTCAGCCAGATGAGGCGGCGCGCTGGAGGAACACCCTCACGAGTTCCCCTTTGCGACGCTCGTGAAGCGTCTGCTTCATGCGGCTGCCCATGGTGTGCACTACAACTTGATTTCACGGTTGTTGGTGTCTAGATGGATCGTATAGTGATTGATTGATTCGCCCCCGCGCTCACTGAGGTATTCGGGTTATCATTTTCGAACGAGAAAGGGAGATTAACGGATGGTTTCTATTACTGCTGCATTTCGAGTATATCGATTCCGAGTATATCGAAAGAAGACGATCCTTGAGGTCGAAAGGGTCATCTATAAAGCCAATGTAGAGTCATGACCACCGCAGCGGAGGCGCAGATGTCACTTGGGTCAAACCCCCCACCAGCTGGGCCGCCACTGAATTGGCCACGCCTCTCTTGCGCAGGGCTCCTAAAAGGCCTCGCTCGCTACACAATACACCCGAGCCTTGCGCGTCGCACCCCTTCATGTTTCCGTGTACTAGTACCCCAGTCCAGATATCTGCGCCTCTCTTCTATGCCAGCGCCAAATGGTCCCAGGTCTCTGCAGGTTCGGTCTGTTTCCATATCAGAATCGCAGCCACTGTCTCACGGTGAGTCACTCGAGACTGTCAATGACGGAATGGTCCAAAGTCCTGTAGAGGTGTGGTGTATCTGCCTGAGGCTTCTACCACTCAGACCGACGGGCTGCGGCGCACGTCTGCCGGTTGACTCATTTCAGGTCTTGTATTGGTTCGCAGTGGAGTTGATCATAAGGTGGACATGTAGATAGTCTTCAAGACGCCGGCTGAGGTGAAATTAGGACGACCGAATCGCCTGATGGACGTTAGAGCTAGGTTTGAGTGCCATGCGGGAAATACGTGCCTCGAACAAATAACATGTCTGATTGTTTCTTCGTAGTCTGCTCCAGTCAATGTCCGAAACGCGCATTGAATACCGCAAGCAGACTGACCTTAACGGTCTCTTCTCCATCGTCCTCATCTTCAATGGTGTATATCGTCTCTTCCACCTCTCCAAGAACGAGGTTGCAGTGACTGTCATAAGCCTGGACAATGGTCAGAATAAGTGCTGCTGCTTCTGCTGTCACTATCGCCATCTGCGCATACATGTAATCTTCCTTTCAGTTCGCGGTCTCCTCGTAGTCGGACGAAGACAATTTCGTCGAGAGATAACCGGACAAGATCGAGGGGTTCTGAGACGGCAGCAGCCGCTTCGTCTGGTGAATCGGCCATCCTGAAGACAAGTCGCGGTCGGCTGGTGGAAGAGGGAAAAAGCACAGGAGCCTGCAGTACTAGCAGTATGGTTCAAGTGGTGAGAAACTCCCGCCTGCGAACTCGGCGGTCCCTGAGCTTGGCGCTGGCGGAAAAAACAGCTGCTCCCTTCGACTGCGGTCTTGACAACATTTGAATGATCCATCCTGAAGTACAACTCCCCCTTGTCCATTCTATTAGGCGACCCGTGTCTTTGGCGTATATATGCAAGGCTCGGTGCCTCTTTCGAGGTTCATTAATGGCGTCTTGCAGCCTTCATCCAGCAAGATACCTCACTTGACCATCCACATCCTCCGAAGACAACCTCGTCCTTTGGCCCATTGCCAGTCAAGATGGCCGACGTCTCTCGTCCAAGGCCAGCGGCGGCACCAGCATGTATCGGCGTATGTTGGTGATGCAGTATTTCAGGTTTATAATGACGAGGTACGGGAGGACAGAGCGCCCACCCCCACTACCCAAGTTGTGGAAGCTCAGGACTCTTCTCCTCCCGATGCCACCACTCGGGCAAGGGGGCGGAGTGAAAGCGCAGAAAAGACGATATCCATGGAGGAACTATTGCAGGAAAACAACCCTGAGCGAATTCTGTTGGGGCTGGTTACCAGGTCGATTGGTGATGTATTCGTCGCGACAGCCGACCAAGACACATTTACTCGAGCTATATGCGCTTTAGACCCAGACTACTTCATTCTCCCATATCGAAACCTTCATCGTTATGTCAAACCTACCCTGGAGAGTGAGCCGCGATTTCGGATCGTGAAATCGCTGGAGGAGCGCATATCAACATTCATCGGCATTCTGGACACACTCGTCACTCTTCGGCAAGACAGCGGCCACGAGGTCCCACTCGAGGTCTATCGACATCTGTTACGATGCGCAGCTGCTGGTGGCCATGGCAACATGGCGCGGAATGTGTTTCGTAGGATCCTACCAGAAAGGAATTTGGTTCCTGACTTGGAGTGCTACAACTACTTCATGGAAGCTCTGAATTGGAATCAGGCGTACGGCAGATTTGAAAGATACCAGCTGAGGGTAACGCCGTATAGCTTGGACCGTCGCTCCAGTACACATCGACGCACAGGTTATACCGGTCACGGTGTCGCAACATCGAGCAATCCAGATAATGAACAGTCAATCAGGTTGGAAGTGCTGAGAGTCTTCAACGAGCTTGTCCGGCAGGGTCTCAAAGGTAATGAAGCCACGTTCTGCAATTTGATGGTTGCCATGGGTCGTGAAGGGGATATTGCGAGTGTCAAAAGTGTCTTGAAGTCGGTCTGGAACGTAGACCTTGACGCTCTCGACAAGTACGATGAAGAGGAGCTGGAAAGCCCGACATTCTATGAGGAGGGTTCACCCCTGCGGCCTACCGAGCGGCTTCTATTCACGGTGGTCCACATCTTCGGCACGAACAACGAAATCAGCGTGGCGGGGATGTTACTAGACTACCTTTCCCGGAATTACAATCTTACTATTCCGGAGGATCTCTGGACCTATCTTCTCGAGTGGACGTTCGTTCTTTCGTGTCAACAGCAAGGATGGAGAGTTCGCAAAGGATTTGGCATTGGCCGCGTGTCATTCCAGGCTGTGGAGTCGTTGTATGAGGTGTTCCATAACGAACCATACAACGTCAAGCCCAAGGTCGTGGACCTGATCTTCCGAGCAAAGATGTGGACACGACGACATATCTTGGACCGAGCACTCGACGATATCCGAGCCAGTATGCGACTACTGGACGAAGAACGGACGAACCTTTCAGCACTGTACGACGAAATGCGGAAATACCTGCAAACTAGGCATGACGAGATCTTCAAGGATGGCGTGGCGTCAGCTGAATTCCTGAAACTGAAGAGAGAATTCCTGTCGGCATCGCTGACCTTGGACTGTCACCTCCAGCTGATCATCATTGCGGTCCGCAACACCTTCAAGGAGAAAGACTGGCCAGCATCAAGACGGGAGGTTGAGTGGGCATATCGTCGGCTGCCTCAGCTGGTCGAAGAATGGTCCGATTATCTACCGGACATCATCCCCTATTATACGCCGACCGGCCACGTCAAGTTGTTCGGGCAGGAGCATCGGCGGAGCGCCATCATCTCCTCGAACACGGCTCAGACGACCAAGACGGGTTCCATGCGCACCATGTTCGACACTTACAGTCCAGCAAGGCTGCGGCATTCGGCCGATTACGTCCGGCGCGGACCAAGAGGTCTTGCAGCCTTCGATGAAGAAGCCGAGGCGGACGAGGAGGAAGCCGCCGACTGGGTGCTGAAGTATGAGCGGAACGGGCGTGATGAACGCGTGGGAAAGAGACGGTATGGACATCTGAACTATCCCTCAGCCGACTGGAGGATGGAAGAGTGGAAGCCTTGGTCCAAACATGTCGGCCCTTATCGATGAGATTTGTTTCCCGGGTTTACTCCGTTGCAGATCTTATCTGGAAGTACAGCTGAACGAAGACTGTAACATCATTTGTACTAAGTACATAGTCGGAAATTTAAGGCATGGGCAGAATTGCTTCTCCAGAGAACCCTTCTCTAACCTCGAGCGAAGAGATCATTATTGCTCTGCACACTGGCAGGCGTCTGTCAATTCTAACTATGATAAATCACGAACTTGCTTTTGGGGGGAATTCATGTCGCAATCACTTTTCCGACCGCAAATCGTTGACTACCATGTACCTGCCCAGAGCTATCCAGCCCCAGCGAAACCAGATCATCTGACTTTTATGTCCGTCGGTCATGGCAGCCCTGGCCTTCCAATACCGCGGAAGATCATTGACAAACACCAGACGGTCGGCGCCCTCTTTGTTGCCCGTGCCTCTGGTGCCCATCACGTTACCGAAAATAGTGCCATAGATCCCACCCAGTAGCGTGGGAACAGCGTCGAGAATGAAACTGTATTTGCGCACAATGTTGATGGACGGCAGAGTATACAGCGCCACGGGACAAGCGCAGCCGGCATGGCCCTTCATGATCTGCTTGACGAACAGCGTCGCGGCATGGTACAAGGCCTTGTGATTCGGATGGCCCGAGATGCCGTGCTCGTCGAACGTGATCAGGACGTCGATCGAAGCGCGGGGACCTTCGGGCGGCGGAGAGGTTTTTGCAGTTGTGCCTGTTGTTGTCGCAGAGGAAGAGGAGGAGAATTTGGTGTGTTTTGACTTCCCCTTACGCCGGTCTTTCTCCTTCTCTCGCTCCGCCGGCGCGGTGGCATTCAAATGCGGCGCAAAGGCACTGGCCAGCACACGCACGACCTCTTCCGGCTTCCAGTCCTCGTGCATGCCGTCCCTGAACCGCTCGTCGTCGAGGACAAAGACATCTTCCCTCCGGCGCAGACCAAGCGTGACTGCGGCCTTTTCCAGTTCCAGCCGCCGCGTCTGGCCGAGCCCCTCGCTGTCTCCCGTGCTTAGGCACAAGATCTTCACATGGTTCTGGAGTTGTGGGTCCGTCAGCGCTTGCAGGGTCGGATTGAAGAACATGGATTCATCGTCCGGGTGCGCAATCAGTAGAATGATGCGTTTGTTGCGCAGGAATGCGGGCACCGGCGGACTGCTGTTCGCCGTGACGTGCCAGAGGGCGAACAGTAGGACTGGTGCGAGGATCAGTGTGACCAACGTCGTGAACGGCATGGCTTCGTTTCGTTACGTTGCGTTTCTTGCCCAGCGGTACAAGCCAGACAGGCCTCGGACGGTTCGCTTCGGGTCGGTGTGTCGCAAGCCTGTTCTGAAGGGTAGCCCAGGTGTTTGAGTAGAGGAGGGCTGTGTCTGTGTAGGTATGGAGGTTGTGTCTGTTCGGCTCAGGGTTGGTCTCGAAGGTCGGGGTTAGGAGAGGACGCGGTCGTCGTAGTTGTCCCAAGCACGGTGCACTGCGAACCTAGACGCAACTGCAGAACCATGATGGGGCTTCGAGTCTGCTCCTGCAAGAGAGAGAATGTTGTGTGGACTCTGGAAGCTTTTTAGAACATGCACTTTATGACGACCCTGGCAGTGGTGAGTACGTAGTGGGTTTGATTTATTACTGGCGTGGTGTTGCCTGCATGCGTGCATGAACCCGTGGAGATCAAATCACTGGCTAGAAGCGGTAAAGGTGGCCCGATCGTCTATTCAGGGTTTGCTACCTGGAGTTACCAGGATATAGATTCCAAATTAAGGGTTACGGCACCCGCTATACAGCATGCCTTGCTGTGGTCATTCTTGAACGGTCAGAATTTGGGAGAATTGCGCATATAAAGAACAAATACAACAACCATCATGTATTATTTGAGCATCATGTTGTCTCGCTTCTCTTCGGTCCCGTGAAAGCCTAAGGCATCTTAACCTATGCCTTGTACGCTTTGACAAGTGTAGCAAATGGCAGACATTGATTGCATGAAAGAACTGAAGGTATAGATCAGAGGTGCCGTAGTGCGCTAATGGCACAACTTCATCATTTTCATCTCCGGCGAGGAGCATGTAGAGTGATGGCGATATATCACAGCGGCTTGATTGATTCCTGGGAGGCCAGGCGAGACCGGAGGGTCATAGAGACCATCGCCTTGGACAACAACCCCACGGTCAGGACATTCGGCACGAAGCTATATCACGGCTACGCAGGGAAGAGACTGGAAGGAGCTTCCTCACCGATCCTCTACCGGTGAGCCTCTACCGGTGAGCCTCTTTGAGGCAGGGCAGTGATATACTGTGCGGGCAACAGGTCACGAGGTCAAAAAAAGCAGAAGACTCGGGGGACAGTACCTGGCGTGGACCACCACATATAGACTGAGACTCGGAGTCAGAGCCGTCAAAAGCAGGAGACTTGTAGTTCAAATGTTGTCAGCATTTATCATTGAATGCTAATGCTCAAGAGAGACCAACCAACCATTTCCAGACGCCTCGCCGAACGCCGGGCACCCCAATATGTCGTTATTAATAATGACAGTCACAGTCGCGCAAGAGTATACTAGGCCAAAGTGAGTCGCTGAGGTATATACTCACTCTTAGCCTGTATGGACCCTGGCGTAGCATAAACTGATCGAGTGTCTTGCCAGGACGCAGAAGGCTTGTCGTACTCAATATCGGTATCGTGTTGAGTAGTCCTTCGGTGACACCACCAAACCCCTTCCCTTCTTCGCACCCTTATAGATTGTTTCGATAATATCAATGAGCTCTTGTTTGTCTTCCAGTACCCAATTCAGCTTGTTGTTGTTACCGGTGCCAAAGTCACACATCATATGTTTGTTGCGAAAGAAGAACATCAGTGTGACCGGGTCGTAGAGTTCGTACATTTGTTTGAAGTCGGGGACTTGGTCGATGTCGCAGACGTAGATGACTGCAAAGTTTTTGACTCGGTCGGCGATCTTGTATAGGACTTCGTCCATGCGCATGCAGTCGGGGTCCCAGTCACGGCCAAAGCGGATGACAACGAGTCGTTCATCTTCAGACAGGATTGCTTGGTCGACGTGCCAGCCGGTGACTAGATGAGGAATAACCACGGAACCCATGATCGTAAAAACTGTAGTTTGAAATGTCTGATGTGTAATGTGTGTGGTTTGCGAAGAATTAAAGGACGGACATGAAACGAAAGTGCAATAATGCGAGACAGATAAAGGTCGGTCGTAACACAGAAGGGAATGAAACTTGGAGAAGACGAAAGAAACAAAGTTTCCATTCAGTGAGTGACCAGGCTGCAGCGGATGCCTCCCACTAATTTGGGCAGGTGGCTGAACTAACAGCAGCGCTAAGATAAGGGACCATCTAACCATCGACTTTTTCCCATCCGCATCGCAGTCACTGCACCCAAAATACCCCGCGTGAAAATTTGGGGATCACGAAAAGACTGTCCTGCGTTGAGAGAGTCCGCTTGTTGACGTACAGAGTAGATTATCTTGTCCCCTTCCGTCTGGGTTCATCCTCATTCGATTCTTATTCTGCTACGACTTCACCTGGCAGAAGTCCCGACAATGGCTCCTGCCGCTACGGAAACGAACACCTCTCATTTCGACCCGACGATAGCGGTCTTGCGAAAAGATTTGACCTCCGAATCGGTCCCTCTCGCGTGTCGTTTCCGAGCCCTCTTCTCCCTCAAGCATCTCGCATCTCAGTCACCGGGCCCTCAGGCGACAGCAGCCATAGAGGCAATCGCGGCAGCCTTTGCATCTCCCTCTGCCCTGCTCAAACATGAGCTGGCCTACTGTTTGGGGCAAACCAAGAATCTTGAGGCAGTGCCTTTCCTGAGGGCTGTCCTCGAGGACAGGTCAGAGGATGCAATGTGTAGGCATGAAGCCGCAGAAGCCCTTGGGGCCTTAGAAGACTTAGGAAGTTTGAACCTACTCAAGCAAATGAAAGATGACGAGCAAGAACCTGTGGTCGTGAGAGAGACGTGTGACATCGCCGTGGACCGCATTCAGTGGGCGCACTCCAAAAACAAACACGCAGAGACTCTGAAGCCCAGCGATTTCGCTTCTATCGATCCAGCTCCCCCGATGCCCCTAGTCTCAGATACCCCTTCAATCCCGGACCTGCAAAGGACCCTCCTCGATACCTCATTGCCGCTGTTCCAACGCTACAGAGCCATGTTTGCTCTTCGAGATCTTGCCTCCCCACCCGACCTTCCGACGGCAGAAGCGGCAGTCCATGCTCTGGCTTCTGGCTTTGCTGATCCATCAGCGCTTTTCCGACATGAAGTCGCCTTCGTTTTCGGCCAACTGTCACACCCAGCCTCGATACCTGCCTTGCGCTCTGTCTTGGAAAATCACAGGGAGGAAAGTATGGTGCGCCACGAGGCTGCAGAGGCGCTGGGAAGCCTTGGGGAAGAACCCGGTGTGGAGGATATGCTGCGACAATTCCTCGATGATCCCGAGCAGGTCGTCCGAGAAAGTGTTATCGTTGCTCTCGACATGGCGGAATACGAAAAGAACGGCGACATGGAATACGCCACCGTTCCCACCGAGGTCGTCGCCTAGTTGGAGGAGTTTTGTTAAAGTAGCGAGCACTGGATGGCGTTCAAGCATACTCAGGGCCACATAGGCTGTATCAATTATTCTGGACATCCTTGAACCCGCATTCGCATCTATAAAACACCGTAGTGCCTTCATCGGCACTCCGCAATTGCTTCGTATGGTAGAACATCTCCGAACGATGACAATTCGGACAATCTCGGGCAATGACCGCTTCCACCTGGAGATCTTCTGCGTTGATGCTTTGCACCTCCGAATGTTTCGCTCGCAACGCTGAAGGAAATGCGCTCGGCTTGGAGTGGGACGTGATCACTTTGGAGGAGGTGTCTTGGGTGTATTGGAAACAGTCTTCGCATTTGACCATATCGTCTTTGGTTTGTCCCGGGACCGTGCGAGGGAGAAGCGACCCGCAGGCGTCGCAGAACAGAAGACTGCCTATGGCAACCATCGTAAGGGCGTTGATTGAGATGTTGGCAGAGAAATCACGATCCTCGAAAAATTTGGGTCATAAACGACGAACGCATGCGCTGCACCAGTAGTTGAAAGGGCCCTGGCTGAAATGCCCGAAACGGCTAGCGTCAAAGGCATCCCGCAGTTCAGCCGCCTCCATTCGACATGGAATGGATGGCATCTCTCAATATATTGGTTCGCAGCCTGGTACCTTTTTCTCTTTCCCCTACAATTCTCTCCGCTGCACTCCCATTGTTCGCTATTTTGCTCGAAATCCCGGCAAACATGTGGCCGGAACTCTGCGTGTTTGGAGGCATCTTCTCTTCTCCCGCGCATCCCGCGATCTGAGTGGGAGGCCCAGAAATGAATTACCTGGGCGGTACTCTGGACGCGGACGCACCTCATTCCGCCAAAATGGCCATGACCGCAAAAGTCGAGGTTGTTATTCCACGACAGCCTCGTGATGAAATCAATCGGAGGCAAGTCTCTGTAGATGAGGCCTTAGAATACACTCCGATGACCACGTCGGTCCTCCCATCGCATGGTACGTTCGGTCACTCATGTACGAGTCCTTGCTAAGACACAATTCATAGATCGTATCCCCATCCCACAGGTAGGCCGCTCTACTCATATACGTCTTACTACCCCGGCCGAACGCCAGAGTGCGTACCATAGTGAACACTATAGTCAGCAAACAAGAGAACGTCTTGGTGAATTGTTGGATCCTCGCCGTCTCTCAGAAATGTATTCTTCAACTCGGAATCCGGGAATGATCAAGATCTAACAAATCACAGAAAGTTCAAACGCTCCTCCGTTCAAAATGACACCGCCCTGAAGTCAAACTTGAACCCCGTGCAGAAGATGGTTCTAAAGTTGGCCAAGATCGACTACACCTATCCTTCGTCAACCTCCACCCGATCCATGTTGAAGCAAGCGACTTCCAACAAGAGCAAACCCAAGTCAGCGCAACCCGCTGTCATCGTTGAAATCCCACAACCTCCTTCGTCCTTCCGGCGGAATGATTACGTCGCCATGCCCGACTTCCCAAAGAGACGTAAACTGGCTGAATCGGAACCCAATGGCATGCTTGCTTTGGACGTTGCTTCGAAAAGAGAGAAGGATGATCGACTGTTGACAAGTCTTGAAGACCGGCTGGTGGAGATCTTCGAGGCTCAAGATCGGCTGGCGCCAGACACCTCGACCGCGTCCACTGGGCTCAACAATACCATGTTCGATATGCCGGATGAAGACGATGAAGCCGAGCCGCGTCTGACGATACAGACTCAAGAACAACTGCAAGGGGTACTAAGCAAGGTACTGCATTCTGGTCGCCTAGCGGAGGCACCAATCGAGTATATCCAGCGACTGCAGCGACTTTGTGAACCCGCTATTGAAGCGGCACAGACTGTGAATATGAAAGTACCATCCGACTTAGCTGCTGAAGACATTACCACATGGCTGGGCAAGGTTCACAAAGGAGAAAGTGGAGCCGCCGCCGCATGCACCATGATATATACTGTCCTAGGCGCCTCACAGCACACTGAACTCATCAATCTCGAGGTGCTCCAATGGTTGCCAAATGTTCTCGTCAATATTTTCGAGAATTGTCTCATTCCTGTTATCGAAGCTAGACCAGAAGGACCACAGAGCGGAATGTTTGAGGTGGCGGCGGCACACAGCGACTCCTTGAAGAAACTCCTTGATCTCGGCCGAAAGCTTCTGGACCTCGTTGCGACAGTCTGTGTTCAGGTCAAAGGAGCCGGCTCCACGGTGAATTCGACCGAGTTTCTTGCCTCAAAACTGATCTTCGTCCAAAATGCCCATACCGACAAAGGATCCGCTTTGGGCGCTCAGACTTATGAGCGAGTACGCAAACAAGCCATGGCAGCGCTTGCAAAACTGTACGCCGCGTTTCCTGGCGAAAGGACTGCGATCCTGGACGAGGTTTTAACTTCTCTGGATAAACTCCCCTCCAACAGCAGAAGTGCACGGCAATACAAGCTGGGAAGTGGCAAGAGTATTCAACTTGTGTCCGCTCTGTTCATGCAACTGGTGCAAACGCCAGCCTTGCAAACACGGAACGATAGAGCCAGGAAAAGGCGACATGCACGTCAGAACCAATCAGAAGAACCCCAGCCTTCAGATGACGAAGATGCAGCAGGGGATCAGGAAGGGGACTCGACCACATTCGCAGATCAAGATGATCACAGTCCCCTGGACAAGTTGGCTAATACGGCGGATGGCCTATTCGACGATGCTTTCAAGAGCGCGCAGCAAATTGTCGGGTGGATGGTCGACAAAGCCTCAAGGGTCACCAAGACCGGCGACTCCCCTTATCGCAATATTCTCGACTTATTTGTCGAGGACTTGACCGTGGTACTGCCCTCAACCGACTGGCCAGCCTCGGAATTGCTCCTTACAGTCCTGACTCTCCGCATGATTGCGCTCGCGAAGAACGACAAGGCAGCTTCTACCAAGAACATGGCACTGGAATCATTGGGGGTTATGGGCTCAGCAATCTCTGAGATAAGAGCAACCGCGAGGAATCTACTCTCCTCCATCCTGCGGGATGGAGAATCAGCATCTTCCCAGATTGGTCAAGACCTGTCGAACCTGGTCAAGGATCGGGCTCACTTCTTCCTTCGAAATGACGAGCTTATCGCACCGGGAGGTCCTTTCTCGGTTGTCCATGCACACATGATGTCCAAGACTGGGCAGAGTCTCCGGACGAAGTCCGCGAAAGCGTACTTCCTTGTGCAGTATGCTACTTTGATCGGTCGGACACTGCGCGGAACGCAGACTGGGGATCAGGACAATGCTCTCGAAGATCTTCTTTCGCCGACCATCTCGACCATCCTTGATCAGCTGGCTGATCCAGATTCAGCACAATCAGCAGTGGATCAGCCGGCATTCACGCAACACGGAGCGCAATTAGCGTACTTGCTGAGCGTCCTCAATATGCGATTCTGCCGACGATTCCAGGATATCGCCAAAACCCTTGCCTCTTCTCTTTCCAGCGAACAAGCACAGGTCCGAAGCCGCAGCTTGAAGAGCGTGGTTACCATCTTGGAGACCGATTCGAGTCTTCTTGATTGGGATCCTACAATAGCAGACGACGTATTTAGATGTGCCTCAGATGATTCTTCCCTGGTTCGGGACTCGGCACTCTCTTTGATCGCCAAGTTCATCATGCCACGACCTGGACTTGAGGAAAAGGCGTTTAAGCGACTCTTGAAATGCGCTGGGGATGCCAATGCAGGGGTCCAAAAGCGAGCCATGGGTCATTTGAAGGACATCTATCTGAAAGAGTCCAGGCAGAACATGAAAGCCACCATTGCGATCGAATTCCTTCGGAGAACGGCAGACCAGGAGGACACGGTTGCCCAACTGGCAAGGAAAACCCTGGCCGACATCTGGATAGCTCCCAATCTGACATTGTTGGCAAACGCAAACGAGTCAGCGCACGCCGAGGTTGCTGTCGAAGACTTCAAAACACACATCGTCGCCTGCGTCAACAGTGACACCGCCGCATTAGCTCCTCTGCTCAAAGATTTTCTGGTTTGGAAGCTCAAAGATTCAAAACAAGTCATTCAAGTGCAAGAGCTCTACGCGCGGGTCGTCAAGAAGCTGTTGGACACTGCCAATGGATCCGAAGCAGGGCCGGCGGACTTGACGACTCTAGTGGCATTCGCAGAAGCTTGGCCGCAGACTGTGGTACCGTCGGATCTGACGAGCCTGAAAAGCTACTTGAAGGATTTGTCCAAATCCGACAATATTCTGAAGTTCAAGTCAGTGGTGGCAATATTCCGCTCTGTGCTTCCACATGTGTCGAGGACCCAGGAACCGTTGCTACAAGAAGTCCAACTGGATCTGATGAAAGCGGCCAAAAACCTGGCTCGGCGGCAAGAATTGGAGGAGGTGATGTCGTGCTTAAGGAGCATCGATGGCGTCCTGCACAATACTGGAAGAGTCGTCGCATTCGCAAAGTCGATCATGCAGAATGTGATACAGCCCAAGATAGCACCGCAGCTCAGGGAGAAGCTGGTAAAGGCAAACCAAATGAAGGAAATCCAAGTCCGGGAAAACAAAGTGAGGGAACAATCCCTACGACTCGCCGGCACTGTGGCGAAACATATCGACCTGGAGAGTTACCGAAAGAATTTCCAAGCCGAATTTCCCACCTTCAAAACTGGTTCGGTTGCAGGATTCATGGCTGACAGCATCATTCCTTTCACGTTCAAAGGGTCTAGCGCCGAGCTACGCTTGAAGGCTTTAGAAAGTCTGGGCTTGATCTGTCAGGCATGGCCAGGTCAATTCAACAAACAGCATGTTCGGGAGACATTTTTCCAAGTCTTGGATGGGACTTCCTTTACCGCGCTTGACGAAAACACTATCTTGAGAATGCAGCTCGTGGTGCTTGGGATCTTCGAGGAGCTGTATGCAAAGCGTGTCACCAGCAAAAGCGAGACCAATCAGAATGAGGGACAGGTAGAGGTCCAGGCGCTGAAGAACATTGGAGGAGACAGCAAGGCGCGAGAGGACGACAGTGCCATTTCGACCATCACCAACCCTCTGGTAGATCGCTTGCTCCGGATTGTCACGTCGGAAACGGGAGAGAAGGCGTTACTCGCAGCCCAGACCCTTGCCAGCATCGACCGGCAGGGCATGACCCATCCGAAGCAGAGTACAGCAGCGTTTGTGGCATTGGAGACAAACCCGGATCTTCGGATCTCGAGCGTTGCCAGAGTCGCGCATGAGCATCTTCACCAGCAGCACGAATCGGTGTGCGAAAGAGAGTATATCCACGCAGTGTTTGAGGCGTTCCGCTACCAGAATGAGGTATTTAAGGATTCTCGGGGCGCGACTATGCCGGGATTCAAAGCGAAGCTGTCTGCCGCGTTTTCCATCATCAGCACGAGCGGATCCAAGTATGTCAAGAAATTCCTCAGCAACCTCATCTCGAAACTCAACACGGAATTCTCGAAATTGACCATGAGCGGCGAAGACGTTCCAGAGCACGTTCTTTTTGTGCTGTTTGTCACGCAGAATCTGGCGTTTTTCGACTACAAGAAGATGGACGAACTGCTCCATGCCGTCTTGCAATTGGAACTGGCATTCGGCAAGAATGGTGGTGAAACAGCGCAGGCGATTGAGACTCACATTCCCGCGGTTGTTGCCGACCCAGGCGACAATGGCGAGGTGGTCGGGACAGTGCAAGATGGCCAGGCAAGTGCAGCGTCGGCAGTTGATCCAGGGCTTCTGCGTAGATTGGCCGCGGCAGCTTGTGCCATCACGCTGGTCTCGGAGGCAAGAAACTACTTGAAGCGGCAATACGGACTATCGCGAGACGTCAAAATGGCGATGCAACAAAATAAACAAACCAAGGAGTCGGCCAAGGAACCGGTGAAGGTGCATGGGATTACAGGGGACAAGTTCTGGAACAGTTCCAATTCAGTTCTTGCATCTCTCACCAGCACAGAAGCCATGATCGCACGTTGTCGCGAGTTTGTCACGCTGGTGGCTGTGGACGATGAGGTGAAGGTTGCCGAGGAGGAAGCAGAAGCATTCGCGGTGAACAGCATGGCCGCCGAACCGAGCATGAATGGAGCGCGAGGGACAAAACGAAAGAGTATCAACGGTTCTCTGGGAGGAACACCCAAGAAACCCCGTGGTCGTCCAAAGAAGAACGCCAGCAGACGTTCGTCAAGCATTTCATCTCTCGACAATCCGGACGGGGACTTTACAGGCTGATGCACTGCTGGCTGGTGATGTTTACAAATCTTTGGGATTTGAAGTTGCGAAGCATCTTTTCCAGGCGTTCTACGGATATGGACGGGGAACACAGGCGTGTGGATCTGAGAGGTATTTTCGCCGCAGGTCTGGGTGAGAAGGCGGCAGATGCTGTTTGACATGAATTATGATACCCCATATAGTTTCCAGGTGGCTGCAGCCGGTGGTAGACAGGACAACTCTCAGACTCGAGACAGGCAATGAGACATGCTGATGCTGCTCTACTATGCTAGCCAGTCGAGACCGTTGTTCGCGGCTTTCATTCGACGTGTTAGTCGGTTGTAGAGATCAGGGAAGATACTGCCGCGGTTAGTGGCGTCTACTAGTATGTAGCGCAAGGTCGAAAGAGCGGGCGGTGAGCGGCCGAGGGTGACGAGGGTGACGAGGGTGACGAGGGTGACGATGGCGATACATCGACAACAATGCAGATTGGATCGCCACAGATATTAGGGCATGAGTGGATGAGGATGATGATATCTATGGATTCAAGATAAATCCATGGACAAGAAGTGGTGACAATGAGGTCGACTGCCCACCGCAGCGCAGGCACTTACTATACAGAGTAGGTCACGTGCGACGATCGGCCCTTACTTTTTAGCAGTGTTTAGCAGTTTAACGATAACATTGTTGTAAACTACCTCTATTGCGTATCCACTCAGGTAGTTACTAAGGTACACACTACGCACTAGTACTACCTAATAATGTAGCGCTACTGATGACGTTGGTTGTCGTAACAGATCAGATCTCGATGCAGCAAGCACCCACCAGAGCTCGCCTCATCTCGGCCATCCATCTTGCGTCCCTCTACACCTACTCTCCCTGATTCTTGTTTATATTTTTTTCGCCCTTGCTGTCCGCTCTCTCCTCCTCTTGGCGACGCTCCTCCCACCGGTACGCCAAATTCTTGCCCGGTTACAGCATGTGGTAGAACTGCTGTTTCGTTCCCTCATATCATGGAGGCTCTCCCTCGATTAGCCCGCAATATCCGGCAACCGATCCGGATCATCCAGCTCTCCCAATGCCGGCCCTTTCATTCACCTCCTAGAGCCTCTTTCCAGTCTACGAAGTCGTTCTCGACCCTGAGACGATCTCCGTATATTGCTTTCCGAGCTCCTCGTCATCTGGCTTCTCAGCTTCCATCCCACAGCTTTCGGCGAACGGCTCCCGGCACCTTGCGCTATCTCACGACGAAAGAACTACCCAACCACCGTGGTCCGCTCACACGCTTCTTCTACCGTTTGTTTGCTTGGACGGGCATTTTTTTTGTGTGTTGCGGGACCCTGGTGGTCGCCTTCTTCATCTATGATGCCTCCACCTACAAGGAACCCCCCGGGGGAGAAGGCGACGTGCCTGTGTGCGAGGCCGCCCTGGAACCCAGAAGAGGAGGCCCCAAGAATCTACCGATAGCTCAGATCCTGGTCGATGATGAGGACAGTGAGGGCATGCTGGAGCAGAAATACAAGCCTAAATTGGTGATATTGGGGTCAGGATGGGGCAGTGTGGCCATGCTTAAAGAGCTCAATCCCGGCGATTACCATGTCACCGTGGTCTCTCCGGAGAACTACTTTCTTTTCACGCCCATGCTGCCCTCGGCCACAGTTGGCACCCTGGAGCTGCGTTCTCTGGTCGAGCCTGTCCGCAGGATAGTCAACCGACTCCGAGGCCACTTCCTCAAGGCCAGGGCTATCGACGTCGACTTCTCTCACAAACTGGTTGAAGTGGCTCAAACCGATGCGAACGGAGTGGAACAACACTTTTACCTCCCCTACGATAAATTGGTGATCGGCATAGGATCGACCACGAACCCTCACGGTGTCAAAGGCTTGGAGAACTGCAACTTCCTCAAGACCATCGAAGATGCTCGTCTGATCAAGAACAAGATCCTGCAGAACTTGGAGTTGGCTTGTTTACCAACCACCTCTGACGACGAACGGCGGAGATTACTGTCCTTCGTCGTGAGCGGCGGTGGTCCCACCGGTGTCGAGTTTGCCGCCGAGCTGTATGATATGCTGAACGAAGATCTCCTCAAGTCATTCCCCAAGATCCTGCGGAACGAGATCTCGGTCCATGTGATCCAGTCCCGATCGCATATCCTTAACACCTATGACGAGGCTTTGTCCGTGTATGCCGAGAAGCGATTCGAGCGAGACCACGTGGAAGTCTTGACCAACTCACGAGTCAAAGAAGTCAAGCCGGACAGGATCATCTTCACACAGATGGAAGATGGGAAACCTGTGAGCAAGGAACTGTCCCTGGGCTTCTGCCTTTGGTCGACCGGCGTTGCGCAGACGGAGTTGAGTCAGAAGATCGCTCAGAAACTGGGAGATTTCCAAAACAATCGTCATGCCCTGGAAACCGACACTCATCTGAGACTGATCGGAGCTCCTCTGGGAGACGTGTACGCCATTGGAGACTGTGCGACGGTTCAAAACAACATCGCCGACCATCTGACGACCTTCCTCCGCGGCATCGCGTTCGAGAAAGGCAAAGACCCGGACAAGGTGCTCATCACGTTCCAGGATTGGCGTGGTCTTGCCCATAAAGTCCGAAAGCGCTTCCCTCAAGCTGCAGGCCATCTGAAACGTCTTGATCGCCTGTTCGATGAGTACGACAAGGACAAATCCGGAACGCTGGACTTTGACGAGCTTCATGAGCTGCTTGTCCAGATTGACAGCAAACTCACCTCCCTCCCGGCGACGGCACAACGGGCCAACCAGCAAGGTCAGTATCTCGGACGGAAATTCAACAAGATCGCCGCCGCCATTCCAGGGTTCCAGGCCAATGAAGTCGACTTTGGGGATCTCGACGAGGCCGTCTACAAGGCCTTTGAGTATCATCACTTGGGCAGTCTGGCGTACATTGGCAACGCGGCCATCTTTGATTTCGGCGGTATGAATTTCAGCGGTGGGTTGATTGCTGTGTATCTGTGGCGAAGTATCTATTTCGCCCAGAGCGTCAGTCTCAGAACAAGAATCCTTTTGGCCATGGATTGGACCAAGAGAGCTTTGTTTGGAAGAGGTGAGTTCTCCGTTGAAATCTTGATGCCAGCTCAAGGGTTTTTTTACTAACGTCAGGATTAGATTTGATGAGCTTCTAGACCATTTTTCCGAAACCAGGCAAATGTTCGACGGGCGGTAAAGGGACTTCTGATCTGAAGGCGACCCTCTCGACTCGGGTACTTCGAAAAGCTAGCTTGCCGAGAGTGAGACGCCTCTATGCTTCATTAGCATGGTCTATATGAGCCCGTCACTGCAAATCCTCTGGGAAACTGATACACATGACAGAGCCACCATGTCACATCGAAAACTTGCGGCTACTGGCCAGACAGGGGCGAACTTTAGATGAAGAATGACTGCAATTACCTTCTTCTGCTGCAATCAGTTCTACGCGAAGGCAACAGTACTGTTTCATATATTCACCCGAAGACTTTGTTGCAGCGGCTCATGCGAACGGCTCGATAGATGTCGACATCGGCTTTCCAATGGTTGATTGTGCAATTTTACAGAGCCTCTTTCTATGTGAATACTGCGCAGCATGATGATAGCGAGCGACAGAGACGATTACAGTTGCGTGGCAATAGCGAGAGAAATGTTGCAGCGTTTTTGAAATCTAGTATTGAATGCCTTGCAAGGCTGTGTTCTTCCTGTCCACCATGAGCGATCCAAATGCGATATAGCATTGTACTTTTCGCCTACGAGTGCTGCTTTTATCGTGATAGTAGGAAGCAAATTCCACGACTTTTTACAAAAGATACATATGGGTTTACGTCCTACTACTGAGATGTATTCGCAGTCCCGTCCTGGGATGGAAAGAGTGCCAAACGCAAAGTTACATGCTGACTCCCTCGCGTGTATTTGAATTCGCCTGATTTTGCACCAACGGTCAACATGCTCCCAAAGGAGAAGGGTGCGAAAAGTGCCAAAAAGATGTGCCGAGCCTGAGGAACTGATGTACGGGAATAAATCATAAATGGCAAAAAAGGTCCTGCCCGGGATTGAACCGGGGTCACGGGAAGAGTTCTTGAGATCAGAATCCCGTGTGCTAACCACTCTGGATGCATGTTAGTAAATACTTGATAAGTCGGTGAATTGGAGAACCACATACACACTACAGAACCGATTCTGTGCTTGAATTGCGCCAGAAATTCTGCGACTTTAAACTATAATGTCAATTATTGTGGGTGGCGACTTAGGGGTGATGGATGGGGCCACTAGCTGTATTCGGTCATTCCTTATAGTTATTATAAGTAGGGCCAATCTTCAATCTTGGCAGAGATTTTGTCGGGCATAAGGTACGACAGGCTCATATACTTCTATTCTGATCATACAGAGGTGAATCATTGGATCTCCGTTGTGTTCCAAGGAGGTCAAGGCAGATAGAGCCATGGCCGTAGACGAGGAACGGTCGAGGAAGAGGAGGAAGGTAGACGGCAGCACTTCCGCCACGTCTATATCCTTCAAGAGCGCCGACCAGATACACAGGCTTCTCCAGTCCTCACAAGGCTCATCTCCTCAGGTTGTAGCAGGTATGTTGGTCTTGTTCCTTTGCGAGGACAAAACGTTTGGGCTAACAAAAGCAGCGATTGAACGATTCAAACACTTTCTGTACCAAATCTCCGAGGACCAAAACATTGCATCCCAGACTGGGCAGTTGAAGGTCCTGAAGGAATATTGCGACCTGCAATCCTCTGCCTCCCATGAGGAGGTCGATTTCCCGGATCTCCTGTCAATATGGTACTCTGCAAGCCAAAGCAACGATGAGGCCGTCCTGTCTGCTGTCCCATCTGTTCTCACTCAATTCTTCCGAACAATATCTAGCCAGCTCGAGTTTCGGGAATTTGGTCTTTCCCTGTGTCACAGCTTGTTGAAGCGAGATCAATTGCGGATTTTCGACAAGGGCTTATCACTCCCGCGCTCCAAACAGCAGATCATCACGCCCTGTCTACAGCTCTTGACCGAGATCATCAGCTTTGACGGAGGTGCCCTCGCCAGCAATGTCTTTGGCCGGCGGGATTACCTGTACAGACGACTTGATGGCCTTCTTTCCCAATTACCATCTGAATCAACAGACACGCCCACGCCAACGCCAACGTCCGGCGTACATAAAGCAGCGCTGGAGTTTCTCTTGGCCAGCTTGAAGTACTTGGACTCCGAGTCAAAGACCGAGCTCATTACCCATGGCCGAACTCTATATTCTGCGGTTCGCAGTCTTCCGAGCGGAAGTGCCGATGTCATCACCAAGGCTCTAGATACCCTGGAGAGGTCGGTGCTGGCGGACGAGAGCCTTGCCAAACAAATCAAGCGTCGTTGTTTCAACTCGGGCTTTCTGGCTGCGTTGGCTAAGCTGTATGACTATCCGGTGGAATCTTCCTCCGCTGGAGACGGAGGTGATCATTCGACAAGCGTTCGCGAGGCTTTACAGCGACTATTACTCCAGGTATGTACCACTACAAAGGGAGTTCTGGTTCCTCAAACAGGCTGGTACCCCCCCGGTACGAATCCCGAATCGCTTCAGAAAGACGACAGCATGATTGATTTGGGACTGGACTCCCCCTTTTATTTCGACGACTTTACGGAAAAGGTGCCGGTGAAAAATGGCACGTTGGCAATCTTCATCCAGACTCTAAAACCCGAGAGCGACGTCCTGCAGGCGAATCTCATCATCTCGATATTCGCCGCTGCTCCAGAGCTAGTCGCCGACTACACCTCCAAAAAGCAAAAGCTCGTGGTGCCCCCTGGAGACGACCCCTTATGGCGAGGTCAATTCGCATTCCTGTTTTCTGTCGTCAAGCAACCCGTGCCGCCGAACTGTGGCTGGCCTGGCAAAACTCCGTCGACGCCTCCGCCACTTTCGATTGTCATCGAGAGCATTCTCCCAAAGCCGCTGGACCGGAGCACATTGACAAAATGTCTACAAACCAAGGACGATATCATCATGATCTCTGCCACCAGGGTGTTGACGGTGGCCTTGGAAAAGCTGGACTCGGCTTTGAAGATCTTTGACACTGCGCCGTCCGACACCACACTGTGGGCCCAGGCTGCCACTAGACTGATGAACCTCTTCATTGAGCGTATTCCGCCTCTACAGGATTTGGTTACTGCACTGCAAAGTCTCGACAAAGATAATGAACAAGTCCGCACGACCGTCCTGGAATGTATGGCGACCTACCACAAGATCTTGCCTTCCACTACCGTGGCCTCGAAGTTCGACATTGGGCCGACTTTAAGCAAGACTCTCCAAAGTCTCGAGTCTGACAGTCTGGAGCAGGAAAGGAGAGATGTGCTTCAGGAGCAGATGACGCATCTTGTGCAGATTGCCGATGCATCACTGGCCACCAAATGGTTTCATAGAACATCCTCTGAACCCACCTCGTTGGTTGTGCAACTGCTCCAATACTGTGCTCAGTGGCCCGACACTGCCGTCACCAAGCAATCTTTACCCGTCGTCCAAGCGGTTCTGTGCGGCAAAGGGATCCTAAGTTCTACCATGGCCGCCTTTCAAGCTCTACTCTTCAGTCTCACCCCGAGCAAGAAATGGCAGCCGGAGATCGAGATGTATCAGTTTCTAGACAACTGCATCACACGCACGATGCAACGGCCTGTGAAATACCTGGATCGTCTTGAACAGATGCAACAGTTATTGTCGGACACGACGGACTTGAGTCTCATTGCCTGTTGCATTGCCGAACAATGGTCGTTTGTGCTGAAGAAGGAGGACAAAAGTGCCAGAAAGAACATTGTGGGGTGGGTGGCAAGGCTCTTTTCAGCCCTGGAGGCTGCCGGCCAGAATTGGCGTGTGCTGAATCATCTGCGAGAGGAGATGGAACGACAAGCCGAGGGGATGGAAAAAGCAAAAGCAGCATTCGTGAAGGCTTTCGAGAAGCAACAAAAGAAGACCGTCACTCTGCCTCCGCTGGTCCCTACCGACAGTGGAGAGACGCCAGAGGCAGCAGAGTTAGGTTTGAACGACAAAACCCTCTCGGCTGATCACGCAGCAACAAACACACAATACCAGGAAACTGAATCGGACATGGACATGGACAAGACGTTCGCTGCACCCGCACCAATTCCGACCTCTCTCAGTGGCCTTGACCGCTGGACGAAGCCGGACTTCGAATCCGAGATCAAGTCGGGCCGTCTGGCCAGCCTTCTACGCTGTCTGATTTCTCCCGACACCGAGATCAGGCTCCAAGTATTCCACACGCTCCAAACAGTCATGCACGCCGTCGAGCAGTCGACGTTTCCCGAGAAGACACAGCTCTACCTCCTTCTGGGCGAAGTATATGAGACTCTACGCCTACACTCCATCTCCCTCTCCGTCTCCCACTCTCAAACCCACACCCACACCGATCCTTCGACCACTCTTTCCTCGGCCTCGTCTTCACTCCAACCAGCGCGACCACCACCATCAATCATCGCCGAACTAGCCATCCAGACTCTCCCTGTCCTAGCGGACCCATCATCCCCCTTCTACCGCAAAACCAACAAATTCCTGCTCCGCGCCCCCAGCTGGCCCACGTCGTCCATCCTCCCCTACTGGCTATCGCTGACATTCCTGACCGAGCCTGACAGCGACGACACGGATGTGGGCGGCCAGAACGCGCAAGCGTTGGAAATCGACCGGCTTCTCGACCTTCTGGCCAACTCGCTCCGCACGGATTCGGACATGGACCTCTTCCGCCGCGCGCACGTCTTCGCCCGGCTGTTTGCGTATTTCCTGGCCCCCGTGTGTTCGAAGCAGGCGCGCAAGAAGATCTTGCGCGTCGTGCACATCGCCACTACGATCCCCGGGGCAAGTGATACGCTCATTACTCGCGCCGGCGTGCGTGAGTGGTTGGCCATTGCACGGAACTTGCGTGACCACAGTGGTCATGGCGCGGCCCTGTTTGGGAAGGTCGATGCTGAAATCAGTTTGTTGGTGGATGTGCTGGCGAAGGAGGTCGAGAGGAGCTGTGATGCAGAGGCTATTGCGCGGTGGGAGAGTCAAAGATCGGTTTTCAAGGCGGGAGATGCAACGGGTATGGCGGGAGGTGAGAAGAAAGATGGATAGAGAAACAGTGGTGTGAGGTGATCAAGACGGAGAGGATGTAGACTCTTACGAAGACAAGCAGAATCAGATATTCATCTATCTACAAACTATGCTTGAGCCTCGTGTTAGGATAATACCTCTTCGGCCTATATTCATATTCTAGAGTCCATCTAAATGTATTGTTCATCCATGATCCAGGTAGCTAGCTAATTGAAATTCAATATAGTGGAGTCTTGATTATGATCATGATAGATATCCGGTATATTATATTATACTACCTTACGTATATAGACAGATATACTACGTATATATATACTCAGTACTTTGTCATGAACATCAAGCATTACCAAAATGAAGATATTCGACCCGAACGACCTGTCCAGCCAGCCGATAGATAGAAAGGTATATCCCACAATATGACTCCGAACTCTGAACAGGAAAGATAATGACTGGAAATCAGTTTCACACAGATATGTCTGTGATAGATCCTCCTTAATGGTAGAATCTCCCTTGTCTCCATCTGGTCCCTTCACCCACTGCACGTTATATATTCTGGAAAGACAATATGATAATCGTAGAACATCGACGGAGTCTGTTATCATCTAGATCATCTACCATCTACCTCGGAACTACTGCCACCGTGACCCTCTTAATTGTGGCCCTCAGCTTGATATCGACACTTGTTCCTGTAGGACAAAACAATGCCAGGCGAATATCGTCTCCTTCCATTCTTCCTCTTGTCTTGTCCGTCCACCTCACGAACAACTATGAAAGGTCGCTAGCTCGGCCCTTTCTCCTGTCAGGGGTTGCTTGCAATTCGTTTTCCACATATGTCTGGACTGCACTCGGGAGAGGCATCTCGTCGATGGCATTGCATTTTTTTAATCCAGATATCCGTGGCGGATGATATCGGTGACCAGTACGTGGTCCTGTAAATCGGTTTTCGTTTCTCGGGACATGTATCGTAATGCTTGGAGATCCTTCTCGATCTAGGACCAGGACTGCCGTTGCAGTTGCGTTTGCATCGCATCCGTATTCTTCTTGGTCCGTGGCTGCTGCGTCTACGTTTCTCCAGCACCCGCCGGCCTCGAAATATGGCATTTGTTCTGGGTTTGATCCCTCGAGTTCAGATAATCCACAATGAGTTCCCAGAAACCGCTCCAAGCGGAAAAGACTTAACAAGTCCTCATCTGTGCAGGCCGTCGATTGCCGTGTTCTGCATGATTCATACTAGGAGGGCTGCTTGCCAGATCTTGGGACGGCCTCGGGTGTCGACTCGTCGGATGGTCCGACTCACGTCACAGCCTCTGTTAAGATCCCGGCTGGACAGTCGGCGAAAGGTGGACTTTTGCGGTGTAAGTTGAGAAGTGCCTCCATCTCTAACGGGTTCGAAGGTCTCGTCTGACTTGCCCACGGTAGGACCTGGACCCCTAGTCTCGGGAGAATTCTGGGGATGTTGAAATGTCATGTCGGTTGGAAAGGGACCCGACGAAAATCATCACCTCAATCTCCAACCATAGCTCTGACTCGTTCGATCCTCATGACAGCCTTTTCCAACCTGTCCAGCCTCCTTCTCTTGTCCCCGTCCCTCTGCTCCAGGACTTTGACTCGTTCCTCCAATTTCGCCCTGGCCTTGCGCTCGGTCGCGACCATTTCATTGGCTTCGCCGAACAGCTGGGCCGTCAGATCTTCCAGTTCCATCTGCGTTTCGGAGAGATTGGTCTCGGCGCGCAATCGCAACGTGCGCTCCTCTTCCAGCGAATTCTGCAGGGAAGACATCGTGACGACCTGGTTGTCAGACCGCGTGGACTGGAGAGTCGGAGCGGAGAGCTTCAAACTCGAGAACGACGTCTTGGGAGGCGAGAGCATGTTGGGTTGCGGGAATGTCCCCGTCGCCGGAGTCACTGGTAAATTTCCCGAACTGGAGTCTTTCCTGCGCCCAGGTAGAAAGGCACTTAGGCTTGCTAACCTGGACGGCGCGTGCTGGCCGGCTGCTGTGGGCGCGACGGCCGGACCTGGACCCTCGAGCGGCGGGGTGCTTGTGGCTGGCACTTGTGTCTGCTGTTGCTGTTGAGATCTCCCGTACGCTTCTCTCAAGTGACGGATCTCGTCCTCGTAGTCGGCCAGCTTGTCGACGGCTGCGGCAGCTTTGGAATTGAGCAGTTTGACCTGCGATTCGAGGTCGAGGATGCGCCGGTGCGCTTCGGTGGCTTCGGTCGAAGCGTCGATGGGGAACGGGAGATGGTAGCCGCACGACGGACAGGAGGAGGAGGCCAGGGCGGCGGCATTGGCGTAGGATGTGGTCGTCGAGGTGTCGAACGAAGGAGCCATGGCCTTGCTATTGAGGAGGAGGGTCGATGTCGCCATGACACATTGTTCGAGAAGAGGTGGAGGGACGGTGGTTTGTAGCTCGTGGTTCGCGGAGGTCGACAGGGTCGAGCGCGTTTCGAGTCTTGGAGTGATTTTCTTCACGTCGAGGAGGGAGGTCCGCGTCGCACGTAAGTAAAGAGGAAGAAAGAACCGATCCTACTACTAGGCAACAGGAATCAGATGCTTCTATCACCAGCTGATGAGGCTTAGAGGCGCCCCAGGACAGCCATTATTGGCACGGCGAAGTGATCTGGTTGTTGGCAACGGTGGCGGCAGCTGAGGCTGGGGCTGACGATATCAATCCAGGCGGCAACCCACACACTGTGTACCCCTGGCTTCGATCGTGGTATATGTATGGACGTATGTTACTCGCGACACTGCAAGCCAGATGCCAAATTAAATTCCCCTCGAACAAATCTTACAGCGCGTGGATGCGGGTTGCAGCACAGACGCCTTGTCGGTTCACTCGAAAAACGGGGTGCGGCTCGGAGATGGGACTCGACGTATGGGAGGAATCGACGGATATTAGAACCTGTCACTCGACATGTTTCGTCGGCTGTCAAACGAAAGTGAATGAGTGGATGAATAAGTGTTCGCTTCTTTTCTCTTTCTCCATCGTCGGCGCGTGTTTCGGGCTGCCGGCCTCGCCGTCACGTGGCCATCCCAATATGAGCATAGCAACATTCCATACCGTAACCACCACAGCCTTTTGATGTTAGGATCACTGGACGGTGGAATGGCTCTGTTGTCCAGTCTAGCCAGGGATTCATGTGAACATGCCTATCACGGCGGCAAGGGCAGATCTAAACTGTCGGCGATTTCACTGGTGCACACACGCATTCGGTCCGGGATTCAGAGTGCGATGGTATGGTTTGTTCTCGTCGCCTACTTCGACGAGTGCTCCTCCTCCTGGGTACAAACGAGAACCAGTGTTAGCAGAGCAGAAGGCCAGTTTCTATGGACTCCGGGAAATGGAGAGAATCGACCCAAATTGCATCTTCGCGATGGTAATAATGACCTCTTGTTCCATCCCCTACTCCCCTGTCTCCAGATCTTCACGCCAGTTGGGAAATTGGGAACATTGAGTATCTCAAACAACGAAAATGGGACGAGGAAGCAATACCTCCTCGCTACCCTCCGGGACAGTCTAAAAGAAGTAAGGAATGGCAGCACTGGAACGGTTAGCAACAAAGCTCTCCCTTGGAAAAGTGGACGCTGAAACTTACGCGATAGTCAAGGTCGCCGTGAGACCGATCAAAGCCCTGTTCCTCACTTTCTCCCTCTTCAACTTCTCCTGCAGCACCCGCGCCTTCTTCGTTGGCTGGACGGGCATCTCGGCGTCGACATCGGACGGTTCGGGTTCGGGGGCCTTCCGCTTCTTAGAGGCTTTCGGAACGGGCTCCAGGGCCTTGGCTTCCTCCACCATTTTCCTTGCCGTTTCCAACATCTTCTCCGTGTCTTCGGGTGAAGGGAGCTCAGGCGATGCTGATGGCATGTCGACCGTCACTCTCGAGTGGGTGGTCTCCGTAGTCTCACCAACGTCGACTGTTTGATCCACCTGGACCTTGACCATGTCTTCGTTGGAGTCCGATTCGGTGGGCAGTTTGGTGGGCGAGCCAGTTTTCCTTTTCGTAGGTGCGACGGATGCTGCATCGTTCAGTGCAGACTGCAGAGTCGCGCTGGCGGCATTGGCATGAGCAATGTTGGCTTCCTTCTGTGCCTTTGTTTGTCTCTTTTTCGGCGACGATTTTGCCTTACTTGCGGTGTCTGTTTTGCTTGGGGAGGCCGACCTTGTGGCTCTCGAACGGGGTGTCTTGGTGGGAGGTGGCAGTTTGGTCTGGCCCGTTGGGAGATCAAACCTGGGAGGCGCACTAATCGGCTTTTTGGAGCTTGAAGGTGCTTGCGAGATCTCGGCTGGGTCGAGCAGGGCGCGAATCCATTCAGTCAGACCGTAATCCGCGGCCAATTCGAGGGCTGTCGCGTACGGTCAGCGTGGTCTGTTCAATCAGTGGATGAGTTAACCGTACCAAACTCCGGGGCTACCCAGACATTGCCTGCAACTTCGTCCTGACTCGTGGCATCGAGACTTTTGAGATAATCGCGCTCTTCTTTCTCTTCGGCATGAGCCGCCCAAGGGAATGCGATCTTGAACATGCCGGTAGCGCTCACGAAACCGTCCTTGCTCCTCCTCTGCAACCAAGGTTAGACGTGCTGGAAGTTCCCTTCATTACGGCAATCATACCATGAGAAAGTATGTTTCCGGATGAGGTTGATTCTGCTGAGTTGAAAAAATCTCGGAACCAGTGAGGTCATCTGGGAGAGGAGCGCGAAGATGTGCATATTCGAAAGGTCCCAGATTTTCTGCCTTTGTCGCGTTCGACGTCCCAACTTGCCCGGGCTTCACGGTCAACTTTGTCTTACCGAGCCGCCTTCGGTTGAGCAGCTCTTCATCTACTCGCGCGTCAGTTCATCCTCGCATTGTAATCACCAGAAATCAGCATCTTACATGACGGCGCCGCGCCAGGCGCGACCAATGGATTTCGTTTTTCAGGTAAGGATCGCATCTTTCTCTCGGTGGGTTGATGGTTCGCGAGGGCGGAAATGAGTCAAGGTATTGTCTGTCGAGAGCGCTGAGAGTTGTCTTGCGACGCGAGCTTGAATGAGTGGAGGATGACGATGCGACAATCTGCGAGGTTCGCCGCCCGTGATAGGATCGTGGTACTAGTACCTAGAAACAGGGTACAGAGAACGGCGCAGGTAAGCCGCTTAACTCTTCAAGTGGCAGAGCAACGTTGGACAACGCGATCGACGGGATTGAATATATCGAAGGAAATGGAGACCGCGACCGGGGAGGGGAGGGGAGGATGAGGAAGCGATTAGACTGAAATCGACGAGGACGAAATAGGTCCGTCACCTCTGCTTCTGGCGTAACAAAGGTGACTAGCCTGTCGCCGGTGGCAGGGAGAAACGGAATGGAGCGGCAAGACTTTGGGGAGAACAGGAAGAGCCAGGCGGTGGTTGGTTGAGGGGAGAGGTCTCCCTACTAGAGTGCTAGTACCCCCATAGCTCCCTAACGGCCCCTAAGTGCCTACTACTGCCTAATATCTATTATTCCTAGGTGGACTTTACCTGGTAGGTGCGCCTACACCGTTATCTACCTCCTCTAGTGGACTGGTAACTGATCAATTATTAGGCGCTAGGTGTCTATCACCTTTTAGTGAGGGAGCCTGGACCATCTTGCCTTGGCCACGCCTAGGCTTTTAATTGAGGAGGCTGGATGGCATTGAACCTCTACAGAAGAAGAGAACAACTGCACGGCCTCATTCAGCCTTATATCGACGCCTCTCTGGTTCTCGCTAGGCTATCCTTCGCAAGGGCGGCAGCTAATATGTCTATTGCTATACAATTGCCTAGAAATCGTCAGATTGGAACCTGAGATATGATCCCATGCTCAGCATCAACGTCAACTGTCTTCCTTGTTCTTCTTCTCCCCTAGACGATTCTTCAACTTCTCGTTTTCTTTCTCATCGCCAATGTCCAGCACTTCCTCCCCATGATACTCCCAGCTTCCAATATCCCTCGGGCCCTCCATTCCGGCAGGTGGAAAGGCCCATTGAGGTACTGGACTGCGATAGCTCCAGCTCCCCCCTACATCTGCATAGGATATTGCATGGAGGTAAATGCCCAGCTCGTGCGGCCCCGGATCTGAATATAATGGCGTGTCGCACACGGGACATTTCTCTCCAGTCATTTTCTCCCCTTTCCGCTTATTGTAGTCGGCCACCATTTCGTCATGTGCCTTCACGAACGCGCCGTACTGCGCATCGTCGTGCATCGGGTCCTCCCCTGGGCTTGCCAGGGTTCCGGCGTGAAGAGTTCCTGAATCCAAAGGTTTGAAGTGCGGGTCCGCCTGCGAGACATCGGAAGTATGTGCATCAAGTTTGGCCGCGTCCGAAACGGTCATCTGTTGGGTTTGATCCACGAGCTTCGCCAACCGTTCTTGCTCGTACGAAAGGGAATCTGATACCTCAGTTTTGCCTACCCTTTGCAGTTTCGCAATGATTTCCTCGTCGTTCTCGCCCGTAGATTCATTCCGTGCCAAGCTCGGCCCAAAGACGGCTCTATTGCTGTAGATGGGGTCGTTGGTGATGGGATGTCCAAGGAACTGCAGGTGCACGCGGATTTGATGGGTACGGCCCGTCAAAGGCAGGCAATGGACAATACTGTAGCCTTCATCTTCGGCCCCAGAAATGGGAGGCGCAGGCTGGGCCACTTGCTCGCCAGAGGATGTGCCCGTCGAGCCCTGTTCACCGGTGGTCTCGGCCGACTTGGATGACTTGTGTGGATAATATGCCAACCGTCGGAACAGTGTCTTTGCAGACTTCCCACTCGCTCTTGCTCGGTTGAGACCAAGGATCGGGCTGATCTGGAGAATGCTTTCTTCGCACTTGACCACGCCGCCTCGCATCGGGTCGCCATCCCAGCCCTCCCCATCTGGAAATCTTCCCTTGACTCTTGCGACGTATTCCTTGCGCACCGTCCGTCCACGTAGCTTCTCACTGATCGTTTCCGCCTCTCGGGGCGTTTTGCCGATGAACATGACTCCACTGGTTAGACGGTCCAGCCGGTTGCAAGGCAAAGGTTTGAAAGCATGGTCCCGTTCTGCTTTCATGATCTCGACCACAGAGTTGTAGTTGTACCGGCCGGCAGGATGAACAGGTACGCCAGCAGGCTTGTCGATCACAATCATTTCGTCCGTTTCATGGATGACTCGAATCGGTTGTGCAGTGACCGGAGGCTCGTGTCTGTGCAGGGTGTGTGAGATGAGATCCCCGTTCTTGACAACAGTATGGATATCTTTACATGGTTCCCCATTGACCGCTATTTTCCCTGCCTCAATCGCGTCCTTGTAGTACTCGCGGGTGCGGTCGCGAAACTCGGATCCAAAGATGTCGAGGAGTTCCCGGCCGCGCCATCGTTGTTTGCAAAATGTGTTGTAAGTAAAGTCATAGGGCGCAACCCGTCGTAGGCCGTTTTCGTGGTAGTAGGGTCGAGGCCATGGGTCGCATGGAGCGATTGTCGACAGAGGGTCTTCGAATGGCATCCTGTCGTCGTTGGATGGCTTAGGCTTGATTTCCACTGTGGTTAAGGCCATGCTGCGCGTGGGATATCGGCCGCGGCTCGCCAGGTAGGCAAGCACACGTGGTGAGAGAGCCAGGGATGCTTATGCGATTTTCAGACTACCGTAAATTTGACATGTTGTTGGACTGTCTTGAGACGTAAAGACAGTCGTTGCTCTTTACCTAAACAAGTCGATACTGCGGACTTTGATTTTTTCCCTCGTAGTACTTAGTACGGGTGGTCGCCATTTTAGTAGCCGCGGCACGGGGATTCATGGCGCCAAACCTCAGACTTTGAATACGTACTTATTTCCTTTCGCAATCCTTGATCAGCCTATCTTGGTCTTATAGCTCAGGGACAAAATGTTGGGATTGGATATTGCTTCTAAGCGGAACAGGAAGCCTGGCGACTACCCCTATCATCTCGACTACAGAACTCGTTGGTTCGTCTCCAGACCTGTTGCCGCGGCAGGAGAGAAACTTATTTCTCGCGCAGGTCGGACAATGATGTCTACCATCATATGAACAACAGCATCTACGCCTTTCTGATCGACTCGATAGTCAATGCTTACTTGATCGAGAAATGCGGTCTCGACCCAGCAACTTCGCAGCAAGTGGGCTTGGTGGTCAGCACGTATTGTGACTACTTTGGATCCGTCGGATATCCATCGGTGCTCGACCTGGGTCTGAGAGTTGTCAAGCTGGGCAAGTCTAGTGTCATGTATGAGGTGGGCATCTTTGAGCAGGGCAATGAGCAAGTGAAAGCTGTGGGGGGCTCGATCCATGTCTTTGTGGAATCCAAAGGGCGGCGACCGGCCAAAGACGGAATGGAGCCTCGTATGAGAGAAGGACTGACGCAACTCCTCGAGAAGGACAAGGAAACAGCCAAATTATGACCGAAGAGAACCCAGATATGGTTGAAATGGTATCGATTTTTGATCTTTTGCTCTCATGTCGACCACACGGTCCGTACGATCCCCATAACCCGGATGTCAACCGCAAAAGGGCGTCGTAGCCATATTCTTAATGCGCACCATAAACCATCCAGGATCTGGTGTAATGGACCTTTCGTCGAATCGTCGTCTAGTACAACCACCACAATCTCCCGCACCCGTCCCAAAGCCCCCAGCTTATGACTCGGTCGTGAGCTTGGCCTTGGGGTTGGTGACCTTGACACCCAACGCCTTCGCCTTGGCGACAATCTCAACACGCTTTCTCGAGGAAACGGCAGATGCAATCTCGGCGGCATAGGTTCGGTTGTGCATGAGAAGGAGGTCGACGTCTCGGGGGTTGTGAACGAGGAAAGCCTTGTGGCCTGAGGGCATCATGTGTCGGGTCTTCTTGTTCGAGCCATAACCAATCTGTGAATCGCCTCGTCAGCACAATATTCCCCAGCGTGTCCCTTGCCGCCTCGAGGTGATTCTGCTGATTGTCCCTCATGCGGCGTAATCCCTCTCGGATTCCTCAAGTTTTAACATACCGATGGCATGACCATCTGGCCCTTAAACCGTCTTCGAACTCGGTTGTCGATACCCTTTGGTTTTCTCCATGCTGAAGGCACACACTTGAATGTGTCGGACTGATGTCGGTGCCACTTCTTGGGGTGCTTCTTGATGATGGGAACGTGCTTCTTTGCGGAAACCATCTGCGCAACGGTCAGTAATGAATGGTAAATTTTCGAGCTTGATAAATCGAACCTTGTCGGGTATGGGCCGTGGCGCTTGAAGCAGATGCAAGAGGTGGTGGAAGTCGTTGTCTTCGAGTTCTCCAAGTCGCAACTTCGCAGACGCTCAATTTCTGCGCCAAGAGTTCCAAATTTGTGGGCGATTGAGAAAGTGCCCTAAGCTGTTTTGGGCGTGGTCATTATTGCGGCACCCAGGTTCAATTTGGACTGAGACGCGGGCTACGGTGCATCATGCGCATCACTACCGTCATCGCCGTGTATCGAGAATGTCTCTATGATTATGCTCAATATGTCTATCGCAATTCAACTGTTTTTTTCTAGATCTGGTTCGAGCATATTGACAGAGATACTTGTCACTAGAGTTCCTGGTGCTCCAACTTGATCGGTATGCCGCCCTGCTCTCCGCTACGAAGCATGGCCTCAACCAGCTCCAGGTCCGCCAGTGCCTGTTCTGGTGTCTGCTTCTCGTTGACGATACCGGTTGCTAGAGCATTGCCCCAGGCCCTCACTTCCGGTCCCACGCCGGTGCCATCATCCTCGACCTTCTCGGTCTTGCCATCGACTGTGACTTCATCCTTGGATAGGCTTACGTACCCTTTGTCGCCACCGATGGTCCACTCGCTGCCCTTTGCCGTCGTGCCAAACGAGATCGAGATGGTTCCAACAGCGCCATTCTTGGTTTTGCCCGTGGCCTCGACGGTATCGACGGGGGGTAGATGCTCCTGAAGTTGAGCAGAGTGGGCCGACAGTGTGACTAAAGGATTGTCCTTGCCCAACATCATCCGCAGGCCTGCTGTAAAGTGAACACCCCCGTCCAGCAAGAAGCCTCCCTGATGCGTAGGTGTCTTGCGCCATCTAGTTTGTAGTCAGTTACCTTGTCTGCTTCGAGCACAGTAATTTTCTTACGAGGTTTCAAAGTACTTGCCCCCTTCGACCAGAGTTTGCATGCGACATCGGAAAGTCAGTCGTCGCCCCTTGGTCTCGGCAGCTTCAGCAGCATGCTCGAAGGAGTTCATATATCTGACGTTCTCTGCCACCGCCCATGTCACGTTCTTCGGTGCGATCTCAGTGCGATACCACTTGATGAGCTCGACGGCGTCCTTGACATTCTCGGCCACGGGCTTCTCCGACAGAACATGCTTTCCTGCCAGCAATGCTTTGCGGATGTAGTCTGGTTGATTTTTGATGGGCAAGGCGATGATGACTGCTTGGATATCTGATCGAGCTAGCAGATCATCGAGCGACTTCCCAGCTCCAGACTCCTCTGAGTAGAGATCGACCTTGGACTCGTCCACCTCGAGGGATTTGGCGGACTTGAGAGAGCGTGAGTAGACAGCCTTCAAGCTGAGCTCCTTTGCAGTCGCCACAGCCGGCTAGAGCAGTTAGCGTCAGTACAGAGAATTGACGCGGTCAGAAAATCTCTTGCCCACCTTGTGCTCTTCTCTGGCAAAAATGCCTACCATCAAATGTCATTAGGACCGGTCTGAGTGAGGATCAAGAGCAGAACACAACTTACCTCCACCGAGGATTGCTACTCCAATGGACATGTTGTTGATGTTGTGAAGGGGTACAGCGAATTGAGTATGGGTTGATGTAAGCTCCGAGTTCTTTCGTGCAAATCAAGGTGGGTGGATGAATGAGTGAGTGAGTGAGTGAGTGGGAGATATGGTAGTTGGGAGACTCTAATAACCAGGTACCAGGTACCTATTCTACCTATTACTACTACCTCCCCGCGCTCTTGATGGGCTTCGCTACTATTGGTTTACCGTAGATCCACAGTGGTATATCACTACCTACCGACGTTTAACCGTGAGTTACTACGTGTTTCTACCGGGGGATACGGCGGATGTTTTAATCTTAAGCGTAATAATTTCCAGGAGGCCGTTTATAGTAGTAGGCTCCTTAGGCACCTAATAAAGAACCTGAGGGGTGTTGTGTGTCCTTCTTTATAGGTGTCTAGCAACGGATCAGATCCCGCTACTTTAGGTGCAAAGATACAGACCTAGGCATTCATTCATCTACTCTGTAACTTATCCTATCCATCTCCATCCTGAACCAACCAACAGATCATCTGCATTTTACCCCTGAGTGATGCCAAAGATGAATCAATTTCATCATCGAATCGCCGCTGTCTGCCCGAAGAAACCCAAGGCCATGTAGTATGTACTGCAGTACAGTGCTTGCTATGCCCTTTCTCCTACGACCTCCGTACTCGGCGCCCCTACCACTGCGGCATCCTACTAGTATTTCCCGGCACGATCCACCGGGCGAAGCAGGCCAGGGCGAGATCCGACTTTGTGGTCTTACAATTCCCGGAGTCAGTGACAGTCTTGGACCGTGTCGTGATGGTGTCAATTCAAGTTCCGGTAGACTACCATTAGAATCCGAATTCGCCATCATGGCGATATCGGTGGGATACTGGTGGTAGCATTCGTTATTCTCTTCTCCTTCATCCTTCATCCTTCACCCTTCACCTCTCTTCCTCTCCGTTCCATCGCCACTGGGCTATATACAATCCTTCTCTGGATATTCTGCTTGAATTTAGACTTTGCTTTCCCGAAAGACCTGGTTCCGAGATCATGGAAGACAAATCGTCCCGTCCTTCGGAGACGCGTCCCTCGCTTCCGTTGGAACTACGCGCCGCGACACGCGAAGAGCATCATGCCTTGAATACGCAAATAGTCGCACGACTATCTTTATGTTTGTCTCCGCATGTGGACAGTCCACTCGTTTACGCCAAAGGCATGGCCTCCTTTGGCCAGATCTATTTTGCTTTTGAGGAATTTCTCGCCACTTGTCGCGTGGGTGATCGCCTAGAGCCTCGCCTCCAGGAAATATATGACCGACTATACCTGCCTCAACTTATGCGAACCAGTCGATTACGAGAGGATCTTGAATCAATCAAGACAAGGTTAGGAGAATCAGCGGCCAGAGAGATCACTATGTTAGAGGATGATTTCAAAGTCTACCACTCGCGGATCCATGAAATACTCTCTGCAAAGCCTCACGTCCTGCTAAGCTATACTTGGGCCATGTATCTCGCTTTGTTCAATGGCGGGCGATGGATCCGGAAGCAGCTCGTCTCCCAAGGTTCTGACTTCTGGCGAGGAGAGCCGCTGCCGCTCTCGTTCTGGGAGTTCGGAGACAGCGGGGATTCTGACCCCGAGGGAGAACATCTCAAAGCATTGTTTCAGGAACGATTCCTGGCGGCAGCTTCGTTGCTCCGTGACGAGGAGAAGGACTATGTTATCAGAGAAACCCCTCGGCTGTTTGAACTCTGTTCTGAGATTGTGCGCGATCTACACCAAAGATTGGCCGCTATAACATCATCCACAACTCCCATCTCTCCTTCCAAGTCCACCGATTCTCAGGTCAGCGACTCTACCGGAGCCGTTGGGTCGGCAACGCCCTTAGCGACAGCCTGGCAGTACCTGGCATCGTCATATGCATCCCTCAGGACGACGACCAAATGAGCATCGGACGGACGCAAAGCAGCTCACCTTGCCTGAGGCTTTCTAGAGTACGAATATCACCGACAATGGCATGTGTCCGATGAGGCGAGGCAGGACATGGTATTGCTTGGTCTCAAAGGTCTTCTTCTTGAGAAACATGACCCATTTTAGGGAGATGGCCATTCTATGCCCTCAATGCGGTACAGTTGCTCCTCAAGGATTGCCCTCGAAGACGTCAACTTTCACGGCACTTCATATCTCTGGGAATTGTGGCTCTTGATTGCCCCGCGTACTTATTCCATGTCAGAGATGGATTGCTCCTGGACTCCGCTTGCAGCATGATCTGGTCGGCGGCATTTTTGGAGGAGAAGATAGGTACAGCTCACACCGTGGGAACAAACGTGACACAGGTCTATAATATCTGGTCGTTTGATGGTTTTCCCTCCAGACGGCGTTGGGCGTTCTTGGCGGGCCTAAAGGCGAGTCCACATGGAGGTCGGCTTGGGGTCAGTGTTGATATACCCTTTTGTCATACAGTTGAAGTTAGAGCCACATAGATGGTGTTTTGTGACTCGGGACGGTTTTGCAGGCTGGTTGGCACTCAATATTGGCTCGAGATCTGAGGCACGTGACAGCGCCCCTGGATCACGTGAGTACGTTGAAGCAGACGTGCGGAAACGCAGCTGGGCCGAATGGCTCGTTACGAGAGTTGAAACAGTCAATACAATGTACCAACTTCAAGTTGGGCATCTTATCAGACGTTCTACAAGACTCTCTTGTCGTGACGCAGCTTGTTGTCTTCCAAGTCCTAGAGATTCCAATCAAGCACGAGCTTCATCAGTTATGACATAACTCATACCATCGAGTCCATGCCTTTGCCAACCTCTGACTCGGTAGAATAAACAATGCTCGGGATGATCTCGTTCAGAGATTGTAGCTTCAATGTCGCAAACGAGACCCGACAAACTGCGCACTCGGACACTGACCGGCTGCTATACCTGTCGTGAACGCAAGTTAAAATGCGACGATACTCGGCCCGCCTGCAAACGATGCATCGCCCTCGGCGTCGAATGCCAGGGCTATGGGGTCAAACTGTCGTGGCTGTCTTACAACAAGGACCGCCCTGGAACGAAGGAGACTGATCCGGAACTCCAGAGGACGAAGTGCTCGGCCAAAGGAAAGAAGAACACTTCATCTGAGCCTGCTCACCGCCGTCGCCCTTTGTTTACGGGTAGGTCACGCAAGTCTTCTCTCGCTTCCCTCCCCCACTGATAGTATGGCGTACAGATCGAGAAAGGGTGGACATGGTCCGTAAGATACAGAAGGAATTCCTCAATGGAGATCAAGATGGAAACATCAATCGCGCCATTGATGACCTCGACGCTCTGGGTGAGCAGCTTTCTGGCCGTTCACTGCTTCGCCACGATATTGGCCCTTTCGGCGTCTTCCTCCCAGAGTCTGTCTATCAGCCCGGAAGGGTTGAGGATGATGTCCTTGGCAGTCCCGAAACCGATGTGCGTTCCTCGACACATATACAGAGCGAGCCAAGCCCTGAGGATGTGCCGACCGGACTGTTCGACATGAGCCAGGCGATTGCTGGCTCCAGTGAAGAGATCGCAATGCCCTGGCTTGATGGCATGGGGGAGCTTGCCCTGCCTTGGCTTGATATGACGCATGACAACGCTGGGGCGACAATCTCAGACCAACTCTTGCGACCAGGGCACGCTGGTATATCGAATGGAGCTGGAGGCTATGATTATTCCTCCGGACCCTTCGAGACGCCTGATCTAGGACTGGCTGATTCATCCATGCAAAGTATTTTCGCACCATTTGACCCTAACCATATATCCCCCGTGATTCGTACGAGGAATGGCGATACTCAGAGACAGAACTTCACGCTGTCCGCGACGGTGGACCAATTACATTGGTCGGGACAGCCAACTCTAGAAAGGATTCCAAGGTCGTTGTCCAACATTGAGAACATATCCAAGATCCCCTCCGAGGCCCGCTTCCTACTCGAATATTATTCCACTGAGGTGGTTGATTACATGTGTCATCTACCCAATCCTCAGTCACCCTGGAGGACTATTCATTTCCCGTGCGCTATGAGCACCATGGCAGACCTCCTTGTTTTCGGAAGCACCAACAGCGCAAGAATGGCGCTCTTCTATGCCCTACTTTCAATCTCAGCTAACCATCTCGGGTCCAAAATCCCCTGGTCCATGCGACTCGAGAAACGCTCCCAAGATGCGACGAGATACTCTGCCTCGGGCACTCCTCCATCCAACTCAAACGAGATGTGTAATTACTGGTTGGAAAAAGGATCATCTTTCCAGGATATGGCAACGGCTCAAATTCAGCTCTGTCTCCATTCCCAGCACGAAAACTATGACGACCAAGAAGTGTACAGGGAGTTGTTGATGACATTGCTGAGTATGGTGACCATCAGTGTGACAAGCGGCAAGCTCAACAGTGCTCACATCTACCTACAACATGCGAAGAAGATGATCGACATGTACGTTGGGGGACGAGCACGCAACTCGTCTTTCAAATCCAGCAAAGTCGCTGCATTGCATCAGATCTATTCCTATCTCTACATTATCTACACCAGCACCCACGTCTCTAGAGCGCTGCCTGGCCCTGATCAGGCACAGTACGGCATCCCGCAAGCACTAGCTGGTGGAGAGCCAGGCGGCTTCACTTCTCGGATCCTAGGACCATCGTTGTCACCTGCTCTTCATAGCAGCCTCGATTCGCTCGCCCAACACAAAGATGACTACCACATGTTTGTTCGCATATATGGTGTGCCGCGGTCTCTGCTCACCCTAATATCCAAAGTGTCCAACCTGGCCAAAGAGCTCGAAGAGGATGGCCAGACTCCCGGCAGCAGTTCTTCTTCAAACTGCGGTTTTCAACACCGTTGTGAGGCTCTCGAGGAACAAATCTGCAATTGGCAGCCTTCAGATGAGGAGACGTGCGCGGTAGAGTCGTCGTCGGCATACGATCCTCAAATTGGATCACACCTGGTGCAAGCCATGCATGATGCGCTGGTTGTGACGTTCTTCCGTAGGGTGAGGTCAGTCAACCGCATGGTGCTCCAGCATTATGTGGAGAGCGCAGCAGACCACCTGAACGACCAGGAAGAGATCAAAATGCGGACGGGCATCAACGCTCCAGCGCTTCTGTGGCCTTGGTTCATGGTGGCTTCGGAGGCAATACGGGAACCCATCAGACAGAAACTGCGCATGTGGGCCAGTCTAGCCAGACGATACGGCGGTCGAAACCTTGAGATTGCCGAACAGGTGGTGGACGAGGTTTGGAGGAGATATGACCAGAAGCTCCCCTATGCTTCATGGGTCGATGTGGTGCGAGAATGGGATGCTACGCTTGTCTTGACATGAGCTGGCCAAACAATGAGATGGCGGAGGCTGCGCCCGTGCCGTGACTGCGATCCTGCCCTGTCCAGGGCCCTATTGTTGTGCAATATCAACTATGGTTGTGTATAGTAGGGTGCGAAGAGGAGACCGTGAGGTTAGTCCCAGGGTTTGTTACAGGGCACAGGAGGGACACCCTCGAGAGGCGAGGACGCGGCTTTGGACCCGATGAGGAAGTATCAATGCACCCTGAAGTCGGCTCCATTCAAATCATACCACTGTGATCTCTATACTGTAGGACGACGTAAAAGATGTTGTTACTATTACCAGGAGAAGCGAACCTCGGTAGATGGTTCTCAGTCGCACCTTTCGCGGCCGTGCCCTTCCTTCCCTGCGCCCACCACGACCACAAATCACCACAATCACAAACCACCAACATCCACCGCTGCGTATCTCGGCTCAACATCCTTTGCGTTCATCATCTTCCTACGTCTTATCATCGACGATGCTTCAGTTCAAATTGCTGCCAGTGGTAGCTGATATCAGAGCATCCCGGATCCACAGCGTCTCTACCTACTCTTATCAAGCCCCCTATGACAAAAGTACGCGAACCACCAGTCCAAGTAAAGGGCCGCCACTAGCTATCTGACTCGGTCGAAGAGATGCTAAGCTCCACACGAAATGGAGATTCAACGCTTAGACACGACCTAAGGTACAATGGCTGACAGGGATAAGGCTCGGCTGGACTGGACTCGGGGTCACTTGCCAGCACTCGTTTTCTTCTGTGGCAGCCATGTGTTGCTTTGAATTGCTACATCCTCAACTGAACCCACCCTCATGTTCGACCTCTCTATGCCAGGTAGCAGGACGAACGGGCCCGCCTGGACTAGATAAGCTCGGAATAACCTACCTTCATTCTTACCTTACTTTGCACGAGACATGGCACAAGATAGTACCTATGAGGATGAAGAGTGTTCAGTGGCTGAGGTAAGGCATGGGGGCGTACTCAGATAACCCGGAATCGACCCTCTTCTCCAGGATATTGCGTTGTATAAAACGGCTGGGGTCTACTTTGTGCCGTGAAGAGGTCCGACGAGAAGAGGCAAAGAGATTTGCATGTACCATTCTTCCTTGCAGAACCCTTCCAATCACAGCAACCAGCCACTGTCATTGCCATCGGCGGTCGAGGGAGACAAACGAACCTCCTCACGTTTGGAATGACGATGCAAGAGGACAAGATGATGGAATCCAAAGAGATCTCCGCAGGTCCCATCACTGAGGTCTCTTCACAAGAAGACGATAAGGTCGGGACGGTCTCGCCCATTGACGAAACCACAAACCGCCATGGAGAGGGATACATGGGACAATACCGTCGCACATTTCGATCCCGTCACATCCAAATTGTGACCTTGGGAAGCAACATTGGGTCCGGTCTCTTCATCTCCACGGGTAAGGCTCTTCGAAATGCCGGTCCTGGAAACATGATCATTGGATATACAACGGTCATGACCATGGTATGTGACTTCTTTCCGTCCATTCGCCCAAGAAAGGGATGCTCAAGCTCCAGCACAGGTCGTTGTGACCCTTCAATTGTTGACAGAGTTGACTGTGGCCTTCCCTGTGAGCGGAAGTCTCATCGACTACGCAGACCGTTTCGTCGATCCTGCCCTGGCCTTTGGAATGGGCTTCGGCGAGTGGTTGGCCTGGACGACCGTCCTGGCTTCTGAAGGAGCCGCCTTCCAAGTCATCATTCAATACTGGACTGATGCTGTTCCCGTTGCTGTGTGGAGTAAGTGACTACGTTGCCTGAAATCTACACCGCGCAAGCGCGTTCCATCGAGGTGATCAGTGGCTGACCGTTCGCTCAACCAGTGACTCTGATCATTATCATCACCTTCGGTATCCACGCCTGCCCCAACAGAGTGTTTGCAGAAGTCCAATACGCTGTCGCGGTTCTGAAGGTCATTATGCTGCTGATTATGGTATTTACGTGTTGTGCCATGATTGCTGGGGCTGGGCCGACGGGAACCGTCCACAATGGTCAATACTGGCGTGAGCTTCCGCCGTTTCTACACAACGTGAAGGTGAGGGAGATCGGCAACGCCGCGATGAAGAAGATGACGGGAGCTGACTGTATAACAGGGTACCTGCCTGTGTGCCATCTACGCCATTTGGGGAGTTGGCGACCAGGTATACGTGGGAATCATGGGCGGCGAGACCAAGAACCCTCGACACACCATGCCACGAGCAGTCAAGAGTGTCGGCGTTCGAGTCTTCTTCTTCTTCATGCTGATTGTCATCTTCATCACATTCCTTGTGCCTGAGAATGACCCTCGACTGCTGGGAGGATCGGGTCTCAGCGCCTCGCCCCTTGTCATCGCCCTCAACGACGCCGGTATCAACGTGGTCCCCCAAATCCTCAACGCCATCTTCCTGGTCATCTCCGCTACAGGTGGCTTGGAGCCTCTTTACATTGCATCGCGCGTCATGCGCCACATGGCCCTCTCCGGACAGTTGCCTAAGAAGCTGGCGCAGGTTGATAGTAAAGGTCGACCTACCTGGGCTCTGTTTGTGACTTCCATTTTCACCATTGCTTTCACATATATCAACTGCAGCAACACTGGTGCCGTGGTCTTCTCCTGGTAAGGACAACTCTGCCCTTGTGTGGTTTCCCCCTTCTTTGCAGGCTAACATAGTATCTCTCAAACCAGGTTCTCTAGCGTGTCCTCGACCATCTTCATGATCGCGTGGGTCGTGCTTGCCATCTGCAGCGTCCGATTCCACGCCGCCATCAAAGCCCAGAAGAGCACGCTTTTGGAAGGCAAGTATGCATACCGTGCAATGTTCTGGCCAGCCGGACCCGTTTTCCTCGGCGTCACCGCGTTTCTTGTCCTCGTGGGCTTGTTCGCGGAGGCCTTATACCCTGTCGGAGGGACCAATCTGAGCGCCTACGACTTTTTCGAGACGTACCTTGGAGTCCCGCTCGTCTTGGTCGCCATTGTCGGGTACAAGTTGATCTTCCGCACCAAGTTCCGACGTGCCAGCGAGATCGACCTCGTGTCTGGCCATCGGCCCTTGACCGAGGAGGACGAGCACTTCCTTGACCAATACTATGCTCAGCCCATGTGGAAGAGAGTCTGGAGCTACGTCACCACCAGTGACAAGTGACTGGGGAACGGTTTCTGTGTCGATGTCTTGTTTCTGTGGACTGGGGACTGGTTGTGGTGATCAGAGAGGGCGAGCGTCTGGGTCAAGTCGATGTAGCCTGCCATTTTCGAGATATGTAGCGGTCTGCCAGACGTGTCATGTCGTATCTTTGAAACAGCCTCGCAAAAACAACTCCCATACTTACAAGACAACGTGACGGAGAATGATGAACATGTACATGTCTTGACTGCTTCTTTTAGGCTTCCTTTTGTTTTGATCTCCATAACCATAAGGGCTACAGTTGAGTGCGTGAATTCACTGCCGCCTATCGCTCTTGGATCTTCTTCTGGTTCTGCTGGAGTGTCCACTGCACGACCCTCAACAACTCATAGACCTGAGTCAGAACCGGGGTGGGGACATTATATTCGGACGCGACCCTCAAGGGCGCGCCGAGGATGACATCCAACTCAAACGGCCGGCCCTTCTCCAGATCGACCAACATACTGGGGCGGAAGGGACTGGAGGCCGGCGTCTCGTCCAACATGGCGGCGACGATCTCGTCCGACACGGTCTCACCAAACCCGGCGGCCGTGGCGACGGCGGCGATCTCGCGCATGGCCGGTTCCAGCAGCGCGGCGCGTCCGGGGCTGGACTGCAGCTCGCCGACGGAGATGCGCAGCAAGGTGCACAGGGTGTTGAAGGAGGCGTTCCAGAGGAGTTTGCGCCAGCGGGCGGCGACGACGTCGTGGACCAGGACACATTCCGCGCCGGTTTTGGCGTGCGCGTCGCCCAGGCCGGCGTTGTAGAGGTCGACGAAACGACGGGCGGAGGCGAGTTGGGTTTCACGGGATAACAATGATGAGGAAGAGGAGGAGGAGGATGATGATGATTGTGGTTCTGGTTGTGATGATGATGTCGAGTGATTCTTGTTGTTGTGTATGTTGTTTGTGCTGTCGTCTTGATGATGAAAATACGCACCCAACTTCAACAAATCCGGGTCTTCATGGAAGATACTCCGCGGCGAAGTCAGTCGTGACCCGATCATACTGATGCCCGATAGGATCGGCGTGTCCGGGAACGCGGCGGCCAGGGGGGCCTCGATGTCGAGTCCGTTCTGGATGAGGACGAGGCTGGTCTTGCCCGGGGTCACGAGCGGGTTGAGGTCCGGGATCAGCGAGGCGATTAGGTCTGGGAGGGCTTTGGTCGTGATGACGACGAAGTCGTAGCCTTGGACATGACCTTGATCTTGGGAGGTGGTGGTGGTACTAGTAGCTGGCTTTGGGATGGCTGCAGATAGAGATGGGACGACTGATTTCCCAACGGGACCCAGAGTAAGTATAGAACGAATAGAAGGGCACAAGAGGACAAGAGATCGATAGAGGGATGGGATATCGACATTGAAGTGTTCTTGCTGGGTAGATGATCTGGGCAGTCATGTTCCTGTCCCTTTTCGTCCTTTGAACAATATTTTCTTCAGAAAGGAAAGTACTGCATGTCGATTCCAACGGACAGCAAGTATCCTTCTCTTTCCTCTTCCTTTTCCTTGCCACTTCTTCAACTGCTTCTTGCTTGTCCAGTGATCATGACTTGCTTGTAGCGGTACTGAAGCTGGGGATGGACATGGATACAAATACAAAGAGGAGCGTGGATAGGGGCCGGGAGAAACTTACTATTCCAAGGCTTCCAGCCACGAACGTCGCCATGATCCACGGAATCGATATCGAAGCCTTGCTCCCTGACGACGGCATAGTTGGACCGCAAGACAGCCGTGACGCGAGCCTGCTGCGACTTCTCCAGGACATATGCCGCGATGGTCCCCACGCCGCCGGCGCCGATGAGGCAGACTTCAAGCATTCTCCTTTTCCCCCTCTCCCTGGTCTGGTTGCTTGTTGCTTATTGCTTATTGCTTGTTGCTTGGGCCAAGACTCAAGGGCCGGCACCGAGATTGTCGATGTTGTCTGGAATCTGGTTGCTCTGCTCAAGAATGAACAAGAACAAGAAAGAACCTTGACTTGACTTGGATGTAAAGATCTTAGATATCTGACTAGTGGTAACTTGTACACAGTAACACAAAGTGCTATCGCTGTCGCCGGCGCCTTGAAGCTCGTCAGGCTGCAGTATTTACTCCTTCCTACTCCTACTGGATCTTTACTCTACTAGTTACTCGTCACTACCCACTGATCGATCCCTTGTCTGAATGACTGAACTGAACTGGACGATCAAGCAATCAATTACCACCAGGTATTCGGCATCAACTCGCATCTTCGCGAATTCTGTGAGCCTTACACAGTTACACTCTACGTTCCGCCCTTCCTTACTCCTTTGATGTTATGCCTTGCAGGCGCAGGCGTTGGCCCCGGGCAGCAATACTACATCCTACGAAACGTCCGGCCGTCCTCTCGCACCTTACCTCTCTCTGATCGGGCCGGCATTACTTGATTGCTTGAACCACGAATTTCCATCATGAGTTGCAGACCTGACACGTGGGCCCCGACGAGCTGATTGTTCGAGCAAGAGCGAAGGGAGGAGGTGGATTGGAGACTTCAAGAGAAAAGAGAAGGAATGAGGAACAACATTCGCTGGCACTGCCGGCCGTGGCCCGTATGCGGCACGGTTGTCGGGGACAAGTGGAGGAGGATAGAGGATGGAAGTCAGAGTTGAGGGCAAGTGACCCCGAACAGTGGCGGGACTCCAGTTGATTCCTACCGGTGATTGGATCGACTCTCATGATATCAAGACACGGAGCCCGCACTCCTTCCTCATCGAGGAACTGGGACAATTGATTACAGAGTGATGTTGGTGATTGTTGATTGACCGTCCCATCGCAGTGACCGACCGATTCACCTCCCTCTTTACAAGCGCGGGCATTTGGTGACTTGGTTAGAGACCCCGACCACTATCAAGTGGACTGGGTCGTGGCCTGTTCTCTATCATCAAGGGCCCGTCGCTGATGGAGTTCCGGGCCAGATACGAACAGATTCCCCTCGAGACATGCTAGTTTATGGAGTCACTCAATTGCATTCATCATTACCTTCGGTCAATATCGCTCAGGTGAGACGGTGAGACGATGGGCAGTGGATACAATCCCCTAGATACACTGCGAGAGAATGGAATCTCGACGCCGCGCCTTATCTTTGTCAGCTGTATCTGGCATCACGCACTCGACCTCTTTATCCGGTCACTGATCTGATCGGTGCAACATTCAGCCTGGGGATATCAAGAGCCATCTGGTGAGTCCAGTCCAGGTGTGCTTTCCAAGACCACTGTTGCCCTGGCGTGACCAGCCCCGGTCGACCCGCTTTCTGGTGCACCATTCGGCATCAGTTTCACCTGCACGCCTTCTCTTCGTCTCACGCGGGGAGGACGGTGACCATTCTTTCAATTCTTGTTCCCCAACACATCCGAGGAGGCTGGACCATATAATCATTGTTTTGGATCCCGATTCTTCAAGCACCGGCAAGAGAGCTACCAAAAAGGACAAGGGGAAAATCGGAAAAGACCAAAATAAAATGGGATACTTACCAAAAGACGCCTCCATCCTAATTGTAGGGACCGGCACGTTCGGTCTCAGTACAGCCGTCCATCTGGCCCGGCGTGGATTCACAAACATTCAATGTCTCGATCGTTATCCCTACCCATCCCCCGACTCGGCCGGGTACGACATCAACAAAATCATCGGCATGCGCAATGACACGCCACTCACCGCCCGAGTCAGCCGTGAAGCGCTGGCTGGATGGAGAGAACCATTGTTCGAATCCGTATGGCACGAGGTCGGGTTGATCACGGCGGCGACCAACGACGACCCCGTCGATTATTGTCGCTGGGCTTATCAAGGCTGGGTGGATTGCGGCGAAGGCGACAACGTGCGATGGTTGGAAACCAAGGAAGATTTCAAGCACCTAGTCCCTCAAATGCGCGACGGCACTCTGCCCAACTGGAGAGGTTTCTTCCACAGCCGAGCCGGTTGGGCTCATGCCAAAGATGCCCTCAAGATCATGGGAGACGAGGCTGCACGCCTTGGAGTTCGTTTCGCCTCAGGCAGATCAGCCACCATGAAGTCGCTGCTGCTGGACGACCAGAACAAAACCATCGGGATCATTGCCGAGGATGATACCCGATGGTTCGCAGATCGTGTGGTGCTTTGCACGGGCGCCTGGAGTGATTCGTTGCTGGACACCAAAGGCCAACTGGAAGCCAAATGCTGGACATTGGCTCATATCCAGCTTACACCCGAAGAGTGCGAACAATTCAAGAGTATACCTGTGGTGATGAACCTGGAAGAAGGCGAGTCTGCTCATCGCCTTGCTGTTGCCTCCTAGGGACTAACGTTGACTGCCATTAGGCTTCTTCTTCGAACCCAGCACCGAGGGACAGATCAAGATCTGCAACGAATTCCCGGGTTTCACCCACAAAGTCACATTACCTGACGGCCGGCAGACCAGTGAGCCGCGATCTCACGCTCAAAACCCTGGAGATTCCATTCCCAATCAGTCGCGCAAGGAGATTCGAGAATTCCTGGCCAAGACCATCCCGCAGTTCAAGGACAGACCTTTCGTCACGGAAAAGGTGTGTTGGTGTACTGATACCCCCGATCGCAACTGGTTGCTCGATGTTCACCCGGCACATCCTCGTTTGGTCGTGGCCACAGGGGATTCGGGAATGGCGTTTAAAATGCTGCCTGTCATGGGCAAGTATATCTCCGATCTGGTGGAGGGCATATCGTTGGATCCTATGTTGCGGGATGCCTGGAGGTGGCGTCCAGATAACTCGAGGCGCACCCAACGACTGGGAGGAGATGGGAAGACACGCGATCTGCATGACATGGAAGGTTGGAGAGCGGGAGAGCAGTCTCCCCTGACGCTTGTCCCTAAGGCTTCCAAATTGTGAAGCAGCAAAATCCCTGGATAGGGCATACGAACGACTGGTGCTTCCCTACCTTTGGCCTGGTTACAGCCATCTCGAATCTTCGTTCTCCACCGACGGCCGAATCATATCCCCCATAATGTAGTGAGATGGGACCTTAATTGTCTTTCTGGGGACGGGTACCGACTGGGTATTGAATGTCGCGTGGCAGACGCACCATGGTCGATCCCCGATCCACGAACTGTCATCCTGAAGCTCGCACTCTGCTTTCGAAGGGTTCGGCTTACTGCCCGACCGCAAGATGCCTCTCCGATAGATTGACATGCTAGAATTGATAGCGATATGTCAGGCCAGCTTGACCTACTAGGACAAACGCTCATACTGAGGGTAGGGCGGAATGGTGATTGCAAACGCGACTCCGTAGTGCTCTACCATCGGTTTGAGGTGTGTTCAGAGATAGCCACTGGCGATGTGAAGACACCCACTTCCCGTTGTGAAAGCGAGGCATCGTGTCAGCCGTCGCTATCAAGCTGTGCATCTTAATTCACCAGATGCGAGCGAGATTGGGACGGTGGAGGAGCCAACATCCAAGCCGGTCTTGATATCTTCCGGATCCCCTTAGCACGATGGAGACTCTCTCCTATCTGATAAGCGAAGAGCACCATCTCGCGCACTGGGCATTCTTCAGCCAGTGCACCCACCACCTTTCAAAACAGCTTGGCTCTTTCAGGTCACAGTTTACGTCTATGTTGGCTTTTCCTGGGTTCCTCACGATGGCGCCGACCTGCGGAATGAAGAGTAGGTAGGTATGTATCTGTGGTGGGCGTTTGGTGTGTCGCTTGGTGTGTCGCTTGGTGTGTCGCTTGGTGTGTCGCTTGGGATTCATCTCTGTTGCTGATTGGACCGGTGTGCTGCCTCCGTTCAGAGATCGCGGGTCGACTCCAGTAATAGAGATAGCGTCTGGTAAGGAAATGCCGAACTGTCAAATCCCATAAGCACGGTAGGCCGTCCTCCTCCTAGCGAAGCAGTAACCTTTGACCATAAATGCAATATCTTGCCCTAGTCTTGCCTATGTGCCGACCCATACTGGAGAGGAGGTTGCTCGTCGGAGAGGTGGGATTGTGTTTGTGTTCGATTCGAGATTGTGAAGAGCAATCGACCCAAGTCCGTACCTATAGCTGCTCGAACCGATGGAGCTGTGGAGTGGAGGTACCCGCCGGCATGGACGCCATGTTTATGATTGTTGGTTTGCAACCAGCGTGGACGTGGTGGAGGTCAGGGGGTGACTGTAGCTTGTCAGGTCCAAGATACGGAGGAGAACGGATCCCTGTGTAGCCAGCGAGCCAACAACGAGACTGGAGAATCTTCAGCTAGCCTGTTCGCTCCAACACCCCTGGTTGCCGAAGAATAGGTGCGGAGTCTGGGCATGAGACGGCGCACTGCCAGACCGAGCCGTTCTTCCGGGGCATGACATCGCTTGCTGAGGGTGAGACTCATGATGGGTGGCTCGTCTTACTGGGCGAGCATCTGCTTCGAGTGGTCTTTGGGCATGGCAAGGATGAGGTGTAGCATAGGTAGACGACTAATTGGGATCGAAGTCGTGAAGTGCGGTTGACCAGCACGAATGCGAAGCAGCTGCCAGCACTGGAACGACCGGATGCAATGTAGGACAACGCATAATGGCAACGATGTCTGTGTACAGTACCTACCCAACTTGAAGAGGTTTAGGTGCTGCTCTGTTGGGCGTCCAGATAAGAGATGACACACCAAGTTCAAGAACGAAGCAGCCAAGCGGTCGGAACAAAGATACTACCTGGTACTACTAGCGGTAGACAGACTGCCTGTGCGCCGTGCTACTACATTGTACCTAACCTATTTCCCGGTACTCAATGTTATTACCTTATAGTACGGAGTACCGAATTCAAAGATCCGTGGCACTACACTGCAAGGAACTCTCTCTGAACAGATAAATAATATACCGGAATCTTCAAAAGCCGGACACTGGAGGGGCGTGTACGACCACTCCGTCTATAAAATATAGCTGCAGTACCGGCTGTTGAGGAATGGAGCCTGCCCCAAAGCTACCTAGATTAAGTACCTAAGAAGGAACCTCAGAACCGGGCCCTGAGGTCCTTAGGCTATGACCACCTAGCTACCCACGGACTTAGGGCTAGCGATAATTCGGTAGGAATAACAGCCTCAGAACCTTAGCCCACCTGGATGCCACCTCCGAGTCCCTGGATGCCTACCGGGTCCGCCCCAGATACCTACTTTACCTAGTCTAGCAGAAGTAATAGGTGCTCCTAGAGTAGTAGTAGCCGCAGGCTTTCGCGGCCTAAAGAGCCTCCCTAAGCCTCCTTAGCCCTCTGGATGTCTACGTCACTTGCATCTGCTGGTGCTGTGGGTACCACTGAACCCATCCCGCTGGTTGACAAGTGGCAGCACCACAGGCACTAATTATTGTTGGTCCCGGCAGCGGATTTCGGTTTCTGCACTCCCCCTTATCCTTCTTTCTTACCTGGAACGTAGCTTAGAGGCCAATAATAATGTGTACGGCAGGTACCTAAGATAAAGTGTCTTGCCGAGGCTCCTAGGCTAGGGAGGCTCTCTGAGCTTAGCCAACAGCCCGCCTTCAAGTTCCGGTTGGCTGCACTGCACTGTTAATGTCCACTCCGACTCTATCAATGAATGCATCAATTCACGCTCTATCGTAGTACTGTACCAACCAGAATCGGGACCATGAGAATGGAGACTACCTAAGGTAGTTAACCGGCAGCAGCAGAGCATTACCGGCATCGCCAGCAGCAGCTATAGCGTACTGTTTGCTCATTATCAGTCAGGGCCCCGTGTGCTGCTCGTCTTCATTCTTATCTCCACATAACCATCAATCACGCAACCATCCTCTTCTCTTCATTCAACCTGTCTCGCTCCTCGTCGATCTTCTCCTCGTCCTCGTCCTCCTCTCTCTCTCCTCATCACCACTTGATCTGCCAGTGTGTAGATCACGATCGCTACCTCTGCCCACCCTTTGACGACGGGGAACTTCCCGGCGCCTGGCCTGCGCAGGCGTGGACGATCTGCCAATCTTCCAGTACGCGAACCTTTCGGAGGACGGGCGCAACCAACAACAACCATTGGCTCACCGGAAATATTACTCAAGACACGACCAGGCTTTGTGTTGGGCGTCTACCGTGCTTCTCCTCATACACTCTTCATATTTTGATTCACATTCTTCTGCTTTGACACAAGTGTCGCAGCCCGTCTTCACGAAGTCAATGGTGGGCAAATTGGGTGTGAGCAAGGATCTGAACACCCTGACAAGCAACCACGCCTCCGGGATCCCACCGCCAATCTGACACCTGACATTCTTCACCACACCCATCTCCTTGGGTCAGGCGACAACCAATCGTCGCGTCATACGCCCATCAGGACCTCTTTCCGTTCTTGCGTCCACGTTGATTGCACTCTCCCCTTCTATGACACTACCGTTCAAGCCTTCTGCTTCTCCCCGCCGATGGAGTCCGAGGAAAGCCAAGCACCAAAGAGGGAAAGGTACGGCTTGATGAAGGTCTGGCAAAGGGTCAAAGACATTTTCGAAGATCGACCCAGAAGTCCCCCAGAGGCTACTACTGCCACAACACTAGCAGCCGTCACGACTGAATCCTCCGCGCCCGGAGAATCTGAACCTCAGCCGGGATCGAAGTCGTAAGTATCCGGGAATTTCTAGTACTAGTTAAGTTCTGTTTCTGACATACGGACAGCCAACCCGCTGCCACTGTGCAACCACCTCCGATTGAAGTGGATGATACCATCGAAGCATCTCCGGCCACCTTTGAGCCGACCACACAAGCACCGTCAGGCCCGCCTACAACTACACAGCCGGACCCCCAAGACGAAGCGCAAATGCGATTTAGCAGAGTCCAGGCAATCTTTGCCAAATACAACCTCGAGTTGAGTGCGGCCGACTGGGACATGAGACCCAAACAACCTTATGAGAGAGTCGCGAAGAACATTAGAATGAGGGTCAGATACACCTGCCATAATTGCTCCACCACCTTTGGATCGGACAAAGTCTGCGCAGCGTGCCAACACCGACGCTGCGCTCAATGCCCGAGATACCCACCCAAGAAGAAACAACCGCGACAAAAAGCGACAGATCCCAATCCTGCCGAAGGCCTCCCAGGGCCACCTTGCTCCAACGCTCAAGCGATATGTCACGAATGCAAGACGGGGTTCGAAAATAGCGTTCAAGAATGCCCCAATTGTCATCACCAGATATGTGACCGATGTCTTCAAGAAGCCATCATCACCTTGGAACAACCTTTCGACAATCCTGTCGAACCCAAGGTGGGCGAACAGCGGACCACTACCCCAAACTAGCGAACACTCCTCCCAGACGACCGCTGCGTCTGTGTTTCTGCGCTCTATCATTACGTCCAACCTTTCACTACCCGGGTTTTTGGCCTTTTCCGTACTTGATTCCGAGCATTACACGATGCGATGACGATATTCCCCCTTGTTGACGACTTGACTTTGGATCTGAGCGTTCTCGTATTAATATCGCATGGATGGCGCGAGTGGAGTTTTGTCGATTCGACGTTCTACAAGTCCAACACTGGTACGACTTCGTTCGGGCGAGCAAAAGGCGACAGAGTTTGGGAGTTTGATATTGTCTTCGGTTTTCATCACCGGCTTGACGACTTTACAGTGTAGAGGATGGGTTGAAAACGGGCTCGGGGGAAAAGGAGCTTCTTCAAAGGACGGCCAAGGCTCTGGTCATTGGGGCTCAAGGGGTCTTGTCGTGCCGTGGGAAAGAGGATGTTTACAGGCACGAATCACATGTGAGTCTAGAGCAGGACCCAGGAGACTTGACAATATGAGATGGAGAGCGACAAGGACAGCATGGGAAGGGTTAGCTGGCTGCCTAAGTTCCAAACACGAAACAGCATAGGCGCCTCCCCTACAAGCTGAAGTTACGATACCAATGAAACACACTGCACTACTCCAACGGATGCCTTGTTATGTTACTCATTTCGTTCTCCGGCTGCCCATTTCGAGCTTTGACGCTTTGAAAGTTTCTTTCTTTTCTTGCGGGAGTTCGCCGTCGAGGCCTTCAACGACTGCGCGTGTTCATGCTATGATCGTGCCCCGTCTCTGTGTTGTTGGCTTCCGACGCGAGACTTGAGTCTGTCTGACCTTGCGCATTCAACGAGTCCACCTCCCGCTTGTGAGGAAGACTTCTTTCTTTCTGCCTTTCCTATCACGCGGGTCTTCCGTCTCGAACCAGCTGCGGGCCATTCTACGTGGATGATGAATAGGTCATATTTGGGAGAGAAGTGTCACAATTCACATCGCGTACTAGTATGGCTCGTCAAGCCGTGTTAATCTGAGAAGTCAGGTCGCTTGGCGCCCAGTCGGTTTCGAAGATTGTCTGTCTCGGCCACGACGACCCAATGCAGACCAATGGACGGAAAACAGAACAAAACTAGCACGCATAAAGGCCAAACTCGACACATAGACGTAATACTGTGATGCGCAGTAAGGATGGATGATAGATGATAGATATGATATGATATGATACCTACCTGAGTATGATATGATCGTCGGACACAGAGGAGCCACGGCCCGGACCGGACCGCCATGCCAGGGGTCAAAGCCGGCTCAATGAACGTCCGACCGGGATTATGATGATCTATCTCAGCTTCATATCCCATGCTATTATTATGGGATATCTACACGGTTCGATATAGACTGCACTTACGTATAAAGTACAATCACATCGTCAGATCTACACAGCTGAGAAAAATCGGCCAGTGTTCTTCAGGAGGCTTGAGTTCAACAATACTTGTCCGTGGGTGTTGAGTACTTTACCCAGACTCGGAGGAACAGAGCGCACTCATCAGCAACTCGACTATGAGAAGCTCCCAGTAAACTGGCGACATTGTCCTGATTGCGTGTTGCAGGTAGCGGAGGCGGAGGGAAGGGACACGTGCATCAAGGACCCTATGCTTTGCTCATCAGCCCTTGCCTCATCGCCGTCTCTTCTTCTTCTTCCTCCTCCTCCTCCTCCTCCTCCTCCTCGCTCTCCTCTTCACCTGTCTCGGCGTCCTCGCTTTCTTCTTCCTCAATCTCTTCGCTGTCCGTTTCCTCCTCCGTCTCTGTCTCTGTCTCTTCCTCTTCCTCTCCGCTCTCGGCGAGCCAGTCATCCAGAGTCCTTTGCTTCGAGTGCGCCTTGGTCGAGCCTGCGGCGACAACCTTCTCCAGCCCCTGCTCTTTGACCGCCTCATCCAGTCTTCGGCTCGCGGCCACTGTCGTCCCCTTTCTCGCCCCGAGTGAAACATATTCTTCCTTTTCCCCACCATCCACCGCATCTCTCAGCTTCGGGTCTGGCTCGTGTCCAGCTTCCACCCAGTCAGGCAGTTCTCGGTAGCCAGGCAGCCCGAGAATGCCTGCAACATCTTTTCCAAGGACCAAGGTAGTGCTCCCCAATACCAATCCTTTCCGACTCTCGGATGGCGACGGTGAGTGAGGCACTGGTTTGGGAGCAAGTAGAAGGAGAGCAGCAAGTTGAGTAGACTGCGGATTGGCAAGGAGCGCCTTGAACAGCCTAGCCCGATCACGCAGGTCGTATGATACGTCATATCGGGCGAGGAGCTGCACGTAATTCCACAACTTGGAGATTGGATGATCGACGAGAGTGGAATTCCGAGAAGACTCATCTTCAATATCCCCCATCTTTCTAGCATCATTGTTTTTGTCTGGAGATGTAGCGCCCTCCCTTTGCAAAAACAACAAATACACCTTGGCAGCGAGCAGGACAATCTGTTGCTTTGCAGGTTCGCTCTCATCAGCAAACCCTTTGGCCAAGATCCGCAACACATCCGGTGCGATGTTGTTCTCAGGGTCGAGGCTCGCAAATTCGCCCACCAACCAGATGATTGTAGCTCGCGCTTCTGGGCTGGAGGTTCTGTCCAAGTTTCTTGCCAATCGCACCACGGTCTTCCGGTGGGAGGCGGGTTCTTGTTGAATAAGATGGCGCACCACGGTAAGGACCTCGGACACCAAAATATTGTCGAAGCTAGATATCTGGTTGAGCAAAACCCGGAAACATTGGTGAGCGTTGATGGGATCGGATTGTGCACATCGCCCAATTGCTCGCACAGACTCACGAATGAGTTCGATGTCGGAACCGTGAGAGAAGTGCTCAAGTTCGCTTAGGATGATGGATTTGAGATGTAACGCCGCATGCGGGAATATCAGGGTCAGCAGTTCAATCTTCAACCTCCATATTTGCGGCGGATCGTGCGCTCGAATGAAGAAATGGGATGCATAAGGAACGAACAGGTCTGGCGCTGACAATGACACCAGCACAATATTGCACAGAGCCACTTCCTCCACTTCAGGAGGCCCACGCATAAGACCAACCAAGGGCCCGACTGCCTCCTGGAGGTATTCGGACGTGCCCAGGTACAAGAAACAGCTTGTGACAGACGCAACAACCGCCGAACTTCGACTCCGAAGCAGAGGTTTACAGGCGTTGAGGAAGAGCTCCAAGTCGGGATCTAAGATCTGGACAACCTCATTTGTCTCCACCGTCTCGTCAGGCTCGTCGTCGTAGAACCCCTTCTTGTTAACTTTGGTAACTCTGCGGGTCCTTTGTGGGAAACATCGTCGGCAGTAGAAGAGCAGAAGCCTCAAGGTGGCCAGCTGACTCCACTCATCCATGTCAACAAGTTTCTTGACCAGGCTTTTGTAATGCTTGTGGATGAGATCGATACGATCGGGACAGATCTCCAGAAAGGCTTGGACGGCGGGTCCGACCACGAAATACTGCCTGTCGCCCAATAGCGTGGAAAGATAATCGAGCAATTGAGGTAGCGTGTTTGGGTCCAAGTTGTAACATTTCGGAATTGCGAGGGCAGCTGCTTTTCGCACGTGGGGACTCATATCACCAACCCCTCGCTTGATGGCCAGTGAGACGATTTGACTGATGACCGGGACTCTCATTCCTGACATGGTGCGTAGGGCGAGAGCGCGGACCTGTGGGTTCTGGTCACTAAGGGATTTCTGGATGGCGTTGACGGAAAGAAGAGCCAGGTCAGGGTCGGCTTCGGCATAGTGGAGAAGGTAGATGTAGACGAGCTTCTTGATCTCAAGATTTGGATTGGCGACGTTCTTGACGACTGACGAGAAATATGGCAGACATGGTTTGTTCTGATAGATCATCTACGACAAATTAGCTAAGCGTAGCGATAGCGACCGCTAAGAGTGGGATCTCATACAGAGACAACCTTCCTCAGACCATCGAGGAGATCACGGTCACTCCGACTGTCGAGGAGAGCCTTCAGCTTTGCAAAGGGGATGGTTCGGCCGGATGACCCTCCTCCCCCGAGGCCCTTCGCGAGCCCCAACGCCTGAGCGGCTTCGACGGTCAAATCTCGCGCTTCGCTCGGGTCAGCGTACTGGAGCCAGGATGATTCCATTTCGAACTTACCAGGGTCCATCATGGACGCGATGCGGGAGACAGATTCCATCTTGATGTTCAAGTTGGGTGTTTAGTCTTGTGTAACCACGCTTAGTTGTGCTACATGAGGACAGAGGTGACGTGGGACGAGGTCGCCGTGGGTGAGCACCGACTCCGAGTTTATAATACTTTCAGGAGGTAAGCAAGGCTGGACCAATTCCCTCGACTATACGAAGCGGGGAGAAGACGATAGTATAGTCCTGTAGGTACCTGTCAGTATCAACACGAGTTGCCGGCGAGCCTGAGGTCACTGCACGTACGGTCTGCCAAGGGTTCAGCCTTGCAGCTGCAGGGCACGTGACGATCCGGTCACGTGTCAGGCTGTGGATATGGACCTGACTGCCGCGCACTGCGTCTTCAACGAAGCTGAATCTGAATCTAAAGATCACTCACGTGTATCTTCCAACAAGAAGGTTCCTGATCTTGATGACGTGTCCATCTACAGCTACAGCATGTATGCCTAGTACCGTTATGCTGCCTCCTTCGGAACGCCACTGGTGAACAGTGATGGCTGAGACGTCGCCGCACAAGCACACACCTTGATTCCATCAACCTCATGAACTTCATTACTACTCAACATGACTATGTGCTGGACCTGCTCGAAGATATTGTCAAGTCGCAACACCAAGTTTCCACGGATATAATCACATGCTCGACTCGGGAAGACTTTCTGGACGAGGTTCTGGCCCTTGCACTTGCCCTTGAACACCGACACGATGATGAGCGGGAACTGGCACCCACCACTCAATCGCAAGACGGAGGCAACCGTGAAATGTTGCCCGCGGAACGCATTCATATGCTTCTGACACCAACCCTGCAGTTATTGAACGCGAGCCGGTTCTGCAACCTCGTCTTCTGCCCAACCACGACCGTTCTCCGGGGGTATCTCGCCAGCTACTGCCCGGAAGTGGCCTCAGCTTCACCAGCCGAGTCTTCTAGCAATGCTGTCCATGGCCGGATGATCATCCTCAATCTCTTAGCGCTACACCACGGCACGTCTGAGTTTACTCTGCAAGGGCTCTCGCAGACCCTGGCGACTGCGGTATCTGCGGCGCATGGGGCGAAACGACGGCTGGAACTCGTCGAGTGCAAGGACGCTCGCGACCCGTCGAACCCGAGCCGTGGGCCGATGCTGTGGCAGGCGGACGTCCAGTTACTCAGCGCAGCCATCAAGATAGGAGAAGGGGGGAGTAGTTGGGGTCGGCGCTCCATTTCCGTCATGACTCTTGCATCAAGATGGTTCCGAATTCGACACGCCGTTTCAGCAAACGAGCAGGTTCGGCCAGAGTTGCGTCGGCACAAACGTGTAAAATCCGAAGATGAAATGCTTGTCTGAACAAGAACAAGAACAAGAATAAGTCGCCTTTTCTGCCTATCCAATGTACATTTAGAGATGCGGCGCCCATATCGCAAACAACGCCTTGCCGGGGTATCTCAGATCAAACCTGCCCAACGCCGTCATGTCTGTCGTGGTGCAACACCGGCAACTCATATGCTCTGCTCCATTTCCGTAATGTACAGTTTGATGTGCGATTCGAGTTTCAGGTACTCCTCGTGGGCAGAATGGACTTCGTTTTCAATGTTGTCCTTGAGATCCGCCATCTGCAGGTTGTCATTGTCAGTATGGTTCCCTACGACCACGGATCGTGACGGCGCCAATCTTACCTTCTTCTCAGTCTGCTCGATGCGCACCCTCCGTCGCTCCATCTCTCGCCCCTTGTCGGCTCTCTCGTCCCGAAGCTGTTTCTGAATGTCTCGCAGCTCGTCCATCTTGGCCTTGTTGGCTTCGTCTCGTTCTCTGTGCTTTCGTCGCAGCTCTTCGGTCCGTTCTTCCCATTTCTTAAGCTGCCTCTGCAGAAGCTTCTCGTTCTGCTCAACCTCCCGGACATTGTTGCCCCGCTCGGCCAGTGCGTCCCTGTTCTTAGCAGCTCTCGCATCTTCCTCTTCCTCCTTTTGCAGTTCGACCGCAATCTCCTCTAGAATTTTCACACACGCTTGGATGTCGTTTTGCACCACATTGAAACTGTCTCCAGAGGTCTGCAGCGCCCGACCTCGTCGCTCCAGAAGATCAATCTGGCTCTTTTCACGCAACAAGTTGTCCGACAATTCTGTCAGGGCATTCTGTAAGGCGGCCGCACTCTGTAGCACGTACGGCCTGAGTTTCTCACTCTCCTGTCTCGTTTTCACAAGTCGTTCGGTCTTCTCTTCCAAAGTGGCCTGCGCCCGCGTTTTCTCGGCCTTTGCTCGTTCAAGTTGCTCTGCCACTCTTTCCTGCCCCTTACGCAGTTCGAGCAAACGGGCCTTTAATTCATCGTTTCGACGCATCTTTTCCTTGACAGCTGCCTCCACTGCTTTTCTGTTGTGCTTCATCTCCTCTAGTCTTTGCTCCATATCTTTATTTTCGGTGTAGAGCGTCTCGATCCTGACCTTGGTGCTTTCTGCCTTGTTAAAGTTCTCGTCTATCACGCTCGTATGCGTCTCTCGAAATCGGACAAAGTTGATCGTATATGAGAAGATCTTGACTAGGCGGTCGTGGGTCGGTCGTACCAAGTCGTTGAACGAGAAATCATTGATGCCGCACTGTTCTAACATTGTGCGCAATTGGACGAAGAATCCCATCAAGAGCCTTGTTTCAACTGGCACCAGCTCAGGAAACTCGGCGCACACGTCTTCCGCCGCTGCGCGCATGGCAGGGTCAAGGGATTGTCTGGTCGCGTTCATGACAAGTTCGCCGAGATGTTCGAAAACCATCTGGATGACCTGCGGGTTGGGTTTCATGAGGTCGGAGGGCTGGAACGGTATTCCCATTTCGCTGATGCATGATGCAATTTCTCTTTCGGACTGTCGACATGTTAGTTCCATTGAGGGCGAGCATTGGTAGGGCGCGACACACCAGTCGCATGAAATCAGCAGGGTCTTCTTCCTTCTTCTTGACGCGCCCCTGCTGTTGCTGCGATGTACGGTATTGTTGAGCCATGTTGATAGCAGGTAAGTGAGCAGATGATAACGGCGTTTCTCAAACTGATGAGCGGAGGTGAGTCCTGCTTGAGACTGGATCGGGACGCATTTCGGTAGTAGACATGCCGTTGTTTGGAGATTCATCTAGTGGCATCGTGTTGTCAACGTCGCCCAGGTAACAAGCCTGGCACGTGACCTGTAGTTGCACCTCGTCTTGAACTGGTGCGCGGTATAATTTGCGTCTGACTTTGGATCCTCCGTACATCAGAGTCCCTGATGCCAAGCTTGTTCTCACGAGGCTCTCGCCGTGGAGCCTTGAGTCTTCTTCGACGACCATCGATCGATTCGAACAACGTCCACTCAGCCACAAGTCCCAGCCAACGACCGCATCCAATACGAGCCGGCCATGTGTACAAGTGTCTAAGTTCATGGTATCACAGACTTGAAGGAATTGGTCCTACAAAGCAACGATGATGGCGTCCAGTAAGTCATGATATTTATTCGCCCTACCTTGTTCGCATTGCGTGACTCAAAACCCCGTCAAGTCCATTTGAGCAAAGAAACATGGAAACTGTCACCTGGAGACTGGTCTGGGACAGCATCCTTCAAGGCCTCTTCCTAAGGAGAGCCAAAGCACTCACCAGCCAGACGATTTCTAACATATTTCTGTCCCCTCCAGCATCATCTCTCTCGACACCGCCCAGCACGCCCAAGCCGATATCCGATCCCTCTCCCTCGACGGACTTCGACATCGTAGCCTTCTACAACGACTTGATCAACAGTGATGCGACAATGACTCCTCCCATCGCCGCGATAGAATCGCTGATTTCGCTGCTCGCCAACACCCCACTGACCACCATCTCCGAGACGCTGGCTCTGCTGTCGACGCATTCAAGCAAACTACTGGCGTCGCAACGCAACCCGATCCCGTTATCAGCCGGCACAGAACTGTTCCAGCGATACCTGGTGAGCTCATTCCAACAACGACCATCATCACTCGCCAATTCCGACTTCACCACTCTCCGCCACCACATCCTCAGCAACTCGTCCTTGTTCGTCAAACGGGCCAATGAAGCGCGGCCGAAGATCGCGCACCACGCCCTCCCATTCATCAAGGACGACTCGACCATCATCACCTACGGCTACAGTCGCGCCGTGCAGGCCCTACTGACCCACGCGGCCGAATGCAATCGCTTCTTCAACGTCATCTACGTCTTACCCGCGACGGGGCTGACGGAGCGCCTAGCAAAGTCCATCGCGGCCTTGTCTGAACTTTCCATCCCCACCGCCACTATCTCTCTGCAGGCCTTGACCTACGCATTGGCTTCACTGGCTCCGTCGGCTCCTCCGCCGCAATTCATTGTGGGCGCCACTGCTGTTCTGGAAAACGGGTCCATCGTCACCGAGCTCGGCATGCATCAGCTGGCCTTGATCGCCAAATCCGTCTCAATCCCGCTCCATGTCGCGGTTGAATCGTATAAATTCGTCCGCAACTTCCCTCTGGGCTATGGGCCGAGCGACCTGGCCCGGCTGGGCGTCAAGCAGGATGTTCTGCGCTTTGAGGACGGCGTCTCGCACAGTCCCAGCTCGCAGGCGGATATCTCTTCGACAGAAGGGGGAATGGTCGAGATCACTCAGCCCAACCTGATTTCTGCCTTGATCACCGAGAATGGGATTATGACTCCCAACGCCGTGAGCGAGGAGCTGATCAAACTTTGGTTTTAGACCAGACAGACTTGAAGAAGAACACCAGCTCTGATACCTCGGCGGTACTGTTTCTACAACTACAACTACTACTACTACTGCTGATGCTGATGCTGATCCTGCGTATGAAAGTCCATGTCAAGCAACCATTACACATCGGCTGCCTTTGGCATGAACTATGCAGGGCGACGACCATGTAGCGTCCCTGGCTTCTCGCACACATGCTATTGACCATGTGCCAGAGAAATATCACATCCCCTACTCCAACAGAGATGCAGCAAACGCTTCCACCACCCAGGACGAGGGCATCGGGCTCAAGACGGAGTGGCGCCCGGCCAAGATTACAGATCGCTGCGGAATCTCGAACTTCAAAGGTATCCCCCGGTCGGCATAGGCTACAACGTGTATGATCAAAACCTGCGAGTGCCCATTCCTTCTGGCTGGGACGTCTCTACCTACGAGGACGAGAGGAACAAAAAAGCAATCACGACCATTCTCCCAACTTACTTTGCATCAAGGCGACAAGGATATCACCACAGATTTCATCCTCGTGTGCCCAGTCATTCAGCCAAACAACACTCCGATGTTTGATGTAGTATATGGCTATTACTAGCTGAAGAGACTGCCCACTGTGACCAACAGCACCGCTATGACTTTTGTGAAGAATTTATCAAGGACAGGCGGATGGCGGGGGCTAAAAAGGGACGATCAGTCTTGGGATTAAATACTATGATTATGAGCATGCCCTGTCGCTGGCTGCTCGAGTGATTCAGTATCCATCATATCATGGCCATTATATCAATTCCGAAGACAGTCTGCTACTAGGCTTCTTACAGAGTAGCACATACTAGTAGTACCTGTAGTTGTCGCTGACGAATCGGGGGTTGCAGCCTGGGACCGGAGTGGAATGATAGATAAGCTTCTTTAGGCAAACGGCCGGAAAAGCACCCGTTTCTACTTTATTTTCATGGCAACTCCCCGAGGATGACAGGCCGCTTATGCGCAGAGAAATGTAGTATCATAATGTAGCCCGAAAAACACGCTCCGGTCTTCCAATGCACATGCCCACCCTGAGCGCCTTGCTCGCTATGGATACGTGTCGAATGAAATCTGCCCCGTCCTAACCTTCAATGCGTCCCGCAGTCCCAGAATGTGGAATCGCCGCCGCAACCACGTCCCCCATTTCTTGAACAGCCAAAGTAGAGTTTCTCACGTCAGGTCATCGATCTCGCGCTCTTTCGCCCGCAGTGCGGCCCGCATCATCTCGGCCTCTCGCATGAGCTGGGCCCGCCGTTCGGATCGCCAGTGCTCACGATCTCGTTCACGTTCGGACTCGGTAATGGCGACGTTTGCAGGAGTAGCGGTAGAAGCCGGAACCGGAGCCGGAGCTGGAGCTTCACTCAGTCGCGGCGTAGGCTCCTGTTGTCGTCGGCCGGTATCGGCTAATGACGGGTCAAGTTGCATGTCTTCTGCAGCAGCCGCCGCGAGTCGGGCTTGCACGGTGTAGTCCTCAGTAGGTTGCTGTGCACTACGTGGAGCATCCCCTGCAGGCGGGCCAGGCACATAGCCTGTATAGTCCACGGTTGGTGGGGGCCGTCTTCTTTTGGGCGCAGGCGACTCATCGCCCAGGGTATCATGATAGTCTTGCTCAGGAGATACTGGTTCAGGGGAGGCCGACACCGTTTTCTGCGAGGCATTGCCGTCCGATCGAGAAACGTCTGGATATGCCGGCACGACTCGTTTCCGTCTCTTGATGGTGGACTTCTTCATTTGTACGGGCCGATGCGACCCATGCAGCTTATGATACAGACCGCATGCATTGCAAATGGGATGCCCGTGTTCGTCACGCCGCCAGAGAGGAGTCACTGTTGTGCCACAGTTCTTACAAGCGACAACTAGCGACACATTGTCCGTGGATGGCTGAGGCTGCGGCACAGGCGTACCGGTAGGACCAGATTGACTAGGGGTGGCGGGACCTGTATTGTTCTGCCGATCGCTCTCTGGTGGATTGGAAGCCGAATTGATCAAGGTGGAAGCGTTGGTAGACCTTGCGACTCTGTTGTTATATGCTGGGCAGCCTCCGCATCCTTCAGCACCGCCCGCCCCGTTACAATTGCCACCACCGGGACAGGAGCCTGGCGTGTGCTCTGGTACTCGGTAAGGAATACCTGGCACTTGGGTCTGTCCCGGGGGTGGAGACGTTGCAGCTGCTGGCGATGTTCGGTCTGCCTGGTAAGGACTCTCGGCAGAAGTGCTTGGGTTCGGACGTTTGAAATTCGTGGGTCTTGGAGTATTGCGCGTCTTTAGGTAGAGCCCACAAGCGTTGCATATCGTTGTCCCAGCCGGGGACCGCCGCCACAAAGGGGTCTTGGTCGTACCACAGTTGCTACACCATTGTTAGTGAACACATCTGGTATTACAGGAGACATGAACAGAAAGTGGCTTCCAGTCCCCAGAAGCGTTTTGAGGCAGCGGTAGAATACATACCTGCAAACTTGACCAAGACCACTGATATCCTCCTTCTGCTCCGGTAGTTCACTCGCTGAGCGCGGGCGGTCATGAGACTCGACCCTCGGACTTAGCTGATTCAGGCGAGCACTGTCGGTGGCGGTATCGCTCAGATGACCGTCATGAACAATGTGTGACCCAGTACGCTCTCCACGAGCGGAGGACACAAGTTGGCGAGCAGCGTCAAGATCTTCAGCGGATGGTTGCCGCATCAGACTTTCTCTCTCCGAACCGAATGATGCGGAACGTGGCAAGGCGTCCATCGCACGCACGGTCAACATGCCTGCTCAACTTCCGGCTTACTTGTTAGCAGAACCCCAGCCCCATCCAGCGCGAGAGAAGATAGCCAGGAAAAGGGGCTCGATTTCGGCAACAGTCGTTTCTTTTCGAGTGGCACCGCGCGCTACCAACGATCTGGATCGTAGACCGAGGATCAACAAATATATGTAGGTTGAATCGTCTTGGCGAGTGTTGACAGGAGAAGGATACGGTGTCTTGGACGGCTATCGCGTGAAGAGTGTTGCCCTGCGGTGAGATTGACGCGTGCAGGATGACAGCAAAAGATCCCAGGTGTTTTCCAGAGGAACGAGAAAGGGTTCGAGGGATTTTCAGTAGCAGGTGGAATAGAAATGGCGAGCCTGGATCGAGGTTGAGTGACAGGAGACTCCTACGAGGGAGAGGAATGACGGCACAGAGATCTTACAGGCTGGATTGATGAGGCGTCAAGTGGAGAAAGTGTCGCGCCAGGCAGCCTTCCGGCGTAATATCAAACATCTCAATTTTGATTGGATGGTGGATTTGGTAATCACGTGAAAGGGTGATGTCGTCACGTGGGTCGCCTTTTTGTACGGGAATTTTATAGACAGATGCCATGACAGAAGAGATCTCGCGGATGATACGTCCCCATTCGACAGGGACTTCGATCAAGGACCCCTTTTTGTAAAACATGAGCCGTCATGTTAGACAGGATCAGCTTTGTTCACCCCCTGCTCACCTCGAATAACCTACTAAACACCTAGTACTCTGGCTTTTCCTGAATCTCAAGGACCCCAAGGCCAGATGCATCGTTGACAATGCCTAAAGCACGACCTTCGACACACCTTCTTTTCTGTGCGCCATCCCCAGCGCCGCTCCTATCTCGCCGTTGCAGACCCACACCTTCTCAATTGAATGATCATACTGAATGATCATATCGAATGCTGTTAGCATATCCTCCTTGAATTCACGGGCTCCGAATCCAACAACCCCATCGCTGTGTTTGGGTACGAGCCATGCTTTTGCCGCAGCGCAGTGCAGGATCATGCGGCTGGGAAGCTGCTTAAACTTGTTCGGCACCCCATCCAGCATCCGCGTCGCGCATGTTGTTGGGAGGTTCGATGGAAGGCGCGAATTCAAGCCCGCAGTAAGCGACGCCAACGACGCCGACGATGGACCCAGCGATGATGCGCAATACGTGCCCTTCAAGGATGATGCAACCGACAAAGATGTAGACTGTATCGCGTTAGACTCCTGGGTAGCCAGTCGGACAGGGGACACTAACAGATGCCGCGCCCCAAGAACGAGAAGAGGAAGCTGGCGTATCGGGGAACATATGGCGGGACCTGAGGCAGCAATTCAAGCCCGGCGACAGCTTTTTGCAACAGTCAGTGTCCGGGATCCCATGCTCCTGAAATCATGCTCATACCAAGGCCAAAGATGATCACGTAGATGCCGACAATAATACTTCGACTGTTTCCAAGTTCAGCAACCAGACGAGATCCGTGGGAAGGAGGCGACTGACAAGCCGATGGGGAAGAATTGACTGATCCCTATGTCGAAGAATGTCAGTACAGTGTCCGTGAAATCTGCGCGCAGTGTAGGGCCAGTGTCCTTACCTCCAAGAACCATGATCCCGCCGACCACCAGATTGACTAGCCGACTATTGTGCTGTGTTAGCCTGGTCTGTCCGAAAGCACGAAGACACTCGCACATACAAGATGTTGGAGAAGTCCATTGTGTTCAGACTGTGATGGGAACGCGATGAGGTCGCAAGCAGGATTAGAGGGCGAGGTGGCCTCGTAGAGACTCCCGAGGTGACTGCAGGATGTTGAGCGTGAGATTCGAGTTCTACGTGGCGAATGCTCCGATTGTCCAGTACCGTAGATAGGGAGGCTACCGTGAAGGTGAAATATAAGACTGCGCTGGACGGAAAGGAAAGCGAATCTTGCTATTACGCGGTTGCAGACGTGAACAATGGGAGGTCAGCTCTCTTCCTACTGTGTACTACTACGACGTACTAGGACTGTAGAGCTAGTACAGGTAACATCCACCGTGCAGTGCAGTGGCAGCACCGACGTATGCCAAGACAGTCTCTGAGAGCTGCCATTGCAGTGAAGTTTACACGGCAGTTGTTGCACTGGTCAACACTGCATCCTAAGTTATCAAAAGTAACCAGATCTTGAAAAGTCACAGTCCGCTATGCCGGTGCTGAACGTTTTAAGAGACTCGATTGGGTCCGCCCTGCGGCATGATTGCAAAGCAAGGCGGGTCAACTAAATGAAAAGCAAGATCCAAGGAGCTTCCTTGGTTTCGTTCTGCTTCGGTCTCTCTATAATACGACCGTCTTTATCATAAATCGTCAGGACCCAAGTTCGTGTCGGGTGCCTGGCCCCGACGTGGCCGTTCCTGGAATTTCAACCATATCCCGCCGACGCTTATGCTGGGGGTATCACTATGCAAATCCATGCTATGCAGAACACCTCGCCAAGATGAACAAATGTTCCCAACCCAGACTCCGTTTGAACGCTATGCTCGTAATGTTGACTTTGGCCTCGCTGCAACTGACATGTGCCTCGGTGTGGTTGGGTCCGAGCCTTGGGCTCCGTTGGTGACAACGTTGAGGGAGGTACGGGTCTGAGGATTCGCACGAGCCTTTGCTGCACGAGCAGCGGGCTCAGAGTCGTAACTTTCGTCGTGTAGCGTAACGCCCTCCGTCTTGACAATATCGCGTTCGTCTTCGGGAGGGGTGTTGTCAGAGGAGACTTCCGTTGCCTGGGTGCTTGGGGGCGTCTCTGCACGGAGGGAATCGCCGGTGATACTTGGAGAAGGCTCACTGTCCGCATCAGGGATAATCACAGTAATGTCTGCACGTCGCCGAGTGCTCTTTCTCCGGTCGGCTCTCTTGCTGGAGCGGATGGAGTCTCCATCGTCATCCAATGATCGCTTGGAGCTGGAGCTGCGTTGTGAGGAAGTCACGGAAGGGCTTCTAGCACGGTATTTGTCACCGGTTTGATATAGGCTGATCTCGACCTTTTCCTTGTTGCGTTGAAGAATGTCTTGCATCACTTCCGAAGATAGATCGGATCTGCTATTGCGAATCGTTCTGTTGGTAAGAATGAAGCCTGGTCCAGAGGGAGTACTGGCAAGTGTATTTGAAGTGTTGTCCTGAGGTTTCATCAGAGGACTGTTCCGGCTTCTAGGGATAGAACCGTCTCGGCTCCGAGCTGAATCGTAGTGTGCTCGGGTGACTTCATCCCCACCGTAGCAGATGTGCAATGGTGGCAACGAAACACTGGACTCTCGGTGTTCGTTGGTATATGATATAGAGTCCCGGTTGAAGTTCTTGATGCGTGGTAGGTGCACCGTGACGTCCTGATCGTAGACCTGACAGAAAGCAACCAATTCCGGTTCCCCGCCGTAGGTGCCGTTACATGCCATGAGAGTCAAGTATTCTTCAAACGCGTCTCCCTTGTCTTCATGGACAGCCGATTTGGCCGAACGCAGGATTCGTCGTTGCTGCACGTCATCCTTGTGGACGTAGTGCTCGAAGAGAGGCCGAAAGGTACGCATGTGCTCGATGATGTTTGCACGGATTTCGGAATGTCTGGCCGGTGTACCGTAGAGCTGATCAGAAAGAGATGCAAAGAGACAATTACCTGGACGGTGTCAGTCACATTCAGTCTGCCGCTCCAATGCAGAGGGACCCAATACATACCATCGCCTGCTATCTGCTTCTGGTACATGCCCATCTTGACCAGGCCAGGCCATACAGCCCTGGGCTTGCGGACCATGCTGGGTAGCTGCGTGGGCGATGCATGGTCAGCCATGATCGCGAAAGATCCATTGACAAGGGCATTTGGGAGGTTATATGGAGAGAAAGAAAAGCAAGGGGAGCAAACAGAGGCCCAAACAATTAGGACGACATGATGCGGCTGCAGGGTTGAAAGGGCAAGATGGACAGGACAGGACAGGACAGGACAGGACAGGTGGTCAGGGGAGGGGATGCTTTTGATGGGCAAGAATGATTCCATCCATGCTGGTGCTGTGCATGCGTTGCAAACCACCCCCGGCCACGGCTGGGTTGCGGAGTCTGGGAGTCCAAGTGTGCAGTAGTAATAATAAGGGGGATAGGGGACGCGGCCGCTGTTTATGGGAATGGTTGGGGAACGGCCAGGCGAGCTTATAGGCATGGGGATGCCCAAAAGCAACACCTGGTTTGGGCACTTTAGGCCCGAGGGACGTCTGTAGCTTACCTGTTGGACAGGAGAATAACGGTCGTAGTAGTAGTGCCAGAGGTGGACACAAACTTTCGCCTGTGGCCCAAGCACAACGCTCAAGCTTGAACTACTAGCCTTGACCTGACGTTTCGACGAATGGTGTTGCAAGATGACCGGCGGACAGTCACCAAACAGCAGCCCGATAAGCAATCGAGCGGATACTCTTTGATTACTACTTCTTCTTGTCTGTGAGAGGAGTAACGGTGAGATGCCAGTGTAGTGGGGTTTGCGAAGCAGCGTAGAAGAGATGGCGGTCTTAAGAAGAGAGATATAAGATATTTCAAGCCGCGAGAGTTGAGGACCTTCTTCCCAGCAGCTCGGTCGTGTGTTGGAGTCCTCAATAGCTATTGTGCTATTGAAGTTACTAGGATTGTGCAGCGACGCGGTTCAGGGCAAAAGGAGGACCTGTCTTGTGTCGGTGCCTTCATTCACTCACTCACCTCACTGGAGTCTCAGAGACAGATCGGGCGCCGAATCCATTCACAGCGGCCTGCACACCCACGGGAACCAGGTCCCATCTGAAAACTCTGATTCACTTTGTCACCAAGCTTCCGCAGAATGAGTGAGAAGAAGATTGTGGTGGTAGGGTACGCTCAGGACTCAGCGCCTTGATGTTGGAAGACCGTTCGAGTATTTCGCACCCATGAGTCCAAAGTCTGACCTTTCTACCGAAACCAGGGCCGGCGTTGCTGGGCTGACCACAGCCTTGCTGCTCTCGAAAAACCCGGCATACAAGATCACCATCGCTGCAAAGCACATGCCTGGAGACTACGATATCGAGTATGCATCTCCATGGGCTGGTGCCAATTACATGCCGTGAGTCATATACCCTATCTTCCATCTAGCAATACCACATGAAGCTGATATCTCATATCCAGAGTCTCCGTCAAAGGCACCGAGTCGGCTGAATGGGACCGCAACACGTGGGAACCACTTGCAGACCTCGCACGCAACCACCCTGAAGCCGGCGTCCACTTTCAGAGAACTCAGATCTATAATCGTGGAAAGGACGTGTCGTCAGCCACCGCAGCTTGGTTCAGTGAGCTGTTAAGTCCAACGCCTTGGTTCAAGACTCTTTTCGAGGATGTGAGTCCATGCTCAATGGTAACAATATGCCGCAAAATCATCGCGGGCTGACCATTCTCCTTCGCCAGTTTCACGAGATTCCAAAATCGGAGCTCAAGCCTGGAGTGGACAACGCCACATGCTTTACGTCGGTCTGCATTAACACCGCCATATATTTGCCCTGGCTCGTGTCACAATGTTTGAAGAATGGCGTCGTCGTCAAGAGAGCCACCTTTCAACATGTTGCAGATGCAGCCGCCCCCGGTGTGCATCATTCAGGCAAGCCGGCTGACCTGATTGTCAATTGCACTGGTCTCTCAGCCTCCAAACTTGGTGGAGTGGAAGATAAGGCGGTCGTCCCTGCAAGAGGCCAGATTGTCATCGTGAGGAACGTGGCACCTGCCATGTATTCCATCTCAGGGACCGACGATGGCCCCGACGAAGCTTGCTATGTGAGTTGTCCTGTTTGTCCTGTATCTGACCTAACTCCAACCGGCGCGGCCGGAAGATGATCACCGCTACCATCCGTTCAAGCGCCGAGTACACCAGATGGCAATCTGGCTAAGCTTGTGCACATTCTCGTGTCGGACCTTGGAGTATGCAGGTGCTGACTCTTTCATTTCGCTAGATAATGACCCGCGCCGCTGGCGGCGGCACAATCCTAGGAGGCTGTTATCAAAAAGGCAACTGGGAGTCGCAGCCAGATCCCAATCTGGCGATTAGAATCATGAAACGTTGTGTCGAGATATGCCCAGAGCTGACAGGAGGCAAGGGCATTGAGCACCTTGATATTATACGACACGGCGTTGGTTTGAGACCCGTCAGAGAAGGCGGCACCAGGATCGCAAAGGAGAAAATCAGTGGTATCTGGACAGTGCATAACTACGGAGCAGGTGGCGCTGGTAAGGATTGGTTTCGCCTTAGACTGAGCCTGCCTGAACCTTTTCCACTGACATCGTTTCAGGTTATCAATCCTCGTACGGCTGCTCACAAGCAGCGGTGAAATTGGTGGACGAGATCTTCCAGGAGAAAGCGAAGTTGTGAACATGGTTGGCGACGACCTTTGGACGCGAAGACAAACCTCGCCCAAATCATCTGGGCGGCCTGTAGAATTGCTAGGCCGTGGAAGACCGTATTGCGCAATTTGGAGGCTGTTCTGTTCATACGAAGTGGCTTCAAGATTGAAATCATCTTCAAGATTGCGACCAGCCACCACCTCGACAGTGCTTGGATAATACGTCCGTCGACGTCTTCGAAACCGGTTCAGACCCTAGGGCAGACAAATAGCTATGAGTAGCCTAGACGTGAGACTCCTACTCGCCAATCGAGAGATTGCCGACAACTTCAACTCGAAGCACAAGGACGCCGCCGCCGACGGCTAAATGCTCCATGGAGGCGCCACATCCGCGAGCTATGTTTTACGCCGCGCCTGTCTTCCTATCGTTGGGCGTGCATTGTTAGGTCCTCATGATCGTGCATTGTTGAGACCTACCGTGATTTGAATTCTGTCTTGACCTAGAGAATCGAGAAGAAGGAAGGGTAGGGATACCGCGAAAAGCTGGCGCCGAGAAAGATCAGCACTGCCCGCAAAGCAGGATTGAGTCAAACGACATGTGCTTGCAAAGGAAGCGATCGATGCAGGAACCGGTCTTCCTGCGTCCACCATCCTTGAACCTGCTACCAACTTAGCCACTGTCCGTTATCCGGGGATCGGAGGTAGCTTCGACGTAGCACGGTACTTGGCTCGGGTACCTGATTAGCCTCACGAAGTCCGTCGAACCATGGACATTCAGCGTAGGCTTTGGACTCTAGAGTACTCTAGAGTAGCCTCGAGTGCAGCGAAGCCACGTACATCTGATTGAGGACGTCTGAGGACGTCATCCAGCAGAGCAAAGCTCCAAAATGTTGTTGAGGCTGCTGGCAGATGGCAAACTTTTTGCTGTTCATACAACCAGCCCGGCTTCACCCTCCAGGAGGGACACAACAGTTAACAAGCATTCTTCTATTCATGCAGGTAGTCGATACTTTGATCTCTGTGCCATGCCGGAGCACTTTGTGAGTTTGCAGAGCCCAGACAAGAATAGATGTCGTGTTATGCTTAAGTAGAATGGTCGTTGTACCTTGTAGCTGTTGTGTTCCTTGCATGTCCGACGTTTCATGCTTCTTGCGGATTCTTTGACCACGACATGACGCCTGGCCCCGTCGAGGGTACTGTGTGGGAGGGCTCCCCTCAACCCGGACCCGAACTCGATGGCGAAGGTCTGGCACCTGGCACCCCAGAGATCCCTGCATCCAGTTTCAAGGGTACTTCATGGCGCGGGTACGTGACAGACTCTTGTTGGTTACGCCGTACAGCGGCGAGGAAGTTTTAGTCGAGCAGCGGATGAGAGAAGAGGCCGGCGAGTGTTCGTGAGTGGTCAGCTTGGGATTGTCAGTGATGTCCTCCAGACAGGTGGCGGTCACGAATGCCGGCAGCCAGATCTGCTGTGACCCTCGTGTGTGCGAACAGGGTTGATGATGGGAAACTTGACAGAGGTGGGCTCGAAGTGGCAGAATTTGATCATCTGTTGTCGTCGATGGATGCAGTGGCTTGAGAGGCCGTCCATATGTCTGGCTGAGAAGTGTGAGTGAGAGTTGGGTGCGGTCGTTGATAGGATGTCCGGTCACCACCACTGACGGCACTGGCACCGCCGGCAAAGGTGGCTTGCCCGCTTGGTGATTCTAAAATCCCCTCTTGGTTGAAGGTTTGGCGGATGGCCGCCCATCGTTGCCCGCCCTAAGCTCCACTGGATCACTGCACTGCACTGCATCTCTGGCACTTCGACCCTTACCTGGGTTACTAGGGACTGTACCCTAGGCTGGTTGGTCGGCAGGTAAATAACAGCCGGGGCGTGGGCTAGGGAGCCTGCATACCTAGTCCCCTCAGTCCCTGTGAAGCCTCCTAAGCCCTTCTCTTCCCTTCTTCTTGGGGCTCCTCATATCCACCCGCCACCCGGCCGCTCGACTCGCCCTCTCGCCTCGGGCCCCCCATCTACCTACCACCTCCCACCTACCGACCACCTAACTACTAATCTAGCACACAGTGTTGTTGCTGCTTCTGCTGCCTGTGTGGCTAACAACAAGGTGCCTACCTACATCATCGCAACTACCAGCATTCCGTCACACACACACACGCTGCCACTCGCAATTCAAACAACCCCGTCAACCACTACACCTGTATTGAAACTCGCTTCATCTGTATTTTGTCTTCTTCTTCCTGCACTCACTCTCGTTTCCACTGCATGTCCAGAACCTCCGATTTCATCGTCAAATATCGCTCTTTCCAGGTTCTCCGCGCCTTTTCTGGACCCTCATCCACCGCACGGTATCCGTCATCCTACGTCTAGCCTGTCCAGGACCTGTCAAATCTTCCACCCTTCCGAGGTGCTTGCTTGCGACCGAGACGGCGCGTGGGCGTAGGCCCCTGCAGAACGCACAGGTTCAAATCAAAACACCGCTCCTTCAGCCTGCCAGCGCTTCTCGACAGCTTGCGCTTTTTGAGTCACTACACCTACGCAGTCTGCTACTGCGCCACACTCATCGTCGTTGATGTCTCCAATTCAGCCTTGTGAATGTCCACCTCGACCGGATCCCCTTCCTTGACCGAAGTTTCCTTCAACACTGGACTTCTGATCCACTGTTGTTGGAACCAGAATGGGATTTTGGCCGTTTGGCGGAGGCAAGAAACGCCGCACCAGCCAAGGCGAAGACCACAGTCAGCAAAGGCTCCCTGAAAAACAGCGGACAGACAGCGGAATGCGATTTCGATCCAGTGGCTCCGGGGAGGCTGCGACCATGGCGCGCACCCGAAGCAGACGGGAACAAGAAGAAAGACCTCGGAGGATATCCAAACAGAGAGTTGCAAGTCAACCTGGAAACCCTTCCCAATCGCAAGCAACGCCCCTCGGGGGACCTGCATCTGACTCATGGGAAAAGAGGAGGGACTCGGCGGTTGAAGCAGGTGGTTTTCATGGTCCCGGGGTTTATGCCAATCCTCCTGTGTCCCAGTCAAGCATTGGGCCCGAAGACTTCACGGCCCTTCCGCAAGCTCCTACCCTATTGGCAAAGCGTAAAGGCTACGACCCGACACTTCAACGCAGGAAGTCAAGTAAGAGAAAAGCAGAGGACTATGCTCGAGAAAGGGAGATCCGTGCCATGAGTTCTCCAGTTCCCAGCTTGAAACGGCCCGTCACATATTCTGGTTCCGGTCCACTGCGTCGCGATACTAAGCATGTTCCTGGCGATCTCAACCGGCGACTTCAGCGACCAACTTCCGAGGTGTCGTTGCCTCTACCCGAGACCATCCAGGACTCCGACCACATGACGAACCAGGCTTCATTCAAGATTGGCATCCTGGCAGCCCTGAGCCCAAGACCTACGCTTACATATGTCGCCAATCCTCGGAACTCGGTGGGGAAGCAGCCCGCCCGGATAAAGCCATCTATCCAACAAGCTATAGAGGAAGAGGATGTGTCTTCGAAGAAGAGGATTGACGAGTTGGCGGACGAACTGGATGCTGGGGGGCTGAGAGAGCTGATGGAGCGAGACAGACGACGGCATGAAAGGAAAAGAGCAGTGGACAAAGATCGGTTACATAGGAAGCTTCAACGCAAGGCTGAAAGGCAGCGAGAAGAAGACATCCGCGCACTCCAAAGGGTTGAATCACCTGCGGGTCCTGCAGGCCTTGGGTTGGAGGGTGTCGACCGACGGGGACGACGCCGCACCCCGAGCCCGAGCCGCACGGGCGGCGATCCTTTCGCCGATCCCGAGGGCTCCCAAGCTGGGCCAGTCCAACGCATTCGGAACCCATTTGAAGACGAGAAGGATCTTGACATCATGCGCGAGTCTCTTGCATTCGAAGAAGATGAAGGTCCGCCGGTGCCGGTGAGATCTCCTCTGCGAACGGTATCTCCCATTGAGGCCCACAACGAGCAGAAGCCGCTACAGGCAGCAACAATATCGCCACCCACATCCCCTATACAACGACCAGCAGATCGCCAGAGCCTTTCGCAGACATCGGGTCTTGCTCGTGAGATTACGCCAGACATCCCTGGACAGGGCCAACTGGACCGGCGTGCTTCTGACCAAAGCAGTCAACAGCTCAGTTCCTGGACGAGTTTTTTCAAACGCGGTGGTCGACGGAAAGCCAGTACCACCGACCGTGGCAGAAGTACGCCGTCTGAGTTCTCCAACACTTCTCGAGAGTCGTTCGCACGAAAGCAACAACCACCGCCTGTTGTTCCTCGCACGTTCCGGAGATCTGATGCCTCCGCCGTTCCTCAGAGGACAATGTCGAAATTCCGTGAAGATTTGCCCGACTTCCCTATATCCCCGCCGGATTCTCGCGTCCAGTCGCCCGAAGCCGTGAACGCTCCCCAAGCCGGCTCGGGGCAGCAGGCGGTGAAAGAGCCTCGGCAGTCGTTGTCCGGGACGTTGGATGCAAGGAGTTTGGCCACGAGCTCTAGCAACCCTGCCCTAGACAGAGGTCCCACTGACACTCGGCACGCACCTGGAATGGAGGCTGATATCGGCAGTGGTGCGCTGGCAGGGGTGGCGCTGTCGCGGTCCCTCGCGTCGGTCGATTCGGAGGGGTCATGGCTCTCGGGAAAACCGGTCAAGAGGTTGTCTGGGGGGACGAGCCATCCGACCAGGCACAGCCAATCATCGCTCCTGCCACAGACCATGCCCGGGGCATTTGAGACGGAGGAAGCTGGGCTTGCGGATGATGACTATCTGAACCGCCTGACGCCGGGCCCCAGCCGACGACGCGACTCGGACAACTCTTTAGGTCGCAAAGCAAGCAGCACTGTAATTGATCTTGAGAGGGAAAGACAGAGTCCTGTGCCTGACGTGCCCCCTGTTCCGTCGGGGCAAAGAGACGATGAGACATGGCACGAGGGGCTTGGACGACAGGCCACCGTGGTCCGCCAGCCGAACCGAGCGAAGTCAACAGAAGGCCTCTTGAGGGAGTTTGGGAAAGAGACACCCGAAGGGTCTCGAAGATCCAGCTCGGATGAAGAGTTAGAGGAAGGCGAAGGAGCTTCGCCCGCAGGCCACGCGCACAAAACGGAATTGCAAGATACACCACTTCTACGGGCGCAAAGTGTCGAGTATAAAGGACACGTGAGGCATATCAGTGCGGGAAGTGCAAGACTCCTGGATATCCGACGGGCCTCGGGACAGTCAGATGCTGTCCCCCGAAGTCCGAGCCTTGTTCAAGGGGCGGTACCTGTCCAACCGGAACGGTCACTGCCTGCTAAAGAATGACCGGTCTACTTTACGACAAACATTACAGCATTCTAATGGCGGCGGTCCCCCTTTCCTTTGTAATTTCATCTATTTCCGTCCCGGCGAGGTCCGGTATACATGAAACACCTTGGGCCAGTCCGAGACATGACGATGTTGAAGGCAAGAGAGAGACCCTCGCTCGCTCTTTACGGCCGCAATTGGGGTTCGAAGATGGGACGTGGCGATTGAATTGGATTGCCAGCGTCAAGCAAGTTTGGGGCGAGGTGTACAATCCAGAAATTGATTTGCGATGAAAGCGGGATTTTTCTTCTTTGAAGCGGATTTGCAAATACAAAGAGGTAATATTTTGCCCGGGAACCCTGAGCCCATCCTGGACGATTTGGCATCAGGGAGCTGGGATGAGACATGTACCACAAATCAAATGGCAGAATGAACTGTGAGAAGATAGCAACAAATACGGACATGGTCTCTGTGCCGACTGCTACAATCCGTGTCCGCAGAGCAGCTGCACATGTGAATCAAAATGAAAGATAGTAGAGAAAGACGGCCTAGAGCTCAAGGACCATGTCTGACCACAGCATCTTAGTAGACAAACGAAGGGCAGTTGTTCGAGGTTGCAGTTGTGGTTGTGGTTTGAGGTTGACCAGTTTGTACCTGATATTATTGATTACCTCATCATCTCTCCTGAGATGAGAGCAGCGAGTAAATATTTCCTGAAAGGGCGCAGTAGCGATGTACTCGTACTACTAGTACTACTAAACTATACTACTAATACAGAGTAGTCCCTCGTGGCGGTAACATTTCAAATTGTCGAGGTGCCATAGTAATGGCGTCATGCACGGACAGAATGGTAGGTCTGCCGACTCGCTCCCCTCCCACCTGCGGTCAAATCGTCCTCCCACCTTGTCCCCTTGGTCCCCTGCGCCCCTGCGCCTACGCCCACACACTTTGCTGTTTACTAACTCTGTACGTATTTGTGCCGCCTCCAACGACGGATTTCTAAGCCTCCCACCCGTCATTTAAAAGCACCTCAGCTCATTGTCATCCTCGTCGACGATTGTCCCCAAATTCAACCAGCATCTTCCATCCTCGACAACTTGAACCCGATTTTCTTTAAAAACAACCTTCATCTTCGGTCGCCTCCAACCCACTCCTCAACCAAACTAATATAAAGACCTTCGCCGTGGCTACATCAATCCGCTCCTCGGCCATCAAGCTCCCACGCTTCTTGCACAAGACCAACACCCGACCACTACTACTACCAACAACCAGCGCGCTTCGCAGACCAGCGCCTCCCAACACCGGCCTCCGACTCTTCACCAGCGCCAGTCCGGCCCTGTTCTCACTCAGTCCGTTCAAAATGGGCGTCCACAATCTTGCAGAGTACGTAGCCTACCACCAAGCCAAGCTGCGTCAAGAACAGCAACAGCAACAGCAACAGCAAGCCCGCAATTCCTCCACTTCCACTTCCACTACTACTACTTCCCATCCTGCACATGCAAAGAAATACGGTGTTAACCCAATCCACAGCAAATCGTCCTTTGACACCTCCGTCCTCTCCGCGCCCGCGGGCCGCCTGGTCGTGCTCGACTGCTTCGCCACCTGGTGCGGGCCTTGCAAGGTGATTGCCCCCGAGCTGGTCAAGTTCAGCGAATCCGAAGAATTCAAGGACAAGGTCGACTTCTACAAGATCGACGTCGACGAGGTTCCCGACGTCGCGCAGGAACTCGGTGTCCGCGCCATGCCGACTTTCATGCTTTTCAAGAACGGCGAGAAGGTCGCCGAGGTGGTCGGCGCCAACAAGAAGGCTTTGGAGCAGGCCATCAGAGCTAATGCCTAATCGACTCATCCAAACATGCGCTGTGCCCGTCTCCCTGTCTTACAAATCTGATCAATCCTGAACAAATGGGGCGCATAGTCGAATCGAGCTACGACAACAATAATCTTTTGACGGACAGTGGAGCCTGGGATTTGCTGATAGAGCTACATCACTTGAAAAGAGCAGTCATTTCTTTAATGGCAAATACGGGACATGAGATGTCATTGCCGGGACTCGCTGTTGATGAAGTCTCCAATCTCACGGACAAGTCTTGCATGTGCTCGACGAGCTAGAATGGGATAGCATCAAGAATCTACGACTGGTTTCCTGTCCATGACTGTGCAGTGATTTGTTTCTCCTTGCTTGCGCTGCTTTCTGCGAAGAAGTTCGCCCTCGCAATGCTTCAAAAGAAATCCAAGAAATATCCTCCACCTGAGCGCCGGGTGCAGCAAGTACTTGCCCACCGTTCTGCTCCCCGTCAAGAACATGTCACAGACAGGGACCATGATGAATCTTGCATTTCAGCGTCGCCAAAGCCGTATATCGTGATATTGATTTAGTTACTGATGTCCGACCAAAATCCATCTAACGCCCCAAGTGATCTATCACACGCTCCAGTCGGCCCTATGTGTAGATTCAATAACAGCATCCCTCCCTTTCTCTTTCTTTCCCTTTCTGAAGAAAACAGCCGATCAGAGAGACCAATGCCATGGCAAGAAGATCTGACATCCTGTCTCTGTAGCAATAAGCTGCTGAGGCATCAACGTTTTGTATCTAGATAAGGTAGGTTCTGCATGTGCTCTCTTTTTTGGCCAGATACACAGGGGCAGGCAGCTGAGGTATGAATAGTAGCAGCATCGACGAAGACCGACTACCGATTACATAGTACACTACGAACCATACATTGCGAATACAGAGCGAACGTTGACTGCATGTGGTCCAACTACTAGTACAGAATACAGCAGCAGTGCCTCGAAAGACATGTTTGTTCAAGGTCACGATAGTGACTAAAAGGGTCTTAGGAAGGTACAGTACCAGAATCACGACCATGGTTTCGATCGATATTGCCAAGGTTAGATACCTTGAAGCGTAAGGTAGGTATGTAGGTTGGTATGATGTACAATATAGAATATACATAAACGTCGAGTCGTACAGAGTAGTAATCCAAGTCATGATAGATACAACGGGTGGTCGGCCTGCACATGCCAGAGTTGTCTCCGAATCGACGTCTTTCTTTTCGTGCGTCTCATGCATCTCATGCAGTGCGGTGCTCTGCGGGTGGTTCCTTTGGGTGTCTCGCATCCCGTGACGTTTCCCCCGAAACACCAAGCCCAGAGCCGAGTTGAGGGATTGAAAATGACAGAGTAAAATGTGATGGGGTGGCGGTGTACATCGTTAATAGGAGTCAAGTTCGTTCGAGAGTCGTACGTGGGTCAGCCGGGCTCCTATATAAGCGTGGGACGTATACGCAAGGGGGTCATGTCCCGTTCTTCGTACCCTTGTATTTGCGAAGGAGAACGATATGACTTCCTGATGGAGTCATAGACAAGGTCGCATCGAATGATCATTTGGAAAGCGATAGTCCGATTCTCCAAGCAGGTTAAGTAAAACTGCCTCGACACTATGCCATAGATCCGTGTCTTCGGCGTAAGAGGTCGATGGCCAAGGGCAAGCCGATCAGAACTTCAATGTCGATATTTCTGGCACCAAAGCGCCATGGGTGAGGGTATGTTGTTAGACGACAGTCCCGCACTTTTTGCAGCGAAGGCTCTGGCCCTTGTCCGTCATGGTGGCCTTGAAAGTGTTGCTCCCACACTTCCTGCAACGAAGATCATTTGCGCTGTCGACGCTTTTCTTCCGCCTAGTACGCAACCGACGTGTTTTGCCCTGAGCTTTGTCTTGGTCGTCGTCCACTTCTTGCACACTAGGGCTGGTGCTGTTGCCTTCGCGATCCGAGCCCGTAAGAGTGCTGGACAATTGGCTGACATAGCTGCCTGTCCGCGAAAGAGGGTTCCCATCATGATCCACCAGCCCAGGACTACGGGGCATGTGCTTGGCCATAGGCACCAACGTGTTCTTCACATCCCATGCCATGTAAGACTGCTGATCGACCAAAAAGAGAGGATTGTTCGGACTAAGCAAGGGGCCATCTGTAGTCGAATTGGAAGTGACAGGCCTGAGGCTCCCCACGGGGGACAACTTCTCGAAATCTGGTGACTTCGCCTGCGTGGCAGAATGGAAACTTTCTGGTGAGTCCGCCACTGGCGACTGAACTGATATGGAGGGTCCTTGCTGGACCTGGTGCAATGGTGAATGGTATTCGGGGGGGGAAGGTTTTCGGCGGGAAAAATGCGGCGAGATGAGTTTACGCGGTGACGCGCTACGTGACCTCTCATCATTCCCCATGGAGCGACGTGCCTCAGGCGCACCGGTAGATCCATTGACGCCGGAATCGTTGTCGCTCACAGTGTTTCTCCAGTTCAGGATCCGGTCGGTCGACTGGTTCTTGGAGCTCATCGCAAACGAGTTTCGATGCAAGGAAGTGCTGCCGGAATGTCGTGTTACTACAGATCCGCTTCGGCCCAGCACCTTCTTCGAGAAAGTCGAGCTTGTGTCCCATGATTCGTGACGGCGTTTTTGGAATGCGCAGTCTTGTCGAAAGACCTTGATTTGTCCGGTATAGTCGGCCGTGACAATGATCTGGCCACCAGGATGTGAATGTCGTGCTAGATATGCGGGTGTCTCGGGGGCGCGTTTGGGTGACTGTGATATTCGTTTGTCCGACGTGAGATGCTTCTCGTCGGAGTAGCTGCTAGTGGGCGCTCGGGAGGAGATGACAGAGTCCGCACGACTGACCAGTGTTACTGGCGGCGGGTTGCACAAGTCGTAGAGAGGGTCTCCGGATTGCGCAAGCAGCCGCCTCGTGCTCTCTGGGGCTAGGAGTGCCGTGGTCACGATTGCTGAATGAGCCTCAAACACCTCCATGGGGCGCTTGTCATTGTCCGGCCTCTCATCGACCGAGGTCGGCCATATGTACACCTTGCGGTCCTCACTCCCACATATCACGTATCTTCCATCGTCGCTGAACAGGGCATGAATTTGACTGCACGCATTCTCGTTGCCCCGGAACTTCACCTCGAGCGTCCTGTCTTTCAGGTTGTACATTCGTACCCGAGAGTCGTTACTGGTGATCAACAGCTTGACATCTGGCGGAGCATTGTCTGATCGAGGAAGGGCAATAGTGTCGATGCCTGTGATCTTGCTGCCTTTGGCATTCTTCCCTCGTGCCGACCGCACATGGATCTGTGAATGTGCTTTGAGACCCTCGGTGTCGTAGAGGAGGCACAGCCCGTTTAGACACCCAGCGATAGCAGTCTTGCCATCTGGCGTAAACGCTACCGCAGTCACCATGTCTGGTACTTGCGCCCAGTACGCCACGGTTTTGTCGGGAATGCTCCACAGCCGTAGTTTCGCGTCCAGAGAGCCGGCCAGAAAGAAGCGGTCATCCCGCGGATGAAACTGTATTGAGGTCACGAAATCGTTATGTTTGAAGGCACACAAGCATTCGGCCCGGCTGACATGGTATAGCCTGACCGTCTTGTCCATGGACGAAGACAAGAGGAAGTTGTTTTTGCTCCAGCTGAGGTCCAGGATACTGGATGTGTGACCCTCATACTCACGTAGGAGCTTGCTTTTGAAGACTGGCGCGTTGAGTTTGACCCTTTCGCCCTGGGTGTTGGTCTCGGGCAGTTTCTCCTCTGCCTCCCGATCCTCGGCCGTGGCAATAACCTCCCAAACCCGTAACTTCCTGTCCTGACCAGCAGCGGCAAGATATCTCCCGTCTTTTGAGAACTCCATTGCCCATATTGCATTACTTGCCGCGTTCGCTTGCGTTGTAAAGCTGTTGGCGTGCTGTTCATCGATGCTGTGAATTCTGGAGTCTATTGACGCCTTCCGTCCTTTCTGTTTGGGAGTATCCAAAAGAACCTGAGCTAAAAACAACCTATCAAAGTCCTTCTGTTTCCTATATTGGGCCTTGACCTTGATATATCGTGGTGGCGCAGGGAATTTGGGTATGAAGCCGACAGGCTGAGAGAAGACTTCAGCCTCGATGCCGCCCGATCGGTTTTCGGAGATCTCTGAAGCAGCGTCGTCGCGAAGCTCGAAGGAATCACGCTTCTTGGTGCCCATTATCCGACTCAATAACGACACACCTTTCCTGCAATCACATGGATGTCAGCCTTGCACCCTCCAACAGTCCGACCTGAGACATAGTAGGCTAGGATGGGCAGCCGAGAGACAGCAGGGCGGTGGTCGTCCATGAACAAGAGCATGTCAGAGCCACCACGCCCAAACCCCGTTTGGCCTTTTCAGGCAACCCTGGTAGACTCACTTCTTGTCCTTGCTCAGCTTGCTACTAGCACCGCTGTCAACTCGTCGCAGGGCAGTCGGGTCGGAACTCGTCCTGGCCGAGTACTGGTCCTCGGAAGCAGCGGGTTCCGCATGGGAGGCCTTGGAAGACACACCGCTCTGCTGCAGCCGGTTTTGCGATTGTGTACGCTCCAGTATTTGCTGCCGATGCATGAGCCAGACCGTTTCTATACACATGGATTGAGAGGGGAGGGTACCCTTGATATTGGGTCGAAGGCCAGCTTAGCAGCGCCGGCCTGGGCCTCCGAAGAGCTGACAACCGAACTCATCGCGGCGGAAGTCGAGGGATTCAAGGCGCCGTTAGGAAGGCGATCAAGATTGGAAGCTACATTCGTGTCTGCGGTGGGGGAGCCTGGAGCACAAATCGAATACAGTCAGCACAAGCCAGAGGGACTCGGAGTGGCCGCAATGGGGAAGCATGGCCAGGGCGGGAAGAGTAAGCAGACGAGGAGGATGGGTGATGCTTCACATGTAGATGACGAGGACGTACTCGTACTGCTGACGCGAGACCCATCGGTGGTCGTGTAGATGATGCTGGGTACAGCCTGCCAGTGCTTTGTTGGTGGTTGTGGTGTTGACGATGTTGGTGTTGGTGTTGGTGTTGGTCTGGAGCTGCGCGGTGGCCGCGGATGCGCAATAATGTCATCGGTGGTGGTGGTGGTGGTATCGCCCGTAGCACTGCCCGTAGCAACCCCCATAGTAGTAGCCTTAGCTTAGGGCTATAGGGCTGGCTATAGGGCCTAGGAGCCGTTGTGCTGAGGGCAAGGCCAAAAGACCACCACCTCCACGATGCCCAATGCTACTAGTATTGTAATTGAGGTAGACGAGACACCAAAAACCCAAAGGAAAAAAAGAACATATTGCACGCCTGAATATCTACATCTTGGAATAACACATTAAACTTCTGCCTAGCCGCTGTCCACTGCACATGCCATGCAATACTACTACTACGTATTGTGTACCTAGGTACATTACTGTGATGCTGAAGGCCAGGGAGGCCTGAGATGGATCCCGGCGCGGCAGCCTTGGAGGCCTTGGGAGCCTAAAGGAGCCCATTATCATTTGTTACTTGTCCCGCTTCCACGTTGTTTGCATACTTTTATGCTTGTCATTATTCCTCTTATTCTGTCACCACTGCCAAACCACTGCTATGTGGCCGTGCTTGAATTGTGCAAGGACCCTATTCTAGACTCGAGACTGCTGCTCAAGACGATATACGAAATCTAGCACGGCGTCCATCCTCGGTCCTTCGTCCATCGGCCTCGATGCATAACTTTTGTGGCAGCGGACTAACTTTTGAAAAAACACCGCGCCGCAGCCTGGCTGTCACAGCATAACATAGCAACTTCCACCAATAGGAATGCGATGTGTCGCTTGGGGCCTCGAATTACTGGACCACTCTGTATACGGAGTACGGGTGAGGTATGATCAAAATGTCCGAGGGAAATAGGAAGAAAAAGCCCGTCCGGATTGCCGTTTGACGGGTTCTTCCGTTCGCAACTACTACCTACATTGTTCTCATGTGCGTGGGTGGACTTTCTTCAACAAAAAAATGCGTGTTCAATTCTCCTGGTCTGCAATCCTGCCCAAATAGCCCAATAAGAAAGCCTTGTTCTCAGCTCCCGTCTGTCGTTTCTCGCCGGCTGAACGCCCCATTGCCGGCCCACTACCGATGGACGCAAGACTGCCCACCCGCGATGTCCGAGTCGAGATCGGCTCCATGCCAGACAACGGCGTCTCAACGTCGCCAGCATAAAGTTGACTCGCCGAGAGTGGGGAGACAACGCCCGACCCAGACTGACCTGTGGAAGCCTTTGGCGTAGTGTTTGATGTACCACCGAATAGAGATAGCAATCTTTGCTTCTGATCCTCTGCTCGTGAAGACTGGCGCCGGGGTGTCTGCATTTCACTTCCATCCGATGGCACTGCAGGAGGAGATGGAGATGGTGCAGCCCTCGCTGCGCCGGCCTTTTGGGTTGCGGTCCTGTCGACGGTTGCAATCGCGGGCTGTGGCGACGCGTCAGATGCTTCGCTGTTCTGTGGCCGTCGGAGGATCTGGGGTTGAAACGGTTTGCTCAGAGCCCTTGGTGTCGCTTTCTCCCGAACTGTTCGTTTTGGTGGTCCTTTCAATCCTCGAGGAGATCGTGGAGCCGGCGCACGAGCTTCCTCGGTTCTCGTCAAGATCTTGACAGGCGCAGGTTGATGCGGATCATAAAGCGTTCTATTCGTAGACGGCGGGCTTCGTCGCATTTCACTGGTCATCTGCCTTGCTGTTTTTGAAACCGCGTCAAACTCGGGCTGATTCAGAGGCCCGCTCACAGTCGCAGCTGTCTCGCCCTCACGAGGAGATGGACGCTGAGGTTCCACATCATGCCGTTTCGACGCTTTGACATCGTGTCTCAGCAGGCTAAGAAGCAACTCATTGTTGCTGTCTTGTGGCTCTCTGGCAGAAGCGATCGGGGCTGTAGCCGCGAGTTCAACTGGGGGAGTTTGACGGAGAGTCTGTATTTCAGCTGGCCTGGGTTTTGGTGGTTGACTGAACAGATCAAGGAGAGAGGTCCTATGTGCATCATCAGGGTTCGGTAAAGACCGTATTTCTGGGTAGGGACTCGGTTTTTTCTCAACGCTGCCAGTGGTTGCACCGATCCGACCTTGCTCACTGGCCAACTGTTTGTCTGCCGGGGCCGTCATCGTGGCAGGTGGGCTTGGTGCAGCCTTAAACACGTCTAACAATGCCTTTGTATGGTTCGTCAATTTCGGCAGTGCGCTCGCGGGAGGCACACGCGGTTGCGATCCCGGTCCCAGTCCCTGCTGCGCGAAATGAGGATCCCCTGTTTGCTGGTAAGGCGCCACATGAGCCCCTGGGTGCCATGAGTCGGGCCTGGTAGGCCGCTCCATAGGTGACCCTGTGGTGGGTCCATTGAAGTGTTGGGAGGAAGACTGATCCTGGGGCTGCTGGAGGAAGTGCGGCGGCGGTTGGCCTTGATCCAGCTGTGGCGGGCGCACATGCGATCTGTGAGGTGACTGTTGTGCCTCTGGCAAGGTCAAGATCTGCTCGAACGGTGTATGAGGGGGTGGGATAGGCGGACCCTGGGGACCAGACCGCAACAGTGTCAAAAGTGCATGTGACTTCTCCGTATCCACCTGTGGCATGTGAGTAGTATGTCGTGGCGTAGGTTCAAGCAGCAAGGGCTGCGAAGGTCGCGCAGGTTGAGGAGGTTGCGAAGGTTGTGCAGAGCCGATGTTGAGGATTTCTTTCAGGCGCGACGTCGGATCAAATGCCGGGGGCGCAGAGACCTCAGGCAGATCATTGGAGATTTGCTTTCTGGGTTCTGCGAGTGCCGCTCCCACACCATCAATGTCGCGATCGTCTCCGGTGCTGACCTCCTCAGGTACCATGGGAGGTGCTGCAAGATGCGAGCTGTACCGATTCTCTTTCTTCTTCTGCTGTGCGATCCATTTCTTAAGTGGATTCAAAAAAGGCGCCACCATATAGAATTTGTTCGCATTAAGAGAAGGCTGCTCTATGCCACTCCCTTCCTGCTGACGACTCTTCTTCAACGTCGGCAAATCCGTCAACTTGTACCATTCGATCTTGCTGATTTCCTTTCGTGTCTTCGGCTCGAAGTGCGTATCCCTGGGTACTCCTCGGAATACGTATAGCCTCATGTGCTGTTCCCTCATGGTGACTTCGATGTACTTCATGTCTTTTTCGTCTTTCACCAGTCCTGCCGCCCGGATGTCGAAGCCAGTCTCTTCGTAAACCTCGCGTACCGCACAGTCCAAGTCATTTTCATCCTTGTTGATTTTGCCCCGCGGAAAGCTCCAATTGGCGCTCTTCTTCCAGCCTTTCACCAGGACAACTTCGTCCATGGCCTCATTGAGCATGATAGCGCCACGCACCGGGACACGTGATTTGTAGGCCAGGAATTCCGCGAACGCGGTTGTATGGTGTTGTGCTGACCATTGTGAGAAAAGGGGACAATGCTGAAAGATCCGTAGACTGAATGCGCGTAGAGAAAGAGACGGCAGCGAAGGGTCAAGAGGACGGATAAAGTCCTCGTAGAACCATTGTGCCTCCTCGACTTGGAAGCAGATTCGCTCCACAGATTGAAGCTCCTCTGGGGGTAAGTTTATGATAAATCGGACACATAGGTCATCCAGCCCTGAAAAATTGTGGGTGTTAGCATCAAGCAGATGTTCAAGCCGAGGTGGCGCATCTTACAGTCCTCCAACTGCATCTCTCGAGTTCGTGGTCAGGATAGAGTGCACAATCATTTCCACGACCCTCAGGGTCCTTAGAGAAGAAAAGCTACTAGACGAGGTGGTCTGAATGCGCGTAGCACCGCCTCTGTTCTAGACGTTGTGATCTGCTGGACTATAGTAGGACGTTGTGACTGGCGGGGGGTGATCTGGTTGGGAGGTACAGTGTCCAGAGTATGAGTGTGGGAGAAACACGCAACAGAGGTGAAGCACAGGCTAGTCAGAGGAGATCAAAGTGTGGCTGGTGGCTGTGCAGTGTAATGTGGCTGAGTCGTCGATCCTAATGAAACAACTACCTAGGTAAGTAACCACCGCTGTTGGCGCGATTCACATTCGCTACCCAAACATGACGCAGCCGCGCGCAGTTTCAAGGGCGCAAGCAAGATTTCAGCGGCCGTCACAACATCGGACTTCACTCGCTGTCACTGCTCAGTATTCGAGCAGGCTGTGACAGCCACTATCCATTCTTGTCCCCTTTGTTTGATAATATTAACATCCTAGGTCATCTCATCGTGACATAAAGACCACCTCATATCCTTTGTGACACCACTGTCCTTCCCTGCGAGTGCCTACCAACAAGTCCTCATTTGCTTTACGCATCCTCCACACACCTCCACGTCTCGCCGCGCAACCGCAATCATGACTTCCCTTGCGGCGAAATTGGTAGCCAAGAAGCTTTTTAAAGAGACCTCGGCGAACAAAGAGGGCCAGGAGGTAAGTGTCAGTGCCGCAGAGTTGTTCTTGAACATGGCTCATATTATCGCAGGACCCATACTTCGAGACAGTCCCCGCCACCAGGTTGGGGGGGATGTACAAGACCACTAAGAAGAGGCGCAGAGCTCTCCCACCTGGTCTGACAGCGCAAGAAGAGAAGATCCTCACCAAGGCAAAGAGAAGAGCATACCGCATTGATCTTTCCCTTGGCAGCTTCCTAGGGACACGATTTGGTTGGGGTGCAGTTCTCGGATTGATCCCTGGGTATGCCCACCTCTCACCTCACAAACTGCGAACACTTGTGCTGACTCTACTCCAGCATAGGCGATGTCATTGATCTCCTCCTCGCTCTCATGGTGTATAGGACTTGCTGCTCAGTCGAGCCAGATCTGCCAGCTTCCGTCAAGCTGCGAATGCAGATCAACATGGCAATCGACTTCGCTGTTGGCCTGGTGCCATTCATTGGAGACATTGCAGATGCGGCATACAAGTGCAATACTAGAAACGTGGTTTTGCTCGAGAAGGAGCTTCGTGAGCGTGGTCAGAAGAGAGTTAAGGGCACTCCAGATGCCGATGTAGCAGATCCGAGTCTGCCTCATGAGTTCGACCATGCGAACGAAGAGCGTCTGTTGAACCAGCAGAACGGGCCGCCGCCACGATACACCTCCAAACGCGAGTCTAGAAGATCTCGCCGAGACCGTGAGGCAAACCAAGATATCGAACGGGGAGGACAGACGGCGCCACCGTTACCAGCGCGGACCTGAGGCCTCGATTTTTGGCGTTGATGCGACGGTATCTGGCTAGGAGGGGCTAATGCAGCGATGGTCAGACTGCTTGTCAGGGATAGAGTGAATCATAAGTATCCTTCCACTTCTGGCTCTGCTTTAAGCTGCTCGGGGGCAGCTATATTCCTTGCGATGCCTCTAGAGCCATAGTCTAGGCCTGCATGACTGCATTTGGTGAATGGATGATGACACTAGGACTTGATATCCTGCCTCATTCTGTCACATCCATAGCAAAGCACTGAGTCTGGGTGGAGGAGACCTTCGCTTCGCACGATTGGTCTGACGCAGACCGGACAAGTAGCCCCAAAGACAGAGGCCTGTTGCCCCTCGAGCTTACTCGCAGTTCGGACAACATTGGCCATGATGCCGGGATATTTTTCACCCTGAGAGTCGATATATGTTCTCAGCAGACTGTCAATTGAAGTGTGTCGTATGGAATTGAGTGGTACAGTCATTCCCTCGGAGTGCGCCGCTTTCTCCAGCAATGGTTCTGACGCCACTTGGGCATAACTTTGAAGCTCAGCCTTGAAAAGCTCACGTAACGGATAGTTGTAGTTGATCCCATGCGTTGACGGGCCATCAGCGATAGTCGAAGAAACCGATCCACCTCGGCCTTTGGCAACATCGGCGAGCACGAGCGCAGCCAGCCGGCTGTCGGAGTGGCCCCAAAGAACGCTCTCGCAATTCTGCTGTCGGGCCACAGACACGATCAGGCGTTGCTGCAGTATAGACTGCAAGTCCGCACGTGCGGTCACAGACGTAGCACAGGAGAGCGCCCGATCCAGGAAGGCCGCGTCTGTTTCGCCAGGCTCCCTCCGAAGCCCGACATGTTCCATGTCTCGCTCGATGTGGTCATCCATGTGGAAGACCTCATGCAGGGGGAGAGGTGGATGAAAAGAGTGCATTGAGAACCTGTGACCGAGTTCTTTATAGTCGCCCATGAGCGTTGGCGAGTCTTCATCCCCGGGAACGACGACACGAACCACTACGAGGTCGTACGCTGTTCGGTTCCGTTTCGCAAGCTGTCTCGTATGCTGAGCGTCAAGAATCTGTAATAGAACAAGAGATGACACTCCTCCGGAAACGGGTAGTAGCAGCCGCCGCTTCTCATCTCCTTCCGCCGCTTTGTATCGATAGGACTCCATGCGTTTAAGGACTTTCGAATTGACATATCGCATGAAACAGGCGGTACATAAGCGCCTGTTTCTGACGTCGAGCGTGGCGTCTCGCTCACGACAATCGACACAGAGGTCGGCCGTGGCCGGATCTGCCATTCTACTTGGCAAAGGATACGCGGCGTAAATGTATCAATGGTGGCACACTGGTAGAGCAGGGTGGTCGGTCTTATGTGGGCGGCATCTGACGTCGCAACTTAAGGTGTCGCTGAAAAATTGTCAGCCTCGTAAATAGTTTCAGGCTAGTAGTAGAACACTAGTACTGTAGTACACATTTTAGTCATTTAGATCGCTGACCCACCTTAGCAAAGACGGTCTCCAGGCATGGCTCGTTCCACTTTGAACTTGAACTTCAACCTAAAGGTGCCTAGGTGCCTAGCGACTCCCCGCTCGACCCGCCGCGGGCTCGGCGGGGGTCATTGCTCCAAGTCCCTGATTTCCCGCAGCCTTGTGCCCCGCAATCACTACTGTCACCCCTGATACTCGTGTCCCACGATACAAGGATAATATACGCCATTGTCTCCCTTACTACCTTGGGTACTAGACGGAATCTAGACTGGAGGATTGTTCTTGTTCTTGATGCTGGAGATTCAACGGATTCGGTCGAGGCCATGGAAACTCGGAACATACGAGGATAATATGAAGTCCAATTGCCACATTTGACGTCTAAGAACACTAGCAATCATCAGTCCGTGAGACCGATGCTCAACGAACCCATTGAGAGGGACTGTGCCAGTGATCCGACTCTCTGCATGTCTCTAGCTGCCTTGCATTTGCGCCTGGTCAAGGCACCGGTCTTTCCTGGTAAAACTGGCATGGCAAACGTGGCCTCGACAACACCGGATGGGCGTAAAAAGAATAGCTTTAGGGGGAAACTTCTCTGTGCCCCAGAATTCGGGAGTTGAAGCCTACCACAGGGAAGCCGCTTTGTGGAGCAATGGATGTGGTCTTCCGTGCAAGTCTTTGCTGGAGGTGGTGCTTGCCAAAAGCTTGATCCTCCGTTGTCGGAGCCATCAATTAGCGAGTCGAGCTCTTAGGGCCTTCAAAAACCGGACAGTCTGCCCTTGAGCCGGGCAGTCCCTTGAAATGACTGTTTGAGGAAGGGCGTTTGTGCTTGATATAAACCTCACCTTGCTGCGAGGCAGTTTTTAATCAACCAGAATGTGGCGGGCACCTCCACTTTTGCCGTAAGCTTTCGCTATTCCAACCAAGACCACCATACTGCCGCAGGTGGTTGTATTTCCTAGGTAGACATTGTGCATCTTCGCCGTGTGAGGCCATTGTAAGGGAGTAGCGGCGCACACCTCTGGGAGACATCAGTTCTGAGTTCTCTCATCCAGCCTATTAAAGCTATAGCCTTCAAGAAAACAAAAATCAGGGATCTGTCGTTCAAGTTGTCACAACTCAAAGATGAATGAAAGAGGGCCAAATCTACCTACCTTACTGCCTCAGGAGATTCAGGTAGAGTGGCACGGAAGGTAGGTCAGTTCGGTTTGAACTTCGATGTTCAGGTTGAACGCCATATCCAACCTAGCACTTTCCTGGTTAGCAGCTCGGATAGTTATACCAATTGTAGTATCACGTGTCTGCAGTCTACTACGCTATGACGTCGAAAGTATCTTGATGCCCTTGATGCCCGCATTCATGCAAGATCCTGCTAGCAATACCTTGCAGTGTATCATCCCAGATTCTTCGCCCCATGATAAGAACCCTAGAAGCCCTTGAGTCAGGCAATCCGACCCGATTTATCAATGTAACATTCCATCTGCCGTCAAGGCCTCTCCATATGCTCAACCTCTACCTAGTAGAGCCACAGAACTGTAGTCTTCCTTCACGCCTTTTCTTGCACGTCCCCAATTTGAAGATCCAGCTCCTCTCCTGCCGAGTCACGTAACCACCGCCAACACAACCATCACCATGAGCGCAGTGCAGAGCATGTACCAATCAGTGGCCGGTATCAAGGATAGTGCCATGGGCAGATCATCTGCTCAGTCAGGGGAAGAGCCTCCGTCTGGCTTCCAAGGCGGAGGCACTGCAACCGATCCGTACGACCAGGGAAATGTCGAACGGCCTGCCGAGTCAGGAGAAGAACCTCCTTCGGGGATTCAAGGCAAAGGAACAGCAACCGACCCATACGATGCGGGAAATGCACCAGAGACCGCCGAGGCTCCCATGGTGTCAGGACAAGAGCCTCCGACTGGCATCCAAGGCAAGGGTACAGCAACGGACCCTTACGACGCAGGCAACGCACCAGGTGAGCCCCATCGTCGCAAAGTTGATTGAGTCGCATGTTGACCGGTTCGGCTTGCAGAAAACCCGTCAACCTCCGATACTTCTACAGCTGCACCGTCTGCGCAGCCATCAGAGCCCTCTGTCGAATCGACTGCGGTTTCGAGTACGTCCGCACCTTCTTCCAAGACGGCCACAGATGAAAGCGCGGATACTCGAGGACGAGGTCTGTTGAAAGCTCCACCTAAGCACCGGGATGAGACCGATGTTAGCCCTGGAACCATGCCTGATGGCTCACATGCACAGACGAGCGGTGATCGCGGAGAAAGCTACGAACCCGGGAGGCTCAACAGGCTCAAGGGCAAGTTCGGGTTCGGCCACCACTAGGATGGAGAGTCTGGGTAGCCGCACAAACAAAAATGGTCCAGAGCTGCATTGATCGGTGCAGATGGCCAGGCATTGCCTGTGTACCTAGGTATACTGGGTAGACAGATACGATACTGTTTGGACGACTTGTATGTGATATGATATGATAATGTGTATGACTTCGAGATACCTCCAAGCTAGCGTTGACTCGATTGCTCCGCTTGGTACCTTGAATTCAGTGACAATCGAGTACCGGACCGATTCATGTTGACACGCAGTGACTGGTCCAGGGACGATTGGTGTTTGCAGATACGAACATTGGCATTCTTGATTGTTTTAGCTTCTGGTTGTTCTCTTGGACGTTATGGACAAGCGAACAAAGTAGAGATACGTAAGTGTTTGGAGTTCGTCTACACCCAGGGTTGCGGCTTCAATTCCTCACTCGCAACATCGTGATCAGAATTTACCACAGTACGTATATGCTTATAGGGTTGTTGCGGAGATTCTCGATTAACTCCTGCCTATCTAGGTAGGTAGTAATCAAGATGCTCCGCAAGTGAGTTACTCCTGGACCCCGCGGCGGGAAATAACCCGAGGAACTCCATCACCGCATACACCAACGTCTCGCAACAACACATCATCACTTATCAACCTTCCCATTCTTTTATCTTCGTTGTTCTCTTAGACGTCTTCCACTTCAAGCGTGAAGCCATACACCAAGTCCACCATTTCTACCCTGTACAAAAAGACCTTCAACTTTACGTCCAGAAAGCATGTCCACGGCAGACATCCCCAAGCTTGAGGCGGGAAACCTCTTCAACGTCAATGGACTCGTTGCCGTTGTGACTGGCGCCGGATCAGGTGAGTTTCCTGGTGGCGTCCTTTCGTCCATCTACAGGCATCATTGTCTCCAATTCAACGCTGACCACTCTGCAAAGGCCTCGGGCGAATGATGGCCAGAGCTCTGGCAGTCAATGGAGCCTCCAAGGTGTTTATCATTGGTCGCCGCGAGGCTGCCTTGGAAGAAACCGCCAGCTCTGTGCCCGGAAACACGATCGTGCCGCTGGTGGCGGATGTCACATCCAAAGAGTCACTGCAGAAGTGTGTTGATAAAGTGCGAGCAGAAGTCGACGCGATCGACGTCCTCGTTGCGAACTCGGGCATTTCTGGCCCCTCGGTCCCCACGGTAGACGAAAACCGACAGCCGCTTCCGATCGAGAAGTTGGTCGAAAACATGTGGGCACCCGAACCAGAAGCGGTGAACACAACCTACGGGGTCAATGTGACAGGCGTCCATTTCACCGTTGCTGCGTTTTTACCGTTGCTACATGAGGCGAACAAGAAGCGGCCTCAACCGCCGACTGCGGAGAATTTCCGGCCGCGGCCTCAGATCATCACTACAGGGTCAATCGGTGCATACAACAGGCAACCATTCGGGAACCTGTCGTATCCCGCCAGCAAGGCAGCGGTGGTGCACCTGACTAAACAGCTGGCGACCATGCTTGTCTCGTACGACATCAGGGCTAATATCATCGCGCCTGGACTGTACTATTCAGAGATGACCGAGACGATGTACAAAGCTCAAGGCACGGTGGACACTCACAACGTGGAGGGAACCTTCTCCAAGAACGTCATTCCGGCTACCAGGAGCGGAGATGAGCAAGACATGGCAGGAGTAATTCTGTGGCTGTGCTCCAGAGCGGGTGCATACATCAATGGATGCGTTGTGGTGACTGATGGCGGTCGGCTCTCGGTTCTGCCGTCCTCATACTGAGGCATCGGGGTATACTTCATATTGGTCCTCCCAGCACTGAGTCTCCCGCATCGTCGTCGAAGGTATATAGACAGACCGGTCGGCCTAAGGTCCTCCTAGATAGCGAAGCCTCCAATACCGTACTATGTCTTTGCGTTCAACAGCGAGTCCTTTTTTTCTTTGGAAGTAGAAAGCCAATAGGGGCGTCAAGCAGGAGGAATGTTGCTGTTAACGGAGTATCTTGACTACTTTAAGTGGGCTTCGGCCACGTTGCGATGCCATCTAATGTGATATATTATTGCAGCGTGGCGGCGTGTCCTTATCTAGCTGTAGCATATACCATTTTGCAAGGCTGAGGATCGTTGGGTGGGTATCCGTGACAACCATCATGGTGACATTGATGCCTGACTGCCTTCCTTCTGCCGGGACAGTTTGGCTTCCGTAAAAACGTGCGTGGTGTTTGTTCTGCGCGATCCGAAACGAGATGAGCTGGATGGAGGGAACTGAAAGCCTTCTCGCCCAATTGATGATGAAGCATGAGGTGGAATGGCTGATGCCGCAATGTAGCACGTACCTACTGCAGTGTGGTTGGTGAAGTACCAAGGTACCCAGGTTCCCAGGTTGTTTCGGTTGCCCCTCCACTTCGTGCCCCTGTTAAAAGTGTCCCGGGAGTGACGCGCCACGATGCAGGAACCAGCAGAACCGAATGATGCCACTTGCGCCAGCTGCCAGCTGCCAGCTGGGCACCATCCACCGCCCACCGTGCACAGAATTCAATTGGCTGGGTCTAGGTCTTTTAGGGGCAATGCACCGGGACCCTCTGGAACTCCAAGCCCCAGTCGACGTTTAAGCTCGCAGACGTCGCCTGCGAGGTCGGCGCGACCAGCCAAAAACCCTGCTGCCCATTATTCAACAAATTTACTTGATTTTACGGGGCAGTCAAGTCCGCATGGATATCGTACATCTGCCTTCAAGTTTGTCTCTTCATTGTCTATCTGGGAGCAACACACGGTAAAGGTTCAACTGCCTCTCGTGTCAATTCCTGCAAACTTCAGGCCACGCCTAAAGAAGACTACTTTGCCTGTCTTTTTAGTCCTCGTTCGCGCCTCCACACCAGATCACCGTTCCCTTCAGGACCGTCGAAACTAGATCTCCCCACTTGACCGCTCCTCAAACTGCGTCAGAACTAGCTACCCAGCGTCGCTTCTGTTCACAGATACAAGATCTCTCGCTGAACGAACCTCCGTAACTACCCTACCCGCATCTCAGTCATGGCCTCACGACCTCAGAACATTGGCATCAAAGCCATCGAGATCTACTTCCCGAATCAAGTATGTTGATCTTAGGAAAAGAGGGTTGCATGTGCTCACAAAAGATAGTGCGTTGATCAAGCCGAGTTGGAAAAGTTCGATGGCGTGGCCGCTGGCAAATACACGATCGGTCTCGGCCAGACCAAAATGGCGTTCTGTGATGACCGAGAAGGTGTGTGGCGTCGCGATGAGTATTGTCCCGACCTAGCTCTAACGAAGCATTGACAGACATCTATTCGATCGCCCTTACCACATTGACGAAGCTCATCTCGAAGTACTCCATCGATCTGAAGACGATTGGCCGTATGGAAGTGGGCACCGAAACCATGCTGGACAAGAGCAAAAGTGTGAAATCCGTCTTGATGCAGTTGTTCAAGGAGTCCGGCAACTTCAACGTTGAAGGCGTGGATTCTTACAATGCTTGCTAGTGAGTGTCACCTTAACGAATATACAAAGGAAGCACGGTCTGATAGGAAACAGTGGTGGTACCAACGCAGTTTTCAGCAGCTTGAACTGGATCGAGTCCTCAGCGTGGGATGGACGAGATGCCATCGTACTGGCTGGCGACATTGCTCTTTACAAGAAGGGCAACGCTCGTCCAACTGGCGGTGCCGGCTGTGTGGCCATGCTCATCGGTCCCGACGCGCCGCTCGCTTTCGAAGCCGGGCTGCGAGGATCGTACATTACTCACGCCTATGATTTTTACAAGCCCGACCTGACCAGCGAGTATCCTTATGTCGATGGCCACTTTTCGCTGAGATGCTACACCGAAGCCGTCGATGCGTGTTACAAAGCATATAATGCCCGAGAGAGGACCCTGAAAGCCCAGGCAAACGGTGCGGCAGCCAATGGTCACGCGAACGGAAACGGCGCCCACAGGGAAGATGGGGAGCAAGCTCCTTTGGACAGATTCGACTACATGGCATTCCATGCTCCAACATGCAAGCTTGTTTCCAAATCATACGCCCGCCTGCTGTATAATGATTTCCTCGAGGATCCCGGTCACCCTCTCTTCAAAGACGTCGCACCTGAACTCCGAGATGTTGACTACGAGGCATCTTTGAGCGACAAGAACATTGAAAAGACCTTCATGGCACTGACCAAGAAGCGATTTGCCGAGCGAGTTCATCCGGCTATCCAGGTCGCCACGATGTGCGGAAACATGTACTGCGGTAGTGTCTATGGTGGCCTTGTGGGGTTGTTGAGCAATATCCCTCCGAAAACATTGCACGGCAAGCGGATCGGTGTCTTCAGCTACGGGAGCGGTCTGGCTAGCTCCATGTTCAGCTTGAAGGTGGTTGGCGACACTACGGAAATGCTCGAGAAGCTCAATTTGCAGGAAAGACTTGACGCTCGCCGAGTTGTGCCCCCGGAGGTGTACGATGAAATGTGTATGCTGCGAGAGAAGGCTCATCTCAAGAAGGACTTCAAACCAGTGGGCGACGTGGAGCACTTGCTGCCGGGGACATACTACCTGACCGAGGTTGACGACATGTTCCGCAGGAAGTATGAGATCAAGGCATGATTGAATCATGAATCATCAGCACTGCTTGACTTAGCCCGTCTTGCAGCAGCTCTTGTGTTTCAGAGGCTGGCGTTGATAATGGATTGGTGGGTGAGCTAGACGGTTTTTCCATCGAGGGACTCATCCATGACAATGCTTATCCATTGGATGATGGTCGCACGAGCTTGTACATATCGACCCCAATGCTCGTGGTGTTGCTAGACAAGATTTTCCTTTGGGGTATTAAGAGGCAATGCTTGATCAGCACAATTAGAGAGCGAATTGCAGACTCTTGCTTAGGGTCGTTGGCATGATTCGGAAACCTGATGTTCCTCCACCTTTCTGATCGACACGTACGCATGCGCCTCCTGCGAGCTACAATGTCGGTCAGGCTGAGGTTGGGCCAGTGAGTGACCGGTTTCGGGCTCGTGAGCAGCAAGATGAAACATAGCTTGCATTCCGGTGATGTCAAGACCAGTGAGCATACGACAGCAGGCAACGGTGATGATGCAGGAAGACAATCTAGAGCTGCACCGCAGACACAGTGCATCCAAGCGAAGCTGTTGGGCGATATAGTCGTGTCTATTTCGTGGGCAAGTCGTGAGCAGTTGCTGACCTTGAGTCACGGGAGTGCGCGCGATTCTGGCGCGCGATTCTGGCGCGCGAAGAGGTTGTCGCGAGCGGGCTGGACTCACGTGGTGGTGTTCATTAGGAAAGTTTGCCGAATAATTGACTCGGTAGACCTGCCGGTAACAGCGGCCTCTGTCTTTCGTGTACAGAGTTCATTCAGCTGAGTCGGCTGTTCGAGGAAAATCGGCTTTGTCTGACCGTAGCTTGGCAAAATGTGTAGTTGCCAGCAGAAATTCTTCTCCCAAAGCGAAAGTAAGTTTCAGTCTGACAAAAGTAATTTCCACACTGAGAAGTCGTCGCGGTGTTTCAAGCAATCGCCAGCGAGCCATCCACGGCAAGAAGGTTTGGTGGTTCAGTAAAGATGGCCGGCCGGTCACATGGTCTGCGTCGACTGCGCCACCTTTGTCGTCTCCTGCTCTATTCCCTCTTTCATCTGTCTCTCCACCTGTTTCTTGCACAACTGTTCTTCTGTAACATGAGCCTTCCACAACGGCGCCTACTGTGGCCACCAATGGCAATACACACATTGCGAGGACATCGAAACAATGTCTTCAGTGAAACATCTTCCGAGTGGTTCAGCGCCTATCTCGGATCCTGGACTCCCCAGCCTCATCGGTCTGGTGTCAGTTCTCATCTGATGCGCCGCGCTTCGCGTCCTTGTCCACCACGCTTCAATCTCAGATTGCCGTCAAACAACCGCTACCGCCGACCAGAGCCTTGTCTTGAAATAGGGACCAAGCGCCGACGCAGATTGCTTCGTAAGACATCATGAACTTTTCCAGGCAGGGTTACACTGCCTCCGGCCATTTTGAGCTTGTCGTGGTCCTGAGCCGAGCAGCTCTGCGCCGTCATTCCACCGAAAATAGCTGTGTTCGTTTCCAACTGTCTGGCGCGCGTCTTCCACCGCGCTCCGCGCTCCGCGGTCAGGTCCGCTGCGAACTCGCGAGCAACCCGCGACAGGTTTCTCGAACAAGACCGCCATCGTGTTTGTTTCCTTGCCTTCCCGTCTTCTACTCCATGTTTCAGATGCACGATGACCTGCAGGACGTTGTTGGGCTGCACTTCTTGCTGCCCGCTTCGGGTCGCATACACCACAACCCATTTATACCTGATGCCTCCCTCCCTGGAGCCCTCTGAGCCTTTCGTTCTTTCAAGTTGCAAGTCTTAATACCCGGTCTTCTGTCGATTGGTGGATCGATTTCCTTGCTCTTGTGTTTTCCTCTGTTCGTTGCATTGCAAATCTCCTCTCCGAGAAGCTGGCTTCTCACCTCCCACAAGACCTGCGACCTGTTCCCCAACATTGCAACATGTGAGTGCTGTTTGACATTGCTGTCCAATCTAGTCCAATGGTCGTGACTAATGGTCTCTAGAATGTCCCTGGCGCCTTACTATTATAGACCTCTTACGCCTCCAGAGGCTACCAGTGCTGCTGGCCAGCAGAGTCACTCTCGGAATGTGTCGAACTCGTCCTATTGCACAGTTGACACTTCGCCCGAGTCCGTAATAACAGCTAATACGACTCCGAGCCGTTCACCACTTCTACGTCAACATGGTCCAACCTTGCTCCCAAAGATCAGAACCCAGGATTCCTCCTTGGAGCCCCGAGTGGTTGCTCGTCCTTCCGCTCATCGACGAGCATTGTCAAGTACGAACATCAACAAGAATGTTCGACCCGGCATGTACAGGAGCGCGACTGAACCTGCGGACTGCATCCCGATGATCTCGCCCGTCTCGAACGCTCCAAACTCGCGGTCGAATTCACTCATTCCCTCACCAGCCATCTCCAAAGCAAAACTCAGCGTGCCTATTAGGACACATTCGCGCTCGTCGTCTGCTTCCAGCATCAACGGCAGTGTCCTGACACGCTTTGGCTACCCAACCTACCGTCAATTGCCCATTTACATGTCTCATGACCAGCAGAGTAGACCGTCCCCAGACTTGTTTGCGACTACATTCATGCCCTACACGGAAATACCTATGCCCGAACCACCTCTCATCACTCTCGAGGGCACCTTCGACTTGCCTATTGACCTTGAGGCTATTTCACGGCCTTGCTCAATGAGTCCTCCACCGGTGCTCGCCCCAGTCTCCTCTACCAGCCTACTTAGCTACTTGACACAGTCAACACAGCCAATGAACTTGGTCCGACATCTTACATATCAAACAGGTCGTGGTCTCACAAACCATTTTTGGTGGGATGTCCGTAATCTCAGGCCTTGGAAGTCATTCTCGTTGCAGACGATGTCGACAATACCGGACCTGTTCAATCTTCTAAATTTCCAACACGATACATCATGCCTTCCCATCACCAACACGAACGCCGCCACCGTCACACCCTCATCGGAGGCCGACCTCGCCGGTCTGATCTCGAAAATATTCTTCCCAAAAGTCAATGCTGCCACGAGGCTGTCGCTTGGTCACAATGCCATCTCGCTATACCCCGTTCCAGCTCCAACCAGTACAGGCGTGAGCTCCAACGCAGCCAATATACCCACTTTCCTTGCCAACTATCCCAGCGACAACGACCGCACCCTTTCAGGGCTCCCTCGTGGCCGTATCGTCGGTCTTGTACGGTCGTTCGACCGCTGGAACACAGGTATGCGCCGTGAAGGCCCAGCCCGCAAAGTGGAGTACCTCCGGACGCTGGCGCACCTGCAAAAATGCATGCGTGACCACAGCTGTCGGTATGGTTTCATTATCACGGAGATTGAGCTCGTCTGCGTCCGTGCTGGATGTGACGAGCGCGGGCAGCCTTACTTTGGATTTCTCGAGGTGGCAGAGGCGGTGGAGACCAAGACCTCGCTAAACAACCCTGATGCTTTCATGGACAGTGGTGCTGGGCACGTCAACATGACGGTCAATCTGGCGCTGTATTACCTTCTCATGCTCGCCAAAGCGACGCCACTGCCGGGACAGCCAGCCAGTTTCATGGATGTGGGAGGGCCAGGAGCAATGACTCGGCAGAGAGTGTGGGACGGAGGCAATGGTGAGAGTATAGTCACGATTGACGACGACGGCGATATCGAGGAACTGGGCAAGGATGGCAAAGACAAATGGATCCCCGAACCGCAGATGGGCGAGAAGAGGGAGGCACGAACTGTGAGAGGCTGGGTCTGGCCCAGTGATCCCTGGCACAAGAGGGAAGGCGAGCGTGGCGAGCGTGGGAGTGGTGCGAGAGGTGGTAGAAGGGGATGAATCTGTCGAAGTTGTTATGTATAGTGGAGGGGATCAGTATCAATGTATACAATATGCATAGCGGTGCCATCCAGGTGATGAGCTCGACTACTATGTTGGAAATGGGAAGATCTGGAAGAGGAGGGAATATGTTCTAGTAGTACTAGATGGAGATGGCCTGCAAGGACCGGACTCCTAGGTCCTCACACAGTTTTTAGCATTGCTCCTTTCGGGATTCTACCAGTAGACCGCAGGCTTGTATCCTGAGTTGAAGAACAAAGTCAGCTGAATATCCCGGTGAGACTTCGACGAGATGCAGCTGGAGGAAAGGCATGGTTGAATTGATTTGCAGCTTCTCAGACTGTTGAGACTTGACATAATTTTTATACTCAGCGACGGCAGCGTTGACATCGCCAGTCCGCCTCGTCAGTTATCGTTTGAGCATATAGACGAACATCATCGGAGCTTGGGCAAATGTGATGGCGGAGGAGAGTTGAACAGAAGCCGGTTGCTTACCACTCTAAAGAACCTGGGCGATGGCGATTGTTTGACTAAAGGGTGAGTGAGGGCATCATTCTCCCAAACTGACAATCAAGATATGTCTAGGTGATACCCCTGGTGGGTGAGTGGTAAAGGAAGGAGAATTAGAAACAGACAGACACAACGAACTGAGAGGTTGAAATGGAGAAAGATGAAGAAAGGGAAGAAGGGCAGGGAGTCCTTCCACAGTTCAAGTTCAAGCTGGTGGCTGCTTTTGTGCTTTTGTAGCCCCTTGGCAACAACAATGCACGTGACATGGTTTGATGCGATTGCTACCTGACGCCAGAGCCAAACACTTTGACCTGCGGGCTAGTAGAGTTGGTTGACTTCCTGCCCAAAACAAGCCTCTCATTCAGACCCCGTTCTTTTTGTTTCCACGGCACAGTCCTACACTTGCTCATAAATCCCACTAGCCCCTGAGGTCACCGAGACAATCTCCAGATCAACAGAGTGGAAAAACACCAACGACTGCTGCAAGATGGCGGGTGAGTAAACTGGTTCTCTGGCCGTTCCTCAGGCACACGCAGATGGTGTCCCAGGCGCAAGAGGTATTTGAGGAAGATGGCTGACAAGAGTTCGCATCTAGACTTCCAGACCATCGCTCGTATGTTCCCTCTACACATGACCATCACCCACGGCCCTCGATTGTGGGCGCGGGTCGCTGGATTATATGTCTGACGATGTTCCAGAACAATTCGTTGAATTCTACTACAAGACCTTCGATGGCGATCGCGCACAGCTGGCTGCTCTCTACGTACGGACTTTCCAAGGAAAATAGGCGGCTGAATACATCGCTGATAGGACATCTGGATGCAGAGAAATAACTCCATGCTCACATTCGAGAAAGACCCGTTCCAAGGCACTCAGAGTATCCTGGAGAAGTTGACGGTAGGTGGACCACGACTGAGGAAAGACCAAACAAGGGCTGACCAGTTTCGCTCAGAATTTGCCATTTGCAAAGGTCCAACATCGGGTCGATACCACGGACGCACAACCGTCGAATGAGACTGGAGGGATCTTGGTCATGGTCACCGGCGCCTTGATGGTAGGTCGTCATCCACAATACTCAGAGTTGTTGGCTGCGGTGGACTACGACAATATGTGACGAACGAGCGCGCTGACGAGGAACTTTGAATGTTGACAGGTCGACGATCAGCCACAACCCATGAGTTACGTCCAAGTCTTCAACCTGCTACCTGACGCTGGAAGTTACTACGTGCAGAACGACGTTTTCCGATGTAAGTGGGATGCGTTTGTGTGTTTGTTGCATCAGGGCTAACATGATGGACAGTGGTGTATGCCGCAGGTTGATGAAATTAATGCCACAGAACCCAGAGCGGTAGGGGGTCTGGTCGGGCTAGTATGGCACGATCTCGGTCTGTGCATCAAACGTGAACGAGCATCGCAGAAGGCGCGGACTTTGGGATGGTGAGTGGTGCTACCGTTGCAGGAGCAAAGGAAGGACAGCCTGGCGCGAGACCAACGTTTCAATGATAGAGTGAGAGCCAGTCAATATACTCGAGTCCATTCCAGTCCAGTTCAGTCAACGTCGTCATGTAAGATTGTCATTCTGGAGGGTACCGTGACCAAGGGCATATATCCAAGGAACAGCACGAAACATTACCGTCAGAGGTGTTTGCCAGTGGTGAACAATATTCAACTGCAGAGATGTCCAGTGTAGGAAGACGGTGATCCATGACTGGAATGTGAACAGGATGGCCAAGGCTGAAGTGAAGACGTAGACTGCTCTGGAGTGTTGTATACTTGGCCGTGTGCCCGAGCGGTAGTTCTCTTACATAATCCCCACCAAAGCAGCACCTTGAAATGGTCGGATTCGGAGTTCCAACACAACGCGTGGCACGAAGGTGGCAGGTCGTGGCGCCACGCAGAATAATGATGGCTGTTTATTAGCTGAACACCCTGGGTACACAATACTACTAGGCAGGCAAAGAACAAACAGGCTGCTGCTTTTCATCAAGTGGGCTTTCCTGTAGAAATAAATACCTTAACCTCCCACTGATGAGATGAGAACTATAGTGTACAATGTATAGCTAGACGTGTATCATTGGCACAACTCAAGACAAGTGGCTTGATCTGGCTTGTATTACTGCTGTGGTGCTACTGCTCTATAGAGTACACTCTATAGCACGTACCTTAGCTGCACGCCAAATCGCAAGAGACCCCAGACGCAGCGACGCAACGCATCCCTGTTCGTGGTTTGGTTGTCGCACCTGCCACTAACTCACCACCAACTCGTCTCCATTCAACTGTCATCAGCAACAACTTTTGATTGAGACCTCCGCCCCCTTAACAATACCCTCTCAATTCAAATCAAGTTGCTTGCCAGTGTTTGCCCTGCGCATCATCCTCCCACGACATTCTTCTAGCCAGTGAATATTCCACAGACCGACGACATACTTTCGGCCGCATTGACCATACCCTGTCGCGAACCCTGTCTGCTCACAAGCTCACAAGCTACAACGCGACTGCAATTTTGAAAAGAGGAAGAACAAGGAATTCAAGATGACGCTGGCTGAAGAATTCAGGTCGCGCAACTTCAGTGAGTGGTTTTCCGTGCCCGGTGGTCCATGGTTGCTACCCGATCTAGACTAACAAACGGCGCAGGTATCTACGGACAATGGTAAGCAACACCTCAACTTCTCCTCTGCCTGTCGCGACAAGGTTGTCCTCAGAAGCCCTATGCCCACTACTCTAACCTCCTGCCCACCGGAACCTGGCTGCAACGACGGATGGTCTGGAAGGAGAGGGGTTCAACATTGAAACGGAGACTGACCAGACATTACAGGCTGGGGGTACTATGCATCATCCTGGGGTTCGCCTTGGGCATTGCCAATATCTTCCACTTCAACCTCCTGATCATATTCAGCGTCATCCTCCTGTAAGTCTCGTCGCCCGACTGGTGGCCTTCCGCGGAACATGCTGACATGGTCGATTTCAACACAGTTGCTCATCGCTTATTCTGATCTTCATCGAAATCCCTCTCCTCTTGCGCATCTGCCCGACCTCGGCCAAGTTCGATGCCTTCATCCGTCGGTTCACCACAAACTACATGAGAGCAGCCATCTATGGGACCATGTCGCTCGTCCAATGGCTCAGTCTCATCGTGGACAGCAGTAGCTTGATCGCGGCAGCTGTCTTCCTCCTACTGGCGGGCCTTTGCTATGCCATGGCAGGATTGAAACAGCAGGATTTCGTTGGAAGCAAGACTCTTGGAGGACAGGGTGTGGCGCAGATGATCGTCTAAGCTGCCGCACCTTGGCCTTGCCTCGACTTCTCCGTTCTCTTTCCTTTTCTTACGACGTGCCGGGGAAAAAGGCGACTTACGATGTACTCTTAGCGGTGTCCTCTGGACACATGGGATCATTGCGCGGAGCTATCCATCACGGCGTTGGGATACGGTCGGCCACACATTTTATTGCCTATTTGCTGCGGTAAATGGTATGCAACGTTGCAAGCGGAGAGTTTGCAACGACGATTCTCGATTCTCGGCATTAAGCTGGATAATTACTTGGAGTTGCGAGCAGCGCCGCCTTGACGGTAGACTGCATTCAATCGATCCAGTATTTCAAGACTTGGGACCAGAGATTAGAAGACTCTTGGGACAACGAACGCACCGCAGCATAGTAAGCTGCGTTGATGGGTGTGGACAGGTTGTTGTAGCTTTCTACGACGATGAGGCCTCAATTAGGGTAGGTCGAATGCCGTCCGTGCTCTGCCATTACTTATCACTCCCAGTGGATGCTTGCCTGCCTTTTCACGATATTCAAGTTTCGACATCTGAGCTCGATCCCGCAGACTGACCACTTCTGAACGTTCTCGATGTCCCTACTGCTCGTGAACAACTCCTCCAGATTGTTACCGATGACGGCGGAGCATGGGCAGCGGCGAGTCTTCTCACGCCCAGACAGCCTGGCGCGAGCGCAAGTGAGAGTGTCCAAGAACAAAAGAAATACTAGTAGTGGTCGAGAAGGCTGAGGCGCCTTGTTTCACTCTTGCTGCTAAACCACATGGAGGACAAGTTCCTTGCAAGCGACAAGGATCGATGGAGGCGAGTGAGAGAGGCTGAGTGACTTGGGATCATGATCCCGGTCAATCCATCTTCATCTCAGGCCCCCCTGCGCCTTAATTTGGCCCTGTCCTTCTAACGAAGGGGTACTATATGCGGCTGAGACGACTAATGTCAATCCAAGCATGTTGAGCTGACCTTCTGGTCCTGTTCGTAACCTAATGCTAACAACAGACATCTGCCTCGAACGCTGAAGCAAGCCGATTTCACTCATTCCAACAGACACCCAGCGATGATGATGTTCAGAAGTGAGGCGATGAGGACATGAAACAGTCTATTTAATCAAGCGAACCATGTCGCCGAACGCCACTCTTCGCTCAAGCCATGGACAACAAGCAACCGTCTGTCTTCCTCGATGTGCCAGTGACCGAAGCCGAACGTGCCCAGGCGAAGCGTCATCGACGTGAACGTGACTGTGAACATGACAGCTCGGCGGCACTATTGCCAGAGCCACTAGACCCTCCTCCTCGAGATGGAGAGCGACACCCGACGTCTGAAGATCAACCGACCCCTCTTCGATTTCCCTCGATACGGGCTGCTCCAGTGATCCTACATCTACCCCCGAGTATTTCGCAGAGGATTGAAGGCCGGCAGTATGCCCCAATAACGTCCATCAATGAAGAAGACGAACCCGACGCCATCCATCTCCGTGAACTCTCGGAGCGCCAGACGACAGACTCTGGATATCTGCTTCCTCCATCAGGAGCGATCCCTGAAATATGGACCCCGATCTGGCTCACGCAGGGTGTATTAGGTCTGTTTGCTCTCGTCTTCGCTGGCTTTCTCATCGGCCTAGTCCTTCTCTGGCATTATGATGAGCGCAACAGTGGATTTAAAGTGGCCGAGGGGACGAGCCATCTCGCGTGGTCGTACGCCCCTACCGTCATCATCGTCTTCGTTGTGGCTGCTTGGAGGATGGTCGACCACCATTCGAAACTGGCCATGCCGTTCGACAGCCTTCAGAATGGTCCGGTCAAACCCTCAGAGAGTCTTCTGGTCGATTATATCTCCAAGTTCCAACTTGTGTCACTATTTGAAGCGTTCAGAAACAGTCATTTCGCCGTCCTCAGCACGGTTACCGGGTTCATCTTGTTAAAAGTTGCCACTGTTTTTGCGACCGGTTTGCTGGTCCTCCTTCCCTCTCCTGTCACCCTAGCAGGCACCGCTGTCCTCGCTAGAGGCTTTATTGCCGACTCTTCTATCCCATCCAGTGCTTTTGATGCTTCGGCGATGTCAGCTTCACCAGTGTATGCATATTACGGCACTAAAGCTCAAGGGATGTCTCTGGAAAATGGTGTTAGGTTCAACCTGGCTTATGCCGTGATGACAGTCAATTCTTCTTCTCCGCTCAACGACAGCGCCATCATATCTGGCGAGGTGGATGCCTTTGTACCCTTAATGTCCTGTCAAACTTTGGACGTCAGGCTCGACACCCCAGCCATCGTGAATGATACCAATGCGGATGATACGTTCGCCACTTCAAGCAACATTTCTCTAACCATACCAGCGGGCAAGGTTTGTGACCAGGATACATCTCTCAGCGTTGCGGCTGGCAATCCATATACTGAGATACTTCCGGGTCGACAGGTCAACGGCACCGTTCAAGTGGTTCATTGTGGCTCCACGACTTCCGGTGAACAAGATTTAAAAGAACCTTCGGGACTTCTGTTCACCATAACCGATATGAGATACCAGCAAACTCTGTTCGACAATGCCACAGATTTAGCAGGGGGGCCCTTCACTATTGCAAGTAATGTCTCAAGGACGTTGGCCAATATGACGAACGTTTTCTGCAAAGCCTCGTATACCGTGACAAGAGTCGAGGTTACAAACGACACCCACTTGGCCTCCCACGACGAAGCTATATCAGTGACGCTGAAGGAAGATGCTGTCAACAGCACATTGCCACAAATCTCAGCATGGAATGCCACCACTGTCTTTCTGCAATCGTCTGCATATGCCGAGGCGATGTTTGGCGATGCCGTCAATGATGATGCCAGATCGGACTCGGAGGCAATGTTCACCCTCATGGCTGTGACGCATGGCTCTCGGAGCATTGAGTCGTTGATGGACGCGGACAAGTTAGGCTCAGCCGCTCAAGATACCTATAAGGGTATATTATCGCAATATGCACACCAAACACTGAGATCCGCGAGAAACAGCGCTGTGGAAGGGGGAAATGTGGCTGTTGAAGAACAAAGATTGCGTGTCAACGACGTGTCCTTGTGGGTCATGGCTTCGATGTTTGGTCTCCTCGTCCTCTTCTGCATTGCGTTGATGTTCATCGCTCCAAGGGCTGTTGTGCCGCGAGATCCAAGTTCTATTGCAACAATCGCGACGATTCTTACAAGAAGCGCGGAACTCAATAGACTCTTTCAAAGACAGGGTATCCCGAGTCAGGCAAATCAGAAATCGGCCCTGGCGGGTTACGAGTTCGGCACGGCTATTGCGACCACGGATTCCGGGGAGACCAGTTTCAAAATTGTCACTTCTGAAGGAGAACCTGAGATCCCGAAGACGAAGCCTAATGCAGACTTGAAATGGTGGCTGCCCGTCACAGCCAGATTCCCGGTCATTGTCCTTACTCTGGGCCTGCCATTGGTGATTATAGTGCTGCTGGAACTCATTCAACGATCCTCCGACAGACATAATGGCTTCTACACCGTCGTTGACAACAACTGGACCGAGGTCTACAGCCACTACATTCCGGGCATCGTCATGTTGATCGTGGCGACGATGGTCAATACGCTTGATTTCAATGTGGCTCTGTTTGGACCATGGACGAACCTTGCCAATAGCAACACGATAAGCCGGAAATCAGTCCTCAATCACGTCTTGGGAAGGTCACCTCCATTTGCATTCCTGCAAGCCCTCAGGACACGCTATCTAGGCGCTCTCCTGAGCATCACAGCTGCAACATTGGCCAGTGTCCTCACCGTGCTCGTTTCGGGACTTTACTACGTGCAACAATTCACCATCAATGGACCTGGCGTGTCTCTCACACAGCTCGACACGTTCGATCTCAAATGGCCGAATAGCTTGACCACAGATAATGGAGCAGCGGCTATGGTAGATTTGATGATGCATCACAACTTCAACTATCCCGAGTTCACTTACGATGGACTGGTTTTTCCGAAGCTTTCTCCGGACAACTCTGCGCTCCCCACGAACTCGCTCACAACAATCAATGGCTCTCGGACTCAAGTATTGCCTGCTGTGCGTGGTAATCTGAAATGCGAAGTGCTGCCGCACACATCTTTCAACGTGACTACAGAAAAGGCAGGGTCCGATTCGGCATATGCGACTGACCAAGCTTTCGTGGCAGCCAATGCAACACTACCCGACTCATGTCTCTTGGGCGGGTACCAGAGAAACGCTTCATTCGTGATCTATGAACACAATTTCGAGCTCCTTGAAGGCGGTCAGGCGACCTATGCTGGGTCACAGCTAGATTTGCTGTTTGTAGAAAATGCGGCGCTGTACGGCAACTATGGTGAAACTCGGGGCGAGTATATCAGCGACAATCCGGCTATAGGATGTCCGAGTCTTGCATTCACGTTCGGTCAGTTTCAATTAGACAGCACGGACAAGGGCCAAGTTACCTCGATGATCTGTTACCAGGAGATCCAGGGGTTGGATGCGAATGTCACATTCAAGCCGAACAGCACCACAATCGATCCGAACCATCCACCCATCGTACATGATGGCAGTATCTTCGTCCACGACAACCCGGCGAGCACGGATGGTGCGCATTCGTTCGATTTCCGTATCCAGAACAATCTGGCTCAAGAAGTGACTCTCTTCAATGGCGACGCCACGGTAGCCTCCAACCCGTCAAGCGCCCAAACTCTCGACATCTATTTCCAAGCCGTCCTCAACGGCGCATACAAGCATGACCCGGCATCCTTGACAGGACAGAACCACAGCGACGTTCTCGTCGACGCAATCAACAGGTTCTATCGCATCTACATGGCCCAAGTCATCTCGATCAACATGCGTACGTCCCTGGAGAATGATAACAGCAACATCTCTTCTTCCTATCTACTGCAGCGACGGCAGGACTCTTCGACAACCAACACAATCGCGACAACGATCACCACCCCACGTCTCGTACAGGACAAAAACAGCAAGATCGCACTACAGATCCTTCTCGGCGCGATAACCGTCCTTGCGGCGCTAGCCTGGCTCACCACGAAAATGCGACACGTTCTCCCCTGCAATCCATGCTCTCTCGCCGGAACAATGTCCCTCCTGGCCGGCAGCGACCTATGCCATAGCCTGGACGACGGAATCTGCGAATGCTGCGGCAAACCACGGCGCCGATCGTTCGGATACAGCGACAACCCTGATCACTCTCTCCCTGAGAGCATCCACGCGGCGCCTGACGAAAGCGGTAACTTCGACGCCGGCCACGTTCATGGATTCAACAGCTCCGATGACTATCACGGGCCTGGTGACACCAACCAGCACCAGCAGCGCCATAAGCGCGCACAATTCATCCCCGATGGCGCCGAATGGTTGTCTGCAGCCCAATTCGCCGCCATCTTCGGCGGCCAGCGCTATAGTATGGGCTGGTGGCGCGAGCGTAGAGCAGCAGGCAAGAGACGCCGCTTCGGCGTCGACCTGGGCGACAGGGCCGACGGGGGTGATGATCAGGACTGGGAGTTGGGCGACCGTCGGCCGCAGGGAAATGCTGGATTCGACGATTTCATGGTCGTTCCTGGCGGCGGCGGCGGCGGCCGTGGTGGTGGTGCGCGCGGGCGTGGCGATCGCGATGGCAGGGGGGAGTATTCGCGTTTCAGTCGGTTCAGGAACAACAACATCAGCAGAAGCAGGAGTAGGACTAGGAGTAGGAGTGGGGATAGGAGTGGAGCTGCTAGTCCTGAACTGTCGACTATGCGGGCTGCATTTTCCAGGGACAGAGGACCAGATGCCGATATCGATCTCGATACGGCTACCGACACAGGAAGAGGTCGGGGTCGAGGTCGGTCGAGGTCCGGCGAGGCCCTTGATTGGAATAAGCGGAGGCGGCGATCCAGGCCGATCGACGTTAGCAAGAAGGCAGAATCCGCTGATGGGTGGTGAAGCGTAGGCGTTTGGAGGTCTGGAGATATAGGACTGGGAACTGCATCGGGGTTGCTTTTGGATATCATACTCCAGTAACCGGGTAAGGTGTTGGACGGCGTAGAGGGACGTCTCTTGAACCCTTTTATATCTTTCCGCTCTATGCCCTAGTATTTGGAATGTATCTGCTTGAGGTATGGACTATGCGCTACAGGTATCAGCCGCTAGGTCGAGTGACGAATATTTATTTACTTTTCGGACAGCATAGGTAGTTTGAAAGCAGGTCGGGGTTCATTCATCAGGCTGTAGTGGTGCCCTCGGAATAGAAATGGACAGGTAGAATTGAGGAACTTGACCTAACAACGAACGCTGCGCTATTTTGTAGGACTCGATTGAAACACATCTCTTCATCTCACGTCATGACTTCATCCCATTCCATCTCCTCATCCCTTCTGCTTCTTATTCTCCTGTCTTTCACAGTCGACTCAGGTTCAAAGCCTTCCATCCTCCAAGCCTGGGTGCAACCGTCGTCAATCAATCGATCAATATGTAGCAGCAAGTCTCATGACCAGATAATCGCCGCTATTGATGGGCTCATATTTCTTGCCGGTCTCCTCCCACGTGCCCGGAAGGGCCTCGATCAGCCTGTCGAAATTGGGATTGCAGAAATACGCAATACTGTAGCGGGCCGGGATCAAAGCGTCCGGATCGGCATCGGCGGCGGCATCCTTGGGCGGCGGCGGCTGGATGACGCGATGATTCGTCGATTTGATCATGTCGTTGCTCCAACGGGCGAGCAGATCGCCGGCGTTGACGACGATGGTGCCCTCGATGGGCGTGGCACGCACCCAGGTGCCGCGCGGCGACTTGACCTCCAGGCCGCCCACCTGGTCCTGGAACAGCAGGGTGATGGAGCCGTAGTCGGAATGCTCGCCGGCGCGCACCTGCGACGGGTTGTCGCGCCACACGGACCGCTTTACGGGCGGATAGTGCAGCAGCCGCAGGTTGTTGTCGCCGGCGTCGGTGTAGCTGTCGAAGAAGCGTTCGTGGTCGAGCCCCATCATGCCGATGGCGATGGCGCGCATCACCTGCATGTGCAGGTCCTTCAGCGTCAGGAAGAAGCGCTTCATGTCCTCGGTGAACTTTTGCCCCTCGGCGTCCAGATGCGCGGGCCACTGGTTCGGCAAGCCGGGCACGCCTTCGCGCCCGATCTCCATCGATTCCTTGAGGTCCGGGTTCGACGCCCGCAGCTTGGCAATCTCCTCCGGGTTGCTGGACTGCGTGACTTTCTCGCGGCCCCAGGTCACGTAGCCTCGATTCGCGTCCGGCGTGGTCCAGCCTAGCGCGTCCTTCTGCGCTTGTGGCCGGGCGAAGAACTGCGCCGATTCCGCAAAGGCGAGCGACACTTGGTCCTTGGGCACCCCGTGGTTCTGGAGATACAGGAACCCGGATGTTTTGAACGCGTGCAGGATCTGGTCGGCGGTCGCTTTTTTCGTGGCCGGGTCGCCGTGCAAGAAGGCGCCGAAGTCGATCAACTGTGCGAATCGCAAGAATCGTGTCGTGTCAGATCAACCGGTCGGACGGTAGACATGGTGAGAGAAAGTAGTGGAAAAGGAGAAGGGGACATTCCTGGTACGTGACTGTTCTGGGAGTGGGAGTGACAGGGTAACTCAGACTTACCGGCATAACCAAGTCATCTTGCTCGACGCCCTTTTGCACCTCGTTCTCTGGCATCGATCCCATAATGCCCGTCTGTACTATTGCTGAGGAGGCTGAAGTGGGTCTCAGGGGAAGGATGATCTGAGTTGGGATGAGATGTTCGAAGATGACTTCGTTCGACTGTCAAGTAAGTACCTGGTACTCCGAGCGTGGTGTCAAGTGGACCACGACCGGTCAGTGACCAAAGACTGCCGAACTCCTAGCGGGCGAATCAAATATGAGGTGGAATGAGAGCTGTGCGCCGTGCTGAATCTGATCTCGGTCTATCTCGATCTCGTGATGTCCCGCTCTTCCTCTCTTTCTCTGTCTTTCTCTGCGGTCCTGACAATATCGTGCGCAGCGTGAGAAGAAGTTTTGTGGAATCGTCAAAGGCGTGTCGATGTCGAAGGTATCGAGGAGGAGGAGGAGAAGGATAAAGGGGAGGTTAAATGCCCACCAGGCCGCCACCAGCCGAGAAAGACCCTCATCGCTCCCCGTCGAGATAACATCAGCCGAATCTGGGGACATGAATACGACGAAGATCTGTGATTGGATCAGAGAGGCGATAACTGCGCTGCGTTGCCTGATAAAGAAGCGGAGGATGCCGCTTGATACTTGATAGTATTTGACGGCTTGTTGTCTATCTAGTACCGCAGGCTACTACAGAATATACAGAGTAGTATATGACCACGGGCAACAACCTTAGCCACCCATATTCCTGCCCCCGATTGGACTTCAACAGACAAGACACAAGTCCCAGACAGTAACTGAATTGAGGGATGCAGGATCAGACCACGATCTAGAATCATCAACCTCTCACGCATCTATTAGGACTTCGCCGCTGCTGCCCTTGACTTTCCTGAGGTACTAGTATCTCGACCAAGAAAGACCAAAAATACAACCACACCACCACCAGCCATGTCTCCAGGTTACCCCATCGTCGACATACATACGCACATGTACCCGCCGTCGTACATCAAGCTTCTGGCCTCGCGTACCACGGTCCCCTACATCCACCAGCCGACCGAATCCCCCGGCGCGGACCCCAGATTGATCATCCTCGCGTCCGACGACGACCCCGGCCGGCCCAAGTCGGCGCGCGGCCGCCCCGTCGACAGCACGTACAGCTCGTTTGACGAGAAGCGGCGGTTCATGAGCGCCCACGGCATCACCTGCAGCGTCATCAGCCTGGCGAACCCGTGGCTGGACTTCCTCGATCCGGAGTCGGCGCTGGCCACGGCCCAGGAAATCAACGACGACCTTGATAAGGCGTGTGGCGAGAATAACGCTCAAGCATCATCATCATCATCAAGCGATTCTAAATTGAAGCTCTACGCTTTCGGCTGCTTGCCTCTGTCGGCGCCTTTGAAGGATATCGTCACTGAGATCCACCGCCTCAAGACCCTGCCTCAGGTCAAAGGCGTCATCATGGGCACGACGGGCCTGGGAAGCGGTCTGGATGACCCGAAACTCGAGGAGGTCTATTCTGCGCTGGCTGCCACCCACACGCTCGTCTTCGTGCATCCGCACTATGGTCTTCCCGACTCGGCTTTTGGTGGGCCCGAGACCATTGCGAAGTCCGGACATGTGCTGCCGCTTGCCTTGGGCTTCCCCTTGGAAACCACCATCGCTATGGCGAGAATGTATCTCGCCGGAGTGTTTGACCGACACCCCGACCTTCAGTTTCTCTTGGCCCATTCGGGCGGGACTCTACCTTTTTTGGCCGGCCGGATAGAGTCCTGCGTGGCGCATGAGCGGGAATTTATCGCCAACGGTGGTCACAGGCAAGGTCCGAAACGGTCGATATGGGACGTCCTTCATACCAATATCTACCTCGACGCTGTCATCTACGGCCAACCCGGGCTGAAGGCCGCCATCGAAGCGGCGGGCAGTGTGGACCGCGTCATGTTTGGAACAGATCACCCTTTCTTCCCTCCGCTAGGCGATGACCAGGATAGTAAGTGGCTGAGCGTGGAAAGCAACAAAACCGCCATCGATGGATGCTTAGCACAAGATGAAGATGCTAAGCGGAAAATATTGGGCGGGAATGCCGTGAGGGTGCTTGGCTTGGAGCTCTGATGAGCCTTGGAACATCTTCAATGCTCGGGTCGAGATTCGGAAACGCAACATATAAAAGCACCTCGATGCTGGTAACAATCTTATACCTCACAGGACATGCATCAAAAGTATCCCGCCAGCAAGAGAGTTTCTACAAGTCTGGCTTTAAAATGATTAAATCCCTCGACGCCCAGACAATATATCCCACCCCAAATGTTCCCAAAGTTGTGCAACAAACCATTCCGCTCCATCCTCTTCCGCGTTCATTTCTTCCATCATGTTGAGGAAATCGTCTTCAGCGTCGTCTGCATCTTCATCACGCCTCAGAGCATTGTAAAATGTATCGTCTTCATCTCCATACACTCCGCGAAGTAGAGTAGTCTGGAGTGTCTGCTCGATCGAGTGTCGAAGCCCGTCACTCTGGGTGACATCTGGCTTCTGCACCGAAAAGAGTAGACGGGAATTTGCCGACATATGATTGGTGTTTTGATAAACGAAATCCACGAATTTGCGTAAGATCAAGATGAGGTACGGGCCTTCAATCGTCGCGCTGCCCGTTGCTGCTTCCAAATCCAAATGGGCAACGTCCAACAAGCCTCGAGGTGGAAGAATCCCGCCAGAGTCTTTGGGATCTCTCTTCGGGTCCCCAAAGACCAAAAGCGACAAGGAAGAACCGACGTGATCGAGGAAGGCGCACAAAATCCCCTCCAGAAGCTCACAATGCATGTCGTTAGATGCGTCGAGCACTGTTACCATTCTGAGCAAAGTCATCGTGAGGGACTTGGCCTGCACAGCATAGTCGACGGAAGTGACAGGTGGTGTCTTTTTGATTGCCTTTGCGCCAGGACGGCGTCCTTTCTGCCTCGACTTTGCCTCCTCATCTCGTTCGACGAAGTCATCTAGAGTACATTTGTGTAGACGTCCCAGGAGGGTTTGGAACAATCTGACAATATCCGACGCTGCAGGAAAACCTTGGCCATCATAACTGTCTTTCTCTGGCTTGATGAGATCTAATCCCTCCAGGATAGACGGGTAGACGTGCCGTAGCGCTCGGCAGACGTAGTCAATGGATTGTGCTTCTGTGCGAGGCTGACCTTTCCGTCCTTTTTCTGAGGTAGGTCGAATACTTCTGCAAATGGCATTGACCATACTTCGGACTGCCGTCGCGGCACGATCTTTGTCGGGGGCGTCCAGTCGGAGAGTGTAGCGTAGTGACCTGAATGCTCGAAGGATCGCTCGACGGTCTACTACTCGTTAGCAGTCAAGGCCAACCTACCCGAGTTGGAACACATCTTTACTAGGATCAGACCCGAGATACTCGGGCCCCAGAACAAGTTCATCCTCGCTTAGACCATCTTGTGCGACAGCATTTGCGTGCGGCGCTTGTCGTGTCTTCCTCAATGCCGGGGTAGCCTCTCTCTTCCGTTTTCCCAATGCTTGCCGTGCTGCCGTAGGTAGCGCTGCCTTCGCCTGTGCCTGGAGTGCGTCTCTCTCTTGCCTAAGCTCCAACACTTCGTTGAGCAAACTTGACCGTTCCAGTTCAGACTTCACATAACGCTCTCTCCAGTAGCTACTGGTGTCAAAGTGATGGGTCAAGGATTTGTTACTGTGGCTATTCTCTTTGACGGCATTTCGGAAGGTATCTATGTGGCCTTTGCAATGTCAGTAAGCCAGATACTCGCCCTTTGAGCGTGTGTAAACCTTCTAATGACATGGATGGCGGCTTCGACCGTACTACCATCAAGGCGAAAGCAATTTGAGCTGGACAGGGGAGGCTGTTTGTATCATCAACATTAAGAGGGACGGCGCAAGGGGTCATATCTCCTCCGATAAGCAGGTAGCTTTCAAGGCGTCGCATCAATAGAGACAGTCAAAGGTCATCGAGCCGAGGTTCTTAGACAGAGAAAAAGAAGGAAGAAACAGAGGAGCGAGGACGATGGATTGCACTGGGGACAGGATCAGAGGTGAAAGCACTGTGTCTGTGTCTTGGTTCGGCAGGCGCAACTGTCTAGGATCTTTCAGGCCGGGCACTGCTTTTTCATTTCTCAAGGCATCTGTTTGGATAGGCTTAACCTCGTCTTCTCAAGCGCGAATGGCTACCGTCCCATACATCTTTAAGTTGAATCTTGGAAACACGGGGAGAGATAATCGGGCCAGCAAGGGCGAAGACATCAAGGAGTCCGCCCCATTGCACATACGGTATGAAGGAATCACCGTATCCGCGAAGTATACTTTGCCCCCAACGCAAATCCCGTTCCTTCAAGATCATTGTCGCGAAGCCTTTTTGAGGTTTGCCTGAATCGCAGTCAGTCGGGCTCCTTGAAAAGTTACAGCCGTCGAACCAGCGAGGCTATTAACATGGCGCCACCAGGCGACTCTGAGGAGTCTGTTGACTTTTATGAGTTGCTGGCCATTCCAGCCACTGCCTCAGAATCAGAAATCCGCCGCGCATATCGGAAAACGTCTCTTCTGTACCATCCTGACAAAGTCAAGCCTACACAAGAGAATCTAGACAAATTCCAGCTCCTCCAGACAGCGATAAATATCCTGACAGATGCTGCCGAGAAAGCGAAATATGATCAAACTCGCGAGGCGAAACAAAGGCGTCTGGCAGAGACGGCCGCGCTGGAGAGCCGCAGACGTAAGATGAAGGAAGACCTGGAGAAGAGGGAAGGTAACTTTACGGGAACTACAACGACTGTGAACGGCGTGAAGAGGACATGGAGTGATAGGGAGCTGGAGATAAAAAGGATCGCAGAGGAGAACCGGAAGAAAAGAGAGGCAGTCATGGCACAGAGGACTCAAGAGGCCCACGCGAGAGCCCAGGCCCAAGAGCAACCCTCTGATTCTATCGACCGTTCCGTCAAGGTTCGTTGGGTCAAGGAAGGTGAGGGTCTTGATATCGACCAACAGGCATTGGAAGAAAACTTCCCTGCCGGTGATGTTGAAAATGTGCTCATCCTCAAGGACAAGAAACGTCGCATAGAGGGCAGAGACAAAAAGGTGATGCTAGGGACAGCGGTCATCGTATTCAAAACCTTGTCTATCGCTAAAAAAGTCGTGGCCCAGGGTCCTTGGGAAGGCATCGAAAGCGTTGAATGGGCAGCCGAGAAGGAGCCAGAGGGCACATGAAAACTTCGCAGAGCAAATTGTCTCTCCTGACGTTGTCAATGTGGTGCAATGTACCGACCAACACATCCAGCGCATTATCCGTTCTTCCAGCCACAGCTCCTTGGTATTTGCTGCCAATGCAGACGGCTGTGAAACAGGGATGCAAAGAGTGCTACACCATTCCGGGCCCGCTCCTCCAGCTGTGAATCGTCGTCAAACTTGCCGAAGACAGGCAAGTGTGGCACATATCATCAGCACGATTCAAAAGACCTGACCGGCTGATGAACAGCGATGGCCTCAACATTTCGTCTGGCGCGCGTGCGTGTCGCCCGCTCCTAGTTGCGCCAGGCCGGGGCTGAAACAACGACAACCCACCGAGACTCGACAGCTATATTCGAGCCATGATTGGAAAAGGAGCAGTCTTTTCGGTGCTCTGCGTTGCAGATGACTGCAATAGCCAGTGTGAGCTCGAAGCTTCCTCATGCCGTAATCGGCAAATGGTATCTTCATGGAATTCATTTGAGGCGTTCATAGCGATGCATGATACCCTGGATTTTGGAGCACCAATATTTTACGATTTCAATCAGTCAATCTCATCAAAATCGTCTTCTTCCTGCCGTGGCTTTGCCTTCTTCTCCTTTCGCCGTAGACTCTGCTCCACACCCTCCCTCAGCCACGCCGGCACAAACGGCTTGAGCATAACCTCCTCTTGGCCATCCTGCCCTTCGACCTCCCACTGCACCTTATACCGCTCGTTTGGATCATAGTTTGTTCGATCCGCTGTCAATTGAATATCTGTCATCATCTCAAGCCTGCAAAGCGCAAGACCAATATTGCCCACTCCATTGAGCCACTTCCCACTACTCCGTCCGCGGCCTCGGGCATGCGCCTTCGAGATGTTCGACTGAGGAGGCGGCACCGGGAGATCCACGCGCGGGTCGTACTGCGGCAGAGACTGAGAGGGTGCATCGTCACCAGGGCCGTACAACTGACAAGGCAAAATCCTCTTGCGAACCACGCCGGTGTGATGCGTGCGGATGGTGAGTTCCTGGCCAACATAGCAGCCCTTGAAGAAATCGATCCCACCAAAAAAGTCGATATTGCTCTCCTGCGGCAACGAGGCCGCGGCCGGCAATTCCGTCTGTCCTTCCGCCAACCCATTCAGCATGCGATGAACCGTGTAGTCTTGCAGAGTCGCCTGCTGTAGTCCACGATCTTCGAGCCGGTGTGCTAGTTCAGCATTGGAGCCTGTATAGTCCAGCCATCGTGAGCCCATTCCCGGCCGAGGGTCTTGTCCTCCTATCCGCCTAGTGTTCTCTGAATCGCCCAAAACGTCCCCCTCTCCATCGCCTTCCCCGGGCCATGCGTAGTATAACCCTACTTTCTCCGGGTCTACCTTTTCCAGCTTGAACTTTGACCTCAGTTTATGCTTGCGCAAGTGCTTGAGGAGATCGCCTGCGCTCTGCGAGTCGGCCTCGATGAACCACTCTTCGCCATTAGTGCCCTTGGCGGGAGGGTATATGAATACATCATTGAGGATGCGGCCATGCGCTGACAGGAATGCGGTGTAGATAGGCCTCGTGTTTCCGGTGTCTAGGATCTTCGCCGGAATGAGATTATGTAGGAATATTGCGGCATCGGGCCCGGCAAGTCGAAGGAGAGTACGGTTCGTGAGTTGCACATATTTTGCCTGACTCGAAGCGGGTGTACTGGCGGCGGCATGGATGCGCGGGGAGGTTGCAAAGGTCCGCCGCCGCGGTTGGAATTGGGCTCGAGGTCGGGTTTGACAGCTGGGGCATAGATACGGTCGGAATGGATGCAATCTGGGCTTCGGGGTCATCTTGGACGTGATGGCCTCCAGACTTGGTTGATGGGACCAAATGGTCAGCGATAAGAAGATGTGTTTGATTATACTGTGATGGCATTACGATGGTTGGGGCCGCCCCTCAACCCCGTGGAATCCGCGCACCTCCAGCGGCGCTCGAGGCTGATTACATAATGTAGTAGTCCCTTCTACAGCTTGATCAAAGCCATCATTACAGTACGGAAAACGAAATGCTCTTGTTAGAACTCTGGCACTGTATGCTTCGAGAATTTGACCTGTGACTGATGTGGTGTCATGCGCTGGGGGCCGTCCACGGATGGCACTCGAGGAACGCAAAGGGAGTCCAGGGAGAGAGAAGCAGCGGAGACGCCAAGGTGACCTGGGCGTCGATTTTCCGAGTCCAACTTGAACTTGAACTCCAAGTCGAGTCCTCATATAACTTGCCTGCCAAAGATTCACCATTTCCAGCCATCACAAAACCCTAGGACCTTCCAAGTCTCAAGTACTGCGTCCACTGGCACATTACAACACAGTGCATTTTGCCCTCGTATTTGCTTCGCACTCACGAACCAGCCAGGCCTTCGTCGACTGAACAACGTTATTCAATTAACCCACGGGATCAATGCGACCGAGTATTCTAAACCCAGTCGAAGTTGCACCACCACAGTAGCATCACACCCAGGAACAATCAAGAACAGAATCCAAGCACGGCTGGGGCTACTCGAGTCTACCTGAGGAGGAAAGCTCGCTACTCACGAAATCCTGCACGATGACTTACCTCGACGATCTGCACTCTTACCTTCACCACTCTTCACTGCTCATCCAAGCGTACCCCTCGACACGAATCACGACCAAGTACTCACTACCCAGAAAACCGAACACGAAGGCTCGATCCAAGCCGAAGGATGCCACCGTCCCGACAACAGATACTGCAGCGGCCGCGTCGCAATCCAAACGGGAACCTTCGGCCGTGCTTACCCTGAAAACATACCATCCAGACTCTGGCATCTGTCTGAAGTACAGGACAGATAAGGCCGCAGAGGTTGGGAGATTGTTGGGAGGCTTGGGAAGATTGGCGAAGGGGGAGATCATAGAGATGCCCGCGACAAGTCCAGCACAGATTGGGTCTACGACCACAGCCGCTGAAGGCGACAAGATGGAAGTAGACAGTGGCATGTCAGCGCCCAAGGCTGAGGACAAAGTGGTCATGGCGCCGCCTGCGGTGACCCAAACAGGCGGAGGAGGTGGCGGAAAAGGAAAGAAGAAGAAAGGCAAGAAATGAGATCCCCAAGGAGAGATCGATGTTTTCCGGCGAGGACCATCGCCTCATCAGTTTGGCCGTCAACCGTGAAGAGTCGAAACACTTGGCCCAGGTGTCAAAATAGCGCGTGAAACGGGGGCAAATTCACCACTATCGAGATCTAATGGATACTGGACCGGATTCTCCAGAACATGGCGGTCTTTGATATGGAAGCTATCCCCCGAAGCCATAGCACACGTGGGAACCAGCCACCAGCGCCACACCGGGACTGAACCCTATGCATTAGCCAAGAGACAGAGCATGAAGCGCATTTGAGCGGGGGAAAGTGTTGCCCAGTTTTGGTCCAGCCTGGATGATTTCCCGGGAATTGTATTATGTAGTGCTGAAATGGACGGCCAGTTCGTATGCGTGAACACCAAAGATTATAATTCGTCCAGCTAGTTTGGAACTACTTACTACTTGGGAAAATGCTGTAGATTGGAGGCTTCCGCGAAACTGAGAATGATCCTTGATGGCGCAAGGCTGGCGGATCAATATGATCCCGAGTCCGACGAGGCTCCCATGGATAGTGGCAAGCTCACAAGCCCGTAGGATGAAATCGGCGATCCTATTGTGGTAAAAACCAAGTCGGAAAGACGTGAGAAGACGGTTCGATCAGGGGACACATTAGTCATTGTTTTTGTTTCTCGACTGCATAACGATATTTTCCACAGAACCAAAGCCTGTCTCGCCGAGGGCTCGAAAATACCCAAATGTACAAGCCCCATCTATCGAAGCTATGCATGATATGAACTGGCCGAATTCGAAACAGCCCGCAATGACACATCCTGGCCGAACCACTTGTGAGCCTGCCATGCTGATGTGTTGATGGTGAAAAAGGTAGAAAGTAGAGATACAATGTGACCCCATCTGTCACACACACACGCCATCCGATAACGCCGTCAAACAAACGCTGGTAATGCTCTTCTTGATCTAAAACTCCTCGTCGAAGTTGATGCCGTTGCTGTCATCTTCTGTTTCCTCTTCGCCTGGGGTTCCTGCCTTGTCCTGCTTCTTGGTCGAGTTGACCACACCGGCCTTCTGGTAGTCGCCAACGCGTTTCTCGAAGAAGTTGGTCTTGCCCCCCAGGGAGATGTTCTCCATGAAGCCGAATGGCTGTTGAGCATGATAGATCTTCTTGTTTCCGAGCGCCACCAACAGACGGTCGGCAACACACTCGATGTATTGTTGCATTAGCTTGGCGTTCATGCCAAGCAGACCGACAGGTAGAGCGTCAGTCAAGAACTCCTTTTCAATTTCGACGGCCTCAGCGATGACCTTTTCAATAAGGTTGGGGTCAGGCTTGTGCTTAAGATGCTGCATGAGAAGACAAGCAAAGTCTGTGTGCATGCCCTCGTCACGTGAGATGAGCTCATTCGAAAAAGTCAAACCAGGCATGAGACCTTTACACAGTTAGCATCCCAAGCTCCTTCAGTTTGGTTTAGACACTCACCCTTGCTCTTGAGCCAGAAGATGGAAGCAAATGAGCCAGAAAAGAAAATACCCTCAACGGCGGCAAAGGCAACAAGTCGTTGAGCGAATGTCGACTCCTTATCGGAGATCCATTTCATGGCCCAGTCGGCTTTCTTGCGGATGCAAGGAATGGTGTCGATGGCATCAAACAGATATGTCTTTGTCTTGTTGTCTTTGATGTATGTGTCAATGAGTAGAGAATACATCTCGGAGTGAATGTTCTCGATCATGATTTGGAACCTGTTGCACCGTTAGTGAGATGCCGTGGAAGGATGTCACCGGTTGACTTACCCATAGAAGCAGCGAGCTTCCGGGATCTGAACCTCGCCGCTGAAGCGCTCAAGCAGATTCTCATTGACAATGCCGTCGGAGGCAGCGAAGAAAGCCAAGACGTGAGAGATGAAGTAGCGCTCATCGTCATTGAGACGGTTGTGCCAGTCGTGAAGATCCTTGGACAGGTCGACTTCCTCTGCAGTCCAGAAGCTAGCCTCGGCCTTCTTGTACATGTTCCACTGTGTGATGATATTGTTAGACGTCATATCAAGACTGCGCGGTGGTAGACACTACCGCGTCTCAAACGCGTACGCGTTCACGAGGTCCACTTACAATCTCATGGTACTTGATGGGGAACAGCACAAAGCGGTGATCGTTCTCTTGTAGGAGTGGCTCATCAGCCTCCATCTCTTTGATAGTTGGCGCGACCTTGGCTCCTGCAACTGGTGCTTTGACTTCTGTGGCGATGGGCTTTTCACTCTCCGACACGGTCTTCGCGGCGGAATCGATGACAGTCGGCATGTTTTCTTTGTTCTCAGCGTTGAAGTTGAGTTTGATAGGGCTGTCCTTCATCTTGAGGTTCTCGAGGCTTGCAGCGGCCTGCGTGTTGTGTCAGTAACATGTACTCCGGTGAGTCCAATCCATGATGCAAGTGGCGAAACCAACCTGTTTGGACGGCGTGACTTGAGCTGCCATTGTTCTTTGATAGTAGGGACGTGATAGTTGAACAAAGAAAGAGTGCAAATAGGTAGTAAGAGGTGCAAAGCTGTTTGTTGACAGACGCGGAAGATGGAAGAGAAGTCAATGGGAAAAATCGCGGATGCTGGTAGCAATTTATGCAAGGCACCACGGTCACGACACGCTAACGCGGTGCGCGTTGATCAGGCTAGTTGCAGCTGGCAGGCTGGTCACTGCACCACTTTAACCTGGCATCTCTCAGTCATCGATCCACTTTACATCAACAGACCACCGCGACTCTGCATCCGGAATGGGCAGACTGCAAGGAGTCGGTGGGTTTTGTTTAGCAGATGATGAGAAATCTATTAGCACTTCCTTGTTCCGCTGTGGTTCTTACAGGATGGCTGCCTGAAGCTTGCTAGGGGCCTACGAATGATATGGATGACTGTCTGATCTAATCTAATATTATCAGATCAAACCGTGGTTTCCATGACATCCATGACATCACGCGGTTTTGCACGCGAAGACGACGACGCGGACACGCGTAGCATTCTCAATGCAACATCCTTGTCTTCTCTTTACAACACACTGCTCAATACAGGAGCCTCCTGGTCTGGTTGACGAGGTCGAGGTCTCATGTACTGAGCAAAGCCGCTTTGCTTTTAAGTGTAACAAAAGGCGCGATCGCGGCAGAAACTCAGCCTTGCACAATGTATCCCTTCAATCTGCATGTATGATCCAGGGAGTTGTCTCTCATGCTAGCCGCTTAGCCCTTTGATGCTCTGCTCTCCAATGTACTCCTGTTCCACGCTTGAAGGTTGACGCTCGAAGATCAATCAGCTAAAAGATAGACAATCCCTGGTGGGGAGAGTATGCTGTCGCAGAACGAGCTCAAGACCTTCAACAAAAGCTTCGCCTCTCTCCCTCTCATATACAATGCAGTCCCTCAACCACGTTAATAAAAGCGTGTCACAGAAGCAGAGAGATCACTCTTTTGCGATTGACAATCAGTATCACATCGATTGGTACAGGAGAAGCTCTTGTTGGAGACCATCGTCTGTGATATCTAGATTCTATCACTCAGTGACTTCTTCCGTTCACCATCTGGCCTGCCTGTGGACCCGTGACTATTTGAGACCGAGAGTACAATATTGGTTGCTGCCCAGAGCCAGCCTTCTTCCACAAGAAATCAACGTCTCAACCAGATCACTCAGGCCAGCAGATCTCACTCTACGATAGCAACAAGACACGTCCCCGGTTTCGGCAGGGAGTCTGACACAGCCGCGCATAGAATTAAACCACCGCATCTCTGCGTAAAGCTCTACTCGGCAGGAATTAGTTCGATTTATTGCAATCTGATTGATGTTGAATCCTCCCAGTCGAACTACGATCCAGCATGCTGAACATTTTCCAGGACAAAGCCTCTTGTGGGCAATGTAGTGACCTGTTTGATTTCAGGGACGATACTTCAATTCCCCTCAGCATCTGTGGCGTTTGAAAAAGCGAAGGCCTTATCCTGTTCCAAATCGGCAAAAAGGTGCTATCCAGCATCCGCTGCCAGATGATAATTCACACAGTATCCTAGCTCGATCCATATTACCCAGGCAGTGCTCCCTACCTAGATCGTGCCATGCTAGGTGCGTGCAACTCCTTGCAATGCTCAAGATGATTCGCACACCCCATAAGCAACTCGTTATAACTTTTCCTCCGGAGACTTCGGTAGAAACCTTAACTCAATGCCCCGTACCAGTTTGTTCGTCTGCTCTGCCAAAGACAGCGTCAGGATGGTGTGAGGTAAGATTCGAGTAAGATGAGCGGAGAATCCCTTGTAGACACTGAGTACTCCCTCGGTTGAAATAGTTTTCCACAAACAATCAAAAATGCCGTTGTATAGATTTCCGTGCTGGTTATACAATCTGGCCATGACCGTATCCTGTGTCCTTGGTAAGTACGTAAAATCATGGAGAGGTCCGCAATACACCTACCGGAGGATGCATCACACAACAGACAACGAAACCGCTTGCCGTCGAACTCAGGAGGTGCAACGCTGGTCCATCTTCCATGCCTGCGTGCCGCATCAACCTCCTCTTTGCGAAGAAATATGTAGGCAGCTGGACGGAACTTCCAGCACCGGTTCTAACCATTGAGGCGCCCATCCCACGGTAGAGACCTTTGATGCCCTCTGCCTTGTAAATCTGTGTCAAACCGTCGAATGCATTGCGATACTTATGCTGAGTTCCCACTGGGAAGAAAGGTGAATACGACTGCAACCGAGTTTTAACGAGGAAAAAGGGAGAGCCGGCCATGGCCCCCAGGATTCCAGAGGAGGCTCCGGAGAAGATGTTGACGCCCATTGACTGGACATTCGAATCTTTGAAGACCACCTTTGTGCAAGCTGCTCTCAACGGCTCGTAGAAGCCTAAACGACAACCGTTCAGGAGGATTTGGTAGATGTATGCGCAGCCGATTCCTCGGTATAATCCCTTGAACCCTTCATTCTTCACGATCACTCCCACACCATGGAAAACCCCTTTGTAGTTCTTGACTGCAACTTCTTTGGCTTGCAGTTCTCCTTGTAGCTGTAATCTGATCTTGACTGTCTCGAACGGATGTGTCGCTGTCACAGCGCCGCAAGCCGCAATACCGCCAGCGATGAATGCGCCAGCTGTCGTAGCCATTGTCGCCGCGAGTTAAATGGCTCGTTCGTTCGTTACTTATCCAGCCTTGCCTAATACTTTGTCGACGGTTGAAAAAAAGGGACCATGGTATCGCAACGGAGAAAATTTGTTCGGAGGACGGAGTAAGCAGTTCGGCACGTCAGCACCTGTCACAGGGAGCTGGGATTCGGCACCAGGATGCTAACTAGAAAGAAAGGCAAGCTCAGAAATCAGCTTCAAAGCAAGAGTCTAAGCTGATATAACGCGAGAGGAACTTGAGCGGTTGGTGCGTACCTATGGTAACCGTGGAGGTCGGTAATATAATATTCTACATTGGCGCGACAGAGTGCGCCGTAAAACGGGGAACGGGGAGGTCTGCATCTACTACTAAGGTAGGGTAAGACGATCGTGCGGGCAAGAGTCAGGAGCGAAATCGGGGACCATTATTATTGGAGGGTGAATGGTCGAGGACCGTAGACCTCCTTAACCCTATCTGCGGAGGCTCTTAGGCCCAAGGAAGCTTCTTATTAGGCGCAGAACCTTAGCCCTGACGCGCTAAGTATGCCGCCAGAGATCTATAGCAAATGCACGCGTTTCTGTGGTCGATTGCTCCTCCGCATCCCAGCCTTTTACCACTGCAATAAGCCCAGGATTAATTTTTGGGCACAGCCGTAACAGAAGATCGTTGCACCCCAAATTGCCCGCCTTTCGTCCCTCCTACTCGACGGGCCTCGCATGCCGGACAAACGAGTCTAGATTTCTAGTATCTCCTGTCGCACGTTAATGGTCCTGATTTGATCCACGCGGAGCCTTTGGCTTGACTGTTCGACATGGCTTTGCAGCAGCAGAAAGTGCACGATGTGATCAAACAGTACCGTCCTGCCAGAGTCAGTATGTCTTCGAGCCGAGTTTGTCCTGGCTAACTCTCTCCAGCAATTCCCTGGCTCCGTGCGCTCAGATGGAGGAGAAAGCCATATAACTTCGCTGGATTTCGATGACATGGGTGACTTCTTGGTTGCGGCCTGCGACGACGATACAATGCAAGTGTACGATGTCAAGGAGGGCAAGAGAACGAAAACAATACCCAGCAAGAAGTATGGCATTCACCTGGCTCGTTTCACCCATCATCCGCGCAACGTCCTCTTTGCCAGTACGAAACAAGACGACTCCCTCCGCTTGCTCGAATTACACAACGAGAGTTTCGTTCGCTACTTCAGCGCGCACACCGCCCGAGTCACCTGCATAGCATTATCACCGGGGAGCGACCAATTCTTGTCGTGTGGAAGCGACGATATGGTTTGCCTGTGGGACCTGAACTCAAGAAGTCCTCAGGGCAAACTCAAACTGGTCACACCCTACCTCGCTGCGTACGACCCATCGGCGAACGTGATGGCTATAGCATCACAGTCCACGTCGTCCATCCTCATGTACGACGTCCGCAATTTCGACAAAGCACCGTTTGCCACTTTCGATATGGCCGAATCTGAAGAGAGATACACTCCGACCACGAAAGGACGCGCGTGGACAAAACTAGAGTTCTCCAATGACGGAAAGAGTATGCTCTTGGGCACGGACTATCATGGTCATTTTGTACTGGATGCCTTCGATGGTGCGGTTAAATCATTTCTCGTGGGAAAAACGAACGGATCAGGACGGGCGGCGCCTGTGTCAACGTCGGGAAAGCCTTTGGGTCAAGGCGATGCATGCTTTACACAAGATGGAAGGTATGTCGTTGGAGGGACGGGAGATCAAGACCTCTTCGTCTGGGACACTTTGACTGCTACCGGAGGTCGACAGGAGCCCACCACCAAATTGACAAGTCGTGGAATCAAGAGTGTGATTGTACAATGCAATCCACGGTACAACATGCTCGCAACAGCAGATACAAGGGTCTGCATGTGGCTTCCAGGAGACCAGATCAAGAACCCGGATCTTTGAGACAAGCTGAGACAGAGACCGCAGGATAATCCCCATCGCCAGATCCTTCGCGTGGCTTTTCCTGCTCACCCACAGGACATCGCTGGCACTTTTCGCTCCATCTTCTACTTGTCAGTGCTGCCACTTCTGCATGTGCTTGGCATCATTTCCTGCCCGCCAATCGGAGTTACTTCTGCTCCGCATCGCCTGGCACCCTCTTCAAGTTCCGTCTTCAAGAGAAACCAGCACATCTTCTTCCTGCAAACAACATACAACTCGAACTTTTCCGGCAGTTATCCTCGGTTGCCGACGGAGATGTCTGCTAATTGCGGCGGAGAGAGCCCTGAACCGGGCAGCGCTAGCAGCTATGTTGACTTGCTGAACAGCCTGCAACTGCGCGCACATACGCTGCTCAATGAACTCATATCCTACCAAGCACGCCTTCGATCGAGAAACAAAATACAAGAAGTTGAGATGAGAGTCTTCAAACGAGGGGTCGAGTCGGAGGTCAAGAGTTTGGACAAGATGAGACAGAATCTCGTGTCTCTTAGTGGACACGAGCACAATCAATCGAACGCCGCAGAAGACGAAGAAACCAGATACCTCCATGGTCTGAGAAGTTCAAACCTACCTTTTTACGAAGCAGTCTGGGCCGTTGCAATGTCGAGCCAGGGTGTCACTGCCCTGGGGAAAAGGATGTATACCAAAGGCACGACGCAGGACGCCAAACATGATAACGTAACCCTCGAGAACGCAACTTCCGGTCTGAAGCGGGCGACAAAAGTGGGAGTTCTCGTGGATGTGGTGGCTCAGAATGGCCTCGAGTGGGTTAAAGTCTCCACAATCCCCGAGAGGCGTCTTCTGTTCGAGATGGCCAAAGAAGGCTGGGAAACCTATGCCGATTCTGATGACGAGGACAAGACGGACGATATCGATATTGACAGCGCCGAAAGAGCAGGTAAGCTTGAACTCGTTCGGGTGGCTGAGGATCTCAAGTCCGCCTCACGGGACGTCAGAGTTCGGTTTCAGCATCCGCGAATCCGTCTTGTCTTGCCAAATGTCCGCGAGAACGTCCTGCCTGACGTGGATGCGTTCCTTGCAGACTTACGAGCAACTGGAGCGGTGGTCCAATGTGGTACGGATTTGCAGCTTCGCGGGGCAACGAAAGAGGATTGTGACTTTGACCCGTTGTTGCCAGGGACAGTGGCTCCTTTCTTGACAGATACCATCAACATTGATTGTACCATTCTTCTTGCTCTCATATCTGATATTTCGCACTTTTCTCGAGAGCAACTGCCTCCAGTTTCCGGCGGTAACAGTTACCACAAGGCGATACTTCGACAAATCCATGCCGAACAATCGTCTCCCCTCGTGCTCAGCGAGCTATACCCGGTCCTCCGTGGGCGTGCCCTAGAATGCACCTCGCAGGCTGCACAGCGAATGCAAGAGATTGTCCAATGTATGGGAACGCCCAGTGAACGGATCCGCGCCGACGTTATCCTGGCGGCCGGCCTCTACAAAGGCCAGGACGCGCCAAAGCTCAGGGTGGCTTGGGGTGAACACACAACCCATGCTGTACCTGCAGAGATTCGGTTTCCCGTCAAAGTCGTGGACTTTGACACGGCAGAGTTTCTATCTTCTTCTGGCCGACCGCCATCTTATTCGGAGGACTGTGCACTGTTTCCTGCTTCGGTGGCCAATCGAGCGACTCAAATGATGGAGCTCTCTCCGATAAATACCTCCGTGTTTCTGTATGGCTGGAGCAGGCACATTGTCACATTCACCAGCAACCGTGTTGTGGCGACGGGCCTTTTGCGGACGATTAATGAGATACTGGACCAGGATGAACATAAGGAGCATGGAGGAGACGATGCTAGCACCACCTTCGTGGGCCCGCAGATGTATATCTGCGAAACAGCCAGGAGTTTGATTGGAAAGACCAAAAGCACCGGAGAACAATAGTCAGCGACGAAAGCACACTCCGGGCCATCATTCCAGCTCAGCCCATACTTAGCGATGCGGGATACCTTGTCGAGATGGCAGCAGCATTGCCAGCAGCGGAGGATGTTGCGGCTGAAGAGAGACAAGTACTAGTAGTGTAGTAGTTGAGGTCCTATGTAAGGTATCGAACATCGAAGGGAAGTTGCTCCAGCGCTGATGTGATGCTCTGCTACGCGGGAGGAGTGCTTGATGAGCTCATGGTTCACGGGAGATAGGCAGGTGGATGCCCTCAAATATAATCTGACAACCCTAGAACTGCTCATCGACCTGAAGAGGACTGTAGCTGAGACTGTGTGCCTCTCCTACGCAGACCGGTAACGGTGGTCAAGAAGAATTGAAGAAGATGAAGGGAAAACGTGTCCATCAGTTCGACACCTAGCTGTGACGCGGCTGCGGTGCAACCACTTGAAGGCCGCCAAATAATCAAGTCATAAAACGTTAGTTGTGATCGCGGACTTTGCACCTCCAACAGCAATTGAACTTCACACTTCGTCCATCAATCACATTATTCCCTTCCTTGCTCCTGATCCTCAATGCGTCAAGTTCATGACAGCTTGTAATCCCAGCAGGGTGTTCACCACGGAAACCTGATCCCCGTGTACTAGCATATGCTGCGACTCAAGTCATTTGAAACTCGCAAAACTACCTCATCCTACTACTACTGTCTAGCTGTCCCGTTCTTCAACAGTCCCTCCTCTTTGTCAACCTAACACGGCGTCGCTATTATGAGACGCTGGGTGCCCTCACTGGGCCTCCTGGCATACCTTGCAGCGTTGGTTGCCGGGAACGAAGTACAGCTTGTAAGCCGCGGTAGACATCAGGCGAGGGCGGACAGCAGCTGACCAAAGCAAGAAACAAGATGATGCGCACCGACAGCGCTGCTCGGGAATGTACAGCAGGAAGTCCTGGGGTGGTTCAATAGAGCCATTCATTCTCGTAAAGTTCCTCCCGGACCATACCGAAGACGACAGCGATCCGATCACGAGCCTGATCATCTTTGAATGGCAAGACGAAGAACTCATTGGAAGGATGCCGCCCGGCGGACAAAGCTACCGTGACATCGAGACCATCTGTTCAGCAGACACTGTGGCCAAGGGTCTATGCGAAGAGAAGGATATCGGCGCTTTCATACTGGCGCCCAATGCGACGGACTCCGCGAAGAACCCCATATACAACGAGGCAATTCATCTCAAGGATCCGAAAGCCATCAACTATCCGATCCGGCGAACCGGCTACTATTGCGTCTCGACCTTTGCATTCTCAAACCATGAGTACGATGCCGTGGTGGAATTCCGGAATGCCTATGGCGAGCTTCCCGCGGCCCAGATAGCAAAACTTCCCTTCTATGGCGGCCTCACCATTGTCTATGCGGTATTGGGCGCTTTCTGGGCTTTCCTCTACGTCCAGAACCGCTCCGACATCCTGCCCGTTCAGAATTACATTACGGCGACCATCATCTTCTTGATCGTCGAGCAGCTGATGACTTGGGGTTTCTATGACTACCAGAATCGACATGGTAATAACGCTGTGAACAAGGTTCTTATGGTCATCGTGTCAATACTCAATGCAGCCCGCAATTCCCTGTCCTTCTTTCTGCTGCTGATAGTCTGCATGGGCTACGGTGTGGTCAAGCCATCGCTGGGCAGGACCATGATCTACGTCCGGATCCTCGCTGCCGCACACTTCATCTTCGGTGTCATCTATGCGGTTGCTTCCATGGCCGTCACTCCCGAGTCAGTCGGCCCGCTCGTCCTCTTTGTCATTCTGCCGTTGGCCGGAACCCTGACGGCATTCTATGTTTGGACACTATCGTCGCTCAATATCACCATCAAGGATCTTGTTCAGCGGAGACAGAAGACCAAGGCCATGATGTACAAGAAACTTTCGTGGTGCCTTCTCGGCTCTATTCTCGTGATTTTCGCCTTCTTCTTCGTCAACAGCTTCGCGTTCGCCGGAAGCAGCGAGGCCGATTTCATCCCAAAGCATTGGCAGACAAGATGGTTCGTGCTTGACGGCTGGCTCAACCTGGTCTACTTGTTCGACATCGCATTCATCGCGTATCTGTGGCGCCCAACGGCGAACAACAGGCGCTTTGCCATGAGCGACGAGGTAAGTTCTTCTCTATAGACATCATTGGCTTGGTGGAAGAGCATATTGACTGACACATTCCGGCAAACAGTTGGCACAGGAAGACGACGGTTTCGAGATCAACGACATCGACGACGCCTTTTCCGATGACGAAGAAGCCGCTCGAAAAGACCAAGAACGAGCAGCATCCCCTACCGGCGGGGCATCGACTTCGCTTACAGATGCCATGGACTCTTCTCGCAGACAACCTTCTCCTGGCCCGGCAGCGCAGAACAGCAGCAAAGACGCGCCACTTCCTCCGCGACCCCGGGAGTCTTTAGACGGGGAGACCATCTTTGCCGTCGGGGATGATGGGATCGAGTGGAGTGACGGCGAGGAAGAGAGCGGTGATGAGAGGAAAAAGTTGACCGGCAAATAAATCGAGTAATGAGTGTATTGTGTCTTATTTGGGAGCCGAAGGTCTGGAGCCGGAACATCTTACTGGGCGGCGATTCAAGGCCCTGTCATGGCTAGCAGTGTGAACATGGCACGACAGAGAGGACTGGTAGTAATATATGGCCTGCTCATTGTGGGTGTCGAACCCCTTGCGTGCTGCTACGAGTGGCCCTTTTGGCATATCTGATCAAGTATGCCACGTCTTTTAGGTTGAAACAACCACGATACGAAGTGCTGTACTACCAATGAAATATTCTAAGCCAAAGTAACTTCATTCAGTATCAAAGCATCTTAATGCTTTCGAGTGCGGGAGGGAGTATGGAGGGGAACCCCCCGACCATCAGCCACCCAATTTCTTCGCCCGGTCAGACGCTATATCGCACATGGCCTGTTCCAAAGAAGAGAAGTCAGCGCACGCTCCGTAGCTGAGCACAACCAAGGTACACAGGCATATGATGGCCATCATGAGCAACGGGCTTCACTTGCCTGTATCGCATCCAACTTCTCCTGCTTCAAGTCGCCTCGATCTATCCGTCTCTGCATGTCCTCCATAATCACAGGCCTGCTGCGTCCGTTGACAAAGACTCTACTCATTTATTTTGCACGTCAACACAGCCCAGTATTCCCTTTCTTAGACGCCAACTTTCACCGCTACGCCGAAACGCTGAAACGGCCAAAGGAGGTCCACCCAAGAGCGAGTCCCGGGAAAGGGAAAAGACAGGGGAAAAGGGGGGTCGAGGTTGGGGGAGGAGGCAACACATAGATCATCAAGGGCCCTAGGGCACTTACACGTATCTCAAGCCCGGAAACGCCTCCTCGTACTTCCTATTCAGCTCGGCCAACTTCTGCGCCTCCTCCGGCGCACCCTGGTTCAATTGGGCTTGCTCCTTCCGGCTCTGCTCGCTGTCGACCTTCTTCTCGCCGAGCCGAGGATGGGCGGCGAGGATGGAATCAAGCCATTTCGTGTCGCTCTCCAGGTCTGAATTGTACAGTTCTCGCAATTGGTTCCCCACGGCGCTGATGAGCTCATCGTACGAGGAGAAGGTCTTCTCTCGCAGCAGGCTCACGGACAGTGTGTGGAGCTGTTGACATGGTTCGAACAGTGTGTCTAGCACCTCGGCTCTCTCTTCAGTGTCCAGGGAGGGAAGACTGGAAATGGGTGGAAGGGAAGGCATATTGTGTAAAAGGCCAAATTCGACGGGTTCCCTGAAGGTATGAAAGTCTACAACAACAATAGGACCAGACTGGTGGAACAACACGAGGAGATAGCTAAGTGATTGCCAAAGTCAACGTCCCTCGAGAGACAGAGACAAACTTAAGACAACCACTATGGTCGACGTCAGGTCGCATATCACACGTAGTTTGTAGCACTGTCGAAGAGCATCGGTGGTCGCCGACATGGGAATGTCTCTGGGCACCCATTTCAACACCCCATTTCGGATGATAATTAATCCGATCCGTTCTCTATATAATGGTACGAGGCTAGGCAAATCTTTATACATTACTATCAAATCTTAACGCCAACTACGTACTTACCTAGGAAAGGCCACGGCCGCGAATACCCGAGGAGAGCGATTCGCCTAGGCCTAAGCGACTAGATATAGAGCCTTACGAACTGCCGGCTTCCACAACACCGCCAAAATCGGGTAGGGAGAAGAGGAAGCGCGTTCACACTATAAGAGACTAGGAGGCTAAGATACAGAACCTAATCCCTAAGTCGCAGGAGGCTTATAGGATCGACGACTAGGTATAAGGCGATAGCGAGGTCACGGGAGCAAGGAACGCGCCAGGAAGAGGGCCAGGAAGAGGGCCAGGAAGAGCAAAAACATCAACTTTGAGAAGGGCAGTTAATAGGCGCCAGAGCGTGATAGAACAAAGCGCCGTTTACCAAGTTCTGAGAACCCTGAATTGGTATGAAGAGGTGCCAGGGCCTCCTCAATACCTTCTGAGCGCGCATACCTGGATATCCTGAACCGTGTTAGTATGGCAGTATTACCACGGTTCAAGTACCTACTAGTCAAGTAGGTACGTATAAGTTGTAAGCGTTGGTAAACAGACAGTTCCTAGATACCTATAGAACTTCTTAGAGTATCCTCGCTTCTGGTCTGCTGGAAACATAACACTGTTCGCGTGCAAATCGGGAGGCTAACAGGTGGACGATGCCGACGCCGTCGAGGACATGCTCGGCTCGACCACATCAAACCGCAGCCGTCCACAGTGAGGCTATACAGAGTAGTTGGTCCTCAAGCACTACGAACCTCTTCCAACATCGAGGAGGCCCATGATCCTTTCGACTGCCTGTTCATCGCCTTCGACCGTATCGGCTACCTCCTTATCTAGCTACCTCTCTGTCCATCCACCGCCGAAGTCAACGAAATAATGTTGCTCGCCTTTCCAAGCCCGCATATCATGCCGCTGATTTTCCCTAGTCGGCACCCAGATACACCAGGAGAAATCCACGGGCGCAATAGACCAACGATATATCCACGCTCGGCATCCTTACGAGTCCAAAATCGGTCATGTAGAGGATGTTCCCTACCTACCGGTGCCTAGTTGGGTGCTTCAAAGCTTTATGTCGCATAACTTGCATGATCATCGTGTGGCTGTTCACGCTGGCCAGTGGCCTCCTCTTTTGCCGTGGCAGTGGTCGAGTTGGCATGAGAGCCAATGCCCGTGGTTCCATGAGAACCGTACAGGATTCGCTGTGCCCCGGGGGGTATAACATCACATCCGCGCGACACCGAGACCGACAGCCGAAAAGGTGACTCTGTCTCAACACATCCGTCTTGAAGGGGGTACGCCATTCCCATGGGGCAGCATATCGGTCATTAGAGAGTCATTGGTGGGCATCGGCATTCGCTTCAAATCGGATCTTTGAGGTTATCCGTTGCTGTTCCCGTGTCAACCTTTGCACCGATATAACAAGGCCGTGATGATGACTCACCTTCTAGATGGAAGAGAACGTTGGACTGGTAGTTCTTAAACATCTGCGCGACGAGCTCGACATTCATGTTCTGAACATTGACCTCCTGCAAGCCAGTCTCGATTCAGCATTGTTTCCAACCACAGCGCTCAGGGCGGCCTCATACCTGCAGATTTCTGTTCATCATCGCTACAGCCTCATTGAGTTTCTCCTGTTCATGCTCCACATCAATATCCTGTCTCTGGGATGTGTTGAATGGAGTCACCGTACGATGTTTGTGATTATCCGGGAGAGTAGGAGGCTCTGCTGTTGTTCGTGAGGACTCTCCTGACAGTCGAGTTAGTCTCTGTAGCCCAATTGCGATACCGGTGTACCTACCATGTTCTGTTTGTGCGACAAAGAAGTAACGCCTTCGTATATGCAGCACGATCTCCGTAGTTACTTGCTCGAATGATGGTTTGCGAGACAGATCGAATGGCGCAGACCGCGTCTCGCGTTGAGGGGAGGAACTAAGATGCCGCTTCAATAATGGAGAGACGTATTAGTACCCCAACCACTGCACTAGTAATTATTAGTAAAAGATAAGAGGCGAAGGAGGGCTGATAATGTTGTTGCTGCTTCAAGAGAATCCACAAATCCTCTTCATATCAAAACAAGCAGTCTGCGTTAATATACAAGTTGTGAAGTCAGCATGACTTGTTCGGGAGAGCAATATTTCACAGTAAGTGGTACCTGGCTCATGCTCCGGCATTCTGCCCGTCCTGGAAATTCGCCTCTGGGTGGACAATCACAGTATCCTCTGTAAGCTGACGGACCAGGCTGAAACCCCTATGATGATGTGCGGGCAACGTTTATCTGTCGAACCCCGCCGAGGTTCATCGTACTAGTAATCTGTGGTCTGGAATGAGGTGCTAGTCGACGACTGTCAGCCAATGTTCAAGCTCTCTGATTACATGACAAGGTGGGGATTTTGAATACAGTCATGTTCTGAGTGATATATATCTTCAATTCGGAGCAGAACCTCTTTGACTACTACATATCGTCCGGCTTGAATCATCCGAGCCGAGAAGACGGCATTTCTTCTGATCATCCCGCCGTGCCCGTCGTCCATTACACAAGTCAACCTCGGCCAACTGATAGTGCAATGTCGTCCACGACATCTCCAGCATGCAAGAAGCTGCTCATCTTCGGAGCAACCGGCCTAGTCGGGAGCCGCATCACGCGAGAGATCGTCCGAAATAAATCCAAGTTCGAGCGGATCGCGATCTTCACCTCTCCCACGACCGTCGAGTCGAAATCCGATCAGATACAGAGTCTCAAGAAGGAAGGCGTCGACGTTATTGTCGGCGACCTGACGAACTCCAGCGACGTGGCGAGAGCGTATGAAGGTGGGATCCGTCCATCAGCAAGCAGAAATGCCTAGCTTCCATCGCAGGGCCGACTGACCATGGTCCTCTACACAGATATTGATACGGTGATTTCTGCCGTGGGAAGGAATGCCATCGAACACCAGATCGAACTTGTACGACTCGCCAACGAGAGTTCGTCTGTTCACAGATTCTTCCCGTCCGAGTATGGCACTGATATCGAATACGGCCCGTCGTCGGCCCATGAGATACCTCACCAGAAGAAGCTCAAGGTCAGAGCTGCACTCCGCTCCACCGACCGACTGGACCATACTTTCGTCGTCACGGGGCCCTACGCGGACGGCGACTCCGGTCTCTACTTCAGCGCCAATGCATCCGCAAAGCAGACGGGCAGTTTCGACGTGAAGAACAAGGAGGCCGTTTTATTGGGCGATGGGAACCTCAAAATCAGTTTCACCACCATGCATGAGTAAGCTTCACACCCAAGTCTCCTGTACTTTCTGTGCCCCTGGATCTACATAAAGCGACGGACGCGGATGCTCCCGGACTCTTGACACTGACAGTCGACAGCGTTGGGAAACTGGTTGTGCTCGCCGCTCTCCACGCAGATGCTAGCCGGAATAAGGCGTTGCGGGTCAACTCGTTCACGACCACCGACGCGGAAATCCTCAAAGAATTCGAGAAGCAGACTGGTGGTCAATCCTGGAAAGTGTCGTACACGAGCCTCGATGAGCTGAGAAGGCTCGAAAAGGAAGCTCTGGCCGCCGGGAGCCCCTTCGCGACCGTTTGTACTTTGAGAAGAATCTGGGCCGAGGGAGGCACGTTGTACGAGAAGCGCGACAACTACCTTATCGACGCCGAGGATGTTATGGACACTTTGGCAGATGCCGTGGCCGAAGCCATCAAGGTTCAGAAGAGGTGAGGAACAGCTGATCGCCTACGGCTTCAGGAAAAGGCAGAAAGGCAGTCAACGTGTACTCATGGTTTCTCGTTGTTGAAACTATTGCGATTGAAGCACTTCCAGGAGTGCCTGATTGACCTCCACTTTTTGATGACGCCCTTCTCCCTCCTAGATCCAACCACTGTCGATGAGCTTGCCATTTGACATCCTTGATCTTCGCTTCTTTGGCAGCCCCCCCCCCCCCCCCCCCCTCTTTCTGTTTGTCACGAATATGCGGCTAATTCCTATGGCGCTGAGATTCGCACATCAAAGTTTATGATCAACGTGGTACTCGGATGATATGCGGCTCATCCCTCCACTCTTCACGAAAACACGAAACGAAGTATTCCGCAGTCGGCGTTCAGAATCCGCTTTCGGCCCGATATCGAAATGTGCTGCGCCTGTGTGGTAATTTCACGTTGGCAGAAGTGACCGCTCTCAAGAATCCTCCGATCACGTCTCACTGCACTCAGGTGGCTCAAGCCAGTCGTCCGGAATCTCACGCAGAGGGCCCGTAGGACACTCGGGCGTGATGTGCCAATACTTGTAGAGACAACACATGGCCTTCTTGTAATCCTCATGGTCCGGAATGACCTCCCACCCAGCAGAATCGATTTCCACTTTCAGATCGGACAGGAAATCATAGCATTCCCAAGTCGGCCGGCAGCACTTGTCGGCACGGCGACTCAACGGAGTAGTCACATCGGTCGAGGAGTCACCACCCTGAAGATCCACCTCCACCTCCACCTCCACGTCGTGGCCCAGCGCCCTTTCTCCGCGGATGGCTGTCTTGATGGCCGTCGTGTTGAGGCCCTGGAAGATTCCCAGGGGCACTCTGCGGTTGAGAGTCCCAGAAGAGCTGCCGCGCTTGTTGTAACGGCCTTTGCCACCAGGACGTTCGTAGTTGTCGGTCTCAGAAGGGTAATCCGGTTCACACTGCAGGTAGATGGCACGGCTGCAATCGAAATCTGCCGGCGAGAGGGGCCCACAGGCGACCAGTTTCGATTCGGCGGTACAAAGGAACGTCATCTGCAAAAGGACGGTCGCAAGGATCGTCAGGCTGATGGTGAGCGTCTTCATGGTGTTGTAAGGGTTAGAGGCCGTTGAAGCCTTCCTGATATGGATAATGGGTCTGCGAAAATGTGAGAAGGATCACGACCACGCTTGGTCTCTGCCTCTTTATATATCTTGTGAACTCGCCCAGGAGCACTTAATTCCATTTTATATGATCCCGATCGTCTCGTCTTGGCGGAGAAAGTGAGTTTTGCGACCAGAACGGTACCGGCAATGCGGATCGGTCGTTGCAATATCAAGTACTGATCTGGACCATTGCTCGGATGGAACTTTAGATTGTCCAAACTTTGTTTTTTCGGCCGGCGAAAAAGCATGTATTGCTGATCTCAAGGTTGCGCATGTTTGGCTTTCGCAACCGCACTTGTCGAGGGCTTCATACTTGACACACCTTTGCGGATTGTTCCATCTATGACCATGAAGATAGGAAGGAATTGGGGGCAGAAGCACAACCTATACACTGCATCAGCGGGGGAATAGGTCGTATGTAGCGATCCGCAGAGTCCCTTGGATATTCTGATGATCCTGCTCGATCTGCTGGTTGAAGCGCACTCTAGATTGAGGGTGGGTACAGTAGACATTCACCATCCCTGAGCCGGTTCGATGGACATTTTCTGGACACGTTGATTGATGCTCCGATGTTGACTCTCCCCGGGCTTGCGCACAGCGGCCGCGTGCAAAGTAGCTAGAAGCAACGGCTCTGTAGTACTTGCTGCCTGCTAGCTGTCCTGGCTGTTGTTTCAGTTACTGCCGGCATGGGCAGGGAGGCCTGGGCTTCGTGCTAGTCTTCGGTATCATGTGACGACGGGGTTGCCATCAGCGTACCGTGTGTAAATCCGATTCAATACAGGAAAAGAAGATGAATGAGAAGATGAAAAGAAGAAGCCAAAGAGTATCAAGGACATACCACCTCGGTCCTAACACCTACCCGCTGCCATCGCAGAGAGAAGCCAACAATACAGCAGCGACCATGATTCATGAGCATAGCGGCCACACCAATTCTGTGTTGTACTCTGGTGTGTTAGGAACAAACGAAGTTGTGGGATACCCACCTCTGCCACTGGGCTCCTGTCCTACTGTGAAGTCTTGCCAGGTATCCAGCCCGACCATCCGTCCTGGACGGCTTCGTACACAAGGAAGAGCCTTCTGGGGGGGTTTCTGTGCAAAGTCCGTCGGCCAAGCACTGCTCAAGATGCACGCAAGACGTCCCGCAGCTTAACCAGCAACGCGAGCAACGCGACTGATCTCGAGAGCCTGGAGCCCGATGCCACTGTGCTCCTCTCCTGCCACTCGCGTAGGGCCTTTGTAGGACGGTGGAACACGTCATCGGCAGTCAGAACAATACGATCGCCAAAAGGAGACGGGGAGGGGAAAGAGAGATGTAGGAGCTGCCTCCGCACCGTGAAACCAATCATGAGACAATGGCCGGATCGGGTACCAGTGGTCTGAGAATCGCAAGCCCAATGGAAGCACCGACTTCACAGCAACCCCTATCACCCGAGGACCTTTCACACTTCCATATCAACGGATCCGAGAAAGTTTCGTGGCCCCTCTCAGCTGTAATGTGGTGTAATATCCACGACGTGATTCCCCCTGGGGGGTGTCGAGAAAGTATTGTCAGCCAAAGATACCTGAAGAAAAACACAAAGAGGTGCTATTGATTGACAACATTGAGATACTCCGTTGAATATGAAGGCTCTCGTCTACAAAGGCAACGGTCAATGTGCCCTTGAGGATCGTCCCATTCCGCAGATCCAGGAGCCTACAGACGTTGTTGTGAAAGGTTTGCTCTGCTCAATATGTGACAGCCGAACTTGTTTTTGTACTGACGCTCCTCTCAAAGTGGTGTATACGACGATCTGTGGCACAGACACGCACATCCTGCACGGAGACGTTCCAACATGCACACCCGGTCGGATCCTTGGACATGAAGGTACTTATCTGCTGGAAGGTTGGGAGCCGTGGAAGACTGACTAATCTGTACGTACAGGTGTTGGCATTGTCCACGAGACGGGATCAGGAGTCTCAAGCTTCAAGAAGGGCGACCGGGTCCTGATCAATTGCATTTCCAGCTGTGCAACATGCACATACTGCCGCAGAGGCATGTACAGCCACTGCGTCAAAGGTGGCTGGATCCTGGGCAATACCATCGACGGCACTCAAGCAGAATACGTTCGCATTCCACTTGCCGACAGCGGACTGCATCATGCCCCTCAAGGCGTGGACGAAAAGGGTCTGGTCATGCTCTCCGACATCTTCCCAACAGGCCTCGAGTGCGGCGTGCTGAATGGAAAAGTCCAGCCTGGGTCGACAGCTGCTATTGTCGGCGCGGGACCGGTGGGCCTTGCGGCATTGCTAACCTCGAAGCTGTACTCCCCCAGCATCGTCATTGTCATCGACAAGGATCCAAGTCGTCTCCAAGTCGCGAAGAAGTTCGGGGCGGACTATATTGTGAACAGCGGGGAATCGTCGCCCGAGGAAGCGGTCATGAAGTTGACTGACAACACCGGCTGCGATGCGGTCATCGAAGCCGTGGGCATCGCTGCCACCCTGGAACTGGCTCAGGACCTGGTTGCTCCTGGCGGGACTATCGCCAATGTCGGCGTGCACGGGAGCAGCTGCTCCTTAAAGATCGAGAAGCTGTGGAGTGCCAATATCTCGTTGACGACCAGGCTCGTGGACACGGTGACCACGCCAATGCTGCTGAAGTTGTTCGCCGCCGGAAGCATTCGCCCAGCGGACCTCATCACCCATGAGTTCCCATTCTCGGAGATGGCGAATGCATACACGACCTTCAAGGCGGCGGCAGAGCACGAAGCTCTGAAGATGCTGATTACCATGTAGGAAATGCCTAACACAAAATGATTATTGGAAGTCATTGCAAGGTGGGAAAGTTGGCAGTATCATATCCAGACTTGTTTTGAAGGGTCCTCCGTTGCATTCTGCTCAATGCACGTCCGCCAGTTCCATGCGTTTTAAGCATTTACTCCCAGACCTTTCGCCTCAGCGTCCCCCATCAATGCGCTTTTCACCTCTTCCTCGCCCACTCTCAATCTGACTTTGCCCGCTCTTTCGCCCCTGCTTCTCGCCTCCATGGCCAATACACCAGCCTCCACGAGTTCCATAGCTGCTGCTCCCAGTGCAAGTATTCGTGGCATTGTCGAGGTTGCTTTTCTAGGCACCCCATTGGCCAGCAGAAAATCGTGGATGGCGCTGTTCTCGGCCACATCGGCGATGCGCTTGGCTTCGACCACAACATCACCGAAGGTAGACTCCGCCACCCCGGTGCGACGAGTGCGCGCCAATATAGCGGCAAGAAACAGTTTGGAAGCAAGCGACAGAGAACGGAGATGCTGTGCGATGGGAGAGGAGGTCGCTTCGTTAATGGCCTGTTTGATTGTTGCGATTGTTACTCTGGGAAGCGGTTTCGAGGCATCACTCTCCTCTGGCTTCGTGTTCGACAGATCCTTAGTAGCACCTCTGCCCTTGCGGCTAGGCGTGCTTGCACTAATAGAAGCGTCGTCGTTGTCAGTCTCCGTTGTAGCAGTATTCTGTGTTTGCTGGGACTGTTCCGCAATCTCGACAGCACGACGGCAGATGTCCAGCGCCCGGCGCGCATCGCCTGAAACGGCCGCGACTTTGCGACTTGCAAACTGGACAGCATCTTGGTCCACAATGTTCCCGGGCACGCCCTCGAGTCTCGACGAGATGATCTCCATCAGCTGCGTGTGCGTGTACCCCGGGAATGTGATTCGAGTCAAACCGAGCCGAGAACTAATCTTGTTCGACAGTGTTCGCTCCGGCAAATCCATTGTGTTGGCCACAGCCAGGACGATGAGTCTCGAATGCCGCATCGCCGGCCAGTTGAAGAAGTTGTACATGACGCTCTGGCTCTTGGTCACGAGCTGGTCCAGTTCGTCCATCAAGACAACACAGGGGATGCGGCGCGGTGACGGATGAGAGAACTCCTGTTCCAACAAGCTCAATGCGTGGTTTGGGCTGACACGATCGCCTTTAAGCGCTTCCCATAGCAGCGAATATGATTGATGGGGCTCCGTAACTTTCATGCCATTGATCTCGACGAAGTTGAAATCGTCCAGTTCTTCGCTCAAGACCGCTTGGTGTAAGGCGCCCACCACTTCCCGCACAGTGGCGGTCTTGCCCGTCCCCGGTGTGCCGGAAATGTAGATGCAAGCTCCAGAGCCATCGACGATGGCCGAGTACAGGTGGGAATAGACTGTGCTGAACTCGTTCGAACGGCAAGGCAAAGAAGTGGGGACGGATGAGACATGGAGAGTTGTGCGTGCCTGAGAGTATGGTGTCGACATATACTGCGATGGAGAGAGGATACGGGTCCCTAGAGGCGTGATCTCAATGGGCTTCTTGATCATGATTCGCTTGTGGGTCGGTGTTGTATATTTGGACGCTTTGACTGATGACTTCGGCGTTGACGCTGTAGTGGTCGCAGTCGTTTTCCGCCGTTTGTGTGGAGTCCTGGGCTGCTCCTCGTTGCACATCTCGTTCTTTTGCTCGTACTCGCGGTCCTCCTGCTTACTAGCCAACTGCTTTTTCTTGCCCTTTGTCTGTTCCTTGATCCAGTCAATCAGATCCAACAGGTCCTCGGGCCCTCGGTAGATCTCCTCCCAAACAAAATCCTCAGTGAACTGCAACGTCCTCTGCTTGACTCCTCGTCGGCACATAATAGTCTTTGAGTACCGGTTTGCAGCCGATTTCGACTTGGGCGGCAATCCTCCAGGATATTTCTGGAAGAAGACATCTTTCGATAAAACAGTAGCTTTGCCATTGATTGCTGTCAATGGGTTGACATTGAAGTCCGCCGTGATATACGACTCGTTGGGAAGTACGTCAGGTCTGATTTTGAATCGCTTTCCAAACGCCAGCTCTTCTGGGGTGCAGAACCACTGGATATATGCGCACATCTCGTCATCTCCGTCCTCGTTGGTCTTCGAAAATGAACAGATTAGTCCAACCCAGTCCTTTCCTTGCTCAGGAGACTTTAGCAGGATCGGATCTCCGACTCGCACAGAGAACGAGCCCATTCGTGCACCCACTATGGCCCTCTTTCTCGAACCTTGGCTGAGAGCGCTGGCCTTGCGCTTCTTCGTCGGTGTCTTCTCATCTTCAGCCGGTTGGGGTGTTTCGTCAGTCTCATAGATCCATTGCCAGGGATGGTCGTCGTATCCGAGCTCGTCGTCTGAGTCTTCCCGAGCAAGCCCGCCTTTGGTCAAATATTTCTTCTGCCTCTGCATCACGTGTGGAATACGGCAAGGGGTTTTTGGAGGATGGTTAGGATTCGGGACCAAACCTATGTGTCTGTTCCTCTGCTGTTTGCTCACTTTACATTAGGAAATTGGCACAACGCGTGAAACGCGTAAACGCGCCTCGACGCGACAGGCAATATAACCTGTTGGGGCATAGTTTGACTTGGCATTCAATACTGTCACGCATAGCATCTGAGACGCAATCCTGACCACATCTCTCTGTTATGTAGAAGAAGAGTGAAACTGCAATAACCATACACCCTGCTCTCTGATGTTCGAGGATCCTTGAAGTCCGCTCTTTGCCCATATAGAAATCTCGGGATGGCGTAAGGGTGAGGGCGCTGCAGCAGGTCGGTACTGCCCCCGCAATTGAACTTCCTTCATAAGACGAAGGCATCGTGACTTCACCTGCCTTCTGTGTCTGATCTCATTGCAAGTATTTCTATCAAAGAAAGTGCTGAACATTTGAACAAGGACAAGCCAAGGCTTGTTTGGAGGCTTGCTGGGGAATTTCTGCTTATATCAACATCTGTTGCAAAAGTTCACTTGAGTCGCGTCTCAGTTTGTTTCCATCACTGCGTCATCACTGTGTGTTTTTTGATATCACTTCACATAGAACAGAAGGCACGAAAGGCATCGTGTCACTCATCAGGAACGCATGTGCAGCTTTTTCTTAGCGTCCATGTGTATAAAGAGGTGTTGATTCTCCGTCTTCCTTTCCTACTTCCACTTCAGCCTTTTGTTACCTCATCTGCAGGTCTCTTTGTTCTTTTGCATGGACTCAGAGCGACAACGTCAGCAAGAAGCAGGCACACGTCGGCACCATGAGCGAGTGAGTATCAGCATCGGTCTGCGCAAATCATATACTGACCAGCCGATCTAGCCACGAGGGTGAAGGTCTTGACCTTGAACGTGGGTTTGAGTCTTCCTCCTTCCTGCACCGTGCCTAACCTTCTTACAGGATGGGAGGAAGCAAGTCTGCCTGGAGCATCAGCCTACTCGTATGCTGCCTCCGATGTTTTCAACCCAGGTGTGCCAGCTGGTGATGCGGGTCGCTTTCCTCCAACAGCATCTCGATATGCCACATCGCGAGATTATGCGCCGAGAGCTCAGCCCGTCATTCCGCCTAATGGGTTTGCACGAACAGCTCAACAACCTGCTGTCAGCGGTCAAATTGCCCGCAGTGGTAGACAAATCCCTACGACAAGACCCCCTATGATCAAAAGTGCTGCGCAGATTCATTTCGAAAGTGGTCAGGCCGCCGATGGAGAATATCAACTTGCTTCCACATGGCGAGCTCACAGAACATCAGCGCTGAGAATTGATCGCGGAAGTCGCCCACACCCGTTACAGACGCTACAGGAGATTATGTTCAAGTCCGGCACATACGTCAGAAAGCCAGAGGACCAGGATCAGAAGCTCTTCATCTGGGGCACGCCGCCGCAGATCGCCGAAACTAGGGCAGCACTTGCAAAGTGGGAAGAAGACCTTCGCAGCTCCGCAGATAGCTCGAAGAACAACCATAGTTGGTTGAGATCCAACGCCCTCGACGGCCGTGCAGAGCACCGACTCGAACGCCAGAGCAAGCAGAAGGCTTTTGACGAGCTTTTGAGGCAGGTCTCGCTCGATTACGCTTTCGAAGCTGCGTTCTTATGGCCGAAAGAGCTCGATATCGAAGACTTCGCGGAGCACCATGCTAACATCCTAGACCAACTGAGAAGCAGCTACCACTGTCGCATTGGTTTCCAATCTGCGGATGTCCATCACATCATCGTCGGAGCGAACTCTGAGAGAGATGTCGTCCACATCATGAACAGAGTCTTGAATCTCATCAAGGAGACCGTATCCCGTCGCGACCAGCTCGTCACTGTCACTCTAGTGCATCCTCCACACCATTCAATTTACAGAGATCGTGTTGGTTTGCAGGATCGCGATCCTCTTACTGACTCCTATCTTCCCACCTTGCATGGCAAGCCAGTATCAGACGAAGCAGAGTGGGTGAAGGAACGCCGTCGCACACATATTACAAATCGCAAGAAGATCAAGAAAACCATCGATACTTCGATCAAGCGGCTTCGGATCTCACATCAACACGTGCGCATGAGGGTGGTCTTCGGAGAGCTGGGGTTCAAATTGTTCCAGAGACCATCTGGCGGGTCTGACACGTACTCATTCGAAGATTTCTTCCTCATGGTCACCAAGGGTCGCACAAAGCTCAGCATGAACAGCATCCCTGTCCGACAAGGTGATATCACCCAGTTGCCAGACATTCTTGATTCAATGGAGGCCTTTCATGATGGGACCGAATTCTATGGGGTGTACTTCGATTTTGCAGCAGCCAACAGTAATGCGGTTCTTCGCTTGGAAACCATTATCAACCCTGTTGGCGAGCACGACTACGAGTTTCAGGAGCGTCGCTGGGTCGAGTTCGGCGATATGGTCTCCAGGCTCCAAGTCAGTCTGTTCAACTTTGAGCGTCCGGATTACCAGCTTACCATAGACGCTTTCCCCATGCATTCGAACAAGCAATTCAAAGGTCAGACTATGGGACAATTTCAGAACAACATTACTTTTACACGGCCCCCAAACGGCATCAAGGCAATCCCACAGCGACGCGTCAAATATCCTGCAAATCAGAGGAGTTTGCAAACCGTCTCCGAGCTGACGGTGAAGAAGTGGCGATTCAAGGACGCTGACGGCTATTTCGAGCTTCGGCGAAAAGAAGTCTACGACGAGAGAACAGGGCAGTACTCCTCCAGCCCGGTCGAGACCCGCTGGCACGCATTGTACTACTACCCTGAGTGGGACAATCTGATGGGCCAGTTCGGCACGCTCAAGCCAGGCGAGGACGTGAGCTGGCCGAAATCTGTCGCCACGTTCTTCCCTGAGAGTGGTGTCGACGACGGCCGGGCCTTACCTCAAGGCTTCAAGAAGTTCATCAACGAGGTGGAGGAGATTCAGGATCTGTTGGCCGAGGCTATCAGCCAGGTTGCCAGAGGTAGACAGAATACTCCTGCCACAACTGGAGATCATCAGACTGCAAATGGTCAGAACGGCGGCGCATGAGAAAGGCCGTCAAGTCGGCAACGATTCCGAGTCCCAGCCAGAAAAGAAGTGCAGATGGTAGGGACAGCGAAGTTGAGAAAGGTCGGCGGAATAGCACCCATTCTTGAAAGTTCGAAGATTCCATTCAATCCCATTTTGCATTTTGATCAGACATGCAGACCGAGAGCTGGTGCCATACTTTTCTGTGGCCGAGCTGTTCAAGTCTGCCAGAAGCGAGCAGATGCAGCTAGGCAGCTAGGCAGACATAGACAAAAAGCGGGCAACATGTCCTTGCAAAGCAGCGCATCTCAGGAATCATAAGGTATCTTTTTAATAGACACAGATGAAGCCAGCGGCAGTAATTCGTGATCACACAACATTGGATCTCTCCGGCGACCATGGCGGCAGCCGCAAGCCGCTTTATCCTACACTCGCTTGCGCCCGTGGTTGATTCGAATCCGCCCCGGCAGCCTGTTCAGCAAGCATCTTCTGTCTCAAGACTGCAGATGCAGAGAGATAAGCCGTATCAGCTGTTTGCCCACATACCCAACATGACATGACTCTTGGGAGGAGGGGTTGGTATGTATGCACTCACCATCTTCGATGACCCTTAGATTCTCGTTCTTCCCGCCCACGGCCTTCTCGATTTCGAGCAGGTTCTTCGTCAACTCATCCACCTTGCCAGTGTAGAACTTGATGCCGTCCTCCGGGGTCTTTTCGACAAAAAAGCCAGTGCCGACATCGACGAGGACAGATGAAGATTTATCCGACGAGTCCGCGGGTGTTGCAAGCGTGCCGGGCACGTAGAGGGATGTGGTTAGGGGGATGAGGAGCGGTGTTTCTGTTGACAGTACGAACGCGAGTTAGCATGCTTCCAATCGCATATTTCGAAAAATCAAGATTCAATGCTTGTGTGGGTTCTTCATTGCTCGTGCCAAATTCGTTTCGTGCTTGCTCGACAATCTTCTCGTCTCGTCTCGTCTCGATTTGATCGCGACTAAGAGCCAACCTGGGCTTCCCTTCAACGCTTCTGCTCAATTTTCCCTCTCCTATATCCATCCATGCATGCGTGCGGGTCCGACGAAATCGGAACACTAACGCTTATACATCGTATGCGTATGTCTCCTCCAGGCAAGGGTATACGTGTTTGTGCTTGCGTCTGTCCATCATACGGCGCAGAAAAACAGACTCACCTCCGCTCTTCCCCTGTACTCCCTGCTGAATGCTGCGAATACAATCCCGGAAACGCGATTGTGCGGCTCGGAGCCGTTGGTAGGATGTGCTTAGGTGCTCGAGTTCCTGCGAGAGTCGGGATTGCAGCGCCGAAAGCTGCTGGACTGACAGCGTCGAGATGTCAACTGCGTTTGGTGGTGGTTGCGACATCTTCTCGTTTTCTCCAAGTGAGGATGCTGGGCAGAAGTAGGAAAGCGTACAAGTGTAAACGGACAATCCAGAAACGGAGTGATCCTTTTTGGTTGCGAATTTAGACAGAAATGAATGAATGAACGGGATGGGATGTGTTTGTTAATCTCTTAGAGAAAGTTGAACTGCGATTCGAGTTTGGAGAAGGCCGGAATTGGCTACTCAGCCTTGTTCGAATTCACGAGGCTGCTTCTGTCTGCAAAGCGGGTCAACCACAACAACTCTTCGATGAAATATGAGTTATATACGTAGTAGCTGTCATCGCTCCACGGACTAGAAGAGCCGATTGTAGAGGGATGACAGAGTATTATGGTTATGCTAGAAGCTGTGATTCAAAAAATCCGCAAGAGTTGGGTATCTCTTTTTAGTATACAATTGCCGCCATCATAGAGAATATCTCAAAGCTGCTTGAGCAGACCATGCACGAATTCCACCACGCGGTCCATCTCCACGTCCTGTTTGATCTTCAGCCGGCGACACTGCACCTCGACCCTTCCTCGGTCGAAGCCTTTGCCCAGCACTACAATCACAGGATAGCCGATCATGTCAGCATCCTTCAGCTTCCATCCCAGACCTTGATCCGTTCGGTCGTCAAGGAGGACATCCGCCGCACCAAGTTCTGAGCTGGATAGTTGGTCGTAGATCTGCTCGGCCGCCTGCATCCTTTGCGGCTCAGGCTTTGCGATAAGCACCACCACTTCAAACGGCGCAATCACTCTAGGCCAGTTGAGGCCACGTTCGTCCGCGAGACATGATGCCACGGCGGCGATGAGTCTGGACACACCGATCCCATGGCATCCCATTTCGACGGGAACTCTTTCCTTGCCATCAGGATTCCTGATGGTCAGTCCCAGCTTGGAACTGTATCGGGTTCCTAGGTGAAAGGTGTGGCCGACCTCGATGGCCTTGTGTAGCTGAAGCTTGCCGCTCGAACACTCCGGACAGGGATCACCGGATTGTTGTTTGAGCAAGTTGATACCGCGGCCGTCGTCTTTCGGCGCACTGATGACATAAAATTTGATGTTGTTGTGAGAGAACCGGTCGATGTCCTGTGAAATCAGCTCGTGAATCGACTCAGGTTCCACCCCAGAGTCGAGAAGGTAAATGATGGATGCGTCCTTGGTCGCATTGTCCGCGCTATCTGTCGCCAGCCGTCCCTCGAAGGAAGCGAAAGGATGTTCCAAGCCGGAATCGATCTCAAGGACGCCGGCAAGAGCTGCTTTGATGGCATACGAGTTGAGACCATACGGATTGATGTCGTCTGTTGCATCCTGAACCGTTTCCTTGGGTGCGATCGCGCGAACAAGACTACGGCCGTCTTTACTGAGGAAGTCTTGTTGAAGGTACGCGCTAGGATTGAGGGATGCTGATAACTCGCGGTCCGGTATACTTTCGATGAACTGAGGAGGGTATGCCTTCTGTGAAACGAATTCCTCATTCCGGGCATAGCCACAATCTGAACAAGTGATAACAATATCCTCTCCTGCGGAGTTTGGGAAGTGGTATTCATGACTGAGATTTCCTCCCATGTCGCCAGACTCGGCCCTGGCTTCGATGTACTTGACTGTCAATTCATCCAGGAAGTTGCGATATGCACCTCTGATGTCGTCGTATGTTGCATGTGCCTCCTGTGGCGTTGAGTCGAACGTGTACAGGTCTTTCATGAGAAACTCCCGGCCTCGAAGGAGCCCACCTCTCGGCCGTTTCTCGTCGCGATACTTCCGTGTAATCTGATACAGACGCACAGGAAGTTGTTGAGGGGTGCGGATGATGTCCGCGAGTAAAGTCGTGATTTCTTCTTCGTGTGTCGGTGCTAGGAGCCATTCCGTATCTCTTCGATCCTTGAATGTGAAGAACTCGGCCCCTGGTTTCCACCGTCCCGATCTCTGCCACAACGCTAATGATGATATCGAAGACAAGGATACTTTAGAAGCCTGGATAGACTTCATGTGTTTGTCGATCAGTCGTTCTAGCTTTTCTTGGACTCGAAGTCCAAGCGGTAGCATCTGGAAGATGCCGGCGTACGCTTGCCGCAGATAGCCAGCTCGGATGAGGAGCTGGGTGGCATCGGCAGCGGCATCTTGCTTCTGCACGTTCACCATCGGAATCCAGAAGTCGGTAAGCCGTTGTCTTGAGTCGGTGTGTTTCAGCCGGACTAGTCCACACTGTCGCTGAGCGAGAGCAAACGTGGCCCTCGCAGAGACTTGACGGAGAACATGGTGCTTCATGGATGGGATTCAACAGCACCGGAGAACCATGAGTTCGGGTAGTCCAACCATAACACGATCTCGTACACCTGTGTCCTCGGCCCCGTCTCACATTCGGCCCGCCCAGTGTATGTAGCGACTGAAAGTGACAAAGGCCCAAGTAGCTTGAGGTTATGTTGAACGCATTGGAAACTAAATGTCGACTACTACTTCTGTGGTGCAGATAGACTGCATTTGCACCTGGCTGGAGGTTGAGGCAGCGGAATTAACTGTGCTTGGCAGCATTAAATCCGCTGAAATCTATAATTTTCTGGCGCTCGCAGGTTGCGAGTCGCTCACCATTGACCACGCCGTCTTTATTTGGAGGCGTGCAAGATTCGATGATCTGAGAGTCATGTCCAAATCGAAGCCTCATCCTGTGGGCTCTCCAGCAGCGGCTCCCAGCAAGTCTCAGGAGGGTTCCACCGAAATTGCCTCGAAGCCCGCAACCGCTACGCTTGAGAACCTGCGCCATGAGATCCAAGCACGCTTTGAGAAGTTAGACAAGAAAGGACCGAACCCCAAAAAGAACAAGAAGGATGCAAAGCTTGGTGCAGAAGGGTCTGAGCGAGGTAAGAAGCGTGATCGAAATGGTCAAGTCCTCGACCAGGACAAAAAGAATGCTCCTCGAAAAGACAATGGAGAAGGTGTTGACGAAGAGGACGAATTTCGGAAGGAAGTGCAGGCTCTAGGGGGTACCACTGAGGATCTGGAACTCGTTGCGGACGCAGAATCGGACTCCGAACTGGAGGGGCCTACGATCGAGAAGACACCCAAGAATTTTAAGTCTCGGCCATCGTCAAATATTGATGTAGACGGTCTGGACAAGGGCCTGAAGAACATTTTGAAAGAAATCGCTCTGGCACAGGGCGAGATTGACGACGAACAAAACGAGTCTGAGTCCGACAATGTGGACGATGAAGTTCAAAGGCGCCCTGAAAAGGCAGCCCCGGCTAAGCAGGCCGATGCCTCAAGTCAGAAACCAGATCAAAAGCAGGAGAAGAATAAAGACAAATCACAGCGTGGAAAGAAGCCCTCATTCATCTGCGAACCCAGACCTGAGTGGTACGACGTGCCCGCAGTGGATGTCGATATGGCGGCTGGTCCCAAATATACCCCAACGAAAGACTCAATCGACCAACTCCACGAATATGCGAAGACATTGTTGGAGGAAGAGAACCAGCGGTTCAGAGACTCTCAGCAATCGTCAGCGTCTCACTCCTTCTACAATACGGTCGTCACTTCGGGGACACTGTCGGACAAGATCTCGGCTCTCACACTGGCCGTGCAAGAATCTCCCCTCCACAACATGCATGCTCTTGAGACCTTGATCGCATTGGCCCGCAAACGCAGTCGGTCTCAGGCAGTCGATGTTCTTCGGGCTCTCAAGGACTTATTCGCACAGGGATCTCTACTCCCGGAATCAAGAAGGCTTTATGCGTTCCATACCCAGCCAGCTCTGCCCAACGCGCTGGGACAAGTGAAGATGTGGAGCAAGGGGAATAAATTGCCTCGCGGTCTGGATCAGAAGCACCTGGTGGTGTGGGCGTTCGAAGATTGGCTAAAAGAGCAATATTTCGAAGTTCTCAAGACCCTCGAAGTGTGGTGCAACGACGAGATCGAGTTTTCCAAAGCACGCGCTGTGAGCTACGTATATGAGCTGCTCAAGGAGAGACCTGAGCAGGAATCGAATCTGCTGCGGCTTCTCATCAATAAAATCGGCGATCCAGTCAAAAAGATTGCTTCACAGGCTTCATACTTGTTGATGCAGCTGTTGATCAATCATCCCGCCATGAAGGGGATTGTGGTGTCGGCGATTGAGACAGACTTCATCTTCCGACCCGGACAAAGCTTGCACGGAAAGTACTACGCAGTGGTGACGCTCAATCAGACAGCACTGAGCACCAAAGAGGAGGATGTGGCGCGGAAACTGATAAACATCTACTTCTCCTTGTTTACACAACTGCTGAAAACCGGTGCCATGGCTCCAGAGGAGAAGACGGATGATGGACCGCCGTCTCGAGGTCCCCCATCTCGAGAGCGAGGAAGACAACCCAAAAAACCACCGGTCTCAGGGCAATCTCAAACCGATGAACTGAGAGAGAAACTGACATCGGCGATCTTGACTGGGGTCAACCGGGCATATCCTTACGTGGGAGCGAGCGGCACAAGCTTCGGCGAGCATATGGAGACATTGTTCAAGATTGCACATTCGCCAAACTTCAACACGAGCATTCAGGCGCTATTGCTCATACAGCGACTATCGAATCAGCACAAGGCGTCAGATGATCGTTTTTACCGCGTTCTTTACGAATCGCTGTTGGATCCCCGGCTGATCCACGCCTCGAAACAACAACTCTATCTCAACCTGCTGCATCGAGCGTTGAAGGCCGATCTAAACGTGAAACGTGTCAGGGCGTTCGTGAAGAGGCTGATTCAGATCCTGTCGTTGCACGAACCTCCATTTATCTGCGGGGCCTTCTTCCTCATCCGGGATTTAGAGTCAACCTTCCCTTCACTAGCAGGACTGATTGACCAGCCAGAGGACCATGACGATGACGAAGAAGTGTTTCGCGATGTTGACGAAGATGGCAACACTGCTGCTCAGCCTGCATTGCCTGACAAACACCAGGGCAATGTCTACGATGGGCACAAGCGCGCGCCCGAACATGCCAACGCCGACAACAGCTGTGCATGGGAACTGCTTCCGTTTTTGGCGCATTTCCATCCCTCAGTGTCTGTCAGCGCTGACCACGTCTTGCGACATGCCAAACTGCCTGGAAAGCCGGATCTTAGTTTGCATACGCTCAGCCACTTCCTGGATCGCTTCGTCTATCGCAACCCCAAGCTGTCATCATCCGGTCTGCGGGGCTCCTCGATCATGCAGCCTATGGCGGCGAGTGATACGCACAACGTGCTCATTGCTGGCAGTGCCGGTGGCGCACGCCAGTTGCCGGTGAACAGCGACGCCTTCAAATCCAAGAAGGGTGATGAGGTGGCTGCTGAAGACGTCTTCTTCCATCAATACTTTGCGACTTTGGCCAAGGGTACATCGAAGAAGCCTAAGGCTCAGAAGAAGCGGGAGAAGGAAGATGATGAATCCGGCGATGAGGATGAGGTGTGGAAAGCCATGATGGACAGCGCACCGGATCTAGAAGGGGAGGTTGAAAGTGACGATGATGTCGACCTGTCCGACTTGGAGTCGGCTATGGACGAGTCTGATGGGGAAGGAGTCAGTGGTTCTGATGATTCTGATGTGGACATTGAGGCGGGCATCTTTGACGAGGACGAGGACGACCTTATGGACATGGATGAAACTGCGGTTAGTCAAGGTGCGGAGTTCGCAGGGTTCGACTCGGCAGAGGAAGATGAAGAACTTGAGCCCTCGGATAGGAGGAAGAAGAGCAAGAAGGAGACAAAGGAGGAGACGGGCAAGGCGAAGAAGAACAAATTGAAGGGCCTGCCGACGTTCGCGTCTGCCGAAGACTACGCGAAGATGCTGGAAGATGACGACGACGAGGATGTGTGAGGCGGGGAGCTCATATGCTAGTGTTTTCCTATATCCTACAAATGGTGTCGTTTATCAATGTAGGTGTCAGTAGCCTTTCGGTGTAAGGCTTTAAGCGAGCGACTCAAGCAAATGTCGAGATTCTTGGTTGTCTTGGTTGTGTCTTGGTTGTGTCTTGGTTGTGACTTGGTCATCTTGGGTGTGGATGGAGATGAGCTTGATTCGACGCCACGCCACGCCACGTTTCCTGACTTGAGATGGAGACGTAGCAGCATACCAGTATTGAGGATCTGAGGAGCTCGGCAATCTCGGGCTGTCTACAGATACAGCTTCACGGCAAATGTGAGACTCGATTGTACGAGGGCATTCAAAGGGGTCCTAGAGTGGCACGGTAACCAGAGGTGCGGGTGCAGTCTGCACAGTACGGTGCAGTGGTGGGGGAGGAAGTCGAGCCGCAGTCTTTCTCAGGGTCATCAGGCTACAGAGATACCTCAGGTACCTAAAGTGACGCAGTGTTCTCACCCATTGTGCCTATCATAGGGGTCCTTATTCTTCTTGTCACAGATGCCTGAGTGCTTACTGGCCCCTAACACTTTGCTTAAAGCATCATTACCTAAGGTATCTATCTAGGCTGGTGCCTACGGTGAGCATTTCTCGTTGTAATCCGTTTGATGCCATAGTCTGGGGAAAGCACGCCATCTGAGACTTTGCCTCTGTATATCTCTTTTTGTCTGGACTACTATACTACAACTGTGGGCTGCGCAAGTTACTGTACGTTTTCAATATTAATGCCAATGCCAAAGGAATGGCCACAATGGATCACTTCTTCAGCCTTTTCGACTGACTTTTCTCCCTCCACATCTAGTCTCCTTCCGCCCTCCATAACGGCGCTGGCCGACAGGATCTGGATGTGACGCTGGGATGAAGCGTGGCCTGTGGATGGCCTGAAAATTTCAACTAGTCGGTGTTAGCGGCTACTACGACTTCTTCATCATCATCATCATCAACACCACCGTTGTCGTTGTCGTTGTCGTCGTCATTTGGCCAGCAATTCCTGCCAGACAACAACTTCATTCGAACTGATGGAGTCAAAGGGACCGCACCAATGCCAACTCACACCTCACACCTCACACCTCCTCTTCCACCACTAGCCACCTGCTCTACCAGCTGCTGGCTCTACCAGATATCTGCCTGCCTGTCTGCCATCTGCCAGTCCCTCCCGCCCGACGTCCGTGCCACCATCCTGCACTAGAAAGACAATAACACGCCATATCCATCATCTGAGGTTCCGTCGCTCAGGGATCCCGGGCCTCATCAACTTATTGGTCTTCTACTGACCCTTCCGTCGCCCCCAGTCAGGGATCGTCGAGTCCCATCGCGGACCCCATCCCGCTTGTCGTCACTATGCGCTCTTCTTCTCCACTAGAGTTAATAAACAGCCACCTACCGACTCCCGAAAACCCTTACCAGACTCGGAGTACAGACCCTGCGATCTCAACTGTTTGTTATTTCATGTACACTTCTACAACCTTGCTCCTGGTCTAGCCCCTCAGATCCAGTCAAGTTTCCTCAGCACGCCATCCCAGCTTATCTCTTTCAAAAAGACCTTTCCCCTCGGCGCAGGTTCTTAATCTGACCGTTCTCTGTTGCCAACTACTTCCAAAGTGTTGTGTTCTCCTTCATCCACAGGGCTGTTTACTGCAATCGCAGCGTGTTCCTTCCACCACAATCACATGCCGGCGGTCGCTCTTCTCGATCTAGATTCCCTGTTTTACGCCTGTTTCGTACGGGCCATTCGCGCTGTCAAGTGGCGTTGAGCAAATCGAGTACATAGACTCTGTGACAAGATAATAACACCATCGCAATCCAAAATGGCTGGTCTCCACGAGAAACAGGAGCCTACATTTGGCGACGCGAACACCTTCAAGCCCGAGGCGGAACCCGACCTGGAGCAAAGGCGCACTTCTGTGACCAGCGTCAACGGCCGCAGAATGAGCAGGATTGGACCCCCTCCGCCAAGAGCGGCTTCCCTCACCAATGACTCGGATTCCGCAGATGACTACAGTAAGCTGGTGCAGATGGAGGCTCATGATGTTATCAAGTACCGGACTTGTTCCTGGCAAAAGGTCTGTTTTGGCGACTACTTGCAAGGTCTTCCAGGTTGCTAACGTGCGCCGCCGACAGACCGCTGCATTGCTCTTCTCGGAGTACATTTGTTTGGCCATCATGTCGTTCCCTTATTCGTATTCCGTACTAGGTCTCGTACCGGGCCTCATCTTGACCGTGGTCCAAGCGGCATTCGTTCTCTACACGTCTCTGATCGTCTGGTAAGTCTAGCAGCATGCCAAAAATTCCGGTGAGATCAATACTGAGACAACGTTGATTAAAGGGAGTTCTGTCTGCGTCATCCCGAGACGAGAGATGTCTGCGATATTGGTCAGATGTTGTTCTGGAACTCGAAGTGGGCGTGGTGGTTCACCGCCATCATGTTCCTCCTGAACAATACTTTCATCCAGGGTCTCCATGTCCTGACAATTTCCCGCTATTTGAACACCATGAGTGGTGAGTTGTGTGATCATTGATCCTTGATCAATCCCATGAGTCATTCATACACATGCTGACTTGGGGTCAACAGGCCACAGCGTCTGCACCGTGGGCTTCGCCGCCATTGGCGCCGTCGTGTCTTGGGTCTGCTCTATGCCGCGTACTTTCAATGCTCTGTCGAAATTAGCCGCCCTGTCGGCTTTGTTCACTTTCGTCAGTGTTATCCTTGCCGCTGCTTTTGCTGGCGCGGAGGGCAAACACGGCACTGCCGGGTACAATCCCGATCCCAACCACATCAATGCCGCAGGTCAGAAGGTTGGAGGTGAACCTTTGGTGCTGGCTATTCCCCTAGCAGGCACCACATTCGTCTCCGGCATGAACGCCTTCCTAAATATCAGTTATACCTTCATCGGCCAGATCACCCTGCCAAGTTTCATCGCCGAAATGAAGAATCCGTACGATTTCCGCAAGGCAATTTGGATAGTCACCATTTGTGAGGTTATTGTGTTCAGCTTGGTCGGTGGTATTGGTAAGTCAGAGCCGCCTCATAGACATTGGCCGTCGTTCGCAAATTGGCGAGATGCAAAATGCACGCATTGGGCCGGTCAAGTGCTAACGGATCTCGGCGACTAGTGTACGGCTACACCGGAACACAATACAATACCGCCCCGGCTTTTGGCTCTCTGGGCAACGACGTTTACAAGAAGGTGTCCTTTTCCTTCATGATCCCGACGTTGATCTTCCTTGGGGTTTTGTACGCCTCGGTCTCCGCTCGCTTCGTCTTCTTCCGCCTGTTTGATGGCACCGTCCACAAGACTTCGCACACCGTGGTCGGCTGGGCCTCTTGGGCTGCGATCCTCGCCGTGACCTGGGTTGTTGCCTTCATCATCGCCGAAGTCATCCCTTTCTTCTCGGATCTGCTGTCTCTCATGAGTTCCCTATTCGATAGCTTCTTCGGCTGGATCTTCTGGGGCGTGGCATACCTGCGCATGCGACAGGCCGACCTGGGACCCGGATTCTATCGCAAACGCGGCATTCGAGGATGGATCGGGTTCTTGATCAACATTTTCATCATCGTTGTGGGCGTCTACTTTTTGGGCGTGGGCACCTATGTAAGCTCCTATCATCTTTGTGCGAGTCAACATCTGGACGTGAACTGACTGGCTGGTACTCTTTAGGCATCTGTTGACAGTATCATACTTGACTACAAAAACGGAAATGTCAAGGGTGTCTTTACGTGCGCGGATAACTCGGTGTAAAAGCCCGTACGCCGATACTTTCGTTCAATGGAGATCATTGGTTACCCCAAATGCACCAGTTCCTGGAGCCACGCAAGAACTTCATCCAATACATCGGAATTGCAGGTCAAAGAGACAGGGTTCGGAGCGAAGTCCGATGGTAACGATGTATATGACGGTCTTCAGCTCGGAGGAATGGCGTATGCGTTTCCGTCAATAGCCATCAGCTGGAGACGTGGGGGAATGCCTAGGTAGATGATCATGAGGTGGAACTGGTCCGACAACCAGGTGCGGAAATAATACAACTTGAAATATAGAGGCGTCTATGGCTTGATGAGACGAGAGCTGAAAGTATATCTAGTAGCCAGGTAAACTGATGTACAAACAACCATATACTGCGTGCTCATTATTGATGTGACCTTTGACTCAGAGCGACAAAAGGTAGTAGAAATGTGACGCCGCTTTGAAGACGGAATTCATTTGTAGGCCGACATGAGACTTTCTTAGAGCGGCATTGTGGCACTCCCAAAACAGACTGAAGCCGTCTCTTGCCCCTTGGTCCTACCAAGCGACAGTGATACCATGCATGGCCTCTGGCTGTGCTACTATTCACAGCAGCAACCCTCGTATTTGTGGAGGACAGACTTTCGCATCTGCTTCTGACATTGAAAGTGACAGCTTCACCTTCTCTTCTTCCCTTCTCTTCACGGTCTTCTTGGGAACGGGTCTGCACCGTACCTTGACGATTTGGCAACATTGGTGCGGATTGCAAGTCCCACGCATCGTCGTCGTTAATTGACGGAGGCCACATTGTATTATCACTTTAGACCTGAGTTTTATTTCACCCACCATCACCCGACCCGACCTGCGCCTCTCTTCACGTTTTGTTCCGCGAGCCCTCTCACCGACCTCTGCTACCGTCATATACCATTCCACGAGATCCCAAGGCTATCGATCTTCAGACCCCTGCGCCACGCCTGTCCCTTCCGCTAAACCGCCGGCTGATCAATGCATTAAACCACCCTGTGTTAGACTGTTGCTGGACAAGAGTCGCACAAATTTGTGAGAAGGACACCTGCGGGGTGGTAATGAGTTGGAGGGATGAATAGGCACCACGCCTTCGCCAACGGCCATGCTGCCAACAAAAAGCGCGATGATGACGGCTATCGTCCCTACTCCGACCGCGCCGATCTAGAGAACAAGTACATCTGGGGCATGCATGATCTCGTTGAAGATGAAAAGCCAGAGGCAGCCTTTGGTCGTCGATTCGAACCACGAAAGAAAGCACTACACTCCCGCTCTCGTCTAATACGACTTGGGTTGATGGCTCTGGGGACAATCGCCTTGATCATCTACTTCATTTTCCCTTCAGCCCTACAAGGTTCTTTACTGTCCAGCGCCGATACTTCTCTAGAGCAGTCCGATATCGAGACCTTGCGATATTACGACCTCACGGATGCGCAGGGATCTTCGGTAGGATGGCATCGGGAAGAGCGGGTTTTACTGTGCACTCCTTTACGAGATGCTGCACCGCATCTGCCCATGTTCTTCGCCCATCTGCGCAACTTCACCTACCCACATCGCCTCATCGACCTGGCTTTTCTTGTCTCCGATTCGAAGGACAACACCGAAGAATTACTCTCACAAATGCTGGAAGCGCAGCAAGCCGATCCTGACCCATCACAACATTATGGTGAGATTTCCGTCATACACAAAGACTTTGGACAAGCCGTGAGTCAAGATTTCGAGAGTCGTCATGGGTTCGCTGCGCAAGCCAGCCGGAGAAAGCTTATGGCACGAGCACGAAACTGGTTGCTTAGCGCGGCATTGAGACCTTATCATAGTTGGGTATACTGGCGCGATGCCGATGTGGAAACCTGTCCCTACACTGTCATTGAGGATCTAATGCGACACGACAAAGATATCACGGTCCCAAGTGAGTGAAATACTACCTCCATCCAAACCAACTCTTGCTGATCATTGTTTTCTAGACATCTGGCGTCCATTGCCCGATTGGTTAGGTGGTGAACAACCCTACGATCTGAACTCGTGGCAAGAGTCAGAGACGGCCATGGCTCTAGCGGAGACTTTGGACGAGGATGCTGTCATTGTGGAAGGATATGCCGAGTACGCCACCTGGCGGCCGCATCTGGCGTATCTTCGAGATCCATATGGAGACCCAGACGTCGAAATGGAACTTGACGGCGTCGGTGGTGTGTCGATCCTGGCAAAGGCCCGAGTTTTCCGTGCCGGCGTCCATTTCCCTGCTTTCTCCTTTGAACGCCACGCCGAGACTGAAGGCTTCGGCAAGATGGCCAGACGCATGGGGTTTTCGGTGATTGGTCTACCGCATTACACTGTCTGGCATCTCTATGAACCGTCAGTAGACGATATCAGACACATGGAGGAAATGGAAGCGGAAAAGCGCGAGAGAGAGAAGCAAGAAAAAGAAAATGCCGCCGTGGCCAAGAAGATCCAGGACGAATTCCGCCCCGTGAACTCGCAGTGGGAAGAGGACAAACAAGCCATTGCTGGGGAGGCTGAAGAGGCTAACTCTCAGAGTGACGCCAAAGAGGAAACGAGAAAGAATGAAGGTATGAAGAAGACGGACATTCGTCAGGGAGACGGCACCGAGGAGCTGAGCGCCAAAGATGATGGAGACACCGCGGCTGAGGGCGAGAAGGTAAAGGACAAGAAGAAGAGCAACAAGGCGGGTGCGAAGAAGCCCAAGGTTGCGGCAGAACCTAGAGAAGACGAGGATGATGAATGAATCGTCTCTTCCGCGACAAGACACGAGAGCCTGGCCGTAAGAGGCCGATCATGACAACGATTGAAGACCGACCGGATCATCATCAAATGGCACCCAACAACCCGAGCACCGTGGGATGATTGATTTCAGGAAAAAGGGGAACATGAGAACATGGGATGCAAGAGAGACAGCAAGCGATCCCTTCAGAAGCATGAAGCATGGTGCATATCGGACCCGGCGTTGCTCTTGCTTTTGCTTTTAATGGCTGCCACGGCTCTCAGGGTTGGGGGATTCCTGCATCACCACCCTTGTATGCTGTACACTTTAGACACGCAATGATCTCTGCGCCCGGCGCAAATATGGAATGGGCTGTTTGAAAGGGGCGAGACGTCCGGCTGGCTGGCCATATTGAGGACAATCAATCAGATACTAGCACTGGCTCTGCAAAATGCGAACTGTCTGTGAGCTGAGTTACAACTCGTTTTTCTCGTCTCGTCTCGTCGGGTTGTGTACATGCGTACCTAGACCTAGTGTGTTGTGGCATCAGTCGGATACTTGCACACTCGGGGTCGTACTAAGGTCTCACGCTGCGAGCGGTATTTGAAAACGTAAGATTCGTAGGCCGTTGGATGAAGACCTTGCAGCCTCGCGACTCCTCAAGAGGCTGCTTCTGAGCTACCGAAGGGTCTAGAAGGCCATGCAGTCGAATATGCAGGAACCTTTTTTGAACTTAGGACCGAATGCTGCAGTGTCTCTGCAGGGGTTGCAGTCGGGGACACACAGGTCACACAGGTCACACACAGGTCATGGCCACAATAGAGATTGTTTATGTAATGCATGCACTATAATTCCGCCATGACGTTTGCCTTCACGACGCGTCCCAATTCGGGAAGAAAGCGAGAGACGCGTTTATCCTTTATCCCGAGTCATTCACGTCTGCCAACCGCATGATGGACTAATACTACATCCAACACGGCTAGAATACTACTGTGCCCTGTCTGATTAACTACACATTGTCATTCTGAAATCTCGATATTGAGCCATCTCGACGATGCCTCGGCTCTAATTCGAGATCAAGAAGGCAAGGCATGACAATCGATTCTTGCTCGAAACTCAAAGGTCCAACAGGCTTTTAGCAAAGACGAAATACAACAGCTAGTCCTGGAACGACCACGGCTACGACCACTACCATCATCCCCGTATGCTACCAATCTGAAGCCTATCACCGAATGACTGATCAATCGGGTGATTGTATTCGATTCGGCCTGAACGACAGACTGAAAGACAATCACGACGAGACGACAAATCAATCGGCCAAAGCACTCAAAAGGACAGACGATCAATCTCTGAGAGGACTATAATACCTTGACACACCTCTTTTTTTGACAGTGCATAAGAAGTCTCCTTGAGGATTGCAACCGCAAAACAATATGGCTTCATCGATGTCGTCGTCGCAACAGTCCGGGTTTCCGCCTGTCCCATTCTCGGTCATGGCGTCGCAGCAGGCGCTTAGATTGATGGAATTGCCAATGGAATTGGTGGCCTTGGTGGAGAAGGAGAGAGGATTGAGTACGGGAGGTGGAAGAAGGTCAAGGTGAGTCGTTAGTATGTTGGTGTTGTTGCTCTTTCTCATACCGGACGTTGTTTGTTGCTATGGCTATCATTGTGTCGAAATGGCATCTCGTCGCCCATCACTGCTTTCCGTGGTACGGTTCGTTTCTTTCCTGGTGCTGCCTCTCTGTGCTATTATGCTGCATGGAGGAAGTAATACTACGGCGGAGAAAATGATACTGTTGTCCTACTTGGAGGGTGCCATAGTGCATTATCTCCGCTTTTGTGGTTGCTGAAGACAAACCTGCCTCCACTACAGCCACGAGTTCATGTCGTGATACCGACTGTTACGGCTTGATGGAATCACCCTGCACTTGCAAGGACACAAACACCAAGTTTGTTTTCCAGAATCAGAGAGCAGGAGGCGCAATAAGCTCGAGCGGACTTGATCTCGAGATTCACTGAATTCAAGCTGATGACTTGTTCTCCCTTCAGCAGATTACAATTCAAGTCAACAATGGCTACCGCTCCCTCTGCTGCACGTTCTGAACCTTCGCATGGACACCTTCACCTCTGCAGCGACGATAAGGTCTGGGCTGTCAAGCAAGTCAGTACGAGCAACAGTGTCTACGTCACCAAGACACAACTACTCCCATCCCAGGTTATCAATAGTCAGAAACAACAAAACAACGACAGCAATCACGAGAGCAATGTTGAGGACGGAGAGAATATCTTGAATGCGAGCAACAATGCTACCGGTCAGGGTAGAAACACAGCTGGTACAGATGGCGATGCCCACATGACCTTGGAGCTGGACGCAGAGAGAGCAGCTCAGAATGACGATCAACAGAGACCGCCTGGTCGAGTAACACCCCGCACAGACATTGGCTCTCAGACTGGGATAGCAGCCATATCACAAGTCCATAATGTCCTTGAACTGGTCGAAGTCAAGCCCAACGATGCAGAAATCGAAGCCAACATTCGAAACATAGTACCAGTCCTCGACGACCCGGACCACGATGCAAATGAGATACATTTACGTGCACCGAATGGCGGTCCAGATGCAAATACTGCGACTGTCACTCTACGAGAAGTGTTGGACAATACTCCCACACCTACGAAATACGTTATCAGCATCCTCAAGAATTTGTTCGTCTTCATTCTCCCGAGACGGCAAGACGAAAGACAGATATCGGCCACATACATACCCACTACGCATCTTTTGCTCCGTGCTTGGAAAACTTTCATTCAGCAGTGCGCCATTTCAGGTGTCAAGCTCACCACCCCCGAAGGCCTGAGTGGTGAACAACTCATCCAAGATGTCTTCAGAGGCATGATAGAGGAGGCGGAGATGAAAGAAGACGGCACCTTGACGGTCGCGGTGACAAGGGCTATCTTAAGGCAATTTGATCTGGCGAATAGTGACAGGCCTGACGATGGCGGCACCGTGTCTAATCACCACCACCTGGATCCGGAGCTTGATGTGGACCTGGATCTACATCAAGACCTGGACCTGGTTGGCCAGCCATTGGTTTTGCAAAGAGACCTCGTTAGCCAGGCCGTGGGAAGCTGGGTCCTCCTCTCTCTGCGAGACCAACAGCCTCCTTCCACGACAGTCACCGTGGCCGAATTCCTGAAGCAGTGGACCGAACTCCTTCCAGATTCATGGGCTGAGGACTGCGACCCGAAAGCACTCGTCCGCACATTCGGTGCGGGAGTCGGATTGGCGAAAGACGCAAATTCCACCGGGGCGGAGGTCTTGCGATTCACGGCTGCTGCAACACCTGGCTCGGGTGGCGGCAATGGTGCTTCCCTCCCCAAGGGCCCAGTGTCGGCGGTCCGGAAAGACGATGCCGGGAAAGGGCAGAGCGAGGCCCAGAACCATAAGAAGAGGAAGTGGCATGAGAAATTCGCAGCCCAGAGAATCAAGGCGGACAAATGACAAGAATTGGATTTCGAAGTCCGTGATTTGCAGCTATCAGATACAGTCGCCTCTCTACTCTTGACAGTCCATGGCAGCTTGCTAGTTTCCTACAGAGAACTCGCGTGGAAAATTCTCCCGGCTTTTGGAAGTCTTGAGAAGGCTTCATTCGACCCTATCACTCCTGTCACGGTATGATGTTTCGACTCATGTAGCCCCTGGCACGTGACAAGGCTGAGTGTAGAAGATGGAAGCAATCGTTTCGAGGTTACAGACACCTCTAGAAGGCTCAGGTTGCGTTGGTCCGACGGTATATAGCATAGGCGCATGGCAAAAAAAGTGACCACAGTGGGTTGTTACACAGACCTAGCTGCTACCGTCCCTCAACCATCTTTGCTCACATCAGCCGTAGCATCTTTCTGAACCCTTCCACCGGAGACAGATAAGCCACCACGCTCATAGAGTGATACCACCTCAATTTCAATGTGGCTGGTTCAATCAAGACAGGAGGGCGATGCCAGGATGGTGTCGCAATCCAAGCAGGCAATGCCATCAAGAGCTATTATTGGCCTCTGATATGGCAGCCAACTTCGGTAGAACATAGCCGCCTATATCGGTAAAGAAGGAACCCGCTTTGGCCATCGTCTCTGCAGCATCGTTGCCTAGCCAGACTCCAGTGATTCTTTTTAGACTCGACTCCATTTCGCGAATGATTTTTCCGCAGGTCTGATGTATTGGTCAGCAGCGCACGGCGTGAGGAAGACCAGACCATCCAAGTCAATCTGAGGGAGCCACTAGTACTTACCATGAAACAATCCCCGCGCCTCGTCTCGTCCATGGCAATGTCCGCGATCGCCGTAGCCACTCCTTCAGGAGTATTGGCTTCCAGGCCGCGAGAGACATACTCCTTGGCAAAGCCGGCGGACATGGCACTCGGGGTGACGAAGGGGGCGATTGCGTTGATCCTGACATTCCTCTTTGCCGCCTCGACTTGGGAGGACCGAAGCAGGCCAGTGATGCCGTGTTTGGAGGTGACGTAGCCCACCACGCCGGTGCCACCGAAATATCCCGACACCGAGCTGACGAGCACGATGGAGCCCCGGCTGCCATCAGCAGCAGGTGCATTGTCCTTCATGTAATGCAGTGCGAGAAGAAGTGCTAGAATGTGGCAGAAGAGAGTTAGCGTGTCGGTTTCCAAGGACTCTAGAGGCGCGCGCTCTCTGTATGTGACCGCGCCATGCTGGTGGTCCTGGTAGATAAGTGAGGGAAAAAGGCTGGGGATGCGACGCACTATTCAATGTCCCCTTGACGTTGATGTCGATAACCCTGTATGCCTCTTTCGGCTCCACCGGGTCGCCGGTCTCATCGACTCGGTCTGCGTCCAGCACTGGGTGACCTTCCATGACTCCCGCGTTGGCCACCACCACTTCGACGGACCCGAACCGTTCGATGGCCGTCTTATACAGTGCCTTCATCTGCTCCCAGTCCAGGGTGTTGGCGGGAACGAAGATCGCCCGTGATGGGTCGGAGAGACTGGCAATCACTTTTTCGGCGGCTGGTCGTGTCTGCGCCAAATCTGCAATCACTACGTTGGCTCCATGTGCCACGAACAGTCGTGCAGTCTCGGAGCCGATTCCACCGGCCGCACCCGTAATGATGGCCGTCTTGGACGCAAGCTTCTGCAGTAATGCAGGATTCAAGGTAATTGCTTCCATGATAGATGTTGGAATATAGGGCAACAGGGTGTGTTACTTTTGGCTCTGGCGTTGGAAGTAGAGTAGTTTCAGGTTGTTTACCAGGTTGCATCTAGGCCTACATGAAAGCTTGTAAGACGATAGATATTGGGACCGAAGCCTGCCCCCGGCCAATCCGGGGTTGAAATGCCCGGGAAAGTCGGGTAAGCTGAGCCGAATTTATCATTTTGCATGGCATGATCTGTCGTTCTCTGCGTGGTGGCCAGCACTCGTGTCCACAACGTGAACAATAGTAAAGCCGCGGTGACGGCGAGCGGGCGGGGACGGCTGTTGATGTCAGGAGAGGAGCAAGGTTGACACGGAACGGGACCGGGAGGTGTACAACTAGCTACGGACTACTTAGTATGGTAAAGTCACACTACTAGTATCGTGCATACGCGTCGACGGGCCGGAAAGGCTTGTACTCTGTCCTTGATTCATGCGGATCTTGCCGGAAATCCGGGAACACGGAGCTCTAGAGGTCAATCAATACGTATTTGACCAACACGGAAGAAGACAAGACCCACCCAACACAGCCGATTCCCGATCTGTCTAGCTTACCAATATCACATTACATACTTACCTACCTACCTTCTACCTACCTACCTATCTCGACACAACACTCAGCATTTTGAACTTTGAACCTGAACCTCAACAAACCAACAACAACCATGGCAAACTTCGACTACGGCTTCACTCTACCCGACGGGACCATCATCGCGCACGGCGAGGGCGTACTCACGAAACAAGCGTTCCCGCCCGAGCTACAGCTGCCCGGGACAATGCACGTCTTCAGCCCCGGCCACGAGACGGATCCTTCGGTGCCCTGCTTCCAGGGCCCCGCGGGGATTCTCGACTTCGACACGACATGCCGGATGCCTCGCCACGTGCACATGACCACGAACACCAGCAAACCGCAGAAATTCGTGACCGAGAAGATCCTGGTGATGAACGGCGTCGCCCTGGCCGAACTCAGTGGAACCATCTACGTGATCCCGCCAATGACCATGGTCATCATCAAGCCCGGCTCACCGCACGCTTGGGTGGCGTGCCCGCCCGGTGTCGACTTCCAGAAGCTGGGCATCTCCGGGGACGAGAAGCTCGTGTCGGAAGGCAAGTTCTACGCCGTTTATGAATATTCAGACGCAACCACCTTCTTCCCGACCACCCAGAACAAACGCCTGGAAAGCGTGGACGACTACGTCAAGTGCGACGACCTGCAAAGTATCAGATTCCCCGAGCTCGACGTGGAGGGCGTCATCAAGCGCGGAACCTTCGTTTGGGGAAAGACCCTCAAAAAGCTTTCGTGATCTGCTATGACTGGAGGATGCCGGGATGTCATGGTTTTCCTGGGCCGATTTCCGGCAAGCAGGTAGTCAAGTGATAAGTCACACAGCCACGACAGTAGCCGGGCAGATTGGTATTAGGAGTGCTGAGAAATCGCTGGGAAGCCTTGGCTGAAATGAACATGAAGGCAGCCGTAACGGATTTCACGAAACCAAAGCATTCCCTTGTTACCTCGAGAAAAGGCCTACGACTTATACATACTAGTATCCGTGTCATCGTGAAGGATATAGGTGAGAACGGAATGTCTTGAATAAAGGGAAATTTCATTTGCGAATCATCTTACGGCGTTCGTAAACAGGTCCGACCCGATCTCGCTGTAGATATCTCAACCGAGATCCATCTTGACTTTCCAAATTGTCCGCATGCTCTGCAGAGGCCACCGCTGTCGGCGTTCCGTCCCGCTTCAACGGCCTTGACCTTTCAACCACGGTCATGCACCTTCAGTATGCCCAGACACGGTTGGAGCCTGTCGAGTCCAACACGGCATTCCTGTTCATGCGACCGTACAGCAGCCTCAAGCCCACAGCCAACGCCGCCGTAGCAAAACTGCAGGTGGCACAAACGATATTGCCGGTTGGAAAGCCGCGTAGGGCCTCGGAGGGCTTCCAAACCCAGACGGCCATGATGGAGGCGATCCCCACAACCGTGTTGTTCATGGCAGCCGCCAGGGCCATGGTTCTCGAGCTGGGGACATTGCAGGTCATCCATGCCGTCAAAGGCGCCGTGTTTGGAAAGCAGCCACAACAAGCTACGATGAGGCAAGCAAAGCGTGCCGTATACGCATGGGCCGGTAGCACGCTGATGACCACAAACATGATGCCGCAGATCGTCGAGGCCGCCGCGATCAGCCAGCCGCGCACGTTATAGTGGTCCGCACTCCAGGCGAAGATCAGCGAAACCACGTAGCCCAGTGCCCAGGGGATGACGGTCATCAGCTGGGCGGTGATGGAACTGAATCCAAGACCGGCGACGATGGTGGGACAGAAATAGACCAGCGAGCTCACCACGGCGACATTGGTGAACTATTTGTTAGGATAGACAAGTCAGTCTGAGGAACGAAGTGAGAGACACCTTTCTGTATCTCTGTCTCTATCTCTTTCTTGGAAGTGGTAATGGGAGCTAGTGGGAAGACTCACATAGGTCACGTAATGAGTCAACATGCGTGGTCCAAAACAAGTATCCATGACCTCTCTTCGACTGGCACGCTCCCGTGAGAAGCCGCCGTCCTGCTCGGCGATACGCTCCACAGCAAACTTCTTCTCGTCTGCAGACAACCACTTGGCATCTTGCGGATAGTTGGGGAGGAAGAAGACGAGAAGGATTGTGCAGAGCATGGTCAAGATGCCTTCGAAGACAAACAGCCATCGCCAACCTTCGAGGCCTCCCTTGCGGTTCATGTGGCCGACTCCATACGCAATACAGCCACCAAAAGCCCCGGCCAACGACGAGGACGCCGACACGAGGGCCAACCGGATCGATCTCTCTTCTTGCCGGTACCAGAAAGTGATGATGTAGACAATCCCTGGTGTTGGGCGTCAGTGGAGAGCATCAAAAGGAGGGAAGGGATGGCCAGTTCACGGACCTGGATAGAATCCTGCTTCAAAGACTCCGATGAAGAGGCGCGTGACCACGGCTCCAGCAAAGGAATGCAAGAACGCAAACCCCAGAGTCAAAGCACCCCAGCCAAAACACAGGAAGCCGAGCCAGTACGATGGGCGCACGTAGCGCTTGAGGATCAAGTTGGAGGGGACGTCGAACGCGCTGTAGGCGAGGGCGAACAGCGTAATGACCAGGGAATACTTGTGGCCGTCCATGCCCAGGTTCTGCAGAAGCGAGTCGCCCGTCTCTTGGTTGAGGATCTTGCCGTTGCCAATGTTGGACCGGTCCAGGTAGTTGAGCAGATAGAGCCAGGCACAAAGAGGGATCAGTCGTCGATCGATCTTGTGCCGGAGTCTGCGATGGCTTTTGGCATCATGCAGACTCGATTGGATGATTTTGTCCTCGTATACAGCTGGGTCTTTCAATCCCAGTCCCTCGAGGTGGACGACTGAGCCATCGTCCGTCTTCGGCGCATTGGCTTCGTGTTGCATGGTAAGGTAAAAGGGTGGGCCTGGGATTCGTGTGTCGTGAAAAAGGTGACTTGGCCGAGTGAGGGCGCAAGTGACTTGGGATGAGGCTATAGTATAGTATGCTGTTGAGATATCAAACACGTCGAGATTTCAGACACTTCCAAGAATTGCCTGTAAGTCTTCTGTCGTCAGTGAAGAGAAGCCTTGTATCCCAATGGCATAACGGCTGGCAACTTATATGCAACCTTGAAGGTGATGGTCGTCGAAGACAGACTATCGACATACCCCGGTCCCCGGATTCCCACCCCGGAAATCCCCATGTGGATCGTCAAAGCTTGAATCCCGGGGCGAGTCCGCATACCCGCGGGTTAGATAATTGACCCCAGGGAGACTCCATATCGCTTATAGAGCAGCCCTGTTCTGAGATGATGGTGTGATTGTCTGACATCCCCGCTGGTCATAGTCTATAGATCGATTACAGGGACGTCACTGGCTCCGGCTACTGTTCACCTAACCGGAGGAGTTTCAAACAAATATTGGCGATAGGATACCACATTGAACTCCGGTAATCTTCGACTACATGGCCTATGAGGTGTTAGTAAAGATTGGTATATGACGTCCGCGTTGGGTAGTCCATACGTACCTATATAGAAGTACCTTATATGCTCGTATTCTCCACCGGGACGACCCATCACTTGGCAGGTCTTAAGATAGAGACGATCCTTCCCTCCCTCGCGGAAGCGTCCTTCCTTGGTGGAAGGCTCCAATCAATGACCTAGTACATGTGTTGTACCACAGTATGTACCCGGCCCAAAGCCCCACTTCCAAGTCGTCAACCAGGTGACGCAGCAGGGCCGGGCTCAGGAGGGTGAGAACATGTATCTGTTAGCCGAACGACAGCTTGGACCGTCGAGTGCCTTGCGAGCTCCTAACTGTCCCGAAGTCAGATGGCGCTCTTGCCGATGGACCATGGTGTTTCCCGCGGCAACTCCAACAGGCCGAGTTCAGCACCGGTGCTGTCAGTATGAACTCAAATATGACGAGATCATCCTTCTGGCTTCAGCCCGTCCTCCTCTTCAGAAGGGGAATCTTTCTCTCAGTCAACAGTAAGACTGACTGACAGATCCCTTTCTCTGCGATGCAGAGACCTCGACTTTGACGTGGTCAGAATGCTCGCGAAAGTTAGGATTCCACTTCCCACCGGACAGCACATCGAACTCGACATATCATACTGCCTGACATGAATACACCTATGCGAATGGCGTGGAAAAGAACGGGTGGGAAAGGGTTAGGAGATGCCCAGATTTGCCGTACCCAGCTCTTCAAATTCTCCCTACTCCATCGTCGCAAATTTCCTCTGGGGTAATCTTGCATACTACTGCGTAGCTCGAAAGCTCTGAGCCAAAGAGTTCCTTGACGAGGTACCGAAAGTCAGCAACAAGTCAGTTCTTCCTTGATTCAGGCACCGTAAGTATGGTCTCTTGATGCAGCCCAGTGAGTAATGAGTGTGTGACCATCACCAGAGAAGTGCTGATGATAGAATGGCGCACGCCTCACTTGTTTCCAGGGCAAGCAGGCTGCAGAGCTCAGCGAGGGCATTATTGGATCCTCACTGCGTGGGCATCAGCATAGAAGCCATTGCCACAGATGCTGGACATGGCACTCACGAAGCCAGTATGATAGTTTGTTGGTATAGATGTTGTTTTATTCTGCATCCCAGGCAAGCAGTGTCGTCTGCCATGTGGCACGCTGGTAGTCCGTTATCCGTAGTAGTAGTAGTACCAATTTAGGTACTTGGTAGGGTTGAGGGCTTGGCGCTGTTAGGAGAGACTCGGACTCTAATCTACAACACTGCACTCTGCACTCTGTACTACAGGTACGTGGTAGCATGGGAATGGGTTCCAACTTCCTGGCCAACATCTTTCCTATCTTCAATCTCATCATCACTCGTCCAAGCCGCCCAAGACCAACTCGAACTCTTCTAGCTTGAAATAGCCCTTTCTTAGCCTCTCGATGACAGCGTCCTACCCCTCAGATTCCGACTGGGGTCGAATCAGGTTGTGGAGAATACACTGGGACACGACACCTCCCTAACCCAGAGTCCTAGGGTCGCAGACCCTGAGGAGACGAGACCATGCCCCAACCCCCGAATAACCCCGCGAGGTCACTTCTACCCGAACCTTTTCAACCAGCCGCGCGGGATGGGCGACGACCTACAATCTTTCTTCTCTCCTCACTCCATCGGAAATGGCACCTGACATCCAACCTGTCCGAACGAGGGCTTCTCGCGCATGTCACAGATGCAGCCAACGGAAAGTACGGTGTGATGCCGCCGAACATGGAGTGCCATGCAGTCGCTGTCGCTTGGATGCTGCGCCGATGTGTAAACTAAACATATCGCGGCGAGGAACCCACTCCAGGAAGAAGCCTCAGGATGGGATCTTATGCGGCGATGCGGGCGTGGGCGTGGGCGTAGGCGTGGGCGTGGCAGCCATGAGACCAACTTGCAAGCCATCTCACAACGACCATGCCGACTTGAGCCCTTTGCTCGGTCCTGGCGACGACCGTACAAAGTTTTCGAGCGCCGTGACCACGGAATCCCAGAGCATGGCGAGTGCGGAAGTAGTCTCGGGCACTTCATCTGAGTCGATGGATCCGAGCATCAGCTCTGGTACCGCCGTCGCAGAGTCCGAGGCCTGGTCTCCAACCGATGCCTCGCAAAGAGTCTCAGTTGGCCCAGATCCCATTGGCGGAGGCACCCTCAAAAATAATGCGACAACGGCGACGCCTCACGATCGCAGTTCACTTGCCTCCATGTTCGAAGATTTTCTGGAGAAACAGGGTCATACGCAAGAAGGAGTCGTGCCAAAGCTCGGTGTGATTTTCTTCAGCGAGAGCTCGCCCTTGACATTTGCTCTCGAAGAGCTTCAGCGATCCGAGCAAGCCAGTCTCTATGACCCGGCATCCCATTTGACCAAAGATGAGATGCTGCAGCCAAATACCCACCCATCACATATGTCGATACAAGACATTAGTTATCTGAAGTCCAAGGCTGCTTTCGACAAGCCCAGCAACGAAATATCCGATGCCCTGGTCGCCGCATTCCTGGACAGATTTTACCCGCTCTATTCGATTGTGGACAGAGAGAGCTTTGTGCAGTTACACGAGCAGCAGAAGTTGCCCTGGATTCTGCTACATGCGGTATCTTTCATTGGCGCCACATTTTGCGACATGAGCACTGTCCACAAGGCAGGCTTCAAAAGCCGGTGGCACATGAGACGCTCGTACTACGACAAGGCCAAAATTCTCTTCGATGTCGGTTACGAAACGAACAAAGTGACCCTGCTCCAGACCGTGCTGATGCTTTCATTCTGGGGTCCCCAGATGAAGAGCTACTGGAATCCCTGCTCCTGGATCGGGTTCGGCGTGACCATCGGCGAATCGCTGGGCATCAACCGATGTCACCCATCAACACGAGCAGACTCCAAAGCAAAAGGCTTGCTACGGAGGCTTTGGTGGACCCTCGCCGTACGAGACACCTATTGTGCCGCTCTCTTGGGGCGTCCTTTTCGGATCAATATAGCACAGTGCGATACGGACATGCTGGGATTGGCTGATTTCAACCATGATCCCAACCCTGCCGCATCAGGCTCCAATCATGACCGCCTCACTCACTGCCTCTATCAAATTCAAATCGCCAAACTGTCGCTGATCCTTCGGAAGATTGTAGAGCTACGTTTCGGTCCAAGCAGCAACTCAACCACGATTGAAGACCTTCACAGCATGTCAAACCAGTGGCAGGCCCAGTTACCGCCAGAGTTAGACTGGACCCGACATAGCAGCCTAACCAGTGTGTTCGCCGCCAGTCTACGAATCGTCTTCAACCACCACCTTATCTTCATCCACATGGGAAAGCCCAACACGGCAACCGACCTGAGCACCGGCCTAGATCTCAACAGCACCTCTTTCAAGATTGCCGAATCCGCAGCTCAAATGATATCAACCACCGCCTTGACCTTGATGACAAACTCCATGGTCGGCCTTATGCCGCATGAGATCTTCCCGGGTTTCTTCATCGCCGGAATCGTTTTCTACAGGAGGTTCCGGGAGTCGCACAATGAATTCACTCAACTCTATCGTGCCGCCCTGGACACATGTCAGATGGTGATGAACGAAGCCCGGGAGAGGTGGGATCCTGCCCTATGGGCAATCAAGATATTCGATTTCCTCTTGTCCGGGACCACCAACGCCAAAACCGCACCTTCGGTAACCCTGGAAGGAGAGAACACGCCGCCAGTTCAGCAAGTCCCTGCCTCGGAAGATCAAGAAATGGCACTAGAGAATACAATGGATATGATGCTCCCCGACAACAGCGCCTTACACTCGATTGACTTTGAGTCGCCCGAGTATGACTACGCGAACAGGACCTTTAATGATTTTCTTCTTATGCCAAGTTACTTTGGGGCCACACCAGATACCTGGTAAACATCAACACAATACATGTTCAATTTTATGGTCAATTGGCACCGGCTCAGCTGCGGTGGATTTCCTGTCAGGAGTGTATTGTATTATCTTGGAATCCTGAGTGTTCAACTCTTTTCGCTTCCCAAAGTTATGTCGCCCGTGGGAGTTGGTCGGCCGTCTGGAAGGCGCATTTGTTGCAATCTTAGAGAACGATCAAGTCACTCCCTCTTGAGAGGCAAGGTTCTTCTGTCAGCGCATGAACGAGGTGGCTCAATAGGCCAAGTAAGCCAGAATATTCATGGCGTCTAGACCTTGCCCGAGGACATCAACGTGGGAAAGCTCCTTTATATCTTCGCTCCCACATCTACAGACGATCCGCTCCAAAGCATTGTCGGAAATGCCGATATCCCAGCCTGATTGGCCAGGGTAAGAGCAAGAGATATCCCAGCGTCGGTTGGAACTCAGACCTGCCGCGGAACACAATCCGTTCAGTTCGGCTATCGGCTATTGGCTCCTCACCGGCTATTCTGCTTCCCCCTCCTCACCGGGTGTCGTTCAGCCGTACAGAAGTGCCACACGCTGCTCAACTTTCAGCATCCAATCATCGTCGACAAGCAATAGAACAATTTGAGCGGGTTACCGAGGCCCAAGATTCACAGCTGATTCTTCCCCGGATATCAGTTATATCAATGAATGGGCAGCCGGCCAGGTATCGACCACGTAAAAGCCCAGCCAACTTTGAGCGTACTCCCACATAGCCTCGGCCCTGTTTCCAGTATCAGCTGCAATGGCGATTGTCAAGAGTCGCTTCCCGTTTCTGGAATTGCCTGAAACAGATGTCTTCTCTTTTATCTTTGAACGGAAGGACAGGCCGTATCCAGATTCCCATGGTAAGTGTATTCCAGCAGCCCCCTTTATCCTGGAGAACTCGCCCTAATGGCTCCCAGTGATTTTCCAAGACGCAGACACCACACAAGGATACTCGTACGCGCATCTCAAACAGGCGGCTGTGGACTTTGGGAAGGGTTTGAAGGCCAGATTTCAATGGAGGAAAGGCGATGTCCTGGCCGTCTTCGCGGCCAACCATATCGACTTTCCCGTGGTGGTGACGGGCACGCTCTGGGCTGGTGGCATTGTTTCACCTTCAAATCCCGGTTATACAGCCGGGGAGCTCGCTTATCAGCTTAAGGACAGTGGTGCTCGTGTGGTGGTGACTCAGTTTCAGTTGCTTAATACGGTGAAACAGGCTTGCGGGCTTGCTGGTCTTGGGGAAGAATCAATCGTTCTTTTGGGGGAACAGCGCGACCCGAGCGGTCGCATTCCACACTATACCGCTGTTCGCAACATCAGCGGCGCAACGCGATATCGAGCCGCCAAGATCCAACCGAGGCAGGATCTCGCCTTTTTGGTCTATTCCTCTGGCACTACTGGAAAACCCAAGGGCGTCAAACTGTCCCACTACAACATAACTTCCGTTGTCAGCCAGTTGCAGCCGGCTGAACAGTACAATTTGACCTGGGATGGCTCCAAGACAAGCGGCGATATTCCCCTCCCCAGGCCAGGCTCTGGCGGAGACAAGGTGCTGGCTTGTCTTCCCTTCTTCCACATTTACGGCTTGACGACGACTATATTCAATCCTCTCTACAGCGGCACAACCACCTTTGTGTTGGCCCGGTTTGAGCTCGAGAAGTGGTGCTCACTGGTCCAGGAACACTCCATTACGTTTTCCTGTATCGTCCCACCCATCGTCTTGCTTTTGTGCAAGCATCCAGCCGTGTCAAAATATGATCTTTCGAGTATTCGCATGACCAACTCAGGTGCAGCACCTCTGTCCAGGGAGATGGTGGAGACGTGCTTCAAGAGAACGGGGGTTCGAGTCAAGCAGGGATACGGGCTTTCAGAAACTAGTCCCACTGCATTCAATCAGCCTTGGGACGACTGGAACGTCACAATCGGTAGTGTTGGTCAAGTATTGTCGAACATGGAGGCCAAAATCTGCATACCAGTGTCAGCGGACGCAAGCAACGTAACACCCCTTGACGTCGAAGAAGCACGTCCCCTCCCACTAGGACAAGTGGGCGAACTCCATGTCCGTGGACCCAATATCTTCCTCGGCTACCATCACAACGTGGCTGCGACCAAAGAATGTCTCTCGCCCAGTGGCTGGTTTCGCACGGGCGACATTGGCTACCTCGACCCCCAGGGCAACTTATACATCACGGACCGGGTCAAGGAGCTTATCAAGTACAAAGGCTCCCAAGTGGCGCCCGCAGAACTCGAAGGGTACCTCTTGGAACATCCCCAAGTCAATGACTGCGCAGTGGTGGGCGTCGAATCGGAGGCTCTAGGCACCGAGGTACCTCGAGCGTACGTGGTGCCGAAAGAAGGAGCACTGCCGGAGGACGCCGATGCTATTGCCCAGTGGCTTGCGAATCGTGTGGCCAACCACAAGAAGCTAAGAGGTGGTGTTATCTTTGTGGACGAGATCCCCAAGAATGCGAGCGGCAAGATTCTCAGGCGGATATTGAAGGAGCGCGCGAAACTGGAAAGCGCCGGGCCACAAGCCACGCCCTTGAACGCCACCATTAGAGCAAGGCTGTGATTGATACGATGTCTACAATCTGCAAGTTCTATTTCAACTCCCTCTAGACCTGTATTGTTCGAAATGCATGCCAGAGTAGTTTCCGGAGGCTCAACTGAGTAGATGGTCTTCCGGGGGGTAGTGATAGCCGTTAAAGAAATGAGCAAGCTCTATATCTCAATCGCCAAAGGCCCTGGTTCGAAAAGTACTTCGAAATCACGATCTCTCCCGGGATTCTGCCCAAGCTCTGTCTCGTGTTCTGTGTCGTCCTGTCTCCCTCCCTCGCGAGGAGTCGTGCCCTTCAACGTATGCGTATGAGGCTGACTTGTAAAGTCTGGTTCGGATCCATGCTCGCTCCTACCCCCAATAACGCTTGGCGCCCTCCGACAAGCCACTATCTGGTCCTCATCCACCTGAGCCTGCAGAGCCCGAGGATCCTGCAGGGCCATAGGCGCCAGAGAAATAAAGGCTTCGCGCTCGTTCGGCGTGATTGTGGCCATGTTGATGGCCTTGTTCAGACCTCTAAGAGCGTCTTGGGGGAGACTCACGGCTCCTTCGTCGTCTGTGATGGACCGTCTCTCTTCGTCGCCTCCAACCGTCAGCCCGTAATCAGGTCTCTCAGTGTTCATCGAGCTGAGGGCTCTGCAGAAACCCGTCGGTGCTGGTGCTGGGGTCCTACCAGACCCAGACGTCGCATCCGGCCTGTCGTTCGCACAGAACTGGTCCCAGGACAAATAACTCGCTGCTGAGAGCCACCTCATCCATCGTGGCAGAGCATCTGTGCTCGTGGTGGCGGCGTCGGCGTCGGCGTCGGCGGCAGCTTCGGGACCAGCTTCGTCGTCTCTGTGTCCTGACTGGGATGAGTCGAGAATGCCGTTCGACGCTCGTTGTGAGATGCAATGCTTGCAATGCCTGCGTCGCTTGCAGATAGATCTTGTCTCTGCCCGCGTGCACAGCTGGTGGGTGTATTCGCTGGGAATGAAGTATCTCTTGGGTGGGTCAAATGTCCGGGGGAGACGTCTGGGTCGTCTCGTCTTCAATGTTATCGCCATAGCCAAAGAGAAATATGTATTGCACTGCAATATCAAGGCGGTATAGGTCACAGTCTCGTCCTGAATAATGAATCCTGGGACCGCTCAAGCATGTTTCCCAGCCAAGCTTGGTTGAGGAGTGGTGAGGTACTTCGTCTTATCACAGCTTTTCGTCTAGACGAATGCTTCGTGTCATTGTTAGACCGTCTCCAGAGAGACCGTCGGTACCGTGCCGCTGGCCAATCTGTGTCTATTGAGCGCTTGTACCGTAGAGGCACCTTCGTCTAACGAATCATCTGTTGCGAGGGTTATTGGTGCTCGTACACCATTGCCAACACCAGCAGCTTCTATGGGGCCGCGGGAGTTGAGTATCATCGATCATCTGATTGCTGTCAGCCCCGGAGCCCCTTAGCCCCTTGTTTCCCGCGGCAATACCGGGTACTTGAGAAGTACCCGAAGAGAGAGACCCGTGTGCCGGAGAAAGCCCAAGGGCCTCCAGACTTGGTTGGTCTACGTGTACGGTATCTCGGACACTGGGGACACTGGAAGTGCGCTGCGAGAAGGACAAGCGCTGTTCTGTTGAAGCATTTAGGTTATTGTGGCCTGGCATGAAAGATACTCAATTTCGACTACCTAATACAAGCATAACTGAGTTGATTGCGCTGTACAATGTGCTCCCTAGCCCCCCTAAACATGGACATACTGCTTGAAGCCCTTCAAGTCATTCTCCAGGACATCCTTCAGAGCTTTTCTGTAGTTGGCCAGTCCTGCGAAGTAGAACATGACGGCCGGCTTCTTGCCTGCCACGTTGGAGCCGAAAATCCATGAATCCGTCTTACGGAAGAGACTGTTAGCACTCAACTTGTCGCAGAGATCGGTCCACTCCTCCTCGGCTTCCCTGGTGGGCTCGAGCGCAAGATGTTGGCCTCGTTTACTACCGGCCTCGCCTGTGCCTTCGCCTTGACCGTCGCCGTTGACATGGCCGTTGGGCTCGGCCCCGTCAGTCAGACCACTTACATTACTGCCAGTCCTTGTCAGTCCTTGCTCTGCAACCTCGATCAGATCGGAGATGAACTCGACCTGCGTCTCAATGGTGGGAGGCAGGTTCGTGAAGGGCCCATTGGGCCCAAGGATCATGAACATATTGGGGAAGTCGGGGACCGAGATTCCCAGGTAGGAAGTGGGTCCGACCTCCGCCCAGTGCTCCTTGAGTGAGTTCCCGTCTCGACCCCGGATCGCGACGCGGGTATAGTTGCCGTCGACGGCGTCGAAACCCGTGGCGAACACGATCACGTCCAGCTCGCAGACGTGGCCATTGCTGAGCTCGATCCCGGCCGGCGTGATTCTGGTGATCGGGGTCTCCTTCAAGTCGACCACGTCGACGTTGTCTCGGTTGAATTGCTGGTAGTACCCTGTGTCGCAGAGCGGTCTGCGAGCGTGGTAGCCGGAGGGCATTAGTTTCCTTGCCTTCTCGGGATCCTTGACGATCTCGCCAATCTTGCGTCTGATAAACGAGGCCGCTTCTTCGTTGGCGGCCTCGTCGTACGAAATGTCACAGAACGTCTCGAACATGAACCGGAAGCCGCCGCCCTTCTGCCACGCTTCCTCGAAGATCTTTTCCCGCTCCTCCCGGCCCACGCTGAAGGTCGGGCGAGTGCTCTCTTCAAACCCGAACGCGAACATGCTATTTTTCGCCTGCTGCCAAACCTCGGTGTATCGCCGATTCAGATCCTCTCGGTAGCCGGGCGGCACCTCTCGATCGCCGCTCGGCACACTGTACTGTGGCGTCCTCTGGAAACAGACCAGCTGCTCCACTTCCTTCGCAATCGCCGTGATCACCTGGACCCCTGTCGACCCGTTTCCGATCACGCCGACGCGTTTGCCGCGTAGATCGAGGCCTTTCGGCCAGCGCGCCGTGTGATGCAGGTCGCCTTTGAACGTCTCGATGCCCGGGATGTCGGGGAAATTCTGTCTGGACAGCAACCCAAGCGCAGTGACGAGGTATTTGGGCTTGAAGATGTGCCCGGTCGAGGTTTCGACCGTCCATCGCCCCTCCGCATCGTCCCACTGGGCTTTGGTGAGCTCGGTGTTGAACTGGGCGTGTTGGCGGAGACCATAGCGCTTCACAACGTTCTGCAGGTAGGCCAGGATTTCGGGTCCCTGCAGATAATAACGGTTCCAGGGGTAGCTCCTCAGGTCCTCCTCGTCCCAGGAGTATCTGTACAGAAATGATTCCGTGCTGCAGTGGTCAAGTCAGCATCTCTAGGTCATGACCACCTGTCCACAGTGCACTCTAGTCATCACTTTCTTGGAAGTTTCACAAACTTACTCGGACATTGCGCCAGGATATTGATTCCAGTACCAAGTCCCGCCAAAATCCCCGGCCATGTCAATCAGCTTGACCGAGAGGTTCTGATCCAACAGTTTCTTCAACTGGTAGATGCCGCCAAATCCAGCACCGACGACCAGCGCGTCGAGATACTGATGCTCCATCATGATTGCCTGCCTGGAGCAAGGGTGGGAATGTTGGATAGAGTCAAGAAACAGGGAGTGAAAGGAAGGGTAGGGAGCATGGAGGATTGCAGATCTACCTCGAGGCCTGTACATGTGTTTAAACCATCCACGCTGGACGGGCGTGTGTGCATGCTACTCCGCATAATAGATATCCGCGCTCATCCACATCCTCCCCGGATAATGAGTAACCGGTGGAGGAGTGGGTATGCGCGGGGACGAGGTGAGGGGTTTAGGAGGCCGATGACTTCTGCCAGGACCGGATTGGGTTCCGAACACCTCCTAAACCGCCCTCCCGCGGGCTGCGGCAACAGGATGAGGGTTGTCCCAGTTGGAGAAATGTTATCTGCTCGGCCTGGATAACAGATATGCTGATTGACACCGGCAACGGACCGCGGCTTTTCCAATATCGATCCACACCAGCCAGCGGTAGAGTCGACGTTATCTTGATTCAAATATGACCCTGACCAGTTCTACACTCGGCTTGCGGACCGCTGTCGGATACCTATCAGAATCATGCAGGGTGAATCAGTACTATCTGAAATGAGCGCTCGTGATGATGTGCTAGTTGTGGATCTTGATGAGCCCACCCTCAAGTTGTCGTGATGGAGATAGGCAGCACTCCATGCTCACTTCCGGTCACGGACTCTCGCTCTCGTAGGCAACATGGATGGAACACTTTTCTTCCTTTGATGGAGGTTTCATATCGAGTCTTCGAATTGTAGTATAGTATCTAATCTTGGAGTCGGATCATTCGGACCGACGGTCCAGCTAAGTTTCCAGCTTCTGGGTGCGCAAGGCTTTCAGCAGCATTTCTCGTCTTCATGCCTCTTGGTCTTTCGACACACATTCCTCGTGGGTGATACCCACACCCAACTTCTCATCAATCTGCTGTTTGGCGGTCACAGTCTCAGCCTTTGCAATCAGTGCTGCTTCTTTCCAGCTCATGCCCTTTCCGCCGCGATACTTGGTCTCGAACATCAAGTCAATCTCTTCAAGTGACAGGCCGGCTGTCTCAACATAGAAATACCAAATGAAAGGGATCCACGCTATATTGAGCACGGCAAAGATAATATAGAATCGCCACCCGATATTTGAAATCCCTGACTTCATGAGCACTGCGACGTCGACGTTAGGGGGGGATTCACTCACCAGTAGGAGTGATCAGAACAATCACGTAAACGAATAACCAGTTGGTAATCATGGCGATGCCACTGCCGGTATTTCTCATTCGGTTGGAGTTGATTTCGGCCTGGTTCAACGGACGTTAGTATCATGTGGCCTCTTCTGACTTTCTTCCTCGAAGCGGACACTTACCGGGTACATGAAAGGAATCGACAGGAAGGAGAAGCCCTGTGAGATATTAATGACCACCCTCTCGATAAACAACATGAGCCCAATGACGTACGAAGCAGGCGTGATAGAGGAAGATAGCAGTCACTGCGACTGCATCAGAAGCACGAGTGCCAACCCCCAAACCGGCGGCGGCAACTGCGAAACATATACCCTGGCCCAAGGCCCCGTAGAGCATCAGCTTCTTCCGGCCCAGACGGTCAATGACAAGGGTGATGGCTCCTCCCCAGATCATCAAAGAGATGAAGTCACAAGCCGACAGGATGAGGGCAGTTCGATTGCTGAACCCAAAGGACTGTGTCAAGACGACCGGCATATAGTAGACCACAATATTGATGCCACCGAGCTGCTGCATCAGGCTGGTGCCGGCTCCGAGAGCGATCCTGCGGAATGTTTGCTGTTCCCCGTTGGTGAAGACCTCTCGCCAACTGATCTTGGACGCCACCCTTTCGTGAGCGACCGTGTCGATGATCAACTGGAGCGCTTCCGAGACCTCGACACTGTCGGAGCCTTTCGCTTGCAGACGGCTGATGACCAGGCGGGCTTCTTCGTGGCGATCTTTCATGCAGAGCCACCGAGGAGACTCTGGCATGAAGACGATGAGGATGATGGCAGAGATGGCGAAGAATGCTTGGAAGGCCAGAGGGCCTCGCCAGCTGACCGGGTCGTTTGGGACGTAGGAAAACCCAAGATTCATCCAGTTCGTCAAGGAGATCCCCCCAATCACAATCACGAGCTGAAGCGCAATCAGCTTTCCTCGATGCTCAGGCTTGCTGGTCTCGCTCTGCCACATGGGGATGACTGCGCTGTTCATGCCGATTCCCAGACCGGCAATGATGCGTCCAACAATCATTTGGCCCAAGGAGTAGGACGCAGCTTGAATGGTGCCTCCAACGATGACAGTCAGGCATGCAAGCACGATCGACTTGCGTCGCCCCAGTATGTCACCAACAGCGATGGTCAGGATTGCACCCAGAATGCAGCCGAGATCGTAAGTCGAGACTATCTGTCCTTGAATGGTGGCATCGGGATTGTTGAACGTGGTCAGGAACAGTTTGTTGCCCAAAAGACCGCCGAATACTCCCTGGTCATAGCCGAAAAGGAGAAAAGCCGTGCCACAGGTCAAGGTAATGCCGGCGGTCAGCCAGCCGCCCTGCAATGAACCGAGCCAGATCATGGTTAAGGAGATGGTATGCGAGGCTGAACGAGCTGGGAGAGGTGGCCGGGGTCAAATGATCAGGGGTGAGAGCACAGCCTGGTTTGTCGTGAGGAATAAGCTGTTCAGGATGGCCTGGGAGGAAATATCACCGTAACCGCAGAGGTCTGCAGACTCACTGAATATATAGCAGAAGGGATCTAGAACGTGTACTTGCGGGGACCCCGCAACGGGGCAGTATCCGCGGGATAGTGGAACCCTGGAGGGAAACCCATATACCCGACCGGGAACCGTGTCTTATCGTGATCTAACCTTGATTCAAGCCATGAATGTCCTCTGCCATCATCAACTTGCTCTGTCACAAGGGCATTCCCATACCTCCACTTTTCCCCTGTACAACAAGCCAGTACGCAATATCGAACGTGATTAAAACCGTAGATCGTTGAGTATATCTAGCTGGCAGATGACTGGATGAGTATCTTGACATGACTAGCCTTGTTGTGGATCAGCTCTAGAAAGCCGCCTTCAACAATCTTTTCCAGTGGCACAACAGACGTGATCAAGTCGTCCACAGGGACAGCACCGTGTGCGATAGCATTCAAAGCAATGTCAAAGTCTTCATTGGTGTAGCATATACCGCCAAGGAACTTCTTTTCGGTGAAGCTGAAATCGTTTGGGTTGATCAAAAGCGGCTTTTCATGGATGGCCACGTTGAACACCACTCCGCCGGGTTTCACGACAGCGATGGCCGTGTCCAAGGTGGCCTGAATTCCAGTCGCATCGAATGAGATGTCGACACCATTTGGAGCGATCCCATAGACGGCATCCTGAACAGCATCCGACTTCGCCGACTTGGACGGCGGCACGCTGGGGTCCACGACAATGTCGGCGCCGAACTTTTCCGCCTGTAGAGCCCGGGACTTGGTCAGCTCGCTTATGACAATCTTGGACGCCCCCTGGGCCCTGAGCAGCAGGAGCAGAGCCAGACCAATCGGACCGGCACCCAGGATAGCCACGGTCTGGCCTTTCTGGAACCCCGAAAGCCGGATCATGTGGGAAGCAACGGCCAGAGGCTCCGCCAGTGCCCCGGCTTTCAGGCTCACTCCGTCCGGCAGAGGGATGCAGTTGTGAGCCTTGACCACGACTTCTTCGGAGAAGCCGCCACTGGCCGCACTCAGGCCGAAGCAGGCCCAGTGCTTGCAGATATTGAACCTCCCGGCCTGGCAATTCGCACACAGTTCCATCCCGTATGACCTGTCGTCGAGCGATGGATTGATTGCCACGTTTTGACCCACCGCAAACCCGGCAACATCCGCTCCAGTCTCAATGATGGTGCCCGACATCTCATGGCCCATTGTGACCGGAAGTTCAACGCCAGTGTGGGGATTGCACTGGCCTGGCTGAGGCGGGAAAATGGGACCCCCCAGATACTCGTGAACATCTGTACCACAGATCCCGCAGTATGCCACCTTGACTCGCAGCTCATCAGAGTTGCACTTCCTGCGATTACTATTAAGTCGACGTTCCTGGCCGTTCTAGGAGAAGCACTTACAGCCTTGGGACCGTGTCCAGCCTGATATCTTCCTTCCCATAGAAGCGGATGGCTTTCATGGATGCCATTGGTGCGCCTGTCTCGGTCGTGGAAACCTTGTCAAAATGCGAATGCTGCTGCGTGAAATCGATCCGGAGCTTTGAAACGACAGATATACGCCGGCGGACTAAGTCATGGTCGTCGTGCTTCCTTTTGTAACACCCCGCAAATGCCCTGGAAGCTGTCGGCTAAGCCAAGACGTGATGAGAGTGCCCAAGCATGCCGCGGCAACTAGTACGTAGGTGGTACGGCTATCATACCACCCACTCAAATCTGGGGCTTTTGCCGGATCCCCATACGGACCCGTACCGGTGGTACCAACGGCTTTCCATGCTCCGTGGAGCAAACTCGAGCGTTAACATTAAAAATAATGCAGAGTTCTTTTGTTTTTTCATAGATCTGCTTGATACTCGTGCCAGATAACTGTTAATATGTCAGCTGAAAGCGTCCTTCGGCGAGACGCGGTATGATAGCCTGCTGCCTCTGTGCTGATATCCATTCAACAGTGATCAGTTATCGGTTCAAAAAAGGTCGGAAGGGCGTCCGCCTTGTACTCTCTGTGACGAAGCTGTCACGATCCTCGTGTTCTTCGCCATGATCGCCTGGGCTTAATCGTATTGACGTCATCTAGCTCAGAAACGTGCACCTCCAGGATTGATATAGTAGCTGCAACCTGGTACCGGGCTTGCCCAAGCATATCTGGGATTGTGGTGAGATACATGGGTATATCGTCGCTCCCAGGAGAGGCTTCCATGTCGACTCACTGTGGCTACCTACATAGTTCGCAGCCTCGAGTATCTTCTAGAGTGGCCCCTCATGGCACTGGGTTATGGTGGGGTGATCCCGGAACTGATTCCGACCCGGGTTCCGCGATTATAACTAATCCAGGGATATCTCTTCGTGTCTTCATGTCACCTATTGAAAGGAGCTCTTCTAAGGCGGTAATTGAGACAACACGTTAACCACTGCAAACAACCCCTTTCGTCTTGGCCAGATCATCTCCATCCCCATCACCATGAGTCAAGTGCAGGGTCATCTTGATCCCCGCTTCGAATCCCTCCGGCCGCTGTTCCAGTCCTTCCTCGACTCGGGCGAAGAACTGGGCGCCTCCATTGCTGTCAATCTGAATGGGGAGAACGTGGTCGACGTCTGGGGCGGGTACGCGGACACGGCCCGCACCCGTCCCTGGGAGAAGGACACCATCGCCAATGTCTGGTCGACCGGTAAAACCATAATCGGCCTGATCGGTCTCATTCTCGCTTCCCAGAAGAAACTCGACCTCGACGAAAGCGTCAGCACGTATTGGCCCGAATTCGCCGCGAACGGGAAGCAGTCCGTCAAGGTCCGCCATGTCATGTCCCACACCTCCGGAGTCTGTGGCTGGGACACCCCTGTCACGATTCAAGAGTTGTGTGAGGACTTTGAGGGAGCAGCAGCGAAGCTGGCGGCGCAAGCCCCCTGGTGGGAACCGGGCACCGCGAGTGGCTACCACAGTCTCACCATGGGGTTTCTGGTCGGCAAACTGGTTCGCTGTATCACTGGCACGACAATGAAAGACTTCCTTGCTTCTCAAGTCGCTGGCCCTCTGGGCGCGGATTTCCAATTCGGTGCAAAAGAAGAAGACTGGCACCGAGTCTCTGATGTCGTCCCACCACCACCGCCGCCGCCGCAGCCGGCAACTTCAACGGACACGGCGCAAGGGGAGGAAGCTCAAAAGTCCATTTCCATGAGAACCTTGGTGAACCCCATGGTCGGAGCTACGAACGCCAACACTGAAATGTGGCGGCGCGCCGAGTTGGGCGCGGCTAATGGGCATGGGAATGCTAGATCTGTGGCCAGGTTATTGTCTCTCGTCACACTGGGCGGCAAAGATCCGGCTTCCGGTCGTGAATTCTTGTCCCGGGAGATCATCGACAGGATCTTCGAACAGCAATGTTACGGCACCGACCTGGTGGTGAAGCAAAAGATCCGGTTTGGCATAGGATTCGGGCTGACAGGAGCGGATACAGAGGTCCATTGGTTGCCACGTGGAAGAGTGTGTTTCTGGGGTGGTTGGGGCGGAAGTATAGGGGTTATGGATCTGGACCGTGGTATCACCTTCGCCTACGTGATGAATAAGATGGACAACGTCGGCCTAGGAAACCAGCGAACAAAGGCTTATGTAAAAGCCATCTATGATGCCCTTGAAAAGGCATCATGATCACTTGCAGATATGACTTCGATGCATAGGTGCATGGGTATATATATCAGTTCATCGGCTACCGGGCTGTTAACCCGGATGGTCGCGAGAGGGACTGTATGCGAGTTGAGAGGGGGTTCTCAGACCACGCACTTGCTTGAAGCTGAGACGTCTACAGAAAAGCATGCACCTGGAAGGCATGTTGCGATGGACTCTCAATTGAGTATGCTCTCAAGGAAGACAGAGAAAAGAACATATACGCAGACTTCAAACCATCACGGCAAGCTTGCGCTTCACTGTAGACGGCACCTATATCACGGACCCATCACCGCAGCGGACACCGTTTCTGTTCCAAACAGGCACTGTTGCCACCTTACCACCTTCCCCCACTTTCCTGGGTTACTTACTGTAGTAGCACCTGCCATGGTACCATAGGCTAGATAAATAGATAATCACCTCTTCTTCCTGATGGGAGAGGAGAAACCGCTGCACCATCTGAGATACACGCTCATGCTCACCGAGGTTGCTACCATAACAGGCACCACTCCCGCCGGTACTATCGCTTTCGGTGCGACTCATACAGAGGGAATCCTGAGTCTTTCTTTATGTCCGCTCCTTCGCCACAGATCCTTGTCGGTCGAGTGAAAACCCTTCGCAAAGCTGCAGCCAAAGCGGGACGGGATCCACGCTCTATCCAGGTCTTCGCAACCGTGACGCCTATCATCGGCCGTATAGAAGAAGAGGCGAAAGAAAAGTACGAGGAAGCGCTTCGGTACGCCAACCACGAGGCCGGGCTGGCCTTCTGGTCCGGCACCACAGGGATCGATCGACCTAAGCAAGTAGGTATGATCTTGACCCGGAAAATAAACCCGATAACGTCAGCTTCGATGCGCGTGTATATTCGGTTATCGACTCCGAGTCCCTAGCGTATTGAGGCAATGATACCTACTATTCCCAAATAGACTCTGCGCAATATCGGCCGCTTAATTTCGATTGGCACTAATAGCCCTATAGGTATCCGTCGGAACACACCTCTTAGGTTGCCGATGTCCTAGAGGAGTGAGTGAGAATAGCGGATCTCGATGGCTTCAAGCCTATAGTAGAAACGGTTAAGTAATGTAACATGATTATTAGCGGACTCGAGCTTCGTAAGTAGAATTAGGCTAGATACAAAGACAAGGCATAATTAATCTTAAGATTTGCTTAGTACTACTACGCCATATAACTAACCTAAGTATACGTGGTACTTAGTAGTAGTAAGTTAGTACTAAGCTGCCCCCGCCTAAGTAATCAAGTAGGTATCGAGCGTAAACCGATTCATAATCGAGTTATAATCAGATATTAAGTACGTAATCGATATAGGCGTGATACTAGTATTACTAAGATATCAAGACTTATATCTTAAATTATAGTAATTATGACTCTAGAATCAAAATTACGACTCTAAAATTAAGGTTATAGAGAGATCGCGACTCTAGAATCAAAATCACCTTATATCGAGATTCGAGATCACTTTGATACTTAGAGAATTTCCACAATTTTTCAAATCTAGTAAATAGTACTATAATAGTTATTCTATCGAAATTATACACTAAATATAGTAGAAAAGGCCTTATAGCGTAGCGGTAACCCGTCGCCTTTTCTCTAAAATTAAGTTTTAAGGTTTTTAGCGGTAGTCAAGTGTATTTTTTTTTTTTTAAAAAAACCCCCTCTCGTTTCGAACCTATAATCTTTTTTTAGTACTAGTAAGTAGTAAGTTCGACCTAAATCCGATCTAAATCCGATCTAAATCCGATTTTAACTCGACTACGTACTTAAGTAAGTATCAAGACAGTATCGAGACTTACTCAACTACGGTATTAATTTGTACTTGATCTAGTATCGATTAAGGATTGATTACTTATAAAAGGCCCAAATAGTACCTAAGGTACTACCTACTCACGACAGCTCTAGAGACTTCTATAACTCCGATCTTCTTAGAAACTTTCTTAACTTCTTAAATTAGGTACTACCTACCAGGTAAGTGATAGGTACTAGTAGGTACCTACTTAGGTAGTAAGAACCTTAAATTCTAGGTAGTCTTAAATCGGCTTCAACATAGTTTCGATATAGCTTCGATATAGCTTTAACACGGTTTCGATACGGTTTCGATACGGCTTTAATACTGGTTTCGATATAGCTTCGATACAGCTTCGATACGGTTTCAATAGTTAGGTATTAGGACGCCTAGCCCGGACTATCCCCTCTATGAAACTAAGGAGGCTACCAAAATTCTAATCTAGTTTTAATCTAGTTATAACCTAGTAAGATCTTAATTAGGTAGCTACCTACCTAGTATCCTTTATTAAAACTTTATCTATAGAGTATTAATCGATTTAGTGTTGAAATCCGATTTAGATCTGATTTTCATGTGATTTTGATCCGATTTAAACTCGGTTCGAAACCAGTTTAGAATCGTATTAAATACTACTAAGGTACTTACTTTAGTAACTCTAGAATTAAAATCATAGAGAGATCACGAGAGAGATCACGAGTCACGACACTTAAAAATTTTATTAATAGAACTTAAAAGGTTAAAGCTAGTACTAGTACTTACTTCATATATAAAGCTCAAAGATAGTAGGTATAACAAAACTACAAGCTTAAAGCTATAAAGTACTAGTAGTAAGTACACCCGTCTTATTAGGAACGGAGGTCTTCGAACAACTGAATAGGGCTATCGACGGAGACTTAAAGCGTGGAGAGCCTTATAAGGAGGGCTCCTACGCTGAGTTGATATATCTCCTCCTTATCTTGCTCTCCTGCCCCCCTATCCTGGCAGCCTCGGCATCTTCACTAGCCTTATCTCTACGTTCTCTATCATCCATGGTGACACGTCTTAATATAGCCCTAGTATCTACTAGTACTAACTAATAGGTATCTATACTACTTATAGATTTATTAGTAGTAGAATTGTTATACTTAAAAAAAAAAGGATCTACTAAGTAGTAAATCTAGTACCTGGTGGCACTAGGTACTATACTATATTAGTTATTCTATAGAGAATACTAGAGACTAAATATACTAGAAAAGGCCTCGTAGTGTAGTAGTACTTAGTAGTTAGTCGCCGCCTTTTCTAAAGAATTACTAGTAGTAAGTAGTAAGTACTTAGTAGTTTAAATTTTTTTAAGGTAGTACTAGTACTACTACTAGTACTTATCTACTAGTACTTTTTACTCTTAAAGCTCGAAGCTCGAGAATTTATAATTAAAGGACAAGTTCTCTTAGGAGCTTCTAGTAATAAGCTTCCGCGAAGACTCCGACGCTATATAGTATAGATGCTACTTAGTACTGTATATATAGTACTACTATAGCTATTAGTAAAGAATAATTTAAAGTATGGTCCTTTACACTACTAAGTAAGTAGAGTAAGTAAGTACTTAGTAAATACTAACGATGCCGAGTCCCCATTCTATGAACCAGACCCACCGGGTCAACAAAGACTCCTAAGGATGTCAAGACAGCTTTTGTTTTCTTTAGGTTGCAATTCTACTGGGCACCGAAGTTGTCGTTTCAGCAATGCTCACAGTCACTACGTCATCTTTGCACGCCGGATACCGTACAAGAGCGTTGAAACTGTCTTCGGCAAGCTTGAGATCCCTATCGAGATCATAGAACCAAATTTTTGGCAATCGCACATTTGCATCCGCCGTGATCTTCTTGAGGTCGTCGCCAAAGTCTGGATGCAAGAAAAAGTAGGCCATGCCGACGTCCCGACTCTCCTGGACGACAGCCTGAGCCCGGGGTCTGCGAATGGCATCGTAGACTTGGATGGCGCTTTCCACTTCATTCGTACGCCTTACGAGGCCGAGGAGCCGGGAGAGGATGAGTGCGTCTTCCAGGCCTTGCCCTGCACCCGCTGCCTGAGCAGGACTTGATGCGTGTGCCGAATCTCCCATGAGACATATCCGACCTTTGTAGTATGTTGGCGTGTTGGGATGGTGGAAGAGCGGCCACCTGACGGGCTTGACAAACTGTTTCATCTCTGGTCAGCATCTTAACCCAACGCAACCGGTTGCAGTGGTTTCACTAACATCTAGCAGTGCTTTCAGTCTGTGGTCAAACTCTGCGAAGTCGGAGAACATCTCTTCCCTGGTCACTTCTTTGGTTGCTTGTTCGCCCACCCATTCGTCGGGGTCATGTATGAAGGCGACGATGTTGACCTCTGTTCCTTTAGAGATTGGGTACATTGCCCATCCTTTGCCCTTGCCCATCCACCATCGTGCATCCTCCGCGTAGGTTCCGATGCGTTTCTTGGCCTCTTCCATGGACGTGATTCCACGGTAGATGTAGGTATTGTTGTATTTTGCGGGGACCTCTTCCGGATATCTGGATTCCAGAACCACCTTTCTCGACATTCCTTTGATGCCATCGCAACCAACGACAATGTCGCTTTGGACAACCTCTCCGTCCTGGAAAACAATGGTCACTTTCTGAGGGGACTTTTGCTCAAGTCGGATGACTCTCTTGTTGAACTGGACCGTGCCCGGCGGGATCAAGCTCTCCATGATCTCGAGAAGCGCTTTTCGGTGGGCGCTACTTCTCTCGAATGCCGGGTGCGAGACCGAACCACCATGCCAGTCGTCAGTGATTCCAAAGCCCTCTTGGATCCCTAGAATCTCGATCTGCTCGTGGACACGATCTGGTGATTTGTTGCCGACTTTGACCTCGTCGTACATGGCCCTAAACTTGGGGTCCATCAACTCTATTGCGCGCAATGCATTGGGACCGAGACCGATTCCCGCTCCCACGGCATCGAATTTGCTGGCAGATTCGTAAACGGTACAGGGCACATTTTTCTTCAAAAGCCCGATGGCGAGGGCCAGTCCTCCAATGCCGGCGCCGATAATGGCCACAGAGAATGGTGCGCCCTCGGCCTGCGTCATGGTACAAACAACGAAAGCTTGCAAGGCTGATGTCTATCATAAAACACCTTGAAGTCCAGAGAATACCGAGTAAAGAGTATACTTTTAAGCGCTGCTTACTAGCACCACATACTTGGATCCTCGGCATTGACCGCGGCTCAATAGGCCAATGTTCACAAATTACTGCAGGGGCACTGGCAGATCACCGTCAGCCCACCGAAACACCCTGATCCAGAATCTCACGGTTGATTCTTTGTCGATCTAGGCTGCATGCTGTTCTGAGGCTGCTTCGGCTACAGATAGCCGACGGGGATGAATTCAACACTGCTTTATCAAGGATGGGTCCAGGCTCCACATTGGATACCCAGTCCCCACATCCGCCTATTATTGGACACTCGAATCGTCGCACCATGGACAGCATATGCTGACTACGAATATTGGATGTTGACAATCATACCATCGGCTCCTTGCACGCAATTCTTCAGAGACGAGCGGAATCGAGCATACCATCGCCAAAATGTCTCCCATTTGCAGAGTCACCATGATCAAGATCGACGAGAAAGGCATCGACGTGGCATTGAAAGGATTTGAAGTATTCACAAGGACTCAAAGCAAGGTTCGAAGTGCTGTCCTTAGGAGAATGTAACCACATAGTAATACCAAGGACTCTAGGATGGCAAGCCATATATCATGTCAATGGAAGCTGGACCGACACAAGGCCCTGCACGAGATCGAGGGTACACCTTTGTCACCAAGTCAGTTTTCCGGAACAAGAGCGACATGGACTTTTATGAGAAAGAGTGCCCGGCGCACGAGGGTTATAAGGCATTTTTGAGAGAGAATGCTCCGGTGGAGGATCTTACGACAGTCTGCTTTTCTCCCGAAGTCACCTTTGCATTGTGATGAGCACGAACATGTGACGAAACATGTGTATCATATTGTCAACTGCTTCAGATATGTTTACTAGCCAGTGTCAATATAATACTAGCAGTCTCTGCTCAGTGCTTCTCAAGTAGAGATCCCCAGCCCTTGATTTGATCCATGATGCCGTTGGTCCGGTAAGCATGCCACACAGTCGCCGTATTGATGGCAATCACTGGCTTTCCCAGTTCTTCTTCCATCTCGGCAGCTACTTTCGCGCACAGAAGATTCGTGCCCGCCTGAATCAACAAATCGACGTCAGGCCCGTCCACCTTTCGAAATGCGTCCTTGAGCTCGTCTGCCGGGACATCTGAAATGGAGGTTGCAGTGGCACACTTCAGTCCATGAAGGGCGGCCACATCGCAGCCAATCTGCGTGAAGAAGTCGATGACTTGCTGATCCCCCACTGGTTGGTAAGGGGTGATGATGCCAATTCGCTTGGCTCCGTACACTTTCATGACCGCTCGACAGGAATCGGCGCCTGTCGAGACCTTAAGGCCGTTTGAGGTTTCTGACATGAAGTTGATGAACTCCTGAGCACCCTGTGCTCCTCCCCAGAAAGTCTCTGCAGACATACCCATAACGAGGTAGTCAACTTTGGCGTGGCAGACGCTTTGCACGGCCCGGACAATCTCTTTGCGTAAGTCGACAAGGAATTCTTCCATGGCTTCGCTGGTGCTGAGATCCGGGTTGTTGACAAAGATACGGCCACTGTGCCACGACACACCTGTGATAAGAGTTAGGTCATCAAGTATCACGGGTGTCGAGTTTGAAAACCCCTACCAGGCACCGTCATGGCACCAAACTCGGCCTCCACACTGGTGTTTGTGGAAGGAAGGATGAGCCCAAACTGGGCACGGTTTGCCATGAGTCCCACCATCTTGACTGAGTATGCTCAACGTTCCCTGGAGATGTGAAGATGCAATGATGGAGATTTCAAGAAAATGTTACAGCCTCACTTGAAAGATTTTGCCCGTCTAATGCCAAGGGGAATACCATGTATCAGCACGATGAAGTTGATCTGCAAGTACTCTTCGATATCAGGTGACAGGCTTGGTGAACGGAACTTGTTCCAACGAGGCGGCCGCCATCACAATCTGCAGAGTCGAAAGTCCGAACAGAGGCAAACAGCATCGGCTGCCTAGGCCTGCCTACGCTGTCGGAAAGTGCTGTGGCAAGCCCAAAATTGGAGGATGTTGCTCGCGGACCAAGAAGAGCCGGCGGAAGCAAGCATCCGATGAACGAAACCAACTACTCGCAAGGGTAATCTTAGGCCAGCGACCAGGTCGGTATCTCTTATCTTGGCTTGGGAAAATTGCCCTTCGAAAAAAGGGTATCCAGTAGACTAGCAAGATCGCATGCGGTTTGCCGAGGAAACAAGAGGGTGGCTTGTCTATGCCTGGCCGGAGTTCAGGACTGGGACAGCCTACCAGCCTGGATTGGCCAACCTTGCACATATCAAACATCAAGCTGTTCGAATCCACGGTCCCCTATCGAGCCAATCAAGTTCAAATCTACTAACAGCATCGAATCCCCCCTTACTTCGCTCTATACAGGCACTGTTGTGGTGACCATACTAGATTTGAGTTGTTGAACAACACAACACCTTGCAATGGGATCAGAATACGATTTCATTATTGTTGGGGGTAAATTGCCCTGGTTACGATAGAGGTGACTAGATATAAATGCTGACAATAGAACAGCGGGTGCTTCAGGGTGTCCTATCGCGTCAAGGTTGGCACGGTCGGCTGCAAAGCCGTCAGTCCTGCTCCTCGAAGCTGGAACTCCAACTGGACGGGTAGAATATCTATCAGCGGACCAGAGGTTTGCCGTGGCCTCCAATGTCAGTTCTTTTCCCAACTGGGGATACAAGACCACTCCGCAGAATCAACTTGCTGGGCAAGAAGTCGACTACTCGCGAGGTAAAGGTCTTGGTGGCACAACTTGCATCAACTACTGTGGCTGGCTCGTGGGACCGTCGGACGACTACAATCAATGGGCCAGACTGGTGGGGGATCAAGACTTTGCTTGGGCCAATGCCAAACGGTGTCTGGACAAGGTCACTCATCTTCATCCCCAGATTCCAAGACCTGAGCTCAAAAGGTATATCGACCCAGATATCAAAGGTAAGACATAGAGAGCACGGGCGGGAAATCACTCGCTGAACATAATTCTGCAGACCACAGTGATTCGGGGGTGATCGATCTCACCTACGGCGGTCCCTGGATCCCAGATATTGAGAACATATTCATTGCAGCAGAACAAGTTGGCATTTCGACCAACAAAGACGTCAATTCGGGAAATCCCATTGGACTGGGCATGGGCACAGTCTGTTGCATCGACGGGAAACGCATCACTGCTGCCAAATACCTCGAGGATCCTCCCTCCAATCTCACCATAGTCACCGGCGCTCTGGTCGCCAAGGTCCTCCTTGAAGGCAAAAAGGCCAGGGGTCTCCTGACTGACGACGGTCGTGTGTTTTCTGCACGATGCGAGGTCATCATCTCAGGGGGAGCATTGAACAGCCCCCAGCTCCTTTTGCTCTCGGGCATTGGTCCACGAGATGAGCTCGAGAAACACGATATCCCGGTACAACACGAGCTGAACATGGTTGGAAAGAACTTGGAAGACCATTGCTTTTCAAGTGTTGGTGTTGTAGTCAAACACGGCCCGGAATACCACGAAACAGGCACACCATTATGTCCTAGTCCCATGGCCTTTCTACAGAGTCCAGCAGCTCTGCGGTCGCCAGAGTATGCCAGGCTACCTAGCCACGTGCAAAAGCACTTGGAGACACCTACTGTGCCTCATTTTGAAATCGCAACAGTAAGTTTCCACCATCCTTTCGTATGGTCAGACGAGGGTAATGATGCTTTAGCGCCATCAGCATTCGCCGCCAGCTTTCCTCAACTATATCCCTGAACCTGAAGTGTCATTCGTGGGTGCCATCTGTCTCCTGGACAACCCACAGAGCAGGGGATCCGTCAGGCTTCGATCAGCTAGCCCGAACGATGCGCCCATAATCGATCCTAAGTTCTTGACAAATCCTTACGACCGTCGTGTTATGATCGATGGCGTCCGGCAAACCCTACGATTACTGACGGCTCCGGTCTTTGCGCAAAAGCTACTCAAGGTGCTGGGTCCAGCAGATGACTCCGACGAAGCCATCTGGGAGCACATAAGAACCCATTTTGGAAGCTCATGGCACATGGCCTCCACAGTTCGAATGGGAACTAGCAGCGACACAGATTGTGTGGACTCGAATTTCAAGGTCTTTGGCATTGAGGGGCTTCGAGTCGTGGATATGAGCGTGTGTCCTTTTGTTCCCAAGTGAGTTGTTCCCAATTAGTTGTCATGCCTGCTCGTCACGAAGTGCTAATCAACCATCTAGCAATCATTGTCAATCAACAGCGTATGTCCTCGGTGAAATCGCCGCAGAGAAGCTCATCAAGCAATACAATTTAGATACGCCAAGCAACACGCTCAGTGCACGCCTCTAGGTCAATGACCGGGTTTGGGGTTCTCAGGGGGCTGTCAGAGGGTTTAGATGAGAAATGAAGCAACCCACCTGTGTCAGGTACAGTCTCAAGGGGGTTTGATGGCCAAATCCTACAGGTAGAGCTTTCATACAGACGTAAGGATCGCGAATGACCAGGGTTTTTGGAGTACATTTGTCCACACCTTAGATGGCATTTGAATTTCCCAGTCAGCTGCATGTTGCCAGTCTCGAAGTCTAGCAAATAGCAAGTTGAATGATATATCCAACTTCCAGATTCCAGGGCACTACTATGTTATCTCTTAGGTGAATTTTCCATTCCCTCCTCGAAATATTTTGATTGATTTTATCCCATGTGTTTGACACTGGTTAAAACCGTGAACGTCGGCCGTCGCAGCCTGGCGGAGAGAGCCACTCTCTGTCCGCAGACCGTGATGATTAGTCCGAGCTTCGCCCGACCCACACTTTCGACCAAGACGGCAAGTCTTATCTTTCGCCTGCCAGATATCACCGTGGACACTAGTAGTGGCTGTTGTTGGCCCTAATTCCGCTTATCGGCAACCAGCTTGGTCTGGCCCAATATGTCCCAGTTCTCGAAGGTCGAGGGCATCGTCAGAAAGAAGCCTTATCTATTATCTCTCTCGATCGTCGAATCATCTTTTTTGTCGGCAGTCGAGGCTGACGTACACAAAGCTCACCACCTACATCCATATGCCATGACGAGCGTGACGGGCGTTCAATATTTTAGATTTGTTTGTTCCCATCTCAATCAGCCATGGATCCAACTAGCAGACGCGTTCCAGTAGACAAGCGGAAACGCACAGAAACGAGTTGCGACAAATGTAAAGCGAGGAAACAGAAATGCGACCGGCTTCTGAACGAGGCACAATGCAGATACTGCGAACTTCACGGCTACACATGCACGACCACCGCTCTCCGGAAGAGGAGAGCCTACGGCTTGGAAGGCATGGGAAGTCGAATTACGCTGCTCGAATCCCTCGTCAAAGGTCTCCTACCCGAGGCCAACCTGTCCAGCATAGATGAGATACAACACGTTGGGGCCTCGCTGGGCATTCCTTTGCCTGCATTGGAAGACAACATCCTGACAGAAAATGCTCAGGGTACAAGAGGTCAGGGAACCGATGACGACGACGAGGAAGCGACCGTCGAAGTGATCCCAGATCAACAGAACCAAACCCAATATGTCGGCCCATCCAGCTCCTTCCTGTTCCATCTGAAGTTGCGGCGGATGCTTGGGGCATACTCAATATTCAAATTCGCCCTGTTCGGCAACAATGCAGCAGACCAGATAGCAGAGCCTCCCAGAGATGTCGAGTCGAGTCATAATGCTCGCCGCGAGTCTGCCAGTGTGGCAACGGATTGTTCGTCACCAGCCGACGCCGTCCGAGAGATTGATGAGGCAGTCATCGAAGCGCTCATGGACGCTTACTTCGAAGTTATCCATCCCGACTTCCCTGTCATCCATGAGGCTTCATTCCGAGCCTCGTATGAGGCTTGGGCCGCTTCGAATTCGACTGCCGACCCTGCGTGGCTGTGCGGCGCGCTTTGCATCCTCATACTATCCCGTCGCGTTGCGCCAATTGAGATACCAGAGGAAGCAGAGAAGAAATGGTGGAGACACGTCCAAGCCTTACTGCCTACGGTGATATTCAGTTCCAACATCTCTACCATCCAGGCGCTCATGCTCGCCGCTCTACACCTTCACAATACCAATCACCGCGATGCGTGTTGGAACCTCACGGGAGCCGCTGTTCGAGTAGCCCATGCCATAGGCATGCACCGGGACGACATCAAGCAGACACAGAATCGGCTCAACCGAGAACTGCGAAGGCTCGTATGGTGGACACTTTACGCATTTGAGCAAATGCAGGTATCATCCTATGACCGACCCAGTGCAATTGCCCACGTCGCCAGTACCGTCGACTGTCCCAACGAACGCATCGTAGGAAATGCAGGCGCCTTCCCACCGGATTTCGCCCTATGGTCCCGCAAATTGACGGTCATCCTCGGCATGGCCTGCAAAGCACTAAACCCCGGCAACGGCGGTGCCCCTTCTCCCGAAGATGCTTACAGCCGACCTCTGTCGCCGACCGCGACTATCCTGCGAGATCTGGCGCGGTGGAAGCAAGGTCTACCTACACATTTGCGAGTCGAAGTCCTTGACTCCCTTGCGCCCTCGACCCAGCGACCGCTCATTCTCCTCCATGTACAATATTACTACATCCTCGTCCTCGTGACCCGGACCGCCCTGTTACGCCACGCGAACATCATCGTGCAGAACAAAAAAGCTGATCAACAAGCCGTGCCGCCGGCGTTAGTGATGGTCTCTGACACGAGTATCGACGCTGGTCGCTCCCTGGGCCAGCTGCTGCGCAGACTAGATTCGATCCACAGGTTCAATGCCGTCACATGGTTTGATGTGTTCTACCTCGTCGCCGCCGCTTTGGTCCTGGTTCTCGACCTCCGCATCAACAGAGGTGAAGCCACCGCCAGCTCGACGACGTCTGAATCGAGACTGCTTTTACAAGATCTCGCGAGCCTGGCAAGCAAGCATATGCAGAATCATCGGATGCCCGGGTCGATGCGAGCACTGGCCCAGATTGTCGTGGATGTCAATTCGACTGCGGAACAGTTCACGTCGTCTACATCCACCGCCACTGGCGCCGCGGCCGCCGTCACGGCAGAAGTGCAACAACAACCACAACAGTCATTGGCAGGCACAAGTGCGGCCGACGGGGAACCGCAAATGGGAGGCCGTGGTCTTCTGAGCCAGGGTCAGAGATTTGCTGCAAGTGGGACTAATTCTCCCGCGCCCACTGAATCAGGTTCGCCATTTGAATCACAGGTTCTACCACAGCATGATCATAACAATCTTCTGGCTACGGCGCCACTGGAGTTCCATCGACCAACGACGGCACCCGGCAGTGGGAAAGTATTAGACTCGATTCGCAGTCGTGCTTACGATTCCGAGTTTTGGGCCCAGTTTTCCTTTATGGATGAAGTCGACACTGGCAATGGAGTGCAGGACTGGGTGTGGGATGATATTGGAACAATTGTTCGAGGGGGTTAGGAAAGCTGACTATGAAGTAACATGCCTGCTATCGGGAGGTTTTGCTGCCTAGCGAAGGAGATGAATGTATTTCTATATGGCACAAAATGTAGCATGAACCCGCCTTGCCTACCTCTCTCGCTCTCTCTCTCTCCGCCTCTTCTCTTCTCTCGCTCTCTCTTTCTTTTCTCTCTTTCTCTCTATCTATCTGTATGTAGACACGACTTTGGACCGAACCAGCGAGGTGCGTGCTTTTTTTTGCTCTTTGCTCTTTATCTAGTAAACATACTTGTAATCGATCTGGTCGTCCAACACCTCTCCTGGTGCTAGGGAAGCCAACTTTCGATCAATCTTCTTGTTGTGACGGATGAACAAGAAAATGACCAGCAACATGACAGGGAATGACAGGCAAGTAATGCCCAACCCCGTGCCGAACCCGACAGGGTAGTGAGGTGCCTGCGTGGTGATGAAGACGTTCGAGGATACGAAGTTGGCACAATTGCCCAACCCCAGCTGAATGGCAGTTCCAAAGGACAAGTAGGCTCTGCCGCGTAGGTTTGCAGTGAGGAGACCGATGTACAGCGGCATTTGAATGAATGTGCCCACGGAGATGATGAACTGGGCAAAGTACCGCACGCCGGGTGCTTGGTACGTGACGTGGAGCGTCCAACCAATGATGGAAACGACAATTGCAGGGAGGATAAAGGGCCAGCGTTTGTTCAAGCGGCCGCTGGCGAGTGTCGAGGCGAGGGCGCCCACAATGCCGGCAATCCAGACTGGGATGGTCATGACCTGAGCGCGTCGGGCCTTCCACCCCAACTGACTGAGAATGGTGGGGTTGAAACTCGAGAGGGAGCCGGCCGACATGTCGGAGCAGAAGAACAACAAGGTCATGAGCCAAATCCTGTAGTCAAAGACGACCTTTGTCCAGGGGACCTTCTTGTTGTTTGCGAGCTTTTGGTTGGAATACTCTTTGCCCTTGTCCGCCTCGAGGCGAGCGAGCAGTCTGGCCCGGTCGTGCTCACTGATCCATTTGTCCTTGCCGGGGAAGTGAGGGGTGAAGATGAAGACGAAGATGCTGAAGAAGATGGTCACCAGGCCTTCGATGACAAAAATCCATCTCCAACCTGCGAGCCCGGCGGCTCCGTCCATGCCTTGAATCGCGTAGGCGAGAAGCTGTATAAGAAGGTCTCGTTAGCCAATGATGCGATCTTTGTTTTCAATACTTGTCACACGTACCCCACTGAAGCAAGAACCTGCTTGACCAAACGCAAAGAACAGTGCAAACCGCAAGCTCAGCTCCTTCTTTCGATAGTACGAGGCAATGAGCAGGCCAGCTCCAGCTGGAAGACCCGTCTCCACAATACCCATCAGGAAGCGGACGCCCAGTAGTCCTCCGTACGAATGAGTGAGGCCTTGACACATGGCGAGAACGCCTACAGAAAAAAGAAAGACCCGGTTAGTTTCATATCGTCATCAGGAGTGCCCATACAGGTACTGAGGTACACATACCCAGGATGAATGTTTGACCTCCTAGGAACAGGTTTGGCTTGATCCAGGGAAGACTCATCATCATGTTGCTGGGGACTTCGGCCAGGACGAAGGGGATGTAGAAAATCCATAATGCAGTGTTGAACCCGGTGGATGGCATATTCAAGCCCTTCTCGAGACCTGCTAGACGAGCATTGGCGATGTTGGTTCGGTCGAGGAAGCAAATCAGATACAGAAGCCCCAGGATCGGTATCACTTTGAAGTCCATTCTGGTGGTGAGGAGGCGTTCGGTCTTTGGATCGTCTGGAATGTACTCCAGCTCTCCAGGCCCAATCTCTCTCGCAACTCCTTCCTCCACCAAGGCTTCCTTGTCGACGGGCTCATGGTCGCCCAAAACAGACTTCTCCATAAATTCGGCCATGATGATGTGCGTTCACACTTCGGGGTGATGGCTGGGTCAGAAAGGGTTTCCAGAGGAGGAATGAGGCCTTGTGTGAGTGAAACCTTTGCCGTGGAGGTGAAGTTTTCTCATCCCAGTAATCCTCGCGGTGATCGCACTGGGCCCTTGTTCTTAAGAAGCTTCTGCCGTAGTATAACGCGTCTAGACCGATCGATACCAACCGCATAACGCTGCATCATCCCAATCATCCTGGCGGCTGAAAGCCCGACATAGGACTATGATAACGAGGACAATGGTTGAGTCCATGGCCAATTATGTGGGGTCCAGGGTGATTGGTCAATGCTTTTTCCATCGGATGGATGAAGCCGATGCTGGGACGCGTAGAAATCTACGACCCACTCTGTAGCGTCGACTGAAGTGTGTCCTTGAGATTCATCGGAAGTCAGCCGAAAGACGCTTATCAACCGACCCAAAACGAATTGGGCCCAGGCTGCTGTCTGTCTATCTCACACTTACTCTGAGAGGCTGTCTGAGAGGCTGCTTAAGCGAATGCCAAAGCCAGGGATGGCAGCCTCACCATGGGCAGATCAGACCAAGGACACACCAGGGTCTGATAGACTGGTACTATGAGATGATAGACTGGTACTACGAGATAACGATGTGAAGCTGGAAAAAGGCATAAGAGGCGCCCCAGATCAGCACCATTGCCACAATGGCACGCAAAAGGGCCAAACTCACTTGCACTCTTGTAGCATCCAAAAAACCGGACAAAGGCGACCATGTCTGTGTCAAGGCTGCTCAAGCGACTCGAGGTCAAGCCGACCGAGGATGAGTACGAAAAGATTGAGACCAATCGATGGGGAAATCGAGACATCTATCCCATCCCTCATGACAAACGCACATATGGCACCTATGCCTTTGTCAGTTACTGGGGTGAGGCAGCCAGCATTCCCACCACAGCTTCAGAAGTCCTCTTCATGAAGACACCACTGACTTTGAAATCCAAGGCACCTGTGGGATTTGTCTGTCCTCCTTCACCATTGGCTCTTCTTTGATCGGCACCGGCCTCACAGCCGGCCAGGCAATGGCAGCTGTCGTACGTTTGGCACCCCGTTTGCCCAGCTGTTACTGAGAGCCTTGGTATCTAACGTGATATTTACCTAGACGGTCGGCATGTTTCTGGCATGTGGCAGCGCGTACCTCAACTCCTACCCTGGTGCGAGGCACTTCGTGGGTTATGGTATGGTCGCTCGTGCGGCCTTTGGGCTCTGGGGCTCATACTTTTGTGTTATGCTCAACGTCTTTCAATCCTTCGTCTTTTATGTAAGCTCGAGGTTCTCCTCAGGCGTGTCTGGCTGGTGCCTACTGCAACGCGACTGACCCAGCGCGCAAACAGGGTACACAAATGTACTTTGGTGGTCAAGCCATTGTCCTCATTTTGAACTCGCTCTCTTCAAGCTTCCTGCACATGAAGAACACCCTTCCTGAGAGGTAAAACACACACCCAGACAAGACAAAAGTGCACTCGGGACATATCCAGACTGACTCGAGCTTTTCAGCGCTGGCATCACCACACCAGGCCTGATTGGATTCGTGCTGTTTATCATCCTGTACTTTCCCATCATCTATTTCGTCCCTGCTTGGAAGATCCAGAAACTCTTGGAGATTCAGATCTTTGTTGCAGCGGCAACCTTGTTGGGAATCATGGGGTGGGCCGTCAATGTAAGTTGTGCAAATCAGCGTCATCAAATTCGGTTTCAGACCCCCCTCTGACCAAGAATTACAGATGAACGGAGGCAGCCCAGGAAATCTGGTGTCATCGTCGCTCAAGATCTCCAAGATGGAGGCGGGATTTCGTGTCATGCAAGGAATTACCAGCGTGGCTGGCACTTACACTGGTGGATCCGATCGAGCATCCGACTGGACACGGTACAGTCGAAGGCGTTACGCTTTTGTGCCAGCCGTGCCCGTCATGGGCATCACGGTCATCTTGACCGCGCTGATTGGCATAATCACGGCGTCAGCACTGACCCAAGTCTATGGCGAGACCAACTGGAACCCCCTGATCAGCCTTCAACAAGTCCAGGCCGAGACCTACACGGCCAAATGTCGTGCGGGCACCTTCTTCGCAGGTCTCGGCTTGCTGTCGGTCACGATCTTTGTCAACTATACGCAAAACTGTGTCTCGTCGGGCATGGATGTGGCCATGCTATTTCCCAAATACATCTCCCAACGCCGTGGATCCATGATCTTTAGTATCCTGGGTATTTTGGCGCAACCATGGCGATTCCTCACCCAGGCCACCACGTTTATCACCGTGCTCAGCAGCTTCGGCGTCTTTATGAGTCCCGCGGGCGCCATCCTGGCCGTCGACTTTTGGATCATCCGAAGGTGCAAATGGAACATCCCCGAACTCTACCGGCCCCACGGTATCTACTGGTTCTGGCATGGTATCAACTGGAGAGCCATGGTGGCTTATTTCCTGGGCATGTGGCCCGCCCTTCCAGGCTTTGTCAACGCCACTGGCGGCATGTACGTCAACGACACCTGGCGCCGTTTCTTCCAGATCAGTTTCTTCTTCGGCTACATTGTCTCTGGCGGTCTTTACTACCTGTTCAACAGACTGTCTCCGCCGCCTGGTCTGGGCGAACAGGTTGATTTTGACGTTGACGGTCGTGTTGTTGAGGAGGAAGATGACGAGAGTACCGTTTCGGGTACAAGAGTGATTGAAACCAAAGTGATTGACCCTATTGAGACCAAGGTTTGAATCTACGTTGATTAAGAAGCCCTACCCTGGAATTGCCTGGGTTGGAGATCGTTTGGAATATCGCGGTGACGCTGTTCCGCAGCCTCAATGCTTCTTGGGGAGCTGTGATGAGTGAATGAGTATTGTCTTTGTTAGACCACAATCCTTATGGCCATGAACGAACGCTTGAGATCTATTAGAAGTCTTTAGTCAGCAAAGTACATACGGCGTTGATGACATGTATACTGCATATTCCCACCGATGGGCTTATTCTGCCAACGTATGGTAGAATGACCAAGGGCTGTGTTGATCCTCCCCCAATATGACTCAACAATCTGTTTAGCCGCCCTCTGGAGTCGAATAGTAAGTACAGTAGTAGACCGGCTCAGGAACTTTGTTATGATAACCTGGTTAACGATGGTGGGCCCTTTAGCCGAAGGCTGCATCGCCTGCAAACTGCCGTCGGGATCCAACCTACAACTATCCGATACCAGGGAGGAGGAGGGGGAACGGTGACTAAACATCCCATCCATGAACCCTGTCACCCTGAACCTTGTAGTGTGCTGTCAGGCCCGATGAGATCCAGAACCAAGTAGAAGTCAACGTCGATATACAAAATGCGGAGACATGTCGACGGTCTTGCCATGCCATGCACACGGAACAACAGCATAGATAGCGACCGTTTCTTGTTCCAGTTCTGAGTAGACTACCAGGGATCTGGCCACCGGCGTCATGACAGACATCATCAAAGCCGACCTCTTGATCAACAACAAGTCAGTGCCTGCCTCCAGCAAGGAAACATTCGATCTGTTTTCGCCATACACAGGCAAACTCGTTGCAACAGTAGCAGAGGCTTCCGTCGACGATGTCGACAGCGCCGTCGCAGCGGCCGAAGCTGCCTTCCCGGCATGGAGCGCTCTATCGCCCAGTGCACGGGGCAAACCCCTGAAGAAATTGGCCGAAAAGATCATCGCTGCGAAAGACGAACTGGCCGAACTAGATGCCATCTCCATGGGCCGACCTGTGGGAGGCTATTTTGATGCCGACTACGCTGGGGTTCATTTCAACTATTTCGCCGAAGCAGCCTACGCTCAAGGCCATAGCAGTCTCAACACGCCAGGATTTCTCAACCTGTCGCTCCGACAGCCCTTTGGGGTGGTGGGCGTCATCATCCCGTGGAACGCGCCCCTGGTGTTTTTCAGCAAGAAAATCGCCCCGGCAGTGGCGGCGGGGAACTGCGTCGTCCTCAAGTCTAGCGAAAAGGCACCGCTGACTTCGTGGAAAGTGGCCCAATGGATCGAGGAATGTGGATTTCCCCCGGGCGTCATCAACGTGCTTTCGGGACACGGGCAGATCTCTGGGGCGGCCATAGCGTCGCATATGAAGATCCGAGCGATTTCATTCACGGGTAGTTCGCGTACTGGACGAGCCATCCAGAAGGCCTCGGCGGATTCAAATCTGAAAAAGGTCGTCTTTGAACTCGGCGGAAAGGGGCCCGCATTGATCTTCGAGGACGCCGATCTCGACGAGGCTGTCAAGGGCACCGAATTCAGCATCATGTTTAACAGTGGACAGACATGCATGGCCAACAGCAGAATCTACGTCCAGGAAAGCATCAGAGATAAGTTCACCGAAGCGTTCACACGGGCAGCAAGCAGTAGAAAGCTGGGAGACCCGACACAAAAGGACATCAATCATGGACCACAGGCCGATAAAGTGCAATATGAGACGGTCTTGAAATACATCGAGATTGGAAAGAAAAGTGGGGGCAAGGTCCTCGTGGCAGGAGAACAAGCCGATGCCACTCTGGGAAAGCCTCTGTTGATTTCTCCTGTCTTGTTCATGGAGCAGCCTGAAGACAGCCAGATCATGAAGGAGGAGATCTTTGGCCCTGTTGTCGTCATCAACACTTTCAAGACCGAGGAGGAAGTCATTGCCAAAGCAAATGACACAGAGTTTGGCCTCTACGCCGCACTCTACACGAACGACCTGCAACGAGCCCTGAGGGTCAGCAAGAAGTTGGAGAGCGGTATGGTGGGTGTGAATTGTGCCAGTCCGACGGGTAGCTGGGATCTGCCATTTGGTGGGTGGAAGAGTAGTGGTACCGGAAGGGAGAGTCTATTGGAGAGTATCGAGCACTTCACCGAGCAGAAGAGTATCTTCATCAAGGTCTCGGGGATTGGTGGTTGATCTTGACGGAAATGAACAGTTTTAACTGCTACATGTAGGAGCTATATGTCTTCCTACATCGGGGATGTCCCAGGTAATCAAGTACGTACAGTCAGTCTATTCTTTGGTTCCCCCGCAAGTTGCAACTCGGAAAGTTATCGTACAGCTTTACCTGCAGCGGCCTTGGTGGTATATGAAATCCTTCATCATTTCGGGCAGGGGTGGTTGATAGCATGTTAGATTAAGTCCTAGATATAAGGTGTAGCCAATATCCGATATCCAACATCTCGGGTGGTTGTTCTTCCGTTGGTGTCGTCTATCGTGGGCCAATGAATAGACGTATCATTTCACATTTCACCCACTGATCCACGTTGTGCAACTGAGCAATCTCCATCATCCTGACCCCAAAAGATATTTGATGTGACATACGTGATATAACTTGCTTGCACAGAGAGGAAGAGAGTATACGTACCATGTCGCCTATCATACCTCATAATGCAGAGCCATTGTCGATTCCTGCGTCGACCTCGATCGTCACAGTTCAAGCTGTAGACACAACGTTACAACTCTATGTGAAAGCAACCAACTTTTGGCAGCCTGTGCTTCCTGGCCACGAGGTCTACAATTGCCCGGCAATGGCGTTTCTCATCACCAACCAGACCACAGGAAGACAGATATTATTCGACGCAGGAGCACGCAAGGACTACTGGAATTATTCCCCCCTGGTCACTGGACGGTTCAAGACCGGCGTCAATGTCAAGGGTCTCCGAGTTGGCAAGGGAATGGAAGAAACCCTCGTCGACGCCAATGTCGCCGTGGATGGTCTGGAAAGCGTTGTATGGAGTCATTGGCACTTCGACCATATTGGAGACATGTCCAAGTTTCCAAGTTCAGTGACGATTACAGTTGGACCTGGATTCCAGAGCAACTTGCTTCCCGGGTATCCAACGAACCCGCAATCACCGTTGCTTGAGACCGACTATAGCGGCCATGAGCTGAATGAGGTGTCGTTCGAGTCAGACTTGAAAATTGGCAAGTTTCGGGCCCACGACTACTTTGGTGACGGTTCATTCTACCTGCTCGATGTCCCAGGTCATGCTATCGGACACATGTGTGGTCTCGCACGTACAACGCCAGATACATTCATACTCATGGGGGCAGACGCCTGCCATTTCGCAGGTAGTGTGCGACCGTCACCCTACGTGCCTCTTCCTGAAAATGTTGATGCACAATCAAATGGATTGGATCAGCCTTATTTCCCCAACCCGTGTCCCTGTTCGTTCATGGGAGTCACCCATCCGAGGACTACGGAGCACGAGAAAAGAACGAAACCATGGTACACCGTGAGCGAAGCACCAGGCAGTGCCTACATCGACCCGGCTACGGCAAATGAGAGCATTGCTGCACTACAACAGTTTGACGCAAGTCCTCAAGTCTTTCTATGCCTCGCCCACGATCCGGCACTTTTTGAGGTGTTGCCGCTCTTGAACCACAACCCCCAAAACGTCGTAAATGACTGGCAAGTCAGGGGTTACAAGGAGCGCACAAGGTGGAGATTCCTCAATGAACTACCGCGGGATGGAATGCCCGGGAGACCTCCTATCGTCCTGGGCTTTTGGCGAGATGATAAGCCGGTGGGTGTTGAGGAAGCATTTCAGACTTAGATCCTAGTTAGGGTAAACTGAAGATTAGGTAGGGTTTCAACTGCCTTGTTGATTATGATCGCTTGGAGGGATCCTTAAATCCGGAGGGTTCAATACCGCGGATGCATGCTGCCGATATGATGTTGCGATAACGCCAAAATGGAAGTGGGCCAGACCCAGACCCAGACCCAGACCCAGGAACATGCACGGGACTTTTTCAGTCCGAGCAAGACGGGAATTAATCCAGAGAGCATCACAAGCCGGAGATAGGACCTACACCCAGGTAAGCCTAGTATCACAAAAGTCCACCGCCCGAGGTGTTGGCGCTGGTACCAGACGGATGGTTATGTTGCGGCATGAAAAGTGTCGATATCCACGTGAAATGCAATTGATTACTGCGTGATTGCACTCCACAGAAACAACGCATACGAAGGCTTCACAGTATCATTCAGGCAGACAGGAAAAGTGTGTCGAGGAAAATGGCAATCAGCAATGGCGTCCACCACAGCGCCGTACGAGTAGCAACAGCACAATTCTATTCACATACCGATGTCCCAGCAAATCTCGAACTGTGTCGCAAATACATACGAGAAGCTGCCGCAGTCGGGGCTCAACTTATTGTTCTCCCCGAAAATGCAAACCGGTGCAGAACCGACTACAAGGACAAACAAATAGCGTACGAGTTGTGCGAAGATCTCGACGGCGAATTTGTGTCCGGACTATGCTCCACGGCAAATGAGCTGAACATTTTCATCGTGGTGGGAGTCGACCTCAAAGCCAAAGTCTCCCCGGACGTCAACATCGGTGTTGTTTTGATCGGTGCTGACGGCCATGTCCTTTACGTCCACCACAAGACGGTCCTGTGGGATTACGAGTATGGACTATTCAAACCAGGAACCAAGGACATTGAAGTCGTCCAGACCCCCATCGGCAAACTGGGTCTTTTGAGCTGCGCCGACGGCATCGTCCCAGAAGTGCCTCGACTGTCTGCCCTCAAGGGGGCGGAAATATTGTGCAACAGTCTCAACTCGCGCGGGCCCGATGAAATGCGCTGTCACGAACCATTACGCGCCCTGGAGAATCATGTGTGGATGGTTGCTTCCAACAGTGTGGGCGGTACTGAAGACGCATATCCTTGGACAGGTGGGTCTCAGATCATTTCGCCCAAAGGCGAGGTACTCGCCTGTGCCGGAGAGACCGACTACGGAATGGTCTGGGCAGATATCACTCCAGAGACTTCGTTTCCCAAGGTCCTCGGTGGTGGAATAGGACCGCTTGATCAATTCAGAAGACCAGATCTCTATGGCGACCTCGTGGCCCCTATCGACTCCGTTCCCGCCGCCAAAATGTATGGTCCTGTGGCCGAAGATGCGCCCAAGCGGCCACTGAATGTGGTCACACTGCAGTTGTCCTGGTATCACTCGACCTTCTGGACAGTTACCAGAGCGGTGGGACAGGTCAAATATGCAGCCTCGCGAGGTGCGCAGCTCGGTGTTTTCCCAGAGTTGTTCTGCTTCAAACCAGGCGAAGTCGCCGCGGATCCTGCAGCGGCAGCCGATTTCTCCGGTCAAGTTCTTAGCAAGATTCAAGCTGCTGCAGCGGAAGCATCGTCTATGTGGGTGGTTGTGGATCTTGTTGAACAGTCTGGAGACAAGTTCTATTCCACCGCATATCTGATCGACAGCGCTGGCCAAATTGCAGGCAGATACCGAAAATGTCACCTGGGAGAAGTTGAGCGCACATGGGCAACGCCGGGCGAGAGCTTCACAGTGGTTGACACCCCCATTGGGATGATCGGTCTCATGATCGGCAACGAGGTCTGGTTGCCCGAAGTCTCTCGCATCCTGACCCTGCGCGGCGCAGAGGTCATTGCTCATCCGGCAGATTGGGATCGTGTTGAAGCAGCTACCATGGCCGCAGTGGAACGTACGGAAGAGAACAGGACTCATTTAGTCTCGTGTGCGAGGACAGACAACCCGGCAAAGTTTGGCAGTCAAATTGTCGTGGCTGATCGATTTCGCTTTGGTCAGTGCATTGCCCTTATGAGATATCCCACGGCTATTTGGTCTCGGACTGGGTTTGAAGAGAACATTTTCTACGAGTTGGATCTGCAAGATTCACACTCGAAGGTCCAAGGGTTCTACCTGGATCCAGTTGGAACGAGACAGCCTGGTCTATACAGTGTCATGGTGGAAGTGCCTCAGAAGAATGGTACAAAGGTCGCGTAATAAGTAGAACTAGCATGCTCTATAGCTTTTGACCATTGTTTTCCACCCAGTACTATTCTATCAGCATAGCAGGACCATTGTCGACTGGCCATGAGCATTGAAATCGTAATCCTCCGAACACCCTTCCGGTAGGAATAGATCGTCTTTGACCAGTGCCCGTGCCTCATCATATATGTTCACTGTCGTCTCAACTGTGAGGCTCGAGCACAACCTGGATCCAGTGCTGAGTCAATCCCCTAGAGCTGTCTCATAGCTTGGTAATCTGGCGACATACAGCCTTTCCTGCCCAGAACAAGCTTGATTTCTCTTTTCAAGCCAACACAATTCAAATCCGTCGATCACTGATCTCATGTAGTACCGGATTTCAGGTGTGCGACTGCCTCTTCTTCAGTGACAGCATCGGCCATTTTGGCATTCATGTCAAACATGTTGGCATCATGAATTTGTGCTGAGCGATCACCACAGGCAGAGCCTACGACCTGGTACATGTGTCAGTGTCTTTGGCCTTCTTTTCTGGTATCGAAGTGCTTATGTTCTTACCATAGGCCTGAACCCGTACGACATGGCATCCAAGGTACTGGCTCTCACACAGCCACTCGTACTGACACCACAGATGACCAGAGTGTCCACCCTCAAAAGATTTAATCTTGTCGCGATATCCGTGCCGAAAAAGGCACTGGGATAATGTTTACTGACCACGATTTCCTTTGGCTGTTGCGGCACCAACCCATCAACCCACTGATCATACCCCCTCGTGTCACCCTTTTCCCACACATTCAATGATTTGCTCTTGAGCCAAAAGATCCCGGCTTCAGACATGTCTTGATATTCCACCTTGGTCCAGATCACGGGACAACCGCCTTCGCGGGCTGCAGAGAGAAGAGCTTTCATTGAATCGATTGATGCCAGCGCCCCCGGATTGGAGGCTGTCGTGTCCAGTGGACTCCCAGGTGTCCAATATGCCTGACAGACATCGATCAGAAGCAAGGCTGGCCGTGTACCCCAGCCAATGCGGTTGCCGAATCCAGCCGAGGCATAAGATGCCGTGTCAGGATGGGTGTTCATTTCGAGCATATCCCTTTGAAGAGTCGTTGAATACTACTACTACGTATACTAGTAGTACTACTTGTTATGGACAAACAAGCCAATATGCAAAGTATATGCCCAATCTTAAGTTCTAGTCAGATAATCGTTGGTTGGTCAAGGAATGACACTAGTAATAAGCCTGTAGGGAATATTGCCGCCCTCGGCAATTATCTGCCGCAGCGTTGGAATCTATTCACACCCGGTCCCCGCTTAGATATAGTACCTTAGTACTAGGTATTTGTGCCCTTAGCTGGTATACACTTTACTACTAGGACTTACTACTAAGTAGTGATACTATAGCTAACATAGCAGTAAACACAAGGGTATCCTTAATACTCTTTGGATACTTTTATAATAACCTAAATCGAGTCCCTACTAAATACTAGCAGTAATACCCCCTAGATCGAGTCCTAAACTTGTTGACACGTAAAAACGCCCTTTCCAACAACGCGTTCTCAGGTGCCAGGCCCAACTAATAGAGTTCGACGGCGGCCGCCCGGGGTTTTGTAGCGCCCTTGGCCTTCTATTAAGGCCAAATCGTTAAGTTAGATCGAGAGGTACCTACTAGTACTATTAACGACTCTTTAATAATTTTCAAACAAAATTACTACTACTATAGCTCGCTTCCGATTCGAATGCCTTATACTACATAGTAATAATATTTCTCGTACTAGTACCTATTTATACACGTTTAAGTATCTGTAAAAGATAGGAATTCACAATTTCCGCTTAGTACTAAACGCGCTTACTGCAAATATAGTGCTTAGTACTAGTAGGGTGCGCTGGCGTAATTTATAGGCGAAGCACACTTTCTGTTTGAAAACGCGAGTTCTTAGCGGTGCCGAACAGGCCCTAAGACGTGTTAATTCTAGAATCCTTGACACGTATCAGCACGTATCAACACCGTATCAACACCGTATCAATAGTACTATATATCGGTATCAAGGCTTAGAATTACTAATTAGTAAGTATAGAATCAAAATCAATATTAAATCACGATCAGAGATCACTATTATAAGCTAGTACGTATAATTTTTTCTAAAAAATCCTATATACCTATACTTCCTAGTACTAAATACTTAGTACTAATCCGGAATCTAATTTAAATTACGAGACTAGTATAGAATACCTACTAGTAGATACCTAGATTAGTACTATCTTAGATATACTTACCACTTAGTACCTAGCTCCTTAATGATTAGATAGATAAAAGTCTTTAGATCTAGATTAAAACTAGATTAAAATCTAATCTAGTTTTTGATCAGAAACTTAAGTACTAGTAGTACCTAGTACTAAGCTAGTAGCAGTTGGTCTAGGGTTCTTGCGCCCCTAGGGGCTATCACAATGGCTCGGAACCGGCTTTTTTTCCAATCGGTGAGCGTAGCAAGGGTCACATACTATCTGGCATGCCCTCAGTAAGCAACTAGCTGCTGTAACTTCCCCTTCTCCTCGTCAGACAACTGTCCAAAAAGGGCTGCAAAGTCTTCCTTCTCAGCCTCGGTTTTGAACCATTGCAGTAGATACTCTGCCGTCTCTTCATCCCTGGCCCTTGAGCCAGTGGGGCTCGCAGCTCCATCGGCGCCGAACCCTCCCTCGCCGACCAGCGCCATCAGATCTCCCCGGACGGTAGCACTGGCAAGGTCGATTGCGCCGGCGGTGCCAACGTCCTCCCACTCATCCGCATCCTCGGCATTCTCGTCCGCCTCGTCCAGTGCGTCCGCAGCCGCCTGTGCCGCAGCGAAGTCTGGGAACTGCGAAGTGGCAGCGGACGCAAGCTCATCGACCAAGATCTTGAGGATTTTCAGGTCGGCAGGCACCGACGTCCAGCGATCGGGGTTGAGCTTGGCCTGCGAGCGCGTCTTGATGCGGCCCGACGGGTTGGCGTCGACGATCAAATCACCCTTGACATGCACAGCCTTGATACGAGGGTCGTGCAATGAGAAAATCTTAGACAGGGCGACGACATTGTGCCTCACTTCGTCAAAGCCTGCGAAATGCACAGCATTCTCGAGCCATTTCGTCAGGACTACGGTGAGCCCATTGGTGCCGTTGATGTTGACTTCCGACAAGAAATCCACCACTTCTTTGGGTGCAGCGAGTGAAAGTCCCACAAACACCATGCATAGGCTCTGGATAAATTGTATCCGGTCGGCAGTGGCGAGTCGGACAGCCACAGCCCGTAAAAGGTCCATCAGGTAAGGCCCAAGTTTGTCCGCACCGAATTTGGAAACCAGCGTCGACGCCAGTCCACCAACTTCTTGACCGGCATTCTCATCGACATCAGGCGAGTTGAGAAGTCGGTTGACAATGATCAATGTCACTTCAATGGACGACTTCCCCTCAGCGTCCGTCCAAGCCAAAAACTGCGACGCGCCTTTACTGAGCATATGTTCCACCGCCAGCGTGGCGGGACGAACAAGCTCGGCTTCGGTCGCCTCCATGAGCACACGCTGGAGCTTAGGCATAACGGCGGAGACGAAGCCGTCGGGTAGGGGCTCGGAGCCGAATTCGGCGAGTGCATTGACAAGCTCGGCAGCAAGGTTCGTCAAAGCGGATTCCTGTGTCATACTGGCGACGTCGAACGCCCCGGTAAGTGAGGGGACCGTCTTCGCGCAAAGACGTACATAGTGATCTGGACCGTGTGACACGACCGAAGACACGATACCTTCGAAGGCTTCAGTCAGTAGAGTAAACAATTGAAAATTGGCGGCGCCGTCGGAGGCGAGGGTGAAGAATAAATCGATCGCGTTGCCGTCAGTGATGCTGCTGGTGTCAAGCATTATCGTGTCGCGTAGGGTCTGGATCAAGGCAGCTTTGACATCATCAGCATCGTCTAGTTCGTCTCGGAGATCATGCGAAGACATGAATTCGTTGATGGCGTTGAAGATGGCACCCTGCATGGGACGGGTGACATCTTGAGGCAGAGTCTGGATATAGTCGGGAATAATGCTGAGGCATGCCACTTTGACGACGTCGTCAGAGTCGGTGGTGGAGGCAACAATGACGTTCGAAAAAGATGCGGCTCCAGCTGAGAAGAATCCATCGCCGGCAACTTTGAAGAGACCAGCCAGAACCAGGTGCGCAGCGGCCCGCATGAAGCATTGCGAATCCTGCAGTGCGCCGGAAACTTGTTCGAGGACGGCCGAGGCAGTCGAGGGATCCAACTTCCCAGAGATATCATCCACATCTCTCAAGCACTGGTTGAGGAGATAGTGGAGCGCCTCACGCTCTTTCCAACCACTCGTCTGGGCATCGAGTGTGTGTTGGTCAAAATGAAGCAAGGCCACGATCGGTACCTGTTTCAACCACTCTCCCAGGCTCCGGACCACCAACTCGGCACAGGCAGCCCTTGGAGTGTAATTCGCAGTAAGGGAGGTTGCTTCACACAGGTAGAGGTTCGGATCGTACTCCCAGAGGGTTTCTTCCTCCTGCGGGATTCTTGCGTACAAGACCAGAACCCGTATCAACTCTTGGAGCCATGAGACTGTGTGCTGGGCATCACCTAGCTGCTTCATCTGAGCAGAGAGCTCGGCACGCACCGGTGGCGCCTTTATGGTTATCTGAAGGAAATCGATCGCTTCCAACACCAGAGCATCCAAGCTACAGGGTAGGTTGTCACTATCGACCAACTTGCCTTCCGCACTGCCTTCGATGAACAGTTCTGCGTATGGAGTGGCGATCCTTGCCAATTCTTCCCATACGATCTGGAACAAAACGACGGCATGAGGCGAAATGGCGTGAACATAGACCTGTCTGAGTTTGTCAAGTGTCTGTCATCTTGTTAGACGACTGTGATGCAATTAAGGACGATGTATGATCATACCTTGACAACTTGAACCTTCAATGCCACCAGACCCCGCCAATGGACATCATTTTGAAATAGGGCAGATTCAGTAGATTGTGACAATGGCTGTCTCAGTGTCTCCATGAAGAAGGGCATCCAAACCTTCATAGACTCGTCTAAGAAAGCCCTCACTGCAGCTCCATGATCACCTATCACCATTTCCAGCATTTCAAAACACCCTCGGAAGACATTCAGAGTCATGGCCCGGACAATCAGGCTGCGGCTGCTATCAACTACCACATGTTGTAATGCGTCCACCAAGTCGCGGGCGACCACAAAGAATTGCTCTTCTGTCAGGCCCGAGTCGATTAATTCTGCAAGCACGCGTAAAGCGCCATGGATAGGTGCATCGTTCGTGGACGTGTTTAGTATAGTCAGAAGCGAGGGGAACAGCGACGGCCATGCATCAGGAAAGTCAACAGTCGCAATCCTACTCGCAACTCCGGCGGCCAGTGCTTGAATGGTTTGGTCTTTTGGGGCTTGGTCGCCCTCGGCGGTGCAGATGCCGAACACTTGATCCCGAACCTTTGCTTTAGCTCCATCGTTCAAGTAAACACTGCCTGTGAATGTCTCGTCAAACTGAGGTGACCAAGTGGCGAGAATGTAGTTCTTAAGAGCGGTCAACGCAGCCTTGCGAGAACTCGATTCAATGTCGTTGTGACTGGCGATGGTTAGGAGAGCAAAGGGAAATTCAGGCTGAGGGTAGAGGCGAAGAAGCCCTTGCTCGGCGTTTCTGATGACGGTAGTGTCTGGCCGGATAGTGGCTTGGAGCAATTGAAGAACTTGCTGCTCCATGGCGGGAGAGAGACAAGGCTGAGTCAATCCAGGAGTGGGACTAGCCTCGGAAGGAGCACAGGCCTAACCGTGTGGAGATACCATAGGATTCGTGGTGCGGTAGGAGTGTGAGTCGGGCCAAGTGGGATTGGTTGGGTCGGGGTTTGATATCGACGACGAGATGGATGGTAAGACTAACAAAGCTCCAAACGCTCAAAAACGCCCAAGGACACCGCAGTTGGTAGGTGGAGTGCGAGAAGAAGTGGTGGAAAGTGAAGTATCTGGTAAGGTTGAGGAGAGTCGAATGAACAGGAAGAAACGCCGGACAGAGTCGCGGTTCCCAAATTAGGCTCGATCACGTGAATGCGCGACGCGTCGAACCCCGCCAAGCCTGTATCCAATCGGACAAGGGTCGGATTTTGATACCAGGGTCAAACGTGAACACCAAGTCGATAGGTGGATGACTACCTAATGTAGGTGCCTAATTTGAAGTACCTATCTCAGGTAGGTAGGTATATTAGGAGACTGGTCTGACATGGCAGTTAGACGATCTGTCTTTGAATCTCGACAAGTGGTCGCATGTCCACCTGGAGCACCGATTCCGTTTTCTAAATTCCTACTGCGGTTTATGTTGGTTTTGATCTAAACTTACAGCAACAAGGGACGGCAGATTGGATTAGGCATTCAGCAAGGCTGAACTGCTGCCAGTCAGTCATTGGATTGTCGCACCGTCGTCGACCTGATACCCGAGAGGATCTGCCTTACAGTGAGATGCTGAGATCAGGAAGGAATGTGCAGCCATCAACAAGATCCGAAGTCATCCTCTGGCAAGTCTAGGAGCTTCCGCCGATGTCTCTGCGGCCTGGCCCGGCCACGTTCACCGAGGAGCGGCTCAGGGCCCTCTGGCGGGATCCCAAAAACTTTCAGCGAAAAAGCCAGTATGAGTGGGAGCCAATGATAGACCATGAGTCAGAACATAGCCTTCCTGATCCAAGATTGGCAAGAAAGTTATGCTTACAGCTCTACAAAGACGTCGAGGATCCCGGATCCCATTTGGCACGCTTGGACGCAAGCTACAGCGCAACTTGGCGGCCTCCTCATCTAGGGAGAGCAGCAGAGGACCAGGCAAGACATTATTTCATTCGTTAGATGATGGAAGACATACGAGCGAGGCCAGAGTCCTGAACTGACCATCACGTCGTGCAGGTTGTCGCACGCGCCATCGAGATCCTTGGCCAACAACCCACAACCTCTCCAACTATTCTGGATGCCCTGCCATGCGGCACAATATCTGAGAAGCGGTATTTGCTCCCAGTTCATGCCACGGCGCCACACGCCGATGTGGTCCCGGACCATCTCTGGGATAGACTGCTTGTTGTCAATTTCGTGGATATGATCGTCCTGCGCTTGGTCCTATGTATCGCTCAGTCTGATCTGAGCCGCCAATACGGCCCAGGGTCGCTTATTGGACTGTTGAATGCGACAATACGAGTGCTTAGGACAAGTCTCGATATTGTCACCGAACAAAGGGCCAAAGATCAGGAAACCACCATAGTATCTGCATTTCTCTGGACGTCCTGGTCGCGAATACTGTTACTGCGGCTCAGGGCTGTGGCAGGCATGCAGCTCCAAGGGTTCGATTACAACTTCAGAGGACTAAGCTCGATTCGATTTCTGGATGTCGTGCCCGAAATTGCCGAGTGTCGCAAACGGATACAGCACAAAGAACTCCAAGCGACCCCTTATCTGTGTGCATGGGCGTATCGCAACCTCACCAACGATCGAGCGTGCATTTCGACGGATCTTCGGCGCTTCCACCAACTCTACCATGCTTGCTTTGGTGCAAGGCAGGCAGTTTGTAACCCGGGGTCTACGCAATGTGACGGCTGGTCCTCGGTCGCATGTGGGCGGTTCGAACATACACCAGTGACCAACCAGTCCTGCCATGAACCAGGATGTCCAGGGGATTGCAGGCGACTGTTCTGGATCAGGGAGTCCTTTGTGTCCATCTCAGGTCCTAAGGCTGTTGATATCATGGCTACAGATGCCACGGGCTTACCGTACTGTGAGTCCACGCACAAAACGCTGACTATTTCTCATGTCTGGAGTCACGGGCAGGGGGGATAGACCCGACCGCGGTAGCAGAGAAGGCACAGGGTTCAACACATGCCTGCACCACCGCTATTCGAAGCTGGCTTTATCATTGGGATGCGCTTCGTACTGGATAGACACCGCCGCCATCCCGAGCGAGAATGACCTGAGGTGGGACTGTATAGCAAACATCACCAGGATATTCTCAGTCAGCGACACCACGCTGGTCTGTGACCGAGATATCATGACCATCGATATCTCTGATCACACTGTCGACATTTGTGAGAAACTACTCGCGGCACTGCTCGTATGCGACTGGAACATGAGAGCATGGACGCTCCTGGAAGCAATGCGAGGCAGAAATGCATTGTACTTGCTTTGCCGTGATGACATGGTGATCAGCGTCAGAGATGCCCTACAAACGGTCTACACATCTGGGAGAATTGACATGGTGATCCCCTTCATGATGCGGTCGTATCTGCTCCCTCCGAACGACCTGACTGACATGGAATTGTTCGAAGGTGGGGGCTCCGTTGCAACAGAGGAAGATCTGCAGATTGCCAAGGGCTTTATCAGCATCGGCGAGGCCGCCGTCCTCCTGAGCCATCGGCATGCCACTCGTGATGACGACGACCTGCTCATATGGAATCTCCTGGCTGGGGATATGGAGACGTCTGATCCGGCAGACATGTGGAGGCGGCGGATAGGCAAAAAGATCTCAACTGAGGCATTGGTCTCGAGTTGTCCCAGACTCAGGGGTGTACCAGGCTTTCACTGGGCGCCCAGTCGGCCGACAATGCCTCGAAGGACCCACACGTCCGTCCTATCGAGCAACGGAAAAGAATTCCCGCCTTTTGAGGGTGTTGACGCAAGGGACGGCTATGTCACCGTGGATGGCTTACGCGCCAAGTGGCTTACATTCGAGTTCGGAGTTTCCATCCCCAAGCCCTAACCGCACACGGATGGCCTGCAGAATGGCTACATTGGGATCAATTTAGGAGAGATAGCCGGTGCCTATTTGGGACCTCTGCCAAAGGGCATTCTGCTGCAAGTTTGTCCGACGAGAGGGCCGGCGCGTGTCCCGATTCCCTACCGAGGGTCCAATAACCCTCTTCTGGTGGTTTGTGGATCAAAGGATGGGATACGCTGGGAGTGGAAAGGCATCTACCAGTGGGACCGGCTTGTTCCATTACCGGAATTCGCTGTTAAGGAGATCCTGCTTGTCTAGTCCGAAGCAGCGGCTACGATGGCGGCAACAGTTCCCTTGAGATTGCATATCGTCTGATACTCGACGAGATCGCGAGCGCAGGAGCCTTGCAGGCAACGGCTCTACACTGCACGACCCTCAACAGACGTAATCCATACATTGGATTCTCTAACCACTCGTATCGACGCCCCGAGCTATGACAATTTTGTGCCAACTCCCGCATACCAGTCACAGGGCCCTGCGAGCGTCCGACCACAGGGTTTTTCTGGCAAGACTCGGTTGTTTGATGTACTGGGGCCCACTCAAGGCTGCACCAAGCCATCTAATTTCATGTAGAACCTATTCAATCCCAACGCGACGCAGAAATCGGGATGACGACAATAAACAGCACCAGATGTACACATGGTGATTCCAACTGTGCTGTAGCTCCTTTGCCGGGGGTTCGTAACATCGCTCAAGGGGGTATCAGGCGCAGGAATGAAGCACGTGCGTGGCAGGAAACGGTGCAGCCTTCCATTACCGGTGTGGGATCGAGTGCCATGGCAAAGAGCAGCTCTGTACATGGGACGTTATTAGTTCCATTCCATTTCATCTGAGTCATATCCAGGCTGATAAGCATGTACAAATCACTGGTCGTACACTCAACGCGAGACAAGCTGATTGATACCTTCCTCAATCTTCGTCCATCGGTTCCCAGTCTCGTCCACCGGCGCCTGTCTGTACGCCTCCTTCCTCCCCAATGCCCTCCTCATCGTCACTTTCGTCGTCGCCATGGTCATTAATGGCCACAAATCTCTCCTTGCCGTTCGTTTCAGGTAATTTGACTTTACCGGCAAATACATTTCTCACGCTGGGGTTGGTGCTGATGTCCCAGACTTGGAGTCGGCCCTTACTTCCGGCAACGGAGAGCCTGAAAGCAACTTCTGGGTCCGGTGCAAACTGGACTGCAAAGACACGACCCACGTCGAGATTCCTCGAGACAACCATGCTGGGCTTGTTGTCCTCCACGTTCCATAGTTTGACCTTCTTGTCATCGGATCCGGTTGCCAGCAGTCCCGGAACAGTGGGATTGACGTCGAAGGAGCTCACTGCTCCATCGTGGGCTTGCAGCGTCCAAACGGGCTTGCTTGGTCCGTCGTGGGAAGTAGGGACGTTGCGAGCATCGAAATAGTGCACTGTGCCAGCCTCGGTTGTGACAAAGAAGAAGTTGGGGTCATGCACATCCCATTTCACCTTCTCAACGTCGGCCTCGACAACCCATTTCGGCGCAACCGCATCTGGTGCTCGCATGTCCGTTGCGATGACGGTCCGGTCGTAACTGCCACTCAGAAGCACAGTGGTTTCTGTCGGATGCCAGTCCAGGGCGCAAACCTTGTCAGAATGCATGGTATATGACTTCGCGCACTTGCCCGTATTGAGGTCCCAGAGCTTAACAGTCTTGTCTGCCGAGGCCGATGCAAGCAGGTTCCGATGATGTCTGTTGGCAGCCAGCGCCAAGACAGCGTCAACATGATACTCATCGTTGGCCTTAGCCTTCTTTTTCTTTTTTTTCGACTTCTTCTTGCTGCTGGCTTTCGAACCCTCCCCGTCCTGTTTGTCAGATTCACCCGTCACCTCAGCCGTAGGCTCCTGGCCCAGTATCGCGTTCGGGTACATGCTATCAACCATGTCCAAATCCCACACCTCGATCTCCGGGCTCATTGTGCCGACCGCGACGAAATTTCCCGCGGTACGCTTTCCTGCGTCATTGCCCACCGGGACATTTATCCATTCCACACACAGAGGCACGGCGGGAAGCATGATGTCGTGGTGCACGTACAGGTTGTCTGCCTCATCTTCGTATACAAAGACCTCCAGCTGAGCCACCTCGTCTTCGACCTTGGCCGCCAGGATCAAGTTATCCGAAGGCAATATCTGTAGATCTTCTCTGTCTTCGTCGGAATCCTGCTCTCCGTCGGGTAGTACAAGATATGGATCTTTTTCATGTGGTGCATGATATGCCAATGAGCCCACATTGCCGAACATTGCGAACTTCTCGCCTTGCTCGTCGACCGCGTCGTTGTCGTAGTCATCTAGGTTGTATTCTTTGAGGTCGTCCGTCTCGTCGGCGGCGGTCTTGCTTGACCGCGCAGCGTCGGCTGCAGGCAAACCCGAGTCCGATTCTGAAGTGTCGGAATCATCGTCCTTTTTAGGGTTCTGTGCGATCTCTAAATCTTCTTGTGCATCTTCTAGTTGCAGCCGGGCGAGTTTCGAGATGCGACCGAGTTCGGCTTCGTCGACCTGATATTTCGTGGGAAACTGAGCGGCGACTCCCCGCCTCACCCATGTAGTTGCCAGTGTCATTGACATTTTGGCGACGGTTGAGGCAGTCTGTGGTGTCACGCACCCTGAAGGATCCAAGCCGCTGTTGCTACCATAATTTGGATGATTCTGGATTGCCAGAAAAAGCGCGGCAGAATCCACGAACTTTTTGGCGGTGAGGGGGAAACTTGAGACTGGGTTTTCGCAAGGCTGAGTCCCCGCCAGCGAGGCTGAGTCTTGGCAGAGGGACAAGCTCAATTGAATGACGGCGGAACTTCAAGTTAAGCGATGAAACCGCGCATTCGTTCTACTACAGTCGTTGTCTACCACAGTCAAAGCGTTGCTAGTGCTTGAGTGCGAGACACATGTGGGCGTGGCTTGAGCCGCATGATCAATACTGGAGAAGAGTCTCCACGAGAATGCATTCCCATCTACATACACAAGACAATCTCGGTACGTGGCGATCCAGATCTCCGGAGTTGTGAGATACCCTTTCCAGCAATACGGGCAACTCCCAAGCGACATCTGTGCGCCTCTTGCGCCTCAACTGCAATTGAGCTCCTCCAGCCGACATATTTTATACATTCTCGTGGGCTGGAAGCTGACCGCGGACAGGGTGCGAGGAGATCATGACTGCACTCGACGAATGCCACGCACGAGGCTTCCTTTACAAAGTCACCGGCGGCTGCAACGATATCAAACGAGAAGTGAACAGATGCCTCTCGGGCGAGCGAACCAAGAAGAGCAAGAAAAATCGTGAAACTGGCCTGGAGCGGCGGGCGAGGATCGAACAAGTGTGGGCTAAAATGGACGAGGGTGACTATTCAGCCTTGGAGAGGTTTACCAAGCGGAATTAAAGAATGGAAGGAAATGGCTATGGTGGCGCATGGTCGACGGGCGTTTCTCATGGCGTCTGGTTACAACATTGACTGAAAAGAAAAATTATAATGCATGAGGCAGAAACGCAAAATGTACAGCTGAATTTCTCCCCTCATTCATGATGGTTGATCGATCATTACTGTGCCCAAGTCCCCGAATGTGACCTTCATGACCGTCGTTTGGAGTTTGAGATTCACAATGTGAGGCGCCATTTTGAGGTGAATTACTTGGTTCCGATGAGGCTCTACGGAACTGGTCGGACTGCTCTATCATGGCTCAGCAAGGCAGTTGAAATCGGGGCCTGATTTTCAACAACCGTTGATCCTGTTCGAGGGGCGGTTTCGGCGGATACATCCTCTTTGCCTACCCTGCCCGAGTGTTGAGGCGATGAGCTCGTCCGAACCATAGAGAATGGTATCAGAGCAGCTAGCATAGGCTAGAAGGGATATCGACCTTTGTGAAAGATCTGCGTATCGGATTCACGAGATGTCAGAGAGCAAAGACAAGCACGGTATCTGGCGTCTTACTGTAGGAGCATGTCTTTCTTCCGGACAAGTAGGTACGCAGTGTACTCGGCAGTAAGCGTGGTCGGGTCGGGGAATGTAATAAAGCGGCATCTGATATGGCCAAAATAGGCAATTCGCCAAAGTAAAGGTGTGGTGCTTTCTAGTACCAGGACTAGTGAAGGGACTATGTGTTCGAGTCCAGGTGGTGCGGTTGTTGACAGAGACAAAGCGTCAAAGCCTTCTTCTCTCATGCGCCTCCAGAACAATTGACCTGGACTGTGCGAGTCACCTAATGTACCACATGTTTCCTTTGTTCCGGATCTACGATAACAGTCATCCCGACACAGTACTTTCCTTCCAGCTCGCTTCGAGACACATGTCTCATGCTCACCATCCCGCCTATGCATTATGACCGGCGGCAACCAAACTGAAGAACAATGTGGTACTCATGATCCAGCGATTGAGCCGCCTCCGAGCAGTATATCCCCCACCCAAGCGGATCCCGAACAAGCCGAACTCGACGATTTTGGATTGCCCAAGAAGCCAGTGAAAAGACCACGTCCTGCTGAGTCGGATGCTAGCGGAGATGAGGGTGACACTTTCCACGACGTCGAAGGGTACGATGACAACAAGTCGGTGCAGGAGAAGGCAAAGGCCGAGCCTGACGGAAGCACTCCGCGTAAGGACGCGGTGACGGGTGTGGATGAACGCAGCAGGAAATCAAGCGAAGACACAGACATGCCCGTCCCCACCACTGAGCATTCGGCGGATGAAGAAGACGATGGTGGCGGAGTAATAAGGGCGGACAACAATACGGAGGATACTGACCAGAGACCTCCGCTGGCCACCACTCATAATGGCATCCCAGGATCTGACGAGTCTGCAGCTTCAGCTCATGCGGACCCCGAACCCGCATTAAACGAGACCAACCCCATCCGTGACTCTCAGCTGTCGTCCGCGACCGTCATACCAAAACGTGAACACCGGTCAACGGCTCCCGCGGTCTCCGAATGGTCCCACCAAAGACAGGTCGCAGGTGGTTTGCCAATTGACCATGACGAAGAAGAAGCGGAAGAAGAGGCATGGCAGGCGATGCAGGCCTTGGATGAATTTGATGTCTATGACGATGATGGCCGGCTTATTGCCAAGGGCAACAAGGAGACGGAGGAAGAGATGAACCCCTATGCTGGGATCGGTGGGGCCGGTAAAGGATATACAAGGGTACAACTAGACGAGGACGCACAATCTGCGACTAGTTTGGACGAAGACACCAACTATCTATTCCAACATGGGCCGCAGCCAACGAAACCGGACACGGAGCTCGACGAGCAAGATGAGCAGCGAGACGCTGTTACCCAGTTGGAAGCCACGAAGGATCTGCTGACTGAAGGGCAGCGCATTGCCTACGTGGGTGTGGTCCGCCTGACGATTCATAAAATGTCTGAGGCCTTGGCCAATATGGAGAAAACTAAAGGCACCAGGAGGGAGATCGCTAAGGCCGTTGAAAGCATGGACATGTGGGCACAGAAGATGATGCTTCGCCTCTATACTCACATGGACATCAGCCCGGCGGAGCAGATCATGATCGAGCAACTTGCCGAACATGGGGTACAGCCGTCAGATCTGGTCAGTCCGCTCATGAAGAATGCCAGGGTGAAAAATCCAATCACAAACGACGAGCCCACTCAAAATTCGACGCCGGAGATCTCGCCAAACAAGGACTCAACTGTTTCTCGTTCATCAATGAAGAGTAATGGCGAAAGTTCGAGAGATGGTGAAGAGGTCCCGGAAGTTCATGGCCCGCAAGACATGCCATATACTGGGCAGATCGAGCTTGATCTTCGTTGGACCGTGCTTTGTGATCTATTCCTCGTCTTGATCTCGGACAGTGTTTACGACTCTCGGTCCAGGCGACTTCTAGAAAGAGTGGGCTCGACCATGAACATCAGCTGGGCCCAGATTTGTCGGTTTGAGAAGAGAGTCATGGATGCGTTGGAAATGCAAGAGGCCGAGATTCAGGAGAGTTGGGACGAATCCGAAAACATGGAGAAACGACGCAAGCTAGGTCTCAAACGCAGATACATGGTAATGGGCCTTGCGACAGTCGGCGGGGGTCTGGTCATCGGGCTCTCGGCAGGCTTGCTGGCACCCGTTATTGGGGCCGGTCTTGCGGCTGGCTTCACGACCATCGGTGTTACCGGTACTGCAGGGTTCTTGGGCGGAGCTGGCGGAGCTGCACTGATCACTTCCGCGGCCACGGCGGCTGGTGGTACAATTGCTGTTCGGGCGTCGGACCGGCGGACGGGGCACGTCAAGACCTTCGAATATCGACCACTACACAATAACAAACGGCTCAACCTAATCCTGACCGTTTCTGGTTGGATGAATGGCAAGGTTGACGATGTACGATTACCGTTCAGCACCATTGACCCTATCATGGGTGATATTTATTCTTTGCTCTGGGAGCCGGAAATGCTCCAGTCGATGGGTGACACCATTAATATCCTGGCGACGGAAGCATTGACGCAGACCGTCCAGCAAGTCCTTGGTAGTACCATCTTGGTGGCTCTCATGGCGTCCATTCAGCTGCCGATTGTGTTGTCGAAATTGGCTTACCTGATCGACAACCCTTGGAGCGTTTCTTTGGATCGGGCCAACGCTGCCGGTCTCATCTTGGCGGATTCACTCATTGACAGGCATTTGGGCCAGAGGCCGATCACCCTGGTTGGATTTTCTCTTGGGTCAAGGGTCATATTTTCGTGCTTAAAAGAACTGTCTCGGCGAGGAGCGTACGGCGCGGTGCAAAATGTGTATCTGTTCGGTTCGCCTGTGGTGGCCAATAAGGACGAATACCTTCGTGCCCGGTCAGTCGTTTCTGGCCGGTTCCTCAACGGCTATGCGTCCAATGACTGGATTCTGGGCTACTTGTTTCGAGCGACGTCGGGCGGCATCATGCGTGTTGCAGGACTTGCTCCGGTGGAAGGAATTCCAGGGGTCGAAAACATTGATGTCAGCAAACTGGTGAATGGCCACATGGCTTACCGTTCGGCCATGCCACGGTTGATGCGAGAAGTCGGATGGGAAGTGGAGAGCGACGAGTTCACCGAGATCGAGGATCCTGATCCTGAGAATCACGCAAAACGGCAGCGCGAGCTCATCCAGGAGATCGACGAAGCCCGCAGGAAGGCCGAAGAAAAGCCCGAGAAGAAGAAATTCGGCCTCTTCAAAAGAGGCAAGATGGCGGAGAAACGAGGGTGGGAAACGTACAACCAGACCAACCTGGGCCAGACGTGGAGTGCCAGCGGGAATAAAGACTCGGGCGCCGCCGCGGGTGGGAACGTGTTGTTCGACATTGACGCGATCCGGAAGGAACTCGAAAGCGAAATGATAGAAGTGAGAGAATTGGACAGCACCTTGCCTCCAATGCAAATCACCTCGATCCAGAATGGAGAGAAGCACGTGGAATATCTCCGACTTCCGCCAGATATGAAACCTGACGAAGTGGCCAGGATGAACCTCCCGCCGCGGCCAGATGAGGTTGACGTCGAATTTGCTCCGGCACGTCCTGCACCCGTAAGGCCAGCAAGAACGTCATCTTCCCTCCGGCCGGGCTCGCTGGCCTCTCCTCGGATTAGTCCGGGAATGAGTCCGCAACGCTCACCGAATGCATCTCCAGAACCAAGTGGACGATCATCCTATACCTACTCGGAACCGAGAGAATTGGTGAGCACATTGCCGCCGCTGAGCTTGACTTCTTCGCCATCCCTAAGGACAGAGAGTCTCAAGACGTCTACCACTGTACGACCCGAGCTGAAACCACACGCCACAGAGCCATCGGCGTCCAGTTGGAATCGACAGGGCATGATGTCCGATCCCGATCTTACGCAAACGATGGCAAGCTTGAACTTCGAGCACAACGCTTGGGCAGACGATGACGATGAGCATTCGCATCCACACGGAGACATCCAGATGACGTTTGAATAATGACTCGATATGGCGGAAGAGCTTTTTTTGTATCGACATTGAACTGCATAGCGCGGAGTAGGGTTACAGGATCTTTTGGGCATTTGTGTCTCAGCATATATTCAATGTATATGATATGAACCAAGTTCTTGGATAGGGACGGTTCACGTCGGACTGGCTATGCTGAAATCTGAATTTGCTTGATCGTTCCCCAAGGCTTGCACCGAATCCAGATCAGGCGATCTTTCTTGCCTGCCCGCCGTCGGTTTGAATGCCCCTTTTTCATCACAGACATTGAACGGTAAGTGGCCGAGGTGCTCGACCACAAGAGCAACCCTTTGTTGTTTCACTGGTGCGGACATGGGCAGATGCGTGAGGCAGTTCCATTTTCTCTTTCTCAACCACCGCGTCGGCAGCAGCTGTTTAGGCATCTACTGGTAGGTATCGACTGCCACCTAACTACCGGACCGCCTCGCGGAATCCAGCTGCCATGGCAATGGAGCTTTTCGAGGTTGCAACTGTCTCTCAACATCCAAGGCAAGTGTCTATTGTTTCTCCGTGTACATACTCGACGTGACAGCTGCCTCGGGTTCTGGTTCTTTGTCCAGGAGGCAATTTTAGAAGGCAGCTTTCAATGCCTGAAAGAAGTGCTTTGTTCACTTCACTGTTCATTGTGTCCACAGTTCTACGGTCGCCTTGTGATTATGTCTCATTGGCAGGAGAGTCTAAAGCTCTTCAAAACCGTCCATCCTGACGGTATCTTGTCTCCGACACACTTTTCAACGTCTTTGCCCGCAGCACAGATACTCAAGGCCTCTTCCAATCCACAAACAGTCATGGAGGCCATCATGGGCACCAACGGAGCCAACCAGCCGGACTGGGCGACTCACTCCTCATTGCTTGCGCTTCTCCTGAATTGGAATCTCCTCTTCATCTTCCTCGTCGTCTTCCGGTATCTACGTCTCGTTGTCCATATCGTCTCATACTGTGCTTATAAGCCATCTCCAGTTTCAGGAAGCAGATCTATGACCGAGAAACAATGTTCAATCATCATCCCGACGGTCGACCCGGAGAACCCACACTTCCATGAATGCCTGTTGTGGATACTCACCAACGACCCTCTGGAAATCCACATTGTCACGGTAGGAAAGCGCCTACAGCAACTGACCAAGAAGGTCGTCCGACGGTACCAGGCCGCATTCCCTTCGATCCGGATCCTAGTGTCGGCGACAAAAACTGCTAACAAGCGTCAACAGGTGGCTCATGCTTTACCCTATGTCCGAGGCGCGATTACTTTCCTCGTCGATGACACGGTCTTCTGGCCATCCCCGAACTTCCTACGTACTGCCGTTGCCCCTTTCGAAGACCCTGAGGTCGGCGGAGTCGGCACCAACAAGCGCGTGCGTCGAGAGAATCTAGCCTTCGGCTTCAGCTCATTCTGGAACATGATGGGCGCATTGTACCTGGAGCGACACAACTTCGAGATTCGTGCCACCAACACCATCGACGGCGGGGTCTTTGTCATCTCAGGCCGGACGTGCGCATACCGTACGAACATCCTACAGGACCCGTCCTTCCTGGAGGGATACAACAACGAACGATTCTTTTTCGGGCTCCGAGGCCCGTTGAACGCCGACGACGACAACTTCATCACCCGCTGGCTCGTCACGCACAACTGGAAGATCAAGATTCAATACTGCCAGGACTCCATGATCGAGACGGTGCTCGGCACGTACCCCAAGTTCCTGTCCCAATGTCTGCGCTGGTCACGCACCACCTGGCGAAGCAACACCGCATCCTTGATCACTGATCGCACCGTCTACCGTGCCCAACCGTGGTGTGTGTATGCCGTGTACCTTACCTCGTTGGTCAACTTTGCGCTCTTCTATGACACCGCCCTGGTCTACACGCTCAGCCGGAGTCACTTTTACAGCCCAGCCACGCTACAGACCTTAGGTATGTGCATTGTTCTCAGCAAGCTTGTCAAATTGGTGCCTTATTTCTGCCGTCATCCGGCTGATCTGATCTATCTGCTGGGATACTTTGTCTTTGCTTACTTCCACAGTTTCATCAAGCTTTACGCTGGACTGACTTTCTGGGTCACTACCTGGGGAGGCCGTGACTTGGAAACAGTGAATCGTTTCGCTACGGAGGGCGACAATGATACCGAGAAGAGCTACGTACCGAGCAGCGTCACTGGTGATTCTGAACAATGTAGCTCGCCTAGATTAGGCTCTAGGTACCGTTATACCGACCATCTCTGCGGCTTCTCGGACGAGGAGGAGCTACTGCCAACGCCACCGTCATCGTCATCGTCATCAAGCACCACTGCTCAGACTCGGACTCACAATTCGCCTGCTCTGCCATCCAGCACTGGTGCAATGACTGCAACTGCTCGGACTTCCGCTTCGACGCCCAGTCCTGCCCTAAACCACACTCGCACTCCTGTCAAGACGCCATGGGGTGTCGTGGCGCCAGACCGAAACAATGCGTACCGCACTCCCGCCAATGTCCTGATGCACCAGCAACCCGGCATGGCGTGGCCGCGCACTTGGAACTATAGGACCAGACAGAGCCACGGCGAAGCAGGGGCTTACCACGTCAATGACGAGGCCGCCGTGTCGACGCAGATTCAGCCACGACAAGTAACACCTGCTCGAGCAGTTGCCGAAGAATTCATGCCTTCCACGCCACAGCAACTTCTCTCCCCTACCCGCTCGCCTGCACGCAATGTCAATGTCAATGTCAATGTCGACTTCGACGGTGACATCGCCATGGATACAGATGCCCGCGCCCATGCTGTTTCTTATGCCGATGTCGATCCTGATACTCCCTTGCCATCTATTGAAACAGATGATATGTACCCATCCCCGACCAGCAGCTGTGTAGCCCGTGATCGGCAACTGGGCGTCTTTCACGGCGGCGCGCATCCCAAGGACACTGCTACTACCACTGGTCTGGCCCGGACCGCTGAGACTACTACATATCGTCTTCCTACTCCGCCATCGACTCGACTTCCGCTTGAACCAGTGACACCGACTCCTGCTGAAGGTGGTCGTCGGCGCTGGAACGGTTACACCCGCACCTGGGTCCGCGCGTCTCCTGATTCGTGCAATCGATTGCATTTCGACGGTTCCAGTATGGTACGTCCTCGAAATTGTACTTTGGAGGATCGACGATTTGATTACTGGTGAACGGTCAGTGAATTAGACGGTGGGTGTGGGTGCGATCGTGAATCTTGACCCGGATCTGGATCTGGATCAAATATGCATGCTGGATCATGTATCATCGCCACATAGGTAGGTTGATGAGAGTAATCGCCACGTAGTGGTTGTCCGCGTGAATCAAAACCCTTTCCACCCAGCGCGACTGAAGGCTGCCGGAGAGGCACCTCCTACTTGCACCAGACAGGAGAGGAACAGGAGCCGAAGCAGAGAGAATTACGAAGAGCTCGGCGCACCTCTATATGCGAGAACGGGGGAAGGTGAGTGAGGATGCTAGGGAAGACAAAATGTTTTGAAGTACATGTTGCAAGGGGGTGAGGAGCACGCAAGGCTTCGGCACTAGATATCATGCAGGGATGATTCGACTGGTTCGACTGGTTGTCTGTCTAGACTCGGGAGTGGTAGATCCTTTGTAGAAAGTCTCCCTAGCCCTCCATTGAAGAATGCAAAAGCCTTTTTATTCACCATTATTTTTGTAAATTTCGCCCTTTGCTCGTGTGGCTGTTGGGGATCAAGCTCCCGCCGTCTCGCCGCGTTGCACCAACACCCCTGCACGGCGCAATCCTATCCCTCCGAATAAGCCCAAGCTAGGCGACACAGGTGCCATGGCGACTTTGATACCGATTGATCGGACAGTACTGGGGATTGCAAAGGCCGTAACTGGTACTCTGCAGCGCAGTTGACAGATGGCCTTCCAGCCAGCCTAACCACATCGGCATAATAGCTCATGTGGGCTCGACGTCGTCCAACCGTGAGGCTACCGCGCCGAGATAGCAGCCATCCATTTTTGTTCTTCCTTCCTAATGACATTGTTAGATGTTGTCGTCTCCCAAACAAGTCTTTCAGAGGTTCACTTACCGATCGAAATGCAACAACATCCCCAACACCGGAATGAGCTGCCTTTGATGACTCTTGTCCTTCTGCTCTAAGAACTGGAGAAGCACATTCTTCAGATACACATAGTCGACCGTGCCCTGGCTCAAACCCGTAGCGCTGGGTGTCTCGCTTCGGCTCGTCGATGTTGACAACCCGCGCTCTTTAGGTGTGGGCGACCTCGCACTCAACGATTCAACTGACGTTCTGGAACTGGGAATCCCAGACTCCAAACCGGGACCTGGGCGACCAACCTGGCCCTTGTGATTCCTGGCGCCGGACTGTGCAGCCTTCAGCTCTTCTGTGAGATTCTTGTTTGCCTTGGTCAACTTCTCAACACGTTCCCTCGCCTCGTCGGCGGTCCTGCGAAGGTCCATTTTCTGGGTGTCGAGCTCGCGGATTTGCCTCTCGCTCTCATCCAAAGCTTCACGAAGCCCGGCCATGGCGGCCCTGACCTCTTCCACTTCCTTGGCGGCTCGCTCTGCAGCTTGCTCGAGTTCATCGCGCCGCCTCTTCCATTCTCGCTGACGGTTCTCCAACTCATCTTTCTCATCCTGCACCACTTTCAGTGCCCGCTGGGCCTCTCGCGTTTTACTCCGGGCGTCTTCGACTTCACGCATCATCCGCCGATTGCTGACGTTAGCCTCGTCTTCAACGCGGTCTCGCTCTTCAATAGCCGCTTCCATACGCTCCTTCATTTCCCGGATCCTGGCTTCAGTGCCGGTCTCCGCTTGGTCAAGAAGCATTCGCATGGTTTGTCCTTCCCTCGTCCGTTCTGAGAGCATTCGCTGCGCTTCGGTCAGTTCCTCTTCAAGGCTGTCTGCTCGATTCGTCGCCTCGCGCGCCTGCATGGTCAGCTCATGCGTCTGATCCCTCAGAGACTGGACCAAAGACTGGGAAGAGGAATGCAGAGCCGTCTTCAAGTTCAGCTCTTCCTTCAACTCTGTCACTTGTCGGGTATGCACGGAGAGCTGTTCCTCGAGATCACGCAGCTTGACCTTCAGAGAGGTCGATTCTTCCTTTGCTTTAGCAAGATCCTGCTTCAGTTGATCCGCAGAAGCTGCTGCCTCTTGCCGTCTCGATTCTGCTGTTTGCAATTCCTCCTGGGCTTTCTCCAGGTCCTTTTCCACCCGGGTTCGGGTGTTGGTTTCTTGCTCGATCTTGAGCTGCAGCTCTTTAATCTCGACGTCTTTGTCTCCAAGCCTTTTGCCGAGGCCTTTCAGCTCGGCCTTGATGTCCTCGTGTCGGGCTTCAAGCCGGTTCAGCTCTCCTGTCTTGTTCTTCAGGTCCTCCTTCGCAGACTTGAGCTCAGAAACTTCATTTCTTAAGTTCCTCAGTTCGGGCTGAGCTTTTGAAAGTAACTCCTTGAGATCGGTAATGTCTTTGAATCGAGCTGTCGCAAGTTGTTCAGACGCACCCAGGTCTCGCTCTAGATTGGCGCATTTCCCTTTCAGTTCATCATATTGCTTGTGTAGACCTGTATGAGCCTTCTCTGCATCGGCTGCAGTGGCGGCTGCTTTACGTGCCTCCGAAAGATCTGCCTCAAGTTTCATGACAACTGCCTGAAGATTATCCTTCTGCGCCTGGGCGTCCTTCAGAGCATCACGAGCTTCAACGTGCTCCTCACCCTGGTGCAAGAGATCATCCCGCAAAGTCTCAATTTCTTCCTGTAAGGCTTCTTGATCCTTCAATTGCCGGGAAAGACGTTCGACAGCATCCACCTTATCCGACAATTCTGCTTTTAGATTGTTGATCTCCTGTTCGAGCCTGGAAATATCCGGACCGGAAGGCTTGTCATTGCCAGTCTCCGCATCCTCGATCTCGGCCAAGTTCTCCGACACCTTGATTGGGGTAGAAGCGTCAACGCTATCATTAACTGCTGGTTGTGGACCCTTGCCCTTCTTCTTCTTCTTGTTTTTCTTCTTCGTACTTGCGGCAGCTTCGGATGGCGCTGGTGAGGGTGCGGCTGACATATCACCAGTCTTGTTGCCAGGGGATTTCTGCAACCCAAAATTTTCCGAGAGGTAATTCACAACATCTTCTCGGGATTTTAAAGTGTCGAGCTTGACCTTTGCATCCTCATCCAGGAAACCGAATATCGTTGTCGACGGTCGTCTTGAGAAGTCTTCCTGATTGCTTTGCACCTGGGCTCTCAGATCCTCGACAGTCTTCTCGGCCTTGTCCAGTTGCTGGCGTAGCGTATTCATGATGTTTTGCATGGTAGCCAGCTTCTTTTCGTTCCCCTGCCCATTGTTCTTCTCGCTTGTTTGCTGTCGTTCCACAGACTTGTACGTTGACAAGGTATCCTCAAGGTCCTTGACCACCGCGTCCTTTTGAGACAGCTTCTCATTCAGCAGATTGGTGTCCGCTGTGCGGGCATGAAGCAGGTCCTTGAGCGTTGCATTGTCCGTTTCCAGTTCTTTGATTCGGCTTTCTAATTCTTGGATTCGGACAGATGCTTCGCCCTTCTCCACTTTGAGCACTTCAATTTCCTTCTCTAGACTCCCCGTGAGGTCTGAGCCTGAGGCGGCCTTGGTCTCGGCTTCGTCCAACTTGTTCTGCAGGTCGGCTTTGGTCTCCTCGAACTTGTCCTTAGCTTCTCGAAGGGAGTGCAGTTCGCTGGTGGCAGTTTCCAGGCTTTGTACCATGCCCTCGGTTGACTCACGGGCGACCTTCAGGTCGCCATTGAGCCGATCAACTTGCTTTTTCAAGTCTTCCACTTCCGTTTCCCGCTCGTGCAACTGGGCCTCTAACTTTGCGTGTTCCGAATCGAAGGAGAAAAGTTCCTCTGGACTTTCTTTTGTGGATTCTTCCGCCGGCTTGGACCGGGGAGAGAATAGAGAGAAGCCAGCTATTCGAGACGAAGTCGACGCGGGAGACTTTGCGATCGACTCTGGTTCAGCTGCCTCTGCCATAGTTCCACCATCGCCGGTTGTCGTAGTAGCCGCACCCGCGGGACGAGTCTCATCTACGGGCTCAACAGTTTCCGGTCGAGTGGTGACCGTCGCGGACTTGCTCTTTAACTCGGTGAGCTCTCCGCGCATCTTTCCATTTTCTTCTTCGGAGGCCTCCAACTTCTTCTTGTAATCATCCCTGTCTGTTGTCACTCGTTTGAGTTCGTCCAAAACCATGTCACTCTTGAGATTGATCTGGTTCAGGTATTCAACCAGGGCTCCAGGGTCGTTGATGCTGGACAATGGCGTATTCTCGCGTAGTGAGGCTTCGAAGGATTCGACAGCTTGGATCCTCGAATGTGCTGTTCTATAAGCCTTTAACAGTTCTGCATACCTGGCTTCAATTCGATCAAGCTTGCGCAGTTTGCCGCGAACTTCAGCAGGAAGCTCCTGAGGACGCAAGGGGCCAGGGCCGTCGCCATCGCCATCTGCCGCTGCTGGCTTTTTGTCCACGGTAGCCTCTGATGAAGCCCCTGTTTCCTGGCCTTCCTGGCTCGTCTGCAGTGCCTGTCTCTCCTCTCCAGACTCTTGGTGTTTCTCCTTCATCTCGGGCTTCGGGGTGCCCACTCTGCTGGGCACTGCACTCTCATCATCTCCTATCGTGAACTCGGGTTCGAATTCAGAAGGATCGGGGCTTTTCTGGAGCGAGGCAATGGAGTCGTCGCGCCGGCGTGATTGACGGGTCTGGGAGCCTTCATTCTGACCTTGAGGACGCCGCCGCGGGTTGTTTCTTGTGGGTTGTGCACTGAGGGCAGCCTGACGTTGTCGTGCCTGTTCTTCGGCAATCCGACTGTCTATGGCCCCCTTGAGGCGCTGAAACATATCCAGGATTGCAGTGTTGGTCGGGAACCAGAGCACAGCTTGTAAACATGAGAGTTCGAGGTGGAAGCGCGTCAATACACAAGGTGCTGCCTTTGCATGACCCTCGAACTCCGCAAATACTACGTACGTACTTATTTAGTAGGGCGACGTACACACCCTTGACACCTACAGACTATGTAGAGGCGCTAAAATAATAATGGAGAATGAATAACTCGGGAGTATTTTTGGGGAGCCGAACGCATCTTGCTTTCTGCTCCTCTCTACGCCCTCCACGCCCTCCACGCCCTCCACGCCCTTCACACACACACATCCGAACTCTTTGTCTTCGCGAAGCAAGACTTTGTCTACTGATGCCGGTTATCAAAGCCGGCCACCGTTATCAGCGTTGCCTGGTGTTTGGGTCTCCGTAAGACTGGTTTCCAGGATTCAGTGACGCGCCACTGCAGTGCCTTCTTTTTCACACAGCAGCCTGCCGCCCAATGACCGTGTCTATCCCAATTGTGTTATGGCGCTCCCTTGCCATGCCCTCATAAACGAGAGTTTGGCTCTGCCGGGGAAACAACTGTGCGGCACAGTCCAACCCGCAAGTTCTGAGTCCTGTCTCAGGCCCCGCCTTGACCACAGCTCTTTCAAGTTGCTGTAACTGATTCTGCTCCTCGGATGAGGTTTCGGTACCGTGTCAAGTAGGCGGAGAACAACCTCAAAATGTCCACAATTAAGCCGGAGCACTTCCTTGAACTGCACACTGAAAGGTGGCGGCGGGTGGAATGGGCTTGACTTGGCTGGACTGACAGAAGAGATTGTACCCGTATGCAGCTTCGAGACTCTCATGTCTCTCTCTCGTCCCCCGCCGGGGTGTTGAATCAACGTTGTCTTTGCTCTGTATCTCTTTTTCATTTCAAAACCACGTTTGCCCCTCGTGCAGCCAGGTATTGGTCTGGTGCTCCCTGCGGCAGAGTCCTGACCACCCCGAATATTTCTGTATTGTAGTATCTCAATTTCGTCTTCGGATCCGTGTATTTCGCAGGTAAGCCCGTCACATCGCAGTAGTGTTTGTGATTCGCAGGATGTAGACTCGGAGCGCTCTCGATGTTCGTATAGGTAACGGCGGGACCTCCCAGTCCAACAGCAGGACCGTTTGCAGCTCTTTGCAGGTTTCGTTCCAGGACCAATGTACTCAAGCTTTGAGCTGCCTGTGCCACGTTGAGGGGCCTCGAGGCCGTGGAAGAATATGCTGGAGTGGCCGCACCATCCGTGGTTGCGCCTGTGGCGGGGATAGGCGTCGATGCGCCAGAGTTGTTCTGCGTTGCAAAGACGGATGCTTCTTTGCGTTGCGATTCGGATATCATTTGTTTGGTGTTTTTGTTCCGGCGTGTGCTGGGCTTCCAGTTGGGGTTACGGAAAGGCTTTGGCGTGTAGTATATGTCCATTTGATCAAGGAGCTGTTGGTGAGAATCATCCGCTGGCTGCGGCGTCGAGGGAGGCATTATGAACTAGGGAAAGGGGATTTCGACAGCGCGGTTGTAGACTTTTTGGGAGGAAGACTGCGAATGTGTTCGCGAACGGTAGATTTAGAAGATGAGTTGGGAGCTGCGCCGAACTTGACTGCGCGTCGATATGTCCCGCGGTCGTCAATTAATGACGGTCCACACGTGTGACTTGAAATGCCTGAAATCGACGTCTACGTTCTTCACAAACTCAGCATGTCGGCAAAGTGAGATTTACGCTGTCACAATCAGCCACCATATGTAGGTAGGTAAGGTATGCCATGAACGACTATCAAGGAACCCAAGGTCCTTAGTATATTGCAACTATATAATGTGCTTGTACCTGTTATTTAGAGGTGGTTCGGTACAAGTACGGCGACGCTCAGGGACTTGACATTATTGAAGGAGCCCTGGGAAGCGGAGCATTTGCCAATAGGTAGTAGGCAACAAAGAACTTGAAGCAGCCAACAGCATCGCTCATTCGGTCTTTGATCCATGCAAGCGAGGCATTCGTGTCTATATATACCTGTACCCACTGCAGCTGCGCAGACCAGATTTTTGTTGTCAACATAAGGGACATGTTGTTCCTTCGGACTGGCCCAGGTTCTGTAGACATATGAGCATTAGTGAACGCCTCGAGTATGAATGCGACTATATTGTAGTTTGCCTCAAAAGCGGCGTGGCCGCGACGGGCGCCCACTTGACCGGCAAGCAATTTTTACACGGTACGTACATTGATTGGACTGCCCACTAAATATATCACACACATTCTGCAGGCAGTGGTGGGCTTCAGTGTGCTAGTTGGTTTTATTCCTAGTTCTAAGCCAAGACACTGCATTCTTTCTGTTATAAAACGACGAACGTACTCTGCGAATTTTGCGCGTGCCCCTCGGTGCTTTTTCTGGTCTTTTGGTCCATGCTCGTAGCAGTGTTGCAGCGTCCCTTGCCAGTGTTGATTATGTTCTCGTTGGCAGAGGTGCGGTGCGCTCCCGAGTCACCTGATCTGATGATGTAGTCACGTGCATTCTGATCACAAGGGCCGTTGGTCGCAAGAGGTTCTGCGGTCGAACTTCAAGTTCACTGCAAAGCTCTGGATTTCTAGGCAACGTTCCCAACTCACCAACAGCGTATCTTGATGGATTGCCGACTATGAGGTATGGTTTGCATGCATTGATTAGGTGTCCTCCGGGCTATTCGAATATCTGCCAGTATTCTGCAACTGGAGCAGAACAAGATGGTGAGAAAGGATTCATTATCTGCTTCGTCTTGAGACCCAGCTAATCCTTTCTTTCAGGCCGCTGTTACAGCCCATCCCTTCGAGCGTCGAGTCACTGAAACGCACATAGCCAAGTCGTACGTCTGTCCATCCCTTGACATTCCTCCTCCTCGCAAGATGCATTTTTGACAAAATGGGAATCTCTCTGAAATCATTTGAAGAGAATTGTAATGTTTTGCACTCTGACAAAATAACTTCGAAGCTTGCTTCTACGCACATCAGCCCTGGTGCACATTCGCTGACCAGTTGTGGCTGTATAGGGACGTGAACAATTTGATTATGGACTATCTCATCACCGAGGGCTATCCGTCTGCCGCTGAGAAATTCGCCGCCGAGGCGAATATTCAACCCAAGGCAGACTTCTCCTACATTCAGGAGCGTGTTCAGATACGGGATTCCATATACCGTGGGGATCTGCAGGCTGCTATCGAACTCATCAATGAGCTCAATCCCGAAGTAAGTCTTTTTCCGCCGCAAATCCCAACACCTTTTCCATGATTAGATTAGTTTCATGCACCACTCATAGCCCTCGGGCAGAGATGAGAGCAATTAACACCTTCAGTCCTCAGTATGATTTTTGACAGCATTCCTGATTGCCACACACAATACTTGCTGTGTGTCACTGCTAACATTGGGCAACATAGCTTTTGGACCTGGACAAGAGGCTCCATTTTTCTCTTTTGCGTCTTCAGCTCGTCGAACTCATCCGACAAAGCTTCAGTTCTCCGGACCCAAGCCTTGTAGGCAAAGCGATCGAATTTGCACAGAAGAACCTCGCACCATACGCTCCTTTGGAAGCACAATTCAAGATCGACCTAGAGCGAGCTATGGCACTCTTGATTGTACCGAGGGACTCTTGGACTTCGGGAGTATCCTCGGGTCCTTCTGGACAGTCTGCATCACAGGTTCAAAATGATTTTGGGGCGCTGGCGGAGCTTGTTGACCCTTCACTGCGCCGCAAGGTCGCCAAAGAGGTCAATGAAGCGATCCTCCAATCTCAAGACCAGAGACGAGAAGCCAACATCCGATATCTCGTTAGGGCTCGCTCATGGGCGGAACAACTGGCTCGGGAGAAGAAGGTCGATCTACCTGACCATCTCAGTCTCGGTCTGGATGGGGGTGATTCGGCAAAAGACAGCCAGAATGGACACAATGGAGACACCGAGATGACAGAAAACGGCGGGGAAGATAATTCCATAAACGCCTACGCCGAAATGGCACGATATGCCCACGTCGCTTCCTGAAGCAGCTTTGGTCATCCAAAGGCGACGATTCTTATAAGGAGAAAGGACCAACGATATGATACTTTAGCGATGGCGTTGGAGGTATCATGGATTCATTTATGATTTATGGACGACGCCGAGCCCCATTGCTGGCTCAAAATGCAGTGCCTCAACAGGCTCATCCCTCCCGTACTAGAAGCCAGCCTGCACCCACGAGCGCCAAAACGCCATGCTAATATAGACTCCGCAAAGACGATTGCGTCGGCCAAGGGGTATCACCAATTCCACGTCCGACTGCTGGCGGTGAAAACAGGCGGCTTCCATTGCAACTTGCTTGGATCTATGCGCCTGGCTCCCTTTTCTTTCTCCTTAGCCCGGCGCTTTTCCTGCCAGTCGAGCAGTTCGTCTCTGACGACGATGATCCACTGGCCCTTGTGGTAGCGTAACAACTTCAAGACTTCGAGCTGCTCGTGGACATCCTTCTCCGTCATGGAGGTCAAAGATGCGATTTCCGAGATGCTGGTTGAGTATTGCGATGACGGGCTCGAGAATCCCAAGGAGGCGTGGGGATGGAGATGCTCAGAGGTGGGGGTATGTGATGCAGACCCCGGCGGAGGCAGGCGCGCCGGGTCAGACAGGAGCTCGATGAGGACTTCTTTCCAGTACTGTCTGTAGCCTAGCAGTCCCAGATCCGAGAGCGGCTTCTCGGGGGAACCGAGCTTGCCTTCGCGCTTGCTCAGCTCGTAGGAGAAAGCAATAAGCAACCTGCCCAGGCCCTGGCGCTGGTATTGCGGCAGCGTGAGAATACAAGCCACATTGTAACCCTCTGCGGATTCCTTTTCTTTGCTGAAATAGCCGACCAGATGACAACCGTGCTCGTCACGGGTGACCATGCAGTAGAACAGGAAGGGATCGACGTCGTAATAGAGCGTCTTGTGGTCGAGGAACAGCTTGGACAGGAGACACAGGTTGCGGCACCAGGTGCGCTGGCGGCGGCCGTCGACCTCGAAGAAACTGACAAAGTCGTCGCGATAGATCTCGTTGCCAGGCGGATGTCGCAGCTCGCACTTGTGGCGGTGGCGCTCAAAGGCCTTTCTCGAGGAGAAGTACGACAGGCAGAACTCGTCGATGTAGACCATGTCGACGTCGGCAAAGTCCTGCGGATACGGTGAGAAGTACCACGGCTCGATGATGTGTTTGCCCATCTGGATCTTGTTGAGGTTGCGCACCAGATGCAATTGGGCGTGGTTCTGCACCATCGACCCGCCCGTGCGCAGCTTCTCGATTTCCTCCTCCGGCTCCATGATCGGCGCGACCTTCTCCTCCTTCTTGGTTACGTCGGGTGTGCCGGCCTCCGCCTCTGCGGCGCCCGCGACTGCAACGCCGCCAGTGCTGTCTTCGTGGACCAGAGTCGACAGCGGCGTGCCCGCCTGGGTTGTGACCGCCGACGGGTCGCCGTCCGGGGCGAGCGCGCCATCGCGGTTCTCCTTGCCCCCAGCTTTCGACGGGACAGGGCGCTTGCGGTCGTTGCCGGCTTTCGAAGTCAGAAGGTCTGGTGTTGCAGAGCCTGGCCTCGACTCTGTTCGTGCACGGCCGGCCTTGGTGGTTGTAATGGACTTCGAGGTGGCCGCTTTCGACGGCGGCCCTTTGGTCGTTACCGTGGTTTTCTTCTTCTCTGGCTTCTCTGGCGCCGGCCATTCCACTTCTTGGGATAGATCAATGCGGTCCGCCGAGACCCATTCTGGATGCGTACTGTGTTAGTTGATTTCTCATCTAGGTATTGTGGTATCAGGGGCAGTCTGGGGAAGTTGGGGGATCTGATCTCACTCACCATCGAGACGTTTGTTGAATTCGACATAGTGTACGCTGTCCGCAAGTCAGCATCCCTGTCGTCTCCCCATGGCATAGACATACTAGAATGTTAAGTCTCCGTTCCTCTGCTTGATCGATAGGATCTCCGCCTTTCGTGTTTCTCCATTCTGTCCATCCATCTTCGCGTCAGCCCTCGCACTCAGATACAACAAATAGCACATCACGTGATTGGACGCAGTTTCATATGGTGCAAAGAAAGTTGTGAATCTGGGATCTCACCTTTTCGACAAAAGCCTTCACTCCGATTCTGATGTCAAAAGGTTAGCATCATCTCGATGAGTTTGAGGATTTGTCTGTATCGACTTTCATCTCAAGCATGACTTACAGGAGCTGATTCAGCGTGGCGAAGCTTTTTTCCACAGGTTCGGGGGTGTCATTTGCTTCGCTTGCATGGTCCCCGCCCGCCATGATGGTCGCAGGGACGATGCGACAACTTCTATCGATGGAAAATAATTGATCAATCGATCTGATGGAGTTGTGGTGATAAGTTGTTTCGTGATCACCCCGTTGGCGGCTGGGGTGAAGTTGGGCAGAAGTTTAGAGGGAGCCTTGGCTCCAAAAGACGAGTAAAAACTGCTCGTGCTCACCTTTCGTGCCCACCTCGCTCACCTTCCTTACCTTCACACTCACTCTTTATCCAGAACCCGGTCCACCGCAGACGGCGCCGACCGTTCCCTCTGTACACTAACGCCTTTTCGACCTACGACCACCGTCTGAGAAGTAAGTAGGTACGTAGTTACCACGCCAGTCGAACCCCACAGAGACGGGGAAATGGTCTATCTTCTGTCCGATCCACGAGGAAGTTCCTCCGACCTTGGGGGGGAAATCGGCGTTTCTAAGAGCTGGGCGCCTTTAAGTCACCAGCCCTCCTTCAACTCAACTATCATCATTCATCATCCGGCTCTTGTCATCTCACCAAGTCTTTCAAATATAGTGAAAAGAGAAGATAGCTCATTTATATCTTGACCTCGTTGTCCTTCGTATAGCTTCAGCATCCGTTTCATCTCGGTAGGAAGACTTTGCAATGCCGGACGGCTTCGTGAAGACTTGGCCGAAGATGCTTTTGCAGGTGGAAGGTGCTTGCATATTCGGTGCGACAATCTGGGCCTATTCACGACTCGGACGATCGTGGTGGACATTTGCCGGCCTCCTCGTCGTCCCAGATCTGGGTATGGCAGGATACCTAACCAACACCTCTTTAGGTGCTGTCCTCTACAATTCGATGCATACGGAAACGCCGCCTATACTTCTATTGTGCACTGCGTTGGCACGCGACAATAAGACGGCCGCCGGGTTGGCATTGAGTTGGCTCGCGCATATCGGAATGGATCGCATGCTGGGCTTTGGGCTAAAGTACGGGACCAGTTTCGGTCACACACACCTGGGCAATCTGAATTGATTTGGGAAGGGGTGTTAAGACGAGCATATCTCTGTACTATATGCTTCAGCATCAGGACGCTGACGTGGTATCTTCACGGCGCGTGGGCAGCGGATCTGGTTTCCAGGTGATTCAATCGAGTCCGCATGCGCTGTCAGGCTCGCCGTCGCCGTCGTATATCAAGTACATGGTCGCACGAACAACGACTATTCCCTAAGCCTCTCACTGTTCACTTGTCGCCACGCCACGATAAATCCAACCATACTTCCCAGACATTCTGCGGCTTGTTTCAAAGGAGTGTAAATTATGTATTGTTGGCGCTCTCTGCCAATAGCTGCCATTATATGGGAATACCTTGCACTTGGATAAAGATACGAAAATACTGCTCTTGACGCGTTGCAAGCAGTGTTATCAACTCCAGCTCATTCTCCCACAGGCATGCTCTCAACTTGATCCACCAAACTCCTCCAATTGCTCGCCTGTAATTCTGCATACTTGACTCGCTCTTGACTCCAGTCTTGATGCAACCGGCTGATGGCATAGATAGTTGATTGAAAAGTCACAATCTCATCCCTCAGGCATTCCTTGATAAACACGCCACGAGCATGTTGCTGGACAATACTCTCCTTATCCGACAGGATGCTGTTTTCTACCTTCTCGATTTCTCCTGGCTTGACCTGCCCGGGTAGCTTCTGGCGTAACTGTTGTAGCTTGTGTTCTGCTGCCTCGATCCGTCTTTCCAGTTGGGGAATGTTGTCGCGGGCGTACCGATCTCGTCGATCGAACATGTCACGCATAGAAACAAAATGGTCGCGGATAGCTTTGAAGTCTTCCAAAACACCAGTATCCCATGATCTGGCTTCGTCCTCTAGCAACGTCTGCGTGGTTTCCAGATGTTTCGCGGTCGACATGATGCCCTCGTTCAACAGAGGGACGTCATTTGTGTCAATGGCATACGTATCGGTCGTGGCCTCGGTCAGATGAGACAATGCGAGACTGAACTTGCCGTTGTCTGCGGCAAGTCCTTCATTGCGCTTCACCAACCGCTCCAGCAAGACACATAGATTGATGTAGATCTCGGCCGATCGCCTTACCCCGGCTCGAACTTGCTCGAACAGGTCGGGAAGCGAAGGCGAAAGGCTATCTTCAAGCATAGGGGGCAGGGCTTTGCCAGCAAATTCTTCCTGCACAGATATTGTAGCCTGTTTCCGCCACACGGCAAGTTCCTAACGGGACTTGTCAGACGCCAACATACTGGCAGAGACTGTAAAACGAAGACTCACGGTTGGTACAGTCAGGAACATCACCACTAATGTTTCCTGGCTGAGGACTGGATGCTGTACGAGCGCGTTGGCGAATCGAACCAGGCCGCGTCTTCTCTTTTCAAGGAAGACTGCTGCATCGGCTGACAGATGCGTCCCATTAACTGTAAGCCTGGATCAGTCGAAGGCGTGCGCACCAATGGGATTGCTCACCTTGTACTCGTTTGGGAGGCAAGAGAGGCAACCGCCTGAAGGGATATCTCTTGTGCAAGCAGTCGAGAAGCCAGACAAAGTCGCTATAGCGCCTAACGACGGTACTCCCCCTTCTAATGGTTTTGACCTCGTAGTTGTGATGCTGGAAGAGGAACATGCCTTCCTTGTCAGGAAGCATGGTCACGGTGACGCTCTCGCCTGTCCCAGGTGGTATCGTAATACTTTGGGAAATAGAACCCTGCGAATTGTGCTTCGGGCGGTTGGGTTGGTCATCTCCTGGATCACCAAATCCTCCACCAAGTGTTGGCTGCTCCGCGAAGCCTGCGGAGCTGCCGTTATAGCTGTTCCAACCTACACCGGCGCTGGTGGAAGATGTCTCATGGGGAGAGCTTGTGGTACTGCTCGGTGGGCCCCCTCCAGTAGTGAAAGCACTTGTCGTCCTCACTACGCCATCCTGACCCTTTACAGTGCTGTCATTTGTACCGTTGGCCGGCACCGTGTGAGCAGCAGTCGAAGGAGGCGGCACGCGATTGTTCGACGGGCTGGCCCATGGGTCCGCTGTAAGATCGCCTCCGAACGAATCCCGTCTACTCTTTTGTGCTTTCAGAGGTGAAGATTTCGCGGCTTGCGCAGAATCCGTATGTGTCCGGGTCAAGGCGCGCAGTTGATCGATATAGCTCAGTTTGGGCATCGGCAAATCTAACCAAAGTCAGTCCTCGCCGCAGTAGCATCGCATTCCCGACTTACTCCGCCTCCTTTCGTCGACGCCATCAAGGGTGATGTCTTCGCCCTCTTGCCCCAGCCCAATGAGAGCGAGGAGGACGTTGAACTCGCTTCTGCCGACTCCATTGACACTTTCCCGACCTCCAGGGATGACAAAGTCTAAGATCTTGTGCTGCTCTTGTTCACTCAGGTTACTGCTTTCCAGGAGTTTTACCACCGCACCCAGGCTTATACCCACTCCGGTTCTCTCATTCGCGTTGAGCACAAGGTCGTAGGCATCGACATAGTACTCCGGGACATCGGTAGCTGGGAGGAGGTTTTTGACCAAGTTCTGCCGGGCGGCCCTTTTGGGCGCTGGCATTGACCATGGCGATTCGCCCTCATCGTCGGCAAAGAGAGAAGAGGTCGCCGTAGCAGGGGCATGGACGTGCTCGTCGCCGAAGAGGGACTTGGCCTCGAGCGGTGCAGGCTCCGTTGGCGAGGAACCGAATAAGGACATGATGCCTGATCGACGAGGGCAAGTAATGGGGTAGGTTGATTCAGTCAACCGTAAGATGACAGAAGCTGACTACATCGGCCGCGACAAGCACAATGGAGTGTGACGATGCATACAAGTACGTACAACTTGAAGAGGTAAACCAAGCAGGCGACGCTATCACAACCCAGGTTCGTCGATGGCAGTTGATAGTAGTATGAGGTAGTAAGAACGGATAGTAATACCGCCGGGCACTACTAGTACAACCTTACTTGGTACATAAGTTAAACCGAGTAGCAGCAACGTACAGGTACCTTATTAGGTACCTAGGTAGGGAAGCGTCAGCTAGGTACGCCCATTGGACGCAATCTAAGCAAGAGGTACTGTAACTATGAAATCATGACGGCTAAAGGCCTTAGGCCTCCTTAGCCTAAGGGCCCAGGGCCCGCCCGCCGCAAAGCACGACTACTACGTACCTGCTACTAACAAGTTGTTGCAGCACTAGAGTGCAGTGATTCCTTCCACTCGAGGCAAGGCCCGGCCAGCCGTGCAGCGGAAAATCAAGTATCATCCATTTGACAGAAAATCCATACAGAAGGTCCATTCTCGACGTTACTTGCTATGTGAGGCCAGTCCAGTTTCCGTCTAGACCTTGATACTGAAGTCTTTGTAACTCCACTTCTCCGTAAACTTGACCCTCTTCTTCTTTGGTTGTAGGACAGGTTTTCGGGCCTCCAATTTGCCATTTACCAACAAGGTTCGGAATCGCTCGTTCAGCAGGTTTCCCTCAGGCTTCAATCTCCGCAATGATTCTTGAAGCTCATCGGGCAGTACAACCTCGAGCGACTTCTCTGGAATTGCGGCATTGCCTCTCTTCCGTCGCCGGAGGGTCCGATCGTCTCCCTCTTCAGCTCCTTCGGCCTGCGCCTCACGTGCCAATTCTAACCTCTCTTCCTGGTCGCGGTCGATCAAAGCGGACAGTATCTGCTCGGCCTGTGTCTGCTTCTCTCTCATCCTCTTTTCGTGCTTTGCGATCCTCTCTGCCTCCTTTCTCCTCTTTGCCTTGTTTCGCTGAGCCGGCGTTTTGCGTTTGGGGCGTTTCTTTTCCAGCACTTCAGGATCATCATGTTCGGTCTCGAATCCCTCCCAGGCACTCTCATCATCTGCCGCAGATGTTTCTGGAGCATCAGCGAGGGCTCGGATTCGCGCCTCTCTTTCAGCCGCAGCCTGCGCCTCGCGCAATCTCTTCTTCTCCGCCTCTAGCTCCTTCGCACCTTCTCTATTCAGTAGCTCGTCCCAATCTTCGAAAGTCGGGTTGTAACTCGCGCCTGCATCTGGTTCCTTGACCGCAGGTACTGGTTTTCCGCTGGCAGTCATAGGGAGCGGTGGGTGCTTGATTGTAGGGGGTGCAACCTTCGGTCTGGGTTTAGGTACATATTCCTGACCAGGCTTGGTGTCCTGTGTGGCCGAAGTGCCGTCCGACCATAGATCGAAGCTGGAAACCTCACTCTCGATAATCTCCGTGTTCAGATGTGAGACGGCATTGATATTGTTCTTGAGCCTTTGCACCTCCTTCTTGCTCACCCAGTCAGGCTTCGCTTTCTTGCTTGCCGGCTCGAGGATACCATCGGTAACTGCTGCATGTGGTCTCTTCCGGCTGTCGAGTGCTGGCACGGCAGATCGTTTGGTCAGGATCTCATCTATTTTTAGGGGCTTTTGCACTTTGTATTTCTTTTTGATTTTTTCAGAACCTTGAGTGTCGAGTGCAAACAATTCTTCGGAGGGTTTTTCGGCTAATGGGCCGCCCTGAATGATCTCCTCTCGCAAGGTTTCAAGACCTTGCTGTACGTCGGAAATGTCGACATTCTTGCGCCACGCCCTCTTTCCTTTCCGCGAAGGTTGTTTGAGCTGCTGAGGAGCGCCTAGCGACAACGACATGTCGGTTGGGGGGAAGCAGCGTTATGATGTCGAACGGTTCGAGATGTCTTCATCAGAGTCGAGCCCAAGTCGAAAAATTATCATCCGCGCAGCCCCCAAGTCTTCTCCGCATGCTAGTGCCAAGCATAATAAGAAAATCCTTTAGTCTGACATGCTATCTGCCCAGCTGCGTTCACGTTATAGCACGCGCTTCTCCGTTTTGCTGTGTGGTCAGACGTGCACTTTTCCAGACGGGCTCCTTAAAGTTTGCAGATAAATGGCGATGCCTGGAACTTGAAGTCACCCCAACGCTTCTCAGGGGTATCTCACTGTCCTTAGTTCGACACTGGGCTACGGAAGAGATGTCTGGCTTTATCACAGCAAAAGTAGGAAGCAGAAGCATAAAAGTTGCTGCCAACAATGGTAATAAATGGGAGGAGGATAGTGCTTCAAGCCTGGCCCCCAAAATTGCATCCCAAGCAACAACTCCTCCAAAAGCAACTCCGGGGTTGCGACTTATAGCAGACAATATTAAATGGCATGCCTCTCACACAGCCTTTTTTGTGAAGGGTGGCAAAATTGTGAAGGTATTACTAGTAGTGTAGATACCTTGGACTACGACAGAAATGCCTTTTGAGGTCTTGTTCGATAGCTACATACATACCTTACCTACCTAGGATATTGTGCTGCTGGATTTGATCCTTGATATCAACCTGAAAAGGGCTTTTGGAAAACTTGGAAGTGCGACGAATACTACTAGTACCTCATATACCTATACTTGTTAACCAATGAGAAAGTGTCCGATTACGGTAGGAATCTAGCCTCGAGTTCCGACGACTACACTTTTGAGTCCACTTTTCCTGGGAAACCGACTTTGAAATTTACAGGTACGAGGCATGTAAGTACGTACCGTAGTACTAAATCTGCACTGCAGAACTGCGAAGAAAGTGTGGGGGAAGCGAGTTTTGCTGCAAGCTGCGATACTCGTACTAGTAAGGTACCCCAAAAATGCCAAGGGCCGATGCGGCTCCTACCTTAGCCACCGGCACTGGGCATTGCACCTCTCGTCACTAACTGCAGCCCCTACCAATGACTCAGATGCGAGCAAGATTGAGCCAAAAATTTTCGTACCTTATATAGAGTGCGAATTTCCACACCACCCCTCTACTCTTCTAGACCCTCCCTCATTATCTCATACAACTCGTCGTCATGATTGCGCCGGCTGAACCCCTCCAAAATGGCCAAAATGGCACCTCTCATGAGGCCCAACGTGCACCACGCAATCCCTACGCCCCCGTGGACGACTTCCTCTCGAATGTCAATCGGTTTAAGATTATCGAGTCCACCCTGAGAGAAGGAGAGCAGTTTGCAAATGCTTTCTTCGACACCGAAACCAAGATCAAGATTGCGCGTGCTCTAGATGATTTTGGCGTCGACTACATCGAGCTCACAAGCCCTGCTGCCTCGGAGCAGTCAAGATTAGACTGCGAGAAAATCTGCTCTCTTGGTCTGCGCGCCAAAATCTTGACGCATGTGCGATGCCACATGGACGATGCCCGGATGGCTTGTGCAATCCCCGGGCTGAGCGGTCTCGATATCGTCATCGGAACCTCATCGCAACTCCAGCAACACTCGCACGGAAAAGATATGGACTACATTCGAAGATCTGCTGTCGAAGTGATTGAATATGTCAAGAGCCAGGGACTAGAAGTGCGCTTCTCGTCCGAAGACTCATTCAGGAGTAATCTTGTTGATCTCCTTACCATCTATAGCCAAGTCGACAAGATTGGCGTAAACAGAGTCGGTATTGCGGACACGGTCGGCTGTGCCTCGCCTAGACAGGTTCGGGATTTGACCCTCCAAGACGTGACCAGCACTAACGAGCCCAGGTTTATGATCTCGTGCGCACACTTCGTGGTGTGGTCTCATGTGATATTGGTAAGGCACACAACCCATTTTTCGCTTGGTCTAGCTCTCAGGAATACTAACTATTCCAGAATGCCATTTCCACGACGACACTGGTTGCGCAACTGCAAATGCATTCTGTGCTCTGGAGGGTAGGCCTTACCTCTCGAGATCATATTAGGGATATGCTAACAGTCGCAGCTGGCGCCACGCACGTTGACACTTCCGTCCTCGGCATCGGCGAGCGGAACGGTATCACGTAAGCTTCTTTCCCATTCTTGTTCTCCGATGCACCTCTGGTCAAGATATCAGCGGCTGCTGTCGGCCGCAAAGACTCCGCCTTACATGATCTTTTTAATCCCTCTTTCGCCTTCTGCACATAAAGTGTGACTAACGTTGTTTCAATAGTCCCCTTGGCGGTCTTATGGCACGGATGATCGTCGCCGACCGAGACTATGTCAAGAGCAAGTACCGGCTCGAAAAGCTCAAGGACATTGAGAATCTTGTTGCTTCGGCTGTCGAGATCAACGTTCCTTTCAACAACCCGATCACCGGCTTCTGTGCATTCACGCACAAGGCAGGCATTCATGCCAAAGCGAGTAAGTGATAGTACCAGATTACTCGAGAGAAATACTGACAGACGCCGCGCTAGTCCTCAACAATCCTTCTACCTACGAGATTTTGAACCCGTCCGATTTCGGTCTGTCTCGCTACGTACATTTTGCCAGCCGTCTCACCGGCTGGAATGCAATCAAGAGTCGCTGCGAACAGCTTGGGCTCCATATGACTGACGCAGAATACAAGCAATGTACTGCAAAGGTCAAGGCATTGGCTGATATACGACGATTGACGCTCGACGACACCGACGCCATTATTCGGAATTTCCACAAGAGCATTGGTTCGAACGACGATGTACCTTTGGTTGATGGCTTGACTGAAGGTGAGAAGCGGACGCTTGAAGCCGATATGCCAGCGGAGGCTACGTCCATCGTCTAGCAAACTGAGTCGTTATTTTCGGCCGGAGCTGGCGTTGCATTTGTACGGCATTGTTGTCGGAATTTCGCGGCGGAGGCGCTCGTCACTGCACTGTGGCCTTTTCTATGGCTTCAAGTGGAAAGTAGTTGTCGCCCCTAGGTACACTGCATGGAGATACAGGATAAATAAAACTAGACAGGCGCTGAGCGTCTTGATGTGACGCGATTGTATGCTTGCGCTTATGACCTTTAATCCTGAAGCGTTGTTTGATGAACCGATGGCGCGCAGCCCTCGACATCGGATTCGGTTACAGTGGCCGCGTACCAGGCAAGATTGTGTGTCTGCCTCTTGTTTTGATCTTCTGACCGCTGTAGCCACGCCAGGATAGCCTCTGTATAGAATTGACGGTTAGATTATGCTGAGTAACGCTTTTAGTGACACGGCGCCAGTTGGACAAGTGCCAATGTGCACGCGCAGTGATTTTTTCTAGAGGGACAAAGTTACTCCCAATTTTCACTAGAAATTTCAAGAGGAAACCGTCGTGTACGCCGCCAAATTTGGATCCTCTTGCTGGCGCTGCATCAAGGTCGAGTTGAGTGTGAAGGTAAGGCGAGAGTGAATGGGTGTTAAAAGCGGCACGGCCTGGGGAGTCGCACGTGAAGTTGGGGTAGGTACCTAGATTTCACTTTGTCTTTGCTGCCAAGAGGTTCCGCTCCGTCGCAGAATCCAGCAGTGCTGCACCGCACCTGCCTGCGGCAAAGAACTTAAAGACTAGACTGACTTGCTGACTTGCGACCTGCTGGAAGTCAGTAACGCCAACCTCTGAGTCTACCATCATCGCCAGAATCTACGCACATCATGCCCGTGGTCAAAGGAGGTGTGTGGACCAACATCGAAGATGAGATCCTCAAAGCCGCAGTGTCCAAATACGGACTGAATCAATGGGCACGAGTTTCATCCTTACTCGCTCGAAAGACCCCGAAACAATGCAAGGCAAGATGGACGGAATGGCTAGACCCAGGCATCCGCAAGATAGAATGGTCCAAAGAAGAGGACGAGAAACTTCTGCATCTGGCAAAGTTGATGCCCACGCAATGGCGCACCATCGCACCTATTGTTGGGCGGACCGCCACACAGTGTTTGGAACGTTATCAGAGGCTGCTGGATGAAGCAGAGGCACGAGAAAATGATGAACTGGGTCTTGGAGGACCGGAGGGTGGGGAGACTGCCGCGCCTACAGGAGACCAAGTCCGCAAGCTACGGCCTGGCGAGCTTGATCCAGACCCAGAATCCAAGCCGGCGCGACCTGACACGATCGACCTCGACGAGGATGAGAAGGAAATGCTCAGCGAAGCCCGGGCGCGTCTGGCGAATACCCAAGGAAAGAAGGCGAAACGGAAAGCGCGTGAAAGACAACTGGAGGAGTCGAGAAGACTGGCCGTGCTGCAGAAGCGCCGAGAACTCAAGAATGCCGGCATCAACATCAAAATTACGAACCGCAAGAAGGGTGAAATGGACTACAATGCCGACATTCCTTTCGAGAAACAGGCCGCGCCTGGGTTCTACGATACCCAAGAGGAAGAAACGAAGAATGAGCGTGAGCGGGAAATGTTTGATCCACGGAAGCAGCAGCTGGCCAGGAAGCGGCAGGGAGACCCAGAAGACAACATGGATCCCAAACGACAGAAACAAGACAAGAGCAAGTCCTCGGGGGCATTGGTCGCTGCTGCAAAGGCTGGACAAATGCAGCGCATCCGGGAGGCAGAGCAACAGAGTAAGCGCCGGTCTCTGAACCTCCCAGCCCCACAAGTGAGCGAGAACGAATTGGAAGAGATTGTGAAGATGGGAATGGCTGGGGAACGGGCAGCCAGAGCCGTAGGGGACGAAGAAGGCAGTGATCGGGGGCTTGTCTCAAACTACAGCAATATGGTCGGAGCAACGCCTATTCGAACGCCTCGAGCGCCAGCACAGGAAGACCATATTGCGAATGAGATCAGAAACATTAGGGCTCTCACGGAGACGCAATCGTCGTTGCTGGGCGGCGAGAACGCGCCTCTTCACGAGGGGACGAGCTCCACTGGTTTCGACGGGATTGCTCCACGAAGACAGGAGATAGTGACGCCGAATCCGATGGCCACTCCATTCCGTCAGGCCGGTCCTGGTGGACTCCCAGGTGCGACCCCGTTGCGAACGCCTCGCGATAATCTGACCATCAACGAGAAAGGCGAGCGCCAGTTAGTGGCTCAGACGCCTCGCGACATGCGGCTGGCCGAGAACGCGGTACGGAACTCACTCAGAGCAAAGCTCGCTTCTCTCCCGAAACCCAAAGAAACGGATTGGGAGCTCGAACTTACGCCATCAGAGCAAGCCGAGTCGGCTGAACGGGACGCTCAGGATCGGGAGGATCAGGAGGAAGTTGACAGGCGTGAACATCAAACAAAGGAGGCTGCTGCTGCTGCCGAGTTCAAGCGACAGACACAGGTGTACCAGCGAGGCTTACCCCGACCCATTACTGTCGACTATACCTCGCTTGCTTCCGAAGCCACATCAATAACCGATACCATCCGGCAGATGATAGTCCAAGAGGCCGCCGTGCTTATGGCGAACGATGCCCGAAATCACCCTCTTCCAGGGTCGAGAGTTGTTGGTCAGCCTCCGCAGGTGGAGCAGCTGTCGGATGATCTCGTCGCAAACGCACGCAAACAGCTGGCGGCCGCATGCGACGAGGCCGGTCGTCAGGCTTATATTACCGAGGTGGCAGCCTTGTACGCTGATGCCAACGATCCCGAGACTCTTCCACGAAATCTTGCCGCTGCGAGTGGGGAGGCATATGATAAAGCCTTCCAGGCTGCACAAAAGAGTCTTTTGGTGGCCGCCGAAGCGGGGAACAAGCTAGAAAAGAAGCTGTCGCTGCATTTGGGTGGATATCAAGTACGGCAAAGGACGCTCAAGCAGAAAATTGGTGACGTCTATAACCAGATCAAGGAGCAAGAGGCCCAGCTGGAAGGGTTCAAGACCTTGCAGATCACTGAAGACGGGGCGCTGGCAAGGAAGCTGGAGAGGCTTAGAGATGAAGTCCATCTCGTCAGCAGGCGGGAACGAGAAGCGCAGGAGGAATATCGGAACGTCAAAGAGGAGCTTAGGGAGTTGGAAGCAAAGATTGCGGCAAGGGTCAACGGACTCAATGGGCACGCCTAAGCAATTCACTTCAGTCGATGTACGGCTTTGCTGCTGAAAATTGTTGATGCATTGACAATGCCCACAGCGCTATCAATTTGATATCAACAAGCGAAGACCAGGTTCCATGGTACAATTCAACCACTTGGCCAGTCTGATGTTCGCCTGAGCAGGCTGTCCAAATGGATCTTCCATATCCATCTTATTCTTGGCTATTGAGACCAAGACACATCTCGTAGTCTCTTGTTTTTGGCCTCTGACCCGTGATAAACATCAAACACGATGCTCTCAACTGTCCCAGCCTCACAGCCCTATTTGTCCGCTGCTCCAGCCCGTTCCTTGACGAGGTTGTTCATGAAACTTGGCTACTGGTTGCCTGCATACCCGGGTAGACTCACTATTTTTACCGCTTTGCTTTGGGACTTGCTCTCTGTGTATTGCGTTCCAGTCGGAGAGGTGTCCGCTCGCGCACGGGACGGAGCAGGCAACAGAGAAAGAGGTGGGCATGATGAGCGATCCATTACAGTAGAACGTAAGATCTTCATCGCCGGGTTTTGAGCCATTCGCCTTTCAACATGCTGAGGACATGTTACAGGCGCCCTGCGCCGGATGTTGTGGAGCATCAAACTTTGAAGTGCGAAGTCAGTCCCGGACTTGGTTGAAGATAGACGTCGATCAACCTGGGGGCGATATGTGGTTGTACGTCCGATCAAGGGCGTCCCAGAGGAAAGCATCATCGCAGACTTGGCTTGGTCCCTTGGTCGAACAGGATCAGCAGAACTGTTCGAGGCAAAAATGGCAATCAAGGCGATGAGATCTGTTTCCAGTACACCCCCTTGAGGCACCGTGTGTTGCAATGGCGCCAAGTGCTTTTGCCCTTCCAGTATATAAGAATGTGAGCCTGCTCTTTGCTCGTGGGATTCCTCTCATCCAATTTCAAGCTTCTCTCAGTCCGTACAATCATCAGATCTCTCCTGCGAGTGCGAGAATGAAGATATCCAAGATCCTCCCTCGAGTGGCGCTGTACAGCATTCTCACCGCAGCAGCTGCCAAAGACGTACCTTGGCAATGTGGTATGACCGCAACAGCGTCAAAGGAGTTCGATTGCAGAAAGCCTCTGGACTGCCAGGCTGACTGGCCCCATACCACGGAGAACTATGAGTCGAGGAAGCTACTTGTGCGTGGTGAGGCCAAGGAAGACGTCGGGGAAGTGTGGCAGCGGCTCATCAACATGACAGTCTCGCCTTTCGGGGCTGCTGGCGACATGGTACGGCGCTCCATTAAGATATCTATCTCGAATGGATGAGAAGCTAACGACAGTTGTAGGCGCAGGTTCGCTCGCAAAGACATACCAATGTCAATGAAGTCGACGAGACGCCAGCGCCGAGCGACCTTCAGCCCCGAAAGAAGAAAGCAAAGCAATGTTGTCGCCCTACCTGGGAATGCTGGAACTTTGCCATGCATGTGGAGGTCAAGACAAGATTTGAGGGTCCGTACATTGCCGATGTCACCGACTTCAGAAAGGTCATGTGTTGTATCGAAGAATACTCCGAAACCCGGTTGCGAGAAACCGGCTTTCGAATCACCCATTCTCTGGAAGGAGCCGCCAGCATGCAGTCATGACTAACTCTGGGCTCTGTGAAATATGGAGGAATGTTCAACCTTCCTCTACCGTCAACCAGGCTGATTGGGCCGAGGTGCGGGAGAGCGTGTCTCGAGGCTTTGTACCTGAACGTGAACACAGTTAAATTGTGTTCACTGAGGCTGGTCTTATCGCTTGGAGTGAATATAGGCTAGCCGTGGAGCTTACACTTCGTACGACTTGAACCCCGAGTCAAGGCATTATGGGGGAAGATGGAGCGAATAGTCTGTCCTCCATCCGTGGATGGATACTGAGACCATGCTCGACGAGGCTGAAGGCGGCCCCTGAATGTTCGTTTCGTAGTACGGCGTGCCATATTCTACAGTGGAGTATTCGAGCCCGAAAGAGTAGGTTCGGTTGCTTCAGAGCGAAATAAAATAAATGCTCTCCGCATGCCATCATTATTGACTGACACTGATTCAATCGAACTGTCACCTTTTCATGGGGTGTCTACCGAACCATGGCGTCCTCCCAGCCAGAACCCTCGCTGGAGCAACACGAGCGGATGCAGGATGATTACCAGCGATTTCTGAATGTGGCCTCGCTGGCTACGTGCATTCTCGCGCCAGTCATCATAGCCCTGCCGCCGCGAAAGCTCGACGCCTACACCTTCTCTTTAGCCGGCGCCTTCGTTGTATCTGCAAACTACCAGCTCAAAGAACGATCAGGCCGTGGGTTTTGGGCTCGCATCCCAACTCCAGCCGGCATGCCGCAGCGCGCAAGAGAACTGCAACTTAAGCAGCAGGAAGCTCGGGCGCAGGAGGAGCAGCGGCTGCTTCGAGAGGCTGGCCGGCCGAAGAAAGGATCTTTGTTGGAGGAGAAGGCCAAGGAGATATGGATGGGCGGTGAGACCGAGGACTGGAAGGAACGACGATTGCGCGAAGAGCAGGAGAAGATCGCGAATGGCGAGGGCTACGGGACGATGATCATGGATCAGATCTGGGAAGTGTGGAACTGGGGAGAGACGAAGGGAGAGGAGCTCAAGGAGAAAGATGAGGAGGCTGTGGAGAAAAAGACGGGTTGATGGTCATAACTGCTTTGATGGTTTCATCGTCTCTGGTTTCGGACCTTGTGCCATCTTGTCATGACCTCTCCCGCCTTGGCTATTCTTTATGAGCGAAGCGACCATCACCATTCACCGATGCGCGTTCCCAAGGGGGCTCTTCAACTCTTCAAATGAGTTGCCTCCATGGTCTCCGTAAGCTTGTCTGGGCTGCCTGGTTGATCTGACTGAGCCTGACCCTGAGCTTGATCCCTCACCATGGTGTCTTGTGTCTTCGCATCGGCCTCTTCTTGGAAATCTCGGACCTTGATACCATGCCCCAGCAGCTCGTCACGCGCATCTTCACTTTCCCGGGTCTGCTGCTTTCTCAGTCGGCCGTTGCGATCGTCCAAGATGACAGGGGTACGGCATGGCGTCGCCATGGTGCCGGGCTGCGCGGGCTTCTCCTGCGGTGGGCTGGTACCTGACGTCGACATATTTGGGGCCGTGTATGTCGATCTGGGGAGGAAGATGGCCGAAAGCTTGGATTTGAGCTTGTCGCTCATGTCTTTTCAACGTCAGCTTGCGTTCTGTCTGTGGAGGTTATTCACTGACCAGGAATACTGATTTCAACGCATGCGCTGGAGCGCGACAATGGGTTGAGTGCTATTGACGAAGTCTCGGCTAGGGTGCGCGCATGGCAGTGCAAAGCGTGAGAGCGGAAGCCCTTTGACCGCGTGTTGATGTCACGGTAGAACAAGGCTGCAGAGATAGCCAAGGTGGAACAAGGATCTGCCTCGTACTGGCTGTTTTGATCTGGAGGGTGTCTAGGATTTATGCCCACAATTGAGGTGGTACAGCACGCGGCGAGGTGCAAAACCCCAGGAGAACGCAGAAAAGAACTGTGTCAGTGTGTGACACGGCACAAAGTCACGCACGTTTAGATGGCTTCTCCTCCTTAGATGCTACTGGTGTGCTCTGTGAAGTCATTCAAGCTTTGGCATCTGATCTATCTGAAACTGGCATTGAAGGATTTTTCGTCCAGACTTTTATCGAGACTTCGACTTCTTGCGCTTTTTGGCAGGCTGGCCGTTCTGAGCCCCATTGCTGGTCGAATCCTCCTTGCTTCGCTTCTTGCCCATGTTCGCTTGAGTATCGGCAGGTGTTGTGGCACCTGGGAGCTTCTGTGCATGTTTTTGCTTCTGCTTCTTATTCTTCGGACCTTTACTCACGCTGTTCGTTGATCCGTCGCTCTGGCGCTTTCTCTTCTTCTCCATCTTTGTCTTTTTGCGTTCTTCCTTCGCTCGAGATCTCGCTTCTACACCCCGTACGAAAGAATCATCCTCCTCCACGGGCGCTTCCTCCTTTGCATAGTCCAACCTAGCTTTCTTGACCTGCTGTGTATTTCCAAACCCGCCATTACGAGATTGCACTTGGGGTTCCAAATCGCTAGCTTTCCTTTTGGCAGTCTTCTTTGACTTGTCCCCGACCGCACCCTGATTCCGAAATAGATGGTCAACCGGAGTGGGGTTTGGGTCAACTGTGAACAGACCGCTGGGATCTACCACAGGCGGCGTTGGAACATGAGGCTTCGGCCCAGGGACGGTAGGTATCGCGTGGCTTGGCGGAATTTCTTCTTGTCTCATGGCTTCCCTCTAGAGGCACGCATTAGTCTTGGCCCTTGTGCGCTTGAGAGGCATGATGGACCCTACCAAGGACTCACTTGACTCTCTGAATGTTGAGATCAAGTTCTCGGTAGTAACGAGGCGTGTTTCGATTAGTCCGCCAGCTGGACTGCCATCTGTACAATGTTTGCGTATATCCGCCAACAGAGAAGCATGTGTATCAAGTAAAGACACAAGTGATTGGTGCTGGTCCAAGAACTGCGTAAAATGTCAGTTCGAAGATACTGCGGGCAATACTGGATGCTGAAACCGACCTTTCGCCACAACTGTTCATTCATATCCTCGGACATTTTGACAGAGAGGTTGTATGTAGTGTAGAAGTCGCTGTGAGCGCCCAATGGATGTGTTGTGTGCGGTGATCTTTCTCGCCAAAAATCGGAGTTGATACTGGACTGAAATGTCTCCAAATGTGGGGGATGTTGTTACAATGATGCGCCGTACTACTACTACACGGCCTCGACCGCAACTGCGCCGCAACGCCGTTACTAGGAAGCGTTCACCTTTCCGCGCTTCATTTTGACCTCACTAAACACATCCTCGCAGGACTGCCTACCTCAAGTACTAGTGGTAGAAGAGTCTAGGGCCTTCGGACAGAGGACAATGACGGCTGCTGAATCTAGGGTCATCTTGCCGTCGTGGGAGCGGGCATAGGGCCATGGAATAGCACACACCATCATTGCGGACAAATAAGGAGCAGCAAATACAGGGCTCGCTGCCGACAACTGTATCCGACGCTGGCTGTCGATGCTGGCAGGCAGAACTGAAAAAAGAGTCGTCTAGCAACTACCAGTAGTTGAGTATAGACGAATTAACTACAGGTGTTACGCCAGGATGCTGCCCTAGGTACCTAGGTACTAGGTAGGCAATATGACTCCTCAGTTCGACGGGTGAGTTACTACTTAGTAGTACTAGGTAGGTAGGTGTACCTTTGCAACCATCTACCGCGAAATCACCAACACGATCATTGAGCAGGTGTTGCTATGCCTGGATTCGACTTGATTCCCCTGCCAGTGCCAATGTGTTACTGTGGTTGCCAATTGTGCGAGAGCTGCCGGTGCTATTGTCTTCATGTCGTCGCTCCTGCCTTCTATCGCGGCTCCGTTCCTCAAGCGACAATATCTTCCCATTCATCGTGTTCTACTCTCTCTGTTTTTTCTCTCTTCAACACAACTCACTTAATACCCAGCTACAGCTTTGCTTCAACTCCTCCCGCTGTTAGCCTCTCCTCACCCTTATCATCCATCCTGCACCGCATCTTGGCTTGCTCATTGTACAACCCCCATTGCTGCTCTATTCATTGGGCTCCTCCCAACTTGTACCAGACAGCCTTCAAGAGGAGCGTGACTACAAGAGACTCATTTGGCAGTTCCACCGCAGGTAAGTCGGAGCTGGTGGCCCTCCATTGCACGGAGAAGGCCCGTTATCTACGGCTTCCCTCCTCGTCGACCAGTTGCGCTGATACGAGCATCTCATAGATCGAGGACCATGTCTGAAAAACCTGCACCTCAAACTGCCCCAAGCACAGCCTATAACGGTTATCCGCAGACTCGATTGCCATATTCAGGGACTGGCTATTCGCACTTCAACGGAGGTAGGAGCTGGAACACCATTGATTGAAAGAATAATCTCTGATGAACTTACAGGCATGAACTTGTCCAACCCCAACCCCAACCCGCTGGCCAATATGCAGAACCTCAAAGCTACTCTTCCTGCCTCAGGCCATGTCGAGAGTGACTTGGGTGCAGTCAACCGTCACGGATACAACAGCCCTCTCATGGTTCTACCATCCGGTCAAACAGTTCCACTTACCAACTTCTATGGTCAAAATCAGAATACAACTGGTGATGCCGGTCCTCAACTCCCTTACATTCCAACTGGGATGTTTCCCAATTTCGTCGGAAACACGAACATGAGCGGTGCTGCTATGCCGGCTTATGGCTGGCCCTATACGTTGTCGTCGAATGTCACCGGACTTGATGCTGCTCGTCGAGGCTCATGGTCTTCCAATGAAGAGAATGCCCCAGCCAACCAGGCTGTCGCTCTCCAAGGCCAATCAGAATACTATGCAGGCTTCCCTTACATGCCAACTGCCGCAACCAGTCAACACTACATTCCGGGTCCCATCCAGCCCATGAAATGTCAGGACAACAAGTCGTACGAGATGGTCAACCTCGACGAGTTAGTCTCACGTGATCCACCAATCCCCCGTGCTGTTCCAGCCCTTTGGACCAACCAGGAGGACTTGAGCCTTGCCAAATGTCTTCAGAACCCAGAAGGGATCACAAACGTCTACATCCGAGGCTTTATGCCTGACACCACCGACGAGGATCTCGAAAGCTGGGCTTCTCGCTTTGGCGAAATTGAATCGTGCAAGGCTATTATCGAACAAGACACTGGAAAGTGCAAAGGGTGGGTTCACCGGTTGTTGCGTCAAATCAAGTCACTGACTCTGCATAGCTTTGGATTTGTCATGTACTACTCCCCAGCTGCCGCCGAGAACTGCATCAGAGGGTTCTTCCATCTCGGCTTCCAAGCGAGCTATGCTCAAGTGAGTCATATCCCATGTCCTCCTATTGTGCCTAACGGACTTCAGAAATCTCGGAACTCCCGTCTCAAAGACCTCGAAGACAGAAACTCGACCAACATCTACTGCACAGGGGTCCCAATTGACTGGAACGAATCGGTCTGTCCTTGGGCATCGTCGCTATGATATCACTGACCTTTCACAGGACCTTGCGAAACATTTCTTGCCTTATCATGCCGTGTCAACCAAGATTTGCCGTGATGTCCCGTCGGGGGTTAGCAAAGAGGTCGGGTTTGCAAGGTAGCAGCCCTTGGCCCGGACACATTTGTTCTTCTATCTGACCGACTTTAGATTCGAGACTCGGGAGATTGCGGAGCGCGTCATAAAAGACTTTCACTCTGTCCTGAACGAACATGATGGTGTCAAGCTCTTCCTCCGCTTTGCCGATACCAAAGCTCAGAAGCAGCTCAAACAGCAAAGTCAGGAACGCCGCAACTGGCGCAGCCGGGAATACAGTTACTCAGTCGAGCACACCCCATCTCCAACCTTGACTCGACTCCAGAACATGAACACCCACATCAGTCCCAATGGAAGCTACCAGTCACCTGCTGGAACTAGCAATGCTTTCACCCCAGCGACGTCAGTCTCTCCGGCGTAAGTTTAGCCTTACTGCTAAGCACTCCCCTTTCAGAGTCTGACAATAATTTCCGCAGTGAAATGCCTGCTGTCAACAAGGGTGTGAATGCGGTCCGCAGCTCGGCGTGGCCAATGCAGGGTGGCCTTCAGTCCATCACCAACACCACCACTATCGCAGCCAACGCCCCAACTACGCCAGCTTCTCATCCATACATCGAAATACCGCCGAAGGCTGCTGCTATGGTTGCGATCGTCCCTGATGTGCGCGATGCCGTCAGGAAGACCCGAACACCGAGCCCGAAGAAGGTCATCATCCAAGTGGAACCAGCCAGCGGCAAGGAGAACGTCACCGGTACCTCGCAGTCCGCCAACTGAGTCTTTCGCGCAAAGGCTTTCGAGGATGCCCTCTCCCGTCCACTTATACTTTTGGCGCTTATCCCATTCTTGGCCGGGCAACAGCCCTCATATTGCTCCCTTTTACTCATTTTGCCCTGACCATCTGCAGTCATCCACTCGAGCACGCCTTTTGACCACACCAAAACAACCAGATTCGCAGTTAGGTAGCATCGATTCTTTCAGTATGACAGGACATCTGTATTCAATGCATGGGGCCAACAATGATATGACAGGACATTCTGTTGATATGACAGGGTCGAGAAAGTATAGCTGAAGACTGTATGTTGCGGGAGCTCTCATGTACTAGCTAAACATACTGTCGTTATGGACAATAGACCCTAAATTGCGTGCATTTTGCATGAGACTTGTTCTTCCTCGAATAGCTGTTGCTTGCGTAGTCCAGATTGTTGCCCGCGTCTGAATTGCGTCCATTCATCCAACGACTCGTAGCTACGGAGCACTGAGGGCATGCTTTTGCTCGGGCATGTGTCGATGCCTACACAAGTGGACATTCGTAATGTATTATTCTCTTTGGATACATGTAAATACATATGATGTTTGCCGCAAATCAGGACAATTCCATGAACCACCAAGTCCCTATGATGCCTGGAACTTGACTCCTACTCCAAACCAAGTTGGTAATGGTGTTGCGAAGTTATTGAAGTAGGGCACACGTCATGTGTGCAGCGTCAGGCTGTCTAGGCTACTCATGGCAGACGTCTTTCCCGGCATTAACACCAGAGCGATCAATCTGTTGCTCAGCGGCTTCTCGGAGTGACGCAGTGGGCGGACATTATAAGGCTGTGGCCCCTTTTCGACGTCACGTGGAAAAGCCCTTCCTGGCCCATTGAGTACCACAAGTACCGGTAGTATGCATCACCGATCAAGGCAGCTGCTGGTACCGCCAAATCTTACTAGATATAAAGCCATTGAGTAGGTTGAGACCCAGAATTGAGATTTTAACCCTAGCGTTTGCGTGCTCCATTGCAAACCTGGACGTGAAGCGTTCCATGTGTCGCGTCAATGCTAAAAGATACGATATGCTATGGTGGTCTAAGTGGGCCATCTATACTTCATCCATCATATCCGAGGCCATGAGAAGAATTGCAACCACTATTGTCGAGAGCATTGTAGCTGGCGGCAATCTCCCGTGCGTCGGATGGCAATGAAAAATTGTGCATCGTGTCTCATCACTCATCTTCAAGCGCCCAAACACCTGGGCTTTCGATGCTCCTCCATCACTTCGAAGCCTCCAATGCGCCGTCATCGACCTCGTTGGCCAAGGATGATGCCGGAGTCGTCGCTGTCGAAGGCATTTCCACATCCCCAGGTCTGACGGTTGGCCACCCATTGCCTGCAGTGGCAAGGACAGCGGAAAAATCGAGGGTCTCTGGGAACCACTTGTCGCGGCGAGTGGTGATCTTGCTTCCGCCCTCAAGAGCGGCTCGGGAAGCCCTGGTCTTGCGTTGCCTCTTTATCTGTGATTCGCCGCCGCCCAGTTCGGTTCGAATATGTTCCAAGCGTTGGTCGTGCTCGACGATGGACCGGATGTAGGGAGCCACTTCTGTTACCAGAGACTCGGCAGCATTATCGAGGGATGGCGCCTTTCGCCCAGGACTCATGGGCAAGCCAATCCTGCTCTCTTCCATAAGCGTCTCCATAGCATCTGCGACAGCTGCTCTGGTCAGCGAGGTCGTGCGGTTCTGTTGCTCAAGGTAAAGCCGAACAACTTCATCGCGAGGAGACTGTTGATCCACATGCCGACGGTTCTTCATGATCATCCCAGCGACTAGACAGGCCGCATTGCAATCCAATACATCCATCACACTCCGGGAATCAGAAAGCAAAAGCATGTCGTCTAATGCTTCTAGTCGTGCATTTCCCGTGCCCTTCAAGTCGAATTCGTCCCTGACCCAGTCCAACGGCGACAGACACAGGCTTTCATGGCAAAACTTGACCGTGTCCACGGGATCGTCCAGTTCTGTCGGATATAGGTCAAGGCCGCTGACGAAGGTACCTTGACTGACAGTCCGCATCACCGACCCATCTTGAGCAAGACCACGCTTCAGGTCCTGGGGCAACATCCAATCAAGACCCCCTTGCTTCGATCCCACCGTCATTTGACACCATAGGTTTAATTCAGTCAGAGAAGCTCGAAGGTCTTGACCTTTGCTGAGGTAGAGATCTTCTAATGTTTTCTTGCTCAGAAGATGTCCCTCGGCTGCAGCGACGCAACCTAGACGCTCAATGGATAGCTTTGTTTCTGAATGGTTGAAGGTCAAGATCGTGAACAGGTCCAGTTCGTCCAACGGGATGGACTCTGGGTTGTTGCAAGTCATGATCACTGGTCTCTTGGAAGTGCGAATGAGGGACTGGACACCGGACCAAAACCCTTTGTCTTCCTCAAAGAGGATATCAACCTCTTCAAAGAGAATAAGAGACTGCTTCTGGGCTTTGATCTTTGCGTCCTTGTTGGCCCCGGCTTCACCCGACTTCTGGCTCATTGCTACCTTGCCTAGGTTCATGAAATTCGCCATTGTGGATTGATTTGGTGCGACTTGCTCTGAAAACGGCAGCGCGGTCCCATTCGAATCCTCCAGTGACATGCTTGATCCTCTGCTGAGCGAGCTGGCTTGCTGGACCAGGTGGTTTTGGGTCATGTCACCAACTTTCTCCTGGATGTCCCGTGCACTCCGCCGCATTCCTGCATGTATCTCAAACACCTCGAATCCGAGCTGCTGGGCAACTGTGAAAACCGCTGCCGTTTTTCCGCATCCGCAAGGGCCTGTAATCAGGATTGCATTCTTCCCACTCGGAGCCTGGTCTTCGTCATCGGAGTTGACGATGAAATTGTCCATATCGTCAGACCGCTTCTTCCGTCGCTTCTTGATAGTTGATGTCTTTGATTTCTGGGGCAATTTGCCATTTTGAACCTGGTGAACTTTCAAAGTCGTCAACCAGTCATGTAGGGTTTGTATTTGCGGCTGCAAGACCTCCTGCCACGATGTAGGTGCGTACTCCTGAGGCCACATCTGTGCACCCGCGGCCATACCCTTGTCGAAGGGGCTGGTAGTTGACTCTATAAGAGTCTTCAAAGGCGCGATATGGTCTGCATATAGGCCTTGTATACCAAGCTCGAGATTCAATTTTGCTATCAATGACTTGCCTGTCATAATCATTCGGATCGGCAAGTGAAGTGAAATCCAGCCCTGGCAGCCATTCTTCACGTAACCTGCGAAAAGCTGGAGTATGTCTTCGTCGGGACGGATGTTTGACACACGATGCTTTGCTTTCAGCGTCTGCGCTAGACGTGGTGACGAAACCGGTTTTATTGGCATATCCTGGCAAGGTTCAACACGTTGCAAGGAGAGTGGAGGCCAGATTGGGGAAAGCTCCCCTACCAGCTTTCCCTGGGATGGCCTTTGAACAGTGAATTTGATGTCTTTCCATGGCCTTGGTGCTTCGCGAGGGCCTTGGTTGGTTTCGTCGTCAGTAGTCAATGTCGTTGATGGTTGTTCATCCTTGGCCAGCGATTGCTTCTGTGTCTGTGAAGCCAATCTTCCCAAGAAAAAAGGGTGGGTCGCTTTTGCGTCTTTGAAGACGGCTGGAGGTGGTTGTGCCGCAGCCACTTGTGTGCGCGAACTGCTCGATGGGTGGGACAGTATTTCCTCGATCTTTTTGCCAAAGCCTGCAGACTTATAGAACAATGTGACCTGTAGGGAAGGAACGAGTTTCCCATTCTTCATCTCCATCCTCCTGGAACTGTGGCCAGCATTTCTTCTCCCAACGCCCTGATCAACCTGAATGTTCTTCGTCCTGGGCGAACGCCGCTTTGACCGCAGGGGTGATTTTGTAAGCTTTCCATTACTATCAATTCGCATTGTCGCTTTCTTCGGTGTAGAAAGTGGCGTTTCTTTGTCAGGTAGGGCGTGTGTCGCGTTGGGACGAGTGGTTGAGGAAATGATCTTTGAATCTCCAGACGACATAGTCTCACGGGCATCTGAGATATTGGTGCCTCCGGTATTCTTATGGCTCAGCTCTCCAATCTCGTACGTATGACCTTTGTCCAAGGGACTGTCTGCATTCACCGCAGGCAGTGGCTGCGCCGATCTCTCAGAATGCGGTTCACCTTCCTTTGTGAAGCGGTCCACACCTGACATGGCCGCCTCCTGGAGTTGTTCGTGCCATGCGTTTGGAGTTGTATCCATATTCTGTAGTGTCTGCGAATCATGCACTGTGGCTTCTTCTGACACTTTCCGACGCTTCCTCCGTGTGTTCTCGTATTGAAACTCATCATCTTCCGGCGCAATCCAAGGAGCTATGGCAGAGGAGCCGTTGCCCGATATTGTAGGTGAAGCCGTAGCAATTGGGCCACAATCGTTGAGGCGAGCTTCTGGATGCGTCTCTTCGAGAGTTCGTAACCTGATATCATCTGCGGCGCCGTCTAGTCCCAAAGGTGAAGATGGTATTGCTTCGGAACACGTGTCATTGTTCATGACCGCTATAGCCATAGTCAGCCAATATCCAAAGAGTAGGTTATCTTGGTCAATCACCCTTTCTAAAGAATGGATGCAATTGCATGAGGCTTCCTAGTCCATTTTCAAATCCCAGTGCAGCAGCCATTCAACGCCTATTTGGTCCGTAAAAGACTAAGCACCATATAGAATGGGGCAGAAAAACAAAATCACGGATTGAACGCCAGTCAAGCACAGCGGGAGCCATAAGCTCTGTCTGCGCCTATATCGTGGAAACAGTTCCCTGAGTGCATTGAAGTCGCGTGTAGAACTTGAAAGTGAAGCCGCAGAAGCGCGTCTAGTGACGCGGGTGCTATAGGCGGCGTTCATAGGTGCAATTCAAGCGCAAGTGGGTTGCAGTAGTAGTATGGCTAGGGTATTGGTTGTTAGAACTACGGGTGATCGACCACTAGGACTTTAGCTGGGGATTCAGTCGGCGGAACCTTCTCCGCACCGCAAAGTGATTTTTTCTTTTCGCAGCCGACGCAGTATACTAGTTACTATCTTACCTTTCAATCATTGCAAAAGTTGTCTTGGATAGTCTCAAAAGAACATGCCTACAACAAAGTTATAATGGAGATCACAGCTCCCCACCTTCTTGCGAAACTCCCTCGCACTACCAAGCCAGAAACCGCCGTCTCATTCGGCAGTGTTTATGCTCTGAGGGATGGACTGAAGAAGCGTAGGAAAGAAATTTGCGTAGCTGTCGATGGCGACTCACTCAACCTTTATGAGGTATGTCGGCATCTTTTCCGTTCACAGTTTATCTCTTCTAACATCGTGTCAGGTGCAAGATGGCAAGATTCTTGCGTCTTATCCTGTCCCTCCGTCCTCATCTTTCTCCGGACCACCATGCTCAATCCGCTCGAACTCTGGTGAGCAGCCGTACCGCACCACATACTGCACAATAAAACGTGGCGACCTACGAGTGCAGTCGTTCCATACCAGTGAAGGCCAGTTACATGATACGAAGACGGCTACAAGTCCAAATTTACGTGATCAACGCAGTCCTACCGTTTACCTTGATTATATTCCCAATCAAGCCGGAGGTCGGGTCTTGATCGCTCAGCAAAATGGAGCCCTTACCATATTCTCCAGCGATCTCCATAGCACAATGCTTGATCAAACTCTCAGCCTGCCAGACGCGCGAGAGATCCACGTCTTAGCCGCCCAGCATCTTACCTCGTTAGAGGCACAGAAAACAATCTTGAAGCAAAGACCAGATCTGGCCGCCGAGGCTACGCAAAGCACTTCTTATCTTGCTGTTGCATACGAGCGCGGGAACGACAAGAAGGTTACATATGGCATTTTTTCGCTGGGAGATACTGGTCACGAGACTGTCTCCTCGGAAATCTCGCTTCATACATTGTTCGAGCATGAGTTGAGTATAGGGATTCACGAACCGTCCTCTGTTGCTGCGAAAGAGAAGATGTGCCAATTCAGCCCATCAGCCTCACACCTGTATATTGGATGGGGAGCATCATTTTTCTGCTACGATTTATCGAGATTGATACCTGTGGAGGTCGCTCGCCTACACACTGGAGCTACGGGAAGCCACCAAGTCATGGCCATCTCACCTGCCTTTGCAATATGCTCGTCTCAAGATTCCTTCCGTCTTTACGATCTCAAGTACCAGTCAATCCAGGCAAGCATTGACACGAGGAATACCAATCTGAAGAGGAAACGGATGCGAATGGCGTCCGAGTTCCAAAGCGGTCCTGTGGAATTCGTGGCATTCTTTGCCAATTCGTCACGCATTATTGGAAGACGAGGGCACCAGCTCCTCGCGATTGACGTCAGCTTGAACGGCCACTCAAAACGAATGTTGCACGTGGGCAGCAACCTTCTCCATAACATCGGACGGGGAATCGGCGATCAAGATACGGCACCTGCCTCCAAAAGCCTTCTGGAGGGATTAGCGATTGGTACGCAAGAGGCGAAAGCAGTTCCCGACACGCAATGGCAACATACTCGGAAGAGGCTAGATCAACTGGCACAAACCGGCGATGTGGCTGGTTTCGAAGATACCTTTGTCGAAAGTGTCCGTCGTGACTTCTTGAACTCCACCGCACAGTTGAAGATGGTGGACGGCTTGCCTTCGAGTGGCATAGCCATTTCACATTCCAAGATCAACTATCTACTCTCGAAACTGTTCCAGTCAGTCGCGGATGTGTCCGACCAGGGGGATATTTCCACGGGTGCAACGAAGAGCTTGAAGGTCCAGATACCGTCCTTCAGATTGTTGATTTGGCTCTCCAACCTAGGCTTGCTCTCCATCCGTAGCATTCAGCGGGCAGGTGCCGACTTTGCTGGACTCGACGAGTCGCTTGCGGTCAACGCGGTTGTACGAGCATTACTGGCTGTGGATCCTGATAAAGGTCTTCTTGTTGAATGTCTGGAAGGCGGGTTCAGTCCTTACGTGGAGGAGCAAGCAGCAATTGTCCAGGTTCTCGTTGATCAAGCGCTCGCCCTTTTCTCGGGAGCGGACCTTCCAAGCAAAGACCGCGTCCCGGCGGAGACAGAGCTTGGTGAGGGTTTCAACCTGGCAGCAGATCTACAAGTTCAGAAATCCTCCGCTTCGAAACCGAATGGCACATGGCTGCCATCCCAACTGCACCGAGCGCTCGTTCTCGCGTTGGACAGATTCGGTACCGCGGCAACTTCGCGCATCTTAAAATGCTTGCGCGACATGTTTACTCAAACAGAGGTGTTGGCAGTGATTCAGATTCTACGTCAGCAACTCTTCCAAGGCGGCCACACCCGGTCATACCAAAGCCAATCCAACGCCGGCATCGAAGAGACGGAGCGGGCATCGACCGTCAAGCTTGACGCTGTCATAAGGTTATTGTCTAGCTGCATTGATGCCATAGGGCCGCTTGGCTTTCATGGAGACATAGATCATGCAGATCATGCAGACTTTGTCGGGAATATTGTTCCTGATCTGGTGACCGAGATAACCCATGCACAACAAAGCTTGGAGGACGTGACGGACCTCCAGGGAATCGTCCGCGAGGCTCTGAGGTACCAGGAGTCCCTTCAGAAATACCGGGATGCAGGCGCTCGACTTCCGAATGACAGGCGGCGAGGTGGCACCGAACAGTCGGCCGGAACGATAGTGACCTTGTATTCGGAGACCACCGAAGGACGAGACGGACTGCGGAACGGGGATGGGCTTCCTTTGAGCATGCGGGCTGAGCGTGTGATCATCCCCTTGAAGATCAGGAAAGGCGGAGGGCAGGTTTCTAAGCGGAGTGCCAGGGAGATGAACATGTTAGAGCGGAAGCAGAAAGGGCAGTATTCCTTTGAGCGCTTAGTCTTGTAATAGGATAAGCATTGTGACAGGATCAGGCTTCCTTCCCCTTTCTGCCTATGCTCAAAGCATCTCGAATGGACTTTACTTTGTTGGTGCGCATTTCCGTAGTTAATCGGAGTCCATACTCGATCGGAAAGAAGCGAGAGGTTTGTTGTGACGGACGAAATGGGTCAAGTCGTAGTAGTAGTGTTTGCACATAGCCGTTGATAGCGAAATCGGCCGAGAAGCACCACAGTCGTCTGACGAAAAGATCATTTTTAAGAGGAAACATCAAAGTTGGGGAACGAGCATGCTAATGGGCGATGATTTTGCGGAGAATAGGGTATGTCAGACACTCGACTTGGATCGTCTGGTGGCCTTGTCGGGCGCCGCTAGACTGGTCAAACCATACCAAACGCCGATCAACGAGTTCGACGCTGCCTCTCCCACTTCAATCCCTTTTATCAACTTTCAATCTTTCGTTATACCTCATAGAGTTTGGATAAACTGATCGTGTGCTGTTTCTATCAGTTCGCAACACAATGCGGCGAAGTCTATCTCGGTAACAGCCTACTATTGTCCACGACCCACCACGAATAGCCCCCTTCCTCCCTGCGCCTTTACACTAGTCAAGTCGTGTATACGAATCCTCCAACTTGTCCACCCTGGGCTTAAGAGCCTCCCTCCCGTTTCACACGGTATCGATCCATCCACGGACCGGCCGAATCCGCGTTGAAGCGAAGCGTGGGCTTTGTTAGCAGCAAAGCTGTCCGTCGTGGTCCGCAGCTAGGCTCGTTCCTTTTGTGTAGGACCACGACAGGACAATAACAACAACAAGCGCCGCGTGCCAACTAAGCCGCTACAAATATGGCATTTCCCAGCGGGCCTACGTATCACGCCGACTCCGATGCCGACGATGAGTATGAGCGAAGCGTGATGACATCTCCAACACAGTTGCATACCGACTCGGAAACTTCATCGGAGCCTACGTCCAATGAACACACCCCTACCACATACGATATCTCTGGAGAAGATCCAGACCTGCCTCGGACCATAATAACGGAATGGACGCCGGAAGAGTGCGCACAATTTGTATCAAGCCTGAATTTGCGGCAGTATTGCCAGGCCTTCGTTGGTAAGACGTCGATCATGACAGGGAAGCGGACTTGGGCTGACTAGCTTTCAGACCATGGCATTGATGGTGAAGCGCTGGTGGCGCTGAAGCACGACGAACTAAAAGAGATGGGCATAGCAAGCGTGGGACACAGACTCACGATTCTGAAAAACGTGTACGACCTGAAGGTCCGGCAGGATGTTCCTGTTGAGCCTGATGACTATATCCCTCCAAGTAAGGCACTTTCGGTCGGAGATATTTGTGCAGGCCTGACCAAACAAAAATAGCTGCTGAACAGAACCCTCAACATGAGATGGCCACTAAAGAGGATATCGCGCGGATAGCAAGATCAATTATCCGGCTACGGGACGAGCGGATTGCGCAGGCAGAAGCTCAGTTGACCAGGCTGGCGGATGACTACCGCAAACTTCGACAAGAACTACTCCCAGTGTTCAAAATGGCCAAGGAAAGGTCTGAACCTCTTCCATATGCGCCTTTCCAGAGTGCCACGATCAGCCCGGAGTTCTACCAACAGGACGTTGTTTCGCCTCCAATCACCACACAGCCGATACAGGAGAAGACCAGTCTCACCCGTACATTCTCAAAGAAACTGGGTCTGAGTTCGACACCAAAGAACAACTCTCCCACGCATATACCGAGCACAATTCATGAGGGTAGGACTCTCGCCGATAACACCTCACTGGACCCTTCAGCAGCTGCTAGCCTGGCGTCAAATTCACTAACCGCGTCAATGTCAGGTGGCTTGTTCCCGCATCCTTCACCTGGAGTACCATCGCCGACCTCCCCGCTACCATATCAACACCAACCTCTTGCGCCCCGCTCGTACCAAAGAGAGGGTAGCAGCGGCATCGCGAGGTATGATGGCGCTGATGACACTTTGCGAAACACTCATTTTACGACCGACCGCGACCCTCCAACATCCGCCAAATCCGTCTCTGCTAAATTGAATCCCTCCAACTCCATCATATCGAACGCGTCCACACTGGTACCTCCACGAGAGCAAACTGCCTCGGTACCAGCGCAGCTTCCATCCAGCGCCGCTGGCGGACATACCCCTGGTGAAGCCCCATCTGTCGAGATTTTCAAATCTTTTCGTGTTAGTCTGGACGATCCATGCTATAAAGTGCTTCCAGCGGCTCTGCGAAAATACAACATCCAAGCTGACTGGCGACAATATGCACTCTATATTGTCTATGGCGATCAAGAACGTTGCGTAGGTCTCGACGAGAAGCCATTGGCGCTCTTCAAGGATCTGGATCGCGAAGGCAAGAAGCCCATGTTCATGCTTCGAAAATTGGCCAACCCGATCGTCGATATGCCCAGTACCGCGGGTGGACTGAAACCGCCGGGCTTGGGCGCAGGGGGTGGAAGTCTTTCGAGTGCAGCCAGCGGGAGAACTATCCCGGCTCAAAATCTGCCGGGTGGTGTGCTCTAGGCCCGATCGAATCTATGGTCCGGGCCAGGCTGCGCACAATGATCACCTTGCCCAAGCGTCCGATGTGGATGCGATAGACACAAGTCTTTGTATGATGATCTTGTTTAGCGGAGGGCAGACACTTGTGCATTTGGGTCCCAGGTATCTTTGGGCAAGAAGCTTTGGTGTACCATGGGCGACACTGTACGAATGCCGAACCCCTTTAGACGATGAAACGAAAAGGACTGCTTGTGAGCATGTATTACTCCATTGATCTCAGCCAGCTTATGAGAATTAGGCCCCTGTGGACCTTAACGCCTGATGATCATGAAATGACTGGGTCCAGATTCATGATAGACCATGAGACCTATTGCGAGGTCACTCGTTGTTTTCACGCAGCATCCAGAATCCGAATTGCATTCTCAGTGAACCTGTGTCATCCGTAGAACGATCAACCATTCCCAATCTTGTAATGAATTGTCCAACCCAGATGTTCAACCAGACGCCGCTACAGTGCTGCTCAACTATGCTTCGATGCCCTTCGCTCTAGATGATTGGATGAGACAGTTGCAGATGTGTGCACCACCGTCTGTGATGCGTTGACTTTTGCCTTAATCACTGTCGTCGTCCACGGGTTCGACCGCGTCCTTGATCCTCTCCTTAAGGAAGTCGACCCCAATCTCAACAGTAGCCTCTGGTATCCTCACATCCGGTAGACCGTCAGGTCCTCCTGACCACTCCTTGCTAAGAGCGATCGCTCCATTGCCGTGAACACCGTTGGCCACCGGTGTGGTTGTGCCATTCGCCGTTCCTGTCTTGGATTTGCTGGCCGCCGCTGTTCCATTCGGCCCACCCTTCCCACTTCCTGGATTGTTATCTCCTTGCTGTTGAGACTTGGGGATCTTCGCTCGCCGAAGGACTTCGGACATCAACTCGGGGAATGTATCACACGTGCCGTTGCGGAGGAGTTCTAGGGACAAGGCGCGCACCCGATCCGTCCAGCCAGTGCGGGCGAGCGAGTCGGCCAGGACGGCACTGAGTTCTGAAATGCTGCCGGTCGCTCGGAGATGTGCAATTAGGGCTTGTGACGTCGCCGGTGGGAGCGTGGGGTTTGTGCTTGTCAGAGAGATCGGGACTGGGATGTTGATGGCGGTCGAAGAGGAAGAGCCGTTGGGCTGGGAGTTTGAGGTTGTCGTTGACATTTCGGCTGGGTATGTGGTGTTTAGTTTATTCGAGGCAGAAAATCGTATCTCAACACTTTCGGAAACAAAAACTCAGTTATTCAGGGGGGTTTCGTTTCGCAGACGTTTAAATTTGTTCACTGGATGCTGACAGTGGTTCAGCTGCCGCCAGCAGCGCTGATAGCGAGGAGTGAGTGAGTGTGAGGTTGGTGAGTTCGTTTCGACGCAGGGGTTGAACGCTTGAGGGAATCAGGGAACTCGGATGGTCTACCGCATATGCTCAGTGGTATACTAGGCCATACTCCGAAAGTTATGCAGGACTATTGCTTTCTCGCCATTGCCCGGTGTTGGAATGGTTTCTCCGCCGAGGATGGCAATGAAACTTTTTGGAGACGGCGAGTCGGAGTGGGACTAGGACTGGATCTCAGGGCGGCAGCGGAGCGGAGTTCCGCAACTGACGCTTAGTGTTAGGCACTGGAAGGCATGATAAGCATGTACACAGTCGTACAGTACAACGGATCTGGTGGCTGTACCTGGTACCTTATTAGTACCTCAGGTAGTAGTCTGGTGGGCTCATCCTGATGAATGATGAGGTTATATGCAAAACCACTATTTGATCCAAATTGTGCGTCATCATTATCGTTATGCTAGCATTACAAAGAGATAATAATGTACCTAAGGTACCTACTACTCTGCGTAGTAGGCATCAGTGTAGCTGCCACGCGGGATTGATATGGGATCCTTTGTATACTATTGCTACACAATGAGGCTTGTAAGAGAGCAATGCAGATGGAGGCTCAGCCTTGCCGCGTTGCCAACAGACAACAACTTACGTGGTGGCTATTCTTGAAAGAGAATAATTGTATCATTTTGAGGGTTCACTGGTAGTACAAGTGGCAGGCATCTATTGTTAGGCACCCAGTAAAATGATTGATGGCGAGCGCGTGAATCAGAATTGAGCTTTGTGGCAAGGTGCTAAGCGTGAAGTACCTGAGAAGCTTCGATCCGTTTCTCTTTACGGGCTCGTGTTTGCCGTCCACTGGCACTGGCACTGCACTGGCACTCAGGCGACAATGTGAAGACGTGGCGGCAGTTAGAGCGTCATTTGAAATCACCCGCCAAGCCGCCTCTCTCGCCATACTACTACTGGTAGCAGTATCTACTAGTACTACATCACTTGCGCTCTCACAGCTTCAACCTCCTTACCTTCCGCTATCTCTCACTTGTCATTACTCGTACAACTCGAGGTTCTTCGCTGATCTAAAGGTGTTGAAGACCTCTCTACTCGTGCCTTCAAACTATCGCTCTCATCTCAAGGTCAACGCTTGCTTGAGATCTCAACGTTGACGACAACAACAACCCGCTCTGAACAACCCAAGCCTATTCACTCTCATCTCAGATCATCTCCTTCGATAACAAGATGTCTGCGGAACCAGACCATACCCATCACAAGGGCAAGGTCAACCTAAAGTACGTGGAACGTCTCGGCAGCTTTTCAGATCGACTGCTAACACAAGCCACAGCGATGCCTCTGGTGCCGAGAAGAAAGAAGTGAGGATAACATGCTCGTCAAGAGTGGCAAGAATCTGAACTGACGATATCTACAGGAGCTTGACACCTCAACCGCCATCCTGAAGAAGAAAAAGAAGCCAAACTCGTTGATGTAAGTTGGAACACCATACACTGCGGATGAGCTGGGAGGCTGACACGAGAGCGCAGTGTAACGGACGCCACCAACGATGACAACTCCATCATTGCTCTTTCCAACAACACCATGGAAACCCTACAGCTCTTCAGAGGAGACACAGTGCTTGTGAAAGGAAAGAAGCGCAAGGACACTGTACTGATCGTGCTCGCTGATGACGACCTCGATGACGGAAACGCCCGTATCAACCGAGTGGTTCGCCACAACCTGAGGGTCAAACATGGCGATATCATCACAGTTCACCCGTGCCCCGACATCAAATACGTAAGTTATCCTCCGCCGAGTTCCACGATGATCCTTTCTAACACTTTCCACAGGCCAAGCGCATTGCTGTCCTCCCCATTGCCGATACAGTCGAAGGCCTCACTGGCTCTCTCTTTGACGTCTTCCTTGCTCCCTACTTCCGCGAAGCCTACCGACCAGTCCGCCAAGGCGACCTTTTCACAGTCCGAGCTAGTATGCGGCAAGTGGAATTCAAAGTAGTGGAGGTGGATCCGCCTGAATATGGCATTGTTGCACAAGATACCATTATCCACTGCGAGGGAGATCCGATCCAGCGCGAAGATGAAGAGGGCAACCTGAACGAGGTCGGATACGACGACATTGGTGGTTGCAGAAAGCAGATGGCTCAAATCCGAGAACTGGTTGAGTTGCCTCTGCGCCACCCTCAGTTGTTCAAGTCCATCGGTATCAAGCCTCCACGTGGTATTCTCATGTATGGACCGCCCGGTACAGGCAAGACCCTGATGGCCCGAGCCGTTGCGAACGAGACCGGTGCCTTCTTCTTCCTCATCAACGGACCCGAAATCATGTCCAAGATGGCTGGAGAGTCAGAGTCGAACCTACGAAAGGCGTTCGAGGAGGCCGAAAAGAACTCTCCTGCCATCATTTTCATTGATGAAATCGACTCAATCGCGCCCAAGCGAGAGAAGACGAATGGTGAAGTTGAACGACGTGTCGTTTCTCAGCTACTCACTCTCATGGACGGCATGAAAGCTCGTTCCAACGTTGTGGTTATGGCCGCCACCAACCGACCTAACTCCATCGACCCTGCTCTTCGACGCTTCGGTCGTTTCGATCGTGAAGTCGATATTGGTATTCCCGATCCAACCGGACGTCTCGAGATTCTTCAGATCCACACCAAGAACATGAAGTTGGGTGATGACGTTGATCTGGAGGCTATTGCCGCGGAGACACACGGTTATGTTGGTTCTGATATCGCATCTCTCTGCTCCGAAGCCGCTATGCAACAGATTCGCGAGAAGATGGATCTCATCGATCTTGATGAGGACACGATTGATGCCGAAGTGCTGGACTCACTAGGTGTCACGATGGAGAACTTCCGATATGCTCTAGGCGTGTCCAATCCTTCGGCCCTACGCGAGGTCGCCGTGGTCGAAGTTCCCAACGTTCGCTGGGACGACATTGGTGGTCTCGAAAACGTCAAGCGCGAGCTCATCGAATCCGTGCAGTACCCCGTTGAACACCCTGAGAAATTCCTCAAGTTCGGCCTTTCTCCGTCCCGAGGTGTTCTGTTCTACGGACCACCTGGAACTGGTAAGACTATGCTTGCAAAAGCAGTCGCCAACGAATGTGCAGCAAACTTCATCTCGGTCAAGGGTCCTGAGCTTCTCAGCATGTGGTTTGGTGAATCCGAGAGCAATATCAGAGATATCTTCGATAAAGCCAGAGCTGCCGCACCTTGCGTGGTCTTCCTTGATGAACTCGACTCTATTGCCAAATCTCGTGGTGGCTCGGTTGGTGACGCTGGTGGTGCATCGGACCGTGTTGTCAACCAGCTTCTTACTGAAATGGATGGCATGACTGCAAAGAAGAATGTGTTCGTCATTGGTGCCACCAACAGACCGGAGCAGCTTGACAACGCCCTTTGCCGACCTGGCCGTCTTGATACCCTGGTCTATGTGCCACTTCCCGACGAAGCATCTCGTGCGTCTATTCTCCGAGCTCAACTCCGGAAAACCCCTGTGGCTCCCGATGTGGATATCGACTTCATTGCTAGCAAAACCCATGGATTCTCCGGTGCCGATTTGGGCTTTGTGACCCAGCGTGCCGTTAAACTTGCAATCAAGGAGTCGATCGCTGCCGACATTGAACGCCAGAAAGAGCGTGAAGCTGCCGGCGAGGATGCCATGGAGGAAGATGATGTCGAAGACCCGGTTCCTTGCCTCACGAAGGCCCACTTTGAGGAGGCAATGAAGGTTGCTCGCCGGTCAGTCACTGACGTTGAGATCCGCCGGTACGAGGCATTCGCCCAGGCCATGAAGCAGAGCGGCGGCAGCGCATTCTTCAAATTCCCGACTGAAGAAGAGACTGCTAATGCTGCGAACGGAAATGGCTTCGGCGAGGCTGGCAATGATGACAGCTTGTACGACTAGGTGTTGGATTGAGGTGGAACGACTGACACAAGTCGGTCTGCTTGGATGGTGCACATAGTGCACAACAATAGCGGTCAACTGCATGGTCACGGCTAGGTGTACTGCGGGTAAGCAAGCCGCTTCCAAGACTTGCGGAGAGCTACAAGCACGGCATAGGGACTCAACGGAGAGGCTCGGAGCATCTCCAAAGGACTAACAGATTGCTGTATTTTACATCTTACTAGAGAACGAAGTCCCAGGCGGAATAGATTGAAGTTTGCTTGACAATCAGTACCGAACTGAATGTCCTTTCAAGTTCGAAGATAGTATTTTGTATTCAGTAGCTACTACGTAGAATCCTTGCTAATTGCCCATCAGGGATTTCTGAGTTGCAAACGTTGCCAGTTGCACAGAACACTTTATCAAGGTGCCCAGGCGAGGCTGGCATGGATGACGCAGTTGGGGGCGTTGTCAGAGTGTCAGCCAAAACTCGGAAACTCAAAGGTCATTGGCTTCTTACTAAGGTCCCGATGTTGCCGCGCCGCTCCTTTGCAATATATTAATTTCACCCTCGCCCATCATCACCTGCTAGTATTTGACCTTCCACGCAACTCGACACATCGGAGGCACGTCTACGCCTTATATTGTCACCTCGGGTTTTCCAATTCACCGGTTATACACATTGGGCGCCATGAGTATCTCTGCGCGCTTGCTGCGCCTGGCGCGGCCCAAGGTAAGAAAGACTTGAATCTATGGCTTCATGGCACTTCTCCTGACTTTGCACAGCGATTTCTCTATTCGTTAAACCTTTCAACCGGCGCCAGCTTGATAACTCTTTCCCTCCTTCTTAACAAGCTGGCCGGTCTATACGGAATCCTCGCTCTGCTCACCGGATATGAACTGTCTACGTTTCAGCTGAGCATGTACTGCTACTCCCTTGTCGCATTGGTCCTTACAGTCTACCTCGCGCCACACATCCGAAAACAGTCACCCCTCCAATGCCTTGCACTCGCTTGGTTCTATGTTCTCGACAGCATAATAAACGCGGCCTACACCGCCGCGTTCGCCGTGACATGGTTTCTGGTTCTAGCACAGCACGATGCTGGCCAGACAGAAAAGAAAGGACCGGGAGCATCCACCATGGACGAGGCCAGTGGCTTTACAGACCCAAAATACAATGTTAGCAGGGTGGAGGTTGTGGCTACACCCCAAACTGGGCTCACTGGTGGCCAAGATGCAGTTGCGGCAGGGGTCCCTGCCTCGAGCCCTGCAGGCAGCGGAAGCAATGGAGCACTGCAGCAGGCCGTCCTAGGGGCGGAGAACCTGAATAGCATCGGCATCATTATCACACTGTGGACCATCCGCGCGTACTTTTGTTTGATCATGCTCGCATTCGCCCGCATGGTCATCCGACAACACATCGCCGCACATGGCCTCAAGTCAAACTCCTACACATCTGCGTCACCCAGCTCTGACCTTGCGGAGAATCCGTTCTCCGAATCCAAACCTGATGGACGTGGTTGGGGTGGCAGACTGGGTAGGATCATGATCAGTATTGGACGCAGCTATTGGTTAGGAAGCGATGAGGACGACAGCTGGATGTATAACATGAAATTCCGCAAGAGCACCGAATTGGGAACCATGCTCAACAAGATCGAATCTGGACCAACGGAGAGAGAACGGCGAAGACGGTCAGGGACAGGTCCGCCCCTCCCAGCGACGGGAGCTGTGCCGGCGAAGAAAGGCGATGGATTGACGTTGCAAGTTCCGAGTCAAAATATTTAAGGAATTCCAGTGGAAGGGATGCCACTAGATGGCGACTGTGTCACATGGGGGTACAGCAAGACTGTCACTTATTTGCGAGCATTCTTGATATGGACTTGGCTTGCTGGGGCTATGGGTGTTCTATGGCGTTGGTGTACTATATCATGCAGGCCGCGACGGACTAAGTTTCAAGCATGAGTCGGAAAGGGTCTTCCTCATCTGTCTGGTAATATATATTAGGTAGCGAGAGCTAGTAAGGACATTGTTATCTCGGCTGAAGAAATTCATTCGTGGTCTCAACATCAGGAAACGAAAGGAAAGGGGCCCGACTACATGAGCCACTGGCGTCGTGCTTTACCCGCTCAGTTATATAGTTCCTAGCGTTGCAAGTCCGTTGCCGCTGTGTTGCTCATATGTCTACCTACCTAGGTACCTAAGGTAGGTAATATTGACCAGGCAACGGTCGCTTGAATTAATGGAGGCGGTAGAAAGGGGGCGGAAACCCGTCTCTGAACATGAGAGTTCCGTCGTCTGACATGAATTTTTCTATGGACGATGCTGCCAATTCTGCGCGTCAGACAGACATATATGACTTTCTTAACCACGGCCGGATTATTTCCTGTAGTACTACGTACCTACCTGACGCTTCTTAATAGAACTCCAACTCGATTGAGTGCAAAGACCGATGCTGCCACAAAAGGCAGTGGCCGTGTCGGCACCTGGCAAAGTACTGTTCGCCGGCGGGTTTCTGGTTCTTGATCGCAGACATACAGGTCTTGTGTTCGGCCTCAACGCCCGGATCCATGTCCACATCGAGCCATGGCTGGATGTCCCGACCGCCCTGACGGAAACCACTATCCTCGTTCAGTCACCCCAGTTCCTCGACGCGAGATGGCTGTATGAAGTATCAGAAACGAGGAATGACGACCACGCGGTGGTCAACGTCAGACAGGTTCGGGACCACCCTGATTACACGCAAACCGCAAACAAATTCGTTGAGACGACACTCTTGTATACTCTCACATACCTAGCGCATGTGTCGAAAGAGATCGGGGCCAGCCTCAAAGTCACCATTCTTGCCGATGACGATTACTATTCTCAATCTACGGAGACCTCCAAACGTCCTACGGCGGTACAGTCGAACTTCACGCAGTTCGGGGTGAAGTTGACCGACGCCCATAAGACAGGACTGGGATCCTCAGCAGCGCTGGTCACGTCTCTTGTCTCTGCCCTGCTCGCGTTCCATGCGACTAGGTCCGGAGTCGAGTCTTCTTTAGAGCATCAGACCATCCACAACTTAGCACAGGCTGCTCATTGCGCTGCTCAAGGGAAAGTCGGGTCTGGATTCGATGTCGCTGCTGCCGTATATGGCTCTTGTCTCTACCGGAGATTCACCCCTACGATCCTGGAAGCGGTTGGAGAGCCCACGACACTTGGCTTTAGCGAACGACTGCACCGCTGCGTGGATGATCTCGAGATGGACCGGAAGTGGGATGTGGAGGTTGCGAGTCGGGCGGTACAGATACCGGAGAGCCTGCTCCTGGTTATGTGCGATGTTGATTGCGGCTCCGAGACACCTGGTATGGTGCGCAAGGTGCTTCAATGGCGCAAAGAACAAGCTGGACAGGCTGATCTGCTATGGAACGCTCTGCAGCAAGGGACCGACGAGCTCTGCCAGGAACTGCGGCGCCTGGCCCAGCATGAAGGAATTGAATCCGAGGAATTCAAGGGACTGGCTGATATCATCTCGACGGTTAGGAGTCTGGTGCGAGAGATGTCGACCAAGTCGGGAGTGCCTATCGAACCGCCGGTCATTACGGAGCTGCTTGATTACTGTACAGCCTTGCCTGGGGTGGTGGGAGGAGTTGCCCCGGGGGCTGGAGGATACGACGCCGTCGCACTACTGGTCAAGAATGATGGCGAGGCCGTCCAAGCGCTTCAGCAGCGTCTGGGCGGATGGAAGAGTCACAGTGATACTGGAGCCACGATCGGGCATGTGAAGTTGTTGGGTGTTAAGCAGGAAAAGGAGGGTGTTAGGTTGGAAGACGTCGGCAGTTATGCGGGATGGGTGTGAGCGAATATCAACAAGTACGGCGAATCCTTCCGAGAAGCAAATATTTCAGATGATGTGCGCGCTTCGACCGGTGTAGTCTGTCGAAGCTGGTGGCGAAGGTATCTATACGGACAGGCTCTGGGGTTCTGTATTGATGTGCAAGCCTCGAGTACGGGATGTTCTCGACCTCAGTTTACCTAAGTTTGCTGTAGTTTGAGGGAGGCAGAGCGCGACACCCAGTGAAGGTCCGAGAAGTGGCGGTGATACGTTGCCAAAATGTAGGGAGGGATCCTTTTGTTCAGGTACGGTTGTTGCTTGGATGAAGTGTCGGCAGATCCTTGAACCTTGCCACCAGTTGAGTACATGGAGGTACCTTACCTGGCAAGCCTATAAGGTAGGTAGGTACCATGGGTTCCTGAGGTGTCGCCAAAGGCCTCCCTAGGCTAGGGAGCCTAATAATGAGCCTCTCTAACCCTCTGCCATGGGACTGTACGTGCAGAGTTAGGGAGGATGTGTCCCTGGAACACCCCCTAGCTTATTAGATACTGTAGGTGATAACATGGGTTTGGGCACCTTAACTGGTGGGTTTGGCATTGTGATTTGGCAACTGCATGATTGTACCTGGGCGGCGCCCCAGAAAGCCGAACATTTGGGTATTGTCTCAGTGTGCTGTCCGCTCTCTACGCCTCCTACGCCCATCTACCATACCTGAAACGGCATTCCTAGGTACTGTAGGTCCAGACTCGCCCGCCCTACAGACACACCCCGGAATGCTCCCCGACATCCACCTCGGTGTGTTCCAATATCTCTCTTTCCGTAACCATCATATCACCACTCCGATACAGCGGCATCACAAATACTGACTGGTTTCCTTATGATCAGTTTGGATCTTATTATTCCCTACTTACACAGGTAGACAATCAAGCCACCTTACTCCGTGAACTTATCGATCGATTGACTGATCAATATCCTCCTTGACCCCTTTTCCTGCCCTTCAAACTACTACCTACTACTACTTGAGCCAGCCGCAAATGTACGTGCCACTGACCGGCACCTGCTACGACGCCAACAACTGATTAGTCGGGCGCATCAGACCGAACCTGCCACAGTCTCTCGCACCCTGCAGCCCATCCTTCCTCCATCATTCCATCAATCATCAATCATTCGATTCATCCATCACCCTCGTCCAACCCAACCATCCACCCTTCAGCTACCTCTTCATCCCTCCCTCCCCCTTAGCAGATCCTACTCCAGTCACTCCAATCGCAGTGCCAGGTGCGCTAGCAATCGGTCCCTTCAATCTCCAGTCTCCCAATACATACCGAAACCTCTTCGATATCCTGTTTATTTGGGAAAGTTAGCGGCGGTCCTCACCACTCGCCTCATGCTCAACTGTCTCGCGCATCTACTTTGTCTGGGCGAGCGTCTCTGCTGTTACTCGCCCGCCTGATCTCTCTTTGCGCCTTCTCGGAGCAATGAATTCGACCACTCCTGCCGGCCAACCCGATCAAGTGTCGGATGCTCGCTCCGCCGCTCAGGACATTCCCCAGCAACAGCCTCGTCCGCAGGAGGCTCTTCCGTCTCCTTCACCCGTTGAGATGTCTAGCCTTCCTCCGAACCCGCCGCCTTCCGATTCTCAACCATCCTCGTTGCCACCAGTCGGAGGGCCTGCCAGAACCGACACCAACACTGCAATCGATCAATCGATGAATCCTCCTCCTCCTCTTCCTGCGGTCGCCGAGCCCCAACCGGTAGCGAGAACATTTTCTACAGCCATTGGACCCTCGTCCGACTCTCCAGTAGTCCCCGCCAAAGATGGTGAAGCCACAGGGCCGGTTCTGACACTGACTCTGCTCCTGACCTCCGGAGCCCGACATCCATTTAGACTGGATGGCAGATATCTCACAAAGCGCAATGTCAATGTGGACGACAACGACCCCTTCAACTTGAGTGTCTATAATCTGAAGGAACTGATCCTGCGCGAATGGCGGGAAGAGTGGGAAGCCAAACCTAGCAGCCCCAACTATATTAGGTTAATCAGCATGGGCAAGCTGTTGGATGATAAGACATCACTGAAAGGTAAAGCACGTTCACAACTACCATTGTACAAATGAGGAAATGCTAATCACCCGCTTGCACGCAGACTATAAATTTGGCCCTGATCTGCCTAACGTACTTCACATGACCATCAAACCACAAGACTATATTGAGGAAGAGGACGCGAAAGGTGGCAAGGCCAGCTATACAAACCCTCGCGAATCCGAGAACAGAAGTCCTGGATGTCGTTGCGTGATTATGTGATCTGTTAGCCTTCTCGATGGAGCGAGATTTCTATGATCCAGACATGTTTCATCTGATGCGACGCACCTGAACTCACTTGGGAGCACACCTATACATGAACCACATATGGTGAAGGCTTCAGAACCCAAGTGCTATTTCTTTTCGAGCGCTTCTTTCTCGACTATATCATCCCAATTGTGCACCATTTGGCTCATGGCTTTGGTCGAGTCGCTTTTTCTTCGAACGGCGCGGCGTTGGTGGACGGATCAATATCGGCTTCAATGCTTCATTTGTATACTTCATTTGCTGAGGTGATACTCCTGAAACGGGCGCTGACCTGCGTTTGGTGGCGGAGATATCTTTCTTGTCAACGCCCCCCTTTTCGAACGAACGGCAGACCGCATTCTTTGCTTCGGTGTCGCTGGTAGATCGAAATGTATTTTGGCACAAAGTACGGGGCTTGCAGATGGAGACTGGTGAAGGCAAAGGGGATAAGTTTGCATGTGTGAAGAGCAGTCGGGGGACCACAGTCAGAAATGAAAACCCACGCAAGTGAGTGAATCGCATCGGTGTGGTCGCTCGGTGCAGCTGAGTCTGCTATCTATAATGCTCAGGCATCCCCATCAGAGGTGGGCTGGTCCTCGAAGCAAAAGTAAGAAAGGGATTGATATGGCCGCGTACTTGACAGGGCGTTGACTAGCGAGAGAGAACGATAGTGGACAGCGAAGAGGGTAGGATCACAAGGCGTACATAACTGGCTGGAATTTGATATACTTCTCCTTCCCATTCGCATCCTCAGATATATACACGTTTGGAACGTCGAAGAAATGAGTGGAGGTTAGTTTTCTTGTATGCGCAGCGTCTCCTTGTGGCCTCGGGGTTTGTAAGTTTTGATCTATTGTCGTCTACTTTTTCTCAGCTTCGTGATGTTAGATGAACATACACGTGTACACAATGCTCATGCTTGCGTCACTATCTCCTGACCTACGTTCGACCAAGTAGGTCCCTTCCCGTCGCCTTGTGGATATGGGTGGTAAACAGAGCAGGGAAGTGTGCTGTTGGTTTTGAAAACTAAACCTTGAGCCTTGGACTTGATTCTGGCTCCCGATCCTCTTGGCTTCACAGTCAATGCTCTACCAGTATGCCTCGTAATAGTACACCACCACACGCCATTATCTGATCTTCTCAGGACCCTGGATACCTAGGCTCGTTCTCATGGTATGGCCAGCCCATGCTCGTGGTTCATGGACGCCGCTTGCTGAAACCCAGTACCCCCTTCGCACGGCCAGCTCATTTTCCCTGACTGTATCCTTCAGCAGCGCTCTACCATTTGCCCATGCCCAATTTTCGCTCCATCTCATCGGTCCAGCCCACGCCCTGCCCGTCTCCGCCACCCGACAGCCCCAGCCTCAACCCATCTTGACCCTGATACACATCTTCCCAAGTGACCTCGGCATCGCGGTTCGTCAAGATCTCCTCGTGCAGTCGACCCGGGGCACCCAGTACGGTGGGCCGGAACGAGTCGGCATCGCGCACCATCTTCAGCTCCATCCCCCGCCGCAGTGGCTCGGCAATGCCGAAGTTGCGTCTTAACAGATTCATCCGGGTCGTCTCTTGCGTGGCAGTCCATTGCGCGAGGCGGGCTTCCAGGGGATGTGTCGAGGTGATCTTACTGGTGGTGCTGGTGCTGTCGTCCGAGCTGAGTAGTGATGATCGTAGAGTATCGTGGACACCTGGAGCGGAGGGGGCGCCGCGGTCGAGCGTGTCTTGGCTCTTCGGACCGAGTTTGCTGGCGCTCGTGTTGGTTGTGCTTTTCGGGTGTGAGGAAGGAGGGGCGACACGGAGAGCCTGGAAAGAGAGCAAGGGATGATTAGATTGGGGGGTTCAGTCGTATAGAGAGAAACGGGGGGGAGATCAATGAGGAGTATATGAGAAGCGAAGTAAGACGTGGGCAGAATCAAGGGGTATGCAAGCGTACCATGATTGATTGTGGAATGATATTGCAGAATATGTATTGAGGATGAGGTCGAGGTTGAATCGGGCTGAAGCCTTGACGGCGTCGATTGTCAAGACTGTAACACGGATTGCGAGCTCAATCAAGATTCAGGAGAGGGGGAATTTCTGTACTCTTGAAGACGGCAGTATCGGGAGTATTGTTGAATCGAGAGGTGGTTTGTCCGATGCTGCAGCAAGTTGTAAGACTGCAGTTGGTAGTCGATGTGACTTCTTCCCAGGCACATGAGGTGGCGCGTCTCTCCGGTCCAAAAATACATATCTGGAGATATACTCCGCTCTATATGTTCAATTACTACGGTGAAGTATTAAATGCGCCATGCTCCTAGACAGTAACCGTGCCACAGGGTGCACGGTTACGCGAAGTAGGCCTTTTGGATGAATCTCGAGATATAACATGTCCTGTGTTCAGATCTGCCTGGCGTCCTACAAGAGTCTATCTTATAGCTGAACGCGATGAGCCACTGTCGTATAATGGGCCAAGAACATCCATGATAGTGCCTTTCCTGCAAGATGTTTGGAGTAGTGGTGCTCTCCCAAGCGAGATAATTGACCATGCCTCAATGGTTGCTTGCTGTACATCTGTATTCACAGTTCCTAGGTGCTTCGAGTAATGGCCGCGTTCGGTCAGAAGCGCACGACGTCCCCCGTGTTGCAGCTGATTTCGTGCAGCTCTCGTTGACCCGTCACTTCGATGCTTCAGTACTCTTCGTTGCTACACTTCGTGTTTTCAGTGTCCCCGAGTGGTTGCTTCTTGGGCACAGAATGTCCTTGGACGTCGACCGGTAGTATTGCATTCGTTGAGTGCTGGGCTGGTAGCCCCTTCGGCGCATAGCAATCGGCACATCGTGAGCAACCACTTATGGAACACCAAATTGAGCCGCGTGATGCCACCCTCATGCCTCAAGAGAACATTGATATCCGAAGCCCGAGCAGGCGGTCGCATCCAAGACTGTTCTTCTCCTTCCGGCGCAATGCAAACTGGGTTCAAGCGAACACTGTGGTGACTACCCCAAGTCGACCTCGAGTACCGTGGCCATTCGGCGTTGAAAGCTGTAGCCTTGTGGTCACACTTGCCACTCCCTCAGGTATCTTGTGTCTTGATCACCAGGTGATCTCGATGAGTGCGAGGGCTAAGGCTTTGCTGCTTGTAGAGAACACCACATCGTCGAACAACTCGAAGGACCATGTAAGCGAATATTGCTGTACCTCCCATACATGAGAAGATGATATTCTCCACAGTGAAGGCCTGATCGTAAACTTGGGCTCCAGCTAGCAGCCGAGATATCTTTCTTCAATCCATCGCTTTTCATTGTCCTCCACGACATCTGCAGTGACGACCTTGATCTTGGGAAAGACGGTCATCAGTCTCTTCAAGCCACGTTTGCCTGCGAGACAAGTGACGAAGACAATTCTGCTCTCAGCGACACCATGGTCGACAAGAACCTTGACAGCCATCAAAGCGGCGCCGCCGTTGGGCATCTGCGGATCCAACAGCATGACCGTTTCATGCTTGTCCAGGTCTGGGAAAAGTTTCAGATAATGTAACTCGGGTTCTCCAGTACGATAATTAGATTGTATCAGAAGTCGACCAGTTAGGCAATCGGGAATCGTCCTCTTTAAACCTGTCTCCATGCAGCTTCCTCCCCGAAGGATGACGACGGCAGAAATTTTACCGGCGGATTTCAGACCAGAGTATCTGTAACCTTGGGGAGTGATAACATCAGTAGAGACGTGGTTGTGGCAGTCCAGAGCCTTTTCGACCAATAGGGCAGTCAGTCGGTCGAAGTAGAAAATGAAATCGACTTGCGCAGTTGACGGATCTCGCAAAATCGTCGCAACCCCGGTTATTTGGGGCTTTCCGGCAAGAATGATGGCATTTTCCGAGAGAGTGTAATCCTCCAGCTGTTGGCCCAGCCTCTCCAATTCTGCCTTGTGCCTGATGGACTTTTCCTTGAGGATCTGCCGTGTCTGGTTGACGATCATTTGGATTGCCATTATATTGTGCATTCCTCGAGGCACAATGAGGTCGGCAGCTTGCTTCTGTGGTTCCACATAGAGCTGAAAGACAGGCTTGACATAGGCAAACCACTGCTTAATGGTGCCCTCGATTGTTCGGCCACGCTCGCGAACATCACGAACAATTCTCCTCGATAAACAGACATCCGCATCTGCCTCCACAAAGATCTTCATATCGAGCATTTTCAGAATTCTGGGATCATGCAAAGCGAGGATACCTTCGAGGATGATGACGTGCGGCGAGTAAATGGAGATGGTCTTGTCTAGCCTTTGATGTTCTTGAAACGAATAGATGGGAATATCGGTTCTTTTCCCTTGTTTCAGCTCTTGCAGCTTCTCGACGAGCAGGTCGAAATCTATCGAGTTTGGAGAGTCGAGATCGTACTCGTTCCGGTGGGCCGCGGCATTTTGCTCCGGGGTCAAGGACTTATAAAAGGAGTCGATCGACAGAATGATGACCCATGGCAAGTTAAGGGACTGTACAATCTCGACAGCTAGACTCGTCTTGCCGGATCCGGAAGATCCTGCTATCCCAATGATACTCAAATCGGCCCACGGTGGAGAATAGTGCGCTGTTTGCGTATCTGAGATGTCTGCATCACCCGGGACGTTTGTTGCTTTCTGGCCCGAGGCGACTGAAGAAGAGCTCTTTGGAGCGCTGGTCTCGGACATGGTTTCGCGTTGCTCCTGCCAAAGTACCTCCACAACATGCAGTTTTCCCGTGTTACAGACGGGGCTGTCCAATATATTGTCGGCAACTCAAGAGCAATATTCTGATGGTAGTGCGAACTCGCGTCGTTGCCGTAGAAGTGACTTGTTTTATCGTGCCACGGATCAAGTGCCACAACTCCCCTATGATATATCAGTTCTATGATTCTCGGAGATCCTGGCTGTCTCTCATCTTCGATCCTCCCGTGCACACGTTGGTGGTATAGAATATATCGTGTAGAGGAGTGTTGAAGTACAGTGGTCGTCAATGGTGGAGAATTGGCTCGGAGCGGAGAAATGATATTCCTTAAACCACGGCGGAAAATCTTCGGGCGATTGGAACTTCGTCCTCGAACCTTTGGGAAGTCGGTGCTTCTCAATTTGACCCCATATCTCTCCAACTCGATGGATCTGGATAACCTGTCCTCGAATTGGAAGAGGTTGCAGTCTACCCTCAAGGCCTCCGAACAGAGCCAGCCCTCGCCGAAACTCCCGACCGAAAATGGCGTGAAACGGAAACGTGAACGTCAACCCAAGATTTCCAGGCCTTCTGCGCTGGTCCCGAACCCTAGAAAGAGGCTGCGTATCGAGAGGAACATGGCTCAGGCTAGCCACTCTGCAACAAGAACAAATACCATAGAAGCGGTGGAGGCTTCGGACGCTGGCCCACGCCCTAGAGTGCCGGATCGGGAAACAACGGAGAGTGTGAATGCTGGGTTGTCCAGTTCGTGGGTTCATTCCGTTCTTCATTTTCCTGGCTTTCGCTGATCGCCTCACAGCGTTGAACTGGGTAAATATGTTGCCATTGACTGCGAGATGGTTGGCGTAGGACCTAACCCAGACCGGGAATCTGCGCTGGCGCGCGTCAGTATCGTCAACTACAATGGCGATCAGGTCTACGACTCTTATGTCATCCCGGTCGAGACTGTCACAGACTGGAGAACGCATGTCAGTGGGATTGCTCCGAAACACATGAAGTTCGCCCGAACACTGAAGGAGGTTCGAGCAGAGGTGGAAGGGATTCTAAGAGACAGAATCATCATCGGCCATGCGATTCGACACGATCTTGAAGCGCTTATGATAACCCATCCGAAAAGAGATATCCGAGACACAGCTCGACACCCACCTTACCGGAAATTGGCCGGCGGTAGTTCTCCCAGATTGAAGATCCTTGCGTCAGAGTTGCTGGGACTTGAGATACAGGAAGGAGAACATTCAAGCGTCGAAGATGCCCGGGCGTGCATGCTGCTCTTCCGACGGGACAAGGCTGCTTTCGAACGGGAACATGCAAAGAGATGGCCTTCACGACCTACCACCGAGACACACGAGACCGCTGACGGCACAGGGAAGCCGCGGAAGCCAAACAAAAAGAAGAAAAAGAAACGATGATGCTGCAACTGGCGTCCAAATCGTGTGATTAAGAATTCATTGTGCTCTCTAACCACCCAGTGGGAGCATTACCCGGGTTTGTCTCCCAACACTTCCATGGCTCCATGCCTTACGACGGCCATCGCCTTACCATTCAACGTTTCTCGTGTTGAAGACCTCGGCTTCATGAAGTGTGGAAGATTTTATGAATTGCGCCTAGGCGTATTGTCAAACTCGTGGCATGTGTCCACCCTATCTTCCAATTCCTCGAAGACAAGGCGATATTACCTTCGTTCAATCAACGAAGCTCCGCATATCCGAGCTTTCCAATGTCTCCAGCCTCTTGCGCCTAGTTTCTAGCGTTACCCCATAACACCTGTTTCAAGACAGCCGACCACCCAAGTTTATTCATGAGTCTGAGCCATGGGTAGAACGTGGGTCATGATGGCGGCTACTTCAAGGACATGTGGAGCGAGGCCTGCTTCATGAGGTGCGGGATATAGATGGTCTCGCAGAGTCGGGATTTCAAGGTTCAACACCAGTGTCAGACTTGTTCAGCTTGAGGTTACATCCGATCAACAGAGAGGCCCTGACAGACACCTGTCGCCATTGCGTAGGAACTGGGACACTCTATCAGGGCAGACAATATCAAAGTAGAGCGAGCAAAGAGACAGTATTTAGAGAGCTCCATGGAGTAATATACTTCTGGTTGCGTTAGCAATATCATGGAATGGCACAGTATGAACTCCCGAGACTCAAAATCTCACTCGTTGAGGAAAATTGGCAGAAGTCCTGGAGTAGTACGTGATACCCCCTGCCACAGCCAGCCTTGTCATTTTGTATATCCGCCAGTGTGGAACCGGCCATTTCAGATCCGATCCAATGCGCGCTCACTGCACCATAATCTTTGGCGCGTCGCGTTGACGTGTGATGCAGGGACGCGTCGAGCCGCATTTGCAATATCGAATCTCTTGCGAAACTACCTAAGGTACACAGCACATCCACCCGGAACGTATTTGAACCGACGTTTTTATAACTTTGCCCCTCTGGCCATTACCTGTATTTCGACAGGATCATGCTCTCCCTGCAACCATCTGCAAATCCTTCGGACAGATGTACCGCCAACGTCTTGCCATGCCGCATCCATCATGACGGGCCGACCAAGGTGACCAAAAGATACTGGGCTCCACAAGCCGAGAAAGGTCTTAGGAACTGTCCACTCTATCCGTACTGATTCAGAGTACTAATACAAACCTGCTAGATGGCACGCAGACTTCATATTTTCGGGGTCGAAAGCTGCGAGGGAGAGTTATACAGTTGCCGGCCGCTTATCGGGGTATGCCCCTCGACATGACTACAAAGAAGAGAACTGACGTCGGTGCAGGCATTGTCGCGAAATCTACCGATCAATACTTGAGACGGCCCATCAAAGATCCGTCGCGCCCGGCCTATACTCCTGTGGACGAGGATATTGAGATACTGGAGGAAGAAGATGAGCCGCCCGAGCCGGTCAAGATACTCGAAACGCTATCCTCCTTCGATGAAGTGGTGGTATGGGGCCACGACCAGACCCCTGGACCAGAAGACTTGTTCGTGAAGGGGCTCGAGGAGTGGATAGGCTTTGCTGAAGCCATCCATGGCAAGCCTGAGGCTGAGATGCAACCATTGGGCGCCGACAATGAGGCTCGGAACGGGAGTTGAGATCTGCCTGCCACTCGAAGTCTGTAACGACGCTTGTGACAAACAATGGCGCCAACATCGGTATGCTCGAGGCTTGATCAGCACCGACCACGAGAATATCAGGTCCACCAAGCGCACCATCCGTCATACAAGCCGTTCAGCTGCTTCTCTATTACGATGCTTTGGAGGCGCCTGCATCTTGAGCCTTGATGAAGTCTTTCTTCGACTTGGTCCATTCCTGCTTGATCTGAAGATACTTTTCCGAGCTGGTACATCTTCGCCAATACCGTTTGAAGAGCTCGCTAGCTTCCTCCTTCTCCTTCCTCTTTCCATCGACGTCATCCTCGGTCCACTTCTCCAGCTGCTGGCCATCGTTGCCATACTTCCGACCTCCTTTATGGTTCGCGTACCGGCGGGCGCGAGTCATGCCCATTTGTATATATTTCCGCGTCATGTCCGCACCAACGAAGTCACCTCGTTCGACGTAGGACTCGAATATTGACCACAATGCTTTGGCAGATTTGTGTGCAATGGGAACAGTCCGAAATGCCCAGAATGGCAGGATGAGACTTTTGTATGGCTCAAAAGAGAGGACACCCATCTCGCCCCGGCCAATCTCATAAGAGAAGCACAACTTCTTGTCCTTCAACGCCGGTGCGTCTAAGGGCGGATTTGGTGGAACGAGGTCTTTTTCTGTTGCCTTGGGCATGGTGCCGATGGAGAGAGGGGCATGTTGTCTGACGGATTGAAATCTGCCAGTGTCATGGTTGAGCGTGGCAGGATATACCTGCTGGCTGGGAATGTTCAATCTGAGTGCTATGACGCGCTGACATGCCAAATTGAGATGGCTCTTGGCAGGTCCGTGTCGTGAATCAACAAACTTGAATCTGCAAAGCGCGGAAGGCATTCAGGTGTTGGCAACAAGGTTCACGTCGGAATACTACCAATAGAAAGCTGTGAAAGGAACGTTGGAAGTCACCAGAAGTGTTGGCTTCTGGGTACTTTGAACCGCGGGGACTTGCAGATAAACCTCACGACTTTATGATGGGGAACGCAACGCAGAATTGAATATCAGTGACAAAATAAACATATTTATATACCTAAACTTCGGTAGAAGTGTTGTCCAGGGACAACTGTGGCTACTTCTTGGGAGCAATCCCTCTGAGCCCGAGTCAATAAGTTGGAACGTACATTCGAACTGGCCGCTCAATGCTTGTCCTGAGTACATACTTTGTCGCTCTAGCCTTTCAAATGACGGTCTTTTTACAACTTCTCTCCGCACTGGCACACAACTGAAGTGTCCCTGTCAATCTCGGCCTTACTACTAGTAGTATACCTTATGGATCACTCGCCGTAAACGTGAATTAAGGTATGGATTTTGTGTGACCGAGGGTACCCTCCATCGCCTTTTCCGTTACACCTGATTTCCACTACTAGTACAGTCAATTGGCGACATTCTGCCCCGAGCGTTCAGCCGTCTAACAACACTGTCCGGCGTCCTGGAATCACCAACTAGAAACTGCTGATCCCGGTTCGCTGTGAGATTCATATTTTTATTGACTTTCTGTAGTTCCTAAACAGGAAGGCATGATGGCTTCTAAGCCGGAAAGCAAATCAGATGCCGAAGCCCTTGTCCCTCAATTCCAACTCGAGAAAGTGCTAAATCAAGGTAAGCATTTAATCCAACCTTTCCTTGTCTAACGTCCTATGCACGAGACTCCTCTTCCCGGACTTTTACTGACACCAACAGACCAGAATGGCCGGCGTATATCCCTTCTCGGGACTATCGCTGCTCAACCTGCACTCATCATCTTAGAGCGGGCGGCCTTCCCTACGGAGCCAACTTTGATCTCAAGCCTTCTGGCCTCGCTCACCGGCACCAAAAACCTAGGTGCCAACGATATCTACAGGTGGTACATGGCCAACCGGTCGATCACGACAACGACAGGGTCCTCAACACACGAGGCCTCGACCTCGGATTCACAATTGTCGGATCTGAAACTGAATTTGATCTACCCATGCACGCCGCAACACGTCCGAAAATACTCAGCGCAGCGCGTGCGCATGGTGACCGAGACCTCAGAAATTTACGCCACGCATATCAAGCCGTATGTAGCGCGCCAGCGAGCCGCCGGCCGCCTGGAATGGGTGTTTAACATCCTAGAAGGCCGCACGGAACAAGAAGATGTCATTGCGCGGTACGACTGGGACTCACCATCCGAATCAGGGTTTCTTCTCCTCCCTGATCTCAACTGGGACCGCAAGTCGGTCGAAGGCATGCATCTTCTCGCATTGGTGCAACGGCGCAACATTTGGTCATTGCGAGACCTCAAGAAAAAGCACATTCCGTGGCTCAAGAGTGTGCGTGACCAAGTCGTCCTGGCAGCGACTAAGGTCTTCGAGCCCGGGCAGGTCGAGCCCGATGAAATCAAATGCTACATTCATTATCAGCCGACTTATTATCATTTCCATATACACGCTGTGCACGTCATGCTTGAAGCTGGTACGACGCAGAGTGTAGGCAAAGCCTTTGGTCTGGGTAATATCATATCGCAGCTCGAGACAATGCACGGGGATGAAGAGGCAGGGATGGACACAGTCGATCTGTCGTACTTCCTAGGCGAAGAACACGAGTTGTGGAAAGGATGCTTTGGACGGCTGAAGAATAATGAGCCGATTAAGCTGAGATAGTCTCGGGGAATACCTACAGTCACAGCCAGATGTGATCACATTATTGGAGTACTTAAATTGTACGACGTTCGCCATCCCAATTCAAGTTGTCTGTAGTCAATGCGCCCAAGGCCGAGTGCCTCACCGTATTTGTAGTAGGCCGCCCAACCTCGGTAGATTTTACGACAGCGCAGCCTTCGATCACGTCGACGAACATGGAAACTGTCTGATCGGCGGCTGATTATCATCCTCGGGTGTTTGCGGTTTCGCGGTCGCATGCTGCGATCGCACTGCCCAGGGCGCATATTGCTAAAATGCGCTGATGTTTATGTGCGGTAATGCACCCCTAACATACTGAAGAAACACCACTGTCCCGACAATCATGGAGTATCTCCAGGTGCTTCAGTCGCCCGTGGATGACTTGAAGCCATCGCTCTTCGAATTGTTATCCGAGCAACAACTAGCAGCCCTGCTCCCACCGACGCTACGATATCTTCTAGCCCTTGCCACCCACCGACATCCTCGATATCTTCTTCGGATCCTGAACAACTTTGATGAAGTGTATGCACTGCTCAGCTTGGTGGTGGAGAGGTACTACCTGAAGACCTTTGGGGGCAGCTTCACGGAGAACTTCTATGGCCTTAAGAGAGAGAAGGTTTTGAGCGTCAATGGCGGTGAGATCAAAAGGACGCAATTGGCAGTGCCCACAGAAGTTCGCGAACGATTGAAGCTGGGCGGTCGAGATATCTGGAAGAACTTGGCTGTTCTCGTCGGCATACCTTATCTCAAGAGAAAGCTGGATGAGAGCTATGACATACACATTGCGCCGAGCGCAAGTTTACTCATAGGTGGCGGCTTGGGAGGGCGGCGGTACCTGGATCGAGACGCTCTTCCGCCCAACCCAACCGTCAAGCAAAGGCTGTTATACTACTATAAATGGTTCCTGCGGAATGTCTATCCAAGTCTGAACGCAGCATATTATTTCAGCATTCTGGCTTTCAGCTTGGGCTATCTGTTCGACGGCACCAAGTATTCGAATCCTTTCCTCTGGATGATCGGCACCAGGATCAGAAGAATGGGGTCGGCCGACTATGGAGCGATTGACGCTGCCAGGGAAGCAGCTGAAAAAGCCATTGCAGCCGCTGGAAGGCCTGGACAAGGCTTGAGCGGTCTTTTCAACCCACGCACCTTGTACCCTCGCCTGCTTTCCAGCCTGAGGATCCTTTTGCCGACTAGCATATTCGCCTTGAAGTTTCTGGAGTGGTGGCACGCCAGCGACTTTTCCCGTCAATTGACCAGGAAAGCCGCTGAAGGGTTGGAACTCCCACCGCCGGTTGTCTCGGGCATGGAACTGGTCCGCAGGCCCGTGTCAGAATCGCAAGTGGTGCCCGCCAAATCTCCCAACACTGCTGCAAAGAGAAGTCCACCAGTTTCGAGTATAACGTACCTACCCATTTTCACTGTTCCGCCGCCTCCATCCAGCGACCTATGTCCTATATGTCTCCATCCGGTATCCACTGCTGCCGCTTGTCAAACAGGATATGTTTTTGACTACAAGTGCATATTTCAGTGGATAGAGGGTACGCATGAACGGCAGGAAGCCTTCATGAAAGGCGAGAAGATGAGCGAATGGGATGAGGACGAGGATCAAGATCTGGAGCAGAAAAGAGACAATTCGACAAGTAAGGAGCCGAAGAGCCGTGAGGGAAGCTGGGAAAGTGGGAAGGGACGCTGCGCAGTCACTGGACGGCGAGTCCTCGGAGGCACAAGCGGGTTACGCAGAATCATGGTATAAAGAATTGAATCTCGCTGGATGGGACGGGTATCGTGCATACCCAAAACCGTAGCGGTCCGAGTCTGTTGATCGCGTGGGTTGCACTCCCCGAGGTCTGCAGAAGCGACCGCCTCTCGACGAGTCCATTCTTGAGCTCTGGACCACAACCGCTGCGAGCAGCACCTCTGGCCGCTGTCTGACCATCCCTGCTCGGCTCCGCCTAACAAGTACGCTGAAGCGGACCTCTCGGAGCGCGGATTCGGTCTTTCTGCATCCCTGAATCCTTTGCTGTTGGAAAGTTGTCCAGGTCGACGAGATTCCCGGTCAATGCTACTCACCATCTCGCCTTTTTACCACCCCGGGCTCTGTCCGAGCTGCCAGCAAGGTTAGCCAGTCCTCTGTGACCGCTGGTTTCTTTCCTATTCATTCGCGAGAATCAAATTCTAGGTGGGCCTTAATTAGACAACTCTCTGAATGGGGTCATGGGGAGATGTTCAAATGCTGTCGTGGCTGTTGGGATGCATGTGTTGAAATCAACGAGTCATCATGGGTCAAGCCAGTCACATTTCCATGTCCATACGGTCTAGGTCATAGTGCCCTTCGGGCATGCATACCGCCATCTTGTCCTTGGAAGAAGTAGCGTGAATATGTTTCCAGCCTCCTCCTTGAAGGCATCAAAGATTGCCTTCCAGGATCTCAGCACTCTAGCAGTACAGTGGGCGTGGGCTACCGATCCTCTCGCTGGGTGACAAGGGATGACGGTGCAGCATTCCTTTGCACGAAATCTTTAGGGGAGGTCCAGCCATAGTGTTTCGAGTGGTCTAGGATTCCCCAGTCGCATGAGACAACCATCGAATCGATCTGGTTTTTTCAGCCCTGATGGCAACCGACACCCCTTTGCAGTGCAGGAATTGGTGATCTGCCTGAACAAAGCGTAGGGCAGCGCGACCCATGTCCATATCCAGACAAGTGGAGTCTAGGCCCCACTGCCGACACCAGGTTGGCACTGCGGGCAGGACGTTTTTCCTCCGCCACCACGTTTCAAGTTCACGATGGACACTCTTGGCCTTTGTTGCCCTCCGCTCCTTTGGGATCTCAAGCTTGATTCTCCTCATCATACGCGTCTTTCAAGAGCGGACTTGCTCACGCTGAGGACTGCTCGTACAGCTGTGCACTCTCCGACGCTGTGCTGGTGAAGCTGCAATCCTGTACAGTATAGTATGCTGCTCTGGCCCCTCAGGACCTCAAGGTCAAACTACGTATCGTAGACCCCTGCTCGTCACGTTCAGCCTGAAACCAACATCCTCCCCCTACCGAGCAGGCAATCTCGATGGCGCCATGGCGACTCGGGTATCTTTCAAAGTCAGTGTTTGCGATCTGGCCTAGGACCAGAAACCCATGTCCTCCTTGACTCTTCCATTCTTGTCCACAAGTTCAGGAGAGCATGGCAGGCGGGTCAACTCAGTTTGTTACTGCCTTGAGGTCTCCATATTCTCCTATTCGTCCCCTGCAGTTGTTACATGGTTCTTGAGTCCTGTCTACAGGCCTGTTCAACATGAAACCCTTCAGTCAAGGTGGTCTGCCTGAGGCTGAGATTACCTTTTGCCTGGGATACGGACGAAGATGAAGAAATGATGGTATATATGACTTTTCTTTCTGCCTTGCATTGATCCATTTCTTTCCTTCATTCAGAGCATAGATCTCCCCAAAAGAATCCAAGCTGGTCTTTCGTTTAACAGGTCAATTGACCATTTCGTTCTTTGCCCAACCTTCGTTTCCAGGCCTTCATTGATTGAAGCCCGAGTTCTCACCACTCCTTTTGACGGACTCTTGCTTGCAGCACCTCTTATTCGTGTCATCGAAAGTCTCCTGACCAGTTTGCTGTCAATTTATACACTCCAACAACAAACAATGTCTCTGATCAAGTCCACCGCTCTTCTCGGCGCCCTCGCCCTCATATCCAAGGTCTCTGCACACGGTACCGTCCAGGGTATTGTTGCTGGTGGTGTATGGTATTCTGGTTACAGCCCCCTTTTTCAATATCAGTACCCACCACCGGTTGTTGCTGGCTGGTCGATACCCGAGGATATTAACAACGGTTTCGTCAGCGACTACACCAGCCCTGACATTATCTGCCACAAGGGTGCAACGCCAGGCGGCGCATATGTCTCTGTGGCTGCAGGGGATACCGTCGAGTTGCAATGGACCGTCTGGCCAGAATCGCACAAGGGTCCGATGCTCGACTACTTGGCTTCTTGCGGCGATGACTGTACCACAGTGGATAAAACCAAGCTGCTCTTCAACAAGATTGACGAATCAGGTCTCATTGATGGCAGCACTCCTCCTGGGCACTGGGCTTCGGATGATATGATCGCAAACAACAACTCATGGGTTGTCACCATCCCTTCCAGCATCGCACCGGGCAAATACGTCCTTCGTCATGAAACCATTGCTCTGCATGTAGCGAAAGATGTCAACAGCGCCCAGAACTACCCTCAATGCATCAATCTCGAAGTCACCGGTTCTGGCTCCAACTCTTTGAGCACTGGCACCTTGGGAACGGATCTGTATACCGCTCAGGACCCGGGCATCTTGATCAACATCTACCAGGTGCTGACATCCTACATCATCCCCGGTCCTCCATTGCTTGACGGCTCCTCCTCCGGCGCCCAGCCTTCGGTGTCCGCCTCTGCGACGGCCTCTGCGGCAGCCTCTTCGGCCGTCGACGCGATCAGTACCACCTCGTCCGCATCCGTCTCGTCCACTGCATTTTTCTCAAACAGCACCATGACGTCCACTGGTATCTCCATCACTGCCACTCCAAGCAAACCTGCCGCTGTCGTTACGCCCTCTGCTGTAGCGGGTGGATCGAGCGAAGCTGTCACCTCTGCTCCAGCACCTGAACCAACTGCTGTTGATAGCCCCGCGCCAGCCGAGACAGAGCCCGCCACCGTGGCGTCGTCTGCTTCTGCGTCCAGCGAGATTGCGGCTACGGGAACCAGTCCCGTTTCCTTTTCCAGCATTGTCACAGGTCGCATTGGCAAGCCCACTAAATTCATTTGCTACCTTGAAGAATAACCGAGTGATGGTCTTCCACATCGACAGGCCTGGGCCTCGATGCACCACACAGCATCCCTTCACTGTCGGGCGTCGCCGGAGTCTGGGTTATTAGTGGTGGATATATGTCCAAATGGACGAGGACATTCTGGCCTTGGAGCCTTGTATGGAAAATTCGACCGGGAGTCGACACGAAATCGCTGCTTGCCTCTTTCACTTTTCTGCCTTGCTCTTTCAAACCCAGCACACCTTTGTGGTGATGACATTCAATTCCCATGTGTATATACAGCATGTTATATCTCTTGGCTATTGTCTCCTGCGAGAAGACGATCCATGTATGACTATCACATTTGGGCAGTCAAAGAACTGTCTTTCCAGCCTACTTACTGAACCCCCGTAGTAATTGTGCTTAGTGGTCTTGACAACTTACCCACCTACCTACCTCCTTCCAAGGCCCCTTCAGCCGTGCCAAATGTACGCAGTATCAGCATCAATTTCAGTATGACTTACTATCCTCTTTGATACCACAGTTGCTAACCATAAGATATGTTTGCCCATGTCAAACGCAACCTGTCAGCCAGCTCAGCAGTCATCTATATATGACATTTGTGACCATGAAGAGATACTGCTATTGAATATACAATCTCCGAGGCCTTTACCAATCCAAAGCGAAGGGACTAGGGTACCTAGCCACTATGTACGTGTTCGAAGGTACGTCAAGGTGTCCTTTCCGAGACCCCTGGAGTGTAACTTGGCAGAAGTGGGTCGCATAAAAGAAACAATATTAATTCGCATACCACAAATTTCACTCTGAAATGCACCCCACGATTGGTGCATTCCAAACCCCCAAATATAGACACTATGGCCGAGTGGTTAAGGCGACAGACTCGAATCTCAGCAGCTTTGCTCTGCTGTCCACGTGATCTGTTGGGTTCGCCCGCACAGGTTCAAATCCTGTTGGTGTCGTTTTTTGTTTTTTTTGTGGTTCAAGATTGTTAATTCTTGTCTCAAAGAAGATGTAAAACTGTTTTTTGGGGAGGGCGTGAAATACTGGTAAGTTGTACGTGGTGGAAAACCTTGGTATTAAGGTGGGCTTTTAGGGAGATAAGCCAAGGCCGCTTCTTACGCGAAAGGAATAGGTATTTTTATTATGGATCAGGAACTGAGGTGACTCTTGCTCTGAACATTCCTTGTAGTATCCGGCATGACAGCAAGTGACCGGGGATGAAGGGAAAGAATGAAAAGATGATATTGGAACTTCCACAAGTGAAGAACCGCAGAAGTATTGCTTGCAACTACACTTTGGATTAAAAGTCTAGATACATAAAATGTCTCTTGCCAGATGACCATGATGGATTTGACTACTCAAAATGGAATGTGGCGGTGAGGATATTTACCGTTGGGTACTTAGTATATATATATCTGGGTCTATGTCTGAAAGTCCTTCGCCATTCATAAGGGACCGTTCATCGATTCTGTGCGATTGTCCCTTACGAATGGCGAAGGACGAAATCAACAGTCATTGGGCGGCCGACCAAGAAAGCCAGAGACATGTCTCTGAGACACCAGTAACATTCAGAGTCCGGGGAATACTGGCGGCAAAACTGGTGTCCAACCATCCGAGAAGGGTCGTTCCTGTCATCCTCCAGGAGGCATGCCTTTATCTGCTATAAATCCGAATTCTGAATCTTAGGATAGAAATGAATTCAACTGAAGTAGAATAAGCCAAAAGATGCAACTTTCAGAACGTGTGTTCCAAAGCACCAAGAGACTGTCTGAAATGAAGTCAGATCGTTCACAGTCGCTGCTGCGACGTACCACATAAATGCCATGCGGATACTTGCAACGTAGTAAGCGGAGTTGCTCACCGAGCATGGGTGGAGAGAAGTGAAATTGAAGAACAATACTGGATGGCAAAGGCAGCAGTACAGGTGGAAACTGCCCTGCGAGGATCTGTGAGCACGAGTGTGAAGTTTGACTTCGTATCAATTAGGCTCTGCGGCAAACACGCATCAATGTGTCATATTTTCGCCGAAACGGAAACCATCAACATGATGACATATAAATGCTGTACATGTCAAATCCCCCGTCGGCGTCAACGCCGTGATGGCGTGGAGAAGATGACATCGTCGGGCGCCTGCGCTACAGTCATGGTGGCCATGATCATCTTCCTGTTCGTCAGAAGAGCAATGGAGCCTGGGGTCCAAAGGTCAGCAACTGCTCTCGGACTGAACCCGGGTGAAGGAGGAGAGGAACCAAGGTAACACAACGTACTCTTGTCTATCTGCGCTGCACGGTGCAGAAGTATCCCATCTGTCCCTTGCGAGTGGCCTTGACCTGCTTTTGAACTGTGCAGAAATAGCCCATCTGCCCTCGGCAGGTGCGGGTTTGCTGGATGGATTGAGTCATGACTTGAAAGAGTGATTCAGTGTTTGGCTAGCTTCCGTTGTCTGGATTGCGACGGGATAATGGAACGAAGGGAGTTTCTGCTGAGTCAGGGTTAATGATAGTGTTAGTTTGTAGAAATGAAGGAAAGATCCGGCAGTCGAAGGGAGGTGCTAGTTATATATATACCGTAGTAGCGCTGCATATAGTCAGCATTGCATTAGTATCGGAGTTGAAAGACTTGGGACGGGTAATGGTGGTTGAAAGAAAGAAAAGAAGATGCAGGACAAAGGCAAGGGGTTCGACGATCATTCCGACAAGGCTGAGGCGCCCCTTAGTATTGTTCTTGCTTAATATTGTTCCTTGCGGCACAAAGCAGGCTAGCGACATTCTCGTTGCGAGCAGGAGTCAATGGACCTGACAGGGTTGATGTGGGCTTGCAATCGTCGAACACGCTGGCTAGGGCGTAACGAGGGAGCCTCTGGGGTTTCAATCTCGACACCGTACAAATCGGATGTGAAGTCACCAGCGGTGATGGCAAGCAGGATTAATTGTAGACTCTTCTTCCGCCAGGCTAGAACCTCGTATACGGTAACCACTTGCCCCGAAGTTTGATGTTCACCTGCATTTAATTAGCATCGAAATATATCGACCTCCCAAAACGGCGCTCGACTCACCCAGGTATTCCCATCTTTGTCCACCTCTTTCTCGACATGGGTGGAGAAAGAAATAGCACTCATGATCCCATCGCCAAACTTCTCGTTCAGTACAGCTTTGTACGCATAGCCGTAGTTTTGCACAATCTCGTACAGCCGATAAATCAAAGGCTCCCTGGGAGGCATCTCTATGCTCTTGCCGCGGTCCGGAAACCCGCTCATCTGTGACTCGAGAGTGCCATGGTCGATATCAAAATACTTTGCTAGGTTCTTGATGTCATCTGGAGACGCCTTTGCTTGTCCGTAAAACAAAGCAGCCACGGCAACCTCATCTCGACCAATTTCTTTCGCGATCGCCTCAAAGGTCACTTGTTTCTTCGCCTTAGCTTCGAACAACGTTGTGGAGGCGGTGCGCAGGTTGGGATGTTGCGATACCTGACCATGTTAGCTGTAGTCCTGCGGCTATGCAGATGGTAGTGGCATATACATCAAGAGTGGCCAGAGACATGTTGGAAGCAGGTCGGGTCAATCGCAGCGAAGTGTGAGGGTAACGTAAGATGTTCGGCGCTTTCGAGCTCAGAGCTGTGGTCGTGAGACATTGCAAGGGACGCAGACGTGCAGACATCTTTATAACACCGGAACGGTAATACAAATAGCCAAATCAAATATGCTGCCCGTAAAAGCACAAATGGAAATATGCCACTGCTTGGTGTCTCAGTATTTTGTTTGATCCTCGGAGATGGAGGAGTGCCAGTGGTGGGTGAGGTCTTGTCCCCGCATGTATTGAATCAGGGGCATCATGACGTATTTGGGGCAGACGAGCGGCAGCTCCCATCTGTCATCGAAGTCGCCTTTGACTCCGAGTCAAGCTCATCGCTACAGCTGCGTAGATGAGTCTGCAGGATGTGCCATTCTTGGAGATAGTCCATGTCGAGGATATGTACGCACCAATCCGACGCAGATGGCCTCCACGGACTGAGATGCTCAACGTCGTCCCGTGATACTACGTATTTGATTCCGGAGACATTTTGGCTATACTGCGGGTAAGAGCTTTCCCATCTCTATAAACTAACACAGTCCCTACTAGGTAGTACAGACTATATATTGAGCTCTGGCAGGCAGGCCCTTGAATTAGAGGGGTCTTTCAACCTAGTCATGGGCGGTGAATGGGGTGGGATCAGGGCTGAAGCAAATGAGGCGCAGCTCAATCCTTCCTGACCCAGACTTCGTGTTTGGTGCGCAGGATGCCTGGAGCCGTCAGGAGCCACCATGCAACTGCGACTGACGCGTCTAGCACTACAGGCTTACCCTGATGATGCTGCTGAGCTTCACCGACTTCCAATCATTCACCAAGGAGCCTCCAGCTGAAACATAAGACATGGTGAAACGTCCTCTTTCACAATCAATCACCATCATTCATGTAATATTCTTACTCCTTCATCAGCTCTGATCTGAGCGTTGCGGTTGATATTCATGCAATCTGTCTCCTCAGCAAGCCGCCTAGTTCCCCATACTCTCAGCAACGCGAGATGTCTTACCAGCGACCCTCGGACGAGGATGCACTTGCTTACGGAGACGACTACTCCCAATCCCGCGGCAGCAGACAAGAAGGAACAGAGAGATCGGTTCTCGGAGACACATTTCGAATGTTCAAGTCGGGATACGACAAGTACAAAACCCCTTCATCCCAGAACTATGGTTACAGTAGCTCCGGCACGTCCCAGCAATGCTACGGCCAGCCGACTCCCGCGACCGGCTACCCTCAACCAGGCCAGGCTGCGTACCCCGGAGGACCGCCGATGCAACAACCTGAAGGTAAACCTGACCTAGGTGCAAAGCTTTTGGGGACATTACACAACACCATCCACAGTATTGGGTCAGACATTGCCAACCTGCTTGGACCTGATGGAAAGCCTGCACGGTATTCCAACCAGCCGTCCGGACAGCAACCAGAGGGACCAAGTACCTATTCAGGCTATGCAAATGCCCCAACTTCTTCAGAGCAAGCCCATGGCCAGTATCGTTTCGACAGTTTCGCTTCAGAGAAACCCGGGAATGATGTCAAATGGTACGTCGATGGATGTGCATACTTCTGGGCTGTCAGTCAAGCACTGGAAGGAGCAAGAGAGTCGATATGGATCCTTGACTGGTGGTTGTCGCCGGAAGTCTATCTTCGTCGCCCTCCATCTCAAAACGAGCAATGGAGACTGGATCGGACCCTTCAGAGAGCCGCTCAGCGTGGCGTCAAAGTCAACATTATTGTATACAAAGAAGTGACCCAGGCTTTGAGTGCGTACCTTTCTCCCATTATGATCAACTACCTCCATTCTCTTGTGCCGCAGGCTGCCGGCACCTTCACTTCCTTCCTGGTTGCACTGGGGCTACGAGCAACCACTACATCACTTAACTATGCAGAGAAGGAGAACCCACTAATCCTTCCTCCTTTAGCTTTGTCCTCGGCCCATACAAAACACGAGCTCGAGAAGTTGTCTCCTAATATCTCCGTCTTTCGTCATCCAGATCACCTTCCTGACGCTCAAACCGCACAATCCTCCTTGATCTCGTCTTTGCAAAACCTCAAGCTCGATGCCGCCGGCGTGTCCAAACTCGGCGCAGACGCTCTAAAAGGCGTTTATGGTCTGGATGAGGATGTGATTTTATACTGGGCGCATCATGAAAAATTATGCCTGATTGACGGCAAGATCGCCTTCATGGGCGGGTTAGACCTTTGTTTTGGACGATGGGATACAAATCAACATGCCATTGTGGATGCCCATCCATTGAACATCAGTGACATAGTGTTTCCCGGCCAGGACTACAACAATGCCAGGTAAGGTCAACTGCTCCAGACATAACCTCAGACGAGGCTATCGAATGAAGAGCATTACTGATATATAATATAGGGTTATGGATTTCAGTAACGTTGCAGACCCTTTCCAAAACAAGCTCGACAGAACGAAAAGCTCCAGAATGGGATGGTAAGTGATCATGATACGCCATTACATCAATTCCTTTTAATGTTCTCCAGGTCCGACATTGCGCTGTCTCTGCAAGGGTCATGCGTCCAAGACCTCCGTCATCATTTCATTGATCGGTGGAATTTCATTTTCGAGGAAAAATACAATGTCCGGAAAGACGCACGCTACTCTCGCATCATTGACGACTACCCGCATTCCACATCTGGTCCTGCTCGGCGTCCCCAGGCTCATCCACAGTCACCAGAAAAAATTCAACCTTCTGCTCCAGGTGGCGCTTTCCCACCGCCGCCGGGCAGCCGGCCATACGCTCCACCGGCATGGCACAGCACTAGCAGGCCCCATACTCCAGGGTCGGAACCATACCAGAACCAACTAAGCACCACACCAGGAAATCAACCAGCGTCGTATGGTGCTGCTTCAAGTCCATCGATTCAACATACATATCCCCAACCAGCGGGCCCCCAGACTTCTTATGTCCAAGGGATGGGACCAGCGGTACATGGAGACCAAGGTCAGTCTCTGGCCGCTACGGGCGGATACCCTCAAATTTCTAGCCCAACACCCCAAGGAGCATATAACCAGCCGACTGGGATAGGAGGACAATCTCCAAATCCATACTTCCAACAAGCCTTTCCACCCCCGCCTCCTGGTCCACCCTCCCAACCGTCGCCAGGTCTGGGTTACGATCACACAGGATATTCGCCGCAGATCAAACCAGAACCGACATATGCTCCATTCCAGCAAGGAGCTTCTGAGCTCTCAAGTCAGCAAACACCAAATCATGCATACGAATACCACTCGTATCAACAGCAGACTTCTCCAGCTGTATCCGGCCAACCATACCAGCCACAAATACATCAACAATCTGGCACAGAGGAGAACCGAGGTCTCGATGATTATGGCTATGGCGATGAGAGTGAAAGAGGCTTTGATTCTGAACGAGGTCTCCGCGGAAAGGTGGACCGATACCGTACCGAAGGGAAACGCATCGGTCAGGAACTTTCCTCTGTCGGTAGTCTCGTCTCAAGCGGCATGGAAGGCAGGATGCATCACATCCAGGGCAAATATCTCGGAGCAACCGATTCTTACGGCCGACCTTACAGTCAAGCAAGAGGTGCTATGACCTGCCAGCTCCTTCGAAGTTGCACCCAATGGAGTAACGGCACCCCACTCGAGCACTCCATTCAGAATGCTTACATTGATGTGATCCGAAATAGTCAACACTTTGTCTATATCGAGAATCAATTTTTTATCACGGCCACGGGCGACAAACAGAAACCAGTCAAGAACCTGGTTGGGCAGGCTATTGTCGAGCGAATCATGCGAGCTGCCAAAGCTGGCGAGAGATATAAGGTTATTGTTGTGATTCCAGCAGTACCGGCCTTTGCTGGTGATCTTCGAGATGAAGGATCCCTGGGGACTCGTGCTATCATGGAATTCCAGTACTTCAGCATTAATCGTGGGGGTCACTCCATCATGGAAGAGATCGCACAAGCCGGTTACAATCCCATGGATTACATTCGTTTCTACAATCTCCGGAATTACGATCGAATCAACTGTGGCGGTGCAATGGCGCAAGCCGAACAGCAAAGTGGTGTGAAATATGAAGAGGCACGCAAAGAACATGATAATGTGATGGGAGCTGGATATGGATCTTCAGGTGAAAGGACCGGAGTAACCCAAATGTCACGTGTGTCACAATATCAGCAATACCAATCCGCTGCACAGAATACATCCGCGGCTCCCGGCAGCCGTTGGGACAGCGTCGCAGAGTGTTACATGCTCGGAGGTCAAGATATTCGCACCGTGCCTTGGGACGGAACGCCGGAGGCTGAACTGGATGCTTTTGTCAGCGAGGAGTTATATATCCATTCAAAGGTAAGTTGCCCGTCTTGACGGTTCCGACTATTACTGAATAAGTGCAGTGTATGATTGCAGATGATCGGGTCGTCATCTGTGGTTCAGCCAATCTGAATGACCGAAGTCTGCTTGGTTCACACGACAGCGAGATTGCAATTCTGATCAATGATCCCACACCCGTACAGACATATGTCGCAGGTCAGCCATATCAAGTCAGCCGCTTTGCAGCCTCACTGAGGCGGTACTTGACCCGAAAGCATCTTGGTCTCGTTCGCCCTCAAGACATGCGAAGACCTGATCCGAATTACGAACCTGTAGGTGTGCCCAATGTTTATGATTGGGGCAGTCCTGAAGACAATATCGTCTCCGACCCTCTCAGCGACGCGTTCCAGAGTCTTTGGAATAGTCGGGCGCGCACAAACACCGACATCTTCCGAAAGGCGTTCCGAGCGGTCCCCGACGACCATGTCACGACTTGGGCAGAATACAAGGAGTGTTATGAGTACTTCTACCATGCTGACGCCAAAGATGCTGGCAAAGACGGAACCAAGGTGCCTCCACGAGTAGAATATGGACATGTAGTCCGAGAGGATTTCCCCGGTGGGGTCCAGGAACTCAAGGAACTGCTGAGTCATGTCGAAGGCACTTTGGTAGAGATGCCTCTGTGTTTTCTGCAAAGTGAGTGACATCGTTCTGGCGATGCTGTCTCAATGTCGCTAACGTGTGCCTACAGACGAAGACATTGCTAAAGAAGGATTGACCTTGAATGCATTGACGGAAGAGCTCTACACTTGAGTCAAGCTGTGTGCTGGCATACTGGGCTCTGCTGATGAGTACCTGTAATGAGATCATGACTGATGAATCGAGGACGTACTTTAGCATGCGTACATCTGAATTCAACCCTAGCAAATTCCTGGAGCTGGAGCAGGGTGAAAAGGGACGAAAAGGGGCTGCCACAAATGCATTTAACGCCGACCGTATTATTCCTACGGTGAATGATTTAACCGTCTGTGATAAGGTATCTACTACTAGTACAGAGTTAGTAGTAGTACTAGTAATACGTACTACGGCGGCTAATCGCTGGTAACGTTTTGATAAACCTGTCACTCTCCACATCACATCACTTCTCTTTCTCACAACTTCACTCACTACCACTTGTCTACCTTAGGTACCTACGTACCCATGCTGCTTCTATACTCTCGTCTCTGCGCCAGTTTACTTCACCCAGGTTGCTGTGAAGCTGGTCCCCGCTACTAGTGAAAACTCTGTTCTGAGGAAACCGGGCGCGAACTGCTGTTCCGCTGGATTCAATGAAATTCTAAATGAGCCGACATGTGATTCCTCTGAGGCTTTGCTCTTCTATTCTATTCATTCTTGTTTCGCTTCGCTCTGCTCTGCTTCGCTTCGCTTCACTCTTCTCTTCTCACTTGCACATCAAAGTCACTGCCAAATAGTCAAGCTTGACTTCCACCTATTCTCACGACTTCAGATTTCATCACAAGCCTTCCCCTTCTCCTACCCCTACCGACCTCGACTTTGCTCGACTTCGCAGACCAAAATGAAGATCAAGTGCACTTATGAGGATTGCTTCAGGCACTTCTCCTCGAGAGAGGCTATGATAGCACATAAGACAAAAGATCCGAACCACAGCTACTGCGCCCTTTGCGATGTTGACTGCGGCGATGACATGCTTCTCTTCATTCATCAACTTGGAACTTCTGCCCACAGTGAGTACCTCTTCCGCTCACTTTAGGTCTAGCTTCTGATGTTTATACCAGTCTGCTGCCCTGTCTGCGCCCAAGAGGTGAGTCTTGAAACATGAATTTCCGGAGGGTTTCTATCTAACTTCGATAGTTCAAAAGCGCTGGAGGGAGAGATCGACACGTCGAACAAGTAGGTTCATCTCAATAGGTTTGATGATTTTTGTCGCTGACATCGCCCAGAACCACCGGACCGCCCAAAACATCGACTGCGCCGGTTGCCATGCCAAGTTCGCTTCAGCATCTGCATTGATGTACCACATCGAGAATGATCAATGCTCGGTCATCAAACTGGAGGACTTTCAGATGCAACGTGCAGAAAAGCAGATCCACAAGGAAGCCTGCGTGGCCAATGGAGAAATCTTCAGTACTGGCTCCTCTATGCAGTCCATCCAGCGGGCTCCTACGATCTCGAGCATCAACAACGGTACGAATCAAGTCGGCGGTAGGCCTGTTCGCAACTCTAGCAGATCTCTGAGCAATGCTTTGGGAGGCCCCATCTCGCCCGCTTCGCATGAGCAGTTTCCTCCACTCTCCAGAGCTACAATCATTCCTGGCCAGAATCAGCAGCAAGTTGCACCCGACAGATCTGTCCTCGGCGCGCAATCCAAAGACGCAGCATCCAATCTGATCAACTTCGATAATGTCGAAAAGAGCATGGCTGGTCTACAAGTCGGCCCAAGTGCGTGGGATTCGCAGGGACAGGGCGGAGAATCACAAGGCGGCGAAGGCTATGTCAGTGGTTGGCTCGCTTCGGTGAACACCTCCACTAGACCTCCACCAGACAACAACAGCGAGGTTGCTTCGATGTATGACAAGAAGGTTGCTGCGTCGGCTGTCTCTGAAAACATTCCCCCAAGCGTTCAAGGCCCAGACCGCAATCCATTTTCTGTCCTTAACCGCATCATTCAAATGCCAGCACACTCTATCATTTCCAGCAACGCTCCACTTGACATCGAACGCTTCTGGGATGCAACCCTGCAGCAGTATACCTGTCCAGGGGAGAGATGCCGTCGGCACTTTGCCAACACCGACCACTTTCGGAAGCACTTGCTCACCTCGGCTCATGTTGGTGGTCAAGTCGTCTGTCCTTCCTGCTTGAAGCGCTTCGCAACCACATTTGCCTGGGTGGCCCACTGCGAGTCTCCCAGTAAGCGATGCGACATCCGCAACAGCGCCAATCTCAATCATGTGATTCGTGAGATCACGGGCGGTGTCTTGGCGACGGATGGCCATTTGAACGATGGTACGGTGCAATATGTTGCGCCGAAGATTGAGGAGTGGTAGTGAAGCTTTCCGAAACGACAGTCACCGCTATCATTGTTCAATGCGGTCACGGCAACCCACAGGAGCATTCTTCCCAGACGGCGGACAACAAGGGAATATTGGGGCGGGATGGAAATTTGCTAGACACGAGCTGAAGCAGCATGAAGGATTACACGCCCATTGCATCTCTTCTCCATTCGCAGAGGTTACTGGGACACCATGTACCGAGTATGGACAGTCGCATGCCCCAAGGATGGCCTAGAGACAACAGAACGAGGGGAGAGCCCTGACACGAATTGAGCTACCGAGAACCTTTACTCCAGCACGGTCGGCAGTGATTCGGCAGCGAAGGGCTCGACTTTCCAGAAGAGATTACCTCTCTAGCGAGCTTTAGACAACTGTGCGGCTGCGATCAAGTAGATACGAGTGACCGCCCAACAAAGACATAGAATAACTAAATTCTCTTACTTTCTTGACTCGGTTTAACTGACTCAGAACGTAGTCATCCCCTTACCTATCTTCCAACCCTGGCATTGCAATCGAAGCTTGACGCCGGCTCATGGACGTCACGGCGTAGGCTGTTCTGGCATATGATGTCGGTGTTCCGATCCTTTACGATCGGAACAATCGTTGACATGCATGCATCCAATCCAATTCAAGGGTGTATAACCCAATCGAGGCTCACACATATATTCATCCTTCCACGATGACTGTCCATTCTCGTACTATTTCTGTTCTCAACTGACGAGGTATACTCCCCCAAGGCAATATATCCCTAGAACTCCTGCCCATTCGAAAGATCCATACAATTTCATTCCATATGGCCTTCCTTAGTCCTTTTTCTTGCGTCGTTCACAACCTACTCACAAATCCATCGCGATCCACACGACACAAATAGTCCTTGGTAATGTCCTGAACACTCGTGACGCCCGCGAGGCCCATACACAAGCGAAACTCATCTATCAGCAACCTCAAGCAAAGCTCGACCCCTTGCTGCCCTTTATACGCCAACCCCCACAAGACAGGACGACCAATCCAGCAGAAGTCCGCGCCCAACGCAAGAGCTTTGAAGACATCGGTGCCATGCCGGATCCCGCCGTCGACGTGCACAGGCACTTGACGTTGCACGGCGGCCACGACTTCGGGGAGAGCATCGAGTGTCGCGAGGGCGCCGTTCAATTGTCGGCCTCCATGGTTGGAGACAACGATGCCGTCAACCCCGTGATGGACGGCTAGCAGGGCATCTTCGGCGGTCGCGATTCCTTTCACCCAGATTTGCATGTCTTTTCCGCATACATCGCGGAGCCAGGGGATCGATTCTTCCCAGTTCAGTGTTGGGTTCGCGGCGTGCGTGTGGAATGTGATTGGTCCGGATGGCGGGTTTCGCAAGGTCCCGTCGTGGTAGGATGAGGAGGTGGCGGTGGTTGTGGTGGAGATGGACGAAGAAGGTGTAATAGAGAGATTGCTGCCGTTGCGCTTTTTGTCAGTGCCACTTCCAGGAGGATCTACCGCCGACTCGACATCATCGCCCTGTTCCTTGAAATTGGCAATCGACAGATGTTTCGGCAGCTTGAACTGGTTTCGAATCTCCAGGTTGCGACGACCCAGCACGGGCGTGTCCACGGTGAGCAGGACGGCTTTGTATCCGGCCCTTTTAGCCCGCTCGATCAGCTTGCGACTATGCTCGCGCTCCTCGAACAAATACAGTTGCAGAGCATGTGGGTTGTCGCCATTGGCCTCGGCCACATCTTCAAGCGTACTGGTGGCGAAACTGCTCAGGCCCATGGCCACTCCGTTGTTGCGGCATGCGCGCGCCGTGGCGATTTCACCATCCTCGTGGGCCAGACATTGCATCGCCGTGGGCGCCACCCCGAACGGCACACTGACTGTTGTCTCGGGCCCGAAGATGGTCGTCGTAGTGTCGATCTGTGATATATCCCGCAGCACGCGTGGCCTGATTCGGTATCGGCTATACGCCGAGATGTTCTCTCTCAAGGTGCTTCCACAGTCCGCACCTTCGTTGTAGTAATCCCGGGTCTGTTTGTCCATGCGCTCGTACGCCAGAGACTCCAGTTCGCCGATCGTCAGGCAGTTCAGGTCGTGAGGCGTCGGCTCTGGAAGAGACGAGGACGACGTCGTTGAAGCGGAGCCAGAAGGTTGTGCTTTGGCCTGGGGCTTGTAACTGAGTCGCGCCATGTTTATGGAATGGAAGACGGCCTGGAAAATGGAAGGGTAGATTCTTGGCCTGGTTGATACTTCAAGGACGGGAGCAGCAAGAGGAAACAGGGAGAGCCTTGAGTAGGTGGGTGTCGTCCAGCTGTTTCCCTCTCTCTGGTACAAGAACAGAAAGGGTGAGGCGGGTTCGGAGGAGACAATCTGAAAGTAGCAATACTTTCGTATGGATAATAAAAAAACTTGAAATGAAGACTTGCCCGCGAGAAGATGGGTTGCAGGTCAGCACACAATCAGGACGAGTATGAGAAGTGAAATGAGCCTCAGAAGCCAGGCGCGACGATGAGGTGAGGACGAAGGCGGCGCTTTCAAGCGAAGCTATAGACCCTTTCCATCATTGCGGTACTCAGTCAGGTTTATGGGATGGACGATGCATGGCTGCAAGTTCGGACAAGTGGAGTTTGTTAGTGGTGACGATGCGACATCGGAGACGAACTGCGGAGTGCGGAGTAGAGGAGAGGGAAAGGGTGCCGACGACTCTTCTTGACTCCCAACTTTTTTTGGCAACACAGCGTGGTGCCAGCCAGGTAAGGAGACCATCAAGGAATCTGCCTAGATTCAGATTAAGGATCAAGACCCGAAGGGAAGAAGACAGGTGAAAAGAGGAAAACAATACCGACATCTGCGTCGAGGTAGTGTGCATTATGCGACAACGCCGGCTAGTGTTTTGATACAACGCCTTAGCAAAATTGGCAAAGTTCCCACATCTCCTCCCAGTCATTGACAAACACAATCGTACAATTTTCACAAAAAAGCTGTCGACCAGCTCCAGCTCCACCAAAGAGCTTCGTATCATGACTTATCTGGCTGATTCTGTAGCCTTTCCCGTTCAGCCATCCCTTCTTCAAATTCCGGGTCGGACTGGGGGATCAATGTGTGAGAGGCCGAAGTCGACCGGAAAAAGCCAGTAAAAAAGTATAAGTAGCCTGCAGCGATGGATAGCAGAAGACAAACAAGCAATCCGGCGAAAAGCAGGACCGTGCCTAGCCCGAGACCCCCATGGAGGCCAACTCGCTCGAGTGCTCCGTGTGCAGATGCTTTGTTCGAGGTAGGTGTGAAAGGACACCCTCCGCGTGGCTGATCGAAAGACTGCCCCGCGGGAGCGACACCCATCAGCCTCGTCCCTTTACATCCCATCTGGTTGCAGTTCTGGGCGAGGATTGGAGTTGGAACAAACGTTTTAACGCCGTTGGTAGCCGAGTGTCGGAGCGAGCGACCACCTCGGTCTAGTGCCTCTACCATGCCATAAGTCCAATAGCCGGACGCCTGATAGCTGGTTTCGAAGCCGGTCTTGTTCACGGTGCCCAAAACGCTCCACTCCGCTGTACAGTTCTGTCGCCCATAGACTCGCCACTGGGCCACTTCCGTCGCACCGTTCCACGACATGTAGAACATGGTCAGCGCTGCGTCGGCGTTCAACGCATATGTGTAAAGAGCTGGGTTGTCGAAGGGATTGGATGTGAAGTTGAATTTGAATGCCCGGTAAAGGTTCGCTCCTGTGGCGTTGATCTTGGCTTGAAAGACGATTTCGCCCGAGGGTAGATGCTCTGTCACATATGGCTCCTGACCCCAGCCCATCAAGACGTTTGATCGGGCCAAATCCGCACGCTCGCCGAGAAGTTGCATACTGCCCTGGGTGGCGGGGCTTATCATCCCTTCAGGACCCTGGAAAGCAGCCAGCAGAGTGGCCCGCGGAGGTGTGGCATTGTGCTCCAGTTTGATGATCTTCCCCGATGCCCTTGGTGATGTAAAGTTCACGCCGTTAGAGGCATTGTCGAACAGCGTAATTATCTCAGTGGTGCCATTCGAGGAATGCCATCGGACATGATGCTGGTATCCGAACAACACTCCAGCCTCAAGCGCAAAATCCGATTTTTTGCCACCCAGTCTCCAAAGAATTTGTCCATCTTTTCCACTGACCTTGTAGATGGCCTGGGTGTGTCGACAGGACACGATATAGTCGCCCTCCGGGGTCTCATCCACGGCGTTAAGGTGTATCCAGTCCCAAGCACTCACAGCATCAAAGCCAGTGCCAGCAGTGGCGCCAATGTTTGTGCCCAACCCCACGTATGACTCGGACGGAGAGATGTGGTCGAGCGCGGACCATTCGAACAGCAGCTCCCCGGTGGCCACGTCAATCTTTTGGAAGAGGCCGTCCCTGATCCAGCCCTCACCGGAGGTCAAACCATATGGTGTCAGATCGTAGCGTTCGACTTGGTAGATGTCGACGATCATCGAACGACCGTCCTCTACCAGATTGCACTCGTGCATGTCAATCGCTGGTCGCCCATTCTGTGCCTTGATCGTGGCGACGGGGACGAGCTCGTTGCTGTAAATGTGCGCGTCGCCGGCGTAATATGTAGCCCAAGAATCGCCCCGGAAGAAACAGAGATGGTCGCTGCCCTTGTACTTGCAAACACTGAACGTGTGCATGCTCCCACCCAGCATACTGGATAGACTTGTCCATATTAACTGCCCATTGTTGTCGTAGATGGCTGCTCCTGACCGGGGGATATGATGGGGAGAGACAAAAATATATCCCGGTGTGACCCCCTCTTTCAATATATCGATCTCTAACACAGGTGGAAACAGTTCTGGACGGGATTGGAAGAATTGGTATTCATCAGCGGCCGACAACCCCAACAAAGAAGCGAAACAAATCAGATAGGATGCGACTGTCGGCATCAACATATTGGCCGTCAGTAGAATGTCGAAGGCCAGTGAATGTCAAGCAGGGAAGTTGAGCGAAACGAAAGACGAAATGGGGATCACCAGAGTATGAGCGACAACCAACATTCAAGGCCATCATCCACGTCGACGCAGGCGATAAGGCCTGTAATAAGCCACGTCCAAGCCGTTCGGGATTCGGTATCCTCCTACGCGACGGTAGTCGGAGGGGGTACACAAGGTGGTCATGGCAGACGACTGCTCCAGCCATAGGGGATACCATACACGTACATAGTAGTGTAGAGCGACACAGCGGCGATAGTGGCGAATGAGACAGCGAAAACGACTCCCCACCGAATGCCTGGGCAGGAGCGTTGACAGGTGACAAGGCTGTCATGGTCCTTGCCCCCTATTCAATAGCCCGAGGCTCCCGTGTATAAGGCTGCTGTCATCCTACGAGAAGTCCCTGCAAAAGCGGGGGCCTTCCAAATGTACTGTGAGTTGTGTAAAGAAGGTATCCAACAGGAGCCGTCAAGGCTATCATGGAGATGCTTTCGGCACCCTTTTGCCAAAGAAAGGCCAAGCTAGGGAGAGATATGGGTGTGTAGAACGAGCTTTGCCGACCTTGCACGGGCCCTGTCAACGCGGATGAGCACCGCTGGCTATCGAATTGAGATAACCTGCGATTCGTCGGACTGAGCCATGTGGGCTAGAGTTGGTAGACACAAGGCGAGGACGGCTTCGTCCCCAGCGGCCATAGCGCTGTCAGCGAATTTGAAGGCATGCTTCACAAAACCTATGATGGCTCGGCGAAGGCAAAGAAAAGGGACAACTCATGTATAGGAGTCGTGCTATCCATTCTCACCCATGCCAGGACACGACGATGGCGAGTCCATTCTCTAGGCCTCGACATTCGGTGATAGTAGTGAGGAGGCGACGTTGGAAGAATATTTAACACTCACACAGCAGAGATGCCTGTGTGGCTCGGCCCATCTTCGGACAACGATTGACTGCGCCAGGTGGTAAATATAGCAGCTATAACATAGAAGTAAACACAGTATTCACCACGACCAACACCAACACAACACCGGTGAAGCGGGCAATGATAACACATACCTGCGACTGAAATTCTCGCGTTGTCAACGACTTCACCAATACGTTGTCACGGGTGCTCGTCGGTACCTATGTAAAGGCCTTGCCTGCGGCTCAAAACGTATCGCATCCCATGCCTTGGAAACTGCTCCAATGAGCCTCTCGACAACCACCCTCCACAGCCTCCTCACAGATACCAGACACACAAAATGGATAGCACCATTGATACTAGCCGGAGAAGCTGTGCTGTGCGGGCTGATAGTGTGGAAAATACCTTGTACGTCCATTTTACAGGGACCGTGAATGGCGACGACTGACACACTGGCCGATGCAGACACGGAGATTGATTACACCACCTACATGGCTCAAGTGCGCATGTTCACTGATGGCGAACGACGGTATGGCAAGATCACCGGACCTACAGGGCCACTTGTCTACCCAGCCCTCCACGTCTACCTCTACACTGCATTGTATTACCTCACGGACGAGGGTACCAACATCCTGCGCGCACAGATTATCTTCGCCGGTCTCTACCTCCTTACCCTGGCCGTTGTGTTTTCCTGTTACAGGCGTGTTGGAGCGCCGCCATGGCTTATGGTACCATTGGCGCTGAGCAAGAGAATGCATTCCATATTTCTGCTGCGCCTCTTCAACGACTGTTGGGCGACTCTGGCGTTGTGGACTGCAATATACCTGCTACAACGGCGCCAATGGCGCAGCGGCGCATTCGTCTGGGGGTTAGGGTTGGGCGTGAAAATGACCATTCTCCTGGGCGCGCCGGCTGTCGGCTTGGTGGTACTCCAAGGAAGCGGCACAGAAAATGGTATCTCATCAGGTATATCTGTTCTACTTCTCCATCTTGTCATGGCAATGCCATTCCTGGGTGGCGAGGCCGGGTTCCAGTACTTTGGCCACGCCTTTGACTTTGGGAGACAATTCTTATACAAGTGGACGGTCAACTGGAGGTTTGTAAGCCCGGCCGTGTTTGGCTCTCGCAGTTTCACAGTCGGCTTGCTGCTCCTCCATATCGCCCTACTTCTTGCCTTTGTCCAGGCTAGATGGATCAAGCCCAGCTCCAGAACTCTGTCGGAATTCCTCAAGAAATATGTTGGCTTGATTCGGCAAGGCGAAGACGCCAGGATTTCGCAAAGAATTACCCCAACTTTCGTCATGGACACGGTACTTGGCAGTGTGATGATTGGCATGCTGTGTGCTCGGAGCCTACACTATCAATTCTTCGCGTATCTCGGCTGGGCAACTCCCTATCTTCTGTGGAGGGCTGGCGGAGGCCCCGTGTGGGTTCTGGTCAACTGGGCACTGCAGGAGTATTCCTGGCTGGTGTATCCCAGCACAGACATTAGTTCGACCCTCGTGGTGACCGAATTGGCGGTGCAAGTGATATGTGCACTTATTGCACCTCCGGTAGATCACATAAGCCCACCTTCAAAGGTGCAGGGCAAGACCAGCTGATAGCTGTAGCTGTGTCGCAGAAAAAAGAATGTTTGTTTTCAGCCTTGTTCGCTCTCGCTGTCCGAGGGCGGCATCTTTCCGACGAGCGACTCTTCCTCATCACTGTAGTCAGATGCCACTTTCTTGACGAAGGCCGGTGGCCAGTATGGTTGCTTGCGCCATGTCTTCTCGTTCCGAACTATGTTCACAATCACTCCTTGTATCTTGTTTGGTCGATCGGTCGTCGAAGTGTCGACCAGAACGTAGCCCCCACGCTTGACAAAGACGGCATTGCGGAAGCGATTTTCGAGTTCAACCAATAATGTGGAGGAATCTGGTGTCTGTACGGTGTAGAGGTCTTTGCCATGGGATTGAACAACGCGGGCAATAAGTTGATTAGGGGCCAGTGAGTCTGGCGGGGCGAGTGTCTCCTCGGCCGTCTGGCGGAGCTTGCGGCGAGACATGGAGCTTGCAGACCAATGTGGGAACAGAGGCTGGGGATTTATAGCTCGGGGGCTCCTTTGGTCGGTTCGTGTGTTAGGAAGTGAGTCCTCTGGCATGAATGAATCTTAATAATGATGATGGTAGGGCTCATACTATTTTTTTTGAATTTGAGATTCCCATCCCCACGCCTAGGCGGGGAAATGCTGCATTCGGAAGTGCAACCGATGTCCGCCAGCAACTTTTCTCCCTATCAACGTCTCAACGTCTCAACGACCGCAACAAGACTCATGTCAAAAGGACTAAATCCATCTCACCGACTCCCTCCACTTCCTAGCTCTCTGTGAGACGAATGCACAGTTTTCTGCGAATCAGAAAAGAAAAGGTCGTCTTCCGTTTTGACACAAGCAGCTATGGTGTTCGCCCAGCGTGCCCTTAACCCGAGCCGGGCCACATTATGCCGGTGACCATCATGTACTGGAGAATCACATCCCTGATCTAGCACATGGCCCATGCTATTAAACGCTTAGGCACCGGCTTGTTCTTCGCTACTTGCGGAGTACGCAGGCACGCCATCTCATCTGTTCGCTCCTGAAGTCCCGTGGATCAGCTTGTGGCTTGAACTCTGGACTATATCAATCTTATATCTTCTACCGTGTCTCCTTGCTGTCCTCTATCTTTCTTTCTCTCCAATTGACCCGCTATCTCAGCCCGGCGCCTGAACCATGGCAGCCAAAGCATTCGGCGCCTTCATCAGTCATGAAAGTGATCCCACACCTCTTGTTCCTGCACTTGCTCCGATCGTCCCTCGGGATCACATCACAGCAACAGCCCCTACCAAGTATGAGTTGGACGGGCTGAAATGGGGCCAACGCTTGAAAGGCCCTCCGCCGGACTTCCCTCGAGATCCTTCCTCCATAGGTCAATCTCTCCCTCAGACCCCTGGAGAACTGGAACGAAGTCAACCACCGACCCCCAAACGAGACCAAGCCGTTGATGCTCTGATTCAGTCTGCTTGGAATCCGCCCAGAAACCGGTGGAGGCTGGCTTCAGCCTCTCTTGCCTTCTTCCTCTTGGGAATCAATGATGCGGCCACTGGTGCCCTGATTCCTTATTTGGAGGACGAGTACAAGATCGGTTATGCTATCGTGTCGTTGATATTCGTTACCAACGCCGTCGGTTTCATCTCCATGGCACCGGTATCGCAAATGATCGAGGCTAGTCTCGGACGAGCTCGATCCATGATGATCTCAATGGCCCTTATAAGCATCGGCTATATCGCCATCATATGTACCCCGCCCTTTCCTGTCGTTGTCCTAAGCTTCTACTTCATGGGGTGTGGGATGGCGCTCTTTCTGGCAATGACCAACGCATTCATCGTGAATCTCCAGAACGGCACTGTTATTCTCGGCTTTTGTCATGGTCTTTACGGTGTAAGATGCCTTGTTCTACATGTTCTGGTTTCATAAGGCTGACCTTGTACAGGTCGGAGGCATCGTTTCGCCCTTGATGGCTACCGCGATGGTGTCCAATGGTGTACACTGGGCATACTTCTACCTCATTCCCCTTTCTATGTCATTGCTATCCATTGCGTTCATCGGTTGGTCCTACAAAGGCTTTGAGAACGACTCTGCCGTGCGACTTCTTACCAGCCTTGAACTCACTGCCTCCCGCCAGGCTTCTGCGTTGGGCGAACAGACCAAGTTACAGTTGTTGAAAAGGGCAGTGAAACAACGAACCACTCTTCTAGGCGCCACTTTCATATTGTGAGTGACTCTGATCCTTGCAGACAGCCGTGCATGACTAACTATATCGCTCCAGTTTCTATCAGGGCAGTGAAGTGGCCATCTCGGGCTGGGTCATCTCCTACCTGATTCATTACCGAAAGGGCAATCCGTCTCAGGTGGGCAATGTCACCTCTGGCTTCTGGGCTGGCATTACGGTGGGAAGGTTCGTGCTCACTCACTTTGCCCATAAAATGGGCGAGAAGCTCTCGGTCATGCTGCTCATCATTGGTGCCGCGATATTCCAGCTCCTGGTCTGGCTGGTGCCAAATATTATTGGAAACGCGGTGGCCGAGTCCATCGTCGGTCTGTTCCTCGGACCTGTCTACCCATGTGCAACAGCTGTCTTCTCCAGACTGTTGCCACAGAGCATCCAGATTAGTAGTTTGTCGGTTATAACGTCCATGGGATCATCTGGCGGGGCGGTCGTACCGTTCATTACTGGGTTGTTGGCTCAGAAGCTGGGAACCGTTGTGCTTCATCCGATTGTTTTGATATCATTCGCGGCATTGACGGTAGCATGGCTGTTACTGCCTCGGATTTCAAAGAGAACAGAGTGAAATGGGAGTCCTCGCTCTATTGCCCGATACAATAAGAATGATGAGCTTTCTATCCGCATTGTTGATCCGATTCCCAAGCAACAAATGCCTTCTGTTTTCTCTGCCTACTACTACCAGTTAGATGGTATATCCAAATCATCTGCATATGCTTATTGCAGTCGGCTTATTCCGCCGTTGCCTATACCTTGCCTTTCAAGATGAAGACTGGATGCAGTTGTGTTTTGAGGCAGCGCTTTTGCATTCTTATCTACCCAGTGTCTCAAAAATCATCCAGCGTCTACAGCCGGGCTGATCTCTGGCGCCAGTCACGTCTATGTACTTGAAATCAGCTGCTGGACTGCGTTTTGAAACCGGCTGAAGCTTTACACATGTAAAGGAGAGCCTGCCTACCTATCTCTTCCGAAAGTGGCCGGAGCAGCAGGCTTGTTTTCCAGAATTTCCTCAATCTCCTGCATGGTCTTGTCGTCGAGCTGTTCAAGGATTTTGAGGGCTTTGCAGTTATCGACGATCTGCTCGACTTTGGTAGCACCCAGGATGACGGTACTGACATTCGGGTTCTTTGCGGCCCAGGCCAAAGCCAGCTGTGACATGTTGCCACCCAAGCGTTCTGCAATCTTCGTCAACTTTCTAACCTTCTCGATCTTGGCTTTGCCTTCGGGCTTTTGTAGAGCTTCGATGGTGCTGCCGAAGAAATCCTTGTGGTTGGCTAACCGCGAACCCTCAGGAATGCCGTCGTTGTACTTTCCGGTCAAGAGGCCTGAAGCCAAAGGTGACCAGATCGTGGTTCCGTACTTGTATTCTTTGTATAACGGGGCATACTCCACCTCAAAGCGGTCGCGATGGAATGCGTTGTATTGCGGTTGCTCGGCGATTGGAGCAATTAGATTGTACTTCTCGGCAATGAGGGTTGCTTCGGTGATCTGGGCGGCAGACCACTCCGAGGTGCCCCAATAGTACGCCAAATTGAGATTGCGGATGACTTGGGTAAAGCCCTCCACGATCTCCTTCATCGGCGTAGCGTAGTCGGGTCGGTGGGCGAACACAATGTCCACATAGGGTTGCTGGAGACGCTCCAAACAGCTCTTCAGCCCCTCTACAACGTGCTTGCGAGAGAGGCCACGAGTGTTGGGTTCTTTTCGGCCCGTCCCAAAGAAGACCTTGGTGGAGAGCACGTATTCGTCTCGGGGCCAGTCAAGTTCTTTGAGTGCGTTGCCCATTTCAATCTCAGACTGTCCATTGGCGTAAACCTATACTTGTAAGCTCTGGAAGTGCTCATTTCTCACGGCCTTCCTCACCTCTGCAGTGTCGAAGAAATTGATACCGTGGTCCCAAGCAGTTTGTAAGCACCTATGGAACGAAAAATCATCAGAGCCATGGAACTCGATCGGCCAAAGTAGTCAAGACTCACTCTTTGACGATATTGCCCTTCTGCGTGCCACCGTAGGTGAGCCAGCCACCTATTATGTCAATTTGTCAGCTCTTGTTTGATTCCCTTACGAGTTATGGCATGCATGGTCGTTCACGTACCCAAGGCGAAGACCGAGACCTTGAGACCGGATGGACCAAGATGACGGAAGACCTATAGTGGGACAACAGTCAGCAACGGAGCGGTGGATTCGCTCTACTATATTCCTGGTGTGACCAACCATATCCTTGGGATCAAATGCCGATCGGACAGCCATTTTTGCGATATGTCTCTGATTCAACGGAGGAGGAAGAGGAAGGCGTGGTCTGAAAGTAGGGCTCAGGGAAGAATAGAGCTGTCTGCCAGGTCGGATTGATATTTGCATGAAGGAACAAGAAGGAAGAAGAGCCACTGGGTCTGGGGGAAATTGCGACTGCAGCGCAAATAAAAGCGGGAGGTCGAATGAGGAAGGTGGGATGCAGGGACGGATCGCGACTGCCGTGTTGCACCTACCTACCTACCTAATGTAGGTAGGTCCATAGTATGAGTGAGGGGGAAAAGCAACGATGACGTGACCTTGACGTTGTGATTAGGTTGGTTGGTTGCAGAAATTGAGAGTCGACAGTACCTAGCAGGGCAAGATAGTACCTACTCCCTCCATCACTGTAGTAGGGTGATGATCAATACACAGCAGGTACCTGGTAGGTACCCACCTAAGGTATACCAACGCCTCCCTACCCCCTCCCTGCTCTACCTTATAGCATTGTTGATTCTCCTGCTCTTGTGGCAATGAGGCCGATGGTTATACCATCAAGTCATCCCACCCTCTATAGACCATCAAGGGTCTTCTTGAACACCATTCCTCAGGATCACCAACTCGTTTGCTCGAGTGACTAACGCACTTTTTAAATCTCATGGTAGTACTGAACACACTGTGATACCGGGGTTTGAAAGGCTGAGAAGTCTTTGATCCGGTCAACCAGGGTCCAATCAAGCTATGAACTCAGGCAAAGCCCCCTTCCCCTCCATCGTAACCTGCTTGCTATCAAGATGCACCAGCAACAGCCTCGCCGGTTGCGATTCGCTCGGATTCGTCCATTGATGCGCTGTTCCACGCTGGACAAAGATGTCCCCTCGTGGCAGTCGTCTCTTCTCCCCCGAGTCCAGCTCCAAGTCCACCTCACCCTCTAGCACCACTCCGTAGTCTAAAGAGGCTGAGCGATGCATCGGGGACACCGCCCCGGGCGCCATGTCGACGACCCGGAGGACAGATCCGCCTTTGACCGTGATTCCAGGGTGATGATGTAGGTACTGGTAATATGCATCTAGGTCTGCATTGGCGTCGAAGTCGGCGGGAATGGTCGGCGTTGCGTATGCCAGACCAAATGCCGACATGGGAAAATTCGTCCATGTCGGAAAGGTCGATATGGGCGGAGCGGGACAAGAGATTGCTGCTGCTGACAGATCATCAGGGTTCGGTGTCTGAAAGATTGCCACGCCCTCGGCGTTATGCGTTGTGATATGGCGAGAGAACTCTGGGAGTCCTTCAACCTGCGTCGTGCTTTGATTCATTGCAGTGCAAGATTTTTCTCGCTATGGAATGTATAATATAGAGCCTCTTTTCGGAGTGTGTAGTAGTACGACAATGCGAAGTCTTCGGGAAAAGGGCAACGACAACAGCCACCGGACATTCTCCGGCACCTGTGGCCTTATCGTAAACGTGCCTACAGTCTTATCGAGCTGTGACAGCCTGGCCTCAATCCAGGGAGCTTTTTGTTCAAGAGTAGTTGATCAAGCCCTGGCCTCCGTCCGGGGTCGTAGTTGATATCATAGATAGGAGAGACTTCTTTCCGGTCAGATAAGCCTACCAATACTACTCGATCTGCTTGAGGAAAGCCTTACCTTCCTGAGGGGCTTGAGTATTCTTACTCAAATCTGCGGGCCATAATTTTGGACTAAAGTGATAGGACGATAGCACCCTTGATACCCCGTCAGGTCTGCTTCTCTATCTTGTACCATGCTCGGTCCAGTTAGGTTTCGCAGTCATTGCTGCGCGGGGTTGGCCTTCCACAAACGCCTCGGCGATGGCAACCCCTCACGACTCCACGATTCGAGGCCGGCCACGAGACCAAGCTGGTCAGGGTACTCGAACGGTGTGTTGGCGCAGGACTTGATAGATATGGCCAGTGAACTGCGGCAAGGCATGACAGACTCCGGCATGATCATCAGCGGGGTGCCGATTCTGACCAGAGGGGGTACCGTCCGGACGCGGAGATATCGACGCTGCATGTTCAGCCTGTAACACGAAGGACACCGTATTGCGGTGCTACGCCGGCAACGCCCACATCTCTAACGTAGTCATCCCAGTGCTTGAGAAGCTCTTGAAGCTTGTCAGGCAGCGAGGCTCCCAGGTCATCTGTTTCACCGGGATCCTTGTCCAGGTTATACAACTGCCACTTGCCTGGCCCATAGGGCTCTGGTATCATGACGGCCTTCCAATTACCTTTACGAAGTGCTCGCCGGTTGAAGAGCTCCCAGCCCGTCACCGTATCTTCGCCATGGATAAACTCATGCTTTCGCGGATCTGAGAGATATGGCACCCAGGACTTGCCCCGGACGGGGACAATGCTACGGCCTTTGTAGAGGCCGCCCGGGTGCTGCACGGCTGCCAGATCAAGCAGGGTAGGTGTTATATCCATGACGGTCGCGAACGACCGTTCAATGTCCCCAGCCCTGGCGGCGGTGAATGGTGGATATCTCAGAATCAAGGGGACTCGAATACCGCCCTCGGACGAAAATGACTTGTACAGTCGGGAAGGAGCCGTGGCAGCGGACGCCCACCGCGGACCGTACCAGACATAGCTATTCGCTCGGCCAATGTTATCCAGGCTGTTGTCGTAATAGCGGTCGATATAGTCAAATATGTTCTCCGTCACTACCGGATAAGCCTCCAACAGCAAACCCTCGGCACCATTATCTGACATGAACATGATAACCGTATTGTCGAATTCTTTGGTCGACTTTAGGTAGGAGATCAGGCGACCGATATTTCGGTCCATGTTTTGGACCATTCCGGCGTACGTCTCCATGGTCCGGGATGAGAATTGCCGCTCGGTTTCCGTGAGTGTATCCCACTCTCGCGATAGTGGGCGGTCGACGGGCGGCGTAATCACGTCGTGAGCTTTCGTGCCCGGTGCGATGATGCCGAGCTCCCTGAGGCGGGCGAGCCGCTTCTGTCTCAAGACGTCGGGCCCTTCGTCGTACACACCCCGGTAATCTCGGCAGTCCTCTTCCGGGGCTTGCAGTGGCCAATGGGGCGCCGAGAACGGTAGGTAGGCAAAAAATGGCTGTTGTCGCTGACGGTCGTCCCGTTGTTCAAGATATTGGAGTAATTTGGTAGTGAAACTCTGAGAAGAATAGAAATCCGGGCCCAGGTCGGCCGGGGAGATCGGCGTATCGTCCTCTACGTAGAAGCTACTGTTCCGCGCCATCAACTGGGGCATTCTTTCTTGCGCCTGCGGTTCCCAGCCGTAGTGGTTTGCAGCGCCCTGCGGAGTCGTCAGCAGCCCGGCCTCGCTCTGTACGATTATCGTTGGGACGGTTCACTTCCATACCGGCAACAGACTGAACGACCGGTCGAATCCCCTCTGCGATGGGTAACGGTCCGGCGTCATCCCAAGATGCCACTTCCCCGACATCAGGGTCAGGTAGCCGGCATCACGGAGCATTTCGGGGAGCGGGGCGACCCGATCGTTCAAGTAGCCTTCGTACCCGGGCTGACCTTTCTGGAACTCTTGGATTGACTCAATCATGGCGCCTAGGCCGGCAATGTCTGGAAAGAAACGAATCAGTCAGCTTACAAGGTCAGCAATGTAACAAAGTGCCTCTCATCGGGCGTCCGACGGGCATCGTAATCCGAGACTTGGGGTGGTTTGCGAGGGAGACGGGCGGGACGGACGGGGTACGGGGCCAGGTGGATACTTGCGATTATCGGTGCCGCTCAGCAACATGGACCGGGTAGGCGAGCAGGCTGCGGCGGCGTGAAAGTCCGTCATCCTGATCCCGTCGGCGGCCAGACTGTCGACGTGCGGCGTCTTGATCTCGCCGCCGAACGCTCCAACGTCCGAAAAGCCGAGGTCGTCGGCCATGATTATCAGGAAGTTGGGCCTTGTGCCGCCCGCTCCATCGACCGCAGCGGTCCCCGTAGGTTTCCCCATGATGGGCACCACGGTTGACCCGGGTGTATGCCGAGCAATTGAGGTCAACGAGAGTGTAAGTCCCGCCTAATGAAGATCATGGGCAGGAAGTTGTGGTTGGATGGACAAAGGAGACTGTCCAAGCTGGATCGGGCGCGAGCTGATAAGTGTCCGATTCTTGGCGTGGATGACGAGCTGGGAGTCGTCGTCGCGTTATGACTACGATCTCACCCGGCCCCCGAGGTAAAGCACTCATCGACTGGGAACAAGCTAATAATTTGTCTTATGTAGTGACTTGGATGAAATTGGTTTGTGCAAGCATCCGTGCCTGGACCGGCTAACGTCAACTTCCAAGATAAACGCATGACTTGGCCTGCGGTTGCCCCTGAGTTCCGAAAAGGGGCTGACAGCCTCGTACCAGGCCAGCCCGATTATTCGAGTAGGGGTCGACGACGATAACGACATCGCCAACACCGGGTTGCAAGGGGAAATCTGAAGGGATAAGCCTCAATATGCAGCCATTGGACACTTTCACCTTCGCGCTATGATTTGTGCGTACCGATCCACGACAGAATTATCTGGCTCGATGTTGACGGACAGGCTGTCCTACAACTCGAGGAGTGCCGAAAATGACGTGGGTCGAGAGCAATTATGTAGGGGGCTCTCAGGGGACGTGGACCCCTGCAGCCGCAACCTTTATCAATTAAGTGTGCGAAAAAATGAGTCGGAATTTCAGTCCAATCAGAGGTCGGATGGGTAAGCTTGTTCCAACCGTCAATTCTCATAGAGTCTATTGAGGTCTAACAGACTCCTAGTGTAGTGGCTATCACGTGTCCTTAACACGGACAAGGTCCGGAGTTCAATCCTCCGTCTGATCATCCTGGTGAGATTACTTTTTGCACTTTTTAACGATCTTGCCAAAGAGTTCTGGGAGGCCGTGGTGGATTTTTTGCTTGGTGGGACAGTGAGGTGGGCTGAAAAGGGAGCGTAGGCAACTGCGGGTACCCCTATCACCAATAATGATGGATTGCGAGCGGGGCGGGACGGCGACATGATCCTACCTTCTATCAAGCTGTTCCAGCCCCTTGCATAACCCTCCACACATCATGTCTTGAGAAGGTGTCTCTCCAGTACCACACCGCAATGGCGAGCAGCCTTTGAGCCCTTCGGAACCCCGAGCAGCACGATCTCTTTCTCCCAGTTGTAGGATGGGTTTGGGATCGATCAGATTAATGGGAGTCAAGCTGAATGCAGCTCCGCAATATTATGGCATCTCTCCAAGCTTTCAGCAAAGGGTCAAGGTATTCAAGAGCTTGCAAATGATGACTCTGCTCGACCGTTGGCTTGCTTTCCCCAAGCGTCACTTTCACTGGCCATGCATCCTTTTTGCACGGGACTATAGCGACTACGACGTCCTTTGCGATATGACCAAAATTGTCATCAAATCTTGTTGATCATGGGTTTTCTTCAATTGGTGTGGCTCCACGCTGTCGCCCAGACAGAAGGACGTCGAAGCTGCAACTATCCTTCGGCGGGCTGTGGTGTGAAAGAATGGATGTAGTATTGACCGCACGGTGAGTGATTTCGGTTTCCAAGACTTTTCTTTGTTCGAAGGTCTTGCAACAAAGGGTGCCGAGATGCCTGCAAACAAACCTCATCCACATGATATCCGGTTCTGGGTGTCAATAGTGGAACATGTCTTTGTTCGTTGCCCACTCCGAAGAGCTTCGTGGAGATTAAAAAGCTAAAGCAGTCATCAATTATCTGGTATTTGATCGATATCTAATACGATACTCTTGGGTCGAGCCATACAGTTGACTCCAGCGTCCTACCTACATACTTGAATCCATCTTGCCCCATCATGCGTGCATTTACGTTGATCTTGTCTCCACTGCTTCTCGCCGCGCTGGCCGGTGTGGTCGGGGCCCAGGACGAGAGCGCGCTTTACGAGACACCGGATTTCGTCACACCGACTGATGAATCAGAGCTTCACAAACGCTCGCCCCCAGCTGGAGTCTATATCTGCGATCAGACCAACTGGCATGGCAGATGTGCCTGGATTAAGCTCACCGAAGGGGCTTGCATGGATTTCATCTGGGATGCAGGCACCTCGTTCGGCGTAAGTCAATTACATCCCTGGCTTTGCTCTGCTCTTCCATCCCCTCGAGTTGAAAGTCTTTTCGGACTGCTGTTGAATGTATGCTGACTTCTATCTGACGCTTCAGCCTCCTAATGGATGGCAATGTAAGATCTACTATGGCGGCAAATGCAGCGGGCAGGTGACAGACGGCAAACTCACATTCCCTGGTACGCCCAACCTCGGCGCAACGTACAACAACCGTCTGAAGCCCGCGTCCTACAAATGCCGACCATGCCCTCCTGGGTCTGCTTGGTAAGTTCGCTACTCTTGGCCGTAACATCATCATGTTGACTTAATGATTGCTAACATTCATACTCTCGTCCAGTGTCAATGGTAACGTCCCAGCCTATGTCGAAGCCCGGGCAAAGACAGGACAAAAGGGCGCGGATGGGAAATGCAGGATCTTCCAGAGCGGCAATACCAAGGTTGTTCCTTGTTAGATAGAAACCTGTGACATTGGAGCAGGGAGCTGGCAGGATATACCGGCTCGGAGTTCGGAGTTGTCCTTACGGCGTATGGACAGGAGTATAGGGAGTCAGCAGTTTGTTCTAGTGGCAAGATTGGATCAATGCTTTCGACGAGTTATTTCTATATTTCCGTAATGTGAACTGCCTGCAGAAATCTGTACACCTGGCGTTGTTCAGAAACTTGAAGGCTTTCGGGTTGTCGGACTCTGCCTCCGGGTGCGGATGACAAAGAAAATCCGGGGAAGTGGGTCTGACGTTATCCATGTGGTGAATCGAGACCCGAAGCGTGTCATGTATTGGAACCCATTTACTGAGTGCAGTAATTTATGCTGTGTTGTATTGTCTGGCGACATGAGCATGCATGGAGTATCATTCTGTTTGGTGTCTGTACCATCGGCGCTTTCTTCTAGTATCAGACTCCAGTAGCACCCGGGCAGAGGTTAGGTGCTTTGCGACAAAATAGTCTTTGGATACTGACGCGATGCCGGCAACCACGCGGAGTAAGACAAAACAGTCGAGCCTGGACGACTTCCAAACAACCGACACGACCACGGCGTCGCCACCTTTTGATTCACCGAGGACGAGGAGAGATGAGTCGCGTTTCTCGAAATCCGCAGGATCGAAGCCACGGGCATCAGCGACCACGACGAAAACAAAGAAAGACTCTGCATCTGACAAACGCAAACAGCCCACAAAGGGCACAAAGGACGAAGGCCAAGGCCCGCCATCGGCAAAAAGGCGAAAGCAGAAACAAGAACCGGAGTCCGCGGTGGAACAAGACCAGAGACAAAACCAACTGACCAAATCCGGCGAAGTCACGTCAGCATCAAACACCGAGACCTCCGACAGAAAACCCATCATCATCAACCGCGCCCCTGTGCTCCAACTATGGTCGTCCTGCGTGGCACATAAGCTATATCCACACCTGTCGTGGCCGACATGCTTCGCCATTGGGTCCGCGATATCGACACTCTGCGCGATCTCCAAAGGCCGATCGATCGGCGTGATGGAGAAGCCAGACACGGCGGACGAAGAGCTCAAGGAGCACAAAGAAGCCCAGGAGAGACGTGATGAGGCTGGTGCTGATGAAGAGATCTTGGTCATGGGGTTTCGGCTTATGATCAAGAACGGAGACGTGCTGCTCCAGGGCAAACCGCGACACGGGAACGAAGGGCCGCTCAAAGCCAAGTTCGGCGGCGACGAGGACTACATCCGTGTCAAGGATGCCATGGACCATGCGCTTGCTTCGTGGACAGCCGGCGAAGAGGCCAAGAAGGAGCTCAATAAGCGGGCCTTCCACATGTACGAGTCATTCCGACCTAGTGTGCAGAGTGGGCAAGGCGGCTGGGGACGCAAAGGTGAGTTGAGCATCGAGAAGATCAACGAGGTTGTGGAGCGGAAGTAGACCAAGAGGGGAACAAGAGAAGGTACTGAGCCATGGCTGTAGATTGCGTTGCTTTCCCTTGAGCGTAGTGAAGTCTGCACGGTCAAGTATTTCTCTGGGCCCTTGGATGAAACTAGGGACGGTAACGCGGTTGAGCCGCGCATGTCTGGCTACTCCAGTAGGAGAAGGCAACCTGTGCCACTTTGCATTACCCAACTTTTCGAATCTATATGGCGCTCAGCGTGGTGGCACTCCCTGCTCGCGGATCACTCTTCATTCTCAAACGTGTTGATCAATGTTCCAATGTACGGCTTGATTTCGACGGCAAACTCATCGCCTGCCTTGAGGGTGACTTTCGGCTTCCGCACGATCCCCACCCCGGCCGGCGTCCCAGTGACAATCAGGGTGCCCGGCGGCAGCGTTGTGCTCTGAGACAGGAAGCTAATGAGCTTGGGGACCGAAAAGATCAGGTCATCCGTCCCACAGTCCTGCAGGACTTCTCCATTCTTCAGGCCGCGGACATGGAGTTTGGACGGATCAGGAATCAAGGAGGGTGACACGAGGGCTGGCCCGATCGGACAGGCGCCGTCGAATCCCTTGGAAAAAGACCACTGGCTCTGCGCAAACTGGCTGCTGCGGCTCGAGATGTCGTTGCATGCCGTGTACCCGAGCACGTAGTCCATCGCATCGGCTTCGGACACGTTCTTGGCCGCCTTGCCAATCACGACGGCGAGCTCGGCTTCGTAGTCAGCACAGTCATCGAGCTGTGAGAGTTTTGGGAGGACGGTGGGTGCAGGCCATGGATCGCCGAGCGACGTGTTTGGTTTCCTGTACAAGTTAGTTAGTGTCTGAAGCTCACCGTGCAATGAGTCGTGCCCGTTGCCTTTGGGGGGAGTGAAGGAATGGATTATGGAAGTGTGTCACTATCAGATTCGAGACCTACATGAAGACCGTGGGCACCGTGGGAAGAGCCATGTTGACTTCGGCGGCGTGTTGTTTGTACTATCCCAGTCCAATGGCGTCAGTCAGCAACTGCAGCTCTCGCATAGCGCTTGATATGCAGAAGTCATTACCTACATTCAACCCAATGCAGCGGATCGTGCCGACCTCAGACACGCTCAACGGTGACAGAACTCGATCAATGATGGCACTGATGCCGGTGTCTTGGCCCGGAGACAGCACAGAAGTCCCGGAAAAGACCTTGACAGGGACTTCCTGGCCTTTCCTCAGGGCGACACCGATATCAAGGTTGTCATCTTCAGGTTGACCGATGAGAACCTTGGATGGGTCGGATCGAGGCACGAAACGGACAAGACCTAGAGGGCAATTGTGAGCTTCGGTGTGATCTTGTTTGTATTGTTGTTTGTCAAGAGCAGACTCACGTCGGAATGGAGCAGAAGTAGCCATCCTTCTTAACATGGAGGAGTATGTCGCCTAGTTTGACGAGTGTCTTCGGAGGTGACCTGGATGAGGAATTGTTGACAACTGCTCGTTCAAGACGGGCTTCAGTGAAAATGGTGTTGCGGGGCTCAACCGGGGTTCATGCCGCTGTAATTGCTCCCTGTGGCCTCCCCACGCTTCTCGGGGCCCTCATGGCGGGTGGTCGACTGGCCGAGGGTAATTGAGCTTTGTCTGACCATTTCTTGGCAAAATGTCTAGTCGCCGGCCAAAATTCCCCTCCAAAAGTGAAAATAAATGGCAGTCTGCCGAAATGTATTTTGACAGACAAAGAATCGTCCGTCGTGTCCGAGCAATTGCCGCCTGGCCCCAGATCTGCCCAACTCCCCCACAATTCTCGGCTGCTGCATGGGGGAGGCTGCACCTGCCTGCTCACTGCACTGCACACACAGGACATGTTTTCGAGTTTACTATCTGCACCAGCGGCATGTGAATCACTGACACGCTCCCGGACGACTGGCTTTCTGATAGTCCCGTCTGCACAGGGTCTCCAGAAAACAGGGAGCAGGGCTACCTCTGCATGGCAAGGTCTTGACGACGATCAGTGTCTCTCACAGATTGCAATCTCTACTAAGACGGGTACGTTCATTGCAGCACTGGCATACTAGCACCCGAGCCTCCATCTCTCACACGTGTGCGTCTGACCGCTCGGTCGACCAGTTTCCGTCACTGGCACAATGGCGGAGTCCAACGCAAGCGAGTACCGGCAATATCTGCCCGACCTGAGTCAGCCCCGGTTCACGACCATGGCAACGCAGGATGCGCGAGTGTATGCCCATGCGTTCAAAGAAAAGGGCATCCCGCCCTGGCTGCACGCACTGTACCTGCATTGGCTGGAACTTCTGAAGGAGCCGTTCAAAGGCGTAACCAACGATGGTGTCGTGCGACCGGGCCTGTTCCCCGTGCAAGACGAAGGCATCCCGATCGACACCATCGTCGTGACGACCAACCACGCCCTTTCCTTCCTGACAGCCGAACAGCTGGCAAAGCTGTCGTACCACATCGATTCCCCGGAATGGCGGACGTGGTCGAACCCGGAGTTCCTGCTTAGTGACAAGGGCGTGCGGCTCGACGACCTGACGCCCCAGGTGCGGGACAGTATCATGGCAATCCTTCGTGCGACGTTATCCCCGGAAGGCTACGACAAGGCAGTGGCAGCGATGCGCATTAATGGCTTCTTGGGCGAGCTAGTCAAAGCTCCGTCAGTGATGAACGAGTACAGCTACAACTTCGTGCTGTTCGGCGAACCATCGACCACACGGCCGTGGGGCTTCAGCTTCTACGGCCACCATCTGTGCCTGAATATCTTCTTCTACCGAACGCAGATGATCGTCTCGCCTTGGTTCACGGGTGCCGAGCCCAATGAGATCGACGCCGGCGAGTTCACGGGGACGCGTATCTTGCACGTTGAAGAACAGCTCGGTCTCCGGCTAATGCAGTCGCTTTCCCCTAAACAGCAGGGCCATGCCCAGATCTACAAGCAGATGAAGGACCCCGCCATGCCGCGGGGCCGCTGGAACCACGATGATCAGCGTCACCTCTGCGGTGCATACCGCGACAATCGCGTCGTGCCGTACGAAGGCATCCTCGTGTCGTCGATGACCGAAGACCAGCAGTCCCTGGTCCGCGGCATACTGGAACAGTACTTGCTCTACCTTCCACAGCGGGCCCGCGAAATCCGATTGAAGCATATCGAGTCGATGTTCGACGAGACTTATTTCTGCTGGATTGGCGGGTTTACTGACACGGATCCCTTCTACTATCGTATCCAGTCCCATCTCGTGCTTGTCGAATTCGACCATCATTCCGGCGTGTTCTTGAACAATACCGATCCCGCCAAATTTCATATTCACACTCTCTTGAGAACACCTAATGGTGGTGACTACGGCATGGCACTTCGTCCGCAAGTCGAGGGTATCGAACAGAAGTTCTTGTGGAGCGAAGGTGGGAATGAAAGATGAGATCTGAGTTGAGGACTAAGGAAGTCTTTCGAGGGAGTGTACCTTTAACAGAGGATGGGCCAGTGCCGGGCGGCAGTGGAGAGGTGGATGATGATATAGAACACCACATTGGTCTCGGAAGCAAGTTCTTTCCGCAATCACGACACCGTGAGGGCCTGTATTTGTCCATGTTCTCGCCTGGTCTGCCCGCAGGACACTGAAATAGTTCCTCCTTAAAGGCTCTACGAGCGTTAGAACAGGATCTGCATGTCTGATCCAACCGACTGTTGCTAGAACCCCCATACGACTACATTCAACCGTCTATTAATAGTGGCGCTGATCTGACAGAAAGTTAAACTCCACCGTCCGGTCTCCTGGCAGCAAATGCTACCGATTAGGCTATGGGAAGATTCTCTGCAGCTGTCCCAGAAACGACCGGCTGATAGATTGAGGTGTCTTCTTCGAAACTGGACCCGAAACTGACTCTGTATGGAAAGTGAACGACTGACTACTTCGTAACTGTGTTTCCCCATCCATCCTCCAATCATTCCTAGCTGACGCTGACGCTCACCCTCCCTCGAAACACAACCCGAGAAGGAGCGAAGCCTCCCGCTCTGTTCTATTCGAAGACGATTCTAACTGCCTGGATCGTGTTCGGATGGTTCGTGAACGAAACAACCAACGTCTTGCCAGACTCGTCAAAGTACGGATGCGGTACGGCCGCGTAGATACAGCCGCGCTCTTCTACCGGAAGCAGCGGTGTTGCTTGGTACAACATGATGGGCGGTTCGGACCATGGGCCTTCGGGACGCTGGGATGTTTTCAGATGGACGCGCGAGTTCATGAAGTTGTCTGCATCCCTCGATGAATGTCCATTTGCGTTAGCACAAGTAGCCAGGCAGAAGGCATGTATGACGACGTGCGGTAATGGTCGATTAAACATCGGCAGATGATTGGGGCCAGGGGACAAGGTTTGGGAAAGGACTCATGGCCTGAGGGCACCCATAGAACATATGAACCAGCAGTACCACGGACGATAGTGGTCAGTGTCAACTTTGTGGGTGGCAGGGTGGGGGCGGCGACAATGATCTTTCAGGTGTTCTGGCGGAATGAAAAACGTACCGCAATAGATGAAAAAGAAACAGCCAAAATATTCCGAGAAGACTACCTGGCCCTGATTGATTTGCCAAAAGACGCTCTCTTTCTCGCCGATCGCGCTCTTCTGTAGTCGTTCGCGCTGCCAGCCGTCCCCGTTCCAATAGTCGTAGCTTTCAAGCCGGGTGGCCTCTGCGGCAGGCGCACGCGCAACATAGATCCAAGGGTTGCCCTCGCCGCCGTGGCCGTAGGCGTAGATGTACTGTCCCCACCGGAACGCGCAGATGTCGCCGTACCAGGGCTCCGTTGCGCCATCCCACCAGTACTGATGCCGCTGCTGCTGTTGCTGGGACGCTGGGGCAGGGAGACGCTGGATCCGTGGTGTGGGCGGGTACGTCGCTGTGTTGAGTGCCACGGTTGCCACGCCGGCGCCGAGGATGTGGTTGATCCCGCCCGGACGGTGGTTGAGGAGAAAAAACATGACGCCCGAGGTGTCACCATCGGGGCTGGCCGGGGCGTCCACACCGGTGAATGCGGCGGTCGAGACGACGTTGGTGATGCCCAGCGAGTGCTCCGATGGGATCTCGCCCCGCGAGGCGTCCAGTGGGCAGAACTGCTGCGCATATCCGTTCTCGTTGAGAAGAGGGTCGAGAACGACGAGGGGGTCGTGCGTCGCCAGCGCCACAGAGTCGCTGGTCATCCCACGCCATGTGTCGCTGTACTCGGTATCGCTGTACAGGGTGTCTCCGTAGCTCAGCAGGACGTACGCACCCAGTTGGCCCTGAAAGCCGAGGTCTCGCTTCACATAGGTCGTGGCGCTGTGCACATCACCGAGGAAGTCAACGCGCGCGACCTTGAGTGTGGGCGGGTATGGTTTAGGTGGCTTTGATGCAGTCGTGGTGCCGCCTGACAATGCTGTAGTGCTGAGAGGTGTGAACTATGGCTCACAAGTTAGGTGACATTTGATTGACCACTGGTTGGTACCATATGGCTATGCATGCTTGAGTCAACTGGAGGAACCTATGACATTGGACAACAGTGGCGCTCCTACGTGTATAGAGCAACCGCATGCTTCGAGCATGCAAGATGTAGACCTCCGAGCTCGCCCATGGCTCTATACTGACGTTCTGGTCATGAATGCAACATTGTGGAAGGGCCTCCGAAGCCTCGACCGAGTACTGGGAAAAAGCGCACGGGCGGGCTTTCATTGCCACAGATGGGGCGTAGCAACCCGTTCTCCCCGTTTTAGCCCAGGATTGGGAATACTCGACCCTGCAGCGACAATGGCCATGGAGATATAAGTCCCAGCTAAAAAAGAAACAAACAATTGCTGACCTTGAAACGTAGTCGGAAAGGATCAGAGTCGGACGGTGAGCCTGGTCGGTCGCTTTGGGCGGGATGCCCGGTTTCGGATTTCGCGGACACGCCTTCTGGATGGGCAGGATTCGTTTCCTTGTCCAACAGACGATCGAGCTTTCGTCCTGCCCAATGAGACAAGCGGCCCCGGAAGCTGCGTGCATGGTTGCCTGACTCCATAGCGACTATTTGCGCGTTGTTGGAGTGTTGGAGGTGAAGAGAATGTGTCGAGCGAAGATCAGGGACTCGAGGATGTTGCGAACATCGGTGTGCTGTACCTACGTACATTACCCAGGTCCTCGCCGGTCACAGTGGCGCAGACATGCCCAGAGCTACTATATGCATTCGAAGTTAGACTGATCAGCCCGGTAAGTTACTTACCTATAGGAATCTCTCCCGAGAGCCTAGCATCCCGGCACCACTTGAAGGCCATAGAGAGGCTGGGGAGAGGAGAGTGCTGGATCTGTTTCTCGGTCTCTTTCTGTCGACCCTGAATTCCCCCCCCCCCCCCCCCCCCCAAGTCGTGTCTTCAAGGGTTGCCCTCCGCGAGTTATCACTCTCTGCTTAGCTGTCTTGACGAGTACTGTCGATAGGGCTGGCCACATGTATAGTTACGATCCGGCGGCGGCAATATAGAAGTCAATGTTATAGAAGGGTTAAAACATGATTTGATAGCATTTCGGGTTTGTTAAAAAATGGGACGGCGATAGCAAATACGTATGCCCTCTCCGCCACAGCGCTGCCGAACGTTGATTGATTAGCTGGATCCTGATTAAAACTTGTCGGATAAGCTTCAATTTATGCATACTGTTTATAAAGACAATTCCATCAATTAATATCCGGTGTGACACGTAACGGTACCAACGAACATACCTAGTAACACCAACCACATTTGCCGACACCACTCGGGCAGTTCGTCCACACATCGAGAAAGGGCAACTGGCAAATGCCGATATCTCGGATAAAATTGAACTCGGAATTTGCCGTGCTTTGCTTACTACCGTACGGTTTCGCCTTGTCTGGGGCCTCGACACCTTCCCTCACTGTTCTGCAGACATGGCTCAATCCGCATATCAACCAATCTCCATCACTCGTCGGGGTCTCGTCTTAGCATCAATCGTTCCCTCATATGCTTTGTTCTCGTATCAATCCAACTCTAGACAATGCCATCCAACCTAAATCCACCTCGTCCAAAGGTACATCGATGGGTTGACGACATATGGCCAGGCGGGCAACCTGTACAATCATTCTCATCCACAAGGTCTAGCCGTTCTTTGGTTCGTCGCTCCCATTTGAGAAGAAAACCAGACTCAAGTTCCCATGGTAAGTTGACCGCATCCCCACTCGTGGTTACGGCATGCTATTGCTGATATGTCAAACACCGTTCGGAAGATATATTCAGCAGGGATATTGTCCGACACGCCGTATCCATTCGGTCTTGGCATCAATCATATGGTGATCAATGCACGCAGGGCTTCGATCAACTTTGCGCTTGGTGATTCCGTCCTTCTTGCCTCCGCCTGTCTACACTCGAGCGCGCTTGAACCCTTTGGCTTTGCCGGCCAGGCCTGCGTTGTTCAGATAAAATCGGCCGAATACGAAAAGCCTCGGAATTCTTCTTGGTGAGCCGGCGAAAGAACTGTGCGAGACAAGTCAGCATCATTGAATCATGCGAATACAGTTTAGACTTACCACTTTGCACCGGTGTCAGCACAGGGGTTACGCTGGTGAACTCCTGGTCAAAGTTGCTGGTGTCCTTCTCGTTTTTGATGGTGGGTTTGAAGGGCGTGGGTACGCGCTTGTAATAGATGTCATCCCAGTTGATTCCTTTGAAAAAAGCATGGCTCATGACCTCCTGGGCATCACCGGGTCCGCTGCCCAGGCGCAGTTCCGGCTCCCTGGTGAGTAACTTCTGCAGGATGGACACACTGTCACGGGGCATATGAATGGGATACAACGGTTCGTCGGCGAGAATAGCGTCATAAATCTCATCTTCGTCCTCACCCCGGAACGGTGACTGTTGTAGCAGCATTTGGTAGATAAGTACCCCAAACGCCCACCAGTCAACAGCACGACCATACTTCTTGTCCAAAAGAATTTCGGGAGCCATGAATTCGGGCGTGCCGCAAAAGGTGGATGTTGTGGACCCATACCACATATCCTCTTTGCAAAGACCGTAGTCGGCAATCTTGATATGGCCGTCCAAGGTCAACAGGATGTTGTCCAATTTCAAATCTCGGTAGATGACGCCGTTCTCGTGGAAATACTTGAGAGCCAAGCATACCTCAGCGGCATAGAACTGAGCTCGCTTAAGGCCAAACTGTCCTCGCTGAATGTGCAACATCAGATCTCCGCCGGAAATATACTCCATGACGAAATAAACCCTAGTTTCCGTCTGGAAGCAAGCATGCAAATTGAGCAGGAATGGATGCCTCTCCTTGTTGGCAATCAGGAAGACCCGCTTCTCGGATTTCGTAGACTCAACTTCGTCATTTTCAATGATGAATTCCTTCTTCAACACTTTGATGGCGTAGAGTTTCTTCGAGCTCTTGGCCTCTGCGAGCATGACCTTCCCGAAGTTACCCTTACCCAAGACTGCCAGGAAGTTGAAGTGGTCCAAACCAATTCGAGGTCCCGAGCCCCGTCCTGAAGGTGGCGTGGCAACTTGTTGTTGCTGGGATGGGGCGGGCTTGACGGGCACGGGTGCATAACTTGGCTGGGTTTGCTGGGCTCTTTGCTGAGGAATAGGCGGCTGCTGTGGAGCTTGGTGTGGCATTTGCGGTTGTGTTGGCTGCCGATCATACTGCTGATACGCGCGAGGATCATACGAGGCATGAGGTGGCTGCGCTTCTGGAGCCGGGGGCCTTGCATTGGCGTACCGATCAACGGCAGCTTTCTGCGGGCTATAATCAGAGTAGCTCTGGTGGTATGGCTGGGGTGGAGGGCGACTGGTAGCAGCTGCCGCAGCTTGAACCGCTACCGAGGACACGGGTCGATGGGGGATCGGTCTTTGCTGCTGCTGAGATTGAGACTGCGTAGTTTGATTATACAATAATGTCTGAGCCGCACTCTTTGCTGCAGCTGACGGCTTCGGAGGCTCGGGAGGATGATGATCATAGGATTGGTTTGAGAGCTGCGGCGTCAACGCGGTTGCCTCCGAGGTGTAACTCTGGGTGGGAGACGCAGGGCCTGGTCTGCCGGAAGTCGGCCTCAATGTTCGGCCGCTCATTCCAGAACTAACGGAGGAGGACTTGTTGTGATTCTTCGTCCTTTGGATAGTCTCGAGGATCTCGTTGGCCACAATCATAGACATGCCGCAAAAGTCAGGGACAAGATGCTGACAATGGGCGTGGCAGGTAAGACCACACTCCGAACACCGCTTCGCATTGCGCCTTCCAAGCGGCAATAGATAGCCGCAATGGCAACACCAATTGGCTCCGATGTTCGAGAAGTTGTCGAAACGATGTGGGATACGGTGGTTGATCTTCTCTTCGTCCGGATCTGTTTCGTAGTTCGCCTTGCTAATGCATTTCGTGACGACTTTCGGATAGCACTTGGTGTGACAGGTGTATTTGCAATCGGCGCATTGCATGCCGGCGGAATACTTGAGGAAATCACCGCATAACGCACAGCGCATGACGTTGTAGAATTGTTGCTTGACAAATTTGTGCCCTTGCTTCTCATGCACTTCCTCCTTCTTCTGGCGGACAGCACCTTGACGATTGAGACCAATGTCGAACGGACGTCGAGCCCCTGTCTGTTTCTGAAAACTCATCGTAAGGTGGATTCTGCCGGCTGGTTCGAGGGAGAACCAAGAGTCAATCATGAGCGGTTGGGCGTTCTGAGGGAAACCAGCCGCCGGGCCAGCGCCAGCCGCGTCTCCAGGAGGCATGGAGGGAGCAGCCTGAAGATCGGGCCCTGCTTTACCGGGGCTTCCGCCGTTGGCCATCTTGTCAGCCGGCACCCATCCGTTTTGGTTGAACTCAGATTCTATCTTTTTCCGTCGCATCTCTTCCGCAATATCTGAAATGCGGATCCAGAGAAAACCAATAGGGGTCGGTCGGTCGCCAGCCTTGTCATAAACCGTCAATTCTATCTCGTTCGCTTTGTCGATGTCAACATGATGGATCTCTTCTGTCCATTTGTCCGTCCGTGTTGCTCTAGTTTTGGCTCGAATGTTGTCCTCTACTTTCATGATGACGAACGTTTCCGGGCCCCTCGAAAACCGTGACGATGCCGCGTGATCCACGTCCTTGATGGCATGGATGCGCATCTCCAGGTGCCCGGTCAATGGTTTTCGCATGTTGGGGGCGTTGAGGCTGTCATCTGTATTCATTTAGTCTTTGCCGGAGGGACGGTGCCAGGATTTCCCACTCACCGTCAGCTACATCTGTTGACTCAATATCGACATGCAGATCCATATATCTCTTCAGCGCCTGTTTGAGCAACTGGACTTTCTGGTTGCTTTCAATGCGACGGCCTTCTGCATCGAGTCTGCTTTTCCTGTCCCCTTCATCTTGATACAAGCGCACCATTTTCTCGATGCCGGCTTTGTATTGCTTCTCTACCGACAATTTGAATTCAAGTTGTGAGAGCATAAGCTGGATTTTAGGGCCGAGGTATGGGGTGTCATATTTGATCAAATCTGAAGTGACGCGTGAGCACATTGGAAACGTCCTCAGGATCGAAGCGACATACCTAATTTTGAGAAATTCGGGCGCGCTTTGGGGATGGGAGCAGCGTAGGGCCTGGGGTCACCGTAGGGAGCCCGTGGTGGCATCATGCCAGTACCGCCCTGGCTGTACCCGCCGGGGCCAGGGTCTCCATAGTCGCCTCTGTCGCCGGTAAGATACCCTCGCTGGTCTTTGGGAGGAGGAGTAGGGCCGCCTCCCGCGGGGTACTGTCGCGAACCGCGACCATCAGAAGTCTGATAGCCCGCTCCGCCATGAACAGGCGGAGCGGGAGCACCGTCGTCATTTACACCGCCTCGCTTGCGAAGTTGTAATTCCTGCAATTTGTCTTCCAAGTAGCTAATGTTCCGTCTTCCATCGCGGATGTTGCTGTCGACGCGGGCCTGTACTGCGGCATTGTTGGTCGACTGTCGCATATGAGTGGCGGCGTTGATTAGAGCCTTTTCCCGCTCGATTTTGCGGTACACCTCGGCAATGGCCTGGTCGGTGTCGGCCATGATTGCAAAATCGCCGGGCGCCCAAGATTGTGATCGACGGTGTAATGGCTGTCAGGCTTCAAGTTCAGTGTGCACCAGAGTGCGAGGTCATGGGCCAGATCGCGTGTGAGTGAGATCGCAGGGCCGGAGTGGCATTTGTTGACGAAGACGGGGCAGGCTTCGAGGAGAAGAATGTGCTCGTGGTATCGAGGTTCGGTTACGGTCAAGGCGATCTGAGATAATCACATTAGTTATTGAGAAAGTGCAATTTTGGCCACGGCGTCGATGTAAAGATGTAACATGCAGGCCTCAGTTTGTAGTGGTGGTGAGCAGCGAAAATGATGTGTAGGTGTAGTGTAGTAGCGAGTTAGGTAGTTGATAGGTGATGGTGATGGTGGTGGTCGGGTTCCTCGTCAAACTCGCCCGGTCCACCTGCGCTGTAACTGCGACTGAGACTGACTGCGACTGCGCCCACTCACTCACTTGATGACTATAGCTGACAACAACTGTCCGCAAAAGCTTGCCACGCCCGTCTGCTTCTTTGCCACGCTCGAATAGCGAAATCGGAACCCTCCGAATCGAAGTGAATAATGGACGGCCTCGATAAGAGGAGGGACAACAATATTATTTTCACTCTACTTTAGGCCCGAAAGATAACCAGGAAGAGGGGGTTATGCAGTGACATGTTGGATGTGATGATCCTTCTGCTTCAGGTTGCCCGGTGGTGAGAGGCAACCGGAAGGGCCAGGTCGCTCAACGCAGCCTCCCTAGCCACTCCTCATGGTTCCCGTACCTACCACCACCACTTAAAGTGCCTAAGATGGTTGGCTTACTGGGGATGTGCCTGCAGCTGCATTGTGTTGACTGCATTCATGAGGCCGTGTCAGGCGGGAAAGGGACAAGCACAACACCACATGCGATGTCAAAAGATACAACATCCACGCCCAAGACAGGCTGACGAGGCCGCATGATTGGGTTCGCATCCTCGTCAACTCGGGCGTCCCTGTCGATATCTCGTCATTGAAGGCTTAAACTTGCCTGCTACGTGGTCGGGTTGTCCCTTTCATCTAAGCAACAAGCAGTGTGCTTTTAGAGTTGAAGCATGGCTCGCGTCCAGCTATATTCATATCCGTACTGAGTCTGATCAGACCAGCCACTGCGCAAATCCAGTGGTTCAGAGCCTGAAGGAACCCTAGGACAGATGTCTTTTTGCGCCGCCATCCCAGTGCCATGTTGCGCCTTGGCTTGGCCACGCTGTACTCTGGACTCCCTCTCGCCCATCACGACCAGTCTGTCTGCGCCCCGCCGACTACCGCCACTCCACTCCACCATCCATCCATCACGCCCGTCAAGCTTGATCGATGCTCGCAACGCAGCCCTATGGCGGAAACCGGGAGCATCACCAGATAAAAATCTTAGGTACTAACGGCCACCAACCCTCGAGCCTGACCGAGACAAGCCAAACACTATACATTTACGAGCACCTGGCATCCCCACACCTCTGTCGCCGTACCTAATTTAGCACTTGACCCTGCAGCGTTCATTTGTTTTGGCCACAGTGCGGCTGAGATTTGAGACTTGGGTCTCAGACAGGGTCAGGGTTGGCTTCGGAATCTGAGAGCCGTGGGGTGATTCATTATTGCACATGAGTGCGACCCATGGCCACCTGAGAATGTGTCTGCATAACAAGGTAGCCAGTAATACTGCCATGCCGTTCTTCAACGACTTCAACAGTCATGTTTACGTTCTGTTTCAATTCCAGATACAGAAAGTATGCCCGGCCGTTGTGTCTTGTCTATTGACTGATCTTACAAGCACAGGCGGATTATCGCAGTCACTTAGTATGCCATCCCATTAAATCAATCCCCGGCAGGTGCGGTTCCCATGACTCCTCGCCCAAAGAACTCGCTGACCGTACCGAACCGATGCTGACTCCTCGCTAATGCTGCCTTGAATAAATCGTGCTGCTCGGTGCTTTCCAGTTGCTGCCGTCGGATAGCGCGTATCGTGTCATTGCCAGGTTTGCAAAGAGGACATTCGACATTGTCATCTTCATCAATGCCTGCTCCCGGCTTGTTCAGGCATTCTTGATGAAATGAATGTTTACACATGAAATGGACCGTTGGTAGGGTCAGGTTTCGGCTGCAGGATGAGCACCGCCGCGCTTGGAACACTAACGGCTTCGACCCGAGATCGGCAAGTTCGGACTTCTTCGAGGCGGTTTCCGTGCGGTATGAGTCGATCAGACGTCGGTTGGCTTGGATTTCCTTTCGCTCTCTGGAAATATTATCCGAAAGATAGGACTTGACCATACCCATGGTCACGGCGCCTCTCTGCGACAGCACTTTTACTACTTGAAGGGGCGCCATCAGGTTCTCCTGGTCGATCTTGCGGAGCACATTCTGGAGTTCTTCCTTGACCCCTGGCTCTTTCAATACTTCGGCCGACGAAGAGAAATAACCAAGTGCAAGCGGATAGAGCGACGGATCTTTGGAGCCGTATTTTCTGAGTGATGATATAGCGCCGGACGTGTCCTTTGCAGATGTGTACGATCGGAATATGTCGGCATATAAATTCTCCCGTTCGCGCACAAGTGTTGTTCCTGCTGGAAATTTGGAAAGAGATGACAGCAGCAGCACATTGGAAGTATCAATCGATGACTCATCAAGCGATTCTGTTTTGTTATCAGCAATTAGACTGATGGCTTTCACCTGCCACTTTTCCTTCTCTGTATTGTCTGTGGCCGAGTTTGCCGCTTCCAGATACATTTCGAAAAGCGTGGTCGACAAGTCCGAGCTGTCCTCCTTCGACAGGTTCGGTTGGAGTATGAGAGCTTCCAGAAAGGTGATGAATTTAGAGGGGTGAGCGAGAAACGAAGAAAAGGCGCTCCGGGGCCGTGGTACGGTGTAAGCGGCGGGCCGTAGCCCATCAGGCTCTGAAGTCTGATCGCTGTCCGTCTGTTCCCTTGTTGCCGAAGCCGCGACATCTGGAACGGAAGATCGGTTCATGAAGGGTAGGGTCCAAAGGGCCGAGAGACTTTGGAAAGCGCTTCCACCAGTCTGTGCCTGAACCTCCGACACGGCTGGCACATCCTTCTTCGGCGCGTAACGCCCGGTATAGTACTCGATAAAGAGCTTTGTCGTCTCTTCAGGACAATGTTCAATGAGGCTGCGTGCGTACTTCATCAGCACCGGATATGCTGAGCTGGCGTCCAGACGCCAGATATACTGCAACGCTTCAGCGTACTTCCTGGAGTCTTCTATCAAAATGTCGATGACCAACTCATTCTCGCCGTGTTTCGTGGCAAGGTATGCAGCTTGGTCAAAATAGCCTCCCTGACGACACATTGCGATTGCGGTCTCAACATCGAACTTTGCAGTTCCAGGGGCGCGTATAAAGGCGTCCAGTTTTTCTGTATCTTTCAATTTTGCGTAGCAGTTCAAGAGTAATGTCGTATGATCGGCCGTTGCCCTGTCGTGCTCGTGCAATTCTTCGAGGTAATCAATCAAGTTATGTATTCGTTGGGTGTCAAGGAAGCGCCGAATGACCTGCGAGGGCTCGGTATTCTCAATGGCTCTCAGATACTGCTGCATAGCCGTGTCGTAATCGCCCTTCTGATAGAGGTAGTCGCCATACTTTCGGAAAATGATATTTTGTTGGGTTTTGTCGGCCCCGGACTTTTGTGCGAGGTTGATGGCATAGAGGTACAAATGCCGCTCATACAGAATTTCGAGCTTCTGTTGCAGGGGTTTCTCCTGATATCTATACAGCTGCACGGGCTTAGCAAAGGCAGCATTTCGTTGATGTCAGAACCCACCTTGCCATCCACCGTCAGCAGAAATAACTCTTCCCATTCCATGAAAACGTCCTTGACCTGCGTAGGCAAAGACTCATTGTGGGCGATGTACTTGAGGTCGGTGTCAAGTAGGGTGAAAGAAGAGCTGCTGAATAATTGATCAATCTCGTCACCTCCAAGTTTCCTGAAGGTCTTGGATTTGGAAACTTGTGCTACACGTGGTGGACAGACGATAGCAACATACTCCTTGTACATCTTCACAGCCTTCTTTGGGCCTTCGAAGGCATAGCTGGGCCCTCGTCCATTCGGACCATAGTAGTAAATCGCATCTTCTCGAGCAACCACGATGTCTTCACCCTCAACATCTTGTGTCATGCAGCCAACATTACAGCCCCGATTGTCGACAGTTCGGACTGGTTGACCCTGGCCTTTGCCGGATATTATGAGACTGCAAATCTTGGCCGTTGTCGCAATGTATAGTACTTTGACCGGGCCTTGTCTGACTTCCAAGCCTGTCACCGGATCTTCCGACTCAAAGACTGTTCTCTGTCGCGTCCCTCGATCGTGAACAAAATCACCCCGTATGACAGTCACAGATCCATTAGCGAAGCCAACAGCGGCTTGACTCAAGTCATCTAAGACCACCAAGGCCGATACCTGCAAATCTCAGCATTGGGCTAACAACCAAGAGCCAGTGTTCATACGGGGAACTGTCTCCTCCCATTTTGGACCGCAATCGTGCAAAGACACCGAGGGGCTCCCGTCTTCTTCTCCGTCTTGTCCAAAGCCCAAACTTTGAGGAGGGGATCGCTGGACAGGTTTTCGGATATGGTAACGAGGATGGGAGTATTGGGGAGTTGCCTCAAATGGGTGACTGGCGCATCTGCGACGTCTGAGGCTCGAAAGCTCCGGACGACTTTCAGAGCACGAGAGAGAATGCGGACCGAGCCATCGGAGTTTCCAAGAAAGAGAGAGTCGTAACCAGTCGTCAACGAAACAACATCATTCTGTGAATTGCATTAGGCGGTAAAACATTGCACAGAGTCCGTAAACATACATCAAAGACATACGACCCGTCCTCGTCGGCGGGGACAGGCACTTGAGTGACGTTGAAGAAAGGGAATTCTTTCCAGCTCGTGAGCGCCATTGCTTCTCACACTGTGTGTTTACGTATGAACATGAGATTGTCCATCCCAGAGCAGCATCTAAGTTGCAAGGTGGACCGTTGACTAGCTCCGGTGAAGGCAGGAATTCCAAGATGGTAGAGGTACATACTCTATGCTGGTGAGAGCAACGCAGTGTCGATCATGCGATGCACACTCTGCTTTCAGGCGCATATCCGGCGGAGCATTACTACCACCTGCACAACCCGCTAACCAACTTCAATGGCGTCAACATGGTAGTGAGCCAAGTATCGTACTGGGGGACCAACTACCTACATGTAGGTATGTAGTGTCCAGCACAGGTCTGGATGTCTCTTAATGGAGGCCACTGTTCTCAACAAGGCTGATTAGTTGTTACAGAATGTGAAAGATCGTCCGATCATCATCATCATCAAGGGAAGCATATACACAATCATGAAGATCTATTGTTCCCAGCTGAATCTCCGACCTTGATAACTATGCCGTGCCGGTGTTCCTGTGGATTCCTCTTCTCCGGTAGCACCCAGGCCTTCTTCCCGGAACCTGCTTCCAGTACTCGGCGAGCGCGACGGCGGACGTCCATGTAGCTGTGGTACGATGAGAGTATCGTTCTGTAAAGGAATGGTGTGCGGCGCTTGCGAGCCTGCTGTCCCAAGCCCCGAGGTTGCCTCTGGAGACACAGGACTCGGCATACTCCCGGTCTTACCGTTGCTTGACGTCCGGGAGTGTCCACTACTTGCGCCGACTGGGCTGATGCCCTGCTCGCTTGAAAAGCGTGTTCCAAGCCCGCGGCTATCCATGAAGCTGTATGGACTCACACTGCTGCTGAAACGGTTGTTGATGAGTTCGGGAGGTGAGTATGGCGGTACAGGAGACCCAGATAAATCACTGGTAGTTATGTCGTCGTCTTTACACGTCGATCTGCGGTGCTCACGCTCTGCAGGATCCCGGGGGACGTTACCTAACGCGGTGGACCCTCCTGGGCCTCCTGCCTGGCCGTTTGCGAGGAAGCTCGGCGGTACTGGTGCAGCAGGCATTTCGGTGGGCGTATCTCCCGGTAACTCGAACCGAGTAGCTGAATGATCTGCAGGGACTTCGGTGGGATGGCGCTTGTCACCAAGCAGTTCAGACACCGAGATCTTCGACCCTGGCGGACGGTGTAATCTACCAAGAAGACTTCTTCCCTTGGGTTTTTTGCCAGAGACACCATTCTTGGGGACCTTCTTCCTCAGGCAGAACGTCCATATAAGCATCAGGGCTGCTAAAACGCCCACCGCGGTGCCTACCCCGATTCCTGCCTTTGCCCCGGTAGAAAGACCGGATGATTTTGAGGGGTCAGGTCCAGGCCATATGCTGTTATCAGGTCGCGAGATTGACTGGAGGTTGACATTATTGACCGCGTCCAGAGTAAATACCGCTTGCGAGATGGTAAAGTTGTTGCGTTCATAATCCACCATCAAATATGTCTCCTGTAAAAAAGCACGTCCGATGGTATACTGGGTCGAATTAGCCGCTCTTCTCAATGGGAAGTAATTAGTAGGCGGTGACGTAAAGTTAGCGTTTAGATTTGGAAAAGGATAAGATAGCTGGAGATTGAATGCCTCGTACGGCAACGTTAGTTCGATGGCGTCGGAGGATTCAATCAGATCAGTGACGGTGAAACTAAAGGTTAGGTTCCAAGCTGCGAGAGCATCCGGAGATGAACTGTTGTCATCCGGGAAAACATATAGTTGTAGGTTGTCGTCGTAAGTCAGATTGAGTGCGGACGCAATGGAATCACACACTGTTTCTGGAAGCCATAAGAATGGCGTGGAGGAGTCAATCGTGAATAAAGCAGCCTGGGGCCTGGCGAGAAGTGTCTCCGGATTCGATACCCAGTTGGAAGGTAACGAGTCGCCTTGCAAAGGCGAACATGAGACCGATAGCGAAGTTACAGCAACAACGGGCGCATAGTCCGAACTCAGCGAGAATGTAATATTGTTTGGAACGAATCGATTAGCGTCGACTCCTCCAAACGTCAACGAAGCTGGAACGCTCTTGAGTCCTGTTGTGCCTTTTTAGCAGACACAACTTGAGATGAACAGCAACAGAACTTACGATAGTAAGCTCCCGCTGTGTAGCCATAACTGTGACTGGGGATCAAGCTCGCATTCTCCACCAGGCTAGACAAGAGAGGGAGAAAGTTCTCTGTGCCGTCAAATCGTGTTTCCTGGGCCCCGAGACCCAGACTCCCAAGCCAGTAATCAGTTGAATTGACCACTGCAATGATCTGATCAGGAACGGATGCCACATCGTTGAGGTATATGGTGTCCAGACCATAGTACCCAACTCCTGAAGTTTCAAGCTGAGAGTCGAAATTCAGGTCGTAGAAGCCTCTCGGCTGAAATGTAGAAGATCCGTTTGCGTAGAACAGGCCTCCTCTTTTTGACTCGCATGTAGAGGTCCCATCGCAGCCAGCGGGCCCTACCAGCCATGTCTCCTGGCTCAGTGTGCTCGGAAGAACAGACAGCCACTGCTCTGGCGAACCAACGCGGATACTGACGGCAGACCATAGACCATCGTAGCCAAAGAAATCGGTGGTCGTTGTCGCGACAATGGGTTGAGGGGGTGGCCTGGTAGCGCGACAAGGCCGCAGAAGGAGACCAACTGCGATCAAAATGGGGAATTCAATCAACCAAGCGAGGAGCGGTGTTTGAATTGATCTCGCGAAGCGCATCGTGTTGCGAACGGTTGTCGCTGAAAGGCCATTGGCACATTGAGGACTCGTGTTGAACAGTAGGGTTCCGGCGTGGGATGCCTCAACCGAAAGTCGAAGGCGGCGCCCTAGGGCGACAGGGCATCCGACTCGGAAGAGATAGGCACGCAAAGGTGGCCGTGAGTAAAGGTAACGTTATGGACAGAGGAGAGGCGATTATGTTCAAGAATATCAATGCATGTGATTGAGAAGGCAGTAAAGAGAATGAAATAATCGAGAACTTGAACTGCGTGCTGTGCGTGCGTCAATGGGACGCGAGGATAGGGAGGAGACCTCACAATAATACAGTACGTACCTACCTACAGGTACTATCTTAGGGTTCAAATAGCGTGATTCCGGAGCAGGGCTTGCATGTCCGTCCTGCGGCCGCTTTGGCTGGCGATTGAATACAGTCCGGGAGGCGCAGGGACCATCCAACTATGCCCGCGCCCCTCCACTATCCAGCCTGCGCCGTGCTGCGAGCTTTGTGACCAGCATGACCGACTGTTAACGCGGATTTGTAACGGCTCCAATTTCAACAATTTGTTCTGTGTGCCACCCATCCACGGCGTGAGTGGTAGTCATCGTCCAAGTATGCTCTTCCAACAGCACATACCCATATACGCACCGTACTCGCCTAGACAATACTAGTACTAGCTGAGAACGTTCTTGCTGTTCCCTACGTAGATGAATCACTAACCGTACTATCCAGTGTCTACCTTATGTAAAGCAGCAGGCTTCTTCATGAATCATGGCCGAAGTGGGCGGTGGATAATTGCAGGTGAAATTCCGTAAGGACAAGAATGCCGCAAGTGCCTCTCGAGCCTCGTTCTCTTAGTACATCGGTGCTTACATAATGTTCTGGCCAGCTGATGTTGAAGGGAGAGTTTCCTCTACGCACTCGTGCGCTCTACACGCCGAATAGCACAAGACAGAGCCAGTGAGAGAGCAGGGGAAGTTCGAATAACAGAGGCGATAGCACAATTGGTAGTGGTGACTCGCAATGAAGCGCGTGATACATATGGCAATCCATACCTAAAGAGTGGACAAAACATTGATGAGGAGTATCTGTCCGTGATGGCAGTGCTTGACTGCCGATGCTGGGACCCTTGCAGCGGTGACTTTGGCGAAGGTGCAGCGTGTTGACTTAAAGGACAGTCAGGCAAGCGACGGGCTGGTGGGCTGATACCTTCTTAGGTAGGTGATTGGCAGAGGGTTGACAGTGATCCTTCGAATGGGGAAGACGGCTGTTTGTTTTGTCGATGTGTAAGATAGTACTGATAGCGTATGATGTTACCTTCTGCCTTGTCGATGGCGTCCGGAGGTATGTCCCAAAGCTGGCTTGACCGCGACGATGAGAATTGTATATCTGGTTGAAGAATGCCTCAGGAATCCTGAGCACCGGATAAGAAAGGCTGAACTAGATACTACTAAGTACTACTCGATGGAAGTCAGGGCGCTCATCTGCAGCATTCCGTTTTTGGCGGCAGGTCGCTCGTTCCAGATTGATAACTCGACACGCGACGGTCGGGGACACGTAATGGACGCGCCATCCCGGCTTTCAGCTGGGGTGGTAAGCATTTTATTATTGGCCGTACTCTTTGGTGATTAGGGTTCACCGCGAGATAGTACGTACACTAAGGTAGGTACTACGTAGCTACCTTCCCTTAAACAGGCCCTGACACGGGGCCGCCCGGCGCCATGTGGCTGTAGGGGCCTTAGCCGAGGAAGCCTCCGATCAATAGGGTATCTTGCGACATGATTGGTTAAGCTTGAACCTGACCCACTTCAGTCTCTTATAAGCAAGCTAAGGTACGTTTGAAGGGCACTGCGATTTCGGCGAAAGGCTCGTGGAGTAAAGCCAACTCTTTCACTACCTAGGTATCTACAACCGACTGTGTACTCACGAAGCCATACTTTTGAGTTTCCAGTTGAGATGCAGATGCCCCTTTAGATTCAGTGCACCGTATTTTTCTTGACCACACCTCTTGCAAACTCGCCAAAGTTCAGCCCCGACACCAGATCGACCGGTTCATCCAGATTCGGTTGGGTAAACACTGCCAATGTGTTTCTAGCAATTCTGCTTCCAGGTGTGCAGCTCATCGGATTCACTCCCTTCACGAAGTGCGGCACCGCCTTGAATTTCCCTTGTGTGATCAACTCTAGTGCCTCTCCAGTCTGGAATGCCAGACAATCTTCTGGAATAGTAACCTTGTGTACCTTGCCTGAGCGTGATTGGATATATAGTCCTGAAGTCGGATCTGGTGGTGTCGGTAGTTCCAGGAGCTCTGCGGAGGATTCATCAATGAACATAGCGTTGGTCAACCCTGTGAGGCACCCGTGATCAAGGTGAGTTGTACACCAGTAATCGTCTACCCCGTTCTCCTCTTTCTGCGTTTCCTCTGCCATGCTGTCGTTCACTCCATTCGGGTGTCCATTAATCCCCGCATGCTCAATAGGAAAGTAGTGTAAGAGTCTCGCCTTCGTCGTTTGGCTCTGTTTCACCACTCTTTCAAGGTACCCAGCCTCATAACCTTCTATCTCCGCGCTCGCGAATCGATCGCACGCTCGTGCCACAAGCACAGCCGTGTCTATGATCAGACTTATGAGCTTTTCGGCATCGGACCGAAACCCAGGAATGTCGACATCGTTCGGCCATATATTTGCCGCCGTATACTCTTCGAAACCAGGAAACTTCATGCCATCTGCACCATTGAGGGTTGGATCTTGGTAGAAGGCGCAGTTGATATAATAAGAGCCCTTGGATGTGTCGATGGTGCCGGGACTTAGTGTTTCGACTCCGTGGGACCATCCCACCAAATATTTCGCATCCGGGTTCCTGAGACGAAGTAAAGTAGTGGAGGGTAGGGCAGCGAGATGGGAGGCATTGAGCAAAACGCGGCGCCTCAGCTGGAGGAACGCCGGTGAGAGGTCACGGACGACAAGGATACCGAGGGAGTCAGGACCAAATGCTTGCGTTAGAGTTGCAGCAGAGACTGTATTGGATCCGAGGTCGGCGAGGGAGACGGTGACCGGAGTGGCGTGTTTTACAGCCATTGTAGTTACAATAGACGTGTAGATGAGAAACGAGGGGGGAGGCGCCTGCGGTGGAATGTGTGTGGTAGACAGCCGCGTGTGGTAGGAGGTCAAAGCAGAGTAAACTGGGAGATATGAGTTTTGGAACTGGTCTCAGTATCCTGCAATACAAATATACCTGAAGTGAAGAAATTCGGAGTGATGTTTCGCCCAGGGAGTAGGAAAAGGATCTTCATGCTGTGCACATGGTACATTATTGACATACCGGTACCCTGTTACCTTATCGGTGGAGAGTGTTATCCAGAACTCGCGGTCGCCGCGAGGGGCTGGGCGAGAACAGTTGACATTGCTTTGCAAAAAGGGTCTTAAGCCTGAGTGGCTGTCGTATACACTATCAAATTGGCAGTTTCATCACTATCGCTACAAGTTGCGCCATCTTAGAATGCGATGAACTGAGAGTCTTATCGGCGCTTGTGAAGGTGGGGAAGGACCTTATTCTTGGACTATATAGGGGCATATATTTGGCACAATTTTATTGGGTGTCGAATACGACAACCAATAGTAGCATACAGATATGGACCCACTAACCCCGGATAACCCTCAAACCCCGAGAGAGTTCCAACAAGATCTCAACTGGGTAGTAACGATCCTGAAAGCGGACGCACGGATGGTACAGTATTTCTTAGGTGGCCACCCTCTACTATTACGAAGGTTAGCGATTGCTGAGACCCTAGTAATGGCTGGTAATTGTTATCTTTCAACGTTTTGTTATCCTTGCGGGTGGGGCCAGGACAAGATGATATACATAACGCCCTCTCACTGATTCTTATCCTGCCTTGCATGATCCAATGTCCACTCAGTCATCCATTGGAGGTAATTCGGGGTTTCGTCTTCCGCAGACCGCGCTTGACCACCTACCTATGTATTTAATCAAATTGCTACTTCTCGTTCTGCAAGCGTTAACCTGCATCCTATGACCTCGGGTTCTCGAACCGATCAGTCATCCATTTTCTGAAAGTATGGCTTCTACACCACCGCCTGCACCGGCCACTGGTGTGGAGGAAGATGGCCTGTCCATCCCCGTAAGTGCCACCCTGACCACGGCAACGCTATGGAAATATTCTGAAATGTGATTTCCAAGTTCACAGGTCATTGACTTCTCCCTCTTCCTACATGGAGATGAGAGCTCCAAGCAGAGCACCGCCAAGGCAATGCTTAATGCATTTCAGAAAAGCGGGTTCCTCTATCTCTCAAATTCGGGAATCTCGCCAGAAACCGTCAAGACCGTGTTTATTCAGTCAGCCAAGTTCTTTGATCGCCCCGAAGAGGAGAAAGATGCCCTTGCGTGGGACCGGCCGGAGTCAAACAGAGGTTATGTCGCATTTGGACGGGAGAAGGTGACACAAGCTACTGACCCTGAGGAGATCAAACGCCTTCGGGCAAGTAATCCTGACTATAAGGAAACCTTGGAAATCGGTAGAGAAGGTGTCGAAGGATCGCCAAATCACTGGCCCGATTACGATGAACCCGGCAAGGAGTTCACGAAGGTCATGAAAGCATTCCACCTGACGTGCAAAAATCTCCACATCCAGTTCATGCGCGCCATCGCCGTGGGTATGGGATTTCCGGAGACCTTCTTTGATGAATACACCAAGGGCGGAGACAATAACCTACGCTTGCTACACTACCCTCAGCTCCTCAAGTCTGTCTTCAAGGACAACACGGAGGCGGTCAGGGCGGGCCACCATTCGGACTACGGCTCGGTCACTTTGCTATTTCAAGATGCTGTTGGTGGCTTGGAAGTCAAGTCGCCACAGAACACCTGGGTCCGGGCAACGCCCGTCCCCGATACAATTGTGATCAATGCAGGAGACTTACTGGCGAGATGGAGCAATGATACGATCAAAAGCACCAACCATAGGGTCGTGCAACCACCTTGTGAGCCAGAAAGTGACATGTATCCTGAACGATACAGTGTGGCATATTTCTGCAACCCAGACTTTGACAAGCTCATCGAAGCACTGCCGGGGACGTATGCTACTGATGCTGACAAGAAGTACCCAGCGATAAATAGCGGAAACTATCTGACTCAGAGACTGGCGGCTACCTATTGACCTGGCTTCGGGGTCAATAGCTTTTGGTATTGGCTCAAGTTATACATGCTGAGCATGGGAGTACGACGCAAAAGCAGATTTATTCGTATTTTTGATAGCCCCCTCCAATCAATGTAGGCTAGAGACCAGAAGAGAATATGATTCAAGACAATAATACGACTGCAACCTGTAATAAGGGACTCTTGGTCGTGCAACTTTTCCTGTCTACGGGTGTACTGTTAGAAGAAAATCCAGGAACTCCAGGTTACCCAGGCTTGGACTTCTTATCGTATCAGCGTGCTTAATTGGCAAAGATAGACAAGTCACAGCCGTTGAGGGCGAGAAGACTGCGCCAAACTCTTGATCGCATTTCTGTTGAAGCAGGACAAATCGATCTATGTTACTCTTGCAGCGCTACACCTCAGCCCTGGAATGATCGCCTGTGCAGCCGGCAACAGCACATATCTCCGGCAATAGGTCAGTATCAACCCTCAACTCCTTGAAGACGATTTCGCCCTTTTCTTTTGGCATCAGCCTCTGATAGACTTTTACGAACTGATCACCCCCTTTGCTCTGGCCGCCTTCCAGCCAAACCCATCTCGATTCAGGTGGCACAAAGCCATTAGAAAGCCGGCCAAGCTCTTCCAGCAGCACCGCCCCAAGCAGGCCGTCTAGCATATCTCGAAGGTCCCAAGCAACTATTGAACCAGGGATCAGATTCATTGCCTCAATAGCTCTCATGCGAATGTTGTGGTTCCGGCAGAAGCGAATTGTTATAGACAGAGGCAGGATGAGCCCCTCGCCAAGCAAAACCGACGTAGGCCGTCGACAGCACGACGGGTCCTGTATAAGATCAACGCACAGAGCAATTAGTCTGCTGAATTCCTCTTCGAAGCGATCGAACATGAGTTGAGCTCGATCGAGGCAACAGCTGATCATAATTTCAAGCAACAGCCAGTGCACTTGGACGATACGCAGAGCGCTCTTGCCGGCAGCCTCCACTTGTAACCTTTTGGCACAGTCTGCGAGAATATGCTTCCACCTTTGCAGGTGAGACAGTAGCATCTCTTGCTGTAGAGCAATAGAAGGAGGCACATCTGCGGACATGTGCTCTAGTTCGTACCAGATGGACTGTCGGAAAAATATAATGCTGAGTGTGAAGAACCGGCCCCAGCAGGTGAAAAGCTTCGACATCGAGTCACAGCCGGGGTCAGGAAAGTCAAAATTGGTCTCGGTTGTGCAAAAATTGATGGTTTCATGCGGAAACCGGAGCGAGTGTGACAGACGGTGCATGTTTGAAATGGTCGGAAGGACCCATTCCATGTCTCGGAAGGCAGGATCAGGGTCACTTTTCGCAGGCGGGGCATGTTTCGACTGAAAGAGAGGGCTGCGTCCCTCGAGAAGGGGTATGGCTAAGCTGACCAAGGAATGGGCCGTGTCTGGTCTTCCCTGCAACAGTTCAAAGACTACAAGAAGCAGCGTTGTCGTGACGGCTGCCCCTGGCGTCGACCGTACCATGCACTGGATGCGCTGACGGAGTAAGTTGAGAGCCTTTCCATAATGTCGCAAGGCCGCTCTATGATGTTGCTCAGCGACTTTACCGAACGCGAGCATCTGGGACACAGTATTGTGGTCTTCCTCGCCAGAGGAAGGCAAGCCCTCGGACATGGAACGCATGAGTGCCCCAATGGCGAGTACTGAGTGCTGGATGCAATCTTCCTGTAGACATTCACCGCCAACAAGGTGAGACCATATGTTTGTGGTGTAGAACCCCGCTAGGTTGTTCGTCACTTGATGGCGAAAATAGTCAAAGTAGACGCCATGTTCGGTAACCATTCTGGGTAGGAAAGAAACAGTCCGACACAGAGGCATGGAAAGGGAGGGAGAAGAGGGCAGGGACCGAGGCGTCGGAGGAGTTGGGGCAGGTCCGACTCGCGGCGCTATTGGCCTTGAAGAGGTAGGCGACGAGGCTTCAGGCGTAGTCTCGTTGCGTCTTTCATTACGGGCTGCGTAGCCGTCACATTGAAGATTGATGCTCTGGCACCGCATGCAAGAAGGCCTGCGCTCGTCGCATTTAACGTGACGAACCTTACAGGTTCGGCATCCCGTCCGGGTTTTTGGCTTGCCAGCTCGTCGTCTCTTCTCCGAAGTTGTGCTACCATAGGTGCCAGATCTGCGTATGTGTCCAGCAAGTGCTCGGTGGACAAGCATGCTCTGAGGTCTTGGTAAAATCATGGAATGTGAAGGCCCCGGAAGTCCTCCAACCTGGAGCTGAGGAGCAGCTACATCTTCCCTGGGCTCCATTCGCTGCTACGTTTTCAGCGTGGGGCAGGGGCAGTCTTCATTGAGAGAAGAGGAGCTGCATGTCATGAATCCATACCAACCAGGCGTGCAGTACAGATGGAGGCAAGACGCACGCGGTGAAGTCCAGAGTGGGATGGGATCAATAATGAGAAAATCGAGATAGCCGAAGACTAGAGAGTAGGTACTGGTTAAAAGCAGGCGCGGAAGACACCGGGGGAATAAGTGCACCACTGCAGTGTGATAAGCATCTAAGAGGTGAAATCCACTCCAAGCCTTCAATAGATCTCGTCTACCTGATTGGTGGTAGTAGATTCCCGTCGCAAATAGTGGGTCCCACAGAAGCTTACCAGTTAGGGCCAGTGAAGCTCGTTTCCGGTGCGATGGAATAACGTGACCAGAAGGGAAAGACGCCCTACGTGCTACGAGGGCTATTGGCCGAGCTGAACTTGAATGGGCTGTTGTCTCGTTCCGTCCTTCCTTATCTGCCCGATTAGCTATCAGGTTGCTGCTCCACGACCCCTGACGATCTCAAGACGACCTACCACAGTACAGATTAGATTCTCTGATTCCATCACGGCCCTCGTGCTTGTTGCTTTCCGCTTGCTGCGCTAAAATAGTCCATGGAGACACGTAGCCTCCTGATATGTACCTACTATCGCCAAAGGCTCCAGCGTTGGGGACCTGCCCGCTGACACAGCCCGCTATAGCGACCTTTCACATCCCGATAGACCTTTAGGTAGGCAAAGTGGAAATATGCACTCACATTGGCGTAGCGACTGGGACTGTTTGCTGTCTACTCAATCTTACAACTCCCGTACAAAACATATAAGGTATGACAATAGCAGCTTACAGTGACTGCTTTCCAGCTTTCCCTGTGTCGAGATGGCTCAGGTACATGTCAAAACCATCGCCGACGACCCAAAGTACGCTGGGGTGCTGCCAGCGGATTTTCTTCATGGCTACGCGTATGTTTGCTACATTCTAGCTACCAACTTCTCTCATGTTTGCAAACGACCTTCACTTTCCCCCTTTATCTTTTGGAAAAGGGGGTTCCTCGCACTGACATAGGAACCAATAGGTCGGCGGCCTACCAGGTCGAAGGCGGTGCTTCTGATGGTGGTCGAGGACCTGCATCTGGGACATTGCCCTCAAGGACTACCCGGATGACGGTGAAGAGGCTTGTAGATCATACTACTTGTGGAGGGAAGATGTCAAGCTGCTTCAACAGGACAAGGCTCGATCGTATCGTTTCTCCATTTCGTGGTCACGCATTGAGCCCCTGGGTAAGTGTGCTTCATAGCCAGCAGTCATTGCAATGTCGATTACGCGCACAGCACTCACCGGTACGAAATCATCTAGGAGGTAAAAGCGACCCGGTTAATGAAGAAGGGATCAGATATTATGATAACCTGGTAAGCAACACTTTCGTGCAGGCTATATTGGCTGTGGTTTCTAACCTTTAAATACTACGTCTAGATCAATGCGTTGTTGGATGCGAACATTGAACCTACAATAACACTGCTCCATTACGACATCCCGCAAGCACTACAGGACCGCTACAGAGGCTTTGCTGCCGCTGATCCCAGTCAATTGGTGGAGGATTTTGTCGAATATGTTCGCATCTGCTTCGAACGATTTGGTGATCGTGTGAAGCGCTGGCTGACTATCAACGAAGTACATTTACTCCCCTCTCATTTCCTTTGCCAATGGGGATACTCTCCTTTGTTGGTGACCCTCATACTTGACTGACACTGCGAACAACGCACTTAGCCATATATATGGGTAATCCATGTGTCGGACCATGTGAAGGACTGGACGAAAGCCGATTTCATGAGGTAAGTTGAAAGTTGGAGCCTCCCATGGGTTCAACTGCGAAACCTGCTTCAGGAACAGATAGTGACAGATGAATTCCTAGAGTCGGACACAACTCTATACTTACTCATGCCTACGCCGTGGATCTCTACCGCAGCAAATTCCAACCAACACAAGCTGGAGTCATTGGCATTGCTCTAGTGAGATTGTGATTACAGCGTGACTGAGAACAACGCAGCTGATCAAATGCAGAACAATGAGTGGGTAGAGCCCATCGACGATTCTCCAAACGCCATTGCTGCTGCCAAGCTGCCGGTGGCAAGAACATTAGGCTGGGTAAGTTCCTCCGATCCCCGTAAACATACAGACCTTTGCTGACAGATCATCGATATGTGAGTAGTTTGCCGATCCTATATGTGAGTGTACTTATCTTCCCTGTTGACGGATATTCTGAGCCTAAACGAAGAATAAAACAGTCAAGGGAACTCAAACGGTTGGCTGGGAAGCCTGGGGTGAATTGTTCCCGCGCTTCTCAGACGAAGAGATGAAACTAGTCCAGGGCTCTGCGGATTTGTGAGTGTCCTATTGTACCGCGCCACCGTATCTTGGTCTATGGATGAAACGGGCTGATGCCTTTTAATAACAGTTTCTTAATTAACCACTATGGCACCATGTATGCGACCGGCAAGCCGTACACAGAAGCGGACTCCATCGGGTGGCAGACCCTGGATGAGGTGAACAAGACTTGGGTCAAGGACGGCAAGTTGATCGGCAAGCATGGAGAGAATGGCCACCCGCATAGCGGTAGGTGACAAACACCAAGTCCGTGACACTGAGGTGAATCAACACGCTCATGTCGAATCAACTGTCGGCTGGGGCTTCCGCAATCTGCTTGTGCACTGCTAGAATACTTACGCCAAAGATCTCGACATGCCAATCTATGTATACGAGAACGGATTTCCGGTTGAACACGAGGCAGATAAGACCTTGGAGGAAATCATCGATGACAGGGACCGCCAGCAATTCTATTCCGATTATAACCAAGGCTTGTGCGACGCGGTCATCAACCACGGCGCCAAAATACAAGGCTACCACGGCTGGAGTCTGCTGGAGTGAGCCTCGCCTGCCTTTTCCTTTGGCTATGGATGACAATGACTGATGGAAAATCCTCTTAGCAACCTCGAATGAGCTTGTGGCTACGGTCCACGGTTTGGCGTCACCTATGTCGATAAAGCCAATGGTTTCAAGCGAATACCTAAGGATTCAGCCAAGGCAATTGCAAGGATTTGGGAGCATGTTATCTGTAAATCCTGATCATGCCAACACACGGAAAGAATCCGATAGCTGCAGGGCTTCTGCTATCATAGAGCCGAACCACAAGAATGAATTTCTGTTGAACGCTGGCATATCCATGACCACGCTTTCTACGCTAGACACACTTTCGCCATTATCACGATGCTTGAGGACATGCCATCGCGATACGGAGGCACACTTCGCAACCCGTTGTTTCCGTCAATCTACACCAGCCCACGCCACCATCGCATCCATCAGTGGCAGTTGTCAGTTGATATCAAGACTCAGCGCCGGTAGGTCTTCAATGTCTGGATCACCAGCTGATAAAGGGTAGCGGACGGTTGTGTGTGCATCGGAGAGACTGAAATGGCCCGGACTGTGGGGATAGAGCTCTTGATAAGAGAGACTGAACAACTGTATTCTTATCTCTACTTTGATAGAGCGCCATGATACCGGTATTACAGCGTTATCTATCTCATATGCAGCAACGGCCGAAAATATGTCCTGGAACTTTCCTCGTGCGCCGATGTATGGAGGACGTGCGGGTCGCGACCACGACGACCAAGGTAGCCACAGTTTTAATCGATCCCCGAACACTGGCCTGTCTTGTAAGTCTACGTCGATCTCCGTGGCCCATGCGTCCGGAAATGCCCCGTCTAGCAGGTCCATGATATCGAATCTGACTGGTTATCGTATTCATACACCAATCGAAAGCGGATGGGGATTGACCAGCCCGGTTGTTCTCCGCCGCCCGTCGCTTGCCGTCCCTGCTTCTTTTAGTGTTCCCGCCATCCAGACGAGAAGACTATCTCGATTGGCTGCGATGCTAACGGACAACCGAGAGCATACTATCGGATGTCCGACAAGACCCGACTGCCTCCATAGATACTAGAAACCCCATAGATAATGCAAGAGCTCTGCCATAGATAATGTAAGAGCACTAGTGAACCGCATCGTGCTCCAGTCTACGATATCAAAGATGCTTAAAAGCTACAAGTACCTCGTCGCGTCCTTCATGAACGACCTGTACTGACCAAGACAACATATCACTCTACGTCTACTTCTACGTCTGTTTTCGACGATCCAGTCAGCTTGGCCACGATGGCACTCACAGGGGTGTTCGAAGGTACCACGGGCACTGGCGTGGCCTGCATGATACTTGCGTCCGTTGGCGCCCTACTCTTTGTAAGCAGCCTCATCTCCTACGAGGGCATTTGACCCGCGCTGTGAGATCATTATGCTCATCTTGCTTACACGTGTACAGGGTCTCGATAACGGGTGGTGGTCAACCCTCCTTGGTTCCCAAACGTTCCTTCGGGACTATGGCAGTTGTGCTATTGTCGACGGTGTCAAAACCTGCAACCTCTCCACCAGCAAGCAGTCGGCCGGTAGCTCTGTGCAGTCCGGTGGAATTAGTGCGTGGGCTGTTTATCTTGCGGCTTTAGGCAAATGCTGACACTCCTCCCAGTGGTTGCGTGCATGATAGCCCCCTACATCAACGACTACTTGGGACGCAGATACTCGATTGTCGCCACTGCAGTTATCTCGATTATCGGAATTATCATTGAGATGACCAGTGCAGCGGGAGAAAAGGCTCGGTTTGGCCAATTCGTGGGCGGCAAGGTCATCGCGTCTTTGGCCATGGGTCTTTGTGCCAATATTGTGCCAATCTACCTCTCCGAGACCTCGACACCGAGGGCCCGAGGTGCCGCAGTCGGCCTGTATCAGAACGTGCTGATGATCGGTGCTATCGTTGCTTCGGGGACTGTGTACGCCACGTCGACTCGAACGGATTCTTCCGCCTACCTGATTCCCATGGGCCTGCAGCTTATTCCGCCGGCCGTCATGATCACAGCTTCGCCATTCCTACCCGAGAGTCCGCGTTGGCTAGTCTGGAAAGGGTAAGTGGTTGGAAAGGATCCATCATCTCTCTGTTATCGGGCAGTCCAGCGATACTGATCTCAATGCCACGTCTAGGCGCCTCGATGCGGCGCGACAAGCCTCCGACCGATTGTTCAAGACAAAGACCAATGGATTCGACGCCGTCGAGTACGTGAACTCCCTCGAGATATCCGTCGAAGAGGATCGCAGCCACAGCGACAGATTCCATGGCTGGACCGATGTATTCCGCGGGCCGGATCTCCGCCGCTTCCTCATCGCCACTGGTATCCAATGTTTGCAACAGGCCCAAGGATCGAGTTACATGAACAACTACATCGTCTCGTTTCTACAGGCAGCAGGCGTATCGGATTATTTCCCCATTGTTATGGCCATTAACGTCATCTACTGGGCCTCCATTCTCAGCGGTCACTACCTTCCGGACAAATTCGGACGTCGTATTATCCTATACTATTCTACTGGCTTCTGTGGTGTCTGTCTCCTGATCGTGTCCATCATCAACACGGTGATCAAGAACAAGAACAGTGCAACCTCCAAGGCTGCCATCGCCCTGATTTGCCTATGGAATGTCGGGTTTGGAGTCCTATCACCACTTGTCTGGATCACCACCGCTGAGGCCGCCCCAACTCGCAACCGTGAGAGAGTTCTCGCCACGGCTGTCTTCTTTGGTTTTGGGGTCTCGCTCTTGATTAGTTCGGTTTCGCCCTTTATCCAGGACCCCGGATATGGTAATCTAGGAGCCAGGATTGTGAGCTTAACACCCCTCCCACGTTCATGCCTACCAAAGCTAACAATGAAACCAGGGGTTTATTTGGTCTTCATTCTCTTTCGTCACTATTGTTTGGGTGTTCTTCTTCCTTCCCGAGATGAAAGGCTTCTCTCTCGAGCAGCTCGACTACTTGTACAAGAACAAGACGCCAACTCGGAAGTTTGGAAAGATCAAGTTTACCGATGAGATCTTGGCGGATGAGCTGGTACAAAAGAAACAAATTCTGCAGGGTGAAGTCGTCGACACCGAGAATGAAGTGGTTGACACCGAGAATGTGACATTTGAGAAGAAAGAGTAGAAGGAGAGGATGGCTGAGCCAACATGCTGGTGCAGAAGCAAGGAATCTGATGTTTCTATCAGTGATAACCCGAGGAATACTCCGCCATATTATGTGTCGCTCTATACTGGAGCGTCACGACACAAGATAAAGAGGTTCTGGGCAAGAGGGGGATACAGGAGGACAGTAACAAGAGTACGAGTCTATAGAGCGGGTCGATATATTCAAGGTATCTATTTCAACTCGTTTGCATCCGCCTATCCGCAACTCGGGACTTATGAGGCTGTTGTCTTCCCCTTGGCCCTAATCATGTCTTTTCTTTCTCTTCCGCTTAACCTCCTCTGGGTATCCGACTTTGAACTACGCCAGCAGTCCCCATTCTGTATTAGTCTCGCTGCTGTGAGGCAGCTCCTTCGTGTACCTGAGGGTGTCTATGGTGTGGGCCTTATACATTGAGTCCATCCTGCCCTCAGACATTTGGGTCCCTAGTATTTCGGCATCCTTCCTCTATCTCCTCGGCCGCTCAGAATTGCTTTCACTCGCCTCTCATTTCTCTCTCGTACCTCTGAGAGTATACTGCTCAGTACTGGCTTTTCTGGATAGGTTTCCGCACGTAGGCTGTCTGTAAGTTGTTGTCTTATAGGCTCCTGTGGTTAGACGTGGAACTTTCCACAGCTGGTTTGTAGCTTTCTTATTACGGGTTTGCCCACCTAAGTTCTCCCCCAGTCTTGAACCAGGCCAGAGTGAATGTACGCTAGTGCTCGGCTAACCCAACTGATACATACCTGTCGGCTTACAGTGAGCGACGCGACCCAGTTAGATCCCTCAGAGGTCTCCTTCGCCGGTACTAGCTTCTGTACCTTACCCGTCACTTCTTGAGCCTTGTGCATTTTCGCTTCTGTCTCAGTCGATGTAGACCCCGGGTATCTCAAGCCTCTCGTCCGGTGGAAAAGGTTGGTCGTCGAGGATGCGTCCGCCGTTGCCGATCATATCTCCTTACCTTTGCCCTCGAATGATATGGTTCTTTCAAGTACGCACATCACCCTATCTTGTACCGGATTGAGAGTCCGGCAGGAGTCCTCGCTGTTCCGCAACAGCGCTTATTTGTCTTGCCACGATAGACTCTGGAACCTTTCCTAGCGTGTTGAGATATCGTTATGGCGCGGGGCGTCGCTCCGGCGCATGATAAGATATTAACTCCAGGTCCAGGATTCCCAGGCACAAGTTATCTGGAATTCAAGTCTTTTTAGGCGACCCCTTAGCGAGCGTGGACCTGTTCGTGACATTTTTCGGATACGTTCGGTCCATTTGAAACGATCCAGAAGATTAGCATGGCACCCAGAGAGGATAAAGAACAAGCCAATCAAGAAGACCAGTTCACCAACGTACGAGGCTGCAACTCAGTACATACCCGAAGGCGCCGCCCAACCAGCCGCCCTCGGCCCACAGGCGACGCGATTAGTCTTCGGCGTAGGTCAGCCCTACCTCCAACCGGTCGAGGCGCGCCGTAGTCCGATCTTGGCCAGCGTCCAGAGCATTATGGCGCTCATGCTGGCGCTCAACGAGGGTCTTATAGAAGACTTCGATATCTTCAAAGTTCAAACCAATCCCTGTCGGCAGCGGGGCGCTCGTTATAGCCTGCGACACACAGCATGCATCTCGCCCTGCTCGGCGACTGGTCTATAGGCGGAAGAGATGGCTTCTTCTAATACAATTGTTGTCGCCTTTCGGAATTCTCGATGGTGGCACCCCAGTAGTGGGGAAGCCGTAAAGAGGCTCGTGAGTTGTAAACTCGTTTGTGCCGTTGCCAGCCTTACCACTCGCACACTAGGTATATAAGTACCCTGAGGTGAGCCCGTAACGTCGACGTCGAATCCGTGCTCTAACTTACTGCATGCAGCCGTCGACTTGAGCTGGTCACGTCCTAGTCACGTTGTCACCTGCGCACATTCAACTTGTGGTGTACAACACCACCTCAGGCTTCGATTCATCCAAGTCACCAAGAAACAGAATGCTCGGGCCTCAGAGTATGGGGTCAAACTTGGATATTGCCCACGGAGCCGCACTTCACGCGTTGCGGATCTTGGTCAAGCAGGAGAACCCAACAACGTCCTTGACGCCTGGACAGAACTCAGCGTACAGAGTAGAACCCAGATCAATCTCCTCATACAAATGACACTGTCTTTTACCCAGACTTCAGGGTTCTTCTCATAGCACCTTACCTACTTAGATATTGATTGTTTCTCATCCGTGAATTATTATCAGTTGTAACCCTAAGGCATAGATTTGTAGGTAAAGGTAACTGAACTAGGTGGATACCAAACTAGCTGAACCACGGTGATTGCGTGCCGCCTGCCAGGGTTCCAGATGTAGTAGTCGGTGTGTTTAGTACCTACCTACAAATTTTTAGGTAATCCAGCACCCCTGTTCCCTGTTGCGTGTCGTCTCCGCCTCATGAGACCGGCCGCATTTCAATAATTTTATTCGTCAAAGACATCTGCTAGGTACAGACCTCGCTACCTCTCCGCGTCACGTACTACCACAACTCGGAGTTTCCAGCCACTGTTTTTTCTCATTTATTCAATTGTGAACCGCTGTCACTAGCAGCGACAGCAACTTCCGCTTCGAAAGTTTGGATACGGTCGGCGCAGTGGTGCCTACGCTCCGCCCTCCAGACCACGATCCTCTAGCCCGCGGTCTCCTGTCCCTGCATTATTGAGACTTGTCCCACGGCTGCTCTCACCACCTTATATGTCTACCGACTTCCGACTTCCAACCTTCGCGAACTACGACACCGCACCACACCTTCGCGACTGTTCTGCCAGCCCTGCACTGGCAGAGAGTCGCTAGGCATTCCTCTCCGCAGCTCGCTATGAAGCACTGAGCTTTCATCGGAAGTGCGCGCTCGCACAGTCACTCGTTTTAAGCAATATATTTGGTTGATTCGTTCCCGCGATTCGGGCTGAAGAGAAGGATCTCATTTACACAACGGAGCAAACATGCACAACATCTGGCCCATCTTGTTGCTATTTGAGGCTGTCGTACATGCGGATTTTCTGGCGTTGGACAATAAGTTGTCTCTGAGATTTATGCGCAAAGGTCGATCATTCTCGAACACGACCACTCCTGGGTTATTCCTCAACACAACCACGGTCGATACGTCCTTCTCGACCTTTTTGGATATTTATACACCTCTCACCCTCTTATCATCAGATGCACTCTCGGCCTCTTCTACTACGTCGGAGGGCGCCGACCCCACCACGGAACCCCTCCCATGTACGGGTTCCGTCACATATTATGGATCGGTTCCTCCCACTGTCTATATCACGGTCACTGAAGGGTTCACTGTGACCATGACAGCAAGCAATCTATCTGTGACGGAAACACCGACTCTGGTTACGCCCTTGCCAGCTTGCTCAGCCACAGTAGTACCCATGATTGAGACGTTCAATCCCAATATAGTCTCCAATTTCAGCACTCCTGCGGTTGAATCAGGTTACCCTCCTGGAACATCTCAGACCGGGGAGCCTTCTGTTCTCAAGAGCTCGAACCCAGACATCACAACCGCGACTATACCGGGACTGGAGCCACTGGGATCCTTGGTCCCGGTGGCCTCGTCCCCAGTATATTCCAGCGTCGCTTACACAAGTACAGTTATTGTTACCAAGAAGACACCAGTGCCATTCGTCGCTCCATCAACCACCTCTCCCGGCGTCGACTTTCAATATCCCACCAAGTCTCCGTCGGCGGATGGCGGCAGTGGCATAAGCGGTCACAACAACGACCCTGGTGACAATGGTAGCGGTGGTGGTGACAACAACAGCAATGGTGGAGGTAATAATGGCGGCGGTGGGGATAATAACAGTAACGGTGGCAGTGACGGTGGCAGCAGGGATCCTACACCGACAACTCGGAGCAACAATAATGGGGTTGCTCCAGCTCAACCAGGTGATGTCGCTCCGTCTTCAGCACTGAACAATCATGATACGAGCTCTGCGCCCATACATGGCAACAGCGCGACAATACCCACTACTCCCGCTGAAGCACCTCCAGCCACTACCAAGTTGGGCGACATCATCGCCTCGATTATCAATTCTCGTTTCGCAACAGCGTCGGCAACGGGCCGGTCCCCAACTACAACTTTCACTACCACAATCAGCGGAGTTCCCATTGTTATCCTTCCTTCGGAGGTTATGGTTGGCAGCCGAACTGTTGCCATCCCAGCTTCTGGTCCCACGACTGTAGAAGACAACGGGGCTACATTCACTATCCGACCTTCCGAGTTCGTTGCACCAGGAGCGACCATCAATCTATTCTCGATGCAGCGGGACAAACAGACTACTGGATCTGCACGTCCTGCAACGATTGTCAACGCTGTAGACGGGTTGACTTTTACTATCGGTCCAACGGTGGCAATCATCTCGGAGACAACATACAGGATTGGTCAGGGCGCTCCGACAGCCACCATTACTGTGGATGGAACAGTCGTCTCCGTCGGTCCAAACGGGGTGGGTCTACCACGCGCTACTTTAACCCCAAGTGATATCACAGAGATGCCCGGTGTTGTATATACAGCGGAAGGCTTGACATTTTCGGTGGGCAGCAACGAGGCCGTCATCAGTGGCACGACCTATCGTATTGGGTCCGGCGCTCCTGCACTGACAACGACCATTGGAAGCCAAACTGTGTCATTTGGGGTAGGAGGAATTGGCCTCGGGTCCACTACCATCGCTCCAACAACAGGGCCAACAACAGGGCCAACAACAGGGCCATCTTCAAGTGCACAGAGCCGGTCTGCACCCACGTCTGTTTCCGCCTCGGCAACGCAGACTGCGGATGAGTCGAATGGTGCCTCGCCCGGGATGGACATATTGCGACCATGGCTGTCGGGGTGCTGTTTGGTGGCCATTTCTGCTGCATGGCTTGTCCTTTGAATGTTACATTATGCCGCAATGATCTTGGAAACGGCGTCCGGTGCAAATTGGAAACGGGAAAATAAGGTTGTCCTTCTGTTTCTAGCATAAATTGGAGACGGTCTGTTGACAATTTGGGTACGGGTTGACACTAGCTACTGCTGATTGATTCTGCTGCAGGCATTAAACTTGACAATGCGCGCCTGTTTAGAAGTGAGAGACACAATAGGTGTTTGGGACGGTCATAATTACGATGTATGTGCGGGTGTAATATAATGAGCGTACTGAACATAGAAGCTCGATACTGCCTTCGCGCTAGCTCCATATGAGCTGGCCTGCAACAATTCCCCCTATGCTCATGATTGAAGCCATCATCAGATTCACCTGGTTGTTGTCCAGGACGTCGTGGCCAGAATTGATGATGCGGCTTTTGTCGCCTCCTTTGTTGCCGTGGCCATCCACTTGCTCGTGGACTGGAGCACCGGCATGTGATTGACCAGGCGTCGTGAGCACCTTGACTCCGCCCGGTCCTTCGACGATTTTTCCTGTTCGACGATCTATCACGGACGCCTGCAGGAAAGCACCCAGAAGAGAGTCGAGGAGCGTTCCAACAGTGCCCAATGTGGTGAGCAGGAGGAACACGTGCGAAGGTTTCAGCCAGCCTCCTTCGCAGACTCTCAGCAACAGCACGCTCGTGGCCGATATGGCCGCACTTCCCCCGACACCAGCCGAGAAGCCCGCAAGACTGACCCCGCCATTGGTACCGGGAGGGACGGGGCGAAGACTTGTGATGAGAACAGGCCTGCTCTTGGACAAGATGCCCAGCTCACTCGACAGCGTGTCTGCCGCAACGGCTGCGTAATTGCTCATTATACCCAGGAGCAGAAGATCTGCTGTCTTGTTCTCCCCCGCACCGAAACATGTAGATGTCGTTTTGCTGGAGTGTCCGATCCCATAGAGCCATATGTGCAACAGGACCAGCACGCTGGCACAACCACTGTTGGCAAATACTTGAACGCTCGTTCTGGCACCTTCGCCGCCGGCGTGGCCGCTGCTTGACTGAGTAAGGGTGGCTTTGATGTCGTGCTTCACCTTCGTAGCGGCCGTCCCAAGGAGGAAGAACGTGCATAGCAGCGTGAACGGAATTGGTGAAGGATGGAGAGCGTGTATGGTGGCAGTCAACGCTGCGGCGGCTATACCCAGAGGTGTCAGGGATTTGCGGGTGTAGGCTCGCACGACGAGGAGGAGAGTGATTGGTACTGCTATTGTGGCGCGCATCTTGATACATGAAATGGAAACAGGTCCTCGACCGAACTTGCAAGGTGTACGTAGAAGCCTCTACAAATCGACACTGTCAGAACTTCAACAAGTGTCATGCATGTGCGGGTAGCTTACCTTTTGAATTATGTGCGGAATTCGGAGTCGGGGGGCGGCCTGGCTGTTCCGTGTTCCGCGCTCCGCGCCTGTTCGCACATGCTCTGTCTGTACTGCCAGTGGGACATGACGTCTTGCTCCGGCCAATCGTCGACTCGGTGTTTCTGCTTTCCTCCCATCCATCCATCATCAGCTTTGATAAATACCTACCTACCTTCCTTGCCTAGGGACATAGGTGGTGTCTCACCGGTCATCGACAGGCGAGGATGTTGGATTCCCTTCCATGCCGGCACCATGCTCAGATCATTCGTCGCTAGCCCAGCCATCACCAGGGCGCCTGCGTCAGTGCCTCGCGCCTCGATTGCGCTTCAACCGAGCAGGCCCAACCGACGCGGGCTGCACCTAGCCCCTCCCTTTCTGCTTGACGACTATATCCCTAGATACCACCTGATTTCTTCGATCGATGCTGCGAGGAAAAGAGCCGCAGCATACGCCCACTTACGACAATGTAACCTTTGCCCTCGCCTTTGCAACGTGAACCGCTACGAGACAACCGGGCATTGCCTGATTGGGGCAGAGACCGTGAAGGTGTCAACCATCGCTCCCCACTTCGGCGAGGAACCTTGCTTGCAGGGGCATAACGGTTCTGGCTCCGTGTTCTTCAGTGGATGCAACTTGCGTTGCGTCTTCTGCCAGAATCACGATATTGCACATCAAAAGATTGGGTTTGACCTTACGCCTGAAGAACTGGCTGAATGGATGCTGAAGCTACAAGAGGTGGGCCACGTGCACAACATCAACTTTGTGACCCCGGAGCATGTCGTTCCACAAGTAGCCCTTGCCATATTGACAGCGAGGGACATGGGACTCAGGATTCCCATCGTGTACAACACCAGCTCCTTTGATAGTCTGGAAAGCCTCAAACTCATGGACGGCTTGGTCGATATATATCTACCTGACTTCAAGGTTTGGAACAACGAAACAAGCAAGAGGCTGCTCAAGGCCGACAACTATGCCGATGTCGCCAAAGAAAGTATTCAGGAGATGCATCGACAAGTCGGCGACTTATGCTTTACACCAGATGGTATTGCTAAAAAGGGTGTTTTGGTACGCCATCTGGTGATGCCGGGTAAAGAGCAAGAGGGTGTGCAGATCATGAAGTGGCTGTCTCAGACACTTGGGAGGGATGTCTTTGTCAATATCATGGAACAATACCACCCAGATGCACATGTCGGTAAGCCCAAAAGAGGTTCTCGAGACAATACCGACAAGCGATACGCAGAGATCAACAGAGCCGTCACTCACGACGAGGTCAATGTCGTTCAGAAAGCCGCTCGGGAGGCCGGTCTTTGGAGATTCATTGAGCCTGCTCGGCACGGTGGGTGGAACATCTGAGTGTGAGTCAAAGCCTTGCCGACGTACCTTCCCAAATCAATGCTAGTACATCTCCGGCCACCTCCACGTCTTGTCAGTGTCCGAGTCCTCGGCCAGCTTCATGTCACATTCCTCCATCAGACTTGTCGCTGTTGGCTAGCCTTGCTGCTTTGTACTAGCCACCATTGAAGGAACTGGATTCACACAAAGGTGCCAGTATCCGTCGCCCGATGTTGCGCCTAGGGGCTCGCATTTCCGACTCTTATAGTGTCTGCCGGCTACACGCCGTGTTCCCCCCCCCCCCCTTCTCAAATGCCAATGATGCTATTCGAAGGGGCCCGTTTCTCTATGTCAACCCGCCTCTCTGCACTGCGCAACACTCCCGGCTCCAGCAGGAACAATTGTATTTGAGTGGAGCCATGGCAGATGAAGAACATCGCACGGAGAGGTTAGCGGGGAAACTGGAAAGGAACGAGGCAAGGCTCGAGGCGACAACGGCAGATGCAGATGCATCCCCCACCTTGACGAATGCTTTGAAGAAGAGCATCAGAAGCATACGTTCCGCCTTGAACAGGTGTGCGAGAAACGAGGAGTTCCTGTCAGGGAGCCTGTCGAACGTCCTCGCTCGAATTCAGAGCCTGGAGCGGCATCAATGACAACAAAGCGCACCGTCGATACACATAATTGAGGCAGTATCAATCGACTATGCAGCCAAAAATGTACCGCCTAGCTGTCTTTTGAGACCGGCCTTCAAAATAATTGGTCCTTCTGTGGCTCCTGAGGAGATACGTAGTAATTGACATGAGAGGTAAGCAATTGACATGGTGGCTGGGCAAGACTCTAGCATTTCCTAGTGGCCTTGTAGTAATACTGTACAAGAAGACCTCGAGCTTTCCGATCACACCGGCCCGAGGAGAGCGGAGCGACTGGCCACCGCTGCAGGGATCTGCCGACCTTAGGTGCTGCCGAGCCTGTGTATATTTGAACTGACAAAAAACAACAGAGTCCCTGGAGTCCTTACAGGGACGCGAAGTCTCTTCCGGAGCCATCTCCTGTCCCGTCGCACGACTTTCAGTGGGTCCTAGAAATGGCGCGGGGAGGAGGAGGGGCACGGAAGATTTGAGTCATACTGACTCTTACTCTGTATATACTATATAACCGGTTTGAGTCATCATCCGACGCTGATGAAAACCTCCCTGGTAGGAGTTGTCAATGAAACCACGAGGCAAGGCGGAAGTACACCCACAGTGCTATCATACTTTCCCCCACAGTTTGACCTACCCTTCAAAGCAACCATGGCACCCACCGACTCGCCTTCCCTCGACATCAACGTCGCGCGCCCGTCCTCAGATCTCCAGGACCCGCGCAGAGACGAAGTCGAGGTCGAATTGGAGAACTTCTCTGAGGATGTCTCATCCCAAGGCCGACAGCAGGAGATCGATAGGAAGAGGAACCGTGTTCTGCTGGCGTCGGCGATCCTACAACTTCCAATCTGGGGTACGCTGAAGCCGTCTCTTTGAGAAATGACTCCCCCGCCCCATTTGCGAGAAGTCACTCATTCACTCACTCACTTTGTCCCTCATCAGGCTTTGCAATGAGCTACGGCGTGTTCCAAGAATACTACTCGAAAGCGCATTTCCTGAAGGGCGGGCATTCGGCCACCGGTGTGATCGGCACGACGTCCAACGGCGTCGTGTACCTGACGATGCCGTTCCTCTTCGCCGCCTTCAGCCAACGCTACGCGCGGTACCGGCACGCGGTCGCGCTGACGGGTGTGGCGCTTGCTTTCATCAGCTTCCTGCTGTCCTCGTTCAGCACGCACGAGTGGCACCTCGTGGCAACCCAAGGCGTGCTCGCCGCCCTGGGCAGTTCGTTGATCTACAGCCCCACGACGCTCTCTCTCGGCGAGAGCTTCACGACCAGCAACCGCGCAGTGGCGTACGGCCTCGTCTTCTCGTGCAAGAACATCGTCGGCTCCACGTGTCCGTTCCTCTTCGGGTATCTGTTGGACCGCTACGGCTTCCGCACCACGATGCGCATCTGGACCGCCATCATCACGGGAAGCAGTTTGGGCGCCATCTTCCTGATTCCGCCGGTCCAGCAACACGCTTCGACGGCAGACGCAGAGCGACCGCGATCGCGCCACACGCCGTGGCACTTCCTCAAACATCAGACCTTCTACGTCTACTGCGTCGCCACGATCATGCAGAGTTCCGGCTACGGCCTCCCGCAGACGTACCTCAACTCGTATGCCCAGGACGCCGGCTCGCTGTCGCAGACCTCGGGGACCCTGCTTCTGGGTCTGTTCAACATCCCCGGCATTGTCTCTAGCTCGTTCTTCGGCTATCTGAGCGACAACAAGCGGTATCCGCTCTCCGCAAACACCGTGACGTGGGTTTCCAGCATCAGCTCCGCCCTGGCTGTCTTCTTGCTCTGGGGCCTGGCGCCACGCACGAGTATGGCCGCGCTCACGATGTTCTCCATCACCTTCGGCTTCTTCGCCAGCGGATATAGTGCCACGTGGGGCGGCGTCATCAAACAGCTGGAGCACGAGTCCGCGGACAGAAACGAGGCGATCGATATAGGTGTCGTGTATGGCTTGTTGAACGGCGCTAGGGGGCTCGGATACGTGAGCGGTGGTCTGGCCGGTGTGCAGCTGCTGAAGACCGGAACCCTGAACGGTCCGGCAAACTCGGGATACGGAACCGAATACGGGCCCTTGATCATCTTCACCGGATTGGCCTCCGTCTTTGGTGGTTGGAGTCTGATGTGGAAGTGCGGACGACTGATTCTCTAATCGCGGTCCGGAAGTGGGCGCCGATGCATGTCAATAACAGGGGAATGAGCCTCCGCCTCCGCTGTATGTTGGGTCATTGCTCATCACGCGTTGACTGACAGCAGAGCCCTGGAGTGCAGGGTATGTCGCGGGGGGCAACCGTGGTGTGCGAGAGCGGAGAGAAGATTGATCAGAAAACAAGAGGACAGAAGCGCCATCGACGAAGGCCTTCGGAAGGCTCCTGATGCAATTACAGGCTGCCAGGGAGAACGAGAGAGGAAGAGTGACTCCCAGAGTTGTCACCTGGATCATCGATAGACCGTAGAGGCCGACGGTGAAATCCTGTTCTGTCTGTCCACATTGTTCATATAGCCAGTAGTAGTCTTTCCCAACAATCATTAGCTCTATCCGATAACCTATCTCTTCAATACAAGATCTGAAGCCAATTCATGTCTGTGTAATCCTGACAGTACCCCCTGCTGCAGCATACACGCACCATAGCCCATCATGACATGCCGTCGGTGGCGGAAGGATCCCGGCCCATGAACACCTTGTACAACCTCCTGCTGACCATTGGCCCTAGTTTCCTGTCGCTCCATGCGCCGTCCCTGTTCGCGGATTTCCGCACATTCTCAAGCATCAGGTTGCCATGTCGCTCGAAGCCGGTGACCAGTTTCCGGACGCTTGACCACTGGTCCACAATCCCATAAGCCATACTGGGCGTCACCCGTTGAACTTCCTGGAGCATTTTCACAACTGTGTCTTTGGCATCATCTCCAGTCCGGACCTGACCAGTATCCATGCAGAACGAGGCTGATTTGAGGTTATAGTCGAGCTGCGCCAGTCGATATGGCCGCGTTGAGAGATGCTGCGTCAACGCAAAGATTTGCGACGCCGTGGTCGCCGGTGACACTGTATGATGGATCAGAATTGGCTGATGCGCTAGCTGAAGGTGCAAGAGCAGCTCCTCAACCACGTCAGACGTGATGAAAGACAGATCTAGATTGTCGGTGGCCGGCTTTTTCCTCTTACGGGATTTCGCCCGAGCGCTACCAGATTGTAAAGTCGCCGAGCCTCTTGCATCGCTCTCGATTAGTCGTGCCCGTACAGCAGCCGTGTATGCTCGATTCTTCGCGTTCGCGTTCTTTTTGATCCAGCCTTCCAGACCCTCTATGAGATAGAAGGGAATGCAGTCGTGAAACCTTTGACGTATCGATGCCACATGAGCATCCAGGTTGGATTTCATCTCTGGTTCGGTGGGTACTTGTGAGGGCGGAGATGTAGCCTTTGAACCACGGATCATGGCGGCAAATTCGACAGCAGGAAGATGAATCAGGACATGTTTCTCCTTGACTATCCGGCTAGACGACGTAGGCTCCCACAGCCCTTCTTCATCATTATAAGTGGCTTTGACTTTGCGACGCCACATGACCACGTTGCCATAGACATCTTGTTCCGGGGCATTTTCTGTCAGATTGACTTCTTCATCGAAGTAGTTCACCTCGACATGAGCGGTATGCATATATTGCTCGACCTGATTCCCAACACTTGTCCCTCTGAGAAAGCTTGACATATCCAGAAGCATCTCTGGACTTGCAACCTTCTTGCCTGTCTTCGATTTGTTGACCTCCGCAAGATCAGCAGCCTGTTGCTTTTCTCGAGCCTTTCGTTCACGATCCAGGCGCTTTCTTTCTCTTTCGGCTTCCTTAGCGGCCTCTTTTTCGGCCTTCAAAGCAGCTTTCTCAGCAGCTTTGGATGCCTTTTGATCGTCCGATGATTTGGAAGGCCTAGAGGCTGGGGCTTTCACTGGACTTGAAGAAAACTGAATATCATCTGGAGCATTGGCCAGTGCAGTTTGTTTCGATGCGGTGTCCGATACCTTGGACTTGGGAGGCCGTGAGTTGGGCTTTCTCTCCTTACCCAATTGATTGGTAAGGTTGGCCAGCAGACTGGCGGTTCTCTGGGAATACAAATCTTCTGCATCATCGTCGTTCAACGCATGTCTGGTCGGCTGGGAAAGACTCTGAAAGACATCGTCCAGCAGATCATCATCCGAATCATCGAGCGAAAGCCTCCAGGGAGATCCTGACTTCCCTGCCTCCGTGCGACGTAACTCAGGAGCCGAGGATGAGAAGGTTATCTCATCATAGATATTACCATTCGGCTCTTGCGGCGCAAAGCTTTTGGGTAGTTGTACAGCTTTGTCGGGCTTGGGATGTGGCCATGAAACATCGTCCGACGAGATGTTTATCGTCGGTTCCACGCAGGGTGGCTTAACTTGGCTGCCTCGGCCGCCTCGGCCGAGGCTCATCCGCCGTACATTACGATCTGGACTTAGACGGGGGCGTTTCAGAGGCCGATCGAGACGGAAGTCAATCGAGCCGGTCTCGTCGAAGTCATCAGAGCGGAAATCGAACGTCTCATACAGCACTGATTCTTGTGCTGACAAGACTGTCTGCTGTCCCGGTTTGGGAGTTGTACTCGGTGGCGAACTCGACGACAACAGCTCGATCACCTCTGTCATATCTGAGACGTGATAGCGTGAGCAAGATGCTCAGAGACTGTAGCGAACACGAGCGCCACGCTGCCCGCGAAGCAGGCCGAGGAGGGGCAACAATATGTCACTATGAACGCTAAAGCGCCGTGAAGTTGATGGGAAGACGACAACAACAACTTCAAGTTGAAGTTACATACTTACTGGCAGGTGCTTCGGGTGCCTGACCGAATATGGATTATCTAAACAATCTTGGCGTTCAGGAAGGCGCGTCGCTGGCTTGCAGAGCGTGCCGACGCGTAAAGTGTGGCCAGCCTCGCGCACCCTTGTCCCGGCTACAGCTTCCCCCGTAAGAATCCTACTATTATGGTAACGTTTATTGTTCGACTAGTCAATATCAAGGTAGGTAATTCATGCTCAGTGTATCAATTGTATCGTCTTGAAGGTATTCAGCTCTGGATTGGGGTCCGTGTGCATCCTCCTTGCGCGCGCAAATTCACTAGCTCTCCGATCACCACGCCCAAATCTTGCTTTGATGATCGTGGACAGCAATGCTGCTAGGAAAGCGACCACGATCCAGAGCCCCAAAGTGATATCCTTCCTCTCTAGGAAAGCACGTCTCTTGCCGGCCAGCATTTCTGACGTTTCGTCCTCAAACTTCCGAGCCATGATGTCTCTCGTGAAACGCTGGCGAACTCGTTCTTTTCCATGCCGACCCAGAGCTTCCAATTCTGACGGGGTCAGCTCGTGCAGGACTTTCTTCATGATAGCAGCCCACTCGTCGAGTCTGGCAACGTCACGTAGCCAGCCAGTCTTGCCTTCGACAATGGTCTCAATAGGTCCTCCAGTGTTCGAAGCCAGAACTGGTAGACCATATTGCATTGCTTCCACCGGCACGATCCCGAAGTGCTCGTTGGTTGGGGTGTAAAGCAATAAGCGCGAGCTCTTCAACAACGTTGCTTTAAAAGGTCCCGGTACAGACAACAAGAACAATACCTGAATGTCGCTTGGAACTCCCAAGGCCGTGGGAACCGTCTTGGCAGTGGCCGTGGACAGACCGAGACCTTCTGCCAACTCAACCAATTCTTTATGATATTGAACGTTCTCAGTAATTCTCTGATCATAGCCGCCAGCAATCACCAGACGGGTCCCCTGCCGTTCTGCGGCAGACAGCTTGTGATATGCTTTGATTGCCAACCCAATGTCCTTTTTCCGTTCAAATCGATTGATGCTCAGGAGGATTTTGAACCGCCCTTCCCACAGAGGTTTTTCATCCAAGGATGTTTTAGACTCTTTCGCCTCTACACTCACACAAGGGTATATCACGCCAAGTGACTTGGCCAAATTCGGCCACACTCTCGACACAACGGATTTTGTGAAGGTCGAGTTGACGACAATCTTGTCGCTTGCGCTCATACTCCAGCCCTCAAACCAGTCAAACGGAAATCGGTATATGGTCTTCACCAACCCCGAAAGACCAGTCCTTCGCCGATCGGCGAGTAATTGATCGGGATAATGGCAGTAGAATAAGGTCCTCTGCCGATTAGGATACAACCATCTCAAGAAGGGAACACAGGCAGAGAGCTGGTCAACAATGAATATGTCCGGCTTCAGTCTGTCAAGCTCATTACTTAGGACGGCTATTGATAGGAGGAGGTGGATTTGGCGCAGAGTTGCACACAGGATATGGAAGCGATTGAGGAATTTGGCAGGGAAGAGAGTATTTCCACGGACGCGGACATCGAGGGTGCCTGTACTCACATTCTGTCAATTCTCGGCCGATGACAGCGGCGTAGGATGCGAGTGAATGACTGGAGACTGACCGTTTCTTGCCTCTTCGAAGCAATGCTGAGGATCACAATGGGAAGTGAAAATAGTCACTGTATTTCCCTGTTCTTGTAAGCCCACTGCGGCATCTACAATCAACCGTTCGGCCCCGCCGATCCCCAAGTCTGGATGAAAGAACACGATTCTTTTGCGGGTATCAGATGACGATGGGGAGGAGCCAACCTCCTGTGAAGGAGCCATCGACGAGGTAGGACGGGTCTGAGGATTCTGTAGAGTGGTGGTTTTCAGTGTCTTCAAATGAAGCACGTTGGCCGGCCGCAGTTTGGTATCGGCAAACCTTCCTAACTGTGTATGTAGTGACTTTGATTTTCATAACTTGTTTACTTCAACGATTCCGAATAGTGAAACTGTCCAACCTCTTTGATCTGGCTCGCTGATCTACTCTCCATCAACTGCGCATATATTTTGCCTGCTGACACGACGCGTCACTGTGATGCACTTGAAACTACAACAACTCCTCGAGGGACAATCTTAACATCCATCGCCGAGAAGAGCACAAGACGACATATCTTGGTAATTGCGCGTCGCGGTGGGTTTCACCTTGTATTTCTGCTCGGCACATGCTTGGACACTCCTCTATTGGGGCCACAAAAGGCGTTGGCAGATAGAAAACATGTAACGATGACGAACTCCGTAGGCGTTGCGCAAAGGGGACTTGGCTGCTTGGGAGGGGTACAGTCTTCGGGCAATTTCCTGGCATGTTTGCACGGCATGGCGCGGTGCAGTGGTTACTACTGTAGTGCAGCCAACCACTAGGAGTGCCTGCAGTTGATTAAGGTGACAGCTTAACTGAAGCTACTAGTACCATTAAGGGACTAGTTACACTATGCGCGTGTTGTGGCATCCCTGTTCCACGCCCAAAAGTGCCAAACCATCTGGGGCTCCCACCACAAGCGTGCGATTGATAGACTGCAGCTGGGCCGCTCATCCGTCAGATCTTCTCTTTCCAACTTCAACACTTTTGCTTGTGTGCTGGTGCATCGTGAGAAACACACCTGCGGGTGTTAATCGTGCTTCGCTTCGCTTCTTTTTTCTTTTCTGCAAAAGGCTTCACTTGAGAGGAAGCTGTGCCCTTCGTTCATCCCTCTTTTCCCCTCTACCAGATTTCCACGAGTCCTCTCTTCCTACCTCCCAATCAAGGCCATCTGCTTCAGCTCCAGCGCTCCTTGGTAAATCCTCTACATTACCTGTCGGTCGACATGGCTCTGGTAAAGGCGATTCCCTGTTTCCGTTGCATTCAGACTGACAATTGACAGTTCAAGACCGCACTACTCGCTCTTGTAGCACTGTTCACCTCCTACACATTCGCTGTGTCCCCTTTGGTCGTCAAAGGCGCCGATTTTGTCAATAGTGTGGACGGAACACGGTTTCAAATCATTGGTGTTGCGTAAGAGACTGGACTTATTGGATGCTGGAGACTCCCATGCTGATCATACGCATGTAGTTACCAACCTGGCGGTTCTTCCGGCTTCGACCCTGGTTCGGGTATTGACCCACTGAGCAACGGCACGGTCTGCCTCCGAGATGCTGCCCTCATGCAACGCCTGGGCGTCAATGCCATTCGTGTCTATAACCTAGACCCTGATTTGGACCACAGCGAGTGTGCCTCGATCTTCAATGCGGCGGGCATCTACATGATCCTCGACGTCAACAGCCCTCTGCCGAACCAATCTCTCAACCGAGGTGCTCCATGGGAATCATACAACTCGGACTATCTGCAGCGAGTCTTCCAGGTTCTAGAAGGCTTCATGCACTTCAACAACACTTTGGGTTTCTTCAGTGGCAATGAGGTTATAAACGAAGATTCTGTCCCTCAGGTCCCTGCCTACATCCGAGCGGTGACAAGAGATATCAAGGATTACATCGCCGCCCAGGCCTCGCGTGACATCCCTGTCGGCTATTCAGCGGCTGACGTTCGTCCACTGCTGATGGGCACTTTCAATTACATGTCATGCGGGCTCGCCAATGAGACCAGCTCAAAGATCGACTTCTTCGGTCTCAACAGCTACTCCTGGTGCGGCGATGCCACGTTCCAAACTTCCGGCTACGATGTCTTGGTTGAGGAGTTCAGCAACACCACGATCCCTATCTTCTTCTCTGAATATGGGTGCAACAATGTCTCGCCTCGGGTGTTCACCGAGGTGCCTGTTCTGTATTCGGAGCAGATGACTCCTGTATTCTCTGGCGGTCTCATCTACGAGTACAGCGAGGAGCCCAACAACTATGGTCTGGTCAACCTCAATGACAACGGCACCGTCTCCATTCTTCGGGACTACGACAATCTGCGCAAGCAGTATGATGCCTTGGATGTTGCGTTGCTCGCGAGAGCGAATGCGACCGCCACTTCCTTGACTGCGCCTGCTTGTGGTCACAGCCTTCTTGCAGGGACGAACTTCAGCATGAGCTTTGACATTCCTACTCGACCTAATGGTGTTGACGATCTTATCAAGAAAGGGGTCTCCGGTAGCTACCCAACTGGAACTTCATCGATCACCAACACCAAACCTTCCCAGATTGTCTATGCGACCAACGGTCAACAACTCACTGGCCTGGAGTTGACTGTTCTAGCGAATGATGAGAGCAATCTGCCCGGGAACAATACTAGCGGCACTACACCAGAAACACCTTCAGGCACCGCCAGCACCACCGGCACTGCCAGCACCAGCAGCAGTAGCAGCTCACCCACCAACACCAATGCTGCAGCTAAAGTTGACGACACCAAGTTCGGATCTCTGATCTTTGGTGCTCTCACTGTTGGCTTCTTGATGCAGTGGTGATGGGATTAGGGAACGGGGTCGATTTTCAACCCTGGGCTTGCTGCACTTGCAGGTTCATCGTCTTTCCAAAGGATGTTGTGCGTTACTACTTCGAAGCTTCCTGAGGGCTTCGAGCATAATTCAAGTTCTCTTCGATGGACGACATATTTGCTGTAGACTTTGCAGGCCGAAGTCCTGAGGTACAATAGAATTGCTAATGATTAGATGAATCCAATCAAGAAAGAGATTCATACTTAGGATGTTCTTCCTTAGTACCTAGGTAGATTGCGAGGGAGTCGCGCTGGGGGGATCGCACGTAGGGTGATACAATTACCATCCTCTCAAGTTGTTCCAAGCAAGCTTAAAGGCATATTTGTTGAAATGCATACTACTGCGGCAATCGAACGCGGAGGAGCGAAGTCGACCATTGTCTCCAGCCCAGGACTCGCTCGAAGTACGTACCCCGATCGGAAAGGTGCTTTCTGCGGTTGACGCCTCCCAAGCTGCTTGGATATCGCAACTGCGCTTTGTTCTCAGCCCTGGCGGCTGGACCAGTTGCGACATACACAGAACATACATGTAGCAAATCCCCGCTCTTGAGACTGGGTCAATTTTCTTTGCAGTTACCAACCTCAGCTCCTCGGTAGTAGTACTGTGGTAGTTCACTTTACCTAGTACTGTAGGTACCACAGAGATCGCATAAATTCTAGCATCGTGACGCCGGTTCCAGCCTTTAAGTTCGACAGAGTCAGGTACCTACATGTAGGACCCTCCCTACCAAGGTAGCTGTAAAACTTGATTGGCGCCTCCACGTGTGGCGCGGGCGCAGTTTCTTGGTAGCTAGCTCTCTAGTTCCCAGCTGGGTGCAAGGTACCCACCAGTAGGTACCAGTGTTAGCGCAACAAATGATCGTAATCTCTCCTGATCGGTAACGAAGCCGTCAATCGAGCCAATGATATTGAAATGTGGCGTCAGGTGGAAAACAAGGTCCGCCCCTTTCGATGTCATAACTGTGGCTGTAGCCTTTCCAGCCAATAACATAGTCTCAGTTGTTGAGCCCCTAGCGTAGATCTCCCCCATTGTGATGCAAGTATCCAGCTTCGATGATGCATGTGACGGTCACCCTCCACGTCATCTGCCCAGCGCATCAACAATTTCTGTTCAATTCGTATTCCTTCGGGGCGAGACGACATGTCACTTCTGTTGTCACCAGCTCAACTGCCCAGCGCTTGGAAGCTCGACGCATAGGCCGTTCCAAGTTCCAAGTCTCACCTCGTCCCTCCGCAAAAAACTACAAAGAGCCCCCAGCCTCCCTGGCTAAAAAATTCCTTGGTCCTTTCCTTCCAGCAACCAGGACCGTGAAATCACAAAGGCATCTCCTCGTCTAGACTCTCATCTGTCGCACTCCTCCCACCAGTCATCAACCATCCACCATCATGGCTCTCGGCGGCGTCATCCTCCGTTTCGGCCAAACGGGTCTACGTATCCTCGAATTCTGCTGTGCCGCCATTGTCCTCGGTATCTACAGCTACTTCCTGGCCGTTCTGGCTGATCGCAATACACATATTCCAGCATGGGAAAAGGCTGTGGAGGGCATGTCTGGTGCCGCCTGCCTGTATACCATCTTCGGCATCCTCCTGACTCTCTGCATCGGCGGTCTGGCGGTCTTCTCCATCCTCGCCATCGTCCTTGATCTCTGTTTCGTCGGATGCTTCGCCGCCATCGCATATTACACTCGTCACGGCGCCAATTCGTGCCGTGGGGTGGTCAACACTCCATTGGGAGTCGGTCTCGACGGCCAAGCCGCCCCGGGCGCTGGTGACTGGGGCTACGTTTGCACCTTGAACACCGCCTGCTTCGCCGTTTCCATCTGCAACATCTTCCTCTTCCTCGTCACCGCCGTGGTTCAAGTCCTCCTTGCTCGTCACCACAGAAAGGAGAAGCGTTTCGGTCCCGGCCCTACCAACAACTACACTTCGGGCACTGCCCGTCAACCCTTCTGGCGTCGGTCACGGAAGACTGGCTACACTCGCGACGCTGAAATGGCCACAGGCGCCGGCATTGGTGGTAATACTCCGGCCCATAACGCCACCACGGTCCGTCCGAGCCATGAAACTGGCATGACCGGTTCCACTGTCAACGCCGGCCATAATCCTATGACCACCGAGCCGAAGTACGGCCAGCCTGGCTATGGTATGCAGGGATACTCTGCCCCTTCAGCAAACTATTAGCTTTTGAGATTTCATTGAGACGGGGAGTTTCTCTCCACGAAATCATTGCCAGATTTCCGCACGTTTCAACCAGTCCCTTGCGATGCCTGCGGGTGTCACCATTGCCACATTTCTTGTTGGCCTCGACGGCCAAGAGTTTGTGGGATGGAGTATTGTCACATTAATGGAAGGATATTGGAGTTTTGTGACATTGGATTTCTGAGATTGGATGCGTCTCGGATGTATCAACAGTCCAGCAGCAGACGATGTTTATGACAAATTCCTAGAAATGTTCATACCAGCCCTGTAACAATAGCTTATTGGCGCCTAATAAACGATATGAAAACAAATAATCCTCTTTATTTTCTCCAAATGCGAAGGTCCTGGCCGATACATTGATGCTTTTCAAAACTAATACGCTGTTTCCAACGTGAGAAACCAATAGTCTTAACATGGTGGGCAGAGGTCTGTTTATAGTACTTCTACCCCAGCTTGAAGGAGGATGGGAGGATGGATACCTGATTAGTAAATCTGCCACGCGTCGGATTTGCCGGAAGCCGGCTCCTTCCGCCGCGTTTCATACAACCGACCAAGGTACTTGCTGTGCTTGTACTTCATGCATCTTCTCTTGATTTCATCCTAATATTTCGCAAGGCTCGGCGGGGCCAGCATCTATCGGTCTTTCTTTTGCGGTGGGCTTTGGGATAAAGCCACTCGCCACGACATGTAGGCGGTGCTGCAAGTTTGCTCTGGCAATACTATACCATTGATTATCTACCTGAATAGCATCACAGTCTGTGTAATTGTGGTTATCTTTGACTTGGCTCAATATGCCGGCGTTGCAGGAACGAGCTCATCCTCCCAATGGACCGAGCCACGGCAGACCGCCCATCCGAGGGGCACAAACCGAGGATTTCAACCACCATCAATCTGGGTCTCAGGGAGATCTATCACTCGATGAACAAACAGCCGTGCTTCAAGCAATGAACCTCGACGCGCCTCCGGGCTATGTCGAGTCTGCCAATAGCTACTCACCAGATTTCGGCCGCCAGAGCACAAGCACAAGCACGAGCATCGCTTCACGTCCAGTGCCCGCCACTCCCGCAAAAGAGAACCAATCTCCGTTCCAGTCAAAGTTGAAGACGGCACTGCAGGAGGCCAAGTATCTGGCTGGCGGTCTCATCAATCACCCGTACGAGTCCACCAAGCATTATACGATATTACGCCACTCCCACGGGTTGGTCTACTATAGTGGCCCTTATACGAACTTGGCAATCACCATATTCTCTGACCGAGAACTGCCCCCTGATCGCACACTATGGTTGCAACGGAAAGGATTCTCCGGCAAAACTGGGCTCAAAATTGGGGCACTCATGGGTGCTAGAAGTACCTGGATAGATGTGACTCCGACCATCAAAGCCACACCGGATCAGCTCAATCCCAACGATGAACGTGCGTGGCAAAGGGACATCAAGAAATTCCTAAAACATGCCCCCAAGGACATTCGAAGCCACCGTGTGCGCGAGACCGACATCCTCCGGATCCCCAGTGACGCCGACGACGGCTACCTCCGGGTTGTGCTATGCACTGCCGAAGGGAAGAAGGTGCTTTGCGGGAGTCCCATCTTCCGGCTTGCATCTTCGTCAACGGACGTCAGTACGATCAGAGGTGCCTCGCTCAAGACCATGCCTCTTGAGATAGGTATGAAGATAGCCTCGGTTGTGGCCAACAACACGGTCACTGCCACTCTCAGCCCTGTCGCCGACACTGCACGAGGCTTTGTCACCGACCAAGTCACCCAGATATACCAGCCTGGTATGGTAGCCCAAGAAGCCATGACCACTGCATACGATTCACAGGTTCAGAGTCGCATCGACAATTTGAACGAACAGTATGATCAGGCCCGCGACGCCGCATACAATCCAATCGGACAGGACACATACGATGCCCTTGCTCGCCCAGATATCATTGGAGACGATGCCGGGCCTGCTCCGCCATTTCCCTTCCGGTTTCACGGAAGAGTCGTGCAGGGTACTGGAAAGAGCAAGGCTTTGCTGAACATGCCTACTGCCAATCTCAGCGGAGTCCCTGAGGATGTTTTGTGGCGGTATAAAGGGGTCTTCTTCGGCTGGGCTGCAGTGAGCATGCCCAATGCCGATAGGAAAGCGGCCATTGAGAAGGATATGCACATTTCTGAACAGTGGCACAAAGCGATCATCATCATCTCGCCAGACCCGAATAAGAAGCGAACAGTGGTATACAAGAACACGGTGCGCGTTTACATCATGCATGATTTCCAGTCGGCTTCACTGCTGGACACCAAACTGTCGGTCATCATGATGGGATATCTGCGCGCGGTGCAGGGGTTGGAACCCGGACAGGAGCTGGACATCGATGCGCAGCTGTTTGACTTCTACAAGGACATCGCTATTACCACGGCAAGTCTGGGTCGCCCTGCGTGGAGTGCAGCAGCGGCCCTGGAGCGGATGAAAGCAGCTACAGCGACTCGATCGTTAACGGACCGATACGTCGATTTGAGACAGAACGCTCAGAAGCACATCGATCGGGTGCCGGTGCACAAACTGGGAGTGCGGACGGAAGGGGCTGCACTGAAGGACAGATTGGTTGGTAGAGGCGGTGTCTGGGTACCACGCCAGCCATTGGCACACGCTTCCACTGCTTGAAATGCTCTGTTGAGGAGCTATAATATACTTTTTGACCGCTGAATCATTGTATATCCATGGTATTTTGAAGCATTTGCTTGTGGGACACGAATGTTGGACTTTGACCCTGATAGGGGTTCGATACGGAATGGACTGTAGTGCTTATATAAGCTCGGCCGATTCGGCCGACCTGCCCCTTTCCGTCTCCCCGAATTGGCGAGCCGAAGTCATCAGTGGCCGCATGTTCTTCTAGTTGGGATGCTACATACGATGTAGATATGCATATTTCTTCCTGTGTCTCTCCACTGGACATGACGAACTTGTCAAAGGTACCGGCACTATAGCTTTTACGTATATTAGCAAGTCTTAATGGATTCGCTCTCTCAATGGCTCCAAAAATCCAATGCGCGGTCCTTGCAGTGAGACGCCATGCAGTGACCCAACCATGGTCTGCGCCATCACCCCTCATCCTCGGTATCTCCTGATGAGGCCATCCGACTGAGACAGCATTCCCCTCTGTCGATCGATAGGGCAGGGCAGTCCGAAATATCGCAGTGGAGGGAGCACAAGACATGCAATGAGCGAAAGTGAGGGGTGGTTTCCCCAGAAAAAGAAGCACGGTGTACTCGTATCACCCCAGATGGTCTCATGCACCAGCTGCATCAGCATATTGAGCGCTTTCTGGCATTAATCAAGTTGCAGCCTGCGGGTATCTAAAGCGGGGGCGTTTCGTGGCGCCATCCAAAGACGTCGAACCTAGACACCGGACGAGTTCTGGTATCATCTATGGATGTAGGTACTAACGTACAGTGCGCCAGTCTTCGGGTGACGACGAGCAAAACATCCCCGTGTCCCCGCAAGCCGATCCCCCAGAGCGGAGTACGGAGAACACCCGAACATGAACCACCATCACAAGCTCCTATCGGTAGGATCAGCCCCAGTCGCAGACCACCACGTGGCACGGCACAAATCCAAGCTGTGTACAGAAAGGCATACCTTACTTCTCATCAGGCCGGCTCTTATTTCGTCTCTGATCTTTTACTTCTTGCATTCCTTGATTCTCGTGCAAGCTCCGGACCCAACGCAAGGCACGCCGTGAAACTGTGAGGACTTCGCGGCCGTTTGCTCAGTCCACCACGGTCGGCCTTCTGATTGTCGGGAAACTTTTGTTCAGTGGAGTAGACGTTGTTCTCGTCGAAGAACTGTGTCGTTCTGAACATTCTTTCATCCTCCCTTTTGCCATTCCATCCCGCCTTCTCCTTCTGTCAGCCACGATGAGCACACCATCAATGAACGCGGTCCGTTTCTACGGCCAACGCGACATCCGCCTCGACCAAATCCCCGTCCCGGCCGTGAAAGCAGGCCAAGTCAAGATCGCCCCGAAATTCTGCGGCATCTGTGGCTCCGACCTGCACGAGTACCTGGGCGGAGCGAACCTCATCCCCACAAAGGACAACCCTCATCCCATAACAGGTGAGACGCTACCACTGACGCTGGGCCACGAATTTAGCGGGATCGTCGAGGAAGTTGGCGACGGCGTCGACCACGTCAAGCCGGGCGACCGAGTGTGCGTACAACCGACCATTTACGACGGGAGCTGCCGCGCCTGTCGGCGCGGGCTGGTCAACTGCTGCGACAAAAACGGGTTCGTCGGTCTGAGCGGCTGGGGTGGCGGATTGAGCGAACACATGGTCGTGCCTGCCAGCTGTGTCAAGCCATTGCCGGATAACATCTCGCTCGAGGTCGGGGCGTTGATCGAACCATTGGCGGTAGGCTGGCACGCCGTCGACATCTCGCCGTTCAAGAAGGGCGACGCCGTGCTTGTGCTGGGAGGCGGGCCGATCGGGTTGGCTGTCGTCCAGGCCCTCGCCGGTCGGGCTTGTGACAATATCATCGTTAGCGAGGTTAGTAGTCGGCGGAGGGAGTTTGCGAAACAGTTCGGCGCGCATCATGTCATCGATCCCGTCAAGTCGGATTTCGTGGCCGAGGTCGAGAAGTGGACGAACGGGGAAGGCGCGGATGTTGGCTTCGATGCGGCGGGCGTGCAGCCGGCTGTCGATACCGCATTGAAGGCGATCAAGGCTCGCGGGACGTTGGTCAATATCGCCGTTTGGGAGAAGCGGGCCACGTTGAATATGAATGATGTCGTGTTCAGGGAAAGAGGATATATGGGAGTGTAAGTATGCTCTCTTTTGAATTTCTGTGTGTTGGTCCTCGAGACACGCTCGTCGCCAGTGTCCTGAACTATGGGCTGAAGACAGACTCGCCTGCCACCGTTGTCTCTTCGTGTCCAGGGAAATCACGGGCTAATTTTTGGGTATAGAGCCACTTATGCCCTCGGCGACTTCGAGGCTGTCATCAAAGCAATTTCAAGCGGTATGTACCAAAGATTCAAGCCAGATAGATGTCCATCTATCTGTCTGCATCTCTATGCGGACAGCTCTTTGGGGCTGTTCTGTGTTGCAAGCATCAGCTTACTGTTACTCTTCTCGCAGGAGCGATGTCGCCCGAAGGTATGATCACCAAAAAGATCAAACTCGACCAGGTCGCCGAAGAAGGGTTCAAGACTTTGATCGATGACAAAGAGAACCATGTGAAAATCTTGGTCGACGTCGGCGCGGGCATTTAGCCACATGATGAAGGGGAGTCCAAGCGAATAGTGCAGGATTGAACCCGGTAATATGGGTCCCGTAAGGGTGTTCTGATCAAGCAAAGACCCCTTTTCTCCAATGCAGATTGCCAGTGCTACATTAACAATGAATTGGTCCGTTCGTACTCGAGGTGGATGGCCATCCACTCTTGCACAGACTCAATGCATCTCTTTCTCAACTTTCTGTGCCTGAGATGCCCATTCATCGTAATGGCACTCCCGCCCTCTGCGGTTGCCTGACGTCGAGACAACCCTGCACCAATTTCCACACACGTCCGCCGCTCCCCTTTCCATCCCTTTCTTTCCGGCAGCCCCTAACCCGGGACCTTCTCTGGTGTCCTACCGCCGGACACGGACTACTTCTTTCGATGCCGATGGATTTGGTATGTAGAATCCTGACGTTCGGGTTGGCCAGCCCGTGGCTGAAAGCATGCTGTGCAATGTCCTGGGCACCCAGCTCTCACGCCTGATCACGTGCGCTTCTCTCCGGACGAGCGTGGTCTCCATTCGTCGCTGCACTTTGACTACGACTCCGGCTCTGGGTCGGGCTCAAGCTTCGATCCTTCCTGGCCCGTCGCCATCCCATCGGCCCTTCTTCCATTCTATGCTCGGTAACCAATGCCTTATCGATCTTGTAATGCCGAATGAAGAGACAGACCACTAAGGCCAGACCAGCCAGACCACAGAAGAAGCCAAACACACCGCGGAAGCCAGCGACGTAGGCCGCGAAGATGGCCTCCCGTTGCGGCGTATCGCCCAATTGATGCAGCTGGGCGATATATGCCTCGGCCTGCAACGCGATGGTGGCGGGGAGATGCAAGGCGACAAGCTTGCGTCTCATCACATTCTGGAAGATGGACCCGCCGATGCCGACGCCGATGGCCATGCCGAAACTGCGCAGGAAGGCGTACATTGCTACAGCGGGGCCTTCGTCGCCGGGGACCGAAACGGCCTGCGAGGCAGTGTTGAGGGCGTTCAGCAGTAGGCCGTGTCCGAGACCCAGCAGGACCAAAATTGTGGCCCATACTGCAGTGCCGGTCTGCTCGTCCCATAGAACAGTCAGGCCGGTGGCGAGCGTGGCCAGGACCCAGCCGGTCCAGATGGCCCAGCGGTATCGGGCGGTGCGGGTGATCATGGAGCCGACGATGACTGAGGCTGGGATCAAGGTCAACATGACGGGGAGGAGGGATACGCCGGTGCGGATTGGAGAGTTGAGTTTGACGGCTTCGAAGAAGAGCGGGATGTAGTAGAGTTGGCCGTAGAGCTGGCCATAAGAAAATTGTTAGCTACCAGCCCGACATGCAGTTTGAGATTGATCGATGGAGGACGAATAGGGGGTGGAATGGGAAGGAGGTGTAAAGAGGAAGACTTGGGGCGAGGACAAGTCACTGAACGGCAAAGCGAACAAAATAACATACCAGTAAGCCCTGAGCAAAGGCGCCCACGTAGACGGCAACGGCAGAACGGTGCCTGAAAAGCGAATGTCGAAGGAACGGATGCCGAGCCCCGAACCGTTCCCAGAGCATGGTAGCAACGATCCCGAAACCATCCAGGGTTAAGGGGACGATTGTGCGCCAACTCCCCCAGGGCTCTTGTGCTCCGCCCCACGAAACGGCAACGAGGAAGCCAGTGGCTGAAGAAATGAACAGGAAGCCGCCAACCCAGTCGACCCGAGTCACCATCTCTCGCCAGGTAGCCTTGCGGGGTTTCAGGCGGACAAACAGCGGCACGCAGACAAGACCAACCCCGGCGAAGGGGAACATAAGGTAGAAAACGCACCGCCAGAGGGAAGGCGTGGCCAGCCCTCCGCCGACTATGGGTCCGACACAAGTCCCCAAAGCCCAAGCTCCTTGACTGGACATCAATCATGTTAGTACCGTCAACTCAACAGGATGGAGCGACTGCACACTCCTGAAGTTTGACCAGCAGAAGCGAAGGAAAGAGATTTGAATGGAGGGGGGAAAACGTACATGATGCCAACATATCGTGGGCGAAATCTCAATGGAACGATATCAGAGAAGATAACCAGCGAGAGGATGATGATCCCACCGCCCCCAACCCCCTGGATACAGCGTCCGACCAGCATCTGACTGATGCTATGGGCGGTAGCACATACAATGGTGCCGATTGTGAAGGTCACTATCGAGGCGAACAGACAGTGTGGTCGACCGAGGATGTCGCTCAACGAAGCAGTGAATGGCATGGTGACTGCACATGTGAGCAGGTATGAAGTTCCAATCCAGAAACCCTGGGTGGCCGAGGCGTTCAGGGCTTGGACAATGGTCTAGAATGGACAAGTTAATACCGGTTATCAAACAGACATCATGTCAACAGCAAGGAAAAGGAAAACTCGACACATACAGACAGCGAGGTGATGATGACCGTGGCATCCAGGGAAACCATCAGAGAGGTGACAGCCAAAGTCAACATGATGATGAGTTCTTGCGTGGATGGCTTCCAGCGAGGCATGTCTGGCTCAGAGCTGAGCGAGTCCATGTTGTTTCCAATGCCCAGGTCGTCTTGGTTCTCTCTTGCCATGTTCTCCGAGCAAGGAGGTTTGGGTTGACTGATCGTGAGTGTGTTGTTTGTGTCTGTTTGATTGTTTGATGCCTGCATTGTGGTGGATCAGTAGTGACGTGTAATAGCTTTGTAGTGCCTTGACAGAGAGAGATAGCAAGGGAGATGACAACTTGAATGCAGGAAGCAAGCTTCCATGCCGGTTCATCTTTGTGAGAATCTGTGAACGGAGCACTCTGTTTGCGCGTTCTTGGGTTAGCTGAACTTGTGAAGATTCACTGATGGACGCGGTGGGAACCATAGAATTGAATTAGAAGTCGGGATACTGCGAAATATAGGTGAAATAAACACGATGCCCACCTGGTGAGCATGCACTCAATAAGATCTTTTGAACTTTTCTTCGCCACGCAGCCCTCCCACCATATATTCACCTCGCGTCTGATGGAGCAGGCGATATAGCAGATTACCAGTTGAAGTCTCTTGTCCCCCTTCTTGGATATATTACGCAAGGTGACGATCAGCCATTGGTATCTTTTTGCCAGCTTCGGTTTATACATATTTCCCATGTTCTCGTCACTCGGCCTGTAGTCTCAGCAAGAAGGCCTGATGTGATTGTGGAGAGCCATTGCTGCTAGAATCCTTGTACACTGCGACAATACCCCTTAGCAGCAGACTGGTTGCTGGGCCAGAACAGATCAACACAGGGTTGATACAAAGGCTCAAGAAGATGGAAATAAAGAAAGACGGCGAGGGACAAGGGCAGTCAAGGCCAACGAGGTCAAAAGAGAGTGGGTGGCAGATATCTATTTAGTTACCATTTATTTCCCTTTCTGCCCAACGCTTCGCTCTAAGTGGCGCAGCGCAATACGGAGATTTTGCATGCAGCCTTTTCAGCCTTGTGCCATGTTATCAGCCCCCTATGTTGTGAAGTTGCCCTTCTCATCCTTGATCAGGTCCGATGATTCGCTATGGCTGTATCACATATTGCAACTGCTACAATCTCTTGCTTCAACCCTTACCACCTGATGCTGCCGGTGAGATTAAGACATCTGCCCAGGGTTCTATACAGTCAACATTGGTCTCACTGCATTCAGCAACGGTTTCCTGATCCGTTGCTCGCGTTATTGATACGAAAGTTCCGCTCCGATGCTAAAGCAATGGCGTTCCTTGGATTTTTTTGGCTTCTACTCCCGGTTCATGGCCCCCGAATGCTCGTTTGCTTGCCGGGTTGCCATAGGTCCTTGCCAGAAAGTGACAAGATAAAGCCAAGCCATTGCCCGGTTTATGTTTGTCCTCCAAGATCCATCCCGAGGTACGCAAAGGGTACTCACGTCGGAATATCGCTGCTCTTGAACACCAATGGTGGAAGATCCGGATTTTGCCAGCTGTCAACCAGCTACCTGGTCCTAGTGTTGGCAGGCCGAGTCGAACATACAACTCCAGTCAGCTCTGAAATACAGTGCCATGATGAGGACTGTAGGTACAGCCCGGTTGCTGGCTCAGGTAGACCGGGTGGTTAGTGGACCGAAGTGACCACGATGAAGGCCACAATAAAATATTGTCGACGGCATTTGGAATAGGACCAAATCGTTTCATACACCGTCATCATGCTGTGACTGATACGCCCCAATGGACCCGTGCAGGATATTGTGTCCATTTACCGAGTGCTTGGAGTTGAAAGTTGAGAGTTGTGCTCGTCGCACAGCATATCGTCCAAACACATCGGCCTCACCGTGCATTTCAGAGTGAAGTCGTTGTCTTCGAGCCCGCAGCATTCGGTCAATTGGCGGGTTCGATGGCAAGCATCTGTTGTGGGACGGTGTCATGCCTGCTAATCTCCCAAGCCTCCAAGAGTGTAGTGTCTGCTTTTCAAGAGATATTGTGGTCCCAAGCCGGGCTCATGTCGTCTGTCCGTCATTCTTATTTTGGTTTTTCTTATTCTTCTTCTTCTCTGCCTCGAGTCTCCGAAGCTCCTGTCGGAGAATCTGCTCCAGACCCTCATTGCGCCGGGTCAAGAGCATGACGTCGTCTGGCTTGATTGTGTTCCGTCCAGCATGTTTGGCGAACGCTTCGAGATCGATAGCCGCGTTTCCTGTCCAATAGCATACACTGTTAGTATCTGTGATCGCTTACTCCCACGGGGTTCTCGACGACGAGGAAAGATGGAACAAGTACCGATTTGCGCCCAAACCAGCTCCATCAGACTTCCGATGAACTGCGGAGTTGCATTGACACCAAGATTGATGCTCTCTTCGTCGACGATCTTGCCGATTTGGAACCAAAGGGCCGAGCGCAGTTTCTGGAGGCAGCAGACAAAACAGGTATATAGTCAGTCAACAGGTCCAAAGGATGAGGGTTGAAGTCAGGGTCTGATCCAACATAGGACCGACCCCTGTTGTACGTCGGATCCATTATGATGGCACAGCAAATATGATTCCAGCTTACCTTTTGTAGCGCCTCCGCCTCGACATCAGTTGTGGAAGCCATCTGTGCAATATGCTCGTGCTATTGAAAGTCATCACCGTCAAAACGTCCCGTTAGATAGACGACGCGACGCGTATTACGGTGGATCAATACTTAAGTGTTATATATACGGCGAAGCAAGATACCTTATCGGACATTTTGCCCCTGGTTCGCAGCCTTGTCCAACATCAAACATAAGGTAGATAGGTATATTGACCTGCTTGTCCATTTATCTGGAATTTCTCTTAGATGTCAGGCGGGCGCTATCAAAAGACTCGACTTCATCCTTCGCTCAATATGAAGTATTCTTGTCTATTCTGTGGCTGAAATGACTGGCCAAGCGTAGAAACACCTATTGGGTTCGAATCCCAGAATATTGCATTATGTTTTGACCACTTCGGGTTGAAGATATCAAGTCGTCTGCATTGATTATGACAGGCCAGGGTGCATTTGCTCGCTTTGTGGCTTCCACCAGAGCTTCCCTCGCCATCGTGCCTCCCGTTTCAGGGAATATGAGTCCTTGAAAGTTTGCGTCCTGTGCGCCACAACATCATATGCGTCCAGTATATGAACGGATCCTGCACACGATGGACATGAAGCTTGAGGAAGTTACGGCCAGAACGTTCAGATCAACCACGCCACAGAATACGCCCTAGCTTGGTTTCAACCCTTTGGAAAGGGCGCGTGTCCACGACGACTTCGTGCTCCAAGGGATCCAGGTATGATGGTTGACCGAGTGGAAGCAGGACAGCCAGTACGACTGAGGCCCTTCGCAATAGCCCTCTGTCCTCTTCCCGAGCACGCTCCATGGGAATCCTCACTTCATCCTCCCCAGAAACGCTGTCCATCGGCATCACAACCAGTAGAACGGCTTCCTGAGCTGCAGTTCTGTTCTGCCTGCATACTTCCCAAAATCCATTCAGATAGCCTCCGTGATTCCGGACGTATGTACTGTGAGCCGTAGTCCTTCATCGAACTCCGCTCGGAATCCAGGCGGATGCTTTAAGGCCACAAAAGTCAAGAGCAACTGCCGACAGCCGAGCATGTGTATGTTCACGAGGTCCTAACTTGCCGGCCATGCTGACAATCAGGGCAGCAAGGAGACTCGCGCGATGACCGACGACACGACCTACCAATGGCGACCGATCATGATCACCCCACTGGTCCCGATCCATCAGGAGTCCCCTGTTTGGAAACGCTCTGTGTCCGCTCGTCCATTGAATCCATTATACAGACTCTTTGCAGTTCACGTTGTCTTCACTTCGCTCCTCTCCTTCTCGATCAGTTTCCCTTCCCCTTCTTCCCTTTCCCCTTTCCCGCCCCCTTTCCACCCTTCTTCCCACCCTTGCCATCGTCCTCATTCACCATGCCCACAATCTTCCCATTCCTAGTCACGACCTTAACATTCCTCTGGGCCGCACCGCCAGCCTGAGCTCCCGGCATGACCATCGACGTCACCGCCGTGCCTTCCCGCTGTTTCTTGAGGAACTCGATACGCGCCTCGATCTCGGCCTGCCGCGGATCCTTTCGACCACTGATCTTGCGGAATAGAGATTCCAGGTGTGGTCGGAAGAGGAGGTATGCTGCGATCACTATGATGAAGCGTAGAAAGCTCTGTAAGTTGTCGTGGGTCAGGTAGGGTTGAAACTGGGGTGGGAGGTGGGATTTGATGTTGGTGGAGATGGTTTCGATGCGGTTTAGCAGCTCGGACATGGTGGACGGGTGACTGAGGGAGTCGAATTAACTGCGGGCTGGGGACCGAGGAGTGGGAGCAAGCTATACAGGTGAGCTCGTGGTTGAATAGCTGCGGAGCCCCGGAACAAGCTGTAGTGGTGAGGAAGGAGTTCAGAACTCCGATCAAGCTATAGAAGAGTGGTCGCGGACGTGGTGGGATGGTTTCGGCACTGGGCTTTGAGGGGCGACACAGGTCGGACGGAAAAGAGTGAGGGCTTGAAAGAGTCAAGGAGCTGCAGGTGGTCTTGTCGCGTTCCGTGTGAAGCTCAAACTGAGACGGTATTTCCAGAGGATGAGGTATTAATATTTATTATTGATTGACTATACGCGCAATACTGGTCATAAGAAATTCGAGGAGCGGCATTGGAGAATTGGAGAATTGAAGAATCCATTTTGGACGATTTTATCTCCGTTTATTCCCGCCATTGGAAGTTCACTGTATGTACTCTGTAAATTCATATACTACTACTAGTACGTAGTAATGTCAGTTCCCTGGCCGGTGAAGGGCAGAGCACAGCAGAGCAGTGGGTATCAAACTATGTCTACGATGCAGGCATGGCTTTAACTCTACCTCGCTGTGTTGAGTTTCCCATGGACAACAAAAGAGCTCGGACAGGATGCTTCCATGGGCATTGAACGGCAGGTACCGTTGAATAGTCTTGCAACCGTACGTCACCGGCTCAAGCAAGCAACATCTTCTCGTAGACACAGAGCACTCGCTCCTGGATGATCATGGATGTGAACTTGACAACCCCGACCGTCTGTTGCAATGGCCGACTTTTCATTTCGTCCCGCTTGGCTTCGCTTCACAGTCCTTCGCCAAAATCTATGTCAAGCTCTAATACAAACGTCTCAATTCATCGGCCCAGCCCCGTACTTCTTCGACACTGACGTTCAGCGTCTCTTCCATCAGCCCACCCTCTCTCAAGACCGTCTCCAGCTCCTGATCACCGAGAGCCAGGAGACCCTGTTCAATCATCTCCCCGTCCACAACGCGGAAGGGCTCGTCCTTTTCAGAAACCTCGGTCTTCCAGGCTCGGAATCTCGCCCATGGCATATACCCGGGGGCCTGAACACGATTGGCCAGTGCAGACTGCAGAAGCAGTAGAACATTGACATAGGCAGGGCTGATGGTGGCGAGCATGTAAATGGCTCCCTCAATTGTCCCGAGAAATGTACGCGGAGTGACGAGTGGACCTGTTCGCGCCGGCTTAGAATTCACGGATAGTTTCCCGACGGCACTGTCCGATCGTGCATGGGCGATGCTGGCATCAGTCATCTTCTGGTCCGCAACAGAGGAAGATCTATTTGGCGAAGGTGGTGATATAGTGACGATTTTGTTGACCACCTCTCCTAGGCGGAACTCGCCTGTCACCTCCAGCCGTCGCCGGGCCGGCCCAGCGTCGGAATCCAGAGATCCCTGTCGGAGCATGATTAGATTTCCCTCCATGTCTGCCACGACCCATTCATTTTCCCTCAGAACAGCAGTGGAGGAAGACCACACTGTCGCAAAATGCCGAGAGGCCTCGTGAAGCCGATACTCCGGGTTGGATGATTCGGGCGGGAGGACTTGTAAGATGGACAACGACTTCATCAGATCGGCCACGGCGACCAATGCCGGTGCTCCCGAGCTGGCGGGTGTGACGGCAATCGATAGCGGATTTGTCGATGTTCGGTAGGTAGCCAGCTTCCGCAGTTCCAAAGAATGGTCTCCTCGTGTCGACGACGGTGTGAGACCATAGAGAACAACCTAGCCAAACATTGTCAGCAATTTTCAAGCAGTTACAGCTAGTTTTTCAGACATACCGTTTTCACCAAGCCAGCCACAATCAAGCCGTCACACATGGCCAGACTTCGACATGCGCCTTTGACTTTGATCTGAGTCACCTGCTTGAGCTTCTTCTCCTTATTGACCTCAAAGACCATGATCCGCCCCTGCGTAACTTCCTCCCCAGCCGCATCTTCTTCCATCAAACTGGTACCCACAACAAACATGTCGTGGTAGCCATTTGATTCATCTTCGGTCTCAAAGGAGCCGGTCGATACGATGCATTCCACAAGTTCCCGGTCCTGTAGCTCAATCGAGTCGAGTTCCTTGAAGCTGACCTCATCTGCGATCTTAACAGAGCTGAGTAAAGCTTCAGTACCACCTTCCATGATCCGCCGAATACAGCCCATGGCAAACATCTTTGCTGTTGGCTCATAGGTCAGACAACGTACAGTCTCCCCAATAGGGAGGGTTTGCAGTTGAGTTGTTCTCTCCTTTCCGATGAGGGCTAGCTTGAGCTCCTTTGGCGTAGCCATGGCGATTGCTTCCGGATATGCTTCGCAGTTGAAGTTGCACACGCGCGACTCGCTCTCGGCGTTGACGGCAGAATAGATTATTCGACCTTCGGATGAATAAATCAACGACGGTTGCTCACAGGATGCGAAGACATTCGACAGATCTGATTGTGGATCATTGTCCTTCGGCAGCTGCTTGAAGACGACAGGCTCAGTTCCTAGTAATATCCTTGTCATTCCAGATAGAACATGTTTGGCAGCATCAAATGAACATGACAAAACTGTGCCATCCGCCATCGCGACGAAGAGAGTAGGCGGAGCATCGGGAAGCACGTGTGCGACCAAGACAGACCGTGGAATGTCAGACCCCGGCGTACCCAGAGTCTGTGTTTGGAGCGTATCAAGAGAATGTAGGTCAAGTATCGCGACAGATGCCGTCTGCCAGAAAGATACAATGCATACATTGCTTTGCGAGTCCGCAACCGTCACGCTGGATATTTGCGAGTGCGCTGGAAATGTTTTCGACACGGTCGGCTTAGAGTCGTTGTTGGCCGGGTGGAATACATGGAGGGTATGACCTCCCTCAATCACAAGAAGATGCACAGAGTTCGCGCATGCTGCCGTTATCTTGGTCCTTGAATCCGGCGGTTTCCACTCCAACGTAAGCATACTCGATTCGAGGTCTGTTATCCGCATCCCAGTCTCGTATACTTGAACGAGCTTGCGATCCGGTAGATTTGCTGCAAGCAGAGTTGGCTGAGAAAGCTCCAGGTGATGGAACTCGTCCACCTCTTCGACGGCCGCTTCGGAGTCGAACTTAAAGATGCGTGTTTCTGTGACGAAAGAGACCAAAAGTGTATCGTGAACACCATCCTGGCCTGTCGAGCTCAATCCCCAGAGATCTGTGATGTGAGACAGTTCGCCGATTGTACCGAGTTCTTCGAGACCGACGCCACTTCTCACGCTTCGAATGGACCCATCCTGCCACGCACCCGAAGCTGTCACTATTCGGGCTTGGCCGGAGGAAAATTCAGGGGCCTGTCCTCCTTCGGCACCTCTGCCCAAATCCATGATAGTGAAATCCAAGATAGGGGCGATGTTGGCGAAAGTCTGGACAACAAGGACGCCCTCTTCTTCGATGCGGACCACCTGGGAGTCTCCTGAGTGTGAGCCAACGAAAACGTAACCTTCGTCGAGATAAACCAAGCAGGATGCCTTCGAAGCGACACCGACACGGTCTAGTCTCCACGATGAGACTTCGAATCCCGAGACCTCGATCATCAGGAAGAACAATCTGCCAAAGTCGTCAGCCAGCAGCCATCTTTGATCGTCAATCTTGGTCCAGCACGTCCAGATGGTTGCATTGTCTTCCAAAGGCTGTGTGATAACATGGGTCAAGTCCCGGTCAACATAGCGGATCGCATGGTCGCCCAGTATCAGGAAGCCTCCGTAAGGCGCTGACACGGGGATGAGATGGCTGACTCCCTTATCCAACTGATCACCACGTAGTTCAGCAACGGTCTCGAATTCCGCTGTTGCTTGTTCACCGCCAGGGTAGTATTTCAACTCGCGCAGTTTTAACTGTGGGTTCTCCAGGTTGTCTTCCCATAGGATTGCTAACTTCGGGGTGTCTTTGGAATCTGGGTCCACGGCTAGGAACGCTGATGACCTCGACAGGAGTTCTTCGATCCGGACCTGGACGGGCTCGCCGAGAGTTCCCACTTGTGTGTTTGTGGTAGTCTCTCTTCTGACCCGTTTATTCGAGGGCTGCACGAACGGCAGGACTGAGATGACCCCGTCATACAATTCCAATGTCATGTATCGCCCCGTAGGGTCTATGTGACATCTATCCACCTCTTTGGAGTTCCGTAGGACGTTATCCGCCAGATCAACATAGCTTTGCTCGGTCTGCAGCTGCTTGATATCCGCATTCCAGGAACATGTGAAGTAATGATATCGATCGGTTCCGATAAACAGATGGTCCGTCTTTGAAGAGGCCGGTCGCAGTTTCTCGAGGACTGTAATGTAGCCATATACCGTCTTCGAGTACAACAGTGCCAATCCTTCGGACCCTTGCTCGTATATTTCCAATCGATTCGCTTTCCTGTGACGAGGCTCAGTATACTGCCTGTTGAGAGTGCTTGCATGCAATACTCACGCGACAATGAGAGTATCACTGTTGGGATCAAGGAAGTTCAGTTTAATTGCATGTCGGACTCCGCTAGGACGGTGAATGGGGACGATATAAGACATGGCGATGAGTCGGTCGGTAAAGCTATGTCTGCGTTATCATGAGGTGGAACTACCTGTGGTCACCGCGGACTTGAAGAAGAGGGCAAGAGGGCGCCGTCCAGAGCACTCCGAACATCGAGGGATCTTGAGCAGTTTTCAGAAAACCGTGAACAGATCCAGTCGTTGATAATTACCAAGTAGGGTGCAAGTGTTCGGTGGATGTTAGGAATTTGGTCATTATTCTGCGCTTCCACTTGGAGATGCAGCACGACTCGGACGCGGAGAAGGAGACGCGTACCGCAATTGATCCCCCGAGCCACAATTGAAGATCAAGACGAATTCCGCCACAATACTAGAATTCCACATTACGATGAGTCCAGGATGATACTCATCTCTTTTTGTTTACACACTGGGTGGTGTTTCTATCTATTCCTTACCGCCTAGCCATCTATAGACCACGGAAAAGTCCTTCCCTTTGTGAGCCTTTTCCGTCTCGTCATACACCTCTTTCGCCTTCTGTGCCAGTGCAAGAGTGGCTCCAGCTTCCTGGGCCGCTGTTATGGCAAGCCGGAGGTCTTTGTTCATCAGACTGATGCCAAATCCACCTTCGTAATCTCTGCTTGCCGGTGCTGTTTCAACGACCCCAGGAACAGGGTTGTTAACCTCACTGGGCCAGCTCCTACCGGTGGCAGAATTGATAAGATCGGCCAATGCCTTCCCATGTATCCCCCATCTTATGCCCAAGTTCATTGCTTCGGCCGCCGCAATGTTGTTGATTGCCAATGCGTAGTTGTTGGCCAACTTGCCACTAAGACCGGTCCCCTGAGGTCCCATATGCCAGACCTTCTTTCCCATCAAGAGAAGTATTTCCCGAATCTGGGGCACGTCTTCTTCTTCTGCGCCGACCATGAAGGTCAGAGTCCCGGCACGAGCACCAACCACACCGCCAGACATGGGCGCATCAACAAACTTGGCTCCTGCCTTCTCTTTCACCAGTTTCGCAACCTCCCGCGAAGTTGAAGGGTCGATGGTCGAGCAATCAACGAAAAGACGCGAGCTCTGGCTAGGTGCTTTGGGCAATGAAGAGGCAAGAACGTCCTCGTAAACGCCTTTGACATGACGGGGTTCGGGAAGAGCAGAGATAATGTGGTCCTATATTACAGCATCAGCCTCATGATGAACAGCTGAATGGGAAATAAGTCCGCAATTAGATTGACATATCAGAGGATTGGCTATTGTAGTGTAAAATCAGAGAAAGACAACCCAGAAGGAAGTCCCCAACTTAGATCATAGATAGAACAAAGTGCTCATCATGCGATGGGATTATAGTTGTAGTACCACTGGGCCGTCACTTACTGCATTTTCCACAACCTCCCGCGGGCTTTTCGCGACAACAACCCCACTCGGTGTTGCTTCCTGCGCGAATTTGTCGAGCGAGGTCGTGTTGATGTCGAAGATGGTCATGGTATCGCCCTCAGGGATCTTTGCTCGTAGGTTCTTTGCCATGGGATAACCTGCAAATGTACAATTAGCCCTATAATCTCATCGACGCAGGGGAGAGACGTACCCATGGCACCCAACCCAATGAAGCCCCATGATGCTTCTCTGGTGGTTGAGGAGGTGAAATGGCGGATGCCGCTGTAGAGTTGTGAAGGTGACCGCCGCAGGGCGGAGGATAGCAGACCTAGAGTCATCGCTGCTGAGCGCGCTTGGGACGAGACATGGCGAGCGTACAGCAGACGCCGCGGGTTAAGGCCATTGACCGTACTCGGTTGAAGTGCGGAGTGATTCCCGAGGTATACGAAGCATCTCGGGGCAAACCTGGAGCTGGAGAGCTGTAAAAGGCTGCCTACCTGACCTACCTAGGTACATTTCCTGGTATGCGAATGGCTACTAAAATATTTGTGTGTTCGGTGCCGCACTCAACCGAAACTTCATTCAAATTGGACCGTGACTCCCTCCAGTCTTGGCGCCCTTCACTGCCGTCGACAGCCGCAGATTGAGATATTGGAGCCGTCGGCCGTCTTCCTTCATCTGAATATACCAAGGCATTTGTCTACGTTACATATACGATAGACTCCCTGAAGGTGAGCCATCTCACATACGCAGGGTAGGCACGCTACAAAGCAATACGGAAGCGGTCAAGGTTGAAGCTGTTGGTACTGGGTGTATCTGGATGCGAGAATGGCACTTTAGAAAGTACAGAGACCACCGCCGCAAGTGTCGCAGCAACGATTTCCGTAACTGCAAACGTGGCCGTCGGAAGATGGAAACATTGGCGGGAATATTGCTAGAGTACACCAAGAAGTGAAAACAAATTCAGGCAGACGCAGATCTGGTCGGCACCAAACAGAAGAACAAGCTCCAGAAGAATAGAACCAATCCCCTTCACCGACGTCTCGACTTGCCCTTTCCCTTACCATGCTCGTCTGACCCAGAGCTGGATGACTTGGATAGAACGGGGAACCGCTCTTCGTCCATCAGCCGACTCTCTGCTTCGGCTGCGCTCAGTTGCAGAGCAAACTCCAAGTCATCATCCTTGGGGGGCGCCGTCGGAGCCTTGCTACTGCCAGCCTTCGTGTTGCGTGAAGGTGTGCCATGCTTGGATCCTTTCGCATATCTGATAGGAATGTCGAATGCATTGCTCTGCGGCGAAGAAGACACCTGCTCACTGTCCAACAAGCTGAGGCGAATGGCTTCTTCAAGATCCGCATCGGCTGTTGTGGGTTCAGTTTCTTCCGTCAGACACAAAGGCAGTTGGGGCGAAGAAAGCGAGCTTGTAGCATTGTCGGCCATCCTCTTCATCTTGTCCGAGGAAAAGGCCTCTTCACTGAGCATAGTAGCATAAGCAAGCAGCTCTTCTTCGCTGGCATCCTCACCCAGAAGATTGATCCCGAACCTGCCACTCAGACGTTCTTCTTCTTTGCGTCTTAACATCTTCTCCCTCTCCATTTCGAACCTCTCATCGCTAATGTAGTCCTTTAGAAGTCCGCGAGCAGTAACACTGACTTTCTGGCTAGCTGGTGTCGAGTTACTGCCTCTTTCTGATCGGCGGCGCAACTGACCCCGTTTGCGGCTTTTGTAGGCATCAGCCGCAGTTGAGCTGTACGACCAGTAGCGAAGATAAGCACCCAAAGAGACCATTCCGCGCAAGACGGTAGGATCTGGATCTAGGACAATTGCACCAGCCGCGTAGTAGTTGTTGCCAACACCATGCACTGTGGCTTCAGCTTGAGCAATGCGTCGTCTTGCTCTGTCGGAGAATCGTGAGTTCAAGGTCCTGATCGGTTCATTTGTCGAGGCCAAGGGATCCCAAGCTTGAACTAGGCCTTCATTGCCTCCATGGACGACGTACAGCGAAGTCAACGCAAGTGAAGCGATTTGTGGAGACTTCGTGTAGATGATCCGAACGGGTTGAACAGTGTTGACGACCTCGGGACTCGGGGGGAGGCTGGCGCGCATGTCCCAGAGCATGACGATCCCTGACATGGTACCAATGCTCATCAACCGAGCTCGATGTCCGGGAATCTCAGAAGGTGAGCTTGCCGTGGGCACATTACCCAAAGGAGAAGCCAAGGGCGAGGAAGCTGTTGAGCCACCTGACATTCCTAGGAGAGGATCTTCATTGATTGTTAGCGTTGCAAGTTCGGATTCATCCGCAGCCACGGCCGAGATGCGGATGTTTCTGTGGTCGGCGAAGGAAAACTGCGAGATACGCCAATCTTCTTGGAACTTCGAGTCCACGCTCTCATCCTGACTCGACGTGCGTGACCTTGAGATGCTTGCCAATCCTGGCGAAGACATTGTGTCCCGCGGACCGCCAAAAATCGAAGGTCTGTTGATGGTGGACTGGATGGTAGGCCAGCTTTCGAGATCAAAGTTGACGGCGATCTTGCTCTTGCATCGGGTGAACCGTCGGATCGCTGCCGGAATGCCCTCGTCAAGCCCGCTTTCAATGAGGAAGATCGACTCTCCAGCTCCATGATTATCATCGCCAGCATGATCGACCAACATCCTGCGCCTCATATCCCAGCCCTCGCAAAGACTCTGGAAATGCTTCGGCTTGTGGACTAAGAATTCCTCGACTTCTTTTGTCTCGGCGATGATCTGCTCCTGGCTCAGACCGCATGCATCGCTCGAAGTGCGTGGTGTGTAGCTTCCGTCCGCTTGTGCAAGCCCGAAGGGATCTGGCTTCGCTTTTCTCCGTGTAGCCTCCACAAGCGACCACTCCACACTTCGTCCCGTCTGCCATGCCAGGCGATCGATGTCTTCAGGTGAAGCTTTACCATTGAAGTCGGGTCTGGTAAGAGTATCTGTAAGGCAGTATACCTCTCCGAGCGCATTGAGGACCGTTGCCCAGATGCGACGAGACCCGAGTCGACGGGGAGATACATTTTCGTCAATTGAGATGGCAATAATCGGCACGCCCGGAGAGAGCACCCACTTTGCTGTTGGCTCGCCCTTCTCGTAACGGCGATCATGAACTGGGTTGACGCCGAGCGCATATGCAGCGAGGACGCCGTTAGAGAACCCAGCAAGAAAGCCAAAAAGTCCGTTGGTCACTTTGAGGGGCGCCTCAGACTTTGCAATCCATACCGAACAAACTGCACAGCCAAGCATATTCACTTCGGGAATACCCAAAGTATGATTCGCCGCCGATGTGATCGGAACGAAGCGGCCACGCTGCTCGCTTGTGGAAGTGTAGAGCAAACGACCATCGGGGCAAGCCTCTCCATAGACCTTTCCATAGGGTTGGCTAATGTCCATCACATTTGGCATACCGACCACATTACCTGGCCCCAGTCCGTAGGGTACCTCGCCAGGAAAGTAGTCTGCGAAATGCTTGAAGGCCTCAAAGTCGGTTAGACCCCAATTCCCCGGCTTTCCGGTGCTAGGTTCACTAACGGAGACGCCTCCTTGTTCCACAGCCCCATGCATGAACAAAGGCTGCTTCTTGTTCAAGCCCGTGCCAAATGTAGCATGAAGATGGCTGACTGGGTAGTATAAGCCGGAGGCATAAGTGATGACGGCAGCGGCGGCAGCACTACTGGCATGGCGAGATGCGCCGGATCGAGCAACAGCTTCCAGAGCAGGTCTTCCTCGCCCAAGGGACCGCAGTAACCGGGTTCGGAGTATGTATTCGCTTCTCCACGAGGACAGTGCCGACAGTCGTGTGAAACTCCTTCGCTGTGCTCTTTCTACATCAAGCACCGATTCTCTCGCGGCCTTGCGGGCGCCATCATCGAGCGCCTCCGACCCGGGAAAGTATCTTGCAAACGCGATGCGCCATGCATGAGGTGTCGTGACCAATCGGTGAAACCGCTGGCTGACCAGACTCATCGAGGATAGAGTCTCCGGCGGAAGATGGGAGAGGATGTGCGTTAGAACCTCTGTCCATGATTAGCAACAAGTCAAGACACACGGCATGCATTCGCACCATTTGGAAAATCCTCGATAGAGGTGGTTGGTAGTTTGCCCTTGGCAGAGGGGACGACCTGGAAGACCATGCCATCGGTTCGTTTCCGGAATCGTGTATGGGCACGCTCATATTCATCAATGCGACTGCCAGGAGATCCTTCTTGCGAAGAGCTGTCGGGACTGCTTAACCGTCCGGCGTTGGGTGACCGTCCACGCCGCGTCCGTCCAGAACTGACGGAGACAGCGTCAGTGTCGTCCAACGCTGGCTGATGCACTCCGGCACTGCTCCCGAGGAGTGTCCCGCCAGAGGCCTGCTGTTCAATGATTGGAAGTCCATGCTGTGCGGGAGGTTGAGAGGATTGGGTTGATTCTAATGAAGTCGCGTTGAGGGATGCTTCGGGAGGCGCAGGTAGCATAAAAGGATATATTGGATGGTTGGGAAGATAGTCAAGACTGAACCAGAGGATGGATCAGTCCAAAGAGAGGCTGCGCTGGTGGCGGAACTCGAGTAAGAGGTGGGAGACTTGCAAGAGGGCTTCGAGCAGAAGAGAATGTGTTATCAGAGAGGCTTGAACTTCAAGTTGGTATCATATCGAGTCTGCGGCGACTGGAGACTCTTCTTCCGTCTTCATCTTCGCGCGATTCGCGAGGCGCCAAGGAATTCGGAGACATCATTTCCTATTGGCCAGAGTATGACTACCGCTTACCTAACACGGATTGCTATACTACTACGCAGTACTAACTTGCATAGGAGCCTTGCCGTTTCTCCTACTACTATCACTCACTACAGCATACAACTTGACTCGTTCCTCCAGGCTGCTGCTATCTGTGGGGGATTGGAACTGACACACTCACTCTTCCCGTGTCCTTTTCACTTGTGGGGCATTGACATGTTTCGCGTCCTTTCATTGAAGTGTTGAAAGGGCACTTTCGGTTTGCTCCTTGAGCAGGCAGCCACCGCGCTATCTTGAAACAAGCTACTCATTCAAACGTTTCTCATTCATTTCTTCTTTCAGCTTTAACGCGTTTCCCTGCCCTATGAAGTAAAGACACAATGGCGGACACCATTTCAATTCTTGTTGCCACAGACAACCATGTGGGAGCCTACGAACGAGACCCGATCCGTGGCGACGATTCCTGGAGGACATTTCATGAGATTATGTGTCTTGCGAAGGAACGCGATGTCGACATGGTGCTTCTCGCTGGGGATCTATTCCACGAGAACAAACCCTCTCGAAAGTCAATGTACAATGTCATGCGGTCACTACGGCTCAACTGCCTAGGAGACAAGCCTTGCGAACTTGAAATGCTCAGCGATGAATCAGAACACTTTGACGCCACCTTCGACCATGTCAACTATGAAGATCCAAACATCAATGTGGGAATTCCCGTGTTCTCCATCCATGGTAACCACGATGATCCGACAGGAGATGGCCACTATGCCGCGCTGGATCTGCTTGCCGTTTCGGGTCTTATCAACTACTACGGCAAGACCCCTCAGAGTGACAACATCGAAGTCAAACCTGTGCTGATACAGAAGGGTCGCACCAAGCTCGCTCTATACGGCCTTTCCAACGTTCGGGACGAGAGGCTCTACCGCACATTCCGAAACGAGAAGGTCAAGTTCCTTCGACCCAGCCAGCAAATGGGCGACTGGTATAATGTGATCTGCGTCCATCAAAACCACCATGCCTATACAGAGACATCGTATCTCCCCGAGAACTTCCTACCACCCTTTCTTGACTTGGTGATCTGGGGCCATGAGCACGAATGTCTCATTGAGCCGCGATGGAATCCAGAAATGAACTTCCAGGTTATGCAGCCAGGCTCCTCTGTTGCTACCTCTCTCATCCCTGGCGAAGCTGTCCCCAAACATGTGGCAATCGTCACGATCAAAGGGCGGGAGATGAAAAGCGAGCCGATTCGCCTAAGAACAGTGCGTCCGTATGTCTACAAGGACCTGGTTCTAAGCACCGACAAGGAAGCAGTGAGGATCGCCAAGAACAAGGAGGAGCATCGACCCGAACTCACGCGGTATCTGATTAGTATCGTCGATGGATTGATTGAACAGGCCAAGGCAGAATGGCAGGAGGCACAAGAGGAAAGACAAGCCGTGGATGAGGAGCCGGCAGAATGCCCGCTCCCGTTGATCCGACTTCGCGTTGAGACGACGCCTGTCGATGGGGTGGCCAAGTTCGACGTGGAGAACCCACAACGTTTTTCCAACCGGTTCATCGACAAAGTCGCCAACACCACGGATGTCGTCCAGTTCCACGTGAAAAAGAGGAATGCAGCAGCTCGCGCCGCCCGAGATGCAGAAGCGGATCGTGAAGTTATGGCCAAGTTCCAGGGTCTCGAGAACATCAAGGTAGAGAAACTGGTGCGGGAGTTCCTCCAAGCACAGTCCTTGACGATTCTGCCTCAGAACTACTTTGGCGACGCAGTGGCTCAGTATGTAGAAAAAGATGACAAGCATGCCATGGAGATGTTCGTGAACGAGTCTCTGGCAGATCAAATCAAAAATCTGGTCAAAATGCAAGCTGATGCAAACGACGACCAGGAGGACGAAGATCTTGCTGCGCAGATTAACGAGCAGCGCGCGAGAATGGAAGAGATGTTTGCCAAGGGTATGCTCAAGGCCTCGGCCAATAAGGCTCGCTTCAAACCAAGACCAGACGACTGGGACAGCGATCAGGGTGGTCACTGGGAAGAACAGCCTGCGGCACTGCTTCGCTCGTCTGAAGATCTGGAAGAGAACGAGGAGGACGAAGAAGAAGAGGAAGATGCGACTCCTGCTCCACGTACCGTAGCCCCGACCCGAGGAAGAGGCCAAGGCCGAGGCAGGGGCGGTAGAGCTGGCGCAGCTACAGCGTCGACCAGGAACACCACCACCACCACCTCTAACAAAAAACCTGCAGCGTCTTCAGGTCGAGGGCGCAAGAGAACTGTCCCTGATGAAGACGAGGAAGACGAAGACGAAGACATCGCCATGTTGGACGATGACGAGGATGAGGAAGAAAACTCTCAAGCCTTGTTCTTCCCAGACAAGCGCAAACCCACAAGTACCAGAGGCCGCACGACGACCACAACGCCCGCTTCGTCAGGTACTAGAGGCAGGAAAGCCGCTTCGCCGGCGATAAAGAAGCCATCTGCTCGTGCCGCAACAACGAGGGCAAAACAGTCAACGCTTAACTTCACCATGTCACAGAACAGCATTCTTGGGAACGGTCAAGGTGCGAGAAGCAGGAGTCAAAGCCACGACATTGAGGATGACGACGACGACGATGATGAAGACGCCTTTGAATCGGCTCCTGCAACCAGAAGAAGACGCTGATGTAATGCTCCATACCATATCCTAATGGAGGAGCCTTGTCAGCGGTGGTGAAATGAATGCCTCTTCATGAAGGCGGACGGTATGCTTCCTCGGCGCAAGGGAACAGGTGATTTTGCACTTGAACCAACACCGAGTCTTGTGCTGTGCCTTGTCTTGCAGACGGAGACTAAAAGAAAAACAAAAGCAGTTTCTTTTTTATTGATTTTGCGCTTACGAGCACACGATAGTCATGAAAGAGACCATGAATTGATCAATATCAGCTAAAGGTTGATCCTAAATTAGCGAGCGGCGAGAAGGTGCACAATGGCATGATGTATCGGTTTTGTAAGATAGATATCGGGCTTTTCGCCAACTTGAGATGCTTCTCATTCCGTATACTGCAGTGCGAGTTCCTTTCCGCGTGCTGATCTCTGATGAAAAAAGATGCCAACCATTCGGGACCAAGGTAAATGAAGTTCAATTGCCGGCGGCGTATCTTTATGCCTTGAAATTCTGTTCAACTGTGGGCTCTCACGCTCTCACGACGTTGTGTCGATAACAGCGTGATAGTGATGTAGGTGTATAATATGCATATCTCGCACTCAATCTTTCTTCGGCTCGACCTTCGCAGGAGCCTTAGAAGCCGCAGTTGCATCCGCACTCCCGCTCGCAGCATTGGGTGTCGAAGATGAAGCTGAAGCAGCGCCGCCAGCCCGTCTTCCACCACCACTCTTCCCACCGCGCTGTCCTTGTTTCGATCCTTGGCTTGGCCCTCGAGCATTACCTCGTCCGCCCCGGCCTCCAGCTCCACCTCCAGATGCGCCTCCTCGCGAAGAATCTCGCGGCGTAACAGGTGGTGTGCTACCTGCAGCCGCCGGAGCAGTCGTGGTTGGCGTGGTTGGTGTTGATCCTGGTGCAGAATTGGAATTTGCGGTCGTTGGAGTCAATCCGGGTGCTGTACCGACTTTGGGCGAGCTCGTCCTCGAGCCAGCAGCTGCTGATACCACAGCCGCCGGGGCCGGTGAAGGAGCTGATGCCTGATTTGGGCCGGTTGTACTCGCCACTGCTTTGGTCGTTCCCGAGCCAGTTTGAGTCTGAGATCCCTGACCTCCCCGCTTCCCATGCTGTGGTTTGTTCTCCAGCACGACAACCTGACCATTCGCAACTTTGACCGGGCTAGCCACCATTGCCTTTTTGAGCGCATCGGCTTCGCTGAAGTCAATGTACCCCAGACCTTTCTTCTTGTCGATCTCGCAGCGAGATATAGTGCCGAATTCTTTAAAGACAGTGCGCAAGGCCTCCTCCGTGATCCCCTGCGAGGAATTTGCGTGTTTGAGGAATGCAGATTTCGCGCCGGCCGATGGTTGGGGACCGGCCTTGGTAGAGCGCTGAGACGAGGTTGCAGCAGGCTTGGCTGATGCGGTGCTGGCAGTGCGAGAGGCTCGTGGTCCGGTGGGCGGAGCTGTTGTCGTTGGTGTAGATGGCTTTGTAGTGGTTTTCTGCTGCTCTAGAGTCCCTGAGGTCTTATTCGAAGGAGCAGCTACTGGTTTCGTGGATGAACCGGTCGCAGCCTCTGCTGCAGTAGTAGTCGAAGTCGAGGTTTTCGGGGTCCGCTGTGACTTGCTTTCTTTTGCGACCAAGCCTAGATCACGCTGAAGCATGCGAGCAGCAGCGCTTGCGTTACCTCGCTCCCGTTCTCGCTTGGCTGGTGTTGACGCTGGTGCCACTGCTGGTTGAGACGCCATTGTCTCCTTCTTAGACTGCTTTGCTTCGCCTTTCGCTGGGGTCTGCTTCCCAGGCATCGCAGCAACCGACTTGTTGATGGCCTTGACAGCATCTTGGGTCGCCTTGGCTACTCGCTCTTTCTCTTTCTCCTTATCCTTCTCTTTATCCTTCTCCTTTTCTTTCTCTACTGTCGTGGGATTCTTACCCTTGACGACAACGGTCGGACGAGTCTCCGACTTCGTTGGCTTTGCTTCTTTACTTTCACGAGCCTTTGCTGCCTTCGCTTGAGAGGACTCCTTAGCCTTGTTCGCCTTCTTCTCCTTGATATACTGGACCAAGGGCGTGATGGAGACCTTTTCCGACTTAGCATCGGTAGCATCCACTCCGTTTGAAGCAGCCTTGGTGATGGGTTCGGTCAGGCTTTGCAGGAAATCGATGAATTCTTGGTCTTGGTCAATGGTGCCTTGTCTTCCATCATTTCGGACACGGCCACTGGGCGTTTTATTGTAGGGTGCAAACTCCAGAGAAGGAGGTCCTAGCAGGCACGGGTCCCTGCTGGTGTTTTTGGCATCCTGAAATGACGCTTCCTTGACCGCTGCAGACAGAACATCCAGCAAGGACTGTTCCTTCACTTTGATATATGCTCTCGCCGGTCGAGATGGCTTAGCGATGCTATGTCTGCTCAGTAACCATACAAAAGCAAACGGAGAGCGTCTTACTCTTTGGAAATCTTTCCATTCTTGAAGGCTGCCCATTCTGTCTTGCCAGCGCCGACTTTCCACTCATCACCTAGCACCGCCCAGAACTCGTTCTCGGTCAGGCCAGGCGGCAATCGTCGAATCACGAGTCTCAGTCTTGGAGCTGGAGTTCTTGCTGTAGATTTGGACCCGGACTGTGGGGTTGCATTCTTTCTAGTCGCTGCATTTACAGGCAGAACGCCTCCTGAGCGTCCCTTTGTTTGGTTTGACATTGTTGAACGATGTTGTGATAGTAGTCGACACAAGAGACAATAGCCACGTCGGTGAGAGCTATGTGAGTCTCAATGTCTCAATGGAACCTCTATTCAGCTTCACCACAATAACAAGCATGTGAAACACCAGTCACTCGTGAGTGACGGGAGTGCACGAGTGAAAGACATGTGTTGGTGAGTCTCTTCCTCCTCTCCCTATATATATCGGCCTTTTTCCCCTCCGGCATCGGAACGGATTTTCTTTCTTCCGGTTACCCATATCAAATCTGTCACGTGGCAGGATGTCGGCCCCTGCCACAAAGGCCTCCTCGCCCTCGTCGTCTCCTGTTGGCATTGACGACAACGAGCCCGCCGACCATATCGTCGCCGCCTCCTCTTCCTCCTCAGCACGCCGCCCTGCCAGCATCGCCGACGCTTCCTTGACCAGGGAGGCCGGCAGCGAGCAATTTCCTGTTTTCGTGGAGGAGAGCCCCGAGAACACGCCCTCCTCACCTCCCCTCCCTCCTCCCCGCCGCCGGTCACGAAACGTGACCGAGCTTGACCTCCGTGCCTTCCGTGGTTTGCCTAAGAAGAAGGTGTTTGACTACGTCGATCTTGTCAAGGCTCTCCGTTTCCCCTCTGCGCCCGGCGAATTGCCAAAAGCCCCAGTCAGCCAACTGGGCAAGGAAGCGACCTACACACGAGCAAATCCCACTCAGGTCAACTCCTTCGAACCTGCACCATGGGCGCAGTAAAGGTGCCAGTCCCAGGCCCAGCACGGCTAAAGAGATCGGCTGGCCCAGACGAATGGCTTGAAGCAGCGAAGAACTGCAAATACCTTTCAGAATACCACATGAAACAACTCTGCGAAATCGTCAAGGAGTACATGATGGAAGGTCAGTCAGCTTGCGCAGAGACTATGAATCTATTTACTGACCAGAAGCCAGAATCAAACATCCAACCCGTTTCCACTCCAGTCACGATTTGTGGCGACATCCACGGTCAATTCTACGATCTACTCGAGTTGTTCAGAGTAGCAGGAGGCATGCCGAATGAATCAGCTCCAGAAACACCCGCCACACCCGCAAACATCATCACTGCCGCAGACATTGAACCCCCTACCACAATCACGAATCCCAAGTTGAAAAAGAAGCTCAAGCTTGGAGGTGCAGAACACCCAGACACCCCAAGCGAGAAGAGTAGCGAGGTCAGTGACGCCGAAGATATTTCCTCATCACAACAATCAGAACCCGAAGACGAGAGATCAGAGTCGGGAAATGTCATTTCGCGCAGACAAGACGCGAATTTCATCTTCCTGGGAGACTACGTCGATCGCGGATACTTTTCACTCGAAACACTCACACTACTTCTCTGCTTGAAAGCAAAATACCCGGAAAGAATCACGCTGGTAAGAGGAAACCACGAATCCCGCCAGATCACGCAAGTCTACGGCTTCTACGAGGAATGCGTTCAGAAATACGGAAACACCTCGGTCTGGAAGGCCTGTTGCCAGGTCTTCGACTTTATGACACTCGGAGCAATTGTTGACGGCAAGATCTTATGTGTCCATGGTGGTCTATCCCCAGAAATCCGAACGTTGGACCAGGTCAGGGTTGTGGCTCGAGCTCAAGAGATTCCTCACGAAGGAGCATTTTGTGATCTTGTGTGGTCGGATCCAGAAGACGTTGAGACCTGGGCTGTGTCACCGCGAGGCGCCGGCTGGTTGTTCGGAGATAGAGTCAGCCAGGAATTCTGCCACGTCAACGGACTCAATCTCATCGCACGAGCCCATCAACTGGTGAACGAAGGTTACAAGTACCATTTCAAGAGCCAGGATGTGGTCACAGTATGGAGCGCACCAAACTATTGCTACAGATGCGGAAACCTGGCATCGGTGTGTCACGTTGACGAGGACTTGACGCCGACCTTCAAGCTTTTCAGTGCGGTGAAGGATGAGCTACGACATGTTCCGCCATCCAGGGGCGGGAGAAACGAATACTTCCTCTAAGATGACCGAAGCATTCATCAAGGGAGAAAGAGGCGATGTGCTTCAATCACCACAACGGATGACGACGTAGAGCTTCCGGGCTTGGGCAGAGATGACGACGATTGGGCTTCCAGCGATTCGAGCTTTCTTGATACGGAATCGGCCATTTTCAGCATAGCAAGGCGTGGTGGTGGCTGGTTGGTCGATTGGCTGGCTCAGATATCATGTACAATACCGGGGGAGAGCTAGATACATAGCTCACACTGCAATGAACACTCTTGAGGACGAAGGTGGACTATTCCTCACCTGCTCATCTCGATTTCCTGTGCACTCGAGCAGTTTGCTTTCAATTCAAGTTCCTTGTGGCGTACAGCCTTGCGTTGATCTCACATTACGTTCGTAGGTGGAGTCAAATCCCTTCTCCCTATCGGGGAGTCTTGCACCTCTCCGAATTGACGAGCATGGACATGATATATATCTCTAGCATGCGTCAACTTCCTCAACCTCCGGAGATCCTGACCAAGATGCAGAGGACATGCGGAGGACCCTCGCCCGATTTGCCCAGAGCCTGAAAACCGGCCAGGCGAACACGAATCTCATCCAGATCCGCAATGGCACCTTCTACAAAGAACATCCTCGAGCCGATCACGGCGACGCTTCAGCTTCAACGAACAACCCTCCCCTCTTCCCGAACCTGACCTTTGAATTGCCTGCCACGGTACAACATGGAGACCGGCCTGCGCCGAGAAAAGACCAGCACTGGGCGGTGATCAGCGCAACTGATGGAACAACATTCCTCGAAATTCTACGAGGCTCACACCTCTGTTTCCCACCGAACGCGAGATCGTACCCGTACCTGGCCTCGGACGAGATCGACCACAAAGACCATCGGCTACGCGTCCTTTCACGGGCCATCCAGTATGTCGGGTTCAACAGCGGCAAGGGCCATGGGGCCGGTGGAATAAGAGGTGCATATCTAAGTGCTCGCTACGAAAGCCGCAGAGAAGAGACCGACTGGTCCGTCTTACAGTATTTGAGAGGAGAAACAGAACTGAATCCTTCCCAAGATTCGCCGGAGAAGCATGTCGACGAGACGCTTCTGCACAAGGTCATCTCGGACCTGCGGCTGCAGAGGTTGATGGACATGCCTGTGAGCAATCTGAGCAATGGCCAGACCAGACGAGCTAGGATTGCCAAAGCCCTGCTCGGCAAGCCGGAGCTTCTGTTACTGGATGAGCCGTTTATGGGTTTGGATCCTCCGACCCTGGTTACGCTGTCGCCCATGCTGCGCGAGCTTGCCTACCGATCATCGCCTCTGCTGTTGCTCGGGCTGCGTCCTCAAGACCCGATCCCGGACTGGATCACACATCTTGTCGTGCTCGGACATAACCATTCGGTGGCGTTGATGGGTGAGAAGAACCAGGTGCTCTTCAGCCTGGGCCGGTGGCTGGATCTGATGTTGTCGACGAAGCTTCCAAGTCACAACACTGCCGGGCGTAGACTTGACCACGAGATGGCAGCGCTCATGACTGCAAAATACGGGCCTCCTCCATCTGGTGTCGGCGATGTCCTGAGTGGAAATGGGATCTCGAGACATCCGGTTTTCCAGCATATTCACGACCCCAGTTTCGCGCAGTACCTATTACCTGACGGGACGATCGACCCGACGAGGCTCTCCGAGGAGGACGCGGTGCGATGGCAAACAGCCCAGACCAAAAGAAAAGAGTCGAACGCAGACCTCGACGACCTGCTCACACTCACAACCAGCCTTCCGGCCAATCTGGCAGGTGCGGAAGAAGCGACACCCACGCCCTCCGGATCTCAAACTTTTCCCCCTTCTCTAACACAGAGTCCTCACCCTGCAAGCAGTGAACGGTCTCTAGGCGATCCGCTAATCGAGCTTCACTCCGTGGTCGTGAAGTACGGAGACAAGACCGTCCTAGGCCACGGCCCGGCGCAACCAGGCTTCGCCGAGCCTGGCCTGAACCTCACCATCCGACAAGGCACGCGCCTTGCTCTTCTGGGCCCCAACGGCTCCGGCAAAACAACTCTTCTTTCGCTGCTGACATCCGACCATCCCCAATCATACAGCCTGCCGATCAAATTCTTCGGCCGTTCACGACTGCCTACGCCCGGCCAGCCAGGCCTATCCTTATGGGAAATCCAATCTCGCATCGGCCACTCGTCGCCGGAAATCCACGCATTCTTTCCCAAACATTTACCGGTGCGGCGTGTTCTGGAGAGTGCTTGGGCGGAGACATACGCCGGCAAACCGCAGCTGACACCTGAGCGGACCGCGTTGGTCGACACCTTCCTCAACTGGTGGGAACCCGAATTGAGACAAGACAGTCCTGGCACTGGGACTGGGAGTGAGACTGGAAACGACAAGTCGAAGAATCTGGACTGGGCTACGGACCGGCAAACCCACGCCCTTGGCGTGCTCCCCTTCGGCACCCAACGTCTATTACTCCTCCTCCGCGCCATCATCAAACAGCCTGACATTATCATTCTGGACGAAGCTTTCTCCGGTCTGTCGGCGGAGACTCGAGATAAAGCAATGGCCTGGCTTGAGTATGGGGAGGCACGGCCCACCACTCCGGCGGCCACAAGACCCCTATTCCCTGGTCTGCAGGACACTCAAGCCCTTGTCGTGGTGTCGCACGTCAAAGAGGAGATTCCAGACATGGTCGACGAGTGGGTCCGTCTGCCCGGCGAAGAGGAGGTCAGCGAACACGGCCGCGGCGTCGAATTCGGCCGGTCGGCCAAAGGAGATATCCGGACCGGAGAAGGATGGATGAAAGTTTGGGGACTTTAGAAAAGAACAATCCTGAGTTCTCCTCCTGATCTTAGTCCTACCTACCTGTACATACCCCTGGTCCTCGGGTATGATGGGGGTACAATAGGACAGCGAATAAGATAAGCCAGTGACATTACAGTGGTTCAGGACTATATAGATGGTATATCAGAAGAGAAGATAGGTATACAAAATGTATAAGAACTGGATCAGTATGTCAAAAAAGAAATTTGACAATGGAATGATCGGTATCTGGATGGTATGTGTATAACAGTTACATTTGATGAGAAAGAGAAAGTTGGTACTAGTATAGAACCCTGCTGGATCAGGATGATGCCGGAGTATATAATCCCATTCCCGTCTGTCTACTTTCTACCTTCTACTTAGCCACGCTTCACTTCGGCCCTCTTCTCCATCGTCCTCCATTCCTCCATCGTATGTATCAATGGCCGGAGCCGGTAATATGGCATGGGTTCTATCAAAGCGCGGGCGAAGTGGTGTGAAGAGGCAGGGCGAGATGGAAGTCAATGCCAGGGAGTATTCGCACCAGCAGGCTGAAGAAACAACAAGGACGGGGAACTCTCAGAATATCCGAATCCAGGGTTCGAGGTCAACAGGAACAGGAAACGAAGTCAATTGTCAACCGTCAATCTCGACGCGCTGTATATGGTATCTCCCTTTATCCATTCCGTTCATTTCCTGTCCATCCAAAGGATCCTGTTGAAAATTCAAACACAGGGGAGGTCCTCTTGCATTGTTCAATCAATCTCGCGAAGAGGCTGGGAACAGGCCACCAACAGAAGTATCAGAAGCGATAGATACCTCAAGACTCGGTAGAAAGAAAATAAATCAAATTTCATCTCAGACGTTCCAAGCATAACGATTCATGTCGTCGTCGTGGAGAAAAAGCACCCTGGTACGTGAACTCCTTTTCTCTCTTCCCTTTACCTTTTCTCGATCTCTCATCTCGCCCACGGTCGGAAGGCCAGCACCAAATCAATAGTAGATATATCATTTAGCGAGATGTCAGAATCAGATGGTCCGGTAAGTATATCAGTGGTTTGGTTTCACAAGACAGAACAACCTCAGTTGGCTTCCAGGTCATGATCCCTAATTTCAGATCTCCGGGTGGCTGTTTGCCAACTGGAATTGTCATCACCGACTCGACTAGTATTCCGCTACTGACTGATCTCGAATGCTACTCGATCGTCCGGGGATCATATGATACGGAATGCTGAACGCAGAAGCGCTGCTGGATTGGCTCCGTTGGCTTGACTGCCGCCGCATGCCTGCATTGCTGCTGCTCTGACGCGAATGCATAGATACTCGGGTATGTTGCTGTTGCTGTTCTCCACTGGAGGCCTGAGATGGTCCAGTGATATTGCTCGTCGGTCTTGTCGCCGAATGCTGGGGCGATGAGACAGGAATAGGAAAGCTAGAAAGTGAGATTTCACCCGGGCTCGGCGGAGGCTGTTGCTGACGGCCATAATGAGGGCCTGAGTCATGTCCCTTGTCAAGGAGCAGAGATGGGAGTGGCAGAGATGGTGACGGTGACCGTCTTGAATCGATCTCATGGGTGAAAACAGGCGGGCCTGGGCCGTTGGGGTCAGGACCCGCCTCTACCTTCTGCTTGCCTTTCTCATTGCGGGTTTGACGTTCTTGGTTGTGTTGACCTGCCAGGCCGGAGGATCCAGAACCATCTGAGATTCTCAGTGTCGTGAGATTATGGTAAGAGGTCTCGGATCTACCGTCGGCGGCCGATTCGTCAGTTTCGACCTTGATCTCTGGTGGAATCGGTGACCTGTTCCTGACCCGCGCGAAGATGGACGATGAGGCCGCAGAATTGCTGCGGTGAGGAGACATGGTCCGTCCCGACACCCCAGCTCTTGACGACGACCGCACTACAGGTGCCGGTGCAGAATCTAGGAAGGTCTCGTTCAAGCTTTCTTGTAGTCGGATCAACGCCGCACGAGCCTCGTCTTGTTTCCGAGCGAGTTCAGCCTCATCGATCGTGGACGCAAATATGGGCGGTCTATACCTGGGGACTTGGCCGGCATGATACAGTCTACCATGGCTTGGGTCATGGCTTTGAGACCGCCCCTGATCTCGAACCTGTGGTCTTTTCGCACGTCCAGCACCGTCAGATTCTGTGTCTTCAGGCACGCTACTGAGCGTGGATCTAGTTGCCATGTTGGCGAAATCTCTTGTGATCACCCCAGGCATACTGTTTGCACCCACTTGATCATTTGCATGCAGACCATCGGAAGGTACATCATGGCTGTGTGGCTGAAGTGACGGTCTAGACGACGTCTCTCGTAGGTATGATGTCGTCGATTCCGATGCTTGTGGCCGTTCTTTATCAGGGACAGCTTCTTGCTTCTGCTGAGACATGGCAGCGCTTCCATTGACGGTCGCTTCAGAGCGTGGAACAGATGCTTGCCGGATCGAGCGACGACCAGCTTCAGCCTGGGTCTCCGCTGACTCTTTGTCTTCGGTAGACTCTTTCTCTATGGAAGGTTGGCGCAGTGGTCGTTTCTCTGTCACCACTTGCTGCTCAGCGGTTGATCCATTCGTTTGTCCATGTCCTTCAGTAACAGAATCAATTCCCGCTGTACTTAGGGCTTCCAATACCACACTCGCGCGAGGCGATGAGGTGGCAATGGTGTTAACGGCTGAGAAAGCGCTCGTAGATCGGGGATACCTTGCTCGAGCGTCTCGGGCCAATGATTCTGAAACACCGTCTCGAAATTGCTCGGATTGCGCGAGCTGAGAAGCCTCGATTCGCACCTCGTCAGAAAGCGTAGAGGTTGTATTTGCCCGGGGAGAACTTGAAACAGTAGTCCTGTCCTCTGTTGTGGGTCCAATAACGGCAGACCCTGGAATCCTGCGCAAGGTGTCGAGGGTTGCGTTTCCGATGACAGGGGATGAGCTATAGTTTGACTCGGGAGTTATTTCAGAAAATACGTCTGAATCATCCCCAGTCAAGTCCAGGATTGTGCGATTTGGAAGTTTGATTGCGCGCCTGACGGAAGAGCCGTTACTAAGACTTGAGGGTGACCGCACAGGATATGCAGCTCCTTGCGAACTAGTTGTGCCTTTCATATAGCTCGCACTTTTAGACTGTGAAGTTTGTGGGGGTTCACTTGGTCTAGTCTGAGACACATCAGACGGTGGAAGCTGATAGCTGCGAAGAGTCTGGTTCCGCACGATTTCCTGGCTTGGACGGCTTCCAGCATGTTTGACGATAGGCCCCAAAGACCTATACGCAGTTGCGTCTGAGCCATTGGGGCCTATCAGAGACATATGGCTTGTATCCTCAGTGGTCAATGCAAGTCCTTTGAGTTGGTGCCCGGGAGCGAGTGTTGCATCCTGCGCTTGATGACCCTCGAATGTCCGATCGCTCTGTTGGCGAAAGTGAGAACCATTGGGACCTTGCATATTCTGATCCGTCCATATAGGGCGATCTTCAGGTTTTCTAGATAGCCTGGGATATTCGCCGATCCTGCTTGACACACCGTTCGGTCGCTCGGTGGGGTGTAAACGGACGAATCCCTCCTGATAGGCCGAAGGAGAGGCCTTAGCACTTATGGTTGAAGGCGACGTCGGGGATGCATTCCTGATGGCGACGTCTTCCTGATATTTCGAGGAAGAGAAATACCCATTCCGGGAGCTTTCGAGCGCTACTTGTGTGAGATTCAAGTTGCGTTCTGCAACATCTTCATTGTATTTTGAAGGAGAAGTCATGCCATCCGAAGTGGTGACGGCAAATATGTCAACGTATCGCGGAGCCTTAGTTCGGAGATGGGTTTTGGAGTAAACATCCTCTGAGTCTCGATAGTGTTGGTCTGATATAGCGATGGCATCCGCCGCACGATTGACAGCACTCATTAGACTATCCGTACCAGAGGTATCGGGCCGTGAGACTGAGGTCGAAGGCCTCGAGGTGCCGTCCGGTATAGCCTGCATTCTGCCAGCGAACCCCAGTCGCGGAGCGCTGGTCGCCGTCGACATCGGACTCGCAGCACTGGAAGCATGGTCTATCGAGTAATGCTGCCCCTGGGTTGCGCGGGGGCTGTTTTTGCTGGACCGACCACTTTTATCGGTACTCTGACTCTTCCGCAGACTGCCCACCCCAGAGTCTTGCATACCATCGTGACCCTTGCTTCTTCGACGGCTCCATAGCTTCTTTAGACCGGTGTCCATGGCGTTACGGGACTGTCATCCCTTTGTTCCAGCAGCAAATGTGTCCCCAGCTCATAAGTAATTCATGACGACGGTCATGAAACGTTCCAGCATGCATGACAAGACGCTCTCGACAACGCACTGAAGAGAGGGGAGCATTGATCCTAGAACGGCAGGCTCATAGACGCGAAGGGTAGCTTGTGGATATAGGAAGTTTTCGCGTAGGAGGCTGTTGTCCGAAGCAGGAGGTTGGACGTCTGGGTACTGCGTTTTGAGGGAGAATGTCACATTCGAAAGTGGTGTAGATCAGGGCATCGCTCGCAAGAAGTCGGGGACAGGATACGTTCGCATGGTACGTACTTGTAGAATCCAAAAACCAAAGCAGTAGTGATGAGTTGTCAAGGGAGGCTGGAACTTCAACGGGCATGACTGAGAGAAAGTTGACAGCTGTAAGTCACCCACTGGGACCCGGGCAGCGCGCCGCATGTGGAGGTCGAGATGATGGAGGAATGGACCATGGCGGTTGTCAAAAAAAGAGGATGCAGGCCACGCACCCAGCAGCATCTGCCATCTGGCATCTACCGTCGTATAGTAGGCGAGCGTCCAAGCCCACCCACACCACTCACTGCTAACCTATTCCCGTTGTTCACGTATCTGTAGAGATATCCTCCGGCCTGGACAGGCGATCAGTGGATGGATGGTCGGCGGACCAAAAGCAGTCAAACCCAAGACTTCGGAAGAGGAGGACGAGTTGCGGCTGCAGGCTGCAGGCTGTTCTTTGCTCTGTTTGGTGTCTAGCCGTAGCACCTGCTAAGTACCTAATAAGCATGCCTAGCAGTCTCTTCAGCTCATCGGCGGCGCCTCTCCCACACTCCACTACTCCCTCCAGACGCCCGTTGGAAAAGCCACTTGCCCTCGACGATCAACCGTCCATTATCCCAACCATACCTACGTATCTTCCTCCGCAGGTTGTCAGTCTTCTTCACCAAGTCGGATAACAGAATGCAAGCAAAGCAAGCGTACCCTTCCGCTTCCTTCCTCTACAGCAGCTCCCTTCCTCTTCGCCCGGCTCCGAGATCCTTGACCATGTTTTAAGATCCGATGCTGTACGATGATGGACCCATTGTGGGCGTGGACACCCCGGGTTGGAACGTCCCGGGATGATGGCCCATTATTAAACGCAAGTTCTTAGGCTGTAGGGCTCACCCCTGTTCAGGTCCAGACGATCTTTTAACTGGAAGATCGGAGATAGCAAAGCAATCCGTGGATAGAGAGCTTCCCTGAGGCCACCCACTATAATGCTCCAGTCACTGATGGGGCTAGGGGCTCCGAAGGCTCATGATCCCCAGGATGACCTTGCAACCCAGCGCTTGATGTTGTCGCTTCGGACTGGCCACGTCGACTTGATTCTTCCAGCCCTTTGGATCTTTTCAAGTGCGAAGCCCGTCACTAAGCAAGCTTTGCGAAATGGCCTTACCGGGGTTGACTTCCGAATGACCATCGTTCATCTGCAATAAAAATTACTCGCGAAGTCGAAGTCCGCTTTGCGTATCTTGGACAATGGAAGCAGTCGAGACGACTCCTCTGTATATCGGGGTCTCAGCTATGCGCTTATGTGAAGAGCAGGCATCCTATGCACCGGTCGCCCGAAGGTTATGTCTTTCACGTGGCATGTCACGCCAAGGCCCTGTACTAGTAGTACGGCATACAGCCAAGGGTAACACAAATACAAAATGCAGCTGCAGTTGGTGCAACCCGCGATGGGAAAGGAAGTCTGTTCTGCGCCCGTCGCATGCTGATCTGCAGTATGTACCTCCCTTTAAAATCTATCACACTAAAACGACCATGCACGAGGCGCTTCAACCAACACTGCCGGACTAACCAGTACGTATGTATCCTTCCGATTTCAAGGCGAAGCTGCAATAGAGCATGCTTCCTCTAGTCACGAGGACCAAAAGCCTTGTCGTAATCCGTCAGGGTGAAACGGTAGCGGACCTTGCCGTTGTAGACTCGCGACACAGCTTCGGAGCATCCAGCTTCTGAGATGGGGATGGTCTCGACCCATGGGAAGAGTTTCTTCTCTGCCGCCAGCTTCAACATGGCCAAACACTCGGGTCTGCTACCGATGTGACTCGCGCCGATTGAACTGCCGTTGGCCATGAATGCCTGTGGCGGGAAACGGGGCAGAGGCTCGTCCGGAAGACCGACTTGATGGAAGGGCGCATTGACTTTGCAGATGGACAGGTAGTCAGCAATGTCGAACTCGTGCGTCATGTCGGCGGTGTTGAGGACGAAATCAAACGCAAAGGCATAGTTCTTGGCCCAGCCCTTTTCGCCACTTGTCACGAACTCCTTTGCGCCCAGCTTCAGGGCATCTTCCTTCTTGCGGGGCGAGTGAGAGATGACCGTGACCTCGGCACCAAGAGCGTTGGCCCACATGACTGCAAAGTGACCCAGGCCACCCATGCCGACCACGGCCACCTTTTTGCCCGGACCCATTCCCGCCCGCACGAGAGGAGAGTAGGTTGTCAAGCCGGCACACAGCAAGGGCGCGGCGACCTCAGAGGGGATCTCGTCGGGGATAGGGAAGGTAAAGTATTCGTGGGCTCGAAGATGTGAGGAGTATCCGCCCTGCGAAATGGTCTCGTCCGGATCAGCCTCCTTTGGGTAGGGTGCTCCGTATGTGTCGACCTGGTGCGGGCAGTAGTTCTCGTTGTCGCTCTTGCATTGAGGACACTTGAGACAAGCCCAAATTTGAGCGCCCACGCCCACACGGTCTCCCACTTTGACACTCTTGACTTCCGAGCCAACCTTGACGGCGTGACCGACGACCTCGTGGCCAACGCAGAGAGGTAGAGGAGCTCCACCCCAGCCGCCGGTGATGGTGTGGACGTCGGAGCCGCAGACACCGCAACACTCGATCTTGATATCAATGTCGTGGTCGCCGAACTTTTTTGGTTTGAACTGTAGACGAGGTCAGCCTTCTAGAACAGTGGCAAAATCCAATGTGGAAGCGGAGCGCCTGACATACTGTCTTCTTCTTGAACTCGGTCCATTTTTTGTGGTCTTCAACCATGAAGCCTTCAAACTCGTCGGGGTAACCCATGATTGCTGATGTGTTTGCGAAATCTGGGCGTGTCTAGGTCTGGAGACGAGTATCTGGATTGGGTGGCCAGATATTGTATTGTTTTCTCGACGGGAAATGCAAGACGGCGGATGCGAAAAGACAGCAAAAAGATCAGAGAGAGGAGCGAACGTTGTGCAGTTTTTATCAAGTTCAAGTTGATCAACACCCACGCGGGGCTCTGCGACGGCTACAGACGAGGTGACATAGTAGTAAGTGGGCATTGAGCGTTGGGAAAATAGGCTATACTCCCAATCAGCCGTATCTATTGGATGTACACTTGTCGTGACGTACTTTAGTGTTCATCTACCACAGCTACCACCCGCTACTACATCACCGGCGGCTGAGATGAAGTGGGAAATTGAGCAGTAGTGACACCACCGACTGCGCGGTGGACGACTGTCGGCCAGCCATTCAAGTAGTACAGCGACACGTTAAAACTACCTAGGTAGGTAATAATAATGCTCGGGTGAACTGGTGGGCCTAGGAGGCCTTAGCCTAAGGCTCTAGGCGTCAAGTGGTTGACGATTGGGGCTTAGGAAGCTCCTTAGGTCTTTGTATGGGCGGGAAAGAGATCCCCTCCTCGTGTGCAATACGAGACTTGATACTACGAATTGAGTACCTAGTACAATAGGTAGTAGGTATGATCGTCCTTCGATATCTACAAGTTGGCCCAAGCTACACCACAGATACCACAATATTTTTCTCCAGACACCCCTCTGATCTGTAGACAGCTCCTACCTGATCAGAAGTCGTCTGAGATCTACCCAGATCACACTCAGCTAGGTATGCTAAAGTTGACTTTCAGTTACTCGGTGGTAAGGTAGCTTCTGGAAACTCTGTACTTGTAGGTACCTAGTAGGTACCTGAGTTTTTGTTCATCAGCTCTCTCCGTACCCTCGCCGGGCGGGCTATGTCTCGCCGAAGTTACCTCGGCATCCCTGTGCCGAACGAATACTGCGCAACACGACGATGACAAGAACTTGAACGCTCGTTGCAGTTGTGCCAGTGTTGCTGAAATCTCAAGCGGCTTCTGGTATCCGAAGGTGCCATGATAACTCAAGTAGCTCGTACCTGCTAATTAGGGTATGGAACAGTGTGACTGAGAGAGGTTGCCCGATATGCATACCGGATGAGAATACCAATGCCAGTCAAAGGCGGGTTGTGCATGCTCTGCGAACCCAGAATATATTTCCTCAACACCATCTCTTGCGTTGTATCATTGTACAGCTACCACAACACACCAAACACTAATAGGTACAGGTACAGGTTACAGCTCATCGTCTACGTTATCCTCGACGTAGTTAACAGCTTTCCTCTTCGCAGTTCTTCCGCTCGTCGTCCGCGTGGGCGCTCGTCGCTTGATGTCCGACGCTGGTGACGATGACGCTGCAACTTCTTCTGCATCTGTGAGATCAGGCATGGCCGACCCGGCTTTCAAGTCATCATTGTCGTCTGTACTCTCATCCAAATCAGAAGCCGCGTCGCTGGTGCTGGGGGTCGGAGTGGGAACGGATTTGGCGCTTTTCTTGCCTCGCGGTGCAGTACTGGAACGAGGAGCGCGAACAGGCTTCGTGCCCTTGGGCACATCGTAGACACTTCTAGCTTGGGCACGATCAAGCTTCGCATTTGGCGTCGACGCCTCCATACTCTCGGATGCGCCCCCGATGGCCGAAACCACATCCGTGCCGGCACCAGCCGCGGTGGCCTCCTGAGCTGCTTGCCACGCCGCCTTCTCTGCGCGCCTGAGAGCGGCGCGCTCGGCGGTTGTTTTGGCCTTTTCGGGATCTCGGGGCTTGACTTCTCGCTTCTTCGGACGCAGCCACTCTTCCATCCCTGGCGGCCAGTAAACACGCCCTTCAGGGCCACCCATGCCGACTTCCGCGTCTGGAATGAGAGGGGGAGGTCGGGCTTCTTGAGAATCCAATTCATCATCTTCCTCCTCGTCTTCGAGCGGCAACTCATCGCTGCTCCGGGACTTCTTTTTGGCACGCTTCTTGGGCTTCTTGGGTGGTTTCCATGCCCTGTTCTCGTCGCTGCGTACATGTGGGATCATGTCGTTGAACGTGTCGAATCCGGGCAGCTTGAACGTCCGCATCAATTCAAACACAGCCTGCTCTTTGTCTTTGGCCTCGATCATGAGGTCCATATCCGCTGCGCACGGTGGAAGCGTTGCAACTCGAGGATTGTGTTTACGTCGTTGCCGTGCTGTGATCGCTGAGGGAGTCGGTTCCGAATAATGCATCTTCTGAGTGATCCTCTTCCGGGTCCATGTCGCCTTGATCCGATCGTATAGGTCCATGATGTCCAGCGTGCCCTCACGGATCTTGTCGGTGTCGAAAACAATGTTGTGGTGATGGAAGTCGAGGACAAGGGGGATGTTCAGCTCTTCGCACACAGGCAGCAGGTCGTGCACGCTGTAGCAGACGTCGTCATTCTCAAGGACCAGTCGGTCTTTGATGCCTTGCGGCAGTCCAAGGTAATTCTGCCTGAACCGCGCGATGGTGGCGTCCTTATCACCAAACACGCCTCCCATGTGCAAGATCATGACGGCATCACGGTTCTGTTGCTCGGGAAGTTTCAAGAGATCAAGCAGTTCGCAGTGATACTCCAGATCGCGGATTGAGGCGCTGATGACTTCCTTCCTAGGCGACCCAAGCTGTGTGAATTGGCCTGGATGTGTGGTAAGACGGTGACCGAGTTCAGCAGCCACGCGGCCCGCTTCCGCCAACGTCTCCGAGGCAAACGGTGCCAGCTTGTACCCATACACGTCGTGGCTTGCGAACGGGAACATCTCTGACGACAGCCGCATAAATTTGATACTGTACTTGTCGTTCCACCGCAACATCTTGACTATATCCCGAGCATTGGCGAGGCCGAGCGCTTCCACATACGCCTGTCCCCGCACAATATCGGCCGGTTGGTCTTTGTCAGGGCGGTTTTTCGTCGCATGTTCAGGCTGTGTCGGGTCTTTCAAGGGGTGACGATGTTCGAGGATCGATGCGATGCGGCATGTGCGTGATGAAAAGACTGGGGGGTTAGAGTACCGCAGGTAAGTGTTCAAGCAAGCGTATCCTAACCTCCCTTTCCAGGGGAGCGGGAGGTAGGAGCTGTTCACAGGCGGCGGGCGGGATAAGGCTATGCTCAGTTCTTCCAGATCAGCATCTTCATCGCCTTCCGCTTCAGGATCTCCTCTGTCCAAGCCACTGTCCTCCTTTGCGGGGGCGGGTTTGGGGAGACCTGCCTCGGTCTTGACCTTTGCTGACGGCGTGGCTGTTTTCCTCTTCTTGCGTGCCTTGTCACCTGGCCCACCTTGCTCAGCATCAGGGGAGGCTCGCAGAGCTTCCGGTCCGTCTTCTATCTTCTCGTTTGTGTTCGGATTGGTGTCAATGTTCGCAGGAGCTGGTTGAGCTGCCCTCCTCGAGCTTGTCTGACGAGCGGGCACCGGCGCAGGAGGCATCATGCTGGAGGCCACTGGCGCGAGGTTAGGAGGCAGCGTTGTTGGCGTCGAGGCGTCAGCTCCAGCTCCAGCTACAGCTAACGAAGTCCGCTTGCGTTTTGCCATTGTGCTCAACGGCGATAGAGACCTGGAGAGTGCCAAAGAGAAACGAAATCCAGGAGCATAGACACGAGAAAGCGATCTATTAGAACGGTGTCGTTGTAGCTGTGGCAAAGGTTGTTTGAGTGCTACGACAGGTCGTAGTCTGGTAAACAGATTGGTCATTCGACTATCCTCGTAGTAAAATGTCGTAAACAGCTGTCCAGCATCGTGTCCCCCTCCAACAAGAAAGAAAAGACCCAAAACACACCCCGTGTCCCTTCATATTGTCGACTATTTGCCAGCCCTTTTTCCATTCTTCAGAATCCCAATTCGGTTGCTGTCACGACGTCATGGACTTTTCCAGCTTGGCGGCTCAAACATTGGGAAAACTGCTCGTAGCTTCAAGGTACGTGCGGGCTTACCTAGAGCGCGCCGCTTTTATATCCGCTTACCTCGCATCTTACCCTCCTTCTACCCTCCCACCTTCCTCTTACCCTTCTACCTAGCTCGCCCTTATCCTTTAGTTACCCTCGCGTCGACCGGGGTCCCGTTGCCTCTATGGCCCTATATGTACGCCGGTCGCTCTACTAGGATCTAAATTTAGCGGCGATATATATCTAAGACCGTTTCTGGGTTTCTATATCGTCCGGTCTCCCCTTATCACGAAGACCTCTAGGAATACCCCTAGGGGTTACACCGAGATACCTAAGATAGGTACTAATAAGGCACCCCTATCTTACTTAACTCGTATAAGAGAACTCTTCTTCTCTTTATACTTCGAATCTTATCTTCTGTTGCCCGGAAGCGGTACTGCGGGTGGGGCCGTGGGAGATCACAGTATTCTCTCACCAGCATACAATGTCACAGCCAAAGATGTTGAGACGATCGTGGAGAGGACCGTGAAGACTATTAAGAGCAGGTTGGGTTGATCTTGAGCCCCGAGTCAGTGGTGGGTCGGACGTCAGATATGGAGGGTCCGAATTACACCATGTAGTCTTGGACGAGGAGAGACTCATATATGCCCGCGCAGGAAAGATAGGACTAGTGGTGTTTGCTGATGATCGCATGGGCAGTATATGAGCTGGTGTTCTGTTTTCAGCAGCCGAGCACGGCCGTGATATCCCGCCATGTCACTGTCGCAAGCATGATGAAGTACCAAGAATCCACGTGGACCCTTCTACAAGTCTGTCGTATATCGCTTTTATATCCGAGGTGTTTGTCAAACATTGTGACGGCTCCTCCACTACGCAATGGCGATGAGTACTACATAGCCTTGATAGCCAAGCACCTGGCGCCCACTCATCCTAGAATTAGGAATTCTGCATTTTCTGCCGTCTCCTCTTCTCATCGACTCTTTCTCTCCAAGAGGCACCCCAGACGGTTGTGGCCCAGACGGCGATTTCGGCCAGCACGAGTAAAGCCGCGCTGACGGTGCTGAACCAGCCGACTCCCATGGCCTGGATGGCAGGTAGACACACGGCGCTGCCTATGGCGGCGAAGATGTAGCGAATCATATAGTTTCCCGCCACCACTTCGGCCGACAGGCCATGGTGCTGCATCACATCTAGCGCGTACGTGTTGAGACTGGGGAAACACAGCCACTGGACGGCGCCTTGGAGGAAGAGCGTGATGGCCGGCAGCGGGATGGCGCCGAACTGCTTCTGCACGCTCCAGCCGTACAGCAGCACGCAGGCGGGCAGCAACACCCCCAGGAAGCCACAGCTGCTCCTCAATCGGTCCTCGGGCTCGCGACGGCCGTCTCGTCGGCGAATCCATTTCTTCACCGTGTGATCTGCCCAACGGCCACCAAAGGGACTACCGGCCAGATAACCACAGCCGGGGGCGATATAGAAGAGGCCGGCCTGCAAGGGCGAGGTCAGCTGAAAGCGAGGGTTGAGCACGTAGCGAATGGGCGTGAGCAGCGAGTACATGTTCCAGATCAAGGCGCTGGACGCGAGTCCCGTGGCGAGGAGATTCGGATACGACACCAAGAGGACCAAGACGCGCCACGGCGAGATCCATGACAAGATCGCCATGACCCGGACCCTTCGCGACGGCCGCGACGACGACGGGGACGAGGAGGAGTCATGCAGACCCAGTGAATCAATCTTCTTCGTCAGGAGCGTCTCGGGCAGGAACAGAACCAGCAAGACCGTACCGACGCCCCCCATCGCAGCCTGGAGCCAGAAGATGACTCTCCATGATCGGAAGGTCACGATCACGCCACCGGCAAAGGGGCCGAACGCAGAACCGAACACGGTCGCGAGGGAGAACCAGCCGAGGGCGGTCGCCCGCGTGGTCGGCTCATAGATGTCGCCCAGGCACGAACTGCCCATAATCAACAAGCCCGTGCCCTGCAAGGCCGTCAGGATCCGGAAGACGTAAAAGGCGGCCAGATTGGGGGCCATGGCCGTGCCCACGTTGAATGCACAGAACTGCAAAGCCGACATGATAGCGGCCCAGCGTCGACCGTACACATTGGAAATGGGGCCCCAGAAGCAGGCCGACAGGCCCATGAAGAGCAGGTACAACGCATTCGATAGACTGATCACATTGCCTGACGTGGCGAAGCTATGGGCGACCTCGGGGATGGCAGACAGCACCATGGTGGAAGAGACGGGCGACAGCAGGGCGCAGAAGGCCAGCACGCCGCTGATGAAGACTTTGTGGCGCGGACTGAAGCGCTTGTATTGCTGAGCATCTGGTTCGGTGAATGGTGCTGCTGGGATGGCTTCTTGAGGCAGCCTCGAGGCCATGGGCTGAAGTGGTAACCCCGTTTCGTGCCCATGGAGGTCATGGTCGCATTTGACGGTGAGCACCGATCTACTGGATCTACCACACTCTTGGGCATGGGCGATAGCATGGTCGGTCTCCATGACAATGGCGAGGAATCACCGAGAAAGAAAACCAGGGTCTTGTCAGTCGGATGACCATTGGTTTGTACAGAATACTGCAATTGCAAAAGAGAACAGAGAGCCTCACCAGTTTTCGTGCAAGTGACGTTCAAGCCCAAGAGAACATAGTGACACACCGGCTTCTGTTTAGTCCGGTCGGACTGTTGGCTGATGGATCATTGGATATGATTTTGGACGTCGGTGATAGTATGGAATATCCAAATTGTCAACAGGGATCGTCCAATCGATTGAGTTGTGCATTGCAGCATGGTAGATGGCCGCGTCGGAATAAAGCGATACTTGGCCACTAAGCTATCCTTGACTCGGAAGCCAGATAAGCAACTGAAAAAGTGCTTGGATACAGGTGGAAGTCCCAAAAAGACGGGCTGGATTGAGTCCTTAGGTTGCTCTTGCCATCCGGCAGGATTGAAGCAGAGCATTGAGCGACGTAGACAATCCCGCCGCCGCGTTGTCCGGGTTGTTCTCCAGGGACGATAGCAAAGAGATACAGAGCTCAATATCGCCCCAATGCGTGTCCAGCTGCTCCGCAGGCTGCATGTCCAATGCTGCCTCAACCAGGAACGTGCCCGCCATGCAGAGCGAATGGACGGCAGACCAGGGCAAGGGGAGCATGACCATGATTGATTGCTGGGTGCTGGCCGCAGTCAGTGCTGTCGCAGTGACGGACAGTTGCTGCAGATGAAGCCCCGAGAAAGATCGGATCATCTGACGAGCAGCGGCCACGGCTTCGCATTGCGAGACCGCGTCCTTCGAGAGCCGGTGATATAGGACCAGGGCCTCGCATTGGTAGAAGGTCCCATAGAGTACCGTCCACGCTGATAGACCAGTACCAGCACCACTCTTGAGGGGCTCGAAGGTTCCATTATAGGACAGTGACTGAATCGTGTGCTTCCACTTCACGATCCACGCGTCGATCATTTCTCGGCAGCCCTTGAGGCGCTTATCGACACGCTGCGTGACGAGTCTGGGATTGAAACTGGAGACGTGGATGCGATATTTGCAGCGTGAAAGCTCGTACAGAAGATGCGGCAGTGCCCTCACATCGGTTGGAGGCTCTAGCTGAGGTAGGCATGCGCGTTAGCTTTCGAAATGCGTGCCCAGGGGAATGTAACTCACGACCGATGGAGGCTCAGCCTCTATGAGTTGTGGCGGGCGTCCGTATGACACGGAAAGGTCACTGCGGTGATTCTGGTCAGCAGGAATTCCGGTCGAGGACGGGATGGCATAACTCACCTCTCCATCCGAAACAGAGTTGTGTAGATGATCCATTCTTCCCAAGTCCCACCGTCGCCCGAGTTCAGGACTCCTCGTAGATCCATTGCGGCACGCGCTGATTGCCCAGTCAATCTCCAGATGTTTCCCGATGCGGGATCCAACCAGAGATACCAGCACAGGAGAAGGTTCAATCGCAGTGCCGATGCAGATGGATATCCTAACTTTGATCCGAGGCTCTGGAATTCAAGCAATGCGCGATCGAAGAGAGCTCTTGACCACTCCGCAAGCCTGCTTTCCTTCTTGCTTGATACTCGAGTCATGATGGCCAGCATCAGATATATGGTCGTGATCGACTGTGAGTTCTCTGTCTGGTCCGCCGACCGTCGGTTGTACACCAAGTCTATCGCCTCGTTGAGGCCTTCTAGGCCCAGAACCGGATAAAAGAGCTCGAAGCCATGATAGTATTGAAGGGCAATGTTCTCAGTCACATCCCGGGTTGGCAGAGAAGTTAGGACGGAAGAGACCGAGCGAGGTGTTGGCAGCGGAATTGACTGGAAGACTCCCTGCATGCTTGGAGCTGTGGGAAAGGTAATTGGTGTCCCGAGGCTTGTCATCCTCATCGTGAGACTAGACATCTGCTTGACGACGCTTATCAGTCCCACTTGTGACGACACTTCGACAGGTCGCTGGAGTTCGGCTGTGAGATCTTTGGGTCTAGAGGCATACTTCCTGCTGGTGGCTGCACTGTCCATGGTCGAGCCCCAATAGCTGCTTACGGCCGTCAGAAGGGGATTGGGTTGATGCTTCTCGGCGTGATTCTGCTCAAGAATGGCATTCAAGCTGTCATATCTCTGCTTCAAGGCATAGACGTAGGACCGAGGGGTGTCCTGTCCAAGTACTGCATCCCAGAACATGCAGTCTTGTCCCGACTTGACACATTGACGGCATGAGGGGAGCAACCGGTCACACTTCGTTCGCCGCTTTCGGCAATGCCGACAGGGTGGTAGTTGTTCAAGAGCGGTGCTGAGCCAGGTCTCTGCAACAGGGGATTCACTAGACGATGACGAACTCGGGATTTGAGCCTGGAACGACATGGTTGGGAGTTCAAGCCCGGTCAAGGTCTGATCAAGGGGGACCATGACCGGGGCGTTTGCCGTCGTGTATGTCCAGTCGAGATCATCAAACTCCATTACCATCGCGGCGAAATCAAAGCCTGCACTGTTGGGATTGGTGAGGCGGGAAGGTCCCCACGGAAAGGAAGCATTCCACCAACTCTCCGAGAAGCCGTCGTCACCAGTCGGGGGCTTCGACTCAAACATGCCTTCCAGAAACTTGACATACTGAGTATCGCCAGGTCGGCGCAACACGATGTCGTCCAGCGTTTTCTGGATGGACGATGCGATGTTAAGTCTGCTTGCGCCTGGCACGTTGAACAAGCTCCTTAACGTCTCTTTCTTGGCCATGTCGTAGAACTCTCCACATTTCCACGCAGCAGGCCATCGTTCAGAGAGGATGTAGAAGATGTTGGAGATCCGGTTCAGAACATCTAGGGAACGGGCAACACCGATGGGGGCCTCGGAGGTGAAGAGCTCTGGGCTGCGGCCGATATTGTAGAGGAGAACGATGCCGGCCTCGAAGCAGTTATGGACGGTGTGCCACGGGAATTTCGAGCGCTGGTTACGGCTATTTTCCCAGTATTGGCCCACCAGGTTTTCGGTTGCGGTAAAGCAGGCTATGGTTGAATCGGCATCGGGACTAGGGTTGGGCAAGCAAGGACGGTGAAGCATCAAGACACTGTACCACGTGCCAAAGTCAAACCAGTCTGGCAAGTTGTCGCTCATGTTGACCGCCTGACTTCGCCAATCAAGAACCATTTGGTCCATTTCCACCACCCAATCGGCGTAGGAGGGATTGGTAAATGACTTGTTGCAGAACTGTACGCCGCTGATCTCGGACTGGATCTGTCGAGATCGCAGGGTGTTGAAGAAGCGTATATGGTCTCGCGTGTCGGGGGATTGCTCGCCGTTGTTGTTGTTGTTGTCGTTGTCGTCGTCGTCGTCGTCGTCGGTGGTTGCTGGGGCTGACGGGAATTCCACCTCGATGTTCTCGTCTCGGATAGCAAAACATCGATGGCCGAGTATGCTGACGGATCTCTCCAAGGCATATGTCTGCAAATGTTAAGCTCATTGACAGCGTAATGACAGCGCAGGTCGGACTTACCGCCCAGAAAACTTTGCGCCGAAGCTCCACCGTGGCGGGTGAACGCTCAGAACACCCCGAATTCCCTTGATGTAGCCCGAGTTCGATGGACATGCGCATGGCTTCGTTCACCAGATGAGCTAGATCCCCGGTATGCGGGAGCAGAAAGGCCAGCTGAACCAAGAGCAAGAGACACTGTATGGTTCGGAGGCTGGACCTGGCTAGCACACTGCTTATGTAGTTCAAGGCGCCTGCATGCAGAGACTCAGCAAGCGACATGGTCCTTCGGGAATCGGTGGCCTTGGAGGTCATGGTGGTGATGGCCATGATCTGATACACAATGAAGGAGTTGCACGGCGGAGGTGCCAAAGATGCTTGTTCAGGGTTACGGACCGAATCAAAGATCTCCTGCAAGTCGTCCCGGAGGAAGAAAGGATACTGTGGCAGGATCCTTTCGAGGTAGACGTCGAAGAGTTTGCGAGCCACAGCGTCTGGAAGCAAGGGCGGTTCTTTTCTTTTCGCAACAGCCCGAATCTGTAATTCGTCCCCGGCCACTGGTCGGCACAGGGGTGTTGGAAGATGAGACTCGCTAAGTAGGACATTCAAATAAGGAAGCGTCAGCTGGCCTTTGAAGGCCTGGACCTCTGACAGCACTTTGCGAGCGTCAATGGTAACCTCCAACAGTGCGTCGACTGAACCATATGCAGCGTCGATGGTCGCACTCTCAACTCCTCCCAAGAGAGTACTGTCACAACCAGAGCCAGATAGACTCCCCAGAGCGCTCGTGGCATTGAAGGTGATTGAATCTTTCGAGGCGGCGATCTCAATCTCCTTTTCGGCAATAGACTGCTCCAGAAAATGCACGATGCTAGAATACCGTCGGTATCAGTCACCACTAAAAAAAGGAGGTGCTCATACCTTCTGGGGACATCATGCTCCGACTCGCGGTCGATGCCTACACACTTGACTCCAACAGCTTTGCAGTTGCTACATGCAGGGAGTTTGGCGTCACAGCGTTTCTTCCGCTTGTAGCAACGGGAACAGGCAAAGGTCTGGCGTCGAGGCATTTTGCTCTAAAGGGAGGCAGGTGGGTGGGACGCGGCTCGATTCACGCTTTCGACCTCACGGGGATAGACCGTAGGCATGAGCGAGAAGATATGAGGTGCTGGGGGTCTCGGGGTGCAATGGACCGAACTCACCTGCTGTATCCTGGGGATGGGTCCTTATCTCTTGAGCCAGCGAGGCTAGGGACGAGGGTCTATGTGCCATGTCTTGACTGGTCAACCAAGTATTGCCTGGAGGCTGGTAGGCGGACATCAGACATCAGAGCCGAATATAGGGCGAGGGATGATTGATTGACTGATAAGACGGAGGACGTCTGGAGGTGGAGCACTCACGTGACTTAGTCTGTAGATTAAAGTACTAAATTAATGTGTTCTCCCAGCTGTGATTTGTTGAATGATTCATCTACGCGTAATTGGGTTAGATCCATGATAGTCCAACTCGCTAATGCAGATAATCTGACTACCTACTAGTAGCAGACTTAGACTCCGTACACTCTCTTCAGGCATCTATCTCGGTTTCTCTAAGCGTGGATCAAACTGACTTCGCGTCACCTTTCCTAGTTTCAAAATCGTAGTTTTGTAGACAATTTCTGTCTGGAAAGAGCGTGATTTAGAAGTCTTGAGAATCAAATAAATTCTGCTTAGGGCTGGTCGACTTGATCAAAGTACCACGTCCAGAATAGGCAGAGAAGTAGGCACCTCTGAACGCTCACGACTCAACTGTCCTGAACACACTTCAAGCAGTCCGGGAAGAACATGCCCTTAAGTCCTACCGAGCACGAGCGCCATTCATCATTCTTCGCAAATGTCTCTATATATCTTGATTGCTGTCACTGGGGCCTGGTGGAGCTGATGACCCCGAGAAGCAAGGGGCATACGGCCAGAAACAACCCAACACACAGAAACTCATCCGCCCACCCGGAGCATCGTGCATGTCCCCAGCCTATTCATCGTGGGTCATGGTTGCTGTCGCGGCATAACGTCTGTACCTATCGGCAGTCCGCTTCCTCTCGGCCTTGCCGAAGTAAATGAAGGGGAAGAAGGCGCAAGTGAGGACAATTGACAATATGGAGATGGTAATGAAAGTGTTCCTGATCCCGTCAGTTTCAAACCACGGCGTAATGGCATATCCCATGGCGAATCCCATAGTGTTTCGGATCAAGGTCATGGTGATCATGCCTTCTCCCAAGAGCTGGTCCAAAGTCAGTGTGGGCGGTACAACCAAGAGTCGGACTCGCCTTGGGATAACTGTCGCTGATGTATGCAATTGGGGAACCCCCTGCAAGCACTCCACCGAATCCCATCATGCCTGCTCCAAACAGAACAGCCACCCAGGAAACTTTGTCCGCCGATGCAACACCCCAGAGTAACAAGCCTGTCATGGTGGTGATGGTGCAGGCAATATAAAGCCACAGACGTTGTTCGGGCTCGCGAATGCCGCCATTGCGTCTGGCCATCCACATGTGGAATTTGTCCCCAAACCATCCTGAGTAGAATGCTCTAAGCTTTGTCAGTCCCCCGTTGTTCTGGAAAGGCAGAAAAAGGACTTCGGCAAAAGCTCACCCTATCAAGGATCCAAGGAAAGGTGCCACGTAAGCCACACCCGTAATGCCGGGACTGAAGTTGTATGGGTCCGCCTGGAGGATGCTGGTCCATGTCGCGTTCAACACGGTGAACCACATCAGAAACGAACCGTATTGACTGGGAATGAGGTCAGCACAAAGGTTGATGTCTTGCGGGCTCTGGGAGTGTCTCACATTCCGGACATCGCCATGATGGGGAAATTCCAGGCATGCATGATAGGACGAGTCATCATCGCCAACAAGTGGTTTTCTTTGCCCGGGATGATCCTGAACAGGCGCATCTTCTTCCAATATGTCGGTCGTTCATATATAGGCACAAGTCCAGCCTCACGAGCCTCCGAGCTGACACTTGCATCGGAGCCCTCCTGTTGAGGCTTTTCTGTCGTCTGGGCCTCTTTTGAAGTCATGTCTGTCTCGGCAGTAGTGGCCTCAGCATGCGCAGTTCCAGAAGCCGCCGCGCGCGCTCGCTCGATGGCTTGTGACTCCAAGAGCTTGCGATCGTACATGGTTTCATCCATGAAGAAGAACAAGAACACAATTGATACGGCCATGAAGATGGAGGGGAAATAGAAGCACCATCTGCTTGATGTTAATCCTTCGTGCACTCAGCCCTCCGGAAAAGCATTCAACTCACTGCCAATTCATATTTTGTGCCACATAGCCAGCTGCGATGGGGAAGAGATAGCTGGCTCCCCCGATCCACAACAGGAACATTCCGACGTGGAAGCCTCGCTCGTGGGTGAAGAACTGTGATCGGTCACTAATCAGCCAGAGAAAGGAAGTTCTTGGGGGCAGTCGAACGTACAATGTCCGGCATGGACTGTTCAACCAGAGCTTCGATGGGAGCACCGAAGAAACCATAGATGATCCGATGTGCATACCAAGTACCAGCACTTGTTGTGTAAGGAGCCCACAGATTCATACACTATGAGTGACTCTGTTAGTGCCGTCTTCCACCAGGCTGCGGCTCCCAGAACTCACCATGCAGGCAGTCATCGAGAGAATATAGGTACCCCGTCGGCCGTACTGGAGAGCAATTGGACACCTATCGTGCCACAGGTGAGCGCGTTGAGCTCAACACGGGCCGCTGCTCCCACAGCGGACAATTCCCATCGACTTACCAGAACAAACAGCCCCAGCCCAGGAACAAGAACATGACACTAACCGCCGAGTTCAACGTCGCAAGAGGGATCCCAGTGTTCTCGATGATTTGGGGATAGACAGCGTAGCCGGTGGCGGTGCCTCCAGCAACCATGAAAGTATACCTGGAAAAAAGTGAGAACTCGTTCGTTCAGAAGCGGAATTGGGGGAGCTGCCAGGTCACTCACAATTGAAGGCAGAAGGAATTCATCAGCTTTCGCTTCCGGCTCCAATTCAAAGGATCTTCGGGATCGGCACTCGGGGTTGGATACAAGATGACATCCTTGTGAGCCTTGTCATGGACAGCTCCGCCCATGTTGTTGTCCAAGTCGATCAAGTGAACCGTACCGGGCACACCAAGCTCGACATTGTCGTCGACAGCCCCAGTACTGCGGAAGCCGGTGACTTGAGCAGCCATTGCGCAGGAGTGACGTGGTTCGTCTGCGTGAGCGCTGTGTTCTATACAACGGGGGCTGAACACTTCTGCGGGCGATGCACAATGGCAGAGGAAATGAGGTGGTAATATGGAACAATCCAATGGACAAGTCAAAGCCTACGGTTGGCGGCCGACTTGAGGACAGGGTCTTTATATTACCTCGACTGGACTATCAGGGGTTCGGTTGTTGGGCAACCTACTTAGCCTTCGATATCGCAGTGTATGATAACGCCAGGTTAATGCACAAAGGTCACCATTCCCAATCAGCCGGCTTTGGACGGAGCACACTCGGAGTAGGTCGAGAGGAGAGAAGGCTGCTCTTCCCGGCACTCGATCGCGGCTGTAACAAGCTGGCGAGTCAGCACAATGCAAATCTGTCGGTCTGCCACGCTTTGGTCGTTACTCGCTGGACTGATCAGTGTAGGTTGTGTCGCCGACCGAAACCATAAGATCACCGCAGGGTTTCGCCTAGGTCCGCATCACGGATGATTGGGATACCAATTATCCTGCAATCTCTCAGTGGGGTTATCAAGGACATCTCATAGTATGCGGCGAGGTGGGGAATTCGGCTGCTAAATCTCAGAATGGAAATCGAGATAGACGTTGACGGCGTCTGATTCGATGCTATTGTCCAAGGCTCCGCCAGCCCGTTAAGGTCGGAATTACGCGAACATGGAGATACAAGATCCTTGCTGATATCTGATATCTGATATCCGGGGTCCTCTGGCACACATGTACACTGTACAGTTTGCACAAGATACAGTATCCATGAGGCATCTGTGAAGCAGCAGCGCTCAACACCGACCCAACCCGTCGCGCACCTTGAAACCCATTCCTCACGGCACGATGGCCAGCAGTTCATGTCGCTCCTTATCGCCTTCAGCCGACCAAGCGAGCTTTGATAAACACAATTTCTGACAGGACAGGCCAACCCTTTTCGTTCCATGAGCAGCGAGCTAGCTTCCATAGACTTGGAAAGCTCTAGATAAGGTGCTTCGGGTCCTCATGACTATTGGCTATGTTTCGAAGGTGCTGGTTGCTGTTGGGCCAGCAATAAACGCGATCATCCCAGGCGCGACTCCGTGAAGATAGAATGAAAGCGTCTGAACCTGGATAACTCCCCATACAACACATACTAGCAATGGCATCAGGTCGTCGAATACTTGTCGTCGGAGGTGGGCTCGGGATCGGTCAAAAGGTCACACAATATCTACTCCAACACCACACGGCGAAAGTGGTCGTCTTTGGCCTTCACGTCGCCCCTGAACTTGGTCCTCTGGCCTCGACGGGCCGTCTACACATCGTCCAAGGAGATGCCACCTCAGATGCGGCGAGGGCACAGGCCCGCGAGGCTGTTCTGGAGTTCATGGGCGGAATCGACACGCTGGTCATCACGGTGGGCGTCATGGGGGAGATTCAACGACTGGGAGGAATGAGCTCTGTGAAACTCCTCCAGACGTACAGTATTAACGTCTTTGCCCCAATGTTGATGGTACGCAATGCCCCTCTTCAACACAATATAATATACTCCACAGGGGAAAATAAAACTCATAGACTTCTAGTGCCAAACTTTTCTACCCGAGCTGCGCAAGACTCGAGGGGACATTATTATCCTGTCCTCGACAGTGGACAAAAACGTCAAATACGCCGGCTGGATCCAATACTGCTCGAGCAAAGCAGCCCTGACCCGCTTCATCCAGGTCCTGGCCCATGAAGAGTCCGACGTCAAGGTCCACGGAGTCTATCCCGGTCTGACCAAGACCACTATGCCAGCAGAAATCATTGCGGGCAAATTCACCGGCATCATGACAGACGACGAGGTCCAGAAGTTTCGGAACTGGGACAAGTTGGGAGAGATAGAGCCGCCGGAATGGTGCGCCAATGCCGTTGCCAAGTTGGCTGCCAGAGACATCCCGGTCTGGACGAACGGCGTGTGTCGGTATTACTACGAGTATGATCCGGACTGTAGGAACCTTCGAGGTTCGGCCCAGCTATAAGTATAGGAAGAAACATTGTTATCTGCATAATCACTCCGGTCTAGGCCACCTTACAGCAGTTAGTCCCGATCAAAAGGGCGTGCTTAGATAACATGTACGAAGGACTTTGATAACATATGTCAACACTGGCAACAACACTTGAATCATCTGTCAGATGAAAAAGGAGAATTGATAAAGTTTGATCAATCAACTCGTACTAGAGCGCCGTGCATATAGACATGATTGCTAAGCTACTTAATTTGGCTCTGGAATGCGGCTCGAGCGCTCTCATACAAGTATCGTTCCACTGCGGCCGGGAAATAGAGCACTACGGTCCAGCCACGTCAAACAACGGAAGAATAAAACGGTAGTACACTTGAGTGGCTGTAAAAACGCTCACACACCAAGTGACATGGATCTCACGCCCTCGAGATTCCCCGATTTGAACCTGAGCCCATGAGTTAGAGAAATTCCATCATGACGAGGAGAGAAGTTCTAGACATACTCATCGCAGATGGTGGCCGCAGTCACAAACTCCACACCCTCATGGCCCTTGAGAAACTCGATGAAGCGTTCGTGCATGAGCATGATGTTCGATCGCCCGCTCACTTGCGGGTGGATGCTGATGGAAAACGCAAAGGTCTCGTACTCGCGGTACATGAAGGTGAATTGGTCTTCCCACTGCTGCTGGATGTCCCTTGGGTTCACGAACCCGTGGGTGCCGGGGTTTCGGATGGAGAACTGCATGGGTGCTGAAGCAATGTTCAAGATGGTCAGTCAAACAACATGTCACCGCCCGAGAAGTATAGAAGAGATGAAGAGGTAGAGATAATTGCATCAGGAAATAGAGAATGAGAGACATACGCCAGTCGTCAATGTTCCAAGAACCAGGGATCTCGACCACTTTGGTGACCTTGTGCTGCTGCATGGGAACCATCCAAGTGTCCGGGTCTTGCGAGTAGTCCGTGTAGATGACCGTGTCTGCGACGTCGGGTGCCCAGTAAGGCTGACAATCATGGTGACACAGAGAATGATCGTATTCAATGCCAAACTCCTCGAGGATCTGCATTGACTTGGGAGAGACCTCCCACGCCGGTGCCACCCAGCCTTTGGGGTACTTGCCTGTGAAGTCCTTGTATACCTCGATGGACTTGGCCATGACCTTGCGTTCTTGGTCCTCGGTCAATTTGGACACAGCCTCGTGCGTGTAGCCGTGAAGCCCGCTGAAAGAGGCAAGCACAAATTCGTCAGAATCTTTGAGACTGGGACTTTGAGGACTAGGTCTCGTGTACATACATTTCATGTCCGCCATCACGCACTTTTGCCATCTGATCCGGGAACGACAAGATCGTATGGCTGGGCATAAACCAGGTCGCTTTGATGCCGCCGTTGTCGTCAAAGAACTTCAACAACCGATCGACACCGACATTGGCACCGAAGACACCTCGAGACACATCGCTAGCATTGGCTACCGAACCATTTCGAGTGTTGATCCTGACAACGTCAATGGGATCAGCTTCGAGGTGGTTAAAGTGGAGATCTGGCATAGGCAAAAGGCTCTCGTCTTACCATCCTGCGCAGGCGTCCACATCAATGCAGTACGTGATGAAAACTCGCTTGACCATGTTGGCTGTTCAGCAATTGTTGAGCTGTGCTATTTGGCGACTTGTTGTGCAATGATAAGCGGTCCAGCTTCAAGGTACTCGAAGTCTTCAAGGTGGTGTTTTTACCGGTCTGATCACCGTGGATCTATAAGTCTTCTTGCGAGGACGATTAACTGGTCACTGATGGGGGTCCCATTCTAGCACTCATAGTTGTCGACTGAACTGGTCGAAACTGGGTACAGTCCCAAAGCGGGTCATACTCCATCATCCATAGTCGATGCATTGACCTCTGCAGACCCTTTCCGGTCTGGGTCTCAGCTTCTTCGCCCGTTGGTTGAACGACATCGCCCCGGGCCTGAATGACCCGTGTGGGCCTCCGGGAGACAAATGTGGTAGATAAGTACTAGGTACATAACTCACGTTTCTGGGCAGACCCACACTTAATGGCCACGCGTTGGATAGCGGGATAAAGCGACGATACCGTCAACATCACGATAAGGGCCCAAAAGCTTTTGCTGGGCCTGAAGGTTTCCGTGATACCCGTGTTTGCCTGACTATCATGGCTGATAACAAAGGCCATTATTGCGAAAGGATGGGACAAGTGCCAAAGGGCGTGAGATGCTATTTGATACTGCGTCTGGCAAGTCATAAACCTAACAGAGACGCCAAAGAGACAGATATTCTCCAGAGGCTGAACACATCGTCACAGAGATTCTCACAACATGGCGATCGCAAAGAGTCTCCAGCTGGACTTGTTCCCGAAAGGATTCCCGAGTCTAATGAAAGCAGACTGGGCCTTGATCTCAGGCGTTGCTTTCTTGCTTATGGCATTGCTACTGTTAAAGGTGCGAGAAGCAACGTGTGAGGAAGAGCGATGGAGACTGATCACGCCGACTACTGTTCCAGCTTGCATATTCCACGGACATTCCCAAAATCTCCGGCATTCCAGAGCTCCCAGGCGCAAAGCCCTTCATCGGCCATCTTCACCTGCACGCCGGTGCCAGTGGCGAGAATGATGCCATGCTCTGGTCGAGATGGGGCGAGAAGCTCAACACTGACCTGCTCCAGGTCAAGCTGGGCAACCGAAGAATAGTGATAGCCAATTCTTTCAACATGGTACGAGACTTGTTTGTGCGGAACGCGGCTCAGACCTCTGCACGACCGAGACAGTATATCTTCGAGCATTACATAGGTGAGTGCGGAACACCACCGGCAACATCATCACAAATTCAGTAAGCATCAAACTGACTTTGACGGCGACATGAACAGGGTACGATATAGGAAGCCATTCACTGGACGACAACTTCAAGCGCCAGCGGATGGCGGGTATCAAGTCCGTGCAACCAAGACAGTGGCCGGTCTACTACCCGATGCTGGCCCGTGAAGGCTTCGAGCTTGTCCAGACCCTTGCACAGGATGGCGAGTTTGGACAGAAGTCCCTATTTGTGCTTGAACTCTTTCGCAAGGTCAGCATGAACCTGGCTTTTGAGCTCACGTTCGCCAAAAGATTCGCGCGTGCGGACGACCCGTGGCTGCAAGAATATGTCGCCAATGCTAAGGCCATCACCAAGTAAGGGGAAGCCTCTGTCCGGTTCAGACTTGTACAATGCACTGACGGTGAGCAGGGTACGAGGCGCATCGAATACATGGATCGACTTTGTGCCATTGATGCGACTTCTCCCGGGAGCGAAAACCGATGCCGAACAGGGTCGAATCGGATCTAAGAATCGCGATAGAATGATTGCAGAGGTTCTAGTCGAGCTGCAGAACAAGATCGCCAAGGGCGAGGAAGTCGACTGCATCGCCTCCTCGGTGCTGAAAGACAAAGACTCGGCGCTCAGTCTCGACCAGGCCGTAAAGTGTAGCATGTCCATGCTTCAAGGCGGCGTCGAAACCATCCCCTCCCATCTCTTTGCTGGTCTGGGAGGTCTGCTCTCTCCCAAGGGCCTGGAGATGCAAGAGCGAGCATATCAGGCCATTCGGGAAGTCTACGCCTCGGACGAAGAGGCCATCGAGAAGTCCTTCACCGAGGAGAAAGTGCCGTACGTCTGTGCCATCTATAAAGAGATGCTGCGCTATTATACCATCGTCCCGTTCTCGTTGCCTCGCGAGGCCATGACGGACATCAAATTGAAAAACCGCGGAGGCGTCGACGTTGTTATTCCTGCTGGCACCTATCTCTACATGAACGCAGAAGGAGGCGGCCATGGTAAGCATCTCTTTTCCCAAGTGTCCTCTGACGTCTTTCTGAAGAGCTTCACCAGCTGACTCGGTCACCTCCAGATCCCGCACGCTTCGGGCCCGATGCCCACGAGTTCAACCCAGCGCGTTGGCTAGAAAAGCCCGAGATCAACGGGCCCGGCCTGCCGCATTACGCCTATGGCACTGGCTCGCGAGCTTGTCCGGCGTGGCAGATCAGCAATCGGATCATGTACGGCTTGCTCATGCGTATGCTTATCGCTTTTCGCTTGCAGCCAGATGAGAAAGCTCCGCCGCCCCCAGACTACTTCACTTATGGGGAGACGCCGTGGGGTGCAGTAAATGTCCCGAAACAATTCATGGTCAAATTCGTGCCGAGGGATCCAGAGAGGCTGAAGGACATGTTGGGCGCTGAAGGGCAAAAGTACCAGTGATCGACTCAGGGAGCGAACAATTTACAGTGACATCTAAGAAGGTAGTCATAGTCCTAGGAAAGACAAAGAATGCATTTTGCTTTACTGTCAAGGGACCACGCATAGGCATAGGCGGGAGATGTGATTTCGGAGTCAAAATCCCAAGGTAACTTGTTCCAATACATCCGTGGGCCGGCCCAGAGAGACCCAACCCTTTTTCTCTGTCAACTCAAACACCACGTTGAAGAGAGTCTCACTGGTGCTCACGCCCTCTCGCTTTCGATTGATAGCTGCGGGGAAGTTCTGTTCGTCTTTGAAGAGATCCATGACCGATTGGAGTGTTGCCTTCTGACCGAGCTCGGCCGTTGCCAGCTCCTGCATCCTCGCTGTGCGCTTGGGAGAGTCTTCCATCCAGAAAGGCTCATCGACCCCGGCGTGCTTGAGGACGAGGTTGTTGGCGTGGCAGACCCGACCGAGGGAGTCCGGGACCAATTCCGCAAAGCCCGTGTGCGTGCACTCGAGGCCGACCGCGCCGCTCTGGTCACCGATGAGTATGTGGGCGCTGGCCGCGATGCCGGCGGCCTTGATCTTTTCGAGCGCCGCTTCGCGACTGGGAGACTCCAAGGCCGTCCGCAGGCCGAAGTGAATCGGCATGCGGCTAGGGTCGACGCCTCTCGCCCGGATCGCGTTCAGACAACAACCTACGCCGTTGGCGTTGAAACCAATCTTGCCAATTATCCCGGCTTCGGTGATCATCTGGAAGGGCACCCGGTCGGTGCCTGGCTCGGAGACCCGGAGGATAATGAGATTGGCCAGTTGGGGAGGTTTCCAGTCCCAGTTTTGGGAGAGGAAGGATTTGCCGCCGGATGTCTTCCAGGCTAGGCTGGTGCACCCGTCACTGTCTATGTCTTTCTTGCCATTAGGTTGAGGGTCGGTGAACATGCTGAAGGCGATCTCGCTCCGGATGTTCAGGGCCAAGATATCGATGTAGGAGACACCGGCACCATCGGCTATGCCTTGCATTTCCTTCTGGTAGCGGGGGTAGTTGGATGAGATGGATAGGATGAAGGCCTCGGCTTGCTGCCGCACCTCAGGCCACTCCATGCTGGACATTGTCTGAAACACCCATTCGTAGAAAGCGAGGGATCCTTTGACTTGAGTCTGCGCCTCCGAGCCATGCTTGAAGCCGATCTAAAAGAAGGCTCTGGTGAGTGTGATTTCGAGATATTTCGAGATCTGTTGGTGTGGTTACCTACCTCATATGGCGTCCCAGAACAGGATATGTCCAACATCTTGCCACTGACAGAGCAGGAATTTGCCGTTGCGTGCCCTTTGGTAATCGTCCTGATTCTTGTCCACCCATATACCGACGACCATGGAGGGCTGGAGCCATACGGAGTACTAGGACCTCGCAAGTCACGGTTTGTGCACGTTCCAATTCCGGACAAGTCGAAAGACCTAAGTTTTTGGTGCCGATAAGAACGGTGCAGCTCGCGGACGGAGGTAAGCGAAGCCCAGACACTGGTCAAGGTCTTGCGTATGGAAGAGTCGTGGCTGGCACGCGACCATGTGTCGGGATAAGACGACAGTCCGCGTATCAAACATACGAGGACTCGTGGAGGAGTGAGTTTCGCAGATTGCTGCCAAATCGTCAAGCACCGGCGTGCATGTCAGCAGTACTAGCCTTGATCCGGGAGAATGAACAGCGTTCAGCGTGCTTGCGTGCTTCGTGAGTATTGTGTGTAGGAAAACCCTGCGGAGTCTACTTTGCTCTGGACAGCATTCTCCGCCACCCATTTTCCGATTTTCCATGCTTATACGACTGGGCTTCTCGACGATATAAAAATTTCGCGCTGCCAATTCTAATAGACGTGCAGACATCTGACTCACCTTTCGTCGCTTTCGGGCCATCATGTCTTTGGGAACATTGCCACCACAGGTTGATGGCGTCCAGGAAGCCAAACCTGCTCCAGTCAAGAATCTGCCCATGCCCGGAATCCCTTACTTTCATCCTATACAACGGCCTGCACCGGGGACCTTTTTGGGAATGCTAGACAGCACGCAACCCCGGCCGCTGCTATTCACACCAATCACCATCCGTGGGGTTACGTTCCAAAATCGTGTCTGGGTCTCCCCAATGTGTCAGTACTCGTCGCCCGATGGACAGCTGACGGACTGGCATGTCGCACAACTCGGAAGCTATGCATGCCGAGGAGCATCACTTGTCATGGTCGAGGCAGCGTCGGTGACAGCAACAGGAAGAACAACCCCCGAAGATGCTGGATTGTGGAAGGAAGAGCAAATACCCAGCTTTGCAAGGGCGGTCCAAGCAATCCATTCGCAAGGGCAAAAGGCCGGGGCTCAATTGGGCCATGGGGGCAGAAAGTCCAGCATGCTAGCACCATGGCTGGGCGTTGGAGTGGCGGTGAAGGAAGCCAACGGCTTTTTGGGAGATGTGGTGGCACCGAGTCCAATTGCATATGATGAGTTGTACCCAGTGCCGCGTGAGATGACCATTGAAGAGATTCAAGAGTGCATCCAAGCCTTCGCACAAGCGGCAAAGAGGGCAGTTGCAGCTGGTTTTGACGTTGTCGAGATCCATGCCGCACATGGCTACCTCATACACACGTTCTTGTCACCTGTCTCTAATCACAGGACCGATCTATATGGAGGCAGCTTCGAGAACCGGATCAGGTTTGCAGTCGAAATCGTGACCGCCATCCGCGCAGAGATCCCCGAAGGCATGCCTTTGTTCTTCCGCGTCTCGGCAACCGACTGCCTGGAGAACGGCCGCGGCTGGGACATTGAGGATACGGTGAAAATGACTCGGATTCTGAAGGGCCGTGGAGTCGATCTGTTGGATGTGAGCACATCCGGTATGTCTGTCGTCGAAATTTTCTCCGTTTCTTCGTGCTAACAAGCTTCGAAGGACTTCACCCAGACCAGAAAATTGCCGTCGGGCCTGCCTACCAAGCACCCTTCGCAGAGATTGTCAAGACACAAATCCCTGACATCTTCGTCGGCTCGGTTGGGATCTTACACCAACCTGAAGTCGCAAATCACGTGTTAGAGACAGGTCAAGCGGATGTCGTCCTTATTGGAAGAGAGTTCTCGAGGAACCCAAGTTATGTTCTCACATTGGCCACAGAACTCGGCGTCAAGGTCAAGTGGCCCATACAGCTTCATCGGGCAGAGCCTTCCTACCGAGGCCGACGCCTGTTGAATCTATGACTTGAAGCGGTCCTCGTGTAAGATTCAAATCAAGATCGTCAGCGCGGCGTCTCACAATGTCAGCCACAACAGTATGTCTGTTTGTGACCTTGCGGTGGAGCTTGAATTCTGCTTTACCTTCGTGAGGTCACGTCAGGCAACCTCGACTCTCAAACGCGAGTGTAGCCTTCTGAAGCCGGTCAGAGGCTGCAGAAGACGTATGGACCAAGTACACAGCAGTCAGTCAGTCAGGGCATATTCGAGGCCAACGTACGAGATGGGGAGGTGATGATTTTCCACAGAAGTCGCGCTCTCAGGCCGAAATAATGCCAAGGACGTTGGGGGGGGTTGCGTGGGGTGCAGTTGGGGCCAGTTGGGGGGCAGGGGAGTGCAGTGGGGTGCCACTCAATTTCGTAGTCGACTTGATTACCTACGTTGTTACTGTGATATATTCCACTAATGAGAGTCTCGCTTAGACTTCCTAATTAGGCTTCTTCCCATTCACTTGCATTGTCCATCCCTTCCCCGGCTCTTCTGAGGTCTACAGTACCAGATTATTCTTCTTTGAGACGAACATCCACCGGCAGACGCTGAGGGTCTCGACCGGCCTTCTCATAACGAAGACAAGCTGGATGACCTTGACCAAAAGCTCGACGACCCTACGACTGGGCCTGGCCTAGACGCCGATAACTCAGACGACGAATCCCTTCTGTCCGAAGTCGACGAGGCATAATTCGCCGATTTCGATCCTATATCCGTCTAAGTCGTACCCGACTTTGACACGCTCAATAAGACCATTAAGGTAAAGAAGCGAAAGCGAATAGATAGGGAAGAATCCGCACCTAAAAAGAAAAGGGAGAAGACGCGTAAAAAAGCTAGAAAGAATCGACGAAGAGTAGCCAGCGATGAAGGCTTCTCTGGCGGCGAAGAGATCGAGGGCAAAAGAAGACGAAAGGGTAAACTTGGGAAGGAGAGAGTCGATCACGTCCTAAGCCGGTGGAGGTAAATGACGAAGACCTATCGCCAGGACAGCGGAGGAAAAATAATTGGGATTGAGCGATAGATGCTGCGCTCAAGAGGTTATCTAGGAAGAGACTTCGAGAGGGCGAGATTGTAAGTTTAATATAATGGTACAGCCACGGAAAGTATACTAACCACGATATAAGGACCTGGAACAAATGGCCGGCTAAGAAATTAAAGACCTCCGAAATCGAATGATCGCAGCTACTAAAACCGACGGAGAATTAGTTCGATAAGGCCTCCCCGCCTCCTAGAAGCTTAAGATGTTACCGGAAGTTGTTAGCCTCCTCAACTGTGATTGCGCCGGGTGAGAATCATCTTCATCACCTTCATCCCAAGCAGCTAATCAAGTGAACAAAACCTGTCTGTACTTTGTACAAGAGCTGACAGGACAGCGCCCGGTTTTATCTGCCACCAGCTTATCGACGGTGGACACGACCAACAGCTGCTCCGCCGCCTCTCTTTATTAGTCCTCAGTCACCGATCAATCCGCCCAATGCCGCAACCTCCACTGCGGTCCCCTCAGGCAGCTAAAGACCACCGCACTCCGGGCTGAAGGCCGCTATGGTTCGCTGCCACGGCCTAAACAGTGCGTTCAGTGCCGCTTATGTTAAATGGCGCCGGTGTCCAGTGGCAACAACAGATTAGCATCCTGCCATCCGTCGACAATGATTTGCACAAATTCCCCTCCATCGGCGGGAACGGCTGGCTCTGCCCCTCGGCTACAACGAACCAACGCGAACGAGCCAGCTGCTCTATTGCATGCAACTCCTCACGAATCCACTTGTCTAGAACAACAAGGTACGAATCGTGGGAAACGGGTCAACACAGGTCGCCTTTCTTGACCCGTCATTCCTTAACGTGCCGATAAGAGCTTGTGTGATTGTTATTGAAGACCTGCTCGATCTGTCAAGATGCTGTCCGATTGCTGAACCTTTCTCGCTTCCACAAACGCCTGCTCTACTGTTACTCCAATCATTGTAGTCAAGACCCCTGGTCGCCGCTTGGCCTCATATAACGATCTAATCATGTCAGTCTTCGAGCGGGTCCGAAGAAAGCTTTCTCGTACCAAGTCCGTCGCTGGCCTGGAAGGAGATGGACCAAGAGTTAATAAAGATGCGCTTCAACGGTGGCCGAGCAAAGCTTGCTCGTTGACGCCGTCGGACGAAGAGCTTGTCTCGAGGTTGGCATTCACCCCGGAGACCGTGATAATCGAACGCGCTCCCCGACAGAAAGCTCTCTCCTTTGGCACCCACCGATCCGAAAGAACGATCTTCAACAATGTCGAGTCTGGCTTCCTCGCGTTGCCAACGGAGCTTCTCGTGACCATTCAATCCTACCTGACGCCGAGTAGTGAAGTTGCGCTACGCCATAGCTGCTCACGATTCTTCCATCTTTACAGCACTCCATCCTTTGTGCTGACAGGCAAAGAGCTGTTCGACTTTCTGTGCATGACTGAACGTGACCAAGATCCAAACGATCTGGATAGGCTGGTCTGCGGAAGATGCCAGGAATTGCACGTCTGGACAGCCTTCTCTTCTTCTGAAATCAGGCAGGAGCCGACGGCTCGGGATTGCAGACAAATCTGGCTTTGTGCTCACCGGTCCCTGGGCTACGATAAGACGATCCGGGCCATCAAGGCAGGAGTCGACTCACCGTTTCGGGTTGAAACATTGGAACCTTGTCCGCGCTGTAGAGACTCGATCCGGAACAGATCTGTCGCGCACCGCCCGGAAAAGGGGACTTCAGCTATGGACTTGGAGCACCCCAAGGCAGAGTCATTACTCATTTCTAAGATTGGTCTCTTGCAGGCGCCGTCACCACTGTACAATATCCGGACAAGTGGCGGCAGTGGTATGTATAAGGAGATCTTTCAGGTCAAGGACGTGTCAGCAGCACTGCAGTCCATTGATTTTCGACTATGTCCGCATCTGAAGCTAGGAGATCCTTATATTCTCAGCAAGTTCTGCAGGGCCTGTATCAACACACAGCGTCTGCCGCCAGGGGTGAAAGGCCCGCCTTGTATCAACGAAAACAAGCGCCAGTTTGGGGAGAGTATACGAGGTGGAAAATGTAAAGGCTCCTGTTATACTCGAGGGTGTAAGACGCAATTCATGTTTCAGGCCCGGGAAAGTCTCTCCCCCGATGCGTCTGGACGACGACAAGTTTGGTTGATTATCGTGGTCTATCGTTGGCTCGGCCCCCTGCTGAGTGCTGGCCGAGAGGCCTCGTGGACTGATCACTCTGTGGACCATAAAGAACGCAAAGAGATGCGTCTTAGATGGGCCGAACGAGAGAAGGCAATCCGAGCAGGACGGCCATGTATGCCCAACTGGGAAATCTGTCTACTTCACCCGTCAGACTCGAACGTACGCTGACGACGAATTCAAAATGTCACGATGATGCGATTATTGTTGGGGTATTGTTGTTCCGGCAACGCAGGGGCTGCCGTATTCTTTGCTCGCTGATCTTCGTGCACCTGAATGGAACTCTGTGATGAGCCAAATCAACATCATTGACTGTGATGTCCCCAGAGGATGCGCCTTTCGATGATGTCGCCACCAATCCGATGGATACTTCCACACTCTGAGCCTAGAACAAGGACAGAGTGATTCCTCGAAGTGTGGCCTTTTCGTAAGCGCTTTACGCAAATCGAGAAGAGTCGGACGTTGTAGCAAGGAAGATGTGGGTGCCAAAAGATGCCCAGTGCGCAGTTGCCCAGACGAAGAATGACGAGCGACCGGGCGTTGCCTGGATGAAATCATCCATCCGATGCTATGCTCATTCTCTCCTTTCCACGTCCCGACGTGTCTACTCAACAAAATGGCTGGACGTCAAGGACCCAATTAGCAAGGCAGCCGCATGCATGCTTGTTGGAATGAGGCCTGCACCGAAATTGATGCATGCGATCTCGAAATGCGGAGGCAGCTACTGGGATCTTCTAAGGAGACACCTCGACACATCTTGGATCGGACAGTCTAAGCTTTGGTGGCTGTGACTAGCAACGTTATCACCCGGACAGAAAGCGATTTAGGGTGGACTCGCCCTAGCCTGACCCCTGAACGAAGATGGAAAAGGAGACCCGAGAGTGGTCAGATACATGTCAACTGGGGGCTGCCAGTCAACAATCCTCCGCCGTGGGCCGCAACGCCACCTCCGCGCGGACCATATTCAGGTCCCTGAGTACAGCCTTCTTCAACACCTTACACCACCTCACCCATAGTCTCGACCTTGTATCCAGACCAACGGATGGGCATCGCGACAAGCTTTGTTCTGGTTTACTCCCGCCGCCTCGAAGATCGAGGCTGGAGCGCCGTGACTCGGAGTGGCTATCGACCGGTTTGTTGCTGTCGACGGAGTGATAGAAAAGAAGCATCATGTCACTCAGTCACTGTATCTGGGCAAACTACTCTTCTCACACAGTGTAAGAACATTACAAGTTTCTGCAACCTCAGTCTAGCAAGCACATTCAAGGTCACTTCTTGGGTGTCTTGCTGTCTCTACATCACTTGAACCTGATAGAGACGAACAATTCTTCCCTTGCTCGTCTCATTGCCTCTTTCACCAACATCTACTCTCTCCTCACTTACTTCCGTGCCCTCTCCTATCCTAAAGACTTTGCCCTACCCTATCGTCTTTGCCCTGCCTCATCTATCCATCATTCATACTCACTGACCGCATTATGTCCCCGTTACCACGCAAATCCCTCCTCATCGCATCCCTATTGACATGGCTTCCTGTCTGCATCCACGCTCATATGCAATTGAGTTGGCCCTACCCCCTACGAAGTCCTCTTGACCCTGATGTCCCCTACTACGAGAAAGACTACTCTATGACATCTCCTCTCCTGCCTGACGGCTCTGATTATTCCTGCAAACACTACACGAAGGACTACGCCGATACTAACGTGACTAAAGCAACTTATGTGGCAGGTGGTACCTACGACATGTGGTTAAACGGGACAGCAACCCACGACGGAGGATCTTGTCAGTTATCGCTGTCGTATGACAATGGAGCCACCTTCAAAGTCATCAAGTCGATAATTGGCGGTTGTCCCATTGTCAGAACCTACGATTTCACCATTCCCGAATACGCGCCGGCCTCGGACACGGCCCTCTTGTCTTGGAGCTGGTTCAACCTTGAAGGTAACAGAGAGTTCTACCAGAATTGTGCCAGAGTCAAGATTGTCAGCAACCAGGCCCAACGCTACCGTCGGACTCCCTTCAAGCGACAGACCTCCATGAATGATCTCCCGGATATCTTCACCTGCAACATTGGCAATGGCTGTCAGACCATTGAGGGTGAGGACGTTATATTTCCCAACCCCGGCAACGATGTCGTCTATGGCCAAGACGCCATTACTCCGCATTCTGGAATTGGATACACAATCTCGGGGGCTCCGGCAACGTCTACTGCGAGTACGACGCCTGCTACTGCTGGACTTTCCGACTCTCCTACTACGGCTGCCGCGACTTCTACTAGCTCTGGATTCCCGAGCGCTCTGGTCACCACTACAACTGGAACTCCCTTGGAAACGACCACTTCACAGCCTCCCTTCCCGATAGCCAACACCACCATAACCACCGGACTTCCCTCTGGAACTGGACTCCCGGACCCTTCTGGACCTATACTTACCCTCACAGGAAGCATTACATACTTCACACCCACTTCGACAAGTAGCCTTAGCACGGCAACGATGACCGGGACCTCGACCGAGCCCTCGTTATTGACTGAGAGTTCTACGCCGTCATCGACTGAAAGCTCTACATCCTCATTACTCAGCTCTATATTGTCGCCTACAGAGACCACGAGCATGCCGTCATTCCTCAGCTCTATATTGTCGCCTACAGAGACCAC